CTGATTTAGCGAGAAACAAAAGTCGCAGTACAGTGACAATCAATGCAAATGAAGATACCTATATAGAAAATGCTACAATTTACCACAAATCTCAAACTTGGTTCCAGTGATAAACATACGTCTGACAAAATTACTACAGTAGTAGTTGTGTAGCCAAGCGACGGCCACAGAAGTCTGTTAAGCGTCACCTTCTATGAGCCAGACTTGTGAGCCATCTCTTGGCTGAAAAGATTTTGGTGACAGGCTCAGACTCATGATGCTAGAAACAGCCCCATGTCAATCTGCAGTAAGAACGAAACTTGTTTCATGAGAGGACATAGCCTTTAAATCCCAATTTGATGTTCTGTGAACAGTTTAGCTGTAACATCAGACTATAACTCTTTCAAAAAATTTGTTCCCTGCGTTTTGCCGAGGCGAGGGTTCCGATAGAGACCCTTTTGGCGCAAAATGAACTCGATGCTCAAGCTCTGCATCCAACAGCCAGACAATACAAAAATTGAAAACTAATTATGATACAGTGCACAGCTACATATATTTTTGATATGGGTCACAAAGCAATAAAGTTTTTGACACTGTAGACGCAGACGTTGCTAATTACGTGGACTCACCTTGGTGTTATCTCCACACGGAGATTGCCGATGATACCTCGCCTAAGAAGTAGCCTATCTGCAAGATCTTGCATGTAATAAGCACCTCCTATGAAGAGCTGAACTATAGTTATGATATCGATTAACAGTTAATTTAATTGCGACTTGAGTTGCATGTTTCATCCTACCGACCACTCAGAAAATTTAAGCAGTCGCCAGGTCAAAACACAAGTAGTTAGCATTTTGTGGAAGGGTTAGGTGTATCCGGCATCATTAGTCATCAATCGTTATCAGTAAAGACGTTATCAGGACGGTATTCTCCACAGGTTTACCAGCTAAGTCGTCGATATGCTTGCAGATCAGTGCATAATCAGATAGCATTCTAATTGATCCAAGAGAACTATAAGTTTACCAGGAAGTGAATAGATTTCTTCAATCCATCAGATTTCTCCATTCAAGAAGATGAATGACATGGAGACAAACTCCTCAGATTCGCTGCCAGCTCCTGCCACAAGTCTTACCAAGACTTGGAAGGAGAAAGCGCACGACAAGTACAGGGCAACTGTTAAGCAATTCACCACAAGAGATGGGTTAATTGGTGGCATGGATTATAGTTATCTTTTTACACCCAGTGTGCCCTTTATCCACAAAACGAGCAATCCACCAAGATTTTTTGCACTCAATGAAAAGGTTCCAATCTTGCTAGCATGTTTACTGGGTCTTCAGCATGCCCTCGCTATGATGGGAGGCTTGGTGGCCTCCGCGTTGCTATTTTCGACCATGGCTAATTTAAATGTGCATGACACCCAATATCTTGTGTCAGCCAGTCTTATTTCTGCAGGAATTTTGTCATTTGTTCAGATCAAAAGTTTCAAGATTCCCTATACTTCCTACAGAATAGGGTCTGGTACTCTTTCAGTGCTTGGTACTGCCTTTTCCACAATTTCAGTATTCGGCACAACGCTACCCATAATGTACAAGACCGGGTTTTGCCCTGTTGCTGAGGACGGAACGCATTTGCCTTGTCCTGAAGCTTATGGTGCCTTCTTGGGTACCTCAGCGCTGTGTGCCCTGTTCCTGCTACTCCTTTCATTCACGCCCAAAAAATATATCCTCAAGATTTTCCCTCGTATTGTCAACGGGCCAGTTGTTCTGCTTGTGGGTTGCTCTCTTATTCAGTCAGGAATGGAGGATTGGGCTGGCGGATCAGGTTGCGTGACTGCTGCCATGTGTCCGAGTGCCTCCGCTCCTAAGCCCCACCCATGGGGGTCCGGCCAGTTCATTGGATTAGGATTCAGTGTCTTTGTTACTATCGTGATCTGTGAGAAATGGGGCCCTCCTATGTTCAAATCTTGCTCTATTGTCATCGGACTTCTGATCGGGTGCGTCATTGCTGCTGGTTGCGGGTATTTCAGCCACGAACAGATCGATGCGTCTCCTTCCGGACAATTTTTGTGGGTTCGTACCTTCAAGTTACAGTTGTACGGTCCCATTGTTCTACCGCTTCTTGCTGTTTACGTTGTTATTACTATGGAGACTATTGGTGACATTACTGCAACCTGTGATGTGTCTCGTTTAGCCGTTGAAGGACCCGAGTTTGATTCCAGGATTCAGGGTGGTCTCTTTGCTACGGCCTTGGCTTGCATTGCTGCCAACCTTATGACATTGATGCCGCAAACTTCGTTCACACAAAACAATGGCGTTATTGCCATGACACAATGTGCCGCTCGCGTTACTGGATACTTTGCTTGTATGTGGTTGATCCTTATGGGTGTTATTGGTAAATTCAGCGCAGCTATTGTGGCAATCCCTAAGGCTGTCATCGGAGGTATGACTACCTTCTTGTTCACCTCTGTCGCTCTCTCAGGATTGAGTCTCATTGCTGGATGCAAGTTTACCCGTCGTGACCGCCTGGTATTAACTATTTCGCTCATGTGGGGGTTCGGCTCCTTACTTGTGCCAAACTGGTTCTCGCGTGTTTTCACATACAAGGGCGACAATACTGGCTTGCGTGGATTCTTGAATGCAATCAACATTGTGATGGAGACTCCATATGCTATTGGCGGTATTTCTGGTGTTATTGCAAACCTAGTTTTCCCTCAGTCCGAGGATGATCTCGAGTACACCGAGAGAACACAGGTTTTAGGCCAGATCGAGGAGTTTGAAGGAAGCGAGCAACCTTCGGATGGCGATACCGTCGCTCACAAATCTGACATCTGAATTGACCAGGTGTAGTTGATTAGCTGCATTTTATAGAGGTAAAACCGTTGAAGTACCTTTACAAATGGTGTCTCGACTATCTACGACACCCGCTTGGTGCACTTTGCTTCGTCATCCAGATCCAGTCTAAGAGAAGTAGGGTGTGCATGTCGTTTTTATTTTCCACCAGAACCGACCATGACTCCCAAGAGAACATGGGATTCTTGACGAAATGGCTCAAAAACTTCATGATACCAAAAAGTGAGACTCTGCAAAGCCATGATTCGCAGTCTTTTTCAAAGGTCCATCCACGAACTTATGCGCCCAATGAACTCCCATTAGTATCCACTAGACCGAACATTGGCGAGGATTGGCTAACATGGAGCAATGAAGCGTCTAGCAAAAGCCTCCTGAAGGTCAAAAAATGCTCTAATCATCTTCCAGACACGACAAATTCTAGATTGACAGAAGCTGAACGGTTTGCCAAAAAGCTCCGTGAAAACCGACAAGGAAAACTATCTCTATCTTATTCGTGCAACAATATCAACCAAAAAAAACGTCCATTGATGCTCAACCGCCCTATAGGTGCCATTTCCGGAGGCCCACTAGGTACAGCGAACTTCTCCCTACGAAAAAAGCCCACTTTGAGCAGTGCTGTACTTGACACTGTTCGTCCTGAGAACTTCGAGAAGTATAAAGAGCTGCACACCAAAAAGATTCACCTCTTAGAGCAGATTAAGCTTTGGAGACAGGAGCACGAAATATCCTCACAGCTTCCACCAGTCAAGCGTATTCAGCCACTCGATAAGGACTCGAAATTGCTAGTCAATAAGTTTTGGACGTCTAGATCCAAAAACGACGTATTAGGAGAAGTTTATCGCGTTCAGCTCAGCGTAGCAGACATCCAGACCCTTCGGCCCCGGGCGTGGCTTAATGACAATGTGATTGATGCGTATTTGGCCGAAAACAGTTCGAAAACAGAATCGAACACTTTTGCTTTTACAACCCATTTTTACACGCGCTTAGAGCAGTCGGGATACACTGCTGTAGCCAAATGGGCGAAGCGTAAGAAAATCAATATTCTGGAGCTTGACTATTTGATTGTACCGGTTAATCGTGGCAACATGCATTGGTGCATGTCAATCGTAGACAACGCTAAGAAAACTATATCTTTCTACGATTCATTGAGCTCTGGGCGAGGCGGTGACGATGTTGTTCGAAATCTGGTCGAGTACCTGGTCAAAGAAGCAGATCGCTTAGAACCTGGTCAGCGGGACAAGCATATTGAAATTTTCAACAACTACAAAGTAATACCACAAGCGGATTGCCCTCAGCAAAATAATGGATTCGACTGTGGCGTCTTTGCCTGTCAGACAGCTGTTAGAGTTTCGAACGGAAGCCCATTGGATTTCGACCAAAAAGATATGGATATTATTCGAGAGCATATGGCATTTAATTTATTGAAACTTGCTGGAATCTAGTGATTTTTGAGCCAGTAACAGTTTTTGGGCTAGCTCCTTTTCCCACTTGTTAATCTTCTCTTGGGACACATAGATTTTATTAGCCAGATAATCTTGTCGCGACTGAGTTTCGCGGCGACTTGGAAGCAACGCCAGATCCTTGAGCTCGGTTTCTACCTTCTTGATTTTGTCAGATTCAGCTTGAATATCATACTTGAGAACCTTCGAGTCCATCAATGCGCATAAAAAGGTATCGCCCACCAGTTCCCGGAACGCTGCATGGTACAGCGGTCGTCCAGCTTTCAATCCCACTACGCGACCACCGATATTACGAACAGCGATAAGTTCACGATATTCGAGAGACACTAGGGCTTTCATCTGGTCATCACTTGAGAAGGCGGGCTCCTTATTCACTATGGCAAGGATTGGGAACCATTGACGTCTGTCATGCGTTGCAAGTTCTTTGATAACAATCCATGCTTGCTCTGGTGTCCATTCGGTGTTGGAGGTGGGGCTGAGAAACATTTGAGAAATTTCAAGTGCTGACAGGTGAACCATTTGCTGCAAAGCATGATCGGGTTCCTCGCCTGCGACAATTCGACGAGCGTATGAGTTCAAGTCAGTAAGACGCCCACCCAAAGCGTCTAAAGCTTTGGCGTCCATCTTTGTGACACTCTTTGCATGCTCCGTCTTATGGATTTCCTCAGAAGACATTTCCTCAGCGCCTGTCTCGTTTTGTTTTCTCTTCAACTCACGCGAAGTTTTGCAATAGTTGATAACGTACTCAAGTGAAGCGTCGACACCTGCATCTCCAACGGTTATTGTTTTGAAAATCTGATCGGGAAGAGCTCTTGCTAAGAGTTTATCATGAGAAACGTCATGCGTCACGAAAACCACCTGCGCTGAGTTGTTTTGGACAAGTGCACCAGCCCAATCGACTATCTGTTTATTGATATCCGACTTGCTTGTAAGTCCACGGATGATAATCACTGGTTTAGCTTCGGGGTATCTCTGAAGATAATCGCTTTCGTTAACGTCCTTCGGCTTGTTGCGAACACTTATGCGATGAATACTTGTGGCAGCAGTATTGAGTATGCGGTTAATTTGCTGCTCCGTAGTTTCAGAAAACCCAGCAGATTGGCCAGTTAAGCTCTGAGCTGCGAGATCAACAAATCTGGAGATGCCGTTTGCCCACAAGAACATCGGGTGGTATCCCAAAGTGCTAGAAAGCGTACCGAGTCTGTCATTGTCTGTTTTGGATTTGTTCAATGCTTCACAATCAATCACAAGTTGTGGCGATTTTATATTTTCAAGCGCCATTTCCACAACTTTGGATTTACCACTACCCTTGGGGCCATACACAACCATAAAGGTGTTGTTGCCCTCACTGAGCATCAGTTTTAGCTCCTCAGCCAAATTATACAGCTCCAGCCAGGAGTCTTGAATCGTATCTTCGTCATCTTTCTTTTTACTGCCGGTGACGTTGAGATAATTAGTCCAATAGCGAATGTAATTGATTGTTTTGCGAATAGCAGGATAGTCCGTAAAGTTCATAAGCCCAAGAACCTTAGTTTCGATGCTCAGAATACGGATTGGCTCAAAGATCAAGAATGCCAACCCTGCGAATAGCGCTAATGCAATAGGTACAGAAATCCTTGGATGGGAGTTAAAGAACTCGACAATAAAGTTTTTTTGTTGTGAGAGAACGAAAGAGATAGAGATCTTAGTTCCCTGAATAATCTGACCATTTGCGCAATTTCTAGCTGCGGCCGCATCAAAGAAGCTTGTAAACTTGACAATTGTGCTTCGAGGAGAATCTTTATTGCTTGGAGCTGGGGGCTCAATTGTTTCAATTCGCCCATATTGGCGAAGTGCTGCATAGAGTTCTTCAGGAGAAACATCAGAGCCATCAAAAGTGACGCGAATGGTGCTGGTGAACCCTGTTTTCATGTCTTCGATCCAAGGACGACCTTTCACCGTGAACACTTTCCATCTCATGGTCCAGAGCACACTCCATGGTGCGTTCTCGTTAACATATTCAACAAGTTTTTTGCCCGCTTGTTCAGGATTTAAAGTGTGGTCGGTTAAACGAAGCTTCACAAATGCACCGCCCTCACGAGATCTGGGGATAAACTCCCTGACCTCTGCGGGAATGTCGGGAGGCAGGTATTTGCGCACGCGGTCTAGCAGAGACTCATCACTACGCCTTCGGAACACATTCGGAATGTATTTTGATAATTTTCCAGTGGGCACGAACAAATGGCTGTAATAAAGCAAAACTTCATGGCGGGAAGTATCGACTTCTCCAGTGGTCTCTGCAACGTGCTGATTTTCGAGCCGGGATTCTTTGGGTGTGCAGTCTTCATTGATAGCAGCAGCAGCAGCTGCTGCTGCTGAATTGAAACGCCAGAGGGCTCTAACTGCCAGCTGACGCGGTTGGATTCTCACCAGTCGCAACATTGCAGGAGGTAAGGATCTCTGCAGCAATTCGCTTACTTGTGCAGCGTGGCGATGGGCTGCAAGTTGTCATGGGCCATATTGATTGAGCTTGGCATTAAAAGCTAGGATTGGAAAAAATTGTTTCTGGAATTTGTTGCATTCAAGATAATTGAGCACACAAAAATTAAAAGGTACTTTAAAAAATAAGCGACCTCGGAGAGGGTCGAACTCTCGATCTTACGATTAACAGTCGTACGCCTTAACCAACTTGGCCACGAAGTCTCTTGGTGCCCAAAAAAGATTCAGGTGATATGAATACCGAGGATCGATATATTGATCCCGTTTTCGAGAACTTTAGGATGTAGCTGTAAGTAGGTAAGTTGTCTGATAGAAGTTATATAGTGATTACTTTTGCATCTGCAAGCATCGCCCGCGCAAGGCGCTAATACCTAAAGAACTTGTTTTGCATCCAGCGCCCCGACCCAGGCCGGAAACTTCTATTTGCTCGGGGGCATTGCCGGGCTAACGATCAGTCACAAAAGGATTTTAGGTTCCAGTTACGTCGAACTATTTGAACTAAACGGCTACAAAGGAATGTCACGTGACAGAACGCACGGCTTATGTAGAATGACGATACTGGCAGGTCCACCTCTACTTAAACTACTGATTTGCGGCCACAATTGACATTCGTTCCTTCAGACGTTAAAAGATGTGCCCGTTCAATGAATCCATGCGTACCCGACGCCACGACCTCTCTGATGATTTTGAGGTTGTTTCCAGCCCCCGTAAAGGAGCCCAGCCGTACGACCCCTCGCTGAGCTGGGAAGACTACGCCACAAAGTATCTTGAGTTTACCGACACTGCTCCTACTGTTTACCATGCGATTGACTATATTAGCAAAGGTTTGAAAGATGCTGGCTTCAAGTATTTGAGCGAGCGCGAATCGTGGGAGGAACGGCTCCAGCCGGGCGGTAAGTACTTTACTACCCGCAACGGCACTGCGTATTGCGCTTTTGTGATCGGAAAGTCATGGAAACCTAGCAATGGTGCTGGAATCGTCGGTACTCACACCGACTCGCTTGCTTCTATTCTCAAGCCCTCGTCGAAGAAAGATCAGGTTGATGGCTATGAGCTCCTCGGGGTTGCACCCTACGCCTCTGGTGGTGTCGGCCCTACCTGGTGGGACCGTGATCTTGGAATTGGCGGGCGTTTGGTAGTTCGCGATGGTAACGGTGTTCGCACCAAGCTCGTTCGCAGCCCTCACCCCATTGCTCGTATTCCAACACTAGCCCCTCATTTCGGTGCGGTTGCGAACGGCCCTTTCAACCCTGAAACTCAACAAGTGCCAATTGTTGGCTTGGTTGATGAGAATGAGAAACTAGTGCCTACCGCTGAGGAGTCCAAGAGCCCTCTGATCGACAAGCACAGTTTGCGCCTTCTCCGGGCGATTTCCAACTACAGTGGTGTGGCGGTTAAGGACATTTTGGAATTTGATTTGCAGCTCTTCGACACACAGCCTGCAGCTTTAGGCGGTCTTGATAAAGAGTTCATTTTCAGCCCCCGAATTGATGATAAGATCTGCACTTTCACCGCTTATGAAGGAATTATTGAAGCTGCCGACGAAATTGCGAAGGGGTCTACTCTTGGCATTGTGGCTGGTTATGATAACGAGGAGATTGGCTCGCTATCCCGTCAAGGTGCTCGAGGCAACCTTTTGGAGAGCGTGATTGATCGCGTTCTAGGTGATATTGCCGAGTCCATCAAGAAAGTGTTTTATGCCAACTCGTTCTTTGTTTCTGCCGATGTCAACCACGCAGTCAACCCTAACTTTTCCAACGTTTATCTTGAGCACCACAAGCCCAAGCTGAATGTGGGAGTCACTCTGTCGAGAGACCCTAACGGAAACATGATTACTGACGGCCTTAGCGCCTCGTTTATCTACGAGCTTGGCCGCCGCACCGGTAACCAAATTCAGCAGTTCCAGATCCGCAACGATTCTCGTTCGGGTGGCACAATTGGCCCCGGTCTTTCTGCCAAGACCGGTCTGCGGGGCGTTGACTTAGGTATTCCCCAGCTTTCGATGCACTCCATTCGTGCCACGACCGGGTCCAAGGATGTATGGCTTGGAGTTCGCTTCTTCAAATCTTTCTATGAGGCCTGGTCTGAAGTTGATGCCGAGTTCAAACTCGGTGATTTGTAGTGTTATGGAAAGTAGTCCAACAATTGTTGGTTAACGTACCTACATCATGCAGGTTTAGGGCGATACCGGCCAATCCTTATCACAGTAATTTTCTCAAACTGGGTCAGTCAGCATGAGCACAATCCTTTCCGCAGATGATTTGAACGACTTCATTGCGCCTGGAGTAGCTTGTGTAAAGCCCGTTGAAATCACCAAGACGAGCTCGGCGGCTGAAATACAAATAGGCATTGATGGAGAGCCGGTTGAAATTTCTACAGACAATGGAGAGTCGAAGTTGGAGCCTGCCAAAATCAGTTTGACGGATTGTTTGGCATGTAGTGGCTGTATTACGTCTGCAGAAGCAGTTCTTGTTGAACTTCAGAGCCCTAAAGAGCTGTTCAAAGCTCTGGACGATAAAGAGAAGATTTTTGTCGTGAGCATTTGCCACCAAACCCGTGCGTCACTGGCCCGGGCCTGCGAAATGAGTGTGGCAACCATCGATGCAAAACTGCGGCATGTGTTTGCAGAACGTCTGGGTTTCCGGTATGTGGTAGGAACTGAAGTAGGACGGGCTATTTCGCTAGTTCAAGAAGCAGAGGAGGCTTGGAAACGGAGGGATCAACCGGGTCCCGTCCTGAGTAGTATATGTCCTGGATGGACATGCTACGTGGAAAAGTCCCACCCGGAGATGTTGCCGTTTTTATCCCATGTGCGTTCACCTCAGCAGATTACTGGCCATCTTATCAAAGAGCTGATTGCCAGGCTGCACGGCACAAAAACCTGTCATGTCTATCACGTCAGTATAATGCCATGCTTTGACAAGAAGCTCGAGGCTGCTCGGCCTGATTTCGAAGTAGGGGGCAGCCGTGAGTGCGACCTTGTGTTGACTGCGCGGGAAGTTGTTGAAATGATCAGCACCGAGTTCGGAACGGCATTCGATATGCTGCCTGATGCCCAGCTCGCTGCAGCTCAAGTTACCCCACAAGGATGGCCCGTCGAAGAACAATGGCTTTCCAATGCAGGCTCCAGTTCAGGTGGCTACCTTGCATACACATTGGCGAAAGTTCAAAGCATGCACCCTGGCTCCGAGGTTGTGACTCTTTCTGGGAAAAACACCGATCTGATGGAGTATCAAATCATGCACGAAAACAAACTAATTTTCCATGGCGCCCAAGTATATGGGTTCCGCAGTATCCAAAACCTGGTACGCAAACTAAAACCAAGCAAGGGTAAAGTTGTTCGGGTGCGGTCGACGAAAAGCGATCCTATGCAGTGGGATTACGTCGAGCTCATGGCTTGTCCAGGAGGCTGCATCAATGGCGGAGGACAACTCGCCGCTCCCGAAAACTTACCCACCCGACTATTTATTGAGCAGATGGAGCAGGCATACAAGCAAATACCGCTAGCAGTAGTATCCGAGGAGACTGCATTGAGCTATTTGGGTGCGATTGGCGCGGAGCCAACGGCTGATCTCTTGCTCACTACTTACAAGCCATTGGCAAAAGAAAATAACATTCCCGAGGCATTAGCCGTAGGAACTCAATGGTAGACTAGGTACATGTACACACACACACATGTAGATATTTCTATGACTTTATATTTTTCCATCGCGTTGCGTTATCAGGATCTCCTACCCCGTCCCCATGCGGGCGCCCGAAGCTGCGCCCAATAGACATGAAAATGCCGCAGCCACCATGACCGTTAGCAAGGGCGCGTGATTCAATTGTTGCTACTTTCGCAAAAGAAAAGGCAGCTGGATGCGACTGAATGGACTCTTCTGCACCAGTGTTATGCACGCGCCCCCGATATTTTTCTTTTCTCATCGGGGATCAGTCGAGTCGGCATTCTCGCGGGTGAACATAGCATGCGTGACTAAATATGTCTCGCTTGCTACATAGGAGAGCCGGCAAAGTGGCTGTAACAGAATGAAGACCCACGTAGACGGCACGAAAAATTCGTCCAATACTGGCACGGCCTGTTTTTGAACTTCTATCGTAGTTTTAAGTCTAAGCTTCCCCACCGCCCCCACCAATTCATAGGCGACACAGCAATCCAGATTGCATGGCTTTGCATCCAATTGGCTTACAAAGTATGCAGCAAAGGATAGCTCTTTGGGTTACTCAGCGACGAGGTTGAGAGCATTAGTAGCACATAATTCCAAGGCTTGTTTAGATATCTGACGATTTTGAAATGACCACGAAAATTGAGGACCAGAGCAGTTTGATCACTTTTAACAAGCAGGCGACTATCACTGTTCTAGGTGCCAGTGGCGATCTTGCCACAAAGAAAACCGTAAGTATATCCGAGATTAGGCCAGCCTCCCCGGCCTTTGGCAAGGAGCTGGTCCGGAGCAATTGGCGCCCCACGCGCACGCTGTAGATGACACGTCGCTAACATTCAGTTCCCCGCCCTATTTGGACTCTATGCTCAGGGCCATTTGCCTGAAAAGGTGCGTATCTTTGGCTATGCCCGTACCGATCTGACTGACGAGGCCTTCCGGGAGCGCTTGTCGTCCAAGTTTGAGTTGGTTGGCCCCAACACGAAAGAGAAGGCCGAGGAGTTCAAGAAGCTTTGCCACTATGTACAGGGCCCCTACGACAAGGCTGAAGGCTTTGCTGGGTTGAACAAAGCAATCGAAAAGGTCGAGAAGGAGATGGTTGCTTCCGGTGAGGTTCCCAACCGGCTCTTCTACCTTGCTCTGCCTCCGGTTGTTTTCGGTTCTGTCTGTGGTCAACTCAAGGCCGAGTGTTATTTGGGCGACGGCAAGGGCCACACTCGTGTGATCATCGAGAAGCCGTTCGGCCGTGACCTTGAGACATCCCGCGAGCTGCAGAAGCAGATTGCACCTCTATTCACCGAGGCGGAGATTTACCGCATTGATCACTATCTCGGTAAGGAGATGGTCAAGAACTTGCTCATTTTCCGTTTCGCCAATCTGCCCATGACCTCCTGGTGGTCTAACCAGTACGTCAAGACCGTTCAGATTACTTTCAAAGAGCCCTTCGGCACTGAGGGCCGTGGCGGTTACTTTGATGGCATTGGTATCATCCGTGATGTTATGCAGAACCACTTGTGTCAAGTGTTGTCTTTGGTTGCTATGGAACGCCCCCTTTCCTTTGATCCCGAGGACATTCGTGATGAGAAGGTGCGTGTTCTCAAGGCTGTGCGCCCAATCGAGCATCGCAATGTCATTCTTGGCCAGTACGGCCCCAACGAGGAGGGCAAGCCAGGCTACTTGGACGACGCTTCCATCAAGAGCAAGGACTCAAAAACACCCACTTATGCGGCCATTGCTCTGGAGATCCGCAACGAGCGTTGGGACGGTGTTCCTTTCATCCTTAAGGCTGGTAAGGCCCTGAACGACTCCAAGGTTGAGATTCGCATTCAGCTGCGACCTGTTGCCCGGGGTATCTTCCACGACATCACCCCCAACGAGGTGGTTTTGCGTGTCCAGCCTAACGAGACCATCTACATGAAGGTCAACACCAAGTACCCTGGTCTGAGCACCCAGACCGTGGCCACTGATCTTGACTTCACCTACCACCGTCGGTTCACCAACCTGGTCATTCCCCAGGCTTACGAGTCTCTTATCCTTGACTGCCTGAAGGGCGACCACTCTAACTTTGTCCGTGACGATGAGCTCGACGAGGCCTGGAAGATCTTCACCCCTCTTCTCGAAGACATCGATGCCGGCAAGCTGCCCGTGGAAGTCTACCCTTACGGTTCCCGTGGCCCCGAGTCGGTTTCCAAGTTTGTCCAGAAGCTCGGCTACGTTATCCCTAAAAACGAGAACTACATCTGGACCAATTGATTCGATATAATTCAATTTATTCGCTATATAGGTTTGAAGGGGTTTCCCAAGTTTACCCAACACACGTAGCGCCAGAAATTTCATCTGCGCCCCCGCTTACCTAACCAGGGCATGAAGGCATGTTTTACATTTCTCAGCAAAAGCCAAAGCGAGGGTGTCAACAAAGGGGTGGTAAATGAAAAACCAGACCGTCCCCTGGCGGGGGGTTGCTACGGCATGTGGCCAGAAAGCCAAAAAACGAGATAAGGCCAAACTCTAAGTAAATCTGAGCAAATAAACTATTCATTAGGATGTCTACAGAATAACGCATTTTCGTTTCTTTTCAGAGGGATCCTTCTCCTTCTTACTCTTGCTGCGTTTCTTGGGCTTGGTACTCAATGCTGCCCGGGTAGCGGCCTCAAAAACTTCGCGCACACCCTGGCCAGTGCGAGCGGAGCACTCCAGGTACTTGATAGCGCCGATTTTTTGCGCCACCGCTTCGCCCTCTGCGGAGGTCACAGGGCTTTGGGAGGTACGGCGCAGAGCATTCTGGACGTTCTCGTCGTCGCGCAGATCGGCCTTGCAGCCGACAAGAATAATGGGGACACCGGGGCAGTAATGCAGGACCTCGGCGTACCACTTCTCTTTGACGTTGTCTAGTGAGTCGGGCTGGTCGATGGCAAAGCACACCAACAGGACGTTCGTGTCGGGGTAAGACAGTGGCCGCAGACGATCGTAGTCCTCCTGACCAGCAGTATCCCAGAGCGCGAGGGCTACACGCTTTCCGTCAACCATCACGTCGCTCACGTAGTTATCGAACACGGTGGGCACGTACACTTCGGGGAATGTACCCTTGGAGAACACAATCAAAAGACAGGTCTTACCGCAGGCACCATCTCCCACAATTACAAGCTTCTTGCGAATGCTATCCGGAGCAACCATTTTTATCTTTTGATTTTCCAAAAAAGCGTGTCTTCTACTGGAAAAGGGATGGGGGGTGGTTAAGAAGGTGCGTTGGTGTAGTAATAAAAAAGGGGATGTGAGCGCTGGGAGTTTTCGCCAAAACCCCCTAAATCTCTGAGTCTGTCAGATATGCTGGGTATGGGGCCCAACAGGGGGTGTAGGGACAACCTCGGGACACCTTGGGATAGGGGGTGTTGGTTCACAAGCCACACGTGACTCCTTTGCATTTTAGCGAGCGCCCGTTCAATCTGGTTCAACCAGTATCGTGCAATCCGCTTGCTCTGCACCCCGCATGGCCACATCTCTGGTGGTTTGTCGCTATCTTATATCCACCCCCAGGGTTACGAGACATGTGAGGTGATTTGCAGCCTGCGTCATATTCACACCATGGGGCACTTTTGGTAACAGGAACGGCCCCCTGCTGGCGCCTCAATCACTGGCATGCTTCATTAAACCCTTGCTAGCTCACAAATTACTCTTTGCACGCTGGTTTCTTCCTTCCTTTATTCCATCATGTGACCCTCGCATATCCATGCATCTCACCCCATGTGGAAGGAGCAACTGACTTCCCAAAACCGGTGTTCTCCCAAGATTTGTGGAGCTACATTTTGGCCTTGTACCATTGACATAACTTAGTGTGGGAAACGTATCTACCACAGAGGGCTCTTTTGGACAGATTTACCGAGAACAAACCACCGAATATTGTTCACGATGCGTAAATCGACTTCCGTAAAGACCATCCCGACTAATGTCACTACTCCGGCTGCTTTTGAGGATCCCAAGCTGGCCGTCCAGACTGAACCTTCTAATCCATTGAACGAGTTCACTGACCCGTCTTTGCTGCTGGTTCGTAGGTTGGAGCAATGGAAGACCAACATCTCGCTGATTCTTCGCTACGCAGAATCCCATGCCTCGTCGCAGGCCAATCTGACCTCGGGCCTCGAAAAGACCCGCAAAATTGTTCAGGACCAGCACCCAGCCGGACCTGAGGCTGAGCAGCAAGAAAAGACCGGAATTGACGGAGTTTTGCATACCATCTTTATTGAAACAGAGGGCCTCTTGAGGGCTAGCGAAATTGCCGCTACCAACATCCGCCAGTCGGTCATCCCGCCTCTCGAAGAACTACTTGCCGAGATCGACCAGCACCATCGCGAAATTAAGGACAATTCGATTTCGGCAATGAAAGACATTGAGAAGTTGCGAATCCACACTTTCAAGCATATGGAAACTTTAAATGGGGTAGTAAACTCTGGAGCAATTCCTACCGAAAACAAGGATGACCCTTACATTGTCAGGCGCCAGATGATCGGCGTGTTGAATAGTCAATTGAGCCGTGAGAACGACCACGCACGTAACGTCGTCGCCATCCAGACAAACTTTGCCAAATTCGAGATCAAGCTTGTGCAAACAATCCAGAATAGCCTCAAAGATTTGGAGAGCATTCTTACCGAGTATAATAATGCAAGCACTAATGCTCACCGTGTTGTGGCAGAAACGTATGCTACTGTTAGCCCTGACCAAGACTGGAGCGTATTCGAGGAAAGCAACAAAGATGTTTTCCTCCCTACCACTGGATTCCAGCGTGACCCAGCAAGGCTTCAGTTCGATAATATGGACCATATTTACACCAAGGCTATAGTCGAGGGACCCCTCAACCGGAAAGCTCGTGTTTTGAGATCACTTCAGCTTGGTTTCTACGTGCTCACCCCTAGCGGCTTTTTTCATGGCTTCAAGTCCGAAGACGCTATCAAGGATCCTTTGCCTGAATTGAGTCTTTTTATTCCCGAGTGTGATATTGAGCCTATGGATCTCCGTAATCCTGATGAATTCAAGGTCCACGGTAAGGACCGAAGTTCTAAACTGGGAACTCGCCGTAACTATGTATTCAGAACCCTGAATGCTGGTGATGCGCAGCTTTGGCATGAGGCTTTGCTTGAGGTTTCCCACGACATCACAAATGCCTCGGTGGCACCTGTGGCACCTGTTCCTGTTGCAGCGTCTTCGCCCAGCCGGGGGTTCGCTTCGGTTACGGGCACAAGTAGCGCAGGTAGCGCTAAAGGCGTTGCTACAGGCAGCGCTGCTGGACGGGCTGCAGGTGCTGCAGGATTTGCCGGTGCGGCTGGAGCTGTAGGAATTGCTGCTGCTAGCCGTGATCGCACCGACTCCAGGCACGCTGCTGGCGTTACTGGCGAACCAGAGAGCGATGAGACCGAAGTACAAAGCCTCCGGGACCCTAACTCGCAATTCTTTTCTGAAGAAGAGAATGAGCGCAGATCCCCGTCGCCTCTTGCTGCGACTACTGCAGCTACAACTTTGGGCATCAGCCCTCGAATGAGGGCGCAAAGTCCGTTCCAGAGTTACCGTGGTCACAATGGCGACCACAATGGCGACCAATATGGCGAACCCCACCATGTTGAGGCTCATGATGATATCGTGCCGATGTCTTTGGAAGGTAACAATGATATCCCTTCGCCCGAGCCCTTGGCCCGTAAACTTGATTTTGAGGGAGAAGCTAAGAAGACTCACGCATACAGCGCACTGGCGGATAATTCGGCTGCGGCTTATGAGACAAATGACTTTGTAGAGCCAAATTACAAGGTCGATGTCGAGCCCGTGGCTCCTGTAACTGTTGAAACTGCCAATGCTACAGAATCTCTTGAGCCTGTTGGAGCAACAGCTGTTGAGAACCAGGAGATCAATACCATTCCAGTTGAATCTGAGCCCAATGCCCCAGGCACCACCGATTATGTTCCGGCAGTAGGTGATACGCCCAAAGACTTTGCGGATGATCAGTCTCCCGGGCCAGAGCCAGATAGGTCTACTACAAATGCCACGCCATTAGGTGAAGTCGATTATGACGTCGCCAAGGCGGTTGGAATTGCTGATGCGGCCGGCTCTGGTGTATCCAACGAGACTGGATTTGCAGAGCAGAAGGATATTCTGTCTGCTCAAGGATACGGTGTTAGTGGTTTGGGAACCCAGCACAAGACTTTGGAAGACGATGATTTGCAGAAAGAAGCTACGATCCGGGCCAAAGAGAGCACTCATCAGACTAGTGAGCTCACTGGCCACATTGATGGAGAATCCACAACGGTCTTTACCGAGTCTGGTGAGCCCGTTGTAGTGGGCAAGAGTTGTGAGAACCTGAGTGGCCCGTATTTCTCCGAGCCGGCCGGCGATCCCATTTTTGCTGGAGCTGGAACTCAGGCACGAACAGAAGCTAGCAAAACAGTTCACAATGAATCTTCTTACCAACCAGCCGAGCTTAGCGCCAAGGAGGTGTTTGCCGCCGGACCAGAAGCTAGCGAGACAGCACCGAAAGTGTTTTCTTCCGAAGCAGCCCAAATGAGCGCCAAGGAGGTGTTTGCTGCCGGACCAGAAGCCAGCGAAACAGCTCCAAAAGTGCCTTCTTCGGAACCAGCCCAAGTGAGCGCCAAGGATGAACTGGTTGCCGCAGGGGCTATTCCAGCCAAAGAACCTGCTGAGGTGACTGCTTCTGACTCGGTTCCTGTACAAGCTGCAAAGACTGCAACGGCCACTACCCCCGCGGCTGTGCCCAGTGGACCTTCAGCGCCGCCTGCCTACAACAAAGATCTGGAAGCGCCGGCCGCTCTGAAGAAAACTGAAACAACCACTTCGAGTGCCAGTACGACCAAGTCGAAACGCTTCAGCAAGCGATTCATGTCGAAACTCAAGCACGGGTTCAGACACCATGAAAAGGCTGCGGATGTATAAATGTTTAATTTCTTGAATGCTTAAGATCTTGAACAACTAATTAGTAAATAAAATCAAGCGAAACCGTATTGTAATAAATGATGGGAAAAGATAAAGAAGACCGAGTTACGCTAGTGCTTGTACCTGATCAGCCTCGACGGGGTATTCTTGAGAAATGGCGAGCCTTGGAGCGAGTTTTTGGTAATTCTTCCGCCATAGCTCAATACCTTGTTTGTAAAGATGCATTGTCATACCATTCTCGACATGACAGAATACCACGCCAAGCTTATGTTCGACGTCTCGATTGCGCGACTCGTCGTCGAAAAATAGCATTTCGTGGTAATCTACGCCCGTTAATTTTTTGAGTTGCTCAAAATGTGTGACTTTTGAGCCTGTGCCATAGAGGACGCTCCTGAATATTTTTTCAGATGGTTGTCCATCCACATGCAAGTTCTGGAGAAGGGCCTTTGCCACTGCGGGGGTCTGGGTGCGCGAGGCGACGCATAACTCGAAGTTTTTGTTTTCATTGAGAAGCTTCAACAGCATAGGAACCTCTTCGTAAAACGTGAAACAGTCACCCTGGCTGTCAACAATGATTTGATTGTCGTTCAGTGCTTTCACCGGCATGGAAACATGGGTGTCACACCAGAACGGCCACAGAGTATAGTCGAGGTCAAATACAATAAGTTTCGGCAAACTCATTCTTTCGAATGTAGACGAAGTTAACCTGTGCCAACAAGGACGGTCCGGCCCACAACGGGTTCAGGAAGTGTAGAAAGGGAAAAAAATAGGGTATATACGGCGTAGTTCGCCTTATTTTATCTAATCGAATTAAGTAACGCCAGTGTTGCATGTAGTGAAATATCCCACAGAAATTCCGTGCCGATAGGTTGCTCAGTGGTCGGGTTTTAGAGCTGATCAGTTGCACATGGGCGACCGTTTCAGCCGGGTTTGACTAGCTCGAGCTAGTACACAAATAATGAGTTTACTTTTGTCACGCCTTGCCGGCTTCAAAGTTTAGACCCTTTCTGGGCTTGCTTAGCAATCCTTACATTTTTTTAGTAAAACTCATCAGTCCAACCGACCGTAGGCGACCTAACCCTGTTAGTTATGCATTGCGTTCGCCCTGCGTCGGCTTCTGGGACGGGTGTTTTTGTGTCTGCGGCTCAGGAAGGCATAGTAAGCGAGGCTGGCATGAACGGCACTGGGCAGCGGAATCAGAAAATGTGACGGCCTTGTCAACCGACTCAAATAAAAGAAAAGCAACTCTGTTTATGTCCGTAACGCCTTTTTTAGACGCATTCTGCATGCCTCTTTATGTTGGCGATCTTGGTGGGCGTGCCTCCAGATTCTCCATATTTTTTTCAACGACGTCTGGCTCTGATTAAATTTGGGTGGGTCTTGGTCTGGGTGTCTTTTGGACATTTTAATAAAAAACAAACCTATCTATCTACAAACTTAATTCAATCGTCCTAATTTGGGACGCTCACACGATCCTTTTTTCCTCTTCGTCCAAAACAAGGTCCTTCCAGGTTTTATGTTGGGTAGTGCAGTATGTTGCCGCCATACGCAGGGCATGCAACCACTCGTCTTTGAGCTCTGCAGTGTCTGCATAGAAGCTGAGCTCTTCGCCATCCTTGAATGTGACAAAAAAGGTACGGTCCTCGTAAATACACCACAGGTCGTCACTTGGCGGCACCTCGGCCGCGTCTAGAATTGAGCGTGCATTCTCCATGCGGATAAACGAACGGACTTTCTTTGTATCTTCGTGGTGCCCAACAAGCTCGTTTCGGCGCAATGTAAACCACCTGCGACGCCAAAGTGTGCAGTCGCCTCCATTTTGCGTGAGGTAGCCCTCAAACTTGAGACTTCGGTTGTGTCGCGCGGTTTCCAGCTCCTTTACACACGCCTGCATGCTGCTCGGGAGAGTCTCGCTGTTGAATAATTTAGGCACGTACATGAGTGTGACTTGCAGGTCGCACATCTGCTTGGGGTCTTCTCCTTGCCATTCGTTGTATAGAGGTAACGAGTAGCTTTGAGGACGTCCATAAATATCAGCCTCGTAGTGAGATTCAAAAAGATAGCCGCGAGCAACCTCGCCTTTGGGACCAGTGACGCCTTTCCATAAGTTGCTTCGGCGTTTGTACGATTCCATAGCTATATCGTGTTCTCGCTCATCCTTCAAGTAGGACTGTTGATCAATCACCGGTGGAAGCTTATCCACGGACAATCGCTTATTCTTCTTGGGTGACAAGAGCCCCCTTAAGCCGCTACTTTTCTTTGGGCTCGGAGGTGGAGTCTCAACCTTCTGTGGTTCAGGTTTAAGCTCGCGCCGGGGTCGGAGCGGTGCCTCTAAAGCGTCCATGAACACCGACATAGTAACCACCAACTCAAGGTCCATTCCAACAAGTAGTTCGAACTCTTGGCCGATTTTCGCAGAAATGCTTCCGCTAAACCCGGGGGCAGTGAGGGGGACAGGCGGTGTTGTTACTGTTTGCATACCGTTATCCAAGGTCAAAGTAAACCTTGGGTTGCGGCCGCCGTCAAACGGCAAATCCCTCAAATTATTGAGTTTATTGATTTGCAAGAAAAGCCGGCCTCGGTCATTGCAATCGACAGGATCCGCCTCTGACAGATTCGGGGTGGTCACAGGTTCGGCTTCTTCGGTACTTTCAACCACTGGTCGTTCGGAGCTGATGATGGGATCTTTGCGTTTCAGCTGAGGAACAACAGGCTCTTCTTTCAACTCTGGGATAAACATCTCCTCGTCTGTCTCCAAGGGTTCAGTTGTGACTTCGCCCTGGTGGGTTTCAACAGGTGTATTAGGTTCAACGGTTGATTCCCTGGAAGCGACCCATGGTGATACATCTTTTTCATCCTCCTCGTCATCCTCTTCTTCGTCGTCACTAGGAAGCCATTGAGAGTTCGGGGAGAAGTTGATCAATTTGAGCATGCTTGCAGGCAAAGCCTCGTCCACATCATCAGCATCCTGCAAGTTGTCAAGGCCGTCTACTGCCAACTTTCGGCGAACAGAACGAAGCCGCTGGATCAAATCAGGCGTCTGGGAAGGACCCAGGGTGACACCTTTGGCCTTTGAAGAAATTGTGTTCTTGCGCGAAAGAGCGATGTGGCTAAGTTCGTTGGCGAGTGACATGCCCAAATCACTGTTGAGCTCAAGCTTCGGGGTGGGGATGTCTAGGTCACTAATTGCCAATTCAGGCTCTGGAGGAGCGGTTGAAGACGCTTCAAAAACCGGGTTCTTCTTGATCACTAACGGCGAGATAGACTGGGATTTGTCCACATCTTCACCCACTATAACAGCTCGCTCAGGGCTCCTCTGGGGACTTGTATCCATCTGTGGTTTGAAAACAGAGACTTGTTGCCGCAGGGCGTTCTCGTCAATAACAAGGTCCCCGCCATCAAGCCCTCGTATATTCAGAGGGTTTGTACGAATAACCAGCGCACTATCTTCACTGTCTGTGCGATCGTGCATACAAAAAATTCAGGATAGGTCGTGATGGCAAAAGCAATCGCGCCTGTGTAAAATTATAATGACACTTGGTCCCGCAGATGCAAAGTTATTGTTTGGATTATTCCCAATCGAGTAATACCCATGCATATCGAGCACAGGTACACTTACAGGTGTCTGCTAGCAGGAGATGATAGGTATCCATGGTAAAACATTGCAAAAATATCAAAAAAGAAAGCACTGCTGGAATCGTATTATTCGCGCATTCCTGTTGTATTCCCAGCCACCCAGACTTCGCCAGCCACCTTCCCAAGACACTGGAGGTAAAACTGCAGGTCACAGCTGCTTATGCATAAACAAAACTGTGAAGCAATAGGTCGGTGCACAAACCATCTTATACTGTAGTTGGACTTCGGTAATCATTATGGACACAAATTTGCCTGAGCCAACAGAGGTCGGCACCCTGATTGTAGTTGTCATGAAGGCCAAGAATCTTCACAACAAACGGGCTCTTTCCAAGCAGAATCCGTTCTGTTCGGTGCGAGTAGCCACCTCTGCTCATAAAACGAAAACCATTGACAGAGGTGGCCAGTGTCCGTCGTGGGATCAGGAAATGAGATTCAATATTTTTGAAGGATCAGAGTTCGAGTGTTTAAAGCTGTCTGTTTTCGACCAAAACCGCTCCACCGCAGACATCGTTGGCGATGCTGTGATCCCATTGAAGCCAGCCTTCGAGGCCAGAGTCAGAGACGGCTATGATGCTTGGCATCCAATCTATTTTAACAAGCGATATACGGGCGAGGTTTATTTGGAGATGACGTTTTATTCCAAGAACCGGCGCAGAAGTTCTCCGTCAAGGCGGAGTTCCACCGCTTCGGCATCTTCTCTATCGAGTATACCATCACCGAACTCGTCTTTTTCTTCCGGAAGACGACAGCTACCTCAGATTCCTCAACCGCAAGGAGCAAACGTATCTTTGACTCATTCTCGCAGCAGCAGTAGCACCCGAAGTGTGTCCCCTTCCCGTACCCCGCGTCCACTACCCCAAGTTCCCGGTGCTCCAAGGTCGTCACTATACAAACAGAGTTTCGACAGTGTACCCAATTTGCATCAATTCACTAGCTCCGACCCTGAGCACGTTAGCCCATGGGGTGATGCCAGTCTGATTTCCAGCGCAAGCTTCCACCAAGATCTTCACACCATGATGAACTTGTCCAACAATTCGGCACCCTGCCTTACCCAGAGTCGAAAATCAGACGTCCTTTCGCCAATTGATCAGGAAGACATTTCACGCCAGATCAACGACGGGTTTGGTGAATCTATGTTCGAACGCATTCGGCCCTGATTGGCCTTCATTAACTATATCATATATATCTCCGCATCACATCTTAATATGCAGCTTCTCCATCGTCGTCGTCGCCCATTCCATCGCCATCACCATCATCAAAGTACTTTTCAGCATTATAGTCGTCATCTTCAAACTCTTCGAACTCGTCTTCCAGCTCTTCGGGTGCGCTTTCGTCATCCTCGTTTCCTTCGCCGTTCTCATCATCCTTTGGTTTCTGTTCTTCGTCTTGCATTAACCGTATATCACTCAGCTCCAGACCAGTCTTCTTGGCCTGCCCGTTGGACTTTCTAGTCGCGTCGAGGCCAATGAATTCCTTGAGTTCCGTGGGAAGCCAGTAGGGCGCTTGATATTGCTCGGATGTGATGCCAACAGTCCTGAATTTGGTGTATCGATCCGTGAACCGCTTCACGGTTGAGCGAACTTTTCTGTCGTCTTCACGAAAAGTCACCCCCTTGTGTGGTGTGTTTCCTGTGAAGTACGGGCCGTCACGCAAGGACTTGCGAGCAGCCATTATTGCTACCGCAGACTCACTCATCGGGCTATGATAAATATTCACAGTCAGCTCTAGATACTTTTTTTTTTTGAAAGATTCCGATGACAAATCGAACTATCTGAGTCGCCGGATCAACTCTAGGTTCAGCCAAATAAAACAAAAGTAACTATGCAAAGAAATTAAGTACAGATTTGAGTGGCCGATCAGCCAATCAGATCCGAAACATCTTCATCGCTATCAAAATCGTTCAGGATCTTGTCGATCTTCGCGGTCTTCTTCTGGCTGCCCCGTTTAAGAATATTAGACACCGAGGCCGTCTTGGCAGATGTAGTCTCTTGAGTGCTCTCAGATTCAGTCGTCTCAGTGGAAATACCGAGTCTCTCCTTCACACGCTGCTCCTTGTACATTCTAGCGAGTTCCTCCTCCCGGCGCGTCTTCTCCCGAAGCCGACCACGCTCACTGAGCTTGGAGAATACTTTCTCAAATACAGGCCGAAGAAGAACATACACACAGATAATGACCACGATACGTAGATACTCTTTCAGACCGTAGTCGCTGATATGATTGGGGAAACCGAACATTAAAGCGGGTGAAAGTTAGAAGCACCGATTGTGCTGACCGATTGCCCAACATCAAGAGCATTTCCTAGGTTAGACGGTGGTTGCACAACACGGAAATGGGAGAACACCAGAACCTGACAGAGTTGGAACTAGAAACACAGCTGCGTGGCCTGGGACTCAGTGAGGAAGACGTTCAGACGCTCATTGAGGAAGCGTTCCCAAAACCGGCCGTCCCCGTGTCGCAGATCAGCGAAAATGACGAAGAGGAAATGGCGTTTTTAATAAACTGTTTCCCGACCATCCCAAGGTCTACTTTGAAGGCAAAGTTGCTGGAAAACAAGCACGACCTGGACGTGACTACTGAAGTTTTACTGAATTACGAGCTTTTGAAAAACGAGTCAAGCCCGCAGTTTTTTGATAAACGGCTGAAAAAGCAGCACAAAACGCTTGTCAAGCGTGAAAAAAAGGGCAATATCAACCGCACCCAGGATCTTGAGCTGCTAGCGCTGGCACTGAACGTCTCACAAGCTGAGGCAGAAGAGTTGTACGACATTCACGATCAATCGGTCAGTAAAGTTCTCCAAAACTATTTCAAGTCATCTGCATGGGATATGCGAACAATCTCTACCCTAGTGACCGAACTTGACCGGCCCAGGCCTAGGGTCGAAACGTCCGATGCGAAGCGTGCTGCATCTGCTGCACCATCTCAACAACTGCTTGACAGTTTTGGCGACCAACCAATTACTAAGACCAGCGTCAGGCAGATGAAGGAGAACTATCTTCGGCGTATGGACACTCTTCTGGAACAGGCACACAACCATAGCCAACGCATTGGCACGAGGCATCTGGCCGCAGAGTACAGGCAGGAAGCGGCAGATTTGATGAAAAAGCTTAAAGAACTGCAGGTGCTCGAATTTCATGTTAAATCTTACAACCAGCAAGCATCGGCGATTGATTTTCACGGTATGACAGTGTCGGTTGCGCTAGCTCTATGCGAAGACAAAGTGGATCACTGGCTGGTCTGCTCGCGTGACCGAACTCTGGAGCTTGTGACTGGAGCAGGTCTTCATTCTTCCGATCGAGTGCCTCGCATCAAAAACGCAGTGAGAAGGTACCTCGATCAACGTAATCTCAACTACGAAGAATTACCTGGAAGCTTTGTTGTTCACCGCTAACGTATTTATTTCCTATGTAACCCGAAACGACTAATCTTTGTCATCCGATTTTATGATGTCTGAGGAGGAGCAGCCCCGGCGCTCGACACGAGCCAATAGGGGCCAAAACCGCTTTGCGAGATGGAATTTAGATACCGAAATACCCGCCAAGCCAATTAGGAAACGTAAAGCAGAGCCTGTGGATGGCGTATCCCAGACGCCCAAGCCTAAATCGAAGAAAGCCGACAAATCCTCTGGGGAGATCAAATGCCCGTGTGGACAAACTGAATACGACGAGTCTGACGATAAAATTATGGTCGAGTGTGAAAACTGTCTAACTTGGCAGCATGTAGTATGCATCTTTGGCGTGAATACCGAGACAGTGGTGCCCGAGCCCTATCTGTGCTCAGACTGCCAGCCTCAAGAGGAGAGAAAGGACCCAGTTGTGGCAGAGAATAAAATTGAAGACATTCATGATAAAGTTAGGCAGTCCGCCTGTATGGCTCTACAAAGGATCCTTACCCAAGAAGTTGTGCCCAAGGCAATTGCAAACGGGGTATTAGAGACAGACACTGACGTGAACGCCTTCTCAGAAACCATGGCTATCAAATTAGAGAGTGCTTTATACGAACACCATGCTAACAAACCAGTTGGAAAGTCTAAAAAGGCGGTTGATGTGGGAAACAAGTACCGTGATCATTTTCGATCTCTTCAATTCAACCTGAAAGGCAACAAGAATGAGGAATTGCAGATGCGTATCGCATCTGGTGAGCTAACTCCTGATGAGTGTGTGACTTTGACTGTTGAGCAGATGATGAATCCGGAGCTACGAAAGCTGGCTGAATCTGTCCGAAAAGAGGCTATCCGTGAAACCGTTCTCAAGGTCGAAGATGAAGACGCTCCACGAGTGAGAAAAACACACAAGGGCGAAGAGTTTGTAGGCGATGAGCCAGAATTGCCAGAGGCCCCTGCCAAGTCTGTGACGGCTCCTGTCAGCGAACAGCCTGCCGTCAAAGCTGCCACTGAAGCAAAATACGAACAGACAAACTTTGACATGACATTCTCGCCCCCCGAATATGGCTTCTCCGATGCTGAAGATGCCCAAGATGGCGATCAGGAAGAGTCCAATCAAACTGTACCCAGTATAATACCTGTATGGGATGGTAAAGTTATAATGTCGAGCATTGCCGAATTCCCGGCCACTGCCTTTCACCTTGGTGGTAAAGATTTTGATCCAGAGTTGTGGAGCTCAATCGTTAATGTTACGGAACCCCAGACTGTAAATGGACGGGTCGACAGATCAGTTGCATTCAAGTACCTTGAAGTCAGCGCTAAGAAGCGCACCATTGCCTCATTCGCAATAATATCTGACGAGGCAGCCCCGTGCCCAGAATTCAGAAAGTTGTACGAATACCACAAGTCAAGGGCCAAGGTCGGAGTACTACCCAACCGGTCAGCGATTGCCAAGGATGCTTACATGGTGCCGATCGATAAAACCGAGGAGATTCCGCACTTCTTGGTCCTGACAGAAGCACAAAAGACACAACTAAATAACTGGCTCGACAAATCCCCGGTGTTGTTGGGTGTGTTCGTCTTGCCGAATGCCAAAGCTCTAGCAGCCGCCCACCAGAGAGCTTGATGCTGAACAAATTGTAATTCTAATAGCGGAGTCGCGGCAATATTTTTTATTGATTATTTTTTGCGGTACACACTAACTCACCAACCTTGTACTAGGGAATGTAAAACGTACATCACAATCCATAGCAGACGCGGGGCAAAGCATCTCTCATCAAAAATGGCTCCAACATGCATCCGACATGCGTCAAGATAAGAACTTTTCACGCTGAAACAAAGGCCGCACGATTCAGATCAGCCGGACCAGCTCGAGAATTTACAATCTGATGTTCTCAGCTATTTACAGTACTTGCACGCAACGCCCAACCCCCCCAAATAGCCTCGGCCGCTGACAGATTAGGTTGATCGTGACGAGCTGCAGACCCTTGTCTACCCTCCCCCCCTCGATTGGAAACAAGCACTTCCAAAATCTCTGGCTGACACATTCCAAACTGCACGTGAAAGCCAATCTTCCACATACCCACAGGTTTTCTCTAGGGTTGGGGTAAACACGCAGGCAAGGAATCCTCACCCAGAGATTGGGAGTCAGGGCACTAAAATTGGCTTTGTAAGTCGATTAAGAGTGTAAAACGGCCCTGAATTCAAGAGACAAGTAGTGCTCTGCGTTCTGTGATATTGCATTTGCCAGCACTCTGAGGATCATTTATTTAAAGCTAGTTTGGGTCTACACGTTCAACAACAATTTCCTGTGCCTTTGTTCCCGTCCAGTGCCTCAAACTTTTTTTTTCTTCACACCATCTAGATTTCAGTTGAGCTCGCCGCAAATCTTGCTATTCGGCCTGTAACTTCTCCGAATCTACTGACAATTGGACTTATCTTTGTTAATTAGTCCAGTCGCGTTTTCACGCTGTTCTTCCCGGCAATTCTGAACAGTACTACAAAATGACCTCTGTGGGTTCTGCAATGGCGCAACCTATTGCAGGCATAAAGGGTGAAGATGCGATTTCCAACCCGGCTAATGGCAAAGTTGCTGAGCGATCTTCCATCGCCAGCTCCCACACTGCCCAACGGTTATCTCCCTCCGGCTCTCTAGACCAGGCTCAAGTCCCCGATGATAGAGCTCAGCGCCGGTCTTTGGATGATTCACGCTCGAGCCTGAAACAAACAAGATCACGCAGTAGTGCGCGCACATCTGCTTCTATGACGCTCCCCGACACTGTTCCGGCTGGTTGGACTAAAACCGGCCAGCGACGCAAGCAAGAACGAGACTCGCAATCAACAATCGATCCCCCACTTTCTCCTACCGGACCCAATACGGTAGAAGACCGTAATACGGGCTCTTTGGTGTCGTCTCTTAGCTCTGTATCTCTCCAAAGTGTCGGTGTCAGTAAGAGTGTCTTTGCTCTTCCACGTGGAACCATTGAAATGAACGAGATCGGCGAGGTCGGTGAAACAAGTGCTCTCAGTAACGAGAGCGCCCCCAATAGTGCGAATACAACAAACACATCTCATTCTACTCCCGTGGTTGTTAGCGACATGAGCCGCTTCGAGGACGCGGTGGAGGACACGAGTGGGGAGGCCATCAGCGGTGATAACAGTAGCAGCAGCAGCAGCAGTACGAGCAGCTCCAACGATAATGACAGTACAGGTGATGGACCACGGCCTCCTACCACTGCTGTTAGTTTAACATCACCCCGTCAAACCCCGAGACAGGCAAGTGCTGGAAGCGCTACCCAGCCTGAGGTGGCAACACCTCGAAGTGCGGCTGCTATTTTGGCAGAGAAAACTGGTCTTCGTCGTGGGTCTTCATCCTCCTCTTTGAACTCAGCCCCGTTAGCGCTTTCGTCTCCGCCGCCTCCCCTGCCGGCCACAACGGCTGCCCGACAAGTGGAAATGCCCAAATCGCCTCCCCCTGCGGCGCCGGTCGTCGCATCAATTGCCACTCCTAAAACTCCGCATGTCTCAAGCCCTCGCCGGGCGACGACTCCTAGCAGCCTACGCAATAAGTTATCCAACTTTGTGAGCTCTTTCCGAACAGAGCGAAAAAGCGTTCGTGAGCGCAACATCTCGGAACCCTATAACCTCAAGCATGTGACACATGTTGGCTACGATGCTGATACCGACCAGTTTGTTGGTATTCCTCCTGAATGGCAAAAGCTGCTGAGTGACTCCGGGCTGACGTCGAAAGATGTGCAAAAGAATCCTCAAGGGATCGTGGATGTAATGAATTTCTATGCCCGGGAACAGATTGATGGTGACAACCACTTCTTCTCCAAGTTTGGGTTCCGCAAGGATACTAGCAATTCATCTAGATCAAGCGGACTTGCATCGCCTTTCATGTCTCAAGATGAGATCTCTTCCCCTGATATGTCAATTTCAAGTAACTCCGCGTCACTTTCAGGCATGTTTGTGCCATCCCGTGCAGCACCCAAACCTCCTTCAGGTGATAAACCTAAACGCACACTTTCACTTCGACAGCATGCAGCACCAGCCGCTCCCAATCTATCTACTGCCACACTAAGTCCACGAGTTCTTCCGAAGGGTCCCCCTCCACCCCGGCCACCTCCTGCTCCGCCGTTGGGGGTTCCAACTTTGACATCCGACTATATCGATAAAGTCTCAAAACAGTTCCCTGATGGCAAAGTGGTGTCACAACGGTTGCGTACACCAAAATTGCATCAAGCTGGTGGTCGGTCGTCACCTACATTGCCGAGCCGTATGGTGCATGCAATTGCCAACTCACCTGGTGCTGTTGATTCTTCAAGGACCGTCACCACCGCTGCACCAGCCCCTCCTGCTATGTCGCCAGAGGGCCATCACGTGCTTTCACCTCGACATCGCCCCACGGGCTCCAACGGCTCGTCACCGGCTATTTTGCAGGCAACTACGGCTACTGCCCCTGCTACCAAGCCTCTGGCAACTGTTATTGTTGAAAGTAAGTCTGCTACGACTGCTACACCTAACCCCAGCACCGAGGTGCCTGATAAGGAGAAAGAACTCCAGGCCCTGGAGCAGACGTTAGCTGCGCAACGTCGTGATCCCAACGAGACGCCTGAAGCTGCACAAAAGCGACGGGATGCTCGGCTTGCTCGAGATCGGGAAGCGATTTCTCGTCTTGAATTGATGTGCACACCAGCCAATCCAACTAAGCTCTTCCGCAATCTGCATAAAATTGGCCAGGGAGCGTCCGGCGGTGTCTATACTGCTGAGAGTATTTTGGAGCATCGTCAGGTTGCGATTAAACAGATGAAGCTGGAAAAGCAGCCCAAAAAGGATCTTATTGTGAATGAGATTATTGTCATGCGCCAAAGCAAGCACCGCAATATTGTCAATTTCATTGACTCTTACATTCATCAGGGAGACCTTTGGGTGATCATGGAGTACATGGAGGGTGGTTCATTGACAGATGTCGTGACGTACAACATGATGACGGAGGCGCAGATTGGCGCGGTATGCCGTGAAACCCTTGCTGGGTTGGCACACCTCCATGCCAATAACGTTATTCACCGTGATATCAAAAGCGATAACGTCCTCCTGTCCATGGCCGGAAACATCAAGCTGACAGACTTTGGCTACTGTGCACAACTGAATGAAATACAAAATCGCCGTAACACCATGGTAGGCACGCCGTACTGGATGGCTCCAGAGGTCGTGACCCGCAAAGAGTACGGGCCAAAGATCGATGTTTGGTCGCTGGGGATCATGGTCATTGAAATGATTGAGGGCGAGCCGCCGTACCTGAATGAGCCGCCTATCAAAGCCCTGTACATGATCATCTCAAACGGCACGCCCAAGATTAAAGATCCGACCTGTCTTTCAGCTCAGTTCCGCGACTTTATCGATTGCGCCTTGCGAGTGGATGTCGATCAGCGCTGGTCCGCCGACGAATTACTCAAGCACCCGTTCCTGCAGCACGCCGATAACGTCTCATCGCTGGCGCCCCTCGTTCGGGCTGCCCGCACCGCTAAATCTACAGAGCATTAAATTTTGTTGTTACGTATTTTCCGTCTAGTGAATTTCCCAAACGTCGAGTGAAAAATTTGTCATCGTGATGTTTGGAGCGCTTCGCAGGTTCGGCGTGGGCTCGGTGGCTTTGCGCCGCTATTCGACGGAGGTTACGCTTGAAGAAGAGCGGGCGATGAGCCAGCTCCGGGAGATCTTGCGTACTCGCTCGTTCACTGCTGAGAAGGTAGACATGTCACCGGAGCTGCGGGAGAAGGTGGCCCGTGAGTTTGATTCGTTTATTTCCGAGTTTGCGCTTGATCACGAGTTCACAGACGAGCTAAATGAGTATTTTGAGCGTACCTTGAACAACACAACCAGTCTGCATGAGGTTGTGACTGCTCGTCCGGCCACTAAGATGGAGCACGGAAACATGCGTGGATTCGCTGCCATGCCCAAGCTCAAGCGCTCGCAGTTTGAAGAGCCCTATACCAGCCAAGAGCTGTTTTTACGCCGTCTTTTCCATGCCAGCAGTGTTGCTGGTTCTGGTGCGGTTGTGACAGATGCCTATCGCCCGCACGAAGACGTTTTTGCCCCGGCATCAATCAAGGACACTTCTGTGGCCACGTTGTTGGCTGCCGGTGCTCATTTAGGCCACATTACCTCCCGCGTTAGAGCAAACTGCTTGCCGTTTATTTATGGTGAGCGCGACGGTATTCATATCATTGATTTGGATCAGACTCTGACCTTCCTTAGAAGGGCAGCAGCTGTCGTCGAAGGGGTTGCTCAGCAGGGCGGAATTATCCTTTTTGTTGGTACTCGTGATGGTCAGGAGCGTTCGGTCGAGGTTGCTGCCAACCGTGCTGGTGGCTACTACGTCCACACTCGGTGGGCCCCGGGCACATTGACCAACGCTACAAACATGTCCAACACTTGGGAACGTCTTGAGGTGGATATGGGTGATCGTCCTACAAGCCGGACTTTAGGCACTCATCTCAAGAGCACCATTGTCAAACCGGATCTTGTGGTTGTGTTGAACCCGGTTGAGAACCGGCCGATGTTGAACGAGTGTTTGACTGCCCGAGTTCCTACTATTGGTCTTGTTGATACAGACAGTGAGCCCTCACTTCTTACTTATCCTATTCCTGCTAACGACGATTCGTTGCGTGCCTGCGACCTTGTGCTTGGTGTTCTCTCCAACGCAGCTAAGCGGGGCCGGCAGACACGTCTGGCTGATTTTGGTAAATTCAAACAAGCCGAGGAGTTGGCCAAGTCGGGTGAAGGCTTCAACGCATAAGTTTTAATATTCTGCACATAGTTATTTGAGTTATAAGTAAAGACTTGCTTTTTGGCACCTGTTCGTTTGTCTTTTTCGTCAGTATTTACACACGAGCTTTCTTTTTTTTTTCTTTTTTTTGCTCTTGCGTATTAGTTGACACTCTACTCCTTCTCCTCCTCTTCCTCTTCTTCGTCGTCTTCTCCTTCACTTCGTACATCCTCCTGTTCATTGTGGACGACGTAGCGATAGGCAATGCGAATGATGAGTACGAACCAGTACAGATTCACCAGCTGTAGGGCCGTGAGAAGAGCGAAAGTAATGTACTGAGAGATCCAGCATTTGTACTGCTGAGTGACCCAGTTAAGCTCAAAGGGCCCGACCGTGCGGAACTCGGTGAGAATCGACCACAGCACGACCAAATTGACGTAGTGACGGAGGTACGCCCAAACCACCACGAATAAGAAGAAGAAAGGTGGAGTCAGCGGGGAGTCCAGATAGTTCATCACCTTGGAAGTGGCTAGGAAGAAGTCAGACACGTCCATGGTGATGTAAATGACCAGGCCCATGTAGGTGAAGTGGAAGCGATATGACAAAATAATAAGAGCCACGGTGACAACATGGTGGAAAACTAGCTCTTTGAAATCCTTACGACGGGCTTCGAGCGCCAGAACAAGTACCAGAGCCTGCTGAGCCCAAAACGCGCCTTGCAACAGGTAGAAGGCCTTGAACCAGGCGTCCAGCTCACGGTGGGGGAAACTTTCGTAAAAGCCAGTGGTGCGGAAGAACCACAGATTCGCGTAATCAGCCTTGTACATGATGTAGATACCAACCGGCCCGGAAATACCATAGTAGAGGATGGAATACGACTGTTCAACAAAGCGGTTGATCTTATGGCGAGTGGTGAAACCACACGACCGGGCAATTGGTTTGAGAATCACTTGCATGATGAACTCCCTGGCGAATGTGAACCAAAGCACATGAAAAGCCACAAACAGTAAATCACGTTTGCCTTTACCGTAGATGACAGGATCTGACGTGCCCAGGACACGGTACGACAAACGAACGCATCCTTGGAGCCAGTGCGTGGGATCATTGGCAGCAAACATAAAGTAGTACGCGTATATAGCGACTAGAACAGCCAACGGGATCTCCCACGAGATGTTGTTGGCCTTTTTGACGTAGCGCTCCTTCTTGGCCTGCGCCTTGACCGCGGCTTTTCGGGTCACTGCGCCTTCCGGTTTATCCACGGCTTCGAAACGCTTGCGCAGATAGTCATCGACCCCGGCGCTAGTGCTGAAAGAGGATCCTTGGGTGTCTCCAACGTCAATATGGCCAAAGCTTGAGCCTCGTCGACGGGTGGTCATTGTAGTGCAGGTTTCAGGGTTGTGGGGAAGTAAAAAAACGGTTAGGGGAAAAAGCCTGCCGAAATTTAGTCAACAGCCCGAGGACAGGTCGCCTGGGGACGAAGAATGTAGTGCAAAAATATGTGGGGCGCACCGAATTGTGTTCCCAGCTGTACCGACCGGGTTTCATTTACTTTTCGCTATCCCCCACTGGCAAGCAACTGCCCCTCTAAACATGGCATCTGCCTGACATCTGCTTGGCGCATCCGTAAGCAAAGCCTCTCTCCCTTCCAATGGTCGAACACAAATCGCTTGTTGCAGCAATCGAGAACGCTACGGACAAGAACCAATTAACAGAGGATTGGGCACGTATTGCTACGGTGTGCGAAATTGTCAGCAAAAACCCGTCTGAAAATGGGCGGCAAGCCGTGGACATTCTCATCAACCAGCTGGTTGATTCCCCTAATGGCAACGTCCAACGCTACACCCTCACACTTTTGAACGCAATTATACAAGATTCGGGGCTAAGCATCATGTACCATCGCCCGGAGTTTACGTGGGGTGAGCTCCGAAAGCTCGGCGTCTCGCCACGCACCCATGCGACGGTTCGGGAACGCCTCCTGGACATTCTAGAAGATTGGAAGCGTTTAGACACAGACACTTCATTTAAAGAAGGCCCCGATTACACGCTGAAGGCGATTCTGCAAGCTCATCCTGGATTGCGGGCGCAAAAGACCAGCTCAAGTATGAAATCAACTCAGTCAGCTCCGGCGGCCGACGAGGAGGACGAAGATCTCAAGCGGGCCCTTGCTCTGTCGCTTGAAGAATCACAAAGACATACTAGCATGGCCCAAAACGCTTCCCAAAGCCAAGGAGTTCAGCGAATCAGTCACGTAAAGGCGCTGTACGATTTAAACGCAACCGGGCCCGGCGAGCTGTCATTCCGGTCCGGCGATATTATTGAAGTTTTGGACGATAAAATGCACAAGGACTGGTGGAAAGGTCGTCTCCATAACAGCGAGGGCATTTTCCCCACAAACTACGTAGAGCCTTGCTCTGCTCCAGCACCCGTCGCACCGGTCCAAATCGCTGATGAAGATTACATTTTTGCCCAGTCTCGTAACGTTGAAAAGTTATTGAGCATTTTTGCAACCGCCAGCCGGTACCCTGACATGAACGTGATCAACAACCCTGATGTACAAAGGATGTATAATGAGCTTATGGCCATGCACCCTCGTATCACTCAGTTGATTGCCGAGTACCAGGCCAAGAAGGCGGATTTGATGATTGTGAATGACCAAATTAGTGCTGTGCGACAAAAGTATCAGGAGATGGCTGAACAAGGGGAGCAAGCAGCAATTGCGGACCACGCCGAGACCCAGCGTCAGGCGGAGGCCCAGCGGTTAGCTGAGATGCAAAAGCAGTACGAGGAACGACAAAACGAGGCAGCACGAATCCATCAGCAGCTGGAAGCCGAGTACAGGGCTAGACAGCAGGCCCCTGAAACCCTCAGTTTGCCATACAATGTCAATGGACACATGACGCACCCCCTGGCTGCCCAGTTCCCTCCCGGGCAGCCGCAATATGGTTACCAGTCTCCTCCCATTGCCGCCCAAGCTTCACCGAGTATCCAGCAACGTCTGCCCGGCTACCCCCAAGTACCCAGCGCTCCACCTCAGGCACCGTACGCTACTCCCACCGTCCCCGCGGTGTTGAGCCCCATGCCGCCGGTTCCATCTGCCCCCCCTGCATCCTCTCCTCTTCCTTCTGTACCACCAGTCCCATCTGTACCACCAGCACAATCTGCCTACCCATATCAGAGCTATCAAGCTTATCCTCAATAATGTCTAAGGTATTTAATTTATATAGCATCGATCTCCCATCACCGCACCGTCCCAACCTTACTCATGGAACAGAGGAACGACGATCGGCTGCACGATCTGGCCGGCAAGCTGGCGTCCATTCGGCAAGTCACGAATGACATCTACACACAGGCATCAGACCACAGTATAATTGACAGCGCCACGGAAACGTTTGGCAGCATGCTTGGCTCTGTGCGCAGCTCAGGGGCCCGGCTGGTCAGAGCAGCCCGGGCTGGCCACCCTGTTATCAAAACCGTCGGCATGGCGCTGGCCATCATCTTGTTGATATATATGCTCTTTAACTACTTTTCGTAGTTCTATTTAATCACGGTTCTCCAAGTCACGACCTAGTCGATACGTAGCCGCTTGGCCCCAGTCCATGTACGAGCGAGTCACCGGCAGCTGGCGTCGCAGGGCCTTGAACTCGTGCTCGTTGATATTAACAAGCGCCCGGTTCAGCGCTACCTCGTACTCGGACTCGGCTTTGGCGATCTCTTTGATGGCGTCTAGCAAATCACCACCCGAAACATCTACTGGAGTAGTGGACTTTAGGCGCACATTACCGTCCTCGAAATAGTGCACATCCACCTTGATAGATCCTTTGACGCTGCCGTGCTGGCCAATCTCATAACTGGCAATCCAGGCTCCGTTAAAGTAGTTCTGGGGGCTCAGTTTCCGCCCAGTGATCAGCGCGGCAAACCCATTGTCGGTATCAAACACCTTGCCAACAGTGGTATCGGCCTCGTAGTGATCGGTAATGTACGAATCAAGCATTTTCTGCAATTTCGAGGCGTCGGCACTGGGTGGTTCGTGCTCTCCGGTTTCGCTAACCTTGCCTGTCTGTTTGTCGACCGTGAACTCGACTCCGTCGCTAAAGAACTTGTCCTCCGCAATGTGGTTATACTTGGATACAATGGTATATTTACCATTCAATTGCACTGGCCGAAGTATATCCATACTGTGTGAAGTAACCGCTGCGCTGACGTCGTTCAACACCGCGTTGCTGCCATTCGTGTACACCTCAATGTCTTCGTTAGCATACGTTGCTGGTTATCAAATTGCGTACTTACCCTTCTTGATCGCCTCAAGCTCGCCCGGCGGCGCATCTTTCACAAATTCAGCGATTCTTGCTACCATATTAAAACGCCGGTCAGAGAGGTTCGCTGACTTAAGCCAAGCGCGATGGAATATGGTGTTTTGGCCAACCAGCCGGTGGTCATTGACTCGGGATCCGGTAGTGTCAAAGCCGGAATAGCGGGTGAAGAGCTGCCAAAGGCTGATTTTGCGTCTTTGGTTGGTCGCCCGAAGCACCAACGAGCGATGGCCGGTGGATTAGAAGGTGAAACCTTTGTTGGCCAGATAGCCCAAAAGAATAGAGGCCTTTTCCGCTTAAGATATCCGATGGAGCATGGAATAGTTACGAATTGGGACGACATGGAGCTGGTCTGGCACCACCTGTATCAGAACGAGCTCAAGATCGTTAGTGAAGACCATCCCGTTCTCCTCACTGAGCCACCGCTGAATCCGCGTCAAAACCGCGATACAATGGCACAAATAATGTTCGAGACCTTTAATGTGCCGGCGCTTTACGTGTCGGTGCAAGCCGTGCTTGCCTTGTACGCCTCTGGTAAAACAACTGGTCTGGTGTTGGATTGTGGCGACGGTGTGTGCCATGCGGTGCCTGTTTTCCAAGGATTCAGTCTATCAAACGCTATTCAAAGAACTGATACGGCTGGCCGTGACGTTACAGAGTATATGCAATTATTACTTCGCAAGCAGGGGGTCAAGCTCTCTACTTCTGCAGAAAAAGAGATTGTTAGGGAGATCAAAGAGAAATATGGCTATCTTGCACTCGACTTGATCAAAGAAGAAAACACGCTGAAATTGGCTGCGGAACAGACAAAGTTCAAGCTTCCAGATGGTCAGCAGATAACCTTGGGTGTAGAGCAGGTCCGCGCCCCAGAACTGCTGTTTAAACCATCAATGATTGGCAGTGAGGACAACGGCTGCCACCAATTAGTCGGAGACGCGATCTCGAGGGTGGATCGTGACCTGCGAGCTGAGCTTTACCAGACAATCATTCTCAGCGGTGGTGCAACATTGACCCGCGGGTTCGGAGATAGACTGTTACATGAACTCAAACAAATCGCCCCCAAGAACACCAAGCTGAAGATTTACGCCCCTCCAAACCGCCGCCACTCGACTTGGGTTGGTGGCTCGATTTTAGCCGGCCTGTCGACATTCACCAAAATGTGGGTCACTGCCGAACAGTGGCAAGAAAACCCAGAACTAATACATCATAGGGGTATTTTATAAATAAATATACGTACGTATGCTACGGATCCGAATGGATGATGGCTTTAGCCTTGAGCTTTTGCTGGGGCGGAAGGGGCAGCGATTCGACCATTGACTCGGTGAGGATCTGTTTTAGATAGAACTGTGTATCTGCACCGCCGTCTGCCTCTCCGCCATCCCCGCCATTATCCTCGTCCGTGTCGCTATCCACAGTATCATCTGGCCCAACATAAAGCGAAGGGACGGGTGGTAAGGAACTATCCTCCCACCATTGCGAGTTCGGAATCACCTGGGGGTCTTTATCCGGTGTTGAGTGCTCCTTTTGTTGTGCAAAATCTAAATCATGAGGAAGCTCGAGATCATCAGAGGCCTGGCCGGCGGTGTGCCACTCGATGTGGGAAGGCTGGGACGCCGGCATGGCAGTTGCGATGTGGAACAAAGTCACCGGCTCCAGATCGTCGACGCACGTGTATTTCATCCGTTTTATTGGTGTATAAACCGGGCTTGACGAGGGAATTCGCGACATTGCACGCCACAGTCAACAGGTTTACGCGACACCAGATTATTAAGAAAATCTAAAAAAACGGTCTACTTTGACTATAATTCAAACCCTTGGCCGGCCACGAAATCGTCCTCGTCTCTGCGGAGGTCCTCTTCATCTTCTTCCTCCATGCGCATCAGCTCGTCTTCCTTGTCGAGTTCATCGGCCTGGAACTTGTTCTTAATCCCGCTAGTATAGTAACTCTCACTCATCTTGATATCCTTGTCGTCGTATAAATCAATACCCTCGCCAACGCCCATGCGGGGGCGGAAAGAGGTACCGTACTTTCCGCGGTAGTGGTCGTCTAGAGTGTCGTCCACGAAGGTGAATCCCTTGAAGCGGGCCTGGATGCCCGGTGACAGTGGGGTCATGCTCATACCGTGGCGGTTCATGAGACTTACCGACGCCTGGGTGAATTCGGGGTCAAAGTTGGACGTGTCTTCCTCGCCCGAAACATGGGGTTTGAATGGTGGCACAATGTGCTTGCGGCCCAATGCTCGCCAATCGATATCGGCAAAAAACGGATGGTCCATTAGCTCGCGAGCACCGTTGTTGGCACCTAAGCGATGTCGCGGGTTACGGTTCAGCAGCCCCTTGACAAAGTCCCGACCCTCAGCCGAGAGGGCGTCTTTAGGGAATCGCACCTTGCCGAAGGCAATGTTCTTGTACATTTGCTGATTGTCCTCAGCGTAAAAAGGTGACCAACCACAGCACATTTCGAAAATTAAAACACCCAGCGACCAAAAGTCAACCATCTTGGTGTACCCCTTATCGTCCAAAAGAACCTCCGGAGCCAGGTACTCAGTTGTACCACAGAATGTATTGGTAGTGCCATTATACATGTTGGCCTTGGAGAGACCAAAATCGCACAAGGCCACATGGCCAGCCGAGTCTAAGAGAATGTTTTCCGGCTTGAGATCCCGGTAGACAATATCCTTGTCATGCAAATGCTCAAGAGCAATAATTAACTCGGCAATGTAAAACTTTGCTCGCTGCTCTGGGAAACGACCTTCTCGCTGAAGATGCCAGAATAGCTCACCTCCAGACATGTAGTCGGTAACCAAATAGAGGTCACTGGCAGTTTGGAAAGAGAATTTGAGGCCCACCAGGAAAGATGAGTTGGCACTGGAAGTGCGAACAAGGATATCCCTCTCACCAATTGTATGATCGATCTCCTTCTTCTGTACGATCGTACGCTTCGACAACACTTTCATTGCGTAGACACGACGAGTATCCTTCTTACGCACTTGGTAGACCTGGCCAAAAGTACCCTTGCCGATTAGCCGCAAAATCTCAAAGTCAGATGGCCCATAATGCTTGCCCGAGACTCTCTCAAAGAAAACAGAGACTCTGACTTGACCAGAAACGCGCTCGCCCTCCATGCGAGGTTGCAAGTCGTACCATTGATCACTGGCCCGTGATTGGGAGAAGTCGGGCTTGATGCGGCACATGCCCAGGAATTTGTCGTAATTGTTGGCGTCGTAAATTGTAACTTCCAGATCACTTTCAAAAGAGGTAAGATCGAACTTGGCTTCCTCCGTCCAGGTGGGATTGGCTCCACCCTTATTAACTCCACTGTTCGCCTTGCTCAACATGAGGTTGGACGACTGATGGCGACCCGAGTTGGGAATAGCAATTCCCGAGGGAACTTCCAGATTCGGGTTGGCACTCCGGGAGATGTGCTCTGAGTTCGAATAGGTGCAAACAACATAGGGGTTGCTGTTTTCATTTACTGTGGCAAGGTCGCGAGCCTCAATTATGCGCACACTCAGCTTGCCCTTGGTTTGCTGGACCTCAATAGGAATCGAGATGTCACTTTGCGTGGTTTCCTGACCCGCAGCAGGCGGTTGCGCTCCCGCGGCATCGTCCATCTCAACGTCACCCGCGGCTGGAGCCGGCTGGGCAGGAGCATCGGGAAATGGCGAATTCGCATTGGCGCTCGCCGTCGACAGAACAGTGGTGGCTGGCTGCGAGGGCGGAATTACTGCGTCCTTTTTGAATTCAGGTGCCTTAGCAGCCCCAAACCCCCAAAATGTTCGTGCCATGGTTTTAGTTTGCGTTTTTGCGGCAGATCCAATAGCGTGAAAGGCGTAATGTACTGCGCTGATTTGTTTATTGCTGCGCTAATTTAGGTGAGAATTATTCTCTCAGTTCTCAATCGTTCTTACCCGCGACAGCACCACGCCTCTAGTTCTCCAAAAAGTCAGCTTTCGTGTCGGCTAACTTTGGGGGGGGTGGGATATTGGGAGGGAAACCAACGTTCTGGGTTTGCCTAATCTATGACCTGCAGCAGAGATTTTCTTGTACATGGCCAAGATAGCATTGGATTTGCAACGGCAGGCAAACCAATGCGCTATATATTAAAGTAAAGAATTTAGCAGTATGACTAGTTGTTTGAGTTATTATCTGCCTGTTTTCCCTAACCAACCTTAAACTAGACCATATCTCCCTCGTGGGCGGTTTCTAAGTAGGCCTGCATTCAATGTTAGGGTTCGGGGAGCTTTGAGAGTCCAGGCGCACGGGCTGATCCTATTTGGGCGCAATAATACTGAGGAGGCGTGCTACAAATCTGAACCACTCCGCGCGTCTCATCAATTTAGGGAGACGCCCATCCGAAATGATCTTCTCGTCGTCGTTTGTCGGGCCTAGTTTCTCCGCCGTTCTGACGAATCGGCGGCAGTTTGTTCTACATATATTTACCAATATATCATCCAAAACGCTTTGAACCGTCCGCCGTTTCCAATCTTATGTTGCTGCTGTTTTTGGTCAAGATAACACTATATCCCCCGACGGTCGTCGTCCAACAGACTAAGCAGCTTAATGTTAGTATGGCCCCTATTAGCCCTGGCTGATGTGTCGGCTGCTTGGTCGCCCTTGCAACAAGATCTCTTTAACGAGGATGGGCTCAAATATCTCAAACAGCACGTCAGAGATGCTTTCTTCCATGCGTGGAGCAGCTACACTAGTTTCGGTCTCCCTGCAGACGAGGTGCGGCCATGGACATGCGACCCCCTGGGCCCTGATCCAGACATCACCCATGTTGAAAAAAACGATGTTCTCGGTAACTACTCTGTCACATTGGTAGATAGTGTGGATATGCTTGCAATTGTTGGAGAAGACGACCTTTTCCGAAACGCCGTCTCATACATTGACGAAAACGTTTCGTTCGATACCCCGTCAGTTGTCCAGGTTTTTGAAACAAATATCAGAGGAATAGGTGGGCTTTTATCAGCGCACCTCCTGGCATCGACGCCTAGTCTAGGCCATGCTATCCCAGGATACGACGGCCATCTTTTGGAAAAGGCCTATGATCTAGGACTGCGACTTTTACCGGCATTCACCACCAGCACTGGAATTCCCTGGCCAAGAGTGCACTTGCAAGATGGTGTGGTTAAGATTGGTGGGAGGTACATCAGTGAAACCTGTAGTGCCGGAGCAGGAAGTCTTTTGCTTGAGTTCACCATGCTTTCTCGATTGACTGGCGATGAACGGTTCGAAAAGCTAGCCAAGCAGGCATTCCATGCTATTTGGAGCCGCAGAAGTAGAATCGGGCTAGTTGGTATGCATATCGATTCAGTAACCGGTCGCTGGATCGACAGCTATACTGGCATTGGAGCGTCGGTGGACTCAATTTATGAGTATGCTTTAAAGCAGTACGTACTGTTTGGAGACGAAGAGTTTGGACTGATCTGGAACCAGATGCTTGCTGCCCTGGACAAGTATAGCTCTGTGGGCTGGCTTTATCAATTGATTGACTTCCGAACCGGAGCGTTGTACGCCAACTGGATTGATGCGCTTGCCGCATTTTGGCCAGGCCTACTGGTATTGGCCGGTAAGGTCACAGAAGCGTTGCCAGTGTACTTCACTTACTTTAAATTGTGGAACACCTATGCTTCAATTCCCGAAAGATGGTCGCCAGTGTGGGATCAAGAAAATGCCGTAGATCTGCAATGGTACCTTTTGAGACCTGAGTTCATTGAATCGAGCTACTTTCTATATCGAGCTACTCGAGATCCGTTTTTCCTACATGTTGGCGAAGTTGTGCTGAACGACTTGAACGAACATAACTTTGCAACCTGTGGGTACGCTGGGTTCCAAGATGTTCGAACAGGAGAGGTGAACAATCGCATGGAATCATTTTTCCTCTCTGAAACTACAAAATATTTATTTCTTCTCTTCGACAAGGACCATCCCTTGAACAAAGATGAAAACGTAGTGTTTACTACGGAAGCGCATCCATTCTGGTACACTCCAGACGTCATGCAGCATGCGAATGCCACCAACTTTGCCCGGGTGCTTGCAAAAGTGGAGTCCACGAACAAAACTGTGATCCCAATAAAGCGGGGTAAGAAGCGGGGTCAGTTCAGAGAGCACTGGCGGAGGCTCTTGGACCGTGCAGATCAAGATCCGGTGTCTTACCCGGTGCCGGAAGATAGCGAAAGCTGTGCAGTAGTGCCCCGCAGCGATATGGGATCTGTGGTTGCATCATGGAACTTATTCTACTTGTGCGATTCAATGGTAGAGTTTAAGCAGCCATTGTGGCTCAACAGGTCAGAGGATTTGGAGTTTGTCAATGGCTTCTACGAAAAATATGTATCCAACCACGCCGTATGCAAAGCGATAGTTTAATGATCTAGGGTAATGTGAGCACCAGCTCGAGGTGCATTGAGTCGTGGGGGCACGGAAACCACCGACACGTCGCCGGAAATGACTTTGATCCAGTCAATGTCCAGGCGATAAGGCCCGTACTGGCCGTCGATAAGGCCAATGCCTACGCTGCGCACATGTTCGGTGTCGAGTTGCTGCTGTTCTTGAATAACACCACCATTGGTTAAAATAAAGCTGGAAAAGGGCACAGTGACGGTCTCCCACTGGCCGGGGGTCTTGAGAAATAGACGATGCTGGTAAAGGTCGGTAGGATAGGGCGTCTCGGCCTGAATATTTATAAAGTAGCGACGGAAGTCACCCCGTACACGCAATGCAAGCTGGTTGAACATCGACCAGTCGTGGAACTCTGGACCAGCCAGGCCCATGAAGCCGGCTTCAGGGTCCCTAGTGCGAAACATTGCGTAGCCCAAGCGAATTAGGTCGGGGCGTCCTTCTGGCAGATCGAGGTTGAGATTGCCCTCGAATCGACCAAACGTTGGTGGGTCTCCGGGTGAGGCAGGGGTCCTCGCTGCCTCGGGATCTACTCGGGATTCTCCGTCAACCACAGAGAGGTTCACAGACGAAAACCCGCCCAAGTCTTTGTCCGAACGCACTAGTAGGTTGTTCAAACTATTTGTCCTGTTTCGAAAATTCACAACAAGCTTCTGGGTGAGCTGTGGCGGCGGTTTAAGAAATTTGGCAAACATCCTTTGATCCTTGGTGGGTGCTGACCAAAGTACCCAAATTTATATGTGTGTATGACCGATAAGGTGGCTACAGGGGTTGCACGTGCTGATCTGATCGTTGGGGGCGAAGGAAAGGCGGGAACAGGGGATCGGGACGCTGTGGCCAATGCATTGTGGTATATAGAGTTATATGCTCAATTGTGTTATATCTCAGTGACCGGGTTGTTGTCGAACCGCACGCTGCGAGATCGCTCTCTGGCCTGCACGGGCGACTGATCAGGCACTTGCACTGGCTTAGTGGCGTCCTTCTTACACCGCGGGCAGTGGCAAATGAATCCCCAGTTAATTCGTAGTTTATAGCGTCGATCATCGTAGGAGCTTTCCGGATCAACGTAGGTAACGGTCACCTCTTGGCCTGCGGAGATGTCCGACAGCGCCTTGACCCGGATGCCCTCCGCCATGCTGATGGTCTCGACCTCTGCATTGGGTTGGCAGCTGTGGTTCAGGTGCGAGTGGATAGCAAAGATACAGTTGTGGACATTGTTGATGTTGACCATGCCAATGCCCTCCTGGAACTCGTCATAGCTCAGTCTGTAAACAGACTTTACTGCTTTGTACAATAATTTATAGCCCTCCTTCCACATGGTCTCGTGCTGCTCGAACTCCAGCGTGCCTTCGTCCGACACGGCCTTCTGACGCACATCCTGTCGCACTTTGGCCATTGAATCAATTAGCGGAATAAAGCTCTTTTTCGCGTCTTTGCGGGCCTTGCGCAAAACAACAAGACCGTAAAGATACCCGGCCCGCCAGTTGTTGTCCATGCAGAACTTTTCAAACTCAATCCACTGCAGGTAATTGAGACGGTTTCGCACAGAGTTGTGGTACATGTCTTCGTGCAGCACATCGCGCTTTTGGCAGCCCGTGGAGCACCAGTTGCCAGTGCACTTTTTGCAGGGAATGCCCCCCGTGGCTGCAACCAGCTGGCCGTCTATTTGACGCAGGGCCTTTGCACAATATGAACAAGCGCTTCCGGTCCGCCGGATACGCAGAAACTCGACTTTGGGCGCGAGAACCAGCGGCTCCTCCGCCCACAGCACATCCCCGGCTTTGAAATTCTTGGTCGCATACAGGGCCTTGCCCCGGGTCTTGGTCACAGAAACCTTGATGCCCTTGGGCAGCATTGTCTCCAGCTCAGGCGACACAGTGCTCACCGTCTTGCTCACATAGGTGTACAGCTGTGGGTTAGGCTCGAGATTGAATTCCTTCAGCGATGCCTTTAGGCGCTTCTCGGATAGCCCCCAGCTGGGATTCTGCTGCTTGAGAAGCGCCAGCAGCTTGGCATACGACAGGTGCTCGGTCGACTTGTCGTCTTTCCATATATTCACTACCGTCTGGACGATTTCTCGAGTCGCGGGGCTGTAGAACGACGACCCTTTCCGCAGCAAGGGTGGTGGTGCTCCAACTGCATTCTGCTCTGGTATAGTTGATGTGATCATGCGGTGCGGTGCGGAAAATGAGCGATTTACTAGGTTGCACGACTGTTGGAAAAACTCCTGCAATCTGGGGCCCCGATTCCCCGCCTGCTCTTATATAAGCGACATATAAGCCGGGGCGACACTGGGACGCAGCAAAGCTGGCGTTTGGGCTGCTGACAAATACTCTTCTCACGATATAGAATGGTGATTCGGCCGCTAGCGGGCATTGCCACTGTTGCAGCAGGCGCTGCTGGATTTTTTGCGGGCTCAGTGTACACTGGACAGGTAAAGTTTGGTGTGTCGGGGTCTCCGGCCGCCGTGTCGCAGTATATCGACCGGCTGGGTCTCGTTCAGGAGCTGGCCAAGGACCCGCGCTACAAATTGCACAAGCCCTGGGACGTCGACCGCACGATTATGACCAAGAACGTCATGCAGATCGAGGGCGGGATCGCGGACCCGCTGGTGTTTGTTGACAAACTCAACCGCGGGCACACAATTGCCGTCACCCACTGCGGAAGTCGCACCTGCGGGTTCCCCTATCTCGTGCATGGGGGGCTGCTCGGCCTGCTTCTGGAAGACTCTCTTACCGAAGCGGCTGCGTCAATGGGTAAAACGGGCATCAAGAATATGCGTCTGTCCTATAAGCACCCGACCCTGGTCAACCAGGCGGTCATTATCGAAACGTTCAGGACGGAGAATGACAAGTTGGCGGGCACAATTGTCAATCTCAAGGGCAAAACACTCGTCAAAGCAGTCTCGGATCTCAAATAGTCATACTTGTTTTTTATTTTCTAAACTATATACACGAAATGCTTTTAACGAGGGAGAATGGCCCGGGCCTTGAAGGTCTGCAGAAAGCTGTTGATCTGGGACCCGCTGCCCCGGCCATTGTTGCTGATTTTGGTGTTGACGCGCGTCAAAAGCGCCTGCTTCTCTTGTTCGGAAACCGACTCGCTGTCGATCTTTTCCAGGAGCCCCGTAAGAACCTTGAGAATGTCGGGGCCCACCACGCCTACGATGCTGTCGACAATGTAGTTTGCACCCGACGTAAAGTCGTAATAATAGTACAGGTACCCTTCGAAAATGTTGCTGAGTGTTTCCTGGCTGTATTTGCCCATGGCTTCTGCGCACTTGAGCCCTACGCTGGTGGGCGGAACACTCGTCTCGTTCCAGTACCGGGTATAATGAACAACTTCATGGTAAAAGTCGCGCACAGCGCTCAACACCTCGAAGTTTTCGCAGGTCAAACACTGCACTGCAAGCTTGTATGCATGCTCAAACTGGCCATCTGCCGTCATTTCGTTCGGGAGGGCAACAAGCACATCCGAAAGGTACAAAATACCCTGCTCGAGTAAAGCTGGGAACACGTCCTGAATAGACGCGGTAGAGCTGAGCTTGGCAAAAAGAATATCAGAAACAACCTTAGTGTACTGATAAATCTGATCCATCAGTTCGGGACTGACTATCTCGCTGGCTCCATCTTCGGGATGACCATCTTGCATCAGTTTGAAGGTCCGAAGAACCACTCCGGAGTACTCATACACCACCGGCTCGACAAAGTGCTGGCCGGCATTGGCAACGACCTCTAGAATACGGGGAGTGAGCTGAGGGATATTCCCAACGCAAACCGAGGTCAAGTTGGAATAGATTTTACACAGACCCACTAGGGCATCTCTCGATTGGGGAGCAAACACTTGGCCAAAGTTGATAAAGGCGTCGCAGGTCCCCGCTACGAACTCGTTCAAAGGGTGGACGTACCGCATCTTTGGTGGAAGTGCCCCATTATCGGCCGAAAAAGTAGCAATAAAGCTCGCCAAGCCATCGAGCTCGACGTTAATTCTCACAAGATCTGCTTCAGTAACTGCCGATGGGTTGGCGTTACACTGTAAAACCCTGGTCATGATGGGCTCGGAAAACATGAAAATACCGGCTTTGATAGTCTCGTAGGGCTGGACGCTCAGAATTTGACCAATTCCTGTCGCCATAGATTGCATCGTTTCCGTGTCAAAAACATCGATATAGGCTCGATATTTTTCAATCAAGGGCACAGAATATTGGGCCATAAGCTCACCGCAGTCATAACCCATGTACATGACGGCGTGGCCGCAGGCCTTTAATACAGTTCTGTCGTTGTATGCAAAGGCTTTTTCAAGCAGTTCTAGCTGAACGATGAGCGTGTCGCTGTGGGCAACAGTCCATGAACTGTAGCGACCTACTATGAGAACTGCTGCATGCAATACCTTGACCGAGTTGCCTGCTTGCTGTAAGAGCCTCATAACCTCGACAATGCTCCGGTCCTCCAAAGGTACCATTCGAGCGATCGACCGGATAGCAAACAGACACGCTTCAATCTTCTGCCACCCACTTTCAATTGGCACACTGGACTTGACCAACATTCCAAGATGTTCAGCTAGATGCTTGGAAATCGTGGTCGGTCCAGCAAGAGAGCAGCAAATTTTGAGCATGTCTGAGATCTCGTACCGTGACATTCTGAACGCCTCTTCCTCACTGCGATCACCCTCAAAAAGATCGCTATCTGCGTCGCCCTCGGGGTATTCAAGGTACTTGAGATATGCCTGAGTCAATTTTAATCCGAATTGAGGCCAAGGCTCTTTGCTAGAATCGAAGTTGGGCATCGTGACAAGAGTCTTGATCTTTTCCATGGGTTCAAAACTATGCTGAACCAACTCTGTATCGTCGGTCGGCAAGGTGAGAATCTGAGCAAAGATTTCAAAAATCTTGTGATAAATTCCACCGTATCGAACAACCAAAACATGCCATGTTTCGACCATAGCAGAGAATATAATCATCGAGTTGTTTTGGTCGAGCACATCGGGGCTGGCCAATATGGAGCTCCAATCTAAACTCAAAATTTTTTGGGCTAGCAAGTCTGCATCGCGATGGCCATCTGGTTTATGAATATTCCCACTGCCGCGAATAATGGCTACAAGACATTCTGCAGCCACCTCGCTGAGATCACTCCGGAGAAGGGACTCGAGAACCCAGTCAACCACGGGGCTGTTGACAACATAACTGACGTCGACTTGTCTGATCCACGATGCCAACGCTTCAAACACAAGCCGGACTTTTGATTTCGCAACCAACGTTTGATAGGTCGAGATGATGTATTCAATGACACGTGGAGCTGGATTCTTGACTTCTGCTAGTTCGCGAGCTTTCAGCATTTCTTCGGAAGTGAGTTTATAACGCGGAGACTGGATCTCATCCGGGAAAACCCTAAGAAACTCGTAAAGAATAATAATTGTGTCGTCTGATCCCAACGCACTGATCATTTCTTCAGCGACGTTCGTCCACTCGGGAAGCTGAATCGCCAAAGTCGCAAGAGCTAAACACAACTGAGTAGCGACCTGTGGAGTCGTAGAGCAATTCTGCATTAATAGCGTCATAAATTGCTGTTTCAGATGCATGAGTTGATTGTGAGGCACCTGGTGCAAATCAAGCGACACCTTTGTACGCAATGTCTGTGCTGCGAATATTTTCACTTGCGCAGAGGTTTCCGAGCTGCCAATCACGTTGTAACAGGCTTCCCATGCCTGGGGTTTCCGCTGAAAAGCCTGAAGCCACTGGTTCCATTCCGCCCGGCGAGCGGGATCGTTCAGCAATCCGTTGAGCGCTTCGGCAAATTGCGCACTACTCATGCTTCTAGTCAATCTTCAAGTACACTAGGTAGGCGGACGTACTTTCAAATAACCCAAATACTGTTGAAGAGCGGTCGTACCTCCTCCAAACTGCAGTAATGCAAGATGCCACACTTAGGTAATTTTGTTTTTTCCTGTCAACTTAGTGTTTGCAGTCAACAAAGGAGCTTTTTTACAAGGCTAAGATGCCTGGGACGTTGAAAGGATTATAGATCAGCATATTTTTTGCTATAGATTATGCGGTATGTAGGTCATACTACAAACGTTGATAGAGTGACGTGTCGGTCTAGGACACACTTATTTTTCAAGGCTGGGAAATAGGGCTTGAGGGAATAATTTACTCCTCGTCCTCCTCGGCACCCTCAGCATCGCCACCCTTACCAGCGTTGCGGCGGGCGACACGACCAGGGCGGCCACCACCGAAGGGAGAGGTAGGAGCAAAGTCAATGTGCTTCTGAGAATCCAAGCGGACCAAGAAAGAGGGGACGTTGACAATCTGCTTGCCGACAGCAATGTGACGCTGGCGGATAAGAACACGAGCGTGGTGGATGGAGCGGGCCAGACCAAGCTTGAAAACCTGGGTCTGCAAACGACGCTCCAAGAAGTCCTCAATGCTCAAAGCAAGGACGTAATCCAGCTTCATCTTGTCCTCGTCCAAAACACCAGCACGCACAAGACGGCGGATGAGGGCGTTACCCTCGAACAGACGCTTGGGGTCCTTCTCGGGGAGGGTCAAAAGATCACGGGCGGCACGACGGATCTTGGAAAGCTGGAGACCCAGGCGGTAGATCTCGCGCTTGTTGCGCAGACCGAACTCACCACAGAGCTTCAGCTCAGCATCGAGACGAGAGCTCTCGTAGGGGCGCTTGGGGGTAGAGTATGTCTTGGAGTAAGTGCGCGGAGCCGAAGGCATATTGAGGGTGATGAATGGGCCTGCGGCCTATTCACTAGAGTACGAGTGGCTTGACGCGTGACTGCGTGCAACCCTATCTAGGGCTTTGTCATCAGCCGCTGGCCTCTGCCCCTGCCTGCCTGCCTGCCCGCGCCCGTACCTATCTTCCCACGTTAGGGCTTTACCCTATCGCGTCACGCACTCGCCTCTAACAAGTACTCCCCTGCTAGCCAAACATCACCAACCGATCAATTAGCAATGGGTAAATCGCGAGGATATCGTTCGGGCACTCGTTACGCCTTCTCTCGGGACTTCAAGAAGCATGGCGTCATCCCTATGTCGGTCTACCTGAAGACCTACCGTATTGGCGATGTCGTTGACATCAAGGCCAACGGTGCTGTCCAGAAGGGTATGCCCCACAAGTTCTACCACGGCAAGACCGGTATCGTCTACAACGTCACGAAGTCCTCCGTCGGTGTCATTGTTCACAAGCAGGTCGGCAACCGCTACCTCGAGAAGCGTGTCAACCTCCGTGTCGAGCACATCAAGCACTCTAAGTGCCGTGAGGAGTTCGTCCAGCGCGTCAAGGACGTCGCCAAGGCCAAGATTGAGGCTCGCCAGACCGGCAACCGTGTCGAGGTCAAGCGTCAGCCCGTCAAGCCCCGCGAGGCTCGCACCGTCAGCTTCGAGGCTCTTCCCGAGACCATCACTCCTGTCCCTTACGAGACTTTCATCTAATCTAAATGCTTTGCTAAAGGTTGTATCGTATATTATCTGCTAGGCGGATTAGCTATTTAGATGCAATATAAAAAGAAAAAGAAACCCATGTTTTTACCTCAAGCTCCCTTTTTTCCAAAAGCGGCAAAAACCGCCCGCGCGGAGGGAGATTTTTCAGCGACCTCCCAAAAAAATATTACTCTCCAACCGTCTTGATGGGATCAGATCGCATTAGCCATATTGGTAAACCGCCGGTCAAGGAATCGTTTACAAGCGATGAGCAGGCAGCTGTGCAGCCAGTAGTGCAACAAGTTCCCCGGCAGACGAACTTCAAGGTCGACCGCGCCCCCGTGAACCCATGGGTACACTTTGTTGCCGGAGGCCTGGGTGGCATGGCCGGTGCCCTGTTCACTAGCCCGCTGGACGTGGTCAAAACCCGAATGCAGAGCGACCAGCTCCAAAGTTTATTAACCGAATCAAGTCGCGGCTGGAAGGGTAATGTTTTCCGAACAGCCAGCCGCCATGTGACCGAGACTTTCCACATCATTGCTAATATTTATCGCCAAGAGGGCCCTCGGGCTTTATTTAAGGGACTGGGTCCGAATTTGACCGGAGTTGTTCCGGCAAGATCAATCAACTTTTTCACTTATGGCCTGGGAAAAGACTTCCTGACCACCCGGTTCGTAAAGCCTGGCGAGGAGCCCAGCTCGTGGATCCATCTAGCCGCGGCTGTCAATGCCGGAATTGTCACTTCCACAGCCACCAACCCAATTTGGCTAGTCAAGACCCGCTTGCAACTAGACAGATCGAGTGACGGCCGCCGTCTGTACAAAAACAGCTGGGACTGTGTCGTCAAGATCTGGAAAAATGAGGGGTTCACCGCTCTCTATCGCGGTCTTTCTGCATCCTACTTGGGAACTGCCGAAAGCTCTTTACAATGGGTTCTTTACGAGCAGATGAAAGCCTCGATCACCCGCTACCAACGCCGCTTGGTCGAGCGGGGGTACGAGCTGAGTTCTTCTGATAAGTTCTTGCACTGGTTCGCCACGTCTGGCGCGGCCGGCGCGGCAAAATTCATTGCTTCTCTCATCACATACCCCCACGAAGTGATTAGAACCCGTCTGCGGCAGGCTCCCATGGAGAATGGCGCACCCAAGTACAAAGGCTTGGTTCACTGCTTCAAGCTGGTTGTCCGTGAAGAGGGTCTGGCATCAATGTATGGTGGTCTTACTCCTCATCTTTTGCGCACGGTTCCTAATAGTATTATTATGTTTGGCACCTGGGATCTAATTGTTCGCCTGGTGGCATCTTACCAACATGATTGAAGTGGTTCACCTTACCTCTGTACATAGTCTAGTCTGCTTTTTGCAGTTCAATTCAAGCCCTCAATGGTTTGCCCAATTTCGTCCAGTTCCCTCTGTAGTCGTTTAAACCCACAACGCTCGAACCGCTTGGTGAGCATGTATTGTGTGTTGGTGAAAGTTTTGATAACAACCTCCCGACCAACCAGGCCTTCGTTGTATGCACTGACCAGCGTTTTAGTGTGATTAACATAGGCTTCCGCTAACAACGACGACCATTTGACTCCACTCAGCCGATCAATGAGTTCTTGGCTTTGTTGGAGGGCCAGCGATGTTTTGTTAGCAGCACAGAGAAGCATAACCTTTGAAATCTTGACATGGATTTCTGCAGTCTCCTGATAGTGATGTTTCGAATGCTCTTCGAATTTCATTAAATATTCTTCTCCCTGTTCATACGCAGAGATATCATACTGGGCAATATCGGCCAATGCCCGCACGGCCGACGCCAAATGCAACATGCTAAACGCCATATGGCCGTTAGCTGTGGTCATATCGCTAAGATATTTACCAATGGAATGTTGAAATGCAGACTCGGGGTTGTCAGTTGCAATAAAAAATTTGAGCGTCAATTGATCCAACGCGACCCTCAACACCAAAGCGGTGGATGGAGTAACACATGCTTCAGCCTGCCGTAAATACGACAAAGCTCGGTCAAACTCTTCTGATTTCACATACTTGTAAGTCAATAGCATAGACAGGATAAGCGACCATGTTTCAGAAATAGATCTGTCTTTCTCGAGAAGCGTTTGCGAGCTTTTGACAACTTCAAGGGCATTGTCTGTCAAGTCCATGCCAAATCCAAGCACAATCACTGTGTTCACAAACAAATCCATTTGCATTTTTGAATTGATATTTGCCTTTTGTTTGAGGAGGTCTGATATCGCACAGTCAACATTAAAGTTAGAGCTGTCCGCCTGCAAAAAGTCGGAAAGAACCAACAACGATCGATAACTGACTGAACCTCCAATATCAACATCGCTATTAGAGTGAAACACAGTTTCGCATTCGCGAAGTGCCTCTTCAAGAGCAGGCTTGGGTAAAGCACCGTACAACGCTTGTTGCACTGCGAGTTCTTTGAACAGCAATCTCGCATTAAAATCTTGGGCCAAAATATGCCTGTTTTGATTGGACTCCAAAAATGCCCATAAACTTTGTCGACCACCCATGACCTCAAGCATATGGTCGGGGAAATCAATGCTCATAGAAAACAAAGTAAGCGTGGCTACCAAAACAACTGAATCATTACCTTTTCTCCGTGCTAAAGCAATAGCCTCCGTCGCATATTTCACCGCTTGATCTATCTCACCCACCTGGATAGAGATCTCGGCCAGATTCAACATGGAAAAGGGCTGTTCAGATTCGGGCAGCCGCGAGTACTTTGCATGCATAGCCCGGATTGCACCGTCGATATCATTATCTTGCATTTTGCGTTCGACAGCACGGGCTTCCTCGAATGCCTTAGCAGCCCTAAGCTCACTCATGGGATCTTCAGGAGCCAGTTCACGCTCAATTGCGTCTTTAATCGAACTTGGTGCGCACGATAACGGCTCCTTGGGCAGTTTGTTCACAAACTCCACATATTCTGCGCTCTCAACAACTTTCAAAGTCTGTTGCCGTGATTTGACAAACTCTTCGTAAACAGAGTTCACATCCTTGGTTGATAGGTAGTTCTTTGCAAGATCAGCACACCAAGTCCCGAAAATGGATTGAGGACCCAGCGGGTTGACCAGCTTCCCCCCGGGGCCAGACCTGAGCTCTATATATATTCTAGCAGCTTGCAGCAACGCCGAAATATCGCGCGCACTTGTCACTTGCCACAATTTGTGAGTCCACAAGAAAAAAGCGGCGCACTCGCTCGTCTGAAAACGCGAAAGCGCACCGACGATCGAGCTGCAATCGCCGCAAGGCAAATTGAAACAATGATACAGTGCCTCTAGCCACTCGTCCTCGTGCCCCGGCACACCCCCTGTACAGTAAACATCAAGAGCATATAGTACGGCAATCGAAAGTGGAGTCACCTCAAAGTACGTTTCCATTCAACTAAAAACTAAATAATCAGAAGCCGCTTTTGAGATGTCGATGCTGCCCTAACCCAGGTTTACTAAATGTGGTGCGGTCTGAGCCATCCCATGTATTTTCCCCCACAAACAAACGTTGATACAGACTCGGGTGGCGACCCAATGGAGCGGAAATTTACGGCAATGCCGGACTACTTTGATTCGGAAGGGTCCATAAGCAGACACAAGCCCGAGAATATTTACGGCGAGCCCGAAAGCTTTCTGGAGATAGAGGTGGTTAATCCGCAGACTCATGGGACTGCGAGGTCAATGTACACAGATTACGAGGTCATTTGCAGGGTAAGTTGATTAGATTTTATGTGAGGGCGCCTACTAACCGCAGACAAACATTCCAACGTTCCGCCATCAGACTTCCTCTGTGCGCAGGCGGTATAGCGATTTTGAAGCCTTCAAGGAGCTTCTGGAGATGGAACAGGTGAAGGCATTGCTTCCTCCGCTTCCGGGCAAGGTATTTTCAAACCGCTTTTCCGACGAGGTCATTGAGAAACGCAGAGTTGGCCTCGAGCGGTTCTTGCAAGCAGTGGCTGGCCACCCTCTCGTCCAGACGTCTGCACCCAGAGCACTTATTGCATTCGTCCAGGACCCCAACTGGGACAAATCCCAATGGCTATGATTCCAAGTCCGCCATTGCATTTACTGTTAGTTCTTCCAGGCTTTCTGCCTCGGCCCGCTCGCTTTCGCGTTCATAATACACTGGGCAATCCAGTGATCGACAGAATTTCGGACCCATTCGGCCACTGCATAGCTGGCAGATCCTTGTTAAACGATGATAGCGCTGCTGCTGCATTTGAGATCGCGCTTGAACAATGTAGATTGATTTAGGAACATTTTTACGACATGACTCACATACTCCCTGCTCGCTGCGTTCCAAGCACACAGGACAAATGCTGTTTTTCATGTAGTAGCGCAGAGTTTCACCATGGCTTTTGCCCTGGTGAATCCGCATGGGTCGAGGCATCTCTGCGAACCATGCTTTGACGTTAGCCCCGAAAATGTTGAACAATCGCTCTAGAGGAGGGATGATTGCTTGATTAATGTAATAATCAGCGTCGATAATCAGATCAGGGTTGCTAACAGCCTCCTCTGGGTCACAGCATCTATCGGCGATCCGGCTGTTGGCAGGTCCTGCTGTAACAACGAACGGAACTCGCTCTAAATATTGCGGACCCGCACCTTCATCTTTGGCCATACGCTTCAGGCTTACCACCGCGCCCCCCGGTAGATTACTTGAACCTTCTTTGTATGATCCTAGCTTGACTTGTTGAGCAAAGCAAAAATCTTGGATCGAGATTTTACCCGACAATATTTTACGCCATTGGTTTTGGAGGTACTGCTTGACTTTTGACAGGTCACTAGTTTGAAATAAGAGCTCCAATGCCCTTTTCTCGAGCTTTTGGACAATCGGGGTCGTATCTCTACGAATGGTTTCCGTACCTTTCGCATCAAAGAAAGGCTCCACAGTAGACTCTTTTTCGTAACTATATCCAACGTACCGCTTTTTTGTCAAGAGAATACATGGATGGTAAACTTTTTCGAGCTTTAAAAGAATAGGGTCGGGATTTGAAGCCGTCACCATATCGGCGATTTCCCTGCCTATAGCGAATGCCTGAGTCCTTGTGACCTTGGGGATCTGTACAAACAAACTGTCGGTATCGCCATAAACCACTTTGGGCTCGACACCCCATTTCTTACAACTCTCAATTGAATCAATCGCCCGGCCCAGTATTTCGCGACCAATCATCACAATGCTGTCTGCTAGTTCAGCACATGGCATACGGCCAGAGAACGATGCTGATGTATATCCATAAGTGACATTGGCAATAAACTTCAGAGCCAGTTGCTGGTTATTTAAATTTGTTCGATACCTTTGATCATCCTCATGAAACTTCATGCTATCTTTTAACAAAAACCGGTGGTCCAACAACTCCTCCAGCATAATGGCCAACATCGATCGCCGCACATTCTGCTTAACGTACCCAACACCGTTAGGCGCTAAAAATATATCGTCCTTCAATAGTCCTAAAAGGCCATGTGGCATTTTGAAATCTTCGAGGATCCCCAGCTTGTTTCTGTCGCGCCAAAGCTCGGTTCTGCCGATGGCTGTAGAGTAGCACAGGTTGTACGCAATCACAATCGAAGGGTATAATGATCTGAAATCCAGAACACAGACGGGATCGATATAAAAGTCCGTCATAGGCTCCATGACCAGAGGAATCACCTCCAGAGCATTCTGCTTGCCTACCTGTGAGCGGGAGGGAGAGACCATTATGAAGTTCTCACGTTTAGCCAATCGACAAAGCACAGACTCAACATGAAATTGAGAGCCTCTCGTCATTCCTGATTTGAAGTCAAGTCCTGTAACTCTGGCATGCGCAGCATACCTGGGAACGACTTCGAAATGGGCGAGGAGGCGGAGATTGTATTTTGTGCGCCCGAGATAATAATTTATCAATGTTTCAATCTCGACCATATCACCTTTCCACCACTTTGTGAGATCATCAAACGCATAGTGCGGTGTTCGCTCATGCAAAGAGTGGTAAACGACGTGCTCTAAAGTATACTTTCCGAGAGTAATCTCCCGACGGAGGACTTTCCACAAGCTTAGAATGTGGCGACCTACAATCGATATCTCTGTTGTAGGAGGCTTCCAGCCATTTCCCGAGTTACATCTGCCCAAGTCTACTTCCATATCCATTCCCAAGACTTTGGCCCGCTGGCAAAGGTAACCCAGAGACCTTGACTGAGCCTCATATCCGACAATGATGTCCGGATCAAAATAAATAACCATGCGCACAAATTCCTTTAAAAGCGACATTTCGTCGTCAACCAGCTGGATAAACTTTCCAGCGACGTCTGGAATTGGAGTCCAAGTTGTCACACCAGCCGTTGGTGCACCTGGATCTAACCTGAAAGGACTTGAAACTTCCCAAAATATGGCAACAACTGGGTCCTCTGAAGCAAGCGGGGCCTTCCCTTCTCTGGTTTCAACGTGGATCTCTACTGATAAAACAGACATTGCCTCGTCGACGAGGGGGCTCATTTTCCGCAGAGAAGGTATTTTAAAGACTTCAGTTGTACTCGTTTTGTGGTCGGTTTGATACCAATCCTCCACTTTTTTTCTGGTTGGAGGAGCTCTCGACAGTTGGAATCTCGTTAAACTGTCTGTAAACTGATAATTCTCAACAAAAACATGCAGAGGGTTAAACTGCACGCTTGGGCTCACTGCGAAACGGGGTAGGGAAAGTGCATCAATGCCTTTCAATTTGTATTCTTTTCCTCCAAACGTCAGAGGAAACAACGGTATATCCTGTTTGTTGCCATAAAAAGGGGCCCGGTACTCTGAAATTCCTAGAGTTGCTTCAACATCTTTGCGACTAGGTGGAACAGAGCTCAGTATGAAGCAATGCGTCCGGTTTAAAACAGCTGAAATTGAAGATCTCGATTCACTGGACAGTCTATCAAACTTTGCAGCTAGTGCGTTTGCGGCATTGCTTGTATATTGCTCCTGATTATCCTGGGAAAAAGACAAGAGATTCAACCGATAATCCGGCTGTGATACCTGACTGCTGTACTCTGCTTTCTTTAGTGGAATCTGAGATCCTGAGTTGCTTTTTACCGTACTTATTGGAGTAGTATCTGGCTTTGAAGCCGGTGACGTTATAGGACCAACCAGTTCAAATGCTGTGTGAATATCAGGGTAATCATTCAAATTACGCTCAACGAATGCCTCTTTCGATAGAGTGCCTACAAACAAAGAAGTTGACTGAGCAATTCTCTGTTCTAGCTTTGGCAGGTAATCGGCTGTCATTTCCCACTCTGCTTCTTGGCCGTCGAAGGGGGTTTCGATCTTTTCGTATTCTTTAGCACCAATAGCTGCCCTTCGCTCGTTATCCTTTGTACGTATCTCTCTTAAACTGCCGATTCTTACCGTAGCTGACCGTTGTAGATCCATCGTTTGGTGGACATTCTCTTCATAGAGACTCTTTCTATCGAGAATATCCAGGCAATTCACATCAATTTCGATGCTGCGTGGTACTTGACCATCTGTTTTTTCGGGCTTTCGTGTTTTATACTCTCCGATCTGCATCCATCCACAGCCACTCAAGTTGTAGTCCGCCAAGAATGCCAGTATATATGGAATGTGAGACTCAAATGTTTGTATTGGGTAGCCGGCTGCTTTTCCAGAAACCAAGAGATCAGCGCATTTAGTAACAAACGCAGGATTCAAAAGAGACACTTTATGGAACAGCTGCCACCCCACATTGTATCCATAGAACGGCACGCCCTTGCAAGTCTCTATTTTGGCAACAAAGATAGAACTAGGATCACCAGGGTTTCTTCCAAAGAGGTGGGCCATGGCATTGTTTATCAGGTCCTCTAAGTTCTTCTCGCTTTCATTGATCTGGTGGCTTTTGCATTCGACAAAAAAGTACGGAAACACACCACGAATGTGGGCAACGCAATTGAGTCCTTGATCCGATGGACCAAAGACGCGAATCACCGGTACCCGACGTTCCCCATCAAAGTATTGATACGAATCAATACAATTTATTCGAACGTTGATAGCTATCGTGAAGAATGGTTTAAGAGCAGTGTATCTGTCAGCTAATCTACGTGCATAAGTAACGAGCAGGCTACGAGCACAGGTGCATACGGTGTGGCGAGGAGGGTATCTTCACTTTAAGCTTCTGCTAACTCTATGTCTCGCCTTCTCCAACTTGGTTTATATGTTGAGAGTGGTGGTCCAGGAGTCAAATGAAGATAAAACTAAGTATTTCTCTGCGGCTTTATATATATATATACCTAACTATGAAGGTTTAATAGCTAGCTGACTTAGCTCAGTTGGGAGAGCGCCAGACTGAAGATCTGGAGGTCCTGTGTTCAATCCACAGAGTTAGCATTCTTTTTTTCTTTCTTTTTTTGTCTTGATCTTTATAACTCCAGCCAAGATCGCCGTATCTCATTTGGGCTGCTTTTGCCATCTACGCATCAGCCGAGAAATCTAAAACGCAAACGGCCCCTGCTCATCTGTCATCCTGATGGATCCCCTACGCCGGAAGCCTAAAAAGGTATACGATGCTTGCGCTGGTCGTATCAGGAATACCGTGCAGGACAAAACATACGCTATGATCCATGATGATATGAAGCAACCAGTCGGCCCCGATGACGTGCTGCTGGAGGTTCCTAATATCGATTATGTTCCTGTTATCGAGAGCAGTGATCTGCCAAACTCCGATCTTATGACGGCCATACACTACTACGCTTCCGAGTATTATCGTAAAACCGGGAACGAAGAAATGTACGAAAGTCTAGATGGCACAGCATTAATTGCTATAGCAGTTGCTCTCGAGGAATCAATAAAGGAGCGTCTTGGTGAAACCGGCCATTTGCAGTGGGCTGAAGACGAAAACGAAAACCAGTCAATGGACGATTTGCCGCTCGCCGAAAGCTCGTCTGAAGAACAAGTCGAGGAAGAAGCCCAGTCAAGCAGCAGCGAAGACTAGCAAGCCTATTTATTTGTTACTTTTTTAGATCACTTGTTTTATATACATATTGAATGTAGCAAACTATTATGAACAAGAGTCGAAGGTTTGCATATATGCTTTTGAACGTAGAATCAATAAATCAAAGGGCTATTTCAGTGCGTGTAGAGACCCTCGTAAAGGTATGCGATTCCAAAAACGAAAAAGCCTATTGCTCCAGCAAGGGTGATGGTTCGCATCGACAAATGGGTTGCAACGAAATAGCCAGCGATCACAGCGCCCAGCGTGCACAGTGCATGGCCGGCCAACGCTCCGAAGCAGACATCCCAGAAGTGGCCTGCTGCACTCAAGGCAACGGTTGCGATCTGCGATCGATCGCCCCATTCACCCAAAAATGTCATGATAAAGATTTGGACCCAAAGAGGAGAAAACACCAGGCCGGCCAAGTTCGAGATGCCCTCAATGGCTTTACTTAATTTGCTCGCGTTGTTTGTGTAGGTTGAGCTGCCGCCCTTCTCCAGGTCGTCCTGGCTAGTGGTCTGTTCCGAAAGCTCGATCTCGTGCTCCACCTCGTGCATCTCTTCCTCGACGTGGCCCTTTGCGTCCATAGTCAATCCTTCGCGTAAAAGGTTTGCACCGAAAACAACAAAGAGAATGGCAGCGAGAATGGTTGTGAATTTTTTGGATAGCAGCGATGGCAAAATAGTACCCAGCACGGCTGAGAGTAGGGTCATGATGGCTAAAGCCGAGTAGCTGGCAGAGAAAACGAACCACGGGTTGTGTCTCATACCCATCAGGGCAGCCACCAGGAACGTTTTGTCACCGATTTCAGACATCATGATCATGGTGAACGACATGATGAAATGGCCGCTGCTGCTGATTTCAGATTCCACTTCGTCTTCGTGAGCGGCGGTCTCAGTGGAATCGGTCTTTTTGTGGGTGACTTCAGAACTAGCGGATCCCACACCACCAGAGTTGGCGCCCTTACCAGTCGACAGCCCTGCCTTGGGGTCGCTGCTATCCGGCGTCGATTCCTCAGCAGGCTGGTCTTTGGTGGGCTTCTTGCGGCCACTTTGATCTGCTGCTGCATCTTCAGCCGACACACCTAGTCGGTTGGGATCGTAATCATCAATAATGGCCGGCTCTTCGGCCTTGTTGCCCTTTTCAAACGTCGTACCCGGATCAAGACTGTTCTCCTCACCGCTAGGAGCCTTCGTTGGCGCTTTGAACTTGTCGGCCTCGTCAAATTTGTTGGATCCAAACGTCTTGTCCTGGGGAGACATCTTGAACGCCTTGTCCTGCTGCCCCATGTTCTCTGCCACAGTGTCCTTTTGCACGTCCGCAACAGCGGCCGCAGACGCAATCGACGTCAGTAGCAACGCCCCCACTAGCAACGATGTTCTTTTCCGCACTGCCATCTCTGATTCAGCCTGGTAAAGGACAAGGTGTCGTGAGTGTCTTTGGTAATCGCGTCTACGGGCACCGCGTCGCTTATATTCTGAGCTGCAGGAAGAAGCATGATTGATTTGGAGGAAGAAACCTAAAAATAAAGAGGTGCGGGACGGCAAGGTTTGGACAGGCGTCTAAGGAGAACGTTTAAATAATAAATTAAGACAGCTGGCTGTAGGAAAAAAAATACGCTACCGGCTGCTCCCCAAGCGGTTCATCAGAGCCTCTTCGAGTGCGCTGCGAGAGACACTGTTTTCGGACGAGCTGGTGAGTCCGGGCACAGAAGCGTGGCTGGCCGCACCCCATGCTTGCGGGACAAAGGCCTCGGTGCTTTCGTCGAGGCTGGATTCGTTCGACTGGTTCACATCAGGCATCTGGGAAGCAGACATAAGTCTGCGAGCGGGCGTCATTTCCTCAGATGACAGCGAATCTAGCGACCGGCTGACCTCGGTTGTCTCATAGTCTATGGGTGGAGCAGACGACTGTCGCGAGGGCTGGTTGGACTCGCTGGTTACCTGCGTCCTGATCTGGGTCATGCGGTGTCTCAGTGTTTTCAATTCCTTCTCATAAAGCCATGCTGCTTGCTGCAAGATATAGACCACGGGCGCATCGAACTTCTTGGCCAACGCCGCCCACTCAACCTTGTTGCTGGGGGCCTTCAGCAGGGCCCACAGCTCTCGCTCCTTGTCCTCGTCCCAATTAACGATAGGTGGGTCTTCCAGGCCTCCTCGGGGATACGGAAACCGCACATACACAATCACTCTCGGCATTCTGGGGCGTTTGGTGACTGGCTGCGGCGATCTTCCTCACTTTGACTAATATGAACTTGGACCGCTTGCCTCGAAATATAGGGATTGAGTTCCCATTGAAGGTGGAAAACCATGAAAAGGCAATTTCCATGGTAGGCGGGTCGAGCGAGATTCGCAAGGTGTCGGACAATTCCAACCACTCGCTCGAACTGAGGCTGAGAAGTGATCCTTTCCATCATCCCATTGCTTCGCGTCGCGCCGAGTGCGAAAATGTTGTGTTGGAGATTGATCTGCCGGCTTGGACTTTGAACGAGGCAAACGGCAACGTACAAAAGGCTCTTCAGCTGGCTGAGGATGACTTCACCGTCGCGCCCAAGTTTATTGCTGATCACAATATACGGTTCAGGGACATGGCCGATTTCCAGTACTACACTGGAGACTCACCGTTTGTTGGTAAACTCAAAGACTCGATTTTCACCGGGAACTTGTCGAATATGAGCAAGGTTGAGTTCGAAGGCGTCAAGCCTGTTGACGCCGATGCCGCAGATGCAATGCCCCCTCCCCGGTTCTCTCAGCAGTCTCAACCGTTCTTTTACGGTTATAAGCAGAATCCCTCGGTTTCTGTTGTGGACGATGGCACAGGAGGCCCGCTGCGGCTAGTTAACAAGGCAACTCAGACTAGGATTATTTCTGAAATCTTGGTTTGGGGCGACCCGGTGCCCACGGCCCCGCCTGCCGAACTAAGCTCTAATCCTAGACCAAGTGTTAAGGAATGCATTGAAGAGCTCCGAGCCCTGTTTCAAAAACGGCCCTGCTATACAAGAAGGGCAATTGAGGCAGAGATCAAGCCAGAACTCATCAGATACTTGCGGTATGCTCTGCCGTACGTATCGTACTTTTATCGCAGTGGACCCTGGCGTGGAGCTTATATTATGTATGGCAAAGATCCCTCTCAAGATCCTGGTCTTGCTATCTATCAAGTTGAGCATTTCCGCATCAATTCATCGAACGAGACGTCGACTCCGTCAGGAACGCCCATCCACAAGTTTGACGGGGTGAATTTGCCCACAACCCGAATGCTTCAACTCTGTGATGTGTCTGATGCATTCTTAAAAATGTACATTGAGCCAGACGCTATGCGTACGACTGTCGATTCGCACGACGGATGGTACTTGGCGGGCACTATGGCAGTGATTCGGAAAGTTCTACGAGCAAAGCTGGCCAATATCACTGAGGGCAAGCCGCCGCTGACCGTCTCTGCGCTTGCATCAATTGCAGAAGAAGCAATTGCCAATGCCCAAAAAGAATCCGAAAAGTTAACCGCTCTTAGCAGCGACGAAGATGATGAAGACGACGATGACGACGACGACGGGATGGAGGTGGATTCCTCCTTTGGCCTCTGAGGGCTGACCCATTAGTCATGACATGGACGTGTGTCGGCGGCGGTTTCTCACATTCAATGTGTGTGGAATCAATAATCTGAAGAAAGTCGAGCCGTGGAAGTCATTGGGTGATCTCCGATCGATGTTTGATTTTCTCGAGGCCGATGTAATCTGCTTTCAGGAGACTAAACTCCAAAGCAAAGATCTCAGCAAAGACCATGCAATTGTCCTGGGGTTTCATAGCTACTTTTCGTTTTCTCGCGAAAGAAAAGGGTACTCTGGTGTGGTGATCTATGTCCGCGATAATATATCCGTTGTCCAAGCCGAAGAAGGGTTAACGGGATGGCTGGGCTGTGGTTTAGGGACTTACAAAGACTTGGTGCCATCAATTGGAGGGTACCCTACTGTCACACGCGCGAAAGGAGTTGAAATTGATAGTGAAGGGCGCGTGGTTGTATTGGATCTCGTTGACCTCGTCATTATAGGCGCCTACTGTCCAGCCAATGCCTCTGGGAACCGTACAGAGTACCGTGACGAGTTTTTTGAGCTGCTAGATCAAAGAATACGGAACTTGATGTCAATGGGCCGCAATATACTGTTGTTTGGAGATATTAATGTCACGCGCGACTTGATTGACTCGGCAGAACTCATTGTAAAGTCAAAGGGCCCGCATGCCACAGAGGTGATGGAGCCATGGACCAATTCTCTTCCTCGGAAAATCATAAATGAGCTGATTGACTCCGGACTGGTTGATACTACAAGAGAGCGGTACAAGGATCAACGAGGAATCTATACGCACTGGAATCAGATGCTCAATTCCCGTCCGTCGAACTTTGGAAACCGCCTCGATTATATACTGGTTTCCTCTTCCATTGAGTGTGTTGATGCGGATATTATTCCTGAACTACTTGGATCTGATCACTGCCCAGTATATGCGGATTTAGTGCTTTCGAACAGAAAAGTCTGGGAGATCCCGGCCTTGGCGGACAAAACTTTGCGCAGGTTCAAAACCGCCGACCTCAATGCCCATTTCAAGAGTTTGAGCGACACTCCACCGGCTCGCACACCAGAAACCGCACCGCTGGTGCAAGAGCCTGCTAAATCCCCCAAAAAGCGCGTGGCACAGCACACAATAACTGCACTGTTTGGGCATCCTCCCCCTAAAGCCAAACGAGACGACAGAAATGCCAAAGTTGTAGTTAGGGAGGCGTCCATCGAGAAAGTGCAGCCGGCAAGCCAAGACCAATGGAAGTCGATATTCACACGCAAGGTGCCCAAGTGTCTTCATAACCAGGACTGCAAGCTGCTGGTCTCCAAGAAACCTGGCCGAAACAAGGGCCGAGCATTCTGGGTCTGTCAAAGGCCGTACGGAGAACCTGATAATCCAGAAGCCCGCTGTAACTTTTTCAAATGGGCAAATAATTAGCCTTTCTTATATATTTAACGTATGCACCTAATGAACTAAAAACATACTCCGGTTCTTTCTTTGGATTGGCTCGAGATGTCGGCCGGCAGAGATCCATTTATAGGGATCCAAGTTGCAGCTGTCACCTCGAATCATCGCCTTGAAGGAGCGTATAAGTTTATTATCGGGCATGATAAGCTCTGCGTTTCTCAAAAATTCCGCGACAGAGTTCTGCAGGGAGAAGAAAGTTCCCTGCGATTTGAGCCGGGCAGCTACGGCAAAGTCAAGCAGGATCAGCGATCGGCCCCAGAAAACGTCTTTCTCGCTCAACAGCTTGTGGTCCTGACCGTCATTGACAGCTGGGGGTTTGCGTCTTTTGAGAACCGTGTAACTTTGCTCGCTGCCGCTGGCGTATTGCTGTTTAGTCTGCCATGTCTCATCGAAAAACATGCAGCTATCCAGTAGGGTATAATAGTCGTAAAGGGCGAATGTTCGCTCGTCGCGGAACATCAATGCTACCAGCAAAGAGATTTCCCCCAGGTTGAATCCTTCAAGTAGCGGGGAAAGAGCTGATCTGGCTTGTAGGAACTTGTTTGCTCGTTTTTTAGGAGCAACAAAAGACGAGGGCTTCCATACAGATGCACCTCTGTGCAGTTCGCTGGACTCTGGGTATAATGCCTTTGTTTCATGAACAGGCGAGGGGGTTTCGAGATGGAACTGCAGTTGGCCAGCGAGTCCTTGTTCTGTATGCTCGTCATTTGGCTCTTGGACAGGCTCGGGTGTATCCACAAATCTTTTTTCTTTGTCGTAGAAACCTCTGGGCTCACTGTCGACCCCATTTAGGCTCTTGTAGAGACCGTTATTAGGGCAGGGTGGGGCGATGGTCAAACTGAAATTACTGGCAGATATCCCGCAGCTTGTGTCATGATAACTCAAAGGATAACAGTCGTTCAGTGTGTTACCATCAAAATAACCGGTGCCTGGTAGATTCAGGTCCATGAAATTCTTATAGTATGCAACGCAGCCTGAGCTCCTGTCCAAACTGTGCGTGGGCGACCTCTCTCCGCGGCTAATTTGGCTCAAAGTGTCGTAATGGCAGAAAAAGCTCTCGTTGAGCACATGATTGAGAGTCATTGTGCATTTCTCTAGCTTGCCATCGACTTGTTTGTGCACAATCAAAGTTATAGCCGGACTCTCTTGAATTGGGATCGATGGTGGGGCATTTCGGTCTAGAGAAGACAGGCCTTTCTTGAAACGCGAATACCTCCGGTCCTGGAATAGCCTGTTTCTCTGATCAAACAAGTTCATAGCTTTCGCCATCTTCTTGGCCTCCATTTTGGAGCTCACGAGTCCGCCTAGGTTTCCAACCGTTTCTTGCATGAGCATCATATGGGCCATGTACTATGATCTGGGTATCTTGGTTCAATCTGGTGTGTTTCGCTGCTCGCTCTGGGCAGAATTATGGTATTTTAGCAGACAAGGCGTGAAGGACTTTACTGTGCAAGGCTTTTTTTGCCTGCTCCACCTTTGATGCAAGAGTAGGGCCAGGGGTAATTGCACGCGTGCGTGTTCTCGGCTGCAGTTTGCTTCGAATCGGGCAATATTGGACTCAAACGGGACAGTCCAGCAGAAGAGGTATCAAAGACATGCGTGTGGTTCTTCAATGAATAGCTGCTACTCGTAGTATAGCGAGACTATGGAGATTTTGGGCGCTGGAATAGACTTCCTGCTGGAATTGCATATAGGGGTACATGATATTTTTTTGGCTGGATTTCGCCTCTAAAAACAGAATATTATCGATAAAAAAGCCGGTTCTGTACCTGTCAGTCAATAATGCACGCTAGTTTGTTTGTTTTAGCGTTCTATGCGGCCTGTTTGGGGGCATGGTCTCAGTACTACTTCGTTACTCTTCTACGGACGGTGTTTTCGGGCAATATTATAATTCAAATAGCACATATAGCGCCGAAATTATGCAAATCGCGCTCGAAATCTCTAATATTATTCTGGTGGCTCCTACTTGGTCGACTGGGCCGGCAGCAGCTGCCCTCTCCTTAATTAGTGCGTCGACTGAGCTTCTGGGGTGCCGGTGATGTTCAGGTGGACAACTCAAGCATTGACATGCTTTGGCATATGGTGTAGAGCCGAGATGGCTGGTTTTTGTCCATAAACTGTCTATGCTGGCGTTTCGAAGTAACGACCGTGCTCACTGCACTGCAGCACCGACACTGCATAGGAGATTTGGGCAGTCCCAGGGACGTCCTGCGGAACGATTAACCCAGGAGTCGGGCAACAAATAATTCTACGTGGTGAAAAAAATGGTATATGGCGTTGAATCTGCTCGCTAGTGCCTCTTTCTGCCAACTTGCCCTTTTGGGAAATACATAATGGTCATCAACATTTCAGCGATCCCATCTCTGTATAATCGAAGGCGACTTCCGCATCAGGAAGTGCAATATGGCACCTGGTGTTTTGGGTGAATGACGTGCGCACAGGCATGCCTCCAAACTGCAGAAAATCACTCAGAGCTATCAACTTATCTAACCGTATTATTTTTTTGACGAACGGGCTCAAGGCACAACATTTACTAAAGTTAGTCTTGAACCCTAGAGTCCTTCAGCTGTGCGGTGCAGCAGCCCCTGCAGAAGATTGCCCGTGCGAATAGGCTCCTATCTCACTATCTGGGTGGTTGCAAAAATTAGCTAGAGGGAATTGACTTCAAGTCTACAGTTGTGTGGTTATTGAAAGAGGTAACTTCTGGGACACATTCAGGTCCTGCTCCTATATCTGTGCTCTGACAGGAACGCGGTTTTGGCTAAGTCATCCTGCAATAATCCGGGGTCGCATAAACGATAATCATCATCGTTTAGGGTATGTCAGAAGCATGATACCGCAGTCTTCGGATAATCATTCGTACGTGCTATTCCAAGGTAAACAGCCGCTTGAACCCAGGCGTGAGTCTAGCGCAATCGTCTTGGACACGATCGACCAGCTTGGTCATGTGCTGAGGATATGGATCTGCACGAGTGTATGGAGCTAGAATGTTTTTAATTTCGAACCTCGCCTCGGGACACTAAGGATCGGTATCGAAACAGGGCTATGGAGCTATGGGACTACAACCTTGAAAGGGAGTCAACAAAGAGGGAATCTAACGCTCAAAGGTTGGCTCCACCAATACGCCAGCAGCGGCTGCGGAGGTACTGGTAGCACTCACGGCTACGGCCATCGTAACGAGCCTCGAGACTGGCGTCGCTGGCGTACAGACCAAAGTAGTTGGCAATCTTCTCCAGAGGGACGTCGAGATAAGTGGCCAGAGCGTCGAGGCTGTCGGAAGTCAAAGCAAAGTAGGAGTTGGAGTTGTCGGAAAGAGTGGTGGCATCGGACTTGGCGAGGCCAAAGAAGTTGGCGACCTTGCTACCATCAAGGTGCAAGTCTTGTACCATGCTGGACAAAGTAGCAGGGCTAACTTTGATGATAGCATCTTCATTCACCAAGTAAGGGGAAGTAGTCGACACGCTGGTCAGCTCACGCTTGGCGACCGAATCAGCAACACCGTAACAGGTGCCACCAATCTTGGTCCAGCAGGAGACTTGGGCAGATCCAGCAGCATCGGCAAAGGAAGTGGCAGCGAACGTGGCGATGGTCAGGAGAGTAGAGAACTGCATTGGATATTGGGTTGCTTGGTTTGAGTTGTTGATGCTATTCCTTCGTTTGCCAGTTCCTTTTATAGCTTGTTCCGGTATTTGAAGACAGTGGCCCTATGCCGTTTCCATACGCATGCAGCCGACCTCCCTGCATTGTGGTGATAGTTGAGATGGACGTCGATCTGGCTGTTTGCGGCGGCATTTTCGATACCAAAATCTGTAGAGTGAATAACAATCGTCTTATTTTGAACCAAACACGTATTTTTACCGTGCACCAGACGCGTATTTGCGCCCAACCACCTCAAGGTCCGGGCCTCTGCCACATGGGGAGTCTGCTGTATTGAAAAATGCATCTGCGTACCTCCTACTCGAAAGTTGTATTTCCAGCTCGATTGAACGCTAAAACGTTGGAAATATATCACTATCAAGTTATTTCGTATGCAGCTACATCTATCAGAGGTTTGGAACTAGTTCGACCAAATGGACACTACGCTACCCAATTAGGAAATTTATGCAAAGACATGTATGGTCTGCTGCGGACAGACTCTGGAATGGAAATTGAGTGTCGTGAAAGCCTAAAATGTACGGATTTCTATGCCAAATCTAATATGAAGTGGTCAATTGCCTTAAAAATCAAAATGTACTTGTACATGTGCCAGCGTCTGCAAACACCGGTTGTACCGCTGCCATTTATCTGCAAATACTCATAATAGATCTACAGGTATGTTGTCTGGGGTATGTGTTGAAAATGACGCTTTTTTGGAAACAGGAAACTTTTAAAAAGCTACTGTTGCTACACTTGAATGCTGCCTGTTCATTTTGATCGTATACACTTCTCCCTAGATGTCCAGCCGTCCAGCAAATTAAACTACGAAGATCCACAGTTGCCCATGTATTTGCCCAATTTTGATGGATCACAATGCTATGGATACTTAGAACTAGAAAACCAGCCGAGTTGCCAATATTATCGTAGACTCTCAAAGTAATGCCTGAGCATGCCGACGGAAAACGAGATCATGTCAACTTAAAACAGGTGGATCTCACGGGACCACTTTATTGTACATAAAGGACATTAGAAAAGTAGTATGGCTCATGGGAACAGATCAAATTCACCTGCACAGAGCGTTCAGGAGAGTCCTCCCTATGGAGAAGCGGCGCCGCATGCCCAACAGAATTAAAAGAGAGGCCAAGCCAAACAGTACTAAGAGTGGAAACGCAGTCGATTATGTTCCACCCATTCCAGTACCTGAAGGTAAGTACCTTGACCAACTACTAGATCTCAAGGAAGAGGCGTTCGCTCAGATTCAGATGGCCCGAAATGCCACTGGGGATGCCTGCAGCCAGAGAGGAAAAGTTTGTAGTCTCCCTCAATTTCCAAAACCTATTACAAGCTATCAAGCATTCACTGAATATAACAGCTGTGAGTTCTACAATGCTCCCTTTGAGATTGTTATGAAGTTTCTCGCTCGGGCGTGGGAGAGCTGTCCGAACAAGGATGTATGGGAATACTATGCGTATGTGTTTAATAAAGCAAACACAAGCTCAAGTTTTCGAAGTTGGTTGGATAGCTGTCCTAAAAGACCAATGCTATTAATCGTTCAAGAGCCCTATGAGAACTACCAGTAACCTGCACGTAGACTAACCTTAAATACTTTAATACTCATCATCATCTTCTTCGTCGCCTTGGCGTCTGTACTCTTCTCTGCGAATCTCGAAAAGACGATTGCGAGCGGCGGTGAGTTGACGCTCTAGCTTGAGCACCTCAACCTGCTGGGACATGGCTGCAGTGCGGAACTCGTGCTCGGGAAGAGTCTTAAAGTTAGTCTGTGCCTCCTTGACTTCACGGCTGGACAAAATTTCCTGAACACGGTTGACAAGCGAGCGGCATGCGGAGCCGACAGACTTTGAAGCAGTCTCCAAGTTCTGCTGGGTGCGAGATCCATGGTCAGCCTTCACGCGGGCAGCAGCTACAAGTTGTGCAGTAGAAGCAGCAACCTCGTTCGAGGCAACAATAAGCTGTTCAGGGCTGTTTTGGCCAGTGAGGGAGCCGTCAGCAGTATCAATAAGAGTGTTTGTAGAGTCTGCCACAGCATGAGCTGCCGAGATAAGGCCCTGTGTCCAGCGATGGTTTTTCTTATAGTACACAGTAGCCGAGTCTGTACCACGGCCCTTTGCAACAATGTCTTTCTGGCATTCTGATGCAGCCTTGATAAGCGCGGCAATTGCCGAAGTAATAGCCACAGCGGCGGCGATAATAGCCTCGTGAACATGCTTGTCGAAAACAGACAACTTGGGGTCGCGAGGACGAGCCAAAAGCTCGGTAAGCTTGCGGTTGGCTTCCTCGGCAGCCAAGGCTGCACGCTCCATAGCAGATTCGGGATTGGTCTCCTTCGACTGCTTGGGTTGCGAAGACAATACCGCCTCCAAAAGTTGCTGGAGTTGTTGTAGAATGTCCGTGTGGCTTTCAATGATAAGTTCTAACTGATCGTCGACCGTCAGTTCGGCAAGAACGGACGAGAGCATGGTCTCGAAAAACTCAGAAGTCGTTTCCGCTGCCGACTCAGTAGGCTGAGTGACTTTTTCAGAGTCGTCAGGGAGCATTGCGGACACGCCTTTCACGTTGGCAAGAAGCTCAACAATACCATTAGAGAGGTTCAATGTGGCACCTACAATTGGTGTAGCGTCACCTTCGCCCTCAACCTGAGCGCTCAAGTAATCGGTAAAGCCGGCCGAAAAATCGTCAACCGACTCCCAGCAGCGCTGGACAATCGTCTCAATATATTGCACAGTTGTACCTTGGTTACCTGTCTCAATAGGAGAGTGGAACATGGAAAGGCCGTCCTTGATAGATTCAGAAGCAGACTTTAGAACCTCATCAAGAAGGTTGCCGCCGCTGGCTACCACCGACTTGGATAGTTCATGTTCCATGGCTTCAATCGTTTCCTTGAGGTAATGGATCTCACGGTCCTGGTCACCTGAAGTGCTTGCATTTGCAAGCAGCCGTTGGGCGTCCGCGAGTTTGGCTTCTAGGAGCTGTATCTCCTTGCTGTGCGAGTCCAACAAAGAAGCACGCTCAGATCCAGAAAGCTGGGTTTTCGAGAGCTTGTCATTCAAAAGAGACAAATCACGCTCCAAACGGTCGGTTTCATCGCGGTGCTGGCCCTTCAGCCGGTCAAGATCGTATCGCGCACGATCACGCTCACGGATGAGGTCGGCAAGCTCGAGGTTTTTAGCTTTGAGATCACGTTCGATCTTTTCCCGCTTGTCAATAGCCTCCTGGGCTGACGCAGCCTTAGCCTGAGTCTTTTTGAACTTGGATAGTAAATCAAGATGTTCTTGACGAAGCTGAGAGTACAGTTTGGCGAGAGACTCATATTTGGACTTCCAGACATTGACCTGCTCATGAAGAGCTTCGACCTGGTCTGTTTTGGATTGAAGCTGCTGCTCAGTCAGGGAGTTGGATTGAGAGAGCTCGTTTTCGAGCGTTTGGACTCGCTGGTCGTACTGCTGCAGCATCATCTGGGCTTCCTCCTGTTGTCCACGCATGGCAAAAAGCTGCTGTTCAAGCTCCGCAACTCTGCCCTCAGCATTACGCTGCTGTTGGCTGCGTAAAAACTCTTCTTGCGCAGCCTGCTGCTGAGCCAACAGCTGGGCCTGCTGCTGTTCGAACATTTGCTGCTGTTCGTAAGCCAACTGACGCTGGCGAGCTTCCTCAGCCTCACGAGCCGCTTGGAGGCGTCGCTGCTCTTCTTCATACTGCTGCTGCTGAGCCATCTGCTGCTGTTGCTGAAGCAGCATCTGCTGGCGCTGCTGCTCTTCAAGTTGCTGCTGCTGGGCTTGCTGCTGCAAATACCAGTCTCCAGTGGGTTCAGGAGCCAATGAAGTAGCAGAGGACTCGCCTGTTTTAGACGCTTCAATTGGTCGTCTCGGGAGAGGCGGAGCATCATCGTCGGTAAGGAACAGATTAGGCGGATCCTCGGGCAGCTGAGGAATAGAGATAAGAGCAGTCAAAGGCTTAAGAGTGGTGCAATCAAAATAAAAGTTACGCAACCGGCGGTGCTGTGTGTAATAACGCTGACGCAACGGTTCGAGAGCATCGTCTGCCTGACCAGCAGCGTACATGCCACGAAGCATGCTAGTAGCAAAGCGATAAATTCCGTAGGACTCTGCGACGATGGCAGTAAGAGAAGATATTTTGACTTCGTTTCCATGGCGGCCTCGCAAGCTTCCGAAGACAAGGCGCTGGAAATCGTCAATTGCGTCCTGGAGGTTGAGTAAATCGATGATTGCCTCATAACCCTCATTTGGATCGTCGACTTGGCGAAGCGAGATATACTCCGCGTACTCGAAGGTACCGTTGAAAGCAGGGTGGGCCTTGTGAAAGTCAAGCTTGTGGGTAAGAAGACGGACGTACTCCTCGATCAGCCGGTTGTACTGGCCGGTACCGCCGTAGCTTCCATTTCGAGCGAGCGATCGCAGCCAGTTGACATTGTTCTGGCCCTCCTTAATCACCTTGGGGTGGCCCTCCTGCATAACCTTGTGGATAACCACCAAGGCCTTGAACGTCTGGATATCGGAGTTCTGCAGTGGCTGAAGTTTGATTGCGTTCCAGAAATCACGGCCATTGCGGTTGTCCCAAGTGTACACCACACATGCTCGCACATGTTTTCGCTTGGGTACCGAAGCCTCCGCGGTTGTGGCCTTTTTTACGCTAACATTGATATCCGAAGCCCCACGTAGCGAAACCATCCCGCCGGGCAGTGTTAAGTGATGCGGTGGATGGGAGTTCTCCAACGAAGGCCGGCTGCCTGCGAACGGACCCTAACCCAGCCCAATTCCCGGAGGGGTGCTAATTGATAAGCTGGACCCCTCCTTTCGGGTAGGGTTTTTAGGTCAAGGTTGGGAGGAAACCAAATTTCTTCTACCTATCGTCTTCTTTCAGACTAACAAGAGTACAAAAAGTATATGGCTTCTATTGACAACCTCAAAACTTTTGGTAAGTAAGAGCAGAGTGCCCGCATTTTGAGCGGAGCGTTCAGGTCAGATATCAGCAAAAACGATGCGCCCCGGCCGCTTTCTCCACCGAGCAACATCCTCCACCTTTTGTGGTGGCACGGTGGCAACGGCTCGTCTTGGCGCTTCGTGATCGACCGCAGACTTTTCGAAGCACTACTAACTGAAGATCCATTCGCTGACACTGGTGACGAGGCGTTGCCTACTGCGCTCCACGATGTCCACATCCGATGCCAGCAGCGCAACGGCCGCAAGACTATCACTACCGTCGAGGGTATCCCCTCCGAGTACGACTTGAAGCGTATTCTGAAGACCCTTAAGAAGGATTTCGGTTGCAACGGCCATATCAACAAGGACACTGACCACGGTGAGATCCTGCAGTTCCAGGGCGACCAGCGCCAGAAGATCCAGGAGTTCCTGATTGAGGCTCTCCAGATCAAGAAGGAGCAGATCAAGATCCACGGTTTCTAAGTAATGGAAAACCTCCCACTAGGTCGCTTGTTTCCCATCGTCCCTTTATTCTAGAACCTTTTATTAAGTATGAATTTCACTGATTAAACCTCTCGGATTCCGGGGCAACGCTGGTGAGCTTCGCTCCTGTTCGTTTCTTGGGCGGCAACGGCGGCAACGATGCGTTTACAGACATTCCGCTCTTGATGGAGACGTTGGACGACGCTGAGTCCGCGCCGGGCGGAGACCCGCTGGACCACTCAAAGCTCTGGGGCCTGGCTGTGACGGCAGAGGTGCTGATAGATGCTGTGGCGGGGGACGACGAGACCGCCAGTGGTGGTTTGATCCCCCCGCTTTGTGGGATCGACATGGCCGCGCTTGCTGGCTCAGTGGGCTGCTGGGCAGAGACCGTGGCAGCAGTAACACCTAGGGTGGGCGTGGCCTCGACGATGGATGGTCCAGAGGGCGTGTCTGCTTTGCTAGGTTTTTTCATAAACCCCCAGCGATTGCGCACCGTTTGTTTTTCATCGTCGACTGAAGTTGCCGCTGATGTGACCCGGGTGTCTGACCTCGTGCTATCCGTGCTGGACTGACGGGAGTGAGTTGCCTGTTCGGGTGATTTCTGCTCACTTTTGAATCCCTCTCGCCAGTCATGGTTTGTGCCCCGCTTGCGGTGGTCCCAAATACCGCCTCGGTAAAATTCCCCACTTGTGTCGTAGAACGAAATATCATCCATAACTGGCATGACCATGGTTTCTTTGACCACGTCCTGCAGCAATTTACTCATGGTCTTCGTAACAATGGAGTAGTTCATGCGTGATTGGGAAACAACTGGTTCAATGAGCAGGTCCATTTCCGGCATGCTTTCGAAAGCATACCATATACGGCTTGACGGCGGCGGCTTGACTCGAACAACCATTCGGCCTTTGAGCTGACGAAGTTTAACAGAGATTTCAATCAGCAAATTAGACAGCCACTGAATGTCTGGCTGAGTAGCAATTTTGACCCGGAATCCACCATCATAGTCGATTCCAAAATCAAGCAGCAGCTCGCCATCGGGGGTCAAACTGCGGAGCTTGACATCGGTAACATACGGCATAGTCTTACCACAGTTCACGTCTTTGACTATGATTTCCTTGAAATAGCTCGAATTGACTCGATTGAGCTTCTCGGCGATCTTGTCATGCCAGTATTGCTCAACTAGTTTGGAGTCCTTTACTCCCAAAAACAGGCGGCCTAGAATGGCATTGAGCCACATATATTGCATCGAATCCGACCGCGTATACACCTGATTCATCAGCTCCATCCATTCTTCGTCGGTTGCTCTGAGCGGCTGGGCCATTGCCAACGGATCACGAGGACCTAGACTGAAATCTGTTTCTTTGGTTCGGCTCTCTTGAAGCAAAGCAAAATACAAATCTTCTTTAACGGTTGGGTTTTCAACGTAAAAGAACAATGCGTCCCTGGGGACCTCGCCCGGGTTGAGATCAAGAGAAGTCAACCCGTCGTTGCTATGGCGTGATATAAGGCAAACTGCCATTCTAGAGTAGAACAGCTCGAAATCTTCGACGCCTAGAGGCCATAAAGAAACGACATAGTCACACAGCGCAATAACCTTAATTTGACGACGCTTTTCCGGATTGCGGGTCGAGTAAAGATGGAGATGGCCGTCTCGCACCTCTGCCCAGTACTTGGGTAATTTGGAGATGACCTTGGGTTGCGAGGAAGCGGTCGATTTCAGGTCGTCTCGCGACTGCTTGGTCTTGAGCTTTTTAAGCGACGATTGCGCAGATCCACTGCCGGCCGCAGGCTGGGGCGATGCAGTCGACTCCTCGCCACTCTCCTGGTCGCCTATATAAGTTTCGGACAGAAAAACGTAGGTTGAAACGAGGGTCAGACCGCGGCCATACTTGGCAAAGTCCAAAAGCGGGCTTCGATCCCACTTTGTGACTACCTCGCGGGTCTCCTCGACTTCGTTGTCGGCGTCATTGCTGCCGAAATCCGCATTTGCCAAAAGATACAAAGCCCCCAATGGGATTGTTATTCCGCCAAGCACAAACGACAGCAAATGGCTAAACATTGGCACTTTAGCGAGTTGTGGATCAAGTGGTGGATAGGGAGGGGGGTTAAAGTCTAGGCTGGCGGGGTTTCTCGAGCTAATATATTGACTAAGCAACACGTAAGCGGGCCTTAAAAACGTCCCAGCCGTGGACACTAAGAAAAAACCTTTCATCACTCATTTGAGATGTGTTGTGCAGAGCGATGGCGAAGTCGTTCGTGAAGCCAACGAGAGGAAAGAAGAAGGAGAAAAAAAAGATTTGGGAAAAGGTAAGTATAGCGGTGATTATGTCCAATACCAATTGTTCCTACTGAAAATATATGAGGAAACAATTTTTTAATATACGTTTCAATCCCATATGAGCGCTGTATGCTAACAAGTTGAATGAGGATATATCACGACCGGGCGGACGGAGATGCTTTGCCAGTCTTTCGGGACACTTGGCGGCCGTACAACCGACAAGGGCGGAGCATCGTTGGCGAATGGTCTTAAGCTGACGCTGATCCCTAATCTTAATTTTTTTTTTCTTTTTCGGAATTTCTGTCTTGGCTGAAAGCCCATGTGGGACATTGCTTCGCACAGCACATCTCAATGAGATCTCAATGAGATGGCCAAAAGAATAGACCCGATGACGACTAACTTTTATTCACACTGTATGAGAATTCGTGACTTACTCAACAAAAAAACTGATTTAATGAATCTGAGGGTTTTTATTTAGCCAATTTTCGATAGCTGTCTAATGTACGTAAAAAAATTGCATGCGGAAACGTTTCTAGTCTGGGCGGGTTATGTCACGAAAACGAGGCAAATACTCCAACATGTTTTTTCTTCGCCGATTCCTATTGGCCAGGCTGTCTGCAGAGACCCATGCAGGCCAGGCTTGATCGGTCGTTGACGAAAAAAAAAACTAACGGCTCGCGATGCCCGCACGACCTCCATAAAAACCAAGAAACATCAGCGCACACCCTCTGCTGTCTATAAAAAAAGTAGTGGCTCGTTTGGCCGCTGCCTCCCTTCTCCCGTGGGACCAAGGGGCGTTCCTCCTGTGGAGGCGAGCCCAGCCATGCACGAAGGGACATGATTATGCAGGTGACCAAATAATTTTTTTCTCCCTGCAAGCCGTCGACCCCACCGACTTACACACCGTTCTAACAAACACCAATGGTTAAGCGGGTTATTAGAAAACGGCCCAAGGCCGTCAAGCGTGAATTAATCCAGGACGCAATGGTGCCTTCGCCCAAGCGCCTGAAACCGAGCAGCGAGTCGTGCAAGGCTCCGGTTGCCCTCCCGACTCCAGACGACGAGGTGGCAACAGAGGGGTTCGGCAATAGCGCCGATGACTCCAAGTTCATTGCTGAGCTCGAAATGGACGATAAAGAAATTGTCCAGGATCCTCTGCCTATGCCCGAAGATCCTCTCGACAAGGTGGCCAGAGTACTTGCTGCTGGGTGGCCCAACGGCAACGATGACGAGGCTTCATTTGGCAACGACATCGACATTGAGGATGATCTTGGTACACTTACGGACGACGACGAGGTTCTTATTGACTCGCCGTCGCACGCTGCCGCTAAACGCTGGCCTCTTGACGAGAGTCCCGAGGCGCTGACTTTTTCAGTTCTCAATGCCTCGTCGTCGTCGTCGTCGTCCTGCCAAAACACACCCGCGTTCCGGTCGGACAACGGAAGCTCTGAGTTTGCGCCCTCAGCTTCTGACGAGCAGGCGCCCGGTCTGGAAATCGACGATTTCATTGACTACGATTCTTGTTCCAGCGACGATAACGAATCAGGCGTTGCCTCGCCGTCCAGCGAAGACTCGACCTCGACCCGCCGTGCTCCAGTGTTTAACACATCGCTTCCTTTATACTTCTATCGCGAGCGGCCCGAAGAAGAGATTCCGTGGCTTTCGGAAGTCGACTTCAAAGCCACAGACGTTTTAGCGGCGTGGTCCTCGGTTGCCCCTGGCATTGACCCGTGCGCTAAAGCTTCCTACATCCGCAATGTGGTTTTCGCTGCTGCGAGTCTCAATCCAACCAGCATGGCCAGCGGCCGTGCTCGCCAGACTATGGCTCCTCCGATTTCGCTTACCGTCGACTTTTGAAGTCGCTTTGGAGACCCTCAAGTCAAGGTGACTTATTTATTTTCTCAATTTTTTTGTTTATACCACTACGACCTAGTTGAATTTATTAAGATAACAGATTGTTTCAATAAATTTGCGCTCTTGTTGTGCTACCAACGTTTACCATCATGACGGCTCCTCTCAGCAACGCTACCATATCGCGCCTACTTGTTTATATTGCTTCGTTTTGCTTTTTCTTAGCAGCGGGGAGTGTTTTCAAAACAACCCAGCAAATGCGCTTAGACTTGCCGGAGCCGGGCCAAGTTATGGAACATGCGTCCATCGCTGTCGTAACTACTAAATACGCCAAAGCGCATCCCACCTATATCCTTCTAGGAATCATTGCCGCACAATCTTGTCTGGTAGGAGCTCTGCTGAAACACTACGCCGATCGCGACAGAGTCGCCCGCGATGTGCTGTCGGTGGTGTTTGACGAGCGACTGAAGGAAGAGATCGAAGCTGCCGAGTACAGAATGGCCAATGCTATGCGCACACAAACCGCCATTATTTTCAAGTCGCTCGAGAGTTATAAACGGCCCGTCAACAAGTCTCCCGCATCCAGTCCTCCCGTTTGGCAGCCCACCCCCAAACAGCCTCCCCCCAACCGCCGCTTTGAGCTGGGGGTTAATAGAGCGCCCCATAACCGGACCTCTCCCTCGTCAGTTATCCAATTGCACAAGGAGGTTGTGTTCCCTGCTCAGCGCTCGCCGGCTATGGTTACACCTCCGATGGATGATCATACAGAAGTCCGAGAGCTGTCTCGGACTGAAGTTATTGAGCGCCTGGCTGAAGCCAAAGTTCGCAAATACAGACGCGTTTGTATCCCTGTGCGCGGCTGGGTTTCCTCTCGGCAGCTGATGCGCGAGCATGAGATCACTGAAGAAGAAGTAAACGCTGCACTGGACAGGGTTACGATCTCTGTCGAAGAGGTTTGCAAGGGCGATTGGAATGTGTCAATGTACCAGGATCTCAAGCCTACTGCTAAAATCTAACTATTAACCACAGGAATCACTCGGCTATCCCGGCTACTCGCCACAACAGATAAAACAAAAGAAAAAAATAAACATAGAATCAAAATACATACCTAGCTAGAATGAACAAGTGCACTATCGTGGATATCTGCTAAACGGGTTTGATCAAGCCAGTCCGCGACATAGTCATGCGGGATGTTCTGCTCTTCTCGGTACACGCACCATACCTCGTAATTGTTGATATGGGACTCTGAGGCGAAATGGTGCCAGTAAAGAGCAGAAGCTGGTGCGTCCGTATCGTTGTGGGAAATTGCACTATAATCACCAGCCCATTCGCAGATCGCACAATTGACCCTGTCAGGAGAAATACTCATTTAAAAGGTCTCGGTGGAAAGCTTTCAGGGCAGGGCCTGTGGGGATGGGATACGTAATTCGAATAAACGTGGGCTAAAGACCGGTCGAGTCCAGAGTTAGCCGTAAAGTTGGAGATATCGCAGGGTCTCTTCACCAAGTCGGAGATTCGGATACGGGTTCGGACGAGATAGCACAAAAAAAGGAAAGACTTCGACTACTGTGCGCTGATACTTGGCAAGCAGACGTGGAGAGCTATCGTAGAAATGAAACGGCCGTTGAACCACCTGTGAGATTGTTGAACTGGGAAAGAGAAAGAGGAGTTAGAGGAGAATGCGGCCCTGCATATTATACGTTACGTGCAGCCGGCTCCGCGAGGGAAACCCTAGGCCTAAGACATGTGCAGCTGCCAAGTGATCGTAGTGTTTAGGCTGAAACAAATATGAGACTATGTTTCAGCACCAGTTTCTTTGGTTGCAACACATCGTCGGAAGCTGCGGTTTCGCGTGGGGTACTCATTTTATATTAGAGTTTGGCTCTGCTGTGGTCTCGGCCTATGTACCTCTGCCACATGAAGAATAAGGCATCAACATATTTTGGCCGACCCAGACGCATGCATTTAAAACAAAGCGCGCTAGTGTAAGGCACACTTTTGTCGGCATGACTATACCGTTTGTATCAGATATCTAGAACCTTGTTAGTGTTTACATTTACAAGTGCGAATAATTGCGTTAAAGCTAGGCGCGGAGGTGGTTGGTGCAATGGGCAGTGGCACGCAACAACACCTGAGAGCGTGCTTTCACTACAGAATCGGCTATGGACTGCGGAGTCGGCTGGGTCTTTGTTTACTCCTCTGCGCATCCCCTGTAGCTTGTTTCATACCATGTGACGCGTTTACCTCCCGGCGTGGCTGGCTATGCCCTCTTACATAAACGATGACCAAACCGGATCGAGATCGGATTACGACCCCCCCCCCCTCCCCTACGACGACGGGCTGGATTAGTCACGCATGGGGAGAAAAGCGCCCTCCCGCTAACGAGAAGCCCGCAATATAAGGAAAAAAATCTTGGTAATCAGGTGCCTTCAAAGCCAGAGAAAATTCTTGCCTGAGCTCTCCAATCATGTCTACTAACTCAATCAAGCTGTTGACTGGTGACGTTCATCGCAATTTGGCTGAGCTGGTGTCAAAAAAGTAAGTATAGCCTTGGTATTTGCCGTGCACGCTCTCCCTGATCCGATTTGGCTCGATCCGGGGAAGCCCAGCGTGGGAAATCGGCGGAGAAAGCGTCTCAATTTCAACCGGACAGGCAGCTAACATCAGTTTAGGCCAGAGCCTTTGCAAAGTCAACATCAACCGTGAAAGCAACCGTGAGGTGTACCTTAATCTCGGGGAGAGTGTCCGGGACGAGGACGTCTATATTATTTGCCAAATTGGTTCTGGCGATGTGAACGATCGGGTCTTTGAGCTCTTGATTATGATCAACGCTTGTAAGACGGCCTCTGCGCGCCGCATCACCGCCGTGCTGCCAAACTTCCCGTATGCCCGACAGGATCGCAAAGACAAGAGCCGAGCCCCGATCACCGCCAAACTCATGGCAAACATGCTGCAGACAGCCGGCTGCAACCACGTTATTACGATGGATTTGCATGCATCTCAAATCCAGGGCTTCTTCGATGTGCCTGTGGACAATCTCTACGCAGAACCCAGCGTTGTCCAGTACCTCAAGACCAACGTCGATTATCGCAACTCGATCATCGTTTCCCCGGACGCCGGTGGTGCGAAGCGTGCTGCGTCGCTGGCAGACCAGCTTGACCTCAACTTTGCTCTCATTCACAAGGAGAGAGCCCGTGCCAACGAGGTGTCCAAGATGGTCTTGGTCGGTGACGTTACGGGCAAAGTTTGCATCCTTGTGGACGATATGGCCGACACCTGCGGCACTCTAGCCAAGGCTGCTGACACTCTTCTCGATAACGGTGCTGATTCTGTCATTGCTATCGTCACACATGGCATTTTGTCCGGCAAGGCCATCGAGACAATCAACGGCAGTCGTCTGCACAGTGTTGTCTGCACAAACACTGTACCCATCGAGGACAAAATGGAACGCTCGCCCAAGCTCAAACGTTTAGACGTTAGCAATGTCCTTGCTGAGGCTATTCGTCGGCTGCACAATGGTGAGAGCGTCTCATATCTGTTCCGCCATGTGCAATAACATACTATATATTTTGTTTCCCAGAAAGACAAAAAAAGTCCTTAGTTACAATACACCGCTATTTCTGCTTGACGAGCCCGTATTTTGCCCTGTCAAACTGCTCCAAAGAAGTCAGAATCTCCCCGTGACCGCCAATGATCCTGTCGGCTTCCTCTCGACCCAGAACTTTCATAGCTTCTGGATGAGGCACCCAAATGACGGTAGCGCCGGAAGCAACACCTGAACGTACACCAGGAACAGCGTCTTCAAAAACAAGGCACTCGTGGGGCTCGATGAGGGGCTTCCCAGCCGCCTTCTGCTCCTTGTTTAGAGACTCGAGAGCAGCATGCCAGATATCAGGGTGCGGCTTGCCACGCCCAGCCGGAACGCGCTCATCATCGCCCGTGACAACATGGTGTCTGAACAGATCAAAACCGTGGCGTAGATGGTCTGTTTTTCGCTGGTAATTCAGGGTATGTGAGGAGGTTGCCAAGGCGAAGGGAATATCGTTTTCATCAAGAAACTGTAGCAGCTCTAAAGCGCCAGGCATAAACGCAGCACGTGGCCACTTTGTCTCTTGAATTTTAGAGGTTTTCGCAAACAACTCCTCAGGTGTGTAGGGCAGCTGGGCCCAATCCAAAAAGTGCTTGGCCGCGTCAGTGCCTGGACGGCCCTGGAGATTGATCTTCACGTCCCAAGGCAGCGGGCCCTTTCCATGCTCCGCCAACACTTCGTTTGTAGTCTCAGTGTACAAGTCCTCCGTATTCAGGAGCAAGCCGTCCATATCAAACAGGCAGGCTTTGATCATGTCGAATTGCTTAGTGGAAATTTTAATAAGATAAAACTTGTACTCTTAAGGGTATATTAATTTATATTAACCAGGACCTATGGAAAAACGCGGTGTTTAGGACAGGGTCAGCAGGGATGGCGCCAAAGGGAGCGAGCGGCCTTAGTACTCGGCCAAATCGTCTTCGGCATCCATAGAATCGGCTGCAACCTCCTCGTAGTCGCGCTCGAGAGCCGCGAGATCCTCGCGGGCCTCTGTGAACTCACCTTCCTCCATGCCTTCGCCAACGTACCAGTGGACAAACGCGCGCTTGGCGAACATGAGGTCGAACTTGCGGTCCAGACGGTTCCAGGCATCGGCAATGGCTGTGGTGTTTGAAAGCATGCACACAGCACGATCAACCTTGGCCAAGTCACCACCAGGAACGTACTGGGGGGGCTGGTAGCAGATACCGATCTTGAAGCCGGTGGGGCACCAGTCGACCATTTGGATCGATTTCTTGGCCTTGATGTTGGCAACCGCCTGCTGGACATCCTTGTTGACGACGTCACCGCGATAGAGCAGACAAGAGGCCATGTATTTGCCGTTCTTCAGGTCGCACTTTACCATCTGGTGGGTGGGCTCGAAGCAGGCATTGGTGATCTCTTGAACGGAGTTGGACTCGTGGTGGGCCTTGGCAGCAGAGAAAACAGGAGCATAGGTGACAAGAGGGAAATGGATACGCGGGTATGGCACCAGGTTGGTTTGGAACTCGTTGAGGTCGACGTTCAGCGAGCCATCGAATCGAAGCGAGGCAGTGACCGACGACACAACCTGAGCGATCAGACGGTTCAGGTTCTCGTAGGTGGGGCGAGAAATATCCAGATTGCGCCGGCACATATCGTAGATGGCCTCGTTGTCGACCATGAATGTGCAGTCGGAGTGCTCAAGGGTAGTGTGCGTGGTGAGAACCGAGTTGTAGGGCTCAACGACAGAAGTAGAGTTCTGAGGAGCAGGGTAGACGGCAAACTCCAGCTTGGATTTTTTGCCAAAATCGGCCGACAGGCGTTCCAGCAGAAGCGCGCCAAAACCGGATCCCGTACCGCCTCCGAACGAGTGGGTGAACAAAAAGCCCTGGAGACCACCGGTGTTCTCTGCAACGCGACGAATGCGGTCCATGACCTCGTCAATAATCTCTTTGCCTACCGTGTAGTGACCGCGGGCGTAATTGTTCGCCGCGTCCTCTTTGCCAGTGATGAGCTGCTCAGGGTGAAACAAAGACCGATACTTGCCGGTTCGGACCTCGTCGATCACATTAGGCTCGAGATCCACGTAAATAGTGCGGGGCACGTACTTACCTGCGCCAGTCTCGCTGAAGAAAGTCGAAAAACCCTCGTCACGCGAGGATTTGTTATGGGTCTTATCCAGGTATCCGTCGGGCTGAATGCCGTGTTCCAGGCAGTACAGCTCCCAGCAGGAGTTGCCAATCTGACAGCCAGCCTGGCCGACATTGATGCTAATAACCTCTCTCATTCTCAAGTTGTGGCTCTGAAAAACTAGTGGAAAAAAAGCGAGGGGAGAGAACTTTTGGTAACCGCAGATTGGGGCTCTGTAAACAACGCGCTGGATATTAACTAATCACGGGAGGGTAACCGGGACGCGCATTCCCACCTCACACAAATCTCTGGCACTGACGAGGGTGGGATATGGGCTGTTGAAGTGATCTGCGTGTGAGTCGCGGTGCAACGACGAGTTTTCAGTTTCTATATTTCAAAGTACCGTGGGGTGGACAAACATGTACTACTGTAGGCCAGCAACCCTTAAAACTCATTTTATATCCACCAAGCATGCACGAAACATCATACAAATGCGCCCCCTAGGTAATTTAATTTTCCTGGTTCCTAAACCTATGCTAGCTCAAGGCGAGATGGACATACGATGGTCAATTACTAAGATGTAGATGGATCAAGCAGCTAGCGACAGGTAGAAAATGAAACGAGCCTCCACAGCGTGCTACGAAGACTGCAATGGGTGATTATAGCCCTGATTTTGGCTGTGGTTCTTGTTATAAATCGCAAACCATCCAATTAGGCGCTAGCCTGTCACAATGCGGATTCTGTGCCCTACATGTAGCAAAACTCACGCAGATGAGAAGAACCTCTGGGATATTGTTAGCAAGGGGCAGTTGTAATCTCTCTGAAGGCTCAGACTTGGCTGACAGCCAAATTGCGTACTTATACGCCACCACGCCCTTGTTCAACGCCGTCTTAGTTCTCGTCCAAGCGCGAATAGTAGCACCCCAGATGCCCTTCGAAAGCAGCAAACCCTAAACCTGAACATAAACGATAGCAACCTTCGGGCAACCGTAAAACTATTTTATCACTTGATCGAGGGCATTCTTCATAACAACCACGTTTAGCAAAAAATGACCACTCTTCAAGCCCAGGTTGATGCGCTAGTGAAGGAGTTCGAGGTCTCTGCTGCTGATTTGGACAAGTGTGTCGAGCGGTTCTTGGAGCAGGCCACGGCCAGTCTGGCCAAACCAACTGATAAGGGCCTTCCCATGCTTCCTACTTACCTTACTACAGTTCCCACTGGTGACGAGAAGGGCGTTTACCTTGCCGCTGATCTCGGTGGCACCAATTTCCGTGTGTGCTCAGTTACGTTGCTTGGCGAGGGTAAGTTCGACATTGTCCAGGAGAAATGGCCCACACCTCAGGAAGTTATGCGTGGAGATGCTGCTGGTCTTTTCAAGTTCCTGGCCGATTGCATGGATGAATTTTTGCGCAAGCATCACGGCGATAAGTTTACTTGCGAGGAGGGCGTCACCATCGCGGGAAAGGTCGATCCACTGAAGCTTGGTCTGACCTTCTCTTTCCCCATCACTCAAACAAGTCTCAACACAGGCACCTTGCTGCGCTGGACCAAGGGATTCGATATTCTGGAGCTTGTTGGCAAGGACGTTGCCAAGCTTCTCCAGGCCGAGATCACTCGTCGTAAAATGCCAGTTTACATTGCTGCTACCATTAATGATACTGTAGGCTGCCTTATGACTCGTGCCTACACTACAGGAAAGGGCGTCAACACCGTTATGGGCACCATTTTTGGTACTGGCACCAACGCGGCCTACGTCGAGAACGTCAAAGCGATTAAAAAACTCGATGATCCCAAAGACGAGGGTGGAATCATGGTTATCAACACCGAATGGGGCTCGTTTGACAACGACTTGACCGTTTTGCCAAACACCCGGTTCGACATTGCGCTCGACAAGGTTACGCCCAACAAAGGGTTCCATATGTTTGAGAAACGCGTGAGCGGCTTGTTCCTGGGCGAGCTCACGCGTCTTGTTTTGCATGAGCTCTATGATAACAAGGTGCTGTTTACCGGTCAATCGACCGTCGGCAGCACTGTTCTTAAAACACCCTTCTCCATCAACACCAGCGTGCCTTCGCTAATTGAGGGCGACGACACCCCGGATCTGACGGAAACTGAAGAGATTATCAAGGACGCCTTTGGCTACTCTACCTCGCTTGAGGAGCGCCGGGCGATTCGCCGCGTCTGCCAGGCCATTGGCACCCGCTCGGCCCGTCTGTCTGCATCAGCCCTTGCTGGTCTCCTGATCAAGAGCGACTCGTTCGAGAAGTACGAAAAGCTTGATATTGGAGGCGATGGGTCTGTCGTCGAGTTCTACCCGCATTTCGAGGAACGCGTGCGCCGTGCGTGGTGCGAGATGGCTACAGTGGGCAGCTACAAAGAGCAGCGTATTACGCTGGGCATTGCCAAGGATGGAAGCGGTGTTGGTGCTGCTCTATGTGCACTTGTTGCTCCTTGAATATATCAAAATTTTAGCTTCGTAGAGTGAGCAATTCGCAGACCTTTTCGTTAATTGTGGCGTGCTGTCTGATGGCGTCATGTGACAGTACCCGCAGGGTGCCCCACGGTGTAGGGTGGGTCTTTCGGGACCAGGGATAGTTTGTCCGAATGGGCCCCCGGGGTCGGAAACGAATATCCAAGCGTGTATGATCAGCCTGCAAGGTACTTGACTCGAAAATCAAAATTCCAAAATCCCTATTCCGTTGGATCTGTTGACGTGGTCCATCCGCGAAATGGCCCTGCGCAAAGGGTAGGGAGATGCATGCAGCGTTTACCAAGTAACTTGGCAGGAAAAGCATGGGCAATCGAATTATTGGATGTGCGCGAGACCGGGACCCAGAAAAAGGCCACTTGTCGATGAGGGTTTCGAGTCCGGATTGAAGGTTGCCGACCATACCCAAGTATTCTGGCTCAACGTTGTGGTGGAGAGCACTTATCCTAGCTGCAGCTTAGTGGGACTACCGATGCCCCCTAGCGCTTCATGCGCGGTGAAACAGCAACCACCTGCGCCCCATACCAATTATGGCACGTTGCCAAGTACATGCATCATGGAGAGCTACGTGTTTGCTACTGGATCGGCAACTATATAAGAAGGCGATTCTCCACACTATATCCATCAACCAAAACAATCAATTAACAATGTCAGACGCCGGCCGCAAGAACTTTTCCGATAAAGTCAGTGAGACTCTTACCCCCGACAATGAGAAGTCGCTCGGCCAGAAGGCCAAGGAGGGAATCACCGACGCTTACGACAGTGCCGCTTCCAAGCTTGAGCCCGAGTCCCAGAAGTCTGTTGGCCAGAAGGCTGGTGATGTCGCTTCCGACATGAAGAAGGACACCAAGAATGCTGGTCAGTCCGTTGGCGATTCTGCCAAGGACGATGGCGAGTCTTTCCTCCAGCAGGCTGAGGACGCCGCTAAGAACGCTTTGAACACTGCTGGCGAGTACGTCAACTCTGCTTCTGAGTACATTCAGGGAAAGCAGTAAATCTTTAGATATACTATGTAGCATTTAAGAATTGGCCTGAATTGTCAAATTCCGCAAACCTCCGTCGTGGCCCAACACAAGCCCCAGGGTGGGCGCCATTGTGATTTAAGACAAGGGCCCAGGCGTGAACGCCATCGTAACTTGAGACAAGGGCCCAACGGCGAGCGGACGCACTCGTAATCCTAGCAGACAGCTGTTGTGAGAGCTGTACACACAGAATGCTTTAATATGGAACTAATTTTATTGACTGTTTAAGTCGGTAAAGGTTCTCCACAACCGCTAAAGGCCCTGGCTCGACGGACCTGCATGTGCTGCACTTGCCAGCGAACCCGCAGGTACATAGACGAATTCGCTGACTAATCGGGGGACTGCCAGCAGCCCAGGCTCACACATATGCTCCGTAAGGGGACCGTAGTAGTACGCAATGGCAAACACTATATCAATGCACAACTAGTGATCTGTACCGATAGTGACATCGATGCCAGCCCAATTCAGAGCGCATCGTTTGTTTCCGTTTGTATCTTTGCAGTTATATTGAGGGATAGCTCAGATGCATAACGGCACACGCGGTCGGGCGTATCATACTGAATCGGTTTTCAACAAATGTGGCTGCTGAGGGCATGCCAAGCATTGGCGCCCAACATATCGACTGGCCCAGTAACCCGATTCTGTTTAAACTTTTAGATTTGAGGGGCCATTGCTCAACTCTGTTCCCCCGCGGCTGATTGAGCTCTCTACCGTCGGCAACCGACGATCACCGCTTACACAATAAGGGAAAGCATAAGCAGGATGTCATGACATAAGCACTCACCTGATGCACGCTCAGCCCGCACCTGACCTCCCCTCACACCTCCCCCCCTTGACACCTTGTTCTGCCGGTGATGTGCAGCAGAGAGATCACACATATAGCGTCACTTACGTAACCAAAAGGAAGCATACTGATGTAAAGCATTACCAAATACATCAACCTACAGACCTTTGTTTGACCGTGTGATGTGCACAGGTGATTCCCCTAATGGTGTCGTTTGCGGGGCTTAGATGGGATTTGCCTGCGGCAATTTACCGTCAAGTCCTACCTAACCTCAGATTAGTTTTATAGGTAATACTTGTCATGCAAATTGCCGCAAGGAAGCAACCTTCGAGGTTTCCTAGCGACCATCTGGCAGTAGGTCTCTATGCATGAGATGACAAAAGGGAAAGGGCCTGTGCCCTTATGGAAAACAAACGAAGCTTAAGACGATGCTATTCTGTCGCGATATTCAGTAGAGCTTCCTTACCTATAATTTTCTAACCATCGTGTGACTTTTTATTCCTCCACTTTTTCGCCACTTTTTTGTTTTCATCGTTAATAAAAACATCTTGGATACAAAGCGGCTGCCACCCATGTGGGTGGGGGGGTTGGAGCTACAGCAGCGTCTCACGTGATGACGTCCAATCATAACCCTAAGACTGTTTGGGGGAAGCAGACATCACGGTTCTCAAAACTGGCTACTATTCAATGTCTAAAACCACCCTGCTCTTTCCTCTAACACACCTCAATTATAGTGCTGCAATCATCGCTTTGCAAATTCGCAACTCGCAGTGTCCCCATGGTAATGTCAGGCCATATCGTGCGCTGGGCAGCCAACTTGATTTTCGCTTAACCCACCTAGTCAGAAAAAAAGATCAATAGGTCTTGGCTCCTGATGCAGCAGCCAAACAAGATTAATTCTGCCTCGTTTAATATGCAATATACCTTAATGTGCAATATATTCAGTCTAATCTGACTGGGCACACTTTTTTTCCGTCGGCAAGCCCATGTATACCCAGACTTTTTTTCTTCTGTGCCGACCATAAAATTCGATATGTGCAGTTCATGCACCACCCTGCATACTGGCAGAATACGATATAAGTACCCATCTTGGGCACCGCTAAAACGATCTCGTCTGCTGATACCAGAAAAAAATGGCTAACGATTCCTCACACACTTTCTATCCATCCTCTCCAACAGACTGCATGTTAGTCTCACCCACACTCTCGCAGTTCAGAAGTTCCCGCACACAGTCCTTTAGCAGCGAAAGGGTAGGTCGCCAGCGCCACAGGGCACCTGGCGTAGGCAGTGCGTTCTTCAGACATGAAAACACACCCGAACGCAGACTTCGTTGATGTATATGAACGCTCCTGACTCTCATATTTAAAGACCTTACGGTCGCCCAGTTTTTTTAACTTATTATATACCAATTACGGTAACTAGTCATCCACTTTTGAATCGGTTTTTCTTTTGCAACGTCTCATCGTGGCTGCGCCGTGCTCATCATCCTTTATCCCCTCCACCTTTTCGACAGAACACAGATGGCCTTGCATAAGCATCCGCAGAGCTTATTACCTAACTTGTGGGCTATTTTCCCGAGCCGATCTTTGCTTGCATCCAGTTGGGAGATATATGAAGATAGTGCGAAACTGAAAAACAGACAACCACATAGAATACAATAAATACTACTTAAACGCATTCCATAGTGCCAATTCGATCGGCCAGCTCTCAATGGGAGCCCAGCCGGTGGCTGAAGACTGTCAATCCATCTGCGGTATCGGCGGTGCCCTCTTGCAATTTGGGTAGGGTTGGTTAACTGCGGGATTCCCGAGCCCGCATTCTAGTGCTGATCGGCGGAGTCATACGCTCTATATTCGCTGTAAGAGGAGTCCCTTGGTGGGGATTGACCTGGCGACCGCTGCGCTAATCTGTTTGCACTTCTACTTAAACAACCGCTGCAGTTTATGCAACACCCTGCACAATTGGCAGAATACGTATAAGCACTCATCTTGAGCATAGAGCGATATCGTCTGCAGTAGCAGAAAAAATGGCTAATGATTCGTCACAAAGTTTTTGTGCCTCTTCAACAGAGTGTATCTTGGTCTCACCTACACTCTCGCAGTTCAAAAGGTCCTGCACACAGTCCGGCAGCGAAAGGGTAGGGCGTCCCCGCCACAGAACGTCTGGCGTAGGCAGCCGCTTCTTCAGACATGAAATCACACCCGAGACCAGACTCAGTTGACGTAAATGATCAGTCTTGGCTCTTCTGTTTAAAGACCGTACAGTCGCACTGTTTTTTCAAGTATTATATACCAACTCAGATAACTACTCATTCCCGTTAGACGTAACATTGTGGCTGCGCCACTCTCGGCGTCATTCACTCCGTTCACCTCCTTCAACGATGTTTCAAATAAACGCTCTCAAAGCGTCTCGATTTTCCCGATCTGAGCGAGCTTTGCTTGCATTCGGTCGAAACATACGAGACAATGGTGCAAACTAAAAAAACAAATTACCTTATAAAATAAAACAAATACTGCTACTAAGACGTATCCTATAGTGCGAATTCCAGTGGATAGCTCTCAATGGGAGCTAATTTTGGGATCCCCCCAGCCGGAGGCTGAGGTCCGTCGCCCATCTGCGGTGTCGGCGGAGTCCCCGTTCGCGATCTGGGTAGGGTAGACTGTGAGTTACCCGAGCCCGCATTCCACTGCTGCTCGGCAGAGTGGTAGACTCTATATGCATCGTAGGAAGGGTCCCGGGGCGGGGACTGGCCTGGCGACCGCCGCGGTTTCACACTATTGACGCTTCCGCTCGAACCACCGCTCCCGCTTCCGCTGCCAGAATCGTTGTAGCCATCGTTCCCGTTGGGCGAGTAATTCGATCTCGATTTTACAGGCTGATGGCCGCCGTGAGAGAATGGACGCGGCGGTTGGTGGTCTGCGCTTAGTGCAGCATTGTTTCCTCGCGTGCTTCGACTAACCATACCATATCGGTCGTTTGCGAGAGACATGATACCATCTAGTTGGAGCTGCTGAGAGAATAGTGCACTGTTCGGGAGAGACGGTCTAGAGCGCGACCCGGAGCCCTGAGAAGGAGGTTCATAAATATTAACAGAAGAGACAGATTGGGCCCTTGACATAGAACGTCTGCTGCTGCGATTCGCACCGTCAAAGCTAAAGTCATTGAGCATGCCAGCGAGATTGGTGGAGCTTCGGGGTAGAGGCGGCGACATGGGTGCTCGGGGCGCTTGCTGGTCTATGCTGTGGTGTCTTCCTCGAGGTACCCCATTGGGAGGAGAGGTCATACCGTTGGGCCCAATCCAAGGTTGAGAATTACTTCTTGGTGTTGACATAGGCATAGGCGGCGGCACACTATTGGGCATACCGCCATTAGGCATATTACCGTTAGGCACAGGGCCGGTGAGACGGCGTCCGTTATTGGGAGCCATTGCGTTGGGATTCGGCGATGGCATGCCGTTTGGAGAAGGGCGAGACGCCTGCTGTTGGCGTTCCCGCTGAATGATCGCTCGCTCTCTGCGCTCGAGCATACGCTCGCGTTGTTCGAGGAGCTGCTCCCGATCGGAGTCTGGGCCACTGCCCGACGAGCTAGTTCTACTACTGGCTCGACTTTCGACAGTCATTTCTTCCTTGGCTTTGGCAATGGCAGCACTCGATCGCAATTGAACCTGCTGCTGGATGGTTTGTTCCATTTCTTGCTTTACTTTGGCAACCTCGGCGTTGACTTGGGTTTGTATATGCTGCTGAATATTGGCTTCGTGCTGCTGAATACTGGCTTCTTGCTCCTCGAGCTTTGCCAAACGCGCGTTCATGCTTTCTTCACGCAGCTCAGACTCCTTCTCGCGTTGTAAAATGCTTAGCTCTTGGTCTTTGACTTCTCTTCGCAAACGAGCTAGCGTAGCTTCTGCAGCTTCTAGATCCTTGGCACGTTTAGTGGTTTCTTCTGAAACGCCCGAGGTTTGCGCTTGGCCAAGATTCCGAGTAAGCAATATTGATGGCTGGTCGTTCACAGACACCAAATGGCTGGTGAAAGCATACAGCGACTCAAGGTATGGAGTTGGTCCGCTCTTGGACAGCTCGTCAGTTAGCACGATAGGAAGCAGCAACAAAAAGTCGAGGGGGAGTGGGTGTTTATTGTAGTACTCTGAGAAAAGCCATGTTGCGTTCTTGATGCGGAAATTTGCCGGAGCCCTGCGGACGAGAGTCGAGCTTGATTTCACAAACTGAGACTTTGAGGGCAGGCCCTTGACGCCAGCAGCTTGGGCAATTGATGTCAATTCACCAATCAGACCATCGATAATTGGCTTTGCAACGACATCACCAACAAGGTCTTCGACTGTGGGTTTTCCCAGGGCAACTCCCAAGAGCTCAAACACGACAACCGTGATACATCTCTCCCACTGCAGAGCACCAAATGAAGCAACGTTTTTAGGATGTTGAACAGGGATACCACACGACTGCAGTGCGGTTGCCAATGTGGCAGTGATCTTGGGCGCCACGGGTTCGATATAACAGCCCGGTTTGGGGCCAGTGGAGGAGGAGTCGCCATATTGGTGGACCTCGAATTTCGGCTGTTGTTGGCAAACAATTACTGCTTTGAAATCGCAAATAATACCAACCACTTGGTTTTTGCTTAGCTGGGGTCGGACAAGTCTTTGCTGCAACGGACCAGTTCCACCCGAGACATCGACGAGAATTAAAGTGCGTTTGTCGATGACGGGTTGAATCTTTTTGCACATTCTAGACACGTCCTTGATCGAATTGATGACCAGCAATACAATGTTCATACGAGGTGTTCCTGGAGGGAGGTTTTGAATGTCCAGCTGATTAGGCACAAAGGTCGAGGGGCCCTTGCCAAATATATCGGTAGTGAATGTCACTTCATTGGTAGGCCAATATGTGTACACGTTGTACAGATTTGACTGAGACAGCCTCCAAGTCAGTAATGCTGAAGTGGCATTGAAGCCCACTGTCATGAAAGTCGCGGGCATGTGTGCAGTTGGAAAAGAGGCGTTGATGCGGTTGGGATGAGATCACAGATTCCTTGAAAAAAAGCAGGCCGCGGTAGTGGATGAAATAGAGTGCCCCTGTAAAAGTAGTTTGCGGTAGAATAAGTCCAGACCACGACACGAGCCTTTTGTACTTACGGAAACAACAATGCCGAACCGACCGGATGGGTAAGCTAAAGAAAGAAGTAAAGGGACCTGGGGGGCGGAATGCTAGGGGATACAAACAACCAACAACAGCGGAGTTCGAAACAAGCACACGAGACTACCAGAAAATGTCCAATGCGGGCTAGGAGGGAACGAATCTAAGCGCAAATCTGGGTATCGCGTCTAGATGGGGTTCCGGTCTCTAAAGTGACGAGAGAGCTCAGAAAGAATGTGTGTACACAGCAGAAAAGCCAAAAACAAGCTAATCTAAGGACACGAACGCAACTACCCGTATACCTTGACTGATCAAAGCAGAGATCTCTTCAAAAACTGTGCTGCCGGTGACAACGTTAAGAGGACTTGCCTTAGTGATCGTCCGGTGTGAGCAAGTTCTGAAGAAGCCGCTGACTAAGCGGGAAGCGTCTCCCACATCTCCTGCCGATAAGATACATCGAGGTGGAAGGCATCATAAAAAGCTGGCAAGCAGCGCAGGTGGAATATTTCGACCTGGAATATATGTACGCAAAATAATTCTAGCGCTGGTACTTGTCTGGGGCGCTGGCCAGTAATGGACCGGCAAACCAACGTGGCTGGTCTCTGTTTGATGGCCCAATTTGAGTTCCAAGCAGGCCGAAAGTTTTGCATTCGACGCTGCACCAGGCTGTACCTAGCATATCCTATGCGGAGGCTGTACCTATTTTTGGACGGCTCGTAGGCTTCCTGCTGACAACCCCTACCCTTGTAGAGGTTCCAAAATGATAATACACTGCGGAGGGCACACACAAAACAAATGAAAAACATGTAACGTAGGGGAGTGGAGTCGAGCCAAACTGTGCAGTGCTGCAAATAATGCTGTCAGCGTTTGTTTTGCGACAGGCCTTGTCCTGCGGGCTGCCACTTTACATGTGTATCGCACTTAGCCGAAGCTGATGCGAACAACGCTCTACGGGCGACCTACTCAGATGGTTAAATTGTGGGCATAAACATGTGTAAGCCCCGAGCTCGACGCCCCGGGGGGACAAGGGTGCCTAGTTTCACAAACCGAAACTTCAGGGATCGACAAATAACGTTTTCATAATGCCCAAAGCATGTTTCACATCCACTAGCAACATACCAAACAGACCACCTGCGTTACTAAGAGCCGCATTTGCATCATTATAGGCTTCCAGTGACATAAGCGTCCTCCCTTGGGTAAAACCGAAAAAGGGGGAGGCGGGAGGGGGGCTGGAAAGAGAAGGACAGAGCGTGTGTCAGCAACATGTCAGCAAGGTATGGGGTGTACGAGCGGACCAGAATATTCAACTCTCTGATAGGTGAAAATTTGTCATACGCTCGAATCTTGACAGGACACCCCGCGTTAAAATGGACGCCGATAAGCTTGCTAAATTGAAGGCCTCCATGGCCAGCTCCCGTATTGGTGGCAAAGGTACCCCCCGCCGCAAGGTTAAGCGCGTCGTGAAGGGTGAAGGCAATGACCAGAAGGTGCAGGCTGCCCTGGCTAAGCTCAACCCGCAGACCATCACTGGTATTGAGCAGGTCAACATGTTCAAGGACGACAACCGCGTTATTCACATTTCCCGCCCCGCTGTTCAGAACGCCCCCGACTACAACACTTTTGCTATTCACGGTTATGCCACCGAGAAGAGCGTCGAGGAGATGCTCCCCGAGATGATCCAGTCTATGGGCCCCGAGTCTCTTGAGCAGCTCCGCAAGCTCACCGAGCAGATCCAGGCCGCCCAGGGTGCCAACGCCGGCGCCAACAAGGAGGCTGAGGACAGCGAGGTCCCCAACTTGGTTGAGGGCGAGACTTTTGATCGTGAGGTCGATTAAATTCATCCAACCTTTTTGTCGAGGGTTATGCATGTATAGCTTTTATTTGCGACATAAAATAAAAGAGACTACGTTCTCTCTACATAAACCCACTTCCCTCGTGTTTCAAGCCGCCCTGCTCTCACGGTGGATGACTAAACCGCAAGCATATCCCCTCGGGACCGTTGATAGCGTCCAAGACCGGTCTTGGCACATGCCGGTCAGGGCAAGTGATCCGAGAGATTTTGATAGACAGAGAATGTAAATAGGGTGCCGCGCGGTGCCAAACTTTATGATTGAGAGTTTATTCTGCCACGTACATCGCCCCGGTGATCGTCCAGCGCAAACTTCGGCCAACTTAGTGGAGCTGGCGTCATGCGCATGCACTGCACAGGGTTGGGCGCCGATCCACTATAAAAGCGGCCCATACACCTTGTTGCCCATTGAAAGATGCTGCAAACCCAAGAACGTGACGAAGATGTACGCCAAATCGCGACAGTGATTGACCCTGAGGCCCTGGTTGACTCTGTGCAGGAGAACGTGGGGTCGAGCGCCCACGCCCTCTCAGATCGGATTATCCAGGAAGTCTGCAACTCGATTTCGACCCCAGCACCCAAGTTCAAGTTGGCCCAGACATCCAATTCGCCCGCTGTTGCTGCAGAAACCGTTCGCCGGCTCCTGAGTCTCGACGGCAAGCCTGAGCTCAATCTTGCCTCCTTTGTCTCCACATACGTGGATAAGGAGGGATTGGAGCTGTGCAAAGAGAATATCACAAAGAATCTCGCCGATGGCGACGAGTACCCCGCACTGATGACCATCCAGAAGCGCTGCGTCTCTATTCTCTCTCATTTGTGGAATACTCAAGACGGCGAGACCGGCGTGGGCACTGCTACCACCGGTTCTTCTGAGGCTATCCATTTGGGTGGCTTGGCCATGAAGCGTCGTTGGGAGGCCCGCCAGAGAGCCAATGGCCGTCCCACTGATAAGCCCAACATCATTATGGGTGCCAATGCCCAGGTCGCGTTGGAGAAGTTCGCCCGCTACTTTGATGTCGAAAACAGGTTCCTCGACGTGCATGCTGGTTCCGATTTTGGTTTTGACAACGAGGATCTCAAGAAAAACGTTGACGAGAACACAATTGGTGTGTTTGTTATCATGGGCTCTACCTACACTGGCCACTACCAAAATGTCAAGGCGGTCGCCAAGGCTTTGGACGAAGTGGAAAAGGAGAAGGGCTGGGACATTCCAATCCACGTCGATGGTGCTTCTGGTGCTTTTGTTGCTCCTTTTGTCACACCTGAGCTGGAATGGGACTTCAGAGTGCCCCGCGTCAAGTCCATCAACACTTCAGGCCACAAATTCGGCCTCACACCCGCTGGTTGCGGTTGGATCATTTGGCGTGATCGCAAGTTCCTTCCTGATGAGCTGCTCTTCACCCTCAACTACCTGGGTGGAAGCGAAGAAACCTATACTTTGAATTTCTCTCGTCCTGGCCATCCGATTATCTATCAATACTATGAAATGATCAAGAATGGTCACGCAGGATACAAAGCGTTGCACTCAATGGCGCTCAAGAATGCCCGCATTCTGTCTATTTTCCTCGAGCGAACCGGATACTTTGACGTACTTTCTGACATCCACCGCCCCGCCGGCAAGAAGTTCGTCGACAAGTTCCCTCCTCCCAGCAGCTTTAATCCCAAGCTTCCTGAGAGCTATTACAACCCTGGCTTGCCTGTTGTATCTTTCGGCTTCAGCGACGATTTCCGCAAGCAGCATCCCGGCCTCCCTCAAGAGTCTATTTCAGCTCTTATGCGTTCTCGCGGATACATCATCCCGAACTACCCCATGCCTGCTGCGGAGGAAAAGCACGAGGTTTTGCGAGTCGTTGTCAATGCATATCTTACCGTTGACTTTGTTGACAAGCTCATGGAGGATCTGATCAAGGCTGTGAACAGATTGTTGCAGATGGAGAAGAGCCTTGGAGGCAGAGCAACTAGTGATGTTGTCTACACTGCTTTGGCTGCAGTTTCTGCCACCGATCATGACGAAACCGACCATGAGACGAGCTGGAAAGAGCGTACTGGTCACAAGAAACACCACCACTCGCGTTGTTAAATGTGCACTTGCGTGTCTGTCCGAGGCTTCTCTTTTTTGGCTGGCGACCTTATCGCCACTTTCAAGTAGCAAGTAGAAATGGTGAAGTATACGTGAATCAGAAGATGTGTGATTCAAACGCCTCTCTCACTTGTAGTCACCTTTTGAGTTTACTTCTTTTTTTCAGGGGCTCTTTCAAGGGGTTTTCTTCAGAAGTCTTTTCTTCAGGATTTTTTTCTTCAGGATTTTTTTATAAACGAATGTACAGCTATGAAACCGGCGAATTATCGGGTGTCAACATCTGGACACTCGGCACTGCTGCTACATGAGCGAATTCAGTACCAGAGGACTCCTTTGCGACAAGCAAAGAGGACAAATCCAGTGTACTATGGCACCATTCAGCGAATTTTAAATAAGGAACATGGACCTTCCAATCAAGTGCTTTGAGAAGGTCAAGTTCCATGGCGACGATTTGCTTGGAGGGAAGGCAAGAAATTTTGGACCACGCAGTTGCGCCAAAGCTCCGGTCGATGTGGTATTTATGAGCAACGACCAGGGCAGCCAAGAATACACGGCGCCCACAGCCAAGGGTAGCGCAATCGACAAGAGCGTTTGGATCGTCCTTGCGGCGGTTGTTTGCCCACTCACGGGCCAACGAGCAGTAGTAGACGGCTAATTGCAGCAGAGCATACGAAGTGCAAGAGCGGCGCACAGCCTCCGAAATAAAGTGGCGGACCATTTTCCGCGAAACGGTGTCGGAGGGCCAGGTCGAAACAATCAGGTCAGTTGCAAAGTCAATGAGACGGTCTCCGATCTGGGACTTGCATTTTGTGCTAGCGGTCTGGTTCCGCAACTTCTGGCAAGCCTTGACGGCAAGCTCGGAGCTGTCGATTTGACGACGACTCAGACGCTTGTTGCGGGTGTTACGCTGGGCGACCAACGAAGCAACGTCGCGAGAGACTGGTGTCATATAAGGCGCCTCATGGCCAGGCTGGCTAGACGGCTGCTGAGCCACCGGCTCGGGCTGCTGCTTTGAGACAGGCAGCTCGACAAAGGCCGCGGATATTACACCTGTTTTCCAAATAGGGGACTGGGTTACGGTCATAATTGGAGAAACAAAAGGTTGGAGAAAAAAAAAGAAAAACAAAGAGTAAATTCAAATAAAAAGAAAGGTAAAAGGATTCCACTTAAAACACACGAAAGGTGTAATTGACCACAAAATAGAATTATTTCAAGCTCTCAGTGAGAGCCTCAAAAAACAATCTTGGCGATCATCGCTTTCGATTCTGGCAACACAAAAAATAAGAGAAAAACAAAAATAAAACAAATGGAAAGGGGGCGATTAGAACAGAGTTGAAGCTGTAACAATCAGGAACGGTCAATTCAGTTGACTTGCTCCAAGAAAAAGGGCAGAAGCGGAAAAATTCACTGGCCGATTAAAACAGTGTTGAATATAAGTTAGCCTGGATTCGTGCGTACCGTAAGTAGCGCGTGGGGTTCCAAGATAAGAGTGTGTCGTTAAGTGGAGTGGCACGAGATCGGTGGAGAGCGCTATCATTCTTTTTAACCCAGCGGCTCCTAGGGTATGGGCTGAGCGTAATGAGTCAACGCCGAGTGACTCAACTGCCGGAGTTTTCCTCGTGGTCCCACATTTGCAGGCTTCTTTTTGCGACAGTTGTATGTGCTCTGACTTTTGCACCTCCAAGGCATTTCTATACTAGTGATTAGCCCCCGCCAATGCCTCCTCCTCGTGGCCAGAGCGTTACTGTTCTATGTGCCTTCGTTGCATCAGCCCTTACCCAGATTATGTTTTCAGACTCATATCGGACTACGGCCATCGTCATAATGGCGCAATTGTAGCGATAACGGCAAAGTGACTCTTATGACGGTATTCCACGGCCTATGCCGAGCCACTAACGCATACCCATCCTCCGCTAGGCCAATTCAGCACCGCTGTCTAGCCCAGCGTGCAGAATGCTGCTGCACCTTGTTTAACGAGGCATTGTACCCGGACCGTTTCGGCTGTCAATAGCGACGACGGCACGGCCGCTCCGAGATGGCCGCGCTCTCATCCGAGCTCGCGCTGACTAAGCCAGAGGCGAAGGCCTCGACGTCGACCTCTGGGTTGCTTACGTCTAAAATCCCAACAGTATTTAATGGTGAAGGCAAATGACGAGCCTAGTGAAGGTGTAGGCGACCATGCCGACGGGCAGGCCGATGGGAGCAGTTCAATTCAACAGATTGACTCCGCTGAAGATATGGGGCCACCGGCCGATCTGCCCCCGGGCTCTCCCTCGAGCAACCTCACATCAACACCGACGGCAGGCTGTTCTCCAAAGCGGCCAAAAGGCTCTGCAGAGGCGTCATTGAAGGTGCAAAACAGCCCGCAGCAGTCCGGCTGGTTCCATCCATCTGTCCAGTCTGCATCGAAGTCGCTTTTTCGCCTGTTTCGCAGCCCGTCGTCGACCTCAATTGCAACCATGCCGGTGATGGCCTCAGATACCTCGCGAGCTAGCTTCACAGACCCAATGTTTGGCGAACTAGAGCGAAATGGTCAGACGGGGAATCTCTTATCGCCCAAGGATGCGAAAGCTCTGAGCAAGAGCGTGGACAAGGTGGCCGAGGCCGCTGAACGGTACCAAGAGGCTATCAAAGCGATGGCCGCGGCCTCTGCAGATTTAGGAACAGCCCTCGAAGAGCTCTCAAAGAACAAGGGCCTCGAAAAGGCATCGTCAGGTATCTCTGCTGCTGGAGGACTTCAATTGCTAGTGTCAAACCACGCCCAGCTGCTGGCAGCAAGCGTGGAGGAAAAATTTGTTGAACCTTCAAAGCGGGGGCTTTCGAATTACAAGGAGGATCTTAAGGACCGGGAAATGAGCTTTCAGAGCGAGCTGAAACACCGTACATTGACGTTACGCCGCGCAGAGTCCTTGACCCAGCGGCAATCCAGAGCTCGACACCGCAATCTAGCCACGTACCGGTCGACTTTGCTGGATCTCACATCGCAAATCGACGACATCAATCGTCTCAAGTACGAATTTCTATCGGATTTGTATATGTCGGCCAATGATCTCGGAGAACAGCTGGAACGCCAGGTTGCTAGCATGGTGACGGCTGAGATCGAAATCTACGATAGTATTGCTCGGAAGGGGTGGTCAGGAAACGGACTCGATCACTTAATAGCAGGATGCCCCGACCCCTTCGAAGCCACCGATAAAGACCGCGACGAGCACTCTGAGGCTATAGATGTTGCAGTCACTACGTCACCGGAAACGGGAGGGCCTACTCGGCAGGCTGGATCCACGTCGCCCCCGACCAACTTGTTTTCCGTTCTACCTAATACTTCCATTCTTCCCAAACACGAGGACGAATTTCCTGCATTTAACGACCATGACTACGACCTTCATAACCCACACAGGTTACCTGTGAACGGTGGAGCTTGAACAGTTTTTTTTTATTATTTTCCTTGATAGCTGACTAGATGTATTGATAGGTTATTTGGGTGCTTCAACTGCTGCGTCAATTGCAATCTCTCTGGGGGTTTCAGGAGGCGAAAACATGTTTTGGACCGTCTCGCTGAACGAGTACCCGAGGCTGCGGTTCCAATTGTAGACGCGGATGAGCTGGAACCCAGCCACGCAGCCCAAGAAAAAGTTCACTGAAGCAAGCAAGTAGTTGCGGGGCTTGATAATCATGCACCAGCGGGTCCAAATGAGACCAGTGGCCGTGAGAGCGATTTGTTGAGTTCCTGACACTTTCTCCACAGGGCGATTGAGGTCCTTGGCGCCAGCAATAACCAGCGACCATTTCATGACCGGCGCCCAGAAGTGGACTGTGCGCGGGCCCGTGGGCGAATTCATGAACCTCCAGAACGCTGAAGATGTGTGTGAAGCCATGGATGAAAGAAGCTGGCCAGGACTGCTGACTGATTGCAACGAAGTCGGGGTTACCCCGCCGGTTGGGATTTGGCCGATCAAACGCATCGGAACAATTACTCTCGCTATTTGCTTGATTGTGCACAACACCATGCGTTTGCGGGCTGCCTGGCTGGTTTCGGGGTAAATTCTGCCCCTGTAGTGTCTTCGAACCGGCATGCCATATGGACCAATCGTACTCTCACCAAATTTGTCATCCCAAATGTCAAAGTACGTCTTCCCCAAGGCTCTCAAGGAGTTACGGATCCACTTCAGCCAGTCTGGGCCCGGATCAGAGACCATCAAGTAAGTATGACGACACACAAGGTGCACAGTACTAACCAAGAACCTTTTTGACCAAGACATATCCTGCCCTCAAGAAGAACAACCCCAACACACCTATTCTCATTCGGGAGGCTCTGGGCATCAAGCCTGTTGCATACGCTCGTTTTGGTAAGTTTTGAACGCACGGCCTAGCCGTGTTTAAATTGGAGCAACAACTAACCGACAGAGTATGGACAAGAAGCTAAGGCCGATCTTAGCAATGCCAGTGATGTTGCAACCACTCTCAAGGAGCTGATTGAGCGCCGCTAGTGCACTAGCTGTATGTACAACCCCACTTTATTTACAAGTTAAAAAAGAACTCATATCTCCAACCGGCGCGAAAAAACGCCATATAACCCTCGCACCTCCAAGCCCTGTCCGCCTCGGTTTGATCTTCATAGCCGTTGACTCAGCAGCTTTTAACCTTGTAACAAACGCGCTCCTGCTCCGGTTACAATGGAAGAGTTACCGCGCACGAGTGGCCTTTGGGTCGAGCAGACGCTCACAAAAATCCTTGAAGTGCTGTCGCATATCCCGGGGTCCAAGATTATTGGCCGCTACATCAAGCGGTCGCACCAGAACGATCCCATGCGAACGGTGTTTGAAGTCATTCTGTTCGGGTTCACAGTGGCATATTTTCTGGCCTCGAAGCGGCCGTACGACCAGCGTACCCACGTTAATTTCACGGAGGAGGAGATCGACGAGCTACTGAAAGAATGGCGGCCTGATCCTCTGGTCGACCCGTTGACGGAGGAACAGAAGAAGCTCCTGGATTTAGCTCCCGTCATTGTCGGTGAAAATGGACCCAAAGTACATATCAAGGGCAGTGATGGCGAGTTTATGAATTTCACAAGCACGGACCTGCACAACTTTGCTCACTATGACAGCTTAAAGAAGGCGGCTGTCGAGACCATTCGCTACGCCGGCGTTGGCTCTTGTGGTCCCGCCGGCTTTTACGGAAACGAGGACTTCCATAACAATGCCGAGGCCGATATTTCCAAGTGGCTGGGCACTGAAAGCAGCATGCTGTATGCTCAGGACAACGCCACAGCCCCTTCGGTTCTCCCGTGTTTTGCCAAACGCGGTGATGTGCTCGTGATTGACCAGGCAGTGAACATTTCGCTGCAAATTGGCGCGCGTCTCTCGCGTGCCAAGATCTTCTGGTTCCGTCACAACGAGATGGAGGATTTAGAACGCCAGCTAAAGTACGCCTGCAGCCTGCACAAAAAGGGTGCGTTACCCCGTCGTTTCATCATCACTCAGGGCCTGTTTGACTACACTGCGAACTCGCCCGACCTCAAAAAGGTTGTCGAGCTCAAGAATAAATACAAGTTCCGTTTAATTCTTGACGAGTCTTGGTCGCTGGGTGTGCTGGGCCAGCACGGCCGGGGTCTGCCCGAGGAACAGGGCGTTCCTCGCAGCGATATTGACATTACGATCGGCTCTCTTTCCGCAGCGATGGGGTCCTCGGGTGGGTTCTGTTCTGGCGCCAAACTAATTATTGATCACCAACGCATCACTTCACTTGCTTATACGTTTTCTGCAACTTGCCCGCCGTACTTGGCCCGAGTGGCAAGCGAGGTGGTGAAAATGCTCGAAGACGAGCAAGTCGGGCCCCCCATGGTTGCTGCACTGCGCGACAAGGCGTCCATCGTCTACAAGACCCTGCAGCGCCAAAAGCATATCCAGCTGATCTCTCGCCCAGACAGCCCCCTGGTGGTGTTTTGCCTGAGCGATTCGCTAGCAGAAAAACTCGACACCGAGGCCGCTGTAGAGCAAGTCCTGGACGCAATTGTGCTCGAAAGCCGCAAATATGGCGTGCTGATCTCGCGTCTCCAGCAGATTCAGGAATTCGAAAAGTATACCCCCATCAACGCTATCCGGCTCTACGTGCCGAATGGGCTTTCAGAATCTGAAGTCAAGAACGCTGCATCCTTGATTTCCAAAGCCATCACCAAAGCGGCCAAGCAATAGTCGCTCCATCCATACATTTTGTGTTCATAATTTAGCTTACCTTTCGCCCCACTGTCAAATTTCCTTACTCATCGAAATCAAGCCATCATGGTCAAGCTCTGGGGGTGGTGGAAGAAGGATTCACAGGCTAGCGACCCGATCCCGGCGCCGGAATCAGCACAGTTGCTGGAGGACCGTCCTCCGAAATTTGAGGATGACGTCGAGAGCGCTGCCGCACTACGCAAGGCTGCAAACCCGAGCATCGTGGACACAGCCAAGAAGATTGGCATTGAAGATTTCAAGAATGTCAACAACATCCCCTGCTTCAGGCAAGCGATTATGACCGGTTTCAGTATCGGTGCGGTTACGGCTTTGGTGCTTTATGTATCTAGACGCCCGACCAAGGCCGCAAACTGGGGCATGGGCGGGTTTTTGCTTGGATCGGTCGTGTCCTGGGAACAGTGTCGGTTCCGTATGCGCGAGGGCAAGAAGTCCATGCAAAAGGCCCGGGAGGTCTATCGCAAGCATGAGTCGGAAAAATGATCCGGATCCGGGGAATGTGACCTGTCACATGAAAGGGCTGGCCCACACTATTTGAGGCGTCGTCGTACTGTACATAGAAACCACTTTTTATTAATTATGGCAAAAAAGGCTCCAAAGGCGTCGTTGTTACAGAAATTGGAGGGCCTTTTGGTGTAAGTAGCGCGCGGGATCTCTCGGGTTTGCACAGACAGCTAACCGCAGAATTATTCTGACCACAAGCGGATCGGCCAAATCAGCCATCTCCACGGTCACGAAAAGAAACCCATATGTGGCGCTTTTGTTATTTTTGATGGTGGTTTTGACTATGCCGCTGTTGATGGCAGTGACCATAATCATCGTACTGTTTTTCACGGGCGCGGTGAGCAGTACGGTTGTGACAATCTCGATCGTGGCCCCAATCATTCTGATGGCTGCCTGGTCCAGCTTTCTTTTGTGGATGTTTCTCGTGGGCGGGACCTACGTTTACCGACGCACTCTGGCTGGATGGACCGCCTGGCGCCAGATTGTCTCCAGGTTTGTTCCGAAACCAAAGCCTGCCGAAGAGCCTGCGCAGGCAATTTTGGAAGAGTTCGAGACTCAATTGGCTAGTCTAAAGCCACCGGGAACCGACGGTTGGCCGGTACTTTCGTTCGATCCCCTGCTAGATAACGAGCCATACTTCCAGCCCCTTGAAAAAGATTTGGGAGACAGCACTATTCTGACTTCATTGAAAACACCAATCATTGTTTCAACGCCGGTAGCCCCAGCAGACGAGACCATTTCCGAAGCTGACGGCGATTTATCCGCCTGAATCTCCGGGGCAGAGTGCGTCAGCACTCATGCAGTGCAAGGGCATTACCGTCCAAGGAAACCGATGTAAACTTCAGACAAATAATGAGTATTGTCGATTCCATCGCGCAAATAATACCCCTGATGGATATATTTATGCCTACACGCTATGGTCCTTTGAAAATGCCGAAGTTTACAATCATAACAAACAGCGTTTCGAGCCTATAAACACACGCGGGATAAGAAAGCTGCTTTTTTGGCGCAAACCAACCAGACAGGTCCTGATTAAAGTGGGGTATACAACAATAGAGCCAGCAGACCGGATAGATCAATGGCAAAGGCAGTGCGGGCACCCTCTCAAATTGATCTGTCCGTCGTCGCGAGCAGCTCCTCATTTTGACACAAACCACCAGGGCTGGCGATGCCGGAACCCGCATTCCACGGAAAAAGCCATCCACAATAAATTGCATGCCCAGTTCGGCCGCGGTAAAGTCCAATGCAGCTGTAAACAGGGACGAGGGATCCATGTCGAATGGTTTCTTGTGCCCAAAAACCGCCTCAAAGATGCAATCAAAATTATTGATCAGATTATTTCTATATAGTCTAAAACGGAGTCGAAAATAAAAGCCAAAAGTGGTGGGTCCTCCGGTGGTGCGTTCAGGTGCACAGACTGTCGTCCCGAGGCTTTAGATGGCCTAAATCAGGAAGCCAGTTGAGTATCTGTCCAAATCGGTTTGACGTTGGTATCTGTACCAACACCACAATGGCCGCCTTGGGCTTTCCAGTCTGCAACACGCTTGAGGCTAAGACGAGTAAAGACGTCTTCAAGAGCTTCCACCAACTCAGTGGCCAGCTCCTCAGAGTGGCCAGGGGTGGGAGTGATACGCAGACGCTCCTCTCCAATTCTAACTGTGGGGTAATTGATAGCTTGCACATAGATGCCATGATCTTTCAACAGCATATCCGAAGCCTGCTTGGCCAAGTCAGCACTGCCAACAAGAACAGGCACGATGTGACTGGGATTAGGAATAACGGGGATGCCGCGCTCGGCAAGACGCTGCTTCAAAGCCCGGGTATTATGTTGCTGAGCACGACGGCTGGCATTGGACGCACTCTGGACCTGGATAGCCGCCGTTGAGGCAGCCATCACGCTGGGAGGTAAGCTGGTGGTGAAAATAAACCCGGGGGCATACGAGCGAATCCAGTCGATAAAGTTGACACTGCCAGCCACATAACCGCCAACACTACCATAAGCTTTGCCGAGAGTGGCGGTAATGATGTCAATACGGTCCATAACGGTCCGACGGCCACTAAGAGGAAGAGTGCCATTGCTGGCATAATAATCATAGTCCAGGTGTTCAGCAACTCCTGCACCATGGGGGCCGTACATGCCCACGGCATGGACTTCGTCCAAGAAAGTAAGGGCACCGTACTTGTCGGCCAGATCACAAATAGCCTCGATTGGGGCAATTGAGCCGCACATGGAGTACACACTCTCAAATGCAATGACTTTGGGAGTGGATTTGGGAACGGCCGCGAGCTTGGCTTCGAGATCGGCCAGATCATTGTGCTTCCAGATAACTTTGCGAGCACCCGAGTGTTTGATACCCTGAATCATGGAGGCATGGTTCATTTCGTCCGAAAAATAGATGAGGTCTTTGAACCGCTGGCCAAGCAGCGTCAGTGTAGCGTCATTAGCCACATAGCACGAGGAAAAAACCAGGGCAGCCTCTTTTCCGTGTAACTTTGCCGCAGTTTCTTCAAGCTTGATTGCATGCCTGTTGTGGCCGGCAATATTGCGCGTACCACCGGCGCCTGTTCCGTACTTGTCGAGGGTCTCGTGGGCAGCTCTCAGCACTTCTGGATGCGAACCCATACCCAGGTAGTCGTTGGCGCACCACACGGTGACTTTTTCAGCCTCCGAGGTGGAGTGCGCGCGGGGGAACTCCTTGGCCAGTCGATTGATGTTGTTAAAAAACCTGTACGACTTGTCCTTGCGCTTGCGATCAAGCTCCTCCTTGTACACCGACTCATAGTCCGTGGCGGGGTCCTTCTCGGTCACATGCTCGGCATCAAGGGCAGTCGGCCGAGGCAAATCAAACTCCACCGAGCCTACAGCGCCCCCACGGGGTGTCGAGTGGACGGGTGCGGCAGAAGTGGCCGGCGCAGTAGTCACTTTGGACGAGTGCGCGGCTCGACGCTGCTCCATTGCAGAAGCCATCACGGGGCACCCCTGGGCCTTGGCAGCAAGACCCTTGGCGTTTGCGAGACTGCGCAAGGCAGCAGTCGATGTTGTCTTCAAAAAAGGACACAGGTGTTTGGACTGAGCAATGATTTTATCCATGGCCAGGTATAAACGTTGACAGAGGAAAATTAACTGCTCTTTATAAACCACTCCCAGCCGGTTGGTTAGTCACGAATTTTTTTCGAAAAAAAACAGTCAGACGCGGTTGGCGACGGGATTTTAGCGCAGGTCTGCATGAAGGGCAGTTAAAGTAGTTAGCCCATGTGAGAATAATTAAAGTTACAGATTTAAGAATTCATATACGTAGACGCATCGACGCCCTCCTCAGGATAGGGCGAGATCTTGACCTCGAAGCGTTCCTGGATCTGGGAAAGCACCTTCTCGTCCTCCTCGCTGGATACAAAAGAGACGGCTAGGCCCTTGGTACCAAAACGACCGGCTCGGCCTACGCGGTGCAAGTATTGGTCGGCCTCGGGGGGCATGTCGTAGTTGATGGCGAGGTTGATACGTTCAATGTCAATACCACGGCCAAAGATATCGGTGGAAACGCAAATGCGTTTGTTGAACTCCTTGAACTGACGGTAGTGCTCGATACGCTCGTCCTGGCGCATGGCACCGTGGACGGCAATCGATGGGAAGGAACACTCGTTCAGGAGCTGGTTCAGCTGGTTTGCCCGGCTGGTCGAGCGCACAAAAATAATCACCTGGTTGAACTCCAGCGAGTCGAGCAGGTTGTTCAGCTGGCGGTTCTTCTCCTTCTCCTCCAGCTTCACGTAGTACTGCTGAAGACCGTGCAGAGTCAGCTTGGCCTCGTCGTCGACGTAGATCTCAAGCGGGTTCTGCATGAACTTCTTGCAAATCGCCCGCATGTCCGGAGCTAACGTAGCACTAAACATCATAACCTGCTTGGTCTTGGGCGTCGCGCGGAAGATCTCCTGAACGTCACGGCGCATGTCAACCGCCTCCAAAACCTTGTCGCACTCGTCGACAACAAAAGTGCGAATGTTGTCGAGCTTCAGTGCTTTCTCGCGAATCAAAGCGTCCAACCGGCCAGGCGTGCCCACAACAATGTTAGGGGTCCGCTCGGGGTCCTTGAGAAGCTCCTTGTCTTTGGCAATCGACACACCGCCGTAAAACACCGAGGTGCGAGCGTCGGGAAGATACTTGGAGAAACGGTCGTACTCGTTCTTGATCTGGTACGCAAGCTCACGGGTGTGGCACAAAACAACAACGCTCACCTCACCGGGGGTAGGCTCCAGCTGGTTGAGGGTAGACAGAACAAACACGGCGGTCTTACCGAGACCTGACTTGGCCTGGCACAACACATCAACACCCATGTTGGACTGAGGAATAGCCTCCTGCTGAACCTCACTGGGGTGCTCGAAACCGCAATCTCCAATCGCCCGGAGAAGCTCGTCCTTGAGGAGGAGGTCCTTGAACGAGGTCGAGTGGACGCCCACGTAGGAGCCCTTGGTATCGCCATTCGCAGCAGCACCAGAACTCTCCTCCTTGGCCTCGGAAGCAGCAGGAGCTGCTTCTTCGGTATCAGAGTAGTCCAACAATTCCTCTTCGCGTTTAGACATGTGTAGTTTAGATTGGCAAGTGACTAAGCCGGGCTGTATTTAAAACCTTAACCTGATGTGCTGATGCAGCGATCCAAATAGGTCACATGGGTAAAATATATAGAAAAAGTCGCACGGTAAAGAAGACAAAAAAAAGGGCACTATGAAATGTGATCAGGGGTTATACTAGTCGCTTGCCGCTCGAGCTCCTTCAGCCGTCCTGCAGCTTTGGGGTGTTTTTGCTCGAGCGCTTTGGCAAACCAGTGCTTTGCTCGGTCTGGCGCAGCTGTAACGCCAATACCATATTCGTAGAAATGGCCCAGGCAGAAAAAGGCTCGGCCAAATCCCCGGTCGGCTGCTCGCTGGGCCCATAAGAATGCCTCGGTCTCTGATTTCCTCAAAACGCCGATGGCTCCTGTCCAGTACCAGCCTGACAGGGCCAATTCAGCTTCGGCATCTCCTTGTTCTGCTGCAGCAGTATACCAAGAAATGCTTTTCTGGGGATCGAGCTCGCATCCGAGCTCTTTGTACTCGTATGCATGGCCAATTCTAAACTGCGATGGAGCATACCCAAGTTTGGCTGCTTGGTAGAAAAAACTAAGAGCCTTGGCTGCATCTCGCTGAACGAGGCTGCTGCTAGTATTTGAGGAGCCTGTCGACTTGATGGAGGTCACGCTTGTTGATCTTCGGTGATGACCCTCAGAGTGCTTGCGTGAGTGGGTGCTGGATCTACGTCGGCCACAGCTTCGCTCCCCACCCTCATAGATTAGCCCCAGTTCATGAAGAGCATGCGGTGAAGACGCATTTCCAAGGTCGGACGCTCTAAGAAGCCACGTCAGGCCCTCTTCGAAATTATTGCCGTCCAGTGCAAGCATTCCGAGTTTATACATAGATGAGACATCTCCGAGCTGAGCAGCTCGTTTGTACCAAGTGAGCGCCTTGTCGACATCTCGTCGCGTGCCAACCCCGAGCTCGTAACAAACAGCCGCCCGGTAAGAAGCTTGAGCATGGTCAGCTTTGGCTGCTCGTGTGTAAAGATCGAAAGCTCTTGCCGCATCAACCTCTAGCCCTAAGGCACCAGTAGAGTAGCTGCAGCCAAGAAAATACGCAGCCTCGGGCAACATGACTTTAAGGGCGAGTTTTCTCGTAATGGCTAACGCTTCTCTTGTCCAATGATCACGATTTCGCTGCTCGACCTTGCCGTCAACATGCATAGTCGATGGGGTAGCTGGATCAGTATATCGAGAAGCCAATACCTCAGCCGCCTCAGCTAGTGCCTTTGCATACTCCATCTGCACTTCAGGGTCATGAAACTGGGCACAGGCATTCCGCCTGATAGCTTCAAATCGCTCGATATCAAGCTTCTGAGGCTTCTCGGTCTTGCCTTCGTTGTATTGGCGACGCTGAGGCTGCGGTTTTGCGTTCGCAGCCAATGCGCCAAACTGAGAAGAGGTAGAATCTTGTCTGGACGAACTGCTTCTATCGCCGATTTTGATATTAACTGTCGGCATATGCAGAGACGGTGTAGATGCAGCTCGAGGCGCACCCCCGTAAATATTTGAACCGCCTTGGGCAGCCTGTTGCTTGAGGTTTTGAGGAAGAGGCTCGGGCTTGAATGAGATGAGTTGTGCTTGATGTGGCGAGCCCCGTTTAACAACAATAGGCGTGCCAGGCGAGGATCTGGCCTCAGGAGACGGGGTCGAGATCGTTACTAAACGAGTGCTTGTTGGACTCTGTGGAGATGTGTCAAGCTTGAGTGATGGACTTCTGACGGCGGGTTGCGGGAGCTCAGGTGATCCATGAGGGTCCCGCATTTCCACCCTGACGGCACTCTGAATTTGTGGTGTTGAGTCCAGATCCTGATGCACAGTGGGCATGCGCAACGACGGCGTCTGTTCAGCGTACTGATAATCGGGCATCCGCTGAACAGGCGAGATGTTGTACGAACCGTGCTGACGATTGTCAGGCCGAAATCCTTGGCGATGTGGATCGCCCCGTTGAGGAGCGTACTGAGAGTAATTCATGGACAGAATGAAAGAACCACTTGGAAGATAGAAATAGAAAGATTGGGTAACGTTATGTGGCCAATGTCAAACGCTAAAAGCGGCTAATTTGAGGCTGGCGGCCAGAACGATCAAGGTTTAACTTATATGGCGATTTGTGTTCAGCCAAGGTTCGGAGGGTGACTGATCTCAAAGCTAGTTGGGTTGCAACTGGAAGCCCTGCTCTCGCCAATTGAAAAAACCGATATTCTGTGTTGGTGAAATTTGAGGCGGCAGCGTTTTCGAGGGCAAACAGATTATGAATCCTCGACAAATATCAAATCGCCTCGCGAATTATGTCTGTATCTCGAACTAGAAAAATTCAGCAGCGGTACTCCAAAGTACCAACCAAGGCCACAAGTCGGAGATGGAGCAGATGTGAATGCCGTAAAAAAACCAAACGCACTTAATTGATGATTACACGTGTAGGGCAAGGGCTTGGGCAGATACCCGAAATGTTGCCTTAATATGCAGAACGGTTTTTTAGTACAGTGTTAGAAAACGCAAAATCTATCTAAAGTCTGAAGAGGTTGCGAGGTCACTCGCGGGAGACGTCACGACCAAAAAGGCGAACCTTGGTCCAGTCCAACATGACAAGCAGACGGTTTCTGATAGAGAAGCACATGCTCAAGTAGGCAGATCTCCAGAACATGAACGTCCACGTTCCGCCCGATGCAAAGGCATTGCCCCAGAACGACAGATCGGCGACCGCTTTCTCAGAGCCAACGTAAGCTAGCGAGCCCTGGTGAGAGTACTGGAACTGCTTCAGCTTCGATGCCTTTTCCAACCGACGTTCCCAGTGACGGAGTTCATTAGCCGCGACCTTTTTGTCGGTCAACCCGTCGTCGAGCTGCTTCTTGAGAACAGTAACCTTATCCAAGGTGTCGTCTCGCTCTGCAATCTGGTTCAGAAGACGGCCCACGTAAGAACCTTGCTGGGCAGCAACCTGCGCAGTCGGCGCGTAGTGCGACGACGTGCAGTCTCCAATGGCCCATACGCCGTCAGTACCAAGCACCTGCAAGTATTCATCTACGAGCAACCCGCGGCGAGCGGTTGCCTGCTCCGGAATCACAGAAAATAGATCCTTGATGATAGGGCGAGCTGAGTTACCACCGGCCCAAACAAACAGACCGTAGGGGATCACGACCTCCTCTTTGCGTCCATCGGGCAAAGTCTTTTCAGCATAGATCGTGTCGCTGGTCACCTTCTTAACTGCAGTCTTGGTCAAGACATTGATCTTTTCATCAAGCAGGGTCTTTTCGGCATAGTCGCAAAGGTGCTTGGAGAACGAGGGCAAAACATTCGGCAAAGCTTCGATCAAAGTTAGAGTTACCTGGTCTCTCAAATTAGGCTCGAGAGCCTTAAGATCCTCAACATAAAAATCGTGCAGTTCACCGGCAAACTCGACACCAGTTGGGCCACCGCCAACAACAACGGTGGTCAACAGTCGCTTGCGGGTCTCAGGGTCAACACCGGGGAAAGACGCAGCCTCAAAACAGTCCATAATACGCTTGCGAATCTGCTGCGCGTGCTCAATCTCCTTCAAGTAGCAGCCGTACTCTTGGACGCCAGGAATACCGTAGGTCGAGACCTCAGAGCCCACACCAATAACCAAGTAGTCATAGGGCATCTCCTCAACTAGGTCGGGAATCTGCTCGCTCTTGACATTGTCATGCATGGCGCGATGCGACACGGTCACCGTGCGATTGTAAGGGTCAATCTTGGTCACTTCTGCTTCAACAAACTTGGCCTCCGCCTTCTTTCCGCGAATAATAGAGCGAATAGGCTCCATGATGGAGCGGTGCTCAATACACCCTGTCGTACATGACGGCAGCAGAGGCGTGAACAGGAAATAGTTACGCGGTGAGACCACAGTGATGTCGTACTCGCGAGAGTCGACATTTTTCAAAACCGAAACCGAACCCCAGCCTGAGCCAAGCACGAGCAAGCGCTTCTTGCCCTCTGGGACGGGCTCTTGGGCGGCAGGAAACCGGTGCTGCTGAATGCGATAAGCACAGAAACCCACACCTACACCAATTGTTAAGCCAAAAAGCCACTTGATGTTGCGGAAAAAGCGACTTGGCTTGCGGCCCGCTGGCAGCACAGGGCCAGCATTCATTCTGGACGCAGATACGGACATCATCCGTACCGGCGCCCTCAACCTCATCGCGGTTGCTCTCAAACTCATATTATAGAAAGCAATTGCTACCCGTTAGTCCACGAATAGAAGTATGCCGATAATGTTGAGTCCGCTGACTCACCGTTAGTTAGTAGCTCTGCTGTGCACAGGGAGGGTAGCTGCATAAGGGGCCGACTGCCCGATTTTGTGCCGATAAGTGTCTTTTGCTTGCGGAATGCACGGAAGTGAGCAGTTTAATTTCTGAAAATCGCAAAACAGAATTCTGATAGAGCAATACTACCACAAACTGGTAGCTTTGGCATTACCGAACACTCACTTTTAAAGAGTTGCATCGGCAAGCAAGTTTTGAGCACATGCTAGAGTATCGGTAGGAGCGTATTTTGTTCAAACACTTTCTGCAAGACCACGGGCTAAATTGAGTTTGGTATTGATTTTTCACTCCTTATATGTGTTTGTTTGAAGGTGGAAACTTTGTGATCTCAGCAGGCCCTGCGTCAGGGTCGCACGACATACAGGAAAAGGCGCCTTGCAGATTAATGTTTGATTATGAGACCTGGACTTGGCGTAGCTTCAATGCTACAAAATATGCATTATGAGACGAATAGCTACCAATTGGCTGAAGAGCAAATGGTAACGCGTTGTTTGAAACAACAACAAAAAAGCAATGGGTCGTGCAGCGTTTTTTTCAGCTCTCCCAGTGCCTTATCTCTTTCGCCTCGAGCGGCTGAAAACAAGCTCTGAAATTTACCATCAAGCTCCGGTGGGTCCGTTGAATAGGGTGCGTGCGACCACAATTTCATGTGGTATCGATTTTAACCTAACTATGCTCATCTTGGCTATAAAAACACAGACTCCAGCATCACAATTTCCTCAATTCTCTCATCTCTTTCACTATGAAGTTCGCCAAATCCGCCATCCTCGCCCTTTTCGCCATGACCTTTGCTGCCAGCGGCGAAGTATCACCTCAAATCAGCAAGGCCTGCATGGCCGTTGACGCAATGGCTGTAGGTTTTGTTCTCCAATTGACCCACCTGACAGCTCAGTATGTTGCAAAATTCGCTAGCAACTTGAGTCAGACCATCAGCAACACCCTTGTTGAGGTTGAGAGTCTCGTTTCACAGGGCGGTGACAACTCCAAGGCTGTCACTGTTTTGATTCCCTTTGTGAGTGCTGTGTCCAAGGGCTCTGGTATGTTGGTTTCCTCTTTGGCAAACAACCCCGACCACCTCTTGTCTAGCGCTGAAGTCCAGGATCTTGTTGGCAACTTGCAAAAGGTCAGCAACGTGGCCTTAGACAACCATGTTGATACTACTGAGCTTCAGGCTGTTATTTCCCAGCTTCATGCTGTGGGCGGCAAGTTGCATGCCCGCTCTGACTTCAATCCCATCCTCGATGGAATCAAAGGCAGTGCTACTAACGCTGCTCAGACCGTTGAGACTCTCCTCAAGCAGCTTACTCGCAACGATGGCCACCCCACTGCTGATGTTATTTCTGCTTTCATCACTGGCCTTGACTCTCAGGCCGACAATCTCCTCAATGCTGTGTCAGTCGCTTTGGGTCCCCTCACCTTTGGTGTTTCCAACTTGGTCGGTGATACCCTTTTGGGTCCCTTTTTCCAGTCTCTCACCAATGGTGCTGAGGTCTTGATTGCCAATGTGGCTGGTGGTGCCGTTGATCTTGTTACACAGCCCGCCCTTCAGTTGCTTGTTCACACCTTGAGCCGTGCCGTTTCCCTTGGTAAGAAAAATAACGTCAAGAATGCAGCTAACCTTGAGAAGGCTGTCAACCAGCTCTCCAAGATTGCCCAGAACGCAAAGCCTGCCACTGCGTCTGCTATCCAGGCTCATAGCCATGATACCAAAAAGGGTAACTGAGCTGTTTAACTAGTATAAAACACCGTCTCTTAGGCCTTCGTGAACTGATTCTATAGTCTCTTGTAACTACTTAACATCAAGATGATAATTGTTCAAAGCACAAAGTTTCAAAATTGTTCAAAGGGTCCTTGAACATACTTGCTAACCCAAAGCAACTGCTGAGCTGAACGTGAGCGTTACGGTTTCATAAAACTATTAAGTGGATTTGGAAAAATGGGCATTGTCTTGATATCTGGTCTGAGTAGTAAATATAGCTGGAAATCTTTTTTTTTGTTGAAAAATGGGCGTCTGGTGTAGTTGGCTATCACGCATCCTTCGCAAGGATGAGGTCCCGGGTTCGATTCCCGTGTCGTCCAAAAGGTTTTTTTCATTTTTTTTTTCTCGGTTTTCCACGCAGACAGTTCTACTAAATTTTGATCCATGGTTTTTTTTTTTAGTGTTTTTAAATGAATATTGACAGAATAAATATTAACTAACAAAGGTTGGGTCCACAGGCGGGCTGCAAACTCTGTCAAGAGCCCACTCGCTATTGTCTATGGGACAGCGGTTAGACTGAGAGAGCCACTTTGTGATGCAATGGGTGTGAAAAACATGGTTGCAGCTGCCCAGCGTTGCCGTGCAGGGTTCTGTGAATTCTGCATCACAAACAGGACAGAGGGAAAGGATGTGCACGCGACAGATGATACAAAGCGAGTTGATGGAGGCGATTTTGTAGGTCCCGACCAACGCTGATCCCTGCTCCGTGAAAGGTAATACTGCTGGTTGTGGGGGTGTCTCGTTCGATTTGATACTGTTGTCCCATCTTTTCTGAGCATCCAGAGTACTTATACAGTTGTCCTGCTCGTACCAGGTGCTGATTGAGCTGTTTTCCAGTTTTTTCGACAGCTCCAGCAGACCATCACCCTCCTCATTCTGTGTACTCATTTTTGTATCAACTGCAGCCCTCACTTTTCTTATTTTCGACGCAGCAGCTTTCAGATATACGGGGCTGGTGGGATCGACATCAGGCAGATCCGAATCAGCATCACTGTTCGAATCGTACTCTGAATCCGAATCGACCAAAGCATCAAACCTAGACTTTTTCACGGGAGGCAGCAAGTCCGCGTCGTCGTCGTCCGAAGAACTGAGTAATTGGGCGAACGATTCGCTGGCGATTCGGTTAGATGAAGGCGGGGCCACGAACTGGGCTATCTCTTGCTGGATGTTCCTGTTTGCCCACTCCAGAAACTGTTGCTGCTCATCAGGAGCTAATCTGCGGTTTGGAAGCTCAGCGAAATCTATATCGAACCCTTCGTCGTCGCTACCGACATCGGAGTCGTCCAAAAAGGAGTTAAGCAGCATGGCAAGTGCTGTGTCAGCGGATCATGGATCTATGTGAGCAAATAAGTGAGTCGACTAATTACAAACTGGAGCAGATCAATTGATTTACGGGGCGAATTATTATTTCCGCTCTTGTTTTCCTGCCTGGATGACTGCTTATGGAAACCCACCCGACGGACAGCATTGGGTGACTAACCGGCATGGTAACCGGGGCGATTATCGGAAACCATGGAAACTGTGACTCACAGGATCAGATTTGGTACTGATTGCAGCATAGCTGGAAGATGCATACGCGGGATTGCAGTATGAGATTACGGGGAAATAAAACATCGAAGCAGACAGAAAGTAAACAGCGGCCGCGAAGGCCGAAAGCAGCGGCATTCAGCCTCAGAAATTTCGCATGGCCCATCGATCACGATTGCCTAAAACACCCTAGTGGCATGTCAAACGGCACTTTTCATGGGAGTGCGCATGATCAGCCCTTGCCCTAAAGTGAGGGGTGGATTTTGGCAATGCTTGGCCGTCGAGAACAGGAATACCGCCTACGGATAGAAGAAACGGCGGGGATTCGCAATAATCTAGTCTTTTTTCTATCTGGTTATATAGCCACACGATATCCTATCTTGCATTAATTACGGTTTGTGCAACATTTGTATCCTGTTCTTTCGTTAAATAATTGTTAAGAGGCAGCGGAATTGCAGGTCCTTTCTTGGCTGTGAATTAATATGTTTGCAAAGAAAAGGGCCGAGTCCGCACCTAGCAAAAAAAGAGCGGGGGGCGGGGTGCTCTTGTCATGAACGCAAAGCGACGGGGCCGTGGCATTGGAGGCATGTGTAGTTTGTATTGCCGAACGCATCCTGGGTGGCTGCTCGAATCATATGGTTCCATTCGCCCTTCGACGGGATCTTTCCGCACGCAGCATTGATGCAGCGGGCTCCGGTCTTTTTATAGCGGAGGCCACACGAGTTGCATAATTGGCCCGCGGTAGGAGACCACGACGGCCGCCAACATGGCGACTGCGAACAACTGCATGATATGCAGGTCTTTTGGACGTCGCTAGGCATGGGCGGACTAGCAGGCGGGCTAAGAAGCGTCCGAGGCACCGTGGCGGCTCTGGCAAACTTGTCGGCGACAGGCTGGACAGGCCCAACAATAGGAGGTAGAGGGTGTGCAGGCAAACTGGCGTCGGAGTTGACAAAAATCGGAGTTTTGGATTCCACGCTGGCGGCCATCAATGGACGCACGGGCTGGGGAATGGGCGAGGTGACGGCCGGGGACACCTCGTTCTCGGCAGCTCCTGCCGAATCAACAAACAGCGGGGTGTACTGCGGCGACGGAGGCCCTCGGGTGATTTGAGGAGCCTGCGATTTGGGCGAAGCAACCGAGGAGGTTGGGGTGGAATCTCGGCGGGACGGAGAAACTGAAACAAGCAACGAAGCTTGCTTCATGAGTTGCTCGTGCTCCATAGGCGGAGACGGAGCCTCAGAGCGACTAGGAGGAAGCTTGTAGGGCATCGCACGGGAAAACATGTTTGCCATTGTGGAGATACGCTTCAGATCGGCCGGATGGTTGCGCCGCATCCAAGCATCGATCTGCGGCCGCCAAGCGGAGCGAGGAGCCGTGTCTGGATATAGCAGAGACACGCTGAGATGGCGGGAATCAATAGCCGGGGCTGAATCACCGGCCGGCGGAGTTGTGGGTTCGTCACACGAGGAAATCGATGTGGAGCGCTCAGCTGATTCGCGCGAGTAGGATGGGAATACCAGACCACGAGAATTGATCAGGGACATTTGATTATAGCGACAATAGGAGTTGGCGGTGCCTTTTGAGTGACTCGAATCTCTTTTCGGTTGATGGAAAACCGGGGTCTACTGTCTGGTGGTGCCGAGCAGGGGAATGACGATGATGCTTTCGGATTAGCTCATGTATATTAACTACTCATGTACTCACAACACATGGTAGCTGCATCATGCGTACGAGATCCAGACGGGGAGGGTTGCCTGGGTAATCGGCCACGAGACGGCAGGCGGGTAAAACCTGAGCGATAACGGCGATGGGCTGTGTTCAGGCGGCACCCACCGCCACGGAAATCAATTTTGTCGGAAAGTGCGTTCGAGCCCAAAAGCAAGGCACTGGAGCAAAAACGCATTAGGCAAACAACGAGCGGGCGAGAACCACATGCGCGGCTTTTAGGTGTGGGTCACGTGCTCCGGTGGTGATCGATCACGACCGGGGGGCTTGGAAGATTTCAATGTGGGGGACATGAAGTAGGCCTGGGTGTGCTATCAGGCGGCACTCGATTCATTGATCCGCGGCGCTGTACGGCCCGGAAAGCGGGCATTCAAAAAGGATGGTGTATATTTCGGAGAGTAGATAGGTTTGGCGAACAAATTCAAGCTTTAGTGGTTAATTTTAATCTAGAAACCGCTGCCGAGCACGCACCCGAGGGCCCGGTATTTCCCTCCCCCTCACTCCCACCCCAACCCTGGATCAGCCAGGACGTGAAATCCCAAACGCACCTGGGCCCGGGTGTGGGTGCGGCGCCCTGTCATGGTTGGTTCGGTTACTCAGGGCGTGTGGGAGCGGCAGGAGCAACTCGCGGCTCCGTGGGCACTTTTATGCCGCCAGCTTGCAAATCGTCCCCATTTTTTTTCTGATTCGTCGCCGTTGTTGCCAGATCGGCCCCTTTCTCAAGCACCTTCTCGGCCGCCTAATCGCTCTGCTGGGCCCCTCGAGATGCCTAATCTTAGACCCGAACACGGAAGTGCTAAGCAGACCTTGGGAGGCACCTGCATGAAGAACCTCGCGCCCGGAGAATAGCTATCAGTGAAATTCTTAGTAATCGAGCGGTCCATTATGGCTGATTCGGGCCCGTCCCTGGCTCCGCCTCCGCACGCTCACCCGGTTGATGTCAAGGTGCTGAGGCTGTCCAAGCCCTCGCTTGTGCTTGCAGATGCCGTGGACAGCCCGCCGCTGCCAACGGGCGAGTTGTCGGTGCCCAAGGTCACCGGGTCGGTTTGCGTAGGCGAGAAGTTTGTATGCTTGATCTCTGTGTCTAACCGGGTCCACGAGGACATCAAAGTTCAATTGACCACCGAAGTGCTGACGCCAACCCAGCAGAGAGCACGCACTGCTCAATCGCACGATGCTCGCAAGACCCTGGCTCCTGGCGAGACGCTGGACGTCACCACCTCTTTCGAGCCTTCCCAAGTGGGAGGTCACGCTCTGGTTCTGCACATATCGTACGAAACAACCACGGAAACCCGGTCTATTCGCAAGACATTCAAGTTCGAGAGTCTGATGGCTCTGAATACGCGTGTGCGCACCATGTCGACATCCAAGGGCCCATCTATAGTCGAAGTGCAGATCGAGAACATCCTCGACACCACCCTCATTATAAATGCATGCGACTTGAAGGCCGTCGGTGGCTGGAGCATCAAAGGAGTCGCGGATCCGTTGCCCGTGCCCATCCTTCGTCCACGAGACGTTTTCCAGTACTGCTTCGTGGCCAATGGTGGAGAGTCGCGCGAGTTAGGCAACCTAAGCGTCAAATGGGCCAGAGAGCCGCTGGGCATCGAAGGGTTCTCGCCACTGGGCGTAGTTCGGTTATGACCTGGTCTGAATTTTCACCTCCACCTGCATGACCTATTGCAGCTCGCATCTAACACGCATTTAAGTAACAATCTAAATAAAATACTACATCAATAAGGATTATACCTTCCACGTCCACGATAAGCGCCTCTGTATCCTCCTCTTCCCCGGCCCCGGCCTCTGCCACGACCGCGGGCATTGAAGCCAGGAATATTGGCACGTTTTGGCAACACTTTGATTTGGCGGCCGAAAAACTCCGACTCGTTCAGCAGCAGCGCGTGAGCAACAATCTCCGGCTCGGCAAACTCGATATAGGCGTAGCCCTTGGGACTGCCCCATTTGTCCATCATGATGTTGACGCGGTTAATCGTGCCGCACGGCTTGAAGTGCTTGCTCAAATCCTCGGCTGTCGCAGCATACTCAACGTTACCAATGTAGATCGAGCGGCTGTCGACGTCCTCCTTGGACTCCTGGATCTCCTCCTGTTCCTTGGACAGTTCGGCCTGCATCTCCTCGAGCTTGCGGGCCTCCTCATTGAGCTGAGCTAGCTTCGCCTCTAGCTCACTGTTCGTAGCAGACGGGGCACCATTCGTAGGCGTCTCAACCGCAGCTGCGGTGCCTTCTTGCACTTGATCGCTCATGTAAGCTGGAGAGATTTTTTTTGGGCCGGGCAGGGTGCTTTGTAGGCCAAAGCTCAGCTATAGGTGCAATTTTCTATAGGTCTATAGATACTCATAAATACCGTTTGCGCAAAAAGTGCGAAACTGTTTCGTAGGTCATTAGGGTCACTGCGCTGGCGGGCACTGCTCTACAGATGTTGGTGCCGAGCCCGGCATAAAATCCACGCCAGCCCTCGTTGCGGTAAAGAGCAACCACCGTTTTCAATATAGTGCTGTAGCGTTGGTCGCCTAGAGCTCCCGAGATTTGCTGGCGGGACCGCACGACCTCGTGGGGATAAGTGATAGAAGATGCAATGATTTTGGATAAAACGCTCGAACCGAGGTAGGTGACAATTTGAAACCAGTCGGGCGCCGACGGAGAGTATAGCTTTCGTTTCAGATACTCGTATGTCGGGAATTGGATTGCAACGTGCGGTAGTCCCAGCAGAGCCGACCCCAGACCGGAGTAGAAGGCCAGGGGGCCCTCTTTTTGAAAAATCTGACGGGCAGCATCGAAAATTCCCTTGTACTGCCATGCGGTATGTTGTCCCTGGGCCATGAGTCTGGTCTTGATCACCCAGATCGGGTTCGTGCACAGGGTCGAGCTCGCGCCCGCAACTACAGCACTCAGCATAGTGTGCGTAACAGCGTAGTCTTTCCCCGGCTTTTGTATTTTGCCATAAACAAAGAAATAGATCGCCCACGTCGGCAGGTATCCTACAACCATGGGAGTCAGCCCGCGATAGAGCCCTCTAAAGCCGTCCTCTGTGACAATTGTGCGAATTGTGCCGACAATACCCCGGTATCTCGACCGATCTTCTGCTAGTTTGAACGAGCCCTGGATCTGCAGTTTGGTTTTGGCAACGTCTAATGGGCACACCGCCACGCCGGCAACAAGCCCCGCTGTAGCGCCAGCTAATGCATTAATCGAGTCGTTGCTCAACTCTATCGGCTTGGTCGCAGGCACCGATACTATCGGCAGCTGGCTAGGGATCACCGCCAAGTCCTTTGGTGGCTCTCTATCCATATATTGTAGGGAGGTGTTTAGCTGATTACGTTGGACTCGTCGATTCGGTTGGTTGACGTTCACAGTGCTTGGCGAGTGATTTCCATTAAATCTGAATGTCTGCCGGTTTACACACGGGACTTCCTACGCCCACCGAGGGCAACTCGGCTCTGGAGAACATCCGCATGGACATGGAGAACCTGACCCAGTCGCTCATCGAGCTCGGGGTGGTTGTGCACGACTATGTGGGCGAAGAAGGCACGCAGGTTGCTCTTGAACACAAAACAAAGGACCTTGTTTCCGAGCTGCGGTCCGCTGCCCAGCACGCAGACTCTCTGGAAGACACGGCCGTGCCTACCGCGGTCATCGAGTACCTTGAAGATGGCCGCAATCCTGATATTTATTCTCGCGAGTTTATCGAGACCCTGGTCATGCAGAACCAGTTTATTCGAGGCAAAATGCTAGCAATGGCCCAGTTCAAAGATATCTTCGTCTCCCATCTTGCAGACCAGTTTGACTGGATGAAAGAGGACCTGCAGAACGCCGCCGATATGACCGCTGCTTCATAATGTTCTTTTAATTAGTCTATGATATAATGCATTTACCTGAATCGTCTCCAGCAATGACCGGAACGCCCATTTCTTCAAAGCTGTAAGCCACTCCAGGCCGGCGAGTTACCGGCGAAGAAACAAACCGCCGCTCGGGGCGAGGAGGTGATGAAGATGGCACTGCAACAGAGCCATACTTGCGGTGGCTTCGAACTGGAGGGCCTGTGAGCGCGCTGGACGAGGATGATTTGGATGGAGACGAGCTGGCGGTGCTGTCGACCGAGCGGGCCGGTGATTTTGTCGGAGATCGGGGTGGTGGTGATGATCTCGTGGGCGAGGGCGTCCAATCTCGGAGCTCTGTATGAATGTCTGCTGAGATGGTTTGCGAACGCGCATGGTGGGTTTCGTGAGGTGCCATTTGAGGCGCAGGCCCCGATACTGCTCGTGCAACGGGTTTGCGACGGACAGCTTGCTGTCGAGAGGGGACTCGCGGTGTGTTCATAGCATTGGCCATGGGGGCTGGTACTGGAATGGGCGCCGAAGCCGGTGGAAGTGGCGCCGAGGTACGGGCCGACTCAGGGGTTGAAATACGCGCCGACTCAGGAGTCGAAACACGAGCAGATACTGGAGTAAAGACGCGACCAGATACTGGAGTCGACAGTGGAGGCAGAGGCGGCGGTGACTCGGGATATGGAGGAGCTGCAGGCGCCGGCCCGTCATCAGGATATGGTAGAGATGGTGCAGAACCAAGTTTGTTGGGTGACGATGAATTAGACAACGGGTATGCCGGTGACTGCGACGATAATCTGAGTGGTGGTGAGCGGGAAGGAGATCGTGACCTTGTTGGACTCGAGGTGCGCGACTTCCGGTCTGGAGACCGTGGATAAGGAAGACTCGAGAGCATGTTTTTCGCAGCATTGAAAAAAGAGCGTCTTCGAGACTTTTCTTCTTCATCTGGATACGGCAGCTTGGGCGGCGATTGAGGAGTTGGAGCAAGAACAGGAGAATCATCCAACCACGTGGAAGCAGGAAGGGGCATGGGCTCAGGAGTCGGTTCGGGAGAGTTATTATCCGAGTCCAAAGAGTTGATCGCCATCATAGATGGCTGATTTTGATTATTTTGGCCCATCCTGGCCCGGTACTTTGATAATGTTCGCTCGTGGTCAACCCGCGTTAGTTGGCGTCTCAAAGATGGTTCTCGAGAAACTGAATCCGAGTCGGCCTTTTTCAGTCGCTCCTTGGCTGCTAAACACCCGGCAGCCGCAGATTGTCGATAGTACATCTGTGCCGTGTCCCAGTTAATGCTGGCGACAATTCCAACTTCGTAAAAGTATCCCATGGCAAACAACGCTGTTCCGCTGCCCAAATTAGCAGCAATTTTGGCAAAATTGAACGCCCATTCTTCATTGGCAGAGAAAACACCTTGGAAACCACATAGGAGCCATTTAACCAACAGGGTCTCTGGAGCTCCGTGTAGCACGCTCGGTCTGTGTGTGTAGGCCAAGTAACGTTCCTGGCGGGTACTTATGTGCAAAAATCTCAATGTCACTGCGCTGTTGAACTCAATTTCGCCCTGGTAAGCATCAGCGAGCCGCATTAAAGCCGGGCTGAAATCCAAAAATGCCGCTTTACGAATCAAATCAATACCCCGCGCCTTATCTGTATATCCAGGAGGAGTTGCAGGCAAATCAGGGATCAGCTCTGTTTCTCCAAGGCATAGTTTGCCTAGTAGAAACGCCGGCTGAGGGTAGTCAGAGTCACTTCTTTGGGCGGCCATGTCAAGCATAGCAAAGCCCTTCGAAATGTCTTTTTCCAGATTGAACTGGCCAAAAAAGTACGCAATAGCAAGCCGATACAGGCAAGCAGCATCGTCCAAAGCAGCACCTTGCTTATAACGCGACAGAGCCTTTGCGGTGTCCCCACGGGACTCTGCATTGGACGCAATCCTATACCAGGCGCGCGAGTAATGTAGCTTGATGGCTTTTCTTAAAAGTATTCTTGACTTTTCTTTGTCAACCTCGTAGCCCAGTGCTCTAACCTGATAATAGCAACCTAGGAAATAGCAAGCGAGACCAGTGTACGGTGAGGAGCTGTCTTGGAGCACCTCTAGTACATGTTTCGCGTGCGCAATTGCCCGTGGAGAACCTAGCCCGAAAAGATCAGCCAGTTTCAGCACTCTTTGCACCCACAGCATTAGTTTTTCAGACGGATAAGCATCGCCTTCGGCTATGATTTGCTGGAACTCTGTCTCCAGATCATTCGCCCGCGTGGTAGGTAGCGTCGGCACTATCCGCTTGTATTTCTCGTCCACGGCAGGAAAAATATGGTCTGGAAAACAGAACCGTCCACTGACGGTAAACGGATCCATCTCAGATTCGCTGCTCAATCACGTAAACAAGTTGTTTTTTTTGGCCGACCGACCTAAATAGACGCTACCAGAGTTCGTGCGGGATATAGACAAAAGTAGATAAAATACATTTAATAAATAAAGATCGAAGCTGATATTTTTGCTAGATTAGGGATTTCTGCCCGATTAGTGAGCATGGATGTTCGGAGCAGTGCGATATTCATTGCCCAAAACGCTCAATATGTTTCGGTAGATCCCGCTGCGTGCAGAGAAGTGGCAGCTGGTATCTACGATCAGATCCAGCGGCAGAAATACTCCACGCAGACGTGGGCAACTCACGAGCTGAATCAACGTTGTAAGCTACTCGACACCGAGGGCCAGGTGGACTGGGTATTCACCGTTGATACCCTTAACTTCAGCTTTTGGAGCGATCGAGAAACGTCCGAAAGATACACTGTCGAATATAATGGGAAAAAGTACACGGGGTATTGGTCACTTTGTGCAGCTATCAACAGGGCTTTGGACGAGGGTATTCCTGTAACGACGCCGGCGTTCTGGAGGTCTGACGAGTTCAATTTGGAAGCGTGTGCCCACATTTTCAGATCCTGTACCGCAGAACAAATTCCATTGCTGGACCAGCGTCTGGCAGTGTTGAAAGAGGCCGGGGCTGCTTTAGCCAACACAGCATTCTCTGATGTGCTTCGGAGTTGCAACTGTTCTGCGTCAAGGCTGCTAGACTGGGTGACCACTAACTTGCAAAGCTACAATGACCGGTTTGTCTATCGCAATATGAAAGTGAGCATCCTCAAGCGAGCCCAGATCCTTGTCGGAGAACTTTGGGCCTGCTTCAATGGAGAAGGACTCGGTCGCTTTGACGATATTGACAACATTACAATGTTTGCCGATTATCGCGTACCCCGGATTCTTTACCGGCTCAACTGTCTGCGGTACAGCGATCAGCTGGAGGCGGTGCTGCGAGCAGGCACCCTAATGGAATCTGGCAGCGACGCTGAAATTGAGCTCCGGGGCACGTCAATCGAAGCAGTTGAGCAGATTGTCCACCATATTAAAACCGAGCATCCTGAAACAGCAGTCAATGCCATCTTGGTTGACTTTTATCTCTGGGACGCAGCAAAAGCGCAGGAACAGTCTGCTACTATCCCATGTCATAGAGTTCGTAGTGTGTTTTATTAATTAGGGATTTTGGGGTCAAGCATCTCGTCCAGCAACAGTTGACGAATCCGCCGCGGAGGCTCCTCAAACGCCATACTTGCGCCTGTGAGCTGGGCACGGTGCCCAACCATCGAAGAGTAGGTGTCCCTATAGATATTTCGCATCCACTGCTCCTTGGACATATCTGCAGTCCCTAAACCCAAATGCCGCGCCTGTTGACGGTCAAATACATGCTTGGTTCGCGCAGTCGACATGGCGATAGAAAACCAAAAGCTCCGGCTGACTTAGCCAGCGTCTTGAACGATGGTCGACTTGTAAGTGGAATAAAATACTGGTTTGGAAGAATGCTAACGATTAGCTTGGCCGAGGCACTCAAGCATGTTGATCCGCTTGACGAGAACTTCTTTTGCACGGAGTTCGCGGACCTTGTCTCGAGCCCTGGCGATACAACTGCCAGCTCGATTGCGGAAGTCTTGGCCGCGGTGCCAACTAGTTTACCGATTTTGATGCATACACTAGCCGCTGAAGGCCTGAGTGACAGTGTTGCGCAGATGGTTAAAGAGCTTAACCTTGACGAACGAGTTTTGGTCGCTTATTTACCACTCCACAGACTCGTGGATACCGGGGTGATTTCGGCAGCAACCAATAAATTGTGGATTCGAAACCGTCAGGAATCCGTGTATAATCGTATTGTAGCCAATCTGGCCCAGGAAAACCCCATGGCTATCACTCAGCTGCTCTACACATTTTTGGAGTTTCAGAATAGCGGGTCTGATGTTGACGAAACAGCTAAAACCGTGCTGGAAATTATATCCCAGGGCAAAATTGATATCACACGTGCTGCTGGTTTACTTGTTGAGGCCATTGGTTTGCTTGGATCGCCCTCTGACTCGTTTCGTGAGCTGCTCGACAGATTGAATTGGTCTTTCCTGCTCCCGCAGGCTATGAAGATTTGTTTCGCAGGCGAAAACTGGAGACATGTCATTCCTGCTGCAGTCTTATTTGTGAAATGGGATGTCCTTGACTTTTACAATGTCTTGGGATACTTTCAGCTCTCAATCGCCGACATGGAGGCATCTTGGGCTCCTAAAGGCCCTGAAACACAAGCCGGATCGTTTATTTTGGCTTGTTTAGAGGCTGGTATGCACGAAAAAGCCATGGATGTACTTTTAAGATACCCGTTTTTGGCGCAGGCCCAATCTTCAATTGCGCTTTTTATTGCCAAAAACCTGTACCAAGCATTATGCCCGTTGATTGAGGGCAGCCCAGAAGAAACCTTCATCCCTTTAGCTTCTTCCGTGGATGATTTTGTGTCTTATGAACATTACTTTGCACTTGTTGGCCCTCTTGTTGGGCTATATCCGGAACTGCTGGTTCTGTTATCAAAGCTTTCTGAATCATTTCCTCAAGATAATTGGGAAGAGTTTTGGGCTCGTATTGTGGGGAAAATTATGCTTCCTTCGCTATCCTTGGTCGAGGACTTTCCGCAAGCTGCAGACGTCGTGTGGTCGGTTTTGGAAAAGCTGCCTTTCCGCTCACGGTATAACCTTTACACTGAGTGGAAAGAGGATGCAACAAAACAACCTACCTTGCGGCATGCATACCAAAATGCCACCCGCGAAGCCAAGGCAGCTTTAAAGCGGCTTTCCAAGACCAACGCTGATACCATCATGCCTCGCCTTGCTCGTGTCGCTCACAACAACCCACTGGCCGCTTTCGAAGCTATATTGGTCCAACTTGAAAGCTACGACTTTCTTCGTCATCTTGTAGCTCAACATGCGGACGAGTTCAACCGTTTAGATTGGGATGTCTTACCTTTGCTGATCCTTGACCGGCTGTCTATGAAGCGTGAATCTCGACACGCCGACGGTATGCAAGACCGCCAGTGGGTTCAATCGCTTGCCGAACTCACAGCCCAGTTGGCCTCCAAGTTCTCAGAGTTTGATTGTCGGCCGATGCTGCAGTACGTCATTTGTCGCCTGCATGCTGGTGAGACTGATCTACAGCTAGTTATTTTGCGTCAATTGCTAGCTCGAATTGGTGGTCGTCCTGTCATTAAAAATGCTAGTCGTGATCAGTTGGAGGCTTTGGCTGGTCCAGAGCCCCTGCGTCGTCAAGTGCTCTCTCAGCTTGGAAAAGAATCCGCTACGCCGCCCGCTCCGCAGCGACTTCTCGACGCTATTGAGAGCTTAAGCTTGACTGATAAACTTTTATATGGTCTTTTGGCGGCTGTGGAGTCCGAGGGAAATCCTGGTATTGATGCTACCCCCATTGTCAAGGTTATAAGCTATGGCATAGATGAGATTGCCCAGAGCATTGATCAGTACATTGGTCTACTCTCGCTGCTCGAGACCAATTTCCTACCACCATTGGACCAACTGTCTGAGAAAGTTCCACTGCCTTTGGCTTTTGCGGTCTTGCGTAAGAGCCTCAATAAGCAGGTTTATCTTAGTGGCTCGGCGACTGATGCCGCCATTGAGCCCGCCCTTGAAGAGTATCAGTATTTGTCTGGATCAATTCCGCCAAGATTTTTCTTTTCATTCTGGGTTATGGGATCCTACGAGGTCTTTTACTCCAAGTCTGTTTATGACATCTACGAAGCAATGCTTGTTGAAACCCCTAACCGCGCCGTCAACGCTCAATTCGATGACGGCTTAACGGGGTTGTCTGCTTTGAAACAAGCTGAACTCAAGCACAAGCTCCACTATAACCGTTGGGCAGTCTCACTAAAAAAGCAAGCGCACCTCTGGTTCGAAACCACCCCACTCTCCCCTGATGATATGTTGGACAGATGCTTCCTTCCGAGAATGCAACTATCACCATTGGATGCGTGGTACTGTGCTCAATTCTTTTTACGTGTTTTCAAGCTGTGCCCTAATAATTGGCCTGCCCGCGAAAGCTTGGATGCATTTTTCTCTGAACGAGCCTTCCAAGTACTTGGGCTCGCTACGGCATATCAGTCAGATTGTATATCGGTATTCTATCGCGAGCTTTTGAGGAATTTGGTACAATGGGCACGCAGCGAGAATAATTTCATTGATGCCATGGTTGTCGATGTTGAAGACGACATGCAAGATACTCAGTACAATGGATCATTAACGGGATCGGGCATTGTTTCAATTGACGAAATGATGACGCTGGAGGAGTTCCGCGATATACTGGTTGGCTGGCAAAATAAACTTGTTGTGATGGCTATTGCTTTGTTACGAGCGGATGAGCCAGTCAGTCAGCGTAACGCTATTACTTTGTGTTTCAACATTATTGACTTTTGTCCTATGGTAAAGCCACATGGGAAGGCCTTGTTGAGCGAAATGGATAGGCTATTCAATGAGAGCAGATCAGAGGAAATTCGTTTAGCTGCTCGCTCTTTGATGGGGCTGCTGTATAAACGCCGTGACACTTGGGGGAATGTGGTGGATGACTGGTTTGCTGTCTTGCCTGCAGAGACGCCCGAGCCTGCATCGACGGTTATTTCACTGGAATCACGGGTGGAAACTCCGGTAGAACCCCTGGCAGAAACTCCTGCTGAAACTCCGGCAGATTCGCCTCGCCAGCCCCCAGACCTTCCTGCCATACCTAGCGTAACCCCACCGGCAGTTTCCAAGACGGAGCGGCCGTCACGTCGCGCAGGACGTAATCGTGGAGGCAGAAAAGAAGACGACAAGAGCCGACGGCGGGATGGGCGAGATCTGCGGGAGCCAGATCGAGGTGGAGACCGCAGTGACCGCGACCGTGATGATCGTGGCCGAAGCGACCGTGACCGTGACCGTGACCGTGATCGTGACCGCGACCGCGACCGTGATCGTGACCGTGATCGTGACCGTGCTCGTGACCGTGACCGTGATCGTGATCGTGGCGACCGTGATCGCAGCGACCGTGACCGTGACCGTGACCGCGGCGGAAACCGAAGAAACTGGAGACAACGAGAGCGCAAACGAGAACACCCCGAAGGAGACCGCAGCGAAAACGAGTCCAAACGGCGCCGCCGTAACGACGAACGTCGCAATTACCGTCACTAGTTTTACACCCCCATATAGCCTACAAGTAGATCACATGGGTGTCGCTTAGGTGATCAGTTTACCCTTGTTATTCGACATGTCGGAGGCGGTGAACAAAGACGCAGATTTCCACTCGAGTTCTGCGCTTCAGAACGTCTTTGGGTCGCGAGTTTCGCTGGCGGAGCTCAACGGAGACATTACGTCAAGAATGAACTCCAGAGCACCATCGCCGAAGCCGGAATCGTGGTCGGCCCATAGACGCACCCACAGAGCAAAAACCCGGTCCATGAGCATGTCGCGGCCAGGCAGCCACCACTTCCCACACCCAGGCTCGCTCTCTTTTGTACAGATTCTTAGTCGAGCAGTGGTGCTTTTTGCCCTCGGTGCTGCTTACGGTTGGTATCACACGACGCAGATCCCCATGGCCGTGCCGCTGGCGATCCCGCTGCAGGTGAATGGCCGTCTTTTGTCGGTCGCAGGACTCTCGGCGATTATATTGGGGCTTGTGCTGCCCGTGGTGGACTATATCATGCCCGTCGCGTTCCGCTCGCAGTCCAAAGGAGCAAAGGCCGGCAAGGACTGGCTGTCGATTGTCCGGGCTTTGGGAGCGTTTTTGGGCATGATGTATGCCGTCTCGAAACTGCAGATTGCCACAATCTTTTGGTGCCTGGCCAGCCCGTTTCTGTGGTTCGTGCTCGACGGCTCCCCCAACGGCCTGATCGCCGCAACCGGAACTGCCGTCGGAGGTCCCTTGCTAATGTATCTCACCTTCCCAGAATCGTTCACAGCAATGCCCGGACGGGATATCACCCAGGTCTTGTGGTGGCTGGCTGCATCGTACTTTAGTGCGTCTATTTTCTTTGGCAACCTGGGTAGAAGACTATTCCCACTGCCTATCGTGGCTGGACCATGACAGATTTCATATACTTGAATTAGAACTTACGTGTCTTATATGATCTCCACGAGCGGTACGGCAGCTTCCATTCTGCTCCATGGGCCTTTTCCACGTTGAAGTTGACTTTTTCCAACCGCTCAAGATACAGGCTGACCGGCAGCGCCGACATGGCGGTTAAAAGCAGCGACTGGGGCACGCCCACGGACTGCTTGAGCTCTTCAAAAATGCTCCGGGCAGTGAGCAGATGGTCGTTGGCCCGGGTGGCGGCTGTGAAGACGGCGTTTTGCACGTCGGGAAGCTGGCTCAGCGACCCGGACTCGACGGCATCAAGAACCGCCTGCTGGGATATGTGGTTTTCGGCTAGCGATTGAGCCGGCAAAACTACCCAGGACTGGGCTCGAGCATAGAAGGTGAGCGATTTCAACAGAACAGCAATCCCCGACGCCTGGCCAATGTGAGCCGCTACGGTAGTGGCCTTTTCGTCGAGATGGGGGTTTTGGCGAAAGTAATCAGCCGTCTCGGGGTCCATTGCATTCAAAATATCCAGACTAGCGTAGTTTAATTGAGAATACACTCCTTCTCCGAACCTCTCCATGTCCTCGAGATTTCGCAGGGGCTTTTTGGCTAGCTGCGACTCGCGGGTCTGGACAATTGTCAAAAGATACTTGCGAGCCACTGAAGCACCGGCCTGGCTTGCGTTGTGCAGCAGCACCACCGCTGGATCGACGTCGGGCTGAGTGGCGCTGTGGATTTTCTGAATGGCCGCCTTCCAGTATTCCAGTTTTATTCGAGCAACTTTCGGTTCCACGGCCGAATCAGCCGCTCGAGCGGTCTCGATGTTGAACGCTCGCATGCCGATATATGCATCTTGCGCCGGCCCTGCCATGTACTGCGACAGCAGGTACGCCGATCTGTCTTTGCCTCGCACTGCTTCTCTGCAAATCCTCCGAGCCGCATCAACGCCAACCATCTCCGTTTGCAAACAAAAAAAGATCTCGCCCTTCCCTGCACCCCCAGGTTTATTGCCTGATTACAAAACCGGGGTATCTCATTACCGAGGGGGATTAGGGCCCGAATTCTTCCACCTCCGCGTGACACGTTTCGAGGAACTATATCCGTGAAAAGTCAATTTGCCAGATGCCCAACATCCCTCTGCCTGCTATCATTGGTGCCGTTGTCGTCGCTCTGTCGGCTATGTACTTTATCTTTGCCGGCGAGTCGTCGGCTCCTGTGCTGCACCCCACTGAGTATCGCACGTTCACTCTCACTCAGAAGACGGTACTGAGCCACAATTCGGCCATCTACCGCTTCAGTCTGCCCAAGAAAACTGCTTCTTTGGGCCTACCAATTGGCCAGCACATTTCCATTTCGGCCAATATTAATGGCAAGGACATTGTTCGCTCCTACACGCCTATTTCCTCCGACTCCGATAAGGGCTATTTTGATCTCCTTATCAAAGCGTACCCCACCGGCAACGTGTCCAAATACATTGCAAACCTCCGTATTGGCGACACCATCCGGGTCCGAGGTCCCAAGGGCAACTTCAGCTATGTCCCCAACATGTGCAAGCACCTCAACATGGTGGCCGGCGGCACGGGCATCACGCCCATGTACCAGATCATCAAGGCGATTGCCACCAACCCAGAGGACAACACCACTGTTGACCTTATTTTCGGCAATGTCACTGTCGAGGACATTCTTCTCTACGAGGACCTCAAGCGCATCGCGGCCGAAAACGCCAACATCCGCATCCACTACGTCCTGGACAACCCCCCCGCAGAGTGGGAGGGCTCCCGCGGCTTTGTTACCAGCGACATGATGGCCCAGCTTCTCCAGAAGCCCTCGACGGACTCTAAGCTGCTCGTGTGCGGCCCGCTGCCTATGGTTTCGGCCATCAAAAAGAACGCCGTCGAACTCGGGTGGGAAAAGGCTCGGGCGGTCTCCAAACTAGAAGATCAAATCTTTGCTTTTTAAATAAACTCTATATAAATAGGTTTGTTCTAATGCAGGCTCAACGGCTGCGACAAAAGACGGTGATGAAGAACATTGACGGCTTTTAGTGAGTCTCGCTCGTCTACCACACATGAGATGTTGATTTCTGAGGCGCCCTGGCTGATCATTTCGAGATTGACGCCGGCTTCGGCAAGCGTAGTGAACATTTTGCCTGCAATTCCTACCAGCTGCTTCATCTGCGTACCGACTAGTGACACAATGCACAGCTTGCGAGTAACATCCACCGAGCCGAACTTGCGTAACTCCACAAGAGCGTCGGCGAGAGGGACGTCGGGAACTGCAGCGTGGATGGCCATGGAAACGTGAACTTCAGACGTGGAAATAAGGTCGACCACCAGCTTCCATTTGTCAAGCACTCCAAAAACATGTGCAAGGAAACCATGTGACTTTCTGGTTTTGTTGGAGTGAATGTTCAAAACAAGGATATTACTCTTGGATGTAACCGCAGTGGGGCCCTTTGCTGCCTGCTGTAAATTGACAAACGAAGGGCTGACCGGGATGGGGGGATGTAGCGGGGTCTCGTCGCCTGGAATTGAGTCGTTCTCGGGGAAAATACGAGTGCCCTGACCTTTGGGGCGCATTACATTCTTGATTCGGATCGGAATACGCGCCTGGATCACCTGTTCCATGGTAAAGGGATGGATGACCTCCGAACCGTAATAGGTCAACTCTGCGGCCTCCTCTGGCGTGATCTGATCAAGTAACCGGGCAGTAGGAACCTTGCGGGGATCGGCCGAAAAAATACCATCGACCTCCTTCCAAATCTGGAGCTCCTCGGCTCTGAGGCCAACGGCAATCAACGCTGCACAGAGATCAGTATAACCCCGGCCTACTGTTGAAATAAGACCGCCGGGAACTAGGCCGAAAAATCCAGTAACAACGGGAATAGCATCACCAATTTTATGGATCTCGTCGGCCATTTTGTCCTTCAGGACGTCATAGAACTCCTGGTTGATGTCGCCGGGACCGGTCCGAAGCCGGCTGAAATCGACATAAACCGCCTTGCGTCCGGTAGACGTGATAACCGCAGCCATAAACATACAGCTGAGCTTTTCACCAACCGACAGAACCAAATCCATAGTGCGGTTGCTGATTTCGTCCAAAATACGAGAAGCCTCCAGGATTTTGATGGCCTCGTCACACTCTCTATTAATGTCTCTTTCTAATGCTTCGACCAACTCGTCATTGGGGATATGTGTTTTGGCGGCATTCAAATGGTCCGCTCGTATGGTCTCAATGATCTTTTTAAAGTTACCCCCGAGTTTAAGCGCCTGATCGGTAGCCTCTAGAAGCCTGGTGGTGGTGCCCTCGGCCTTAATGTTGGTGCTTCGAGCAGAGCAAACTGCGACTACAGAGTGGTCCTTGTCGTAGATATTGATAATGTCTTCAGCAATTTGCCTCGGGAATTTCCCTACACTTGTTCCGCCGAACTTTTGAACGACCCATGGTTTCATTGCCATATTAGACATGAGTCACTAGAGTTGACGAAATGCAAGCATCAATTACGCGATATTCTTTCTGCGTTACTAAGCATCGCACATTTCGACAAATTGGAAAAGGAAAAAGAAAAAAAAAATTATTAATCACAGCGATTATGCGTCAGCCGGGAATCGAACCCGGGGCCCGACCTTGGGAAAGTCGTATTTTACCACTAAACTACTAACGCAGAAAATCGCTTGTTTTGCGCAGTATGGCATTAAGTTCTACAAAACACTTAATGGCGGGCTTTCGTTTAAAGGTAAAGTTACATTTTTCTTAGTATATTAGACTGTGATGCATATACGATGGTTATTTAGGAATCAATGGTGGTTCAAGAGACTCGCACTGTAACGACGGAATAGGAACAAATAGGACAGGGAGAATGAGTAGGCACGACGAGAGCTCTAGGATTCTGTACTGGAACAGGGAAAGTGTGTCGGTGTCGTCGAGGACTCCATAGAATACCAACAGGCTCATTGCTTTGGCAAGACCGCAAATACCCGCAATCTTCAAGAGACCAGCAGCTTGTAACGTTAGTATACATAAGATGAACACATATACGCCGAGCTTGTCAATAGCCCAAAGGACGGTCATGAATCCGAGCGGCTCCAGGATTCCGGCGGTACCTAGTACCGTTACGACGCTAGGATTGTGCAGCTCAACCGGGCGCAGCCTCTTGAAGATAAGACCAAGCTTCATAATTGATCCAAAGACGAACGTTGTGGCTAGCAGGATGAGCAGAAAACTGCAGACAGGTCTGTTGGTAGGTAAATTCTCGAGTACAATCTCCGGCAGCCGGGGTAGTAAACTGCTGTTGACAATAGCAAAATCTGTGGATTCCATTTGATCCAGCTTTCAGTTTATCTGGAGTAGTAAATAACAAAAGCGCAGGAGATAAGAGTGTTGTGTCAGTATTTATACACCACAATCAGAGTTTTGGGCCTTTGAACTATACCGTCAACAGAAAATTTGTGTGATAATATACCCAGCCCGGCCGAATATGAGCTCCCCCTTGTGTATTGGGTGCATGCGCGCGTTTCACCCTCGTGAGGACATAATTTTATGCATGCGGTTATTACCGGCTGAATGCCAAGGTTACGAGGGGTGTTGACAGCTAGAGGCCTCTAAGTCAGCACCCCAGGTCGCTTGGTCAGCACCCGCAAACCACTATGTTTTCCACAACGAAGAACGATGCGTTGTATCTCAACGGCGACTGGGTTAGCGGCGATGAGGTTCGACAGCAAAACGTCATGGCTTGTCAGGCACTTGCAAACGTTGTTCGCACGTCCCTTGGCCCTGTAGGTCTCGACAAGTTCTTGGTCGACGACATTGGCGATGTGACCGTGACGAACGATGGTGCTACGATTCTGTCTTTGCTGGACGTCCAGCATCCCGCAGGCAAAATTCTTGTTGATCTTGCCCAGCAGCAGGACCGTGAGGTCGGTGACGGTACTACGTCGGTCGTAGTCTTTGCCACTGAGTTGCTGCGTCGCGCAAATGATCTGGTCAAAAATAACCTCCATCCTACTACAATCATCACGGGCTATCGCCTTGCTCTCAAGGAAGGTATGCTTTTCATCCAGCAGGTGCTCTCTGTTGCTTCAGACTCTCTTGGAAAAGACGCTTTGGTCAACATCGCAAAAACGTCCATGTCGAGCAAAATTATCGGTGCAGACGACGAGTTCTTCTCCCACATGGTTGTTGATGCTATGCTTGCCGTCAAGACTCAGAACAATCGTGGTGAAACCAAGTACCCCGTTAAGGCAGTCAATATCCTCAAGGCTCACGGCAAATCGGCCAGCGAGAGTATGCTGGTGAAAGGCTATGCTTTGAATTGCACAGTTGCGTCGCAGGCGATGAAAAAGTACATCAAAGGAGCCAAAATTGCTTGTCTGGATATGAATCTACAGAAAGTTCGCATGAATCTTGGCGTCAACGTCAAAATCGATGACCCCGATCAATTGGAGGCTATTCGCAAGCGCGAGTTCGACATGGTCGCCGAGCAGGTCCAGAAAATTATCAAGGCCGGAGCAAACGTTGTTTTTACCACAAAGGCTATCGACGATATGGTCATGAAGATGTTTGTGGAGGCTGGTGTCATGGCTGTCCGTCGCGCAAAGCGTGAGGATCTGCGTCGCATCGCAAAAGCCACTGGCGCCACTCTTATTTCCACAATGTCGAATCTCAACGGTGACGAGGTTTTCGAGGCAAGCTCTTTAGGAAATGCAGAAGAAGTTGAACAGATCCGGATTGGTGACAACGAGTGCATTCTTGTTCGCGGCACTAAAGTGCACTCCTCGGCTTCGATCATCCTTCGCGGATCTAACGAATACATGCTGGACGAGATGGAGCGCTCTATGTTCGATGCGCTTTCGGTTGTCAAGCGTACTTTGGAGAGCGGCCAGGTTGTGCCTGGTGGTGGTGCTGTTGAGGCGGGCCTTAGCATGTTTTTGGAAACTTTCTCGACCTCGTTGAGTTCTCGAGAGCAAGAAGCCATTGCGGCGTTTGCCAATGCCTTGTTGGTTATCCCCAAGACTCTGACTGTCAATGCCGCAAAGGACTCTAGTGATTTAGTCGCCAAACTGCGGTCATACCATGCTGCTTCTATGCTTGCTGGTCCTACCGACGAGAAGCGTCGCAACTATCGCTACTATGGACTTGATCTCATTAACGGCAAGTGTGTTAACCAGCTCCAAAGTGGCGTAATCGAGCCCACTATGAGCAAAATTCGTGCTTTCAAGGCAGCGGTCGAGGCATGCGTCTCCATCCTACGTATCGACACTATGATCAAGGTTCACCCTGATCCGCCCAAGGAGGACCCCCATGATCATTAGCTACATCTATAATTCAGGTAGGCACATTTTCTAATTACGAGGACCCGCCGTCTTTCAGCAAGTTTGGTTTGGTGGCCTGATCCGACTGAAATCTCCAGCTTAGCTACGTCGAGAGACTGCAACTCGAAGTCAGCCTCTGCAGGTATGTTAAGTAATATGCATCAACAGTGTCTTATCTTTGTTCGCCTTCGTGAAAGCAGGACGCATGGATCGAGTGGGGGGAAGCAAATGCTTGGCATGTTTGATTCCAAATAAGATCTATATATTCATTAAATTTAATTGCTCCGACGCTTCTTAGCTCGAGATGTGCTGCGTTGGTGTAGACATGTAAAAAGTCAAGTTTTGTCAGCGTTCGCACTGGAAACATCAAAGTGAAGTCGTTACCGCGTGGTGCAGGCGTTAGCATGGTTCGGGATCGGAACCTCACATAGGATATGTTAATGCTAAAATAGTTTTTCGAGGTGAACAGAAACATCCAGCCTACGAAGTTCTGGCTGCATACTTGCATTACGGCTCAGTGTCACTCTCGCTAATTGGTCTTGTAGCCCCCAAGATTTCATCAATTACACTAGTTATGAACCGCCTTGACATGTGCTCGTGGCAATCGAGCGACGTCGTGCATGGTGGGTAAGCGAAACCTTGGTGTATCTTTTGGAAATATAACTATGGTTTGCTGAAACTACTATAAACTGGTCAATGACGACAATGACCCCGACATAACTATTCAGGTATGCCGCTCAACACTTTGCGTTGCTTTAATTGTAACAGTCATGCACGGTAATTGTCACACTGACCAGTCGCGAAAACGAAAAGTCCTTATCAGTTGTACTTATGTAATGGCGAAGTTTGCTGTAGGATGGCGCATTTCAATAATTCGGCGGTTTACAGAGTCCTGTAGAGGAGGTTTCTGTCCGAGCGAGCAAATGCACTTGCTACATTGCTTTTGTTCTGTGCGGTCAACTAGAAAGCAATCCAATAAACCACTCGTCATACGCAAATCGTCCAGCTGCATCCTTATCTTCAAGTGTGCGTGCATATGCACCGTGGCTCTTGCATGCATTCCCGTAAATAAGCGTTTCTCGACCGCTCTGGTTCCATACATATAAACAGGTACCAGGTGATCCGGAAGTCTCGAATTCAATCGACTAAGCAATGGGTTCTTTCGGAGGTGATAGTCTCACACAGAACCTCAACACTAACTTCCAGGAAGGTGATATGGTCTGGGTGGGCGCTGCTTCAGCGCTTGTCTGGATCATGATTCCTGGCATTGGCTTTTTCTATGCTGGTTTGTCGCGTAAGAAGCATGCAATTTCGCTCATTTTCTCGTCCCTGGCTGTCTGTGGTGTTGGTTTCTTTCAATGGTTCTTCTGGGGCTATTCCTTGGTCTTCAGTCATGAGGCTGGCCGCTTTTTGGGTAAACTCGATAATTTTTCTATGATGAAGGTACTGGCTGCTCCGAGTTCGGCCGCTCCTGCTGTTCCTGACGTTCTGTTTATGCTATTCCAAGGCATGTTTGCCTGTACCACTGCCGCGCTCGTGGTCGGTGGTGCACATGAACGAGCTCGCCTGGGCCCAATGATGGTTTTCATTTTTATTTGGATGACTATCGTATATTGTCCTATTGCCGAGTGGACTTGGAACCCCGAAGGCTGGCTCGCCTGGTTAGGTGCTCTTGACTTTGCCGGTGGTGGCCCTGTCCATATGTCTTCAGGTGCTGGCGCCTTGGCATATGCCCTTGTTTGCGGTAAACGCAAGGACCCGGCTGCTAAAATTATTCCCGTGTACAAGCCCGGTAGTGTGCTGTTGTGTGTACTTGGTACTTGCTTCCTTTGGTTTGGCTGGTTCGGTTTCAACGGTGGCTCTACTGGTAACGCGTCTATCCGCTCTTGGTATGCCTTTTCTAACACCAACATTGCTGCTTCTGTTGGTGCCATGACCTGGTTGTTTGTTGATTACATCCGCAAGCGCAAGTGGTCCACCATCGCTCTCTGCTCTGGTGCGGTTGCCGGCTTGGTCGGTATCACTCCTTGCGCCGGTATGGTTCCTCTATACTGTGCTGTCGCCGTAGGCGCTATCACTGCCGTTGCTTGTAACTTTGCTATTGGCTTAAAGTTCCTGCTTCGTATCGATGATGGCCTTGATGTCTTTGCCCTTCACGGCGTTGGTGGTGCTACGGGGTCTATTTGCACTGCGTTGTTCACCGCCGACTACATCACTCATCTGGATGGTTCCACCATCGCCCAGGGTTGGATGAACCATCACTATGTTCAGCTTGCGTACCAACTGGCTGCAATTGGCGCCACTATTGGCTGGTCATTCGTCGTTACTTTCTTGATCCTCCTGATCATGAAGTACACCCCCTACATGAGCCTGCGTACAACCCACGAAGAGGAGATGATGGGTGACCAAGCTCAGCTTGCTGAATACGAGATGTTTGCCGAGGAGGATCTTCTCCAAGCTATTGGTACTTACAACGGCGAGGATCCTTATCCTGATGCCTATGTTCACCAAAAGAAAGAAGCAGAGGAGGAGGACAGCACAAGGATGGAAAACGACATGCACGGCATGCAAGAAACACCGTCGCCGGTTTAATTAGCCTGAGGCAACATATATATTTACTTACTCCCTAATTTTGACTCAGTCACTGCTTGCTTCTTCTCTTGCTTGATCCTCTGCTGCGAGTTCCAGCACGTGGAGCATCGCGTCACGTGCCGTCTTTTTACGGTTCGGAACCCCCTACCCCAGAATTAGTTTCCCCGACCTTGCCGGCAAAACTCTTTCTTACTCTCTTTATTCGCCCGTTTCTTTTTGTTGAAAATGTCTATTATCGGGCCGTCACCGTATGATTCAAGCAAACCGGTCAATATTGGCCACCGTGGTTTCCGTGGATCTTACCCCGAAAACACCATGCTGGCCCTTCGAGAGGGAATCAAAGCCGGTGCCACCATTGTTGAAACCGATATCCAGCTGGCTTCTGACAATGTAGTGGTTATGTGCCACGATGTTACGACGGGGCGCTGTTTCGACAGCAACGTGGTTGTTGAGGAGACGCCCTACCACGGCGGTCTTGAAAAACTCCGTACCAAAGACTCTTTCAAGGAGCCTATGCCTACTTTGAAGCAAGTCTGCGAAATGATAATAAATGAGCCCGAGGCGTCCAATGCTATGCTCATGATTGACATCAAAAGGAGCAACGGTCCCCGGGTTGTGAGCTTTGTGATCGAGGTTCTCAAATCAGTAGCCCCATTAGAGGTCTGGAAGAAGCGTTGCGTGCTCGGTGTCTGGCGGCTGAATGTTATGCACAAAGTCGTTGAGCTCGCGCCCGAGTTGGATGTTGTATTTATTGGTTTCCAACTCAAGCTGGCCCGCAAGTTCCTTGAATTCGAGCAGACGAAAGGAATCTCAATGAATTATGCATGCTATGCAGTTAGAGGTGGGCCGGAAATCATTGATGCGGCAAGAGCCAAACACGTCAAGATCTATTCTTGGACCATCAACCACCCAGAAGCAATGAAATGGGCAGTTGCCTCAAGAATCAATGGCGTCATCACAGACCACCCCGACCTTTTCCAAAATTTCCTCAACACAATCTCGGAGAAGGACATGTTTTCAGAGTACTTTACTTCGAACCCTTACAAGTTCTATTCGACATGGGATCAGGTGCAGCACTACTGCATGTACTTGGTTGCCAATGCATTTTTCTTCCTATCCGACAGCTTCCCCAAACTTTTCCGGGGTGTTTAAAATGAATATTCTATATAGCTAAAGTTTCTCAAGCCGTTTAGTGGCTGCATCCAATAAGGTCCACGCAATAGCAGAGCTAGGAGGTATGAAAAAGTCAGCGTCATCGTTTTTGCCATGGACTACTGCTCTCAATTCCTTGATCGGAACCCATTTCGCGTCTTCTAGCTCCGGATCATGGCCGAGGTTGATCTCATGGCTTTCAGGACTGCTGTCGCAAACCTCGGCAAGACACCCGATCATAATATTGGCGGGATAGGGCCAGGGCTGAGACGAATGCAAGAAAACACGTCCAACTTTGACACCAGACTCTTCGAACACCTCACGACGAACGCAGTCTTCCAGGCTCTCTCCTGGTTCCAGGAAACCAGCAAGGCAACTGTACATCTTTTTCGGGAAGCGCTTGCTGCGGCCAATCAGAACCCTTTCACCATCATAGCTCATCACTGCGACAATAATAGAGCTGTCAGTTCGAGGGAAACAAAGATTGGATAACCGTTGGTATGTATCACATGAGTTGTCGGTTGTCGGGCTGCATTGTCGTTTGAAGCCGGCTTCTCTGCTCAACGTTGGCTTGCCACAACTTCCGCAAAATCTGTTCCGAGCATTCCAGTCGATGATCATAGCGGCCTCTGCGAAAAGCCCGTATGAAGGTCTTGGTAAACGAACTCCAAACATCACACCCCGGAACGAGACGGTATCGGTAGCGACGGATTCGTTGAATTTCTCGAGTTTAGCCGCCAAAGGCTTGGAAGTATAGCTTCTAACAGTAGTGTCTACTGCGAACAAAGGGGCGCCATTGAACCCCCTGTATGCGAAACCAGGTTTAGTCTCGTCGAGTCCCAAAAACACAACTTGCACCGTCGTATAATTAGTACCCTTTCCTTCTTCAAGATCCTTCGCAAGCTCCTCGAATGATTTATATGGCTCGCCAATTAGCTCTCCAATAGATGCGTACTCAACAAAATGCAGCTCTTGGCGAGAATCCGAGGTGTCGGCGACTAGAGGAAGGCCGCCATTGAGGGCTAAAAAGCGGGCCGTGGGATGGTGTAAAGCAGCCTGGAGAAACTCAGTTTCCGTGCGTAAAAATCCTAGACGGTTTATGCCAGAGTCTGAATATAATGTCTTGGTTTCAGGGCCGTACGCCGCAGTCAGAGGGCCAGACATAATTCTTACAAATCGTTCCCGGCCATCAACGCCTGGTATACACAAGCGAGATGACGGTCATCGGTTGAAATAGTTTTGAATAAATAAGAGGCCACTTGTACCGTTGTATGGGAGCTCTACACAGCAAGAGCCTGATGAACTTTCATGAGCCGAAGTTCCTGGGAGCTGTGCCACGTGCCATGTTAAATCGACCAGTTGTCGCCGAAGCGAAAACAGAATTATTGAGCGGCCACCATATTCTTTCATGCCAAAGACCCTGAGCCGGCCGTTCCGCAGCCCATTAACCTAGCAGAGTATCGAAGCGCATTTCTCTACCTCTTAGATATGCAAAGGTTTAGCGGAGACATCTTCATGTGTGCTCCTTTGAAGATGATGCAAAATCACCAATGATGGGTTTGAAATTTGGAGTACTCTATTGTTACTCTGTGCTATATTGTAAGTTTGAGATTTTCGATAAAAATTAGGTGTGACCTACCGTGCATATGCAGGTACATAAGATGCGAGATGCTTGTATTGACGCCCGAGAAGGCCCACCCGGGACTAGCCGATAGTTTGAAGATGTATTTGACAGAGTTCGCCCTTTTACTTCACCAAGGGTCAGCATTAGGCCGCATGCTAGAGTGTTTAGATGCACAAAAATACTTTGAACAGCGCGTGTGAAAAAGCGCCTGATGCAGGTGCAGGTGGTTGCGATCTAATTAAGATGGCTTTATGTCGACAAGAAATATATCAGAACACTTTAATTGTGACATCAATATCGACAGGTTGTTGATTCTGGACTAATATATAGTTTTGAGTATTGTGGCTGAGCTCAAATATAACTCGCACATCGTCCCAAAAATCGATCATTATGCGGAAAGATCGATCTTCATGACATCTTTCGTTATGGCTCCAAGTTTTGATATAAGCGAGTATCGCAGCCTACTTGACTGCCAGCAATCGGTATTTTCGATTAAGTGGTGATGTATATAGTGATGATTTCCGTCAATTATAGATGGGGGATTTGGCCAACAATTGACAGTCGTTCCGCAGCCAGGAAGCATACTGGGTGGGAGAACTGGGATAATGGTCATGTACAAACTTTGGCGTCGGAAAATGAAGACAAGATGGAGATAGAAGTTTTAGTAGAAGGCCCATGTGGATCTCCGGTCAGTCTCAAGCCATTTGATGGACTGGTGTGTATTGCTGGTGGTATTGGAATCACCAGCATCTACTCACATCTTTCTTAACGTATCTTGTGTGATAAGATGAAACAAAAATGTACTTTGCACCGGATTAAGACATTCACTGACGTGTGAGTCAAGATTGTTTTGCATGTCACACCACGGTTTGGTCAAATCTGTTGATTAAGAGCAATCATTCCGAAGCACTTTGGATGATCATCATCACATTAAAGATTAAATCTGCAGTGATACAGCCTCCAAGAGTTGTCGAGCTAGGGCGACCCAATCTGCTGAAGATGGTACCAGCCATGATTGAGAATACGGTTCTCTGTGCTCTGTTGCATGTGGTCCACTTGGAATGAATCCAGATGTGCGCAATACTGTCTCAAGCAATCTGATTAAATCTGAATACTATGTCGATTGTTCCGAAGAGGGCTTCGAAATGCGGAAATAATTCTACCCTTGCCCCAATAAATGTTCATTTCATGTTGTTGATCGTGTATCATTGATATTCGATCGTGAAGCAAAACCCTAGATGCCTATGCAGGAAGGGCAGCTGATCATCTCCACCCCCTCAATCAAAGATCGAGTTTCTGGAGGCCCTGAAATCCTACGTGCGCGTTTTGTTACAGATGATGTGGTTATCTGCTTGAATGCTAAGTGTTTTCTATATCTCCTACTAGTTACGAGGTAAGCAGTGGAACCTGTTTAAATCCGCTCAACCCCTGTGGGTAGATCAGGAACGCCGCGCAATTACTAAGTGGCAGCTAGGCCAGCCATACGGACTACGGACAACATACAGCACAGTTCACCCACAGTGTAGAATATGAGGAGATTTCCGCGCTGTGAAGAAGAGCAATATGCCTAGTTCTCGAGGCTTCATTCAGAAAGAAGAGTCTCTTTGTTGCAACCTGCATCTGCTTATAGATCTCGTTGCAGGACGCTATGAGAGTAAATATGCGACCAGCTGCAGCTAGTTCTAACGAATTCTCATCCGAGCGAGAAAGGCGACGACAGCAGCTCATATGTAAAAAAAAAATATCGGAATGGTACTAGGTTTATGCAGGCTCCGGCGACAAAAAGTTCTCTATGCAGAGCCTACCCTGCCAAGAGCGTTTGCAACGGCTTTTCAGAGCTATTTCTTAGCTATGAGGGCGATGCACATCACAAAGATTAGATCAGCTGAAAAAATGTCTTGGCACTATGACGAAATTCAACTCGGTGATGAGATTCAGGGTATTTAGCGGATTTAGCTCTACTTCTCGTGTCCACGAAGCGACGCAAGAACTTCGAAGTTGTTGCTTCTACCTAGAATTTTAGGTGATTCGTACGTACCCTTCCTCGCCTTCCCCAGATCGTCAAACAGTCAAACTGCAGGGCGTAATGCCATCAATAAAGGTTGCATAACCCGGTGTCGCCCAGCGGTGCATAAGACTTTGACCCTAGACTTTCAACTATATAATAGCACGCTTCTAAATCGTTGAGTAGCGTAGCGTGCTCACAAGAAAATGAAACTTTTTTGTGTCACTGTACTAGTCTATACACTAGTAGGTGTACAAGCTTTGCTTCCCGCAGACTACTTTTATAGCTCGTGTCTCACCCCAATTATCACCAATAATGCTGTTGCTGATTTGGTGAAAGAGTATGACCCTGAAGACTACATGAGTGTTTATGGAACATACTGTGAAAATCAAGACATTATGGTCACATTGTTCGACTGTATGATCACCTCAGCGGAGATGTCGACCGAGATGGGCTTTTCTCATGCTCATCGCAAGCTGAAATCTTCATACGATACTATGAGGTACTACTGCAAACTCTATTATGGCGCGCCACACACTTTGAATTATCAGGAAATAACGGCCGCTTGGAATGCTGCACCCAAGCCTTTCGTCAACTACTACACGGCTAATGAAACTCTTCAGCTGCCCTTCACTGTTCCTAAGGATGTTATGGCTCCACTTATTGCTCCTGCTCAAGGAGAGGGTGATAGTTATTATGACACTGCTCAGTACAGTTATTGGACGTTATACTATGTTGTTATCTGCGTTGGCCTAGCCACTATTTTCAACCTTCTTACTTGGCTTATGCCTAAAGGAGCTGAGTTAACGGCAAATAGCTTTTTGGGCCGCTTTGTTCGCCGTTATATCACTATGGCACCTCTTTGGAACGACCGGTTGGCCCGTTGGACTCACTTCCACTCCAACCGCTTGCCTGCTTTCGAAATCTTCGGCTACTTTGTGATGAACTATGTGATGATGTCGGTGAATTATAGGTATATTGAAGGTGGAGAATATGCTAGTCGTGCTCAGGCTATTGGATACTGGCTAGGTTACAGGTCCGGGATTATGCCCATGTTCAAACTGCCATTTCTATTCTTTTTTGCAGGGCGCAATAACTTTTTAATCTGGATGACCGGTTGGGATTACAATGTTTTCAGCATGTGGCATCGATGGCTTGCTCGCTTTGCTACACTTGATGTACTTATCCACTGGGCTGCATACAGCGTAGGGGTTGCGACCATTCCAGGAGAGCTAGCTGAAGAGTGGGGTCTTTGGTACTGGATTGCAGGTGTTATCGCCACTCTTGTTATGGTGATAATGTGCATCCAGGGGTCTGTTTGGCTTCGCCGTATTGCATACGAATTCTTTTTGTACACTCACATTTTTTGGGCCATCCTGTTCCTTATCTTCACCTGGTACCACGTTGTCTATGTTACATATCCCATGTCCACTATGTACGCGAGTTTTGCTGTTTGGGGGTTCGACCGCTTGCTCCGCCTGATTCGCATGGCTTCTTCTGGCGTGTGCACGGCGAACATCACTATTGGTTCTGATCATGTCATGGTCGTCGATATTGTCGACAAAAACCCTGTACGTGCCTATCCTGGCTGTCACGTATTTGTATACTTTATGGGCTGGCGCCACTTTTATCAGTCGCATCCGTTCACTGCAATCAAGACTGATACCGGCCTACGACTGTACATCAAGTCGTGGAATGGTATGACCAAACGCATCAGGAAAATGGCTCTTGATAATGGCGGCAAGATCACAATGAAAGTCATTGTTGAGGGTCCCTATGGACCACCCATGAACCTCAAGGCTTTCAACGAGCTTGTATGTGTTGCCGGTGGCATTGGAATCACCGCCATCTACTCACACTTGTCCCAGCGGATTTTGTCCGGAAGCATGAGCGGTCAAAAGGTAACTTTGCACTGGATTGTTCGTAACGAGGAGTTCTTTTCCACTTTTGCTGAAGATCTCAAGAAATTTGCCGACGCAGGAATTCGCATAGTGCTCCATGTCACTGGGCACAGTAGCGCCGGCCCTCACTCCGAGTCATCTGTGGCTTCAAGTTCTGACGCCGAGAGCAAAGAAAAGGCCCTAGAGAATGTTTCCTCGCAAATATACGAGCTCGAAAACGGTCGCCCCAATATCCTTGAGATGGTTCCTTTGTACATGGTTAATGCTACTGGCTCCCTTGGCTTTATGACCTGTGGACCAGCGAGCCTGAACCACGACGTACGTGCTGCAGTTTCCAGCAACATTTACAAAACCAAACGCTACGTGCAGTGCTATGAAGAGGGCTTTGAGATGTAAGAAAAATAGAATTCTCACCTGTAGATATGAACTGAATAATAATTTTTTAGAAAAGTGTGCTCATGACTAGATGTTTACAATCAGGAACGATGTCTTTTGAACGAAAAGTGTATTATTTACAACGGACAGACAGATATGCTTGCTTAAATTACGGGACCTGTGGGAGAAATCAAGAGCTGTCCTTCCCCTTTGCTTCTGCCTTCCCATTAGTTTCTGTGGCCTTTTCAGCTTCCGTTTGCTGAACCTCATACTTGACACATTCCATAGCACGATAAACTTTGCTTTGGAGATAAAAAGAGCCACTCTTCTCTCTGGAGTTGGCGTCGAAAAGGTAGTCGTACTTCTTCTGTGCCTGCTCCAGGTCCAACGATCCATCTTCGATACCGAGGATTTTGCGGGCCTCGGACAAGGACACACCGCCCGTCTTTTCTCTAGCGGCTGCTGTAGCAGAAGCCCGCAAAGAGGCAGACGAAGCTTGGCGGTACGCCTCCATGAAGGCCTTACCGACAACCTGAGAGCCGGTGACGAAAACCTGCATCAATAATCTGTGCGCCATTTTGAATGTCGACCTTTTGAGGAGTTTCTGTTAAATCAAGCGCGAGCGTTCTGGCTTCAAACAACCCCAACACAGAGTTATCCAAAAAAAATTTAAAGAGAAAAGGGTTGGTGGAAAACTGACCCCCAAACTGGTTACTAACCCAAAAAAAAAAGTCCCCAGTCTGGCTTTGTCATTCGCGAAACATGTCCGATGATGGCGGAATATACCCGGTGGATTCAGGCGTGATTCGGTGTATATGCGGGTTTGATCATGATGATGGATTCACAATTCAGTGCGAAAAATGCAATGCCTGGCAACACGCGATATGTGTTGATATTTACGACGACGAATCCGTTCCCGAAGTATACCTTTGTAACCGCTGCGGCGACAGAAAAGTAGATGCTGCGGCGGCTACAGAGCGGCAACTAAAGAATTTGAAGAAAAGAAAACGTGTAGTTCGCCGCGTGTCAGATATGGAGGGCACAAATGGCAAGACGAGCTCGGCTATAGCCGCTCCCGAGGGCAAGAAACGCGGCCGCAAAAAGCGCCAACCCGAAGCAGAGGAAATCGTGCCAGACACGCCACTATCCTACTTTGTTCGTACCAAGGCAAATTCCATCACTGAGCTGGCCTCAGACTACCTGGAAGGTCTGCCTGTGTGCGATGCGGTAACATACTTGAGCGCCGCGGAGTATGCAAGGGCAAAGCCAGCGTCAATCACAATTCAAAGGTTTGACAAGGGATTTGGCGTGAACATGTACGGACTGATCGCAAACTCCAACTTATCACGCGACAGATTTGTTATAGAATTCTGTGGAGAAGTCATGACACTCGATGAGTATAAAATGAACCCGGTGAACCAGTACAGGCTTTTTGGATGCCCCAAGCCTGGAGTTTTGTTTGTTCCCCAGCTGCTTTTGGCAGTTGATGGTCGCTGTGTAGGCAGCGACGCAGTATTTATTAGACGTTCGTCTACTCCGAATCTTCGGTTCTCACCTGTGATTGTTGAAAACATGTTGCATGTCGTTGCGTTCGCCAATCAGCCTATTAAATCCGGTACAGAGCTTACAGCACCCTGGGACTGGGATTCCGAGCACCCAATCCAAAAGCTACGGCATATGGACTTGGGCGACTTGGATGAAAAGGACCAGGAATGTTTGGGGGCCACTGCAGCAGCCCTGCGAAATATCGGTTATACCTTCAGGTCTTTGAATGACTGTTTATCACCAGATGAGCCTATTCAACCGGTTGTTCGTGAGAGTATAAGGATACGACCAATCAAGAAAGTTGCGACCCCTGCAGAGCAGCTTCAAGCTATCTTTTTGGAAACCGCTCAACTTGAAGAAACTCCGGCAGTGAATTTAGAAGAAGTAACATCAGTTCCTCAACAAAACGTTTGGTACGAAGCACCGGCGGCAGGAACCCCTGTGAAGGTCAAGAAAAAGCTCAGTTTGGCAGACTATAAAAAGAAGCATGCGTAGCAGCGTGCCGCTAGCTCCCTTAATACCTTTTTGTTAATTTAATCAACCAATTTGTGATCTTTATGCAATCTAAGCTAAGCGGAAAGGCTCAGCTCTCCTAAGTGGTTTGTCAATGGATATTAGTTTGATACGGGCCATGATAGTTGTGAGACTGGCTCGCTTAGCAGGATCCCATTGTATGCAGCATCGGACGATATCGCCGAACTTTTTTAAATTTTCTGTGATGATAATCTCGTTGTTTCCTGGGAACTTCAAATCAAGAAGCTCAGTCACTTCTGGAGAGTAGTCGCCAAGTTCTTTCCAGTACCCGCCGGGGCAGCCTGCAGATGGGGTGCCCAAGACTCGCATTTGTCGCCGGAGCATATCTAAACGGTCTCTTCCTGGGAAAAGCGGTGCTAAATTACACAACTCTGCGATAAGGGTACCCAGGGCCCAAATATCTAAAGGGTACGAATGCTCACGAATTTCCAAAAGTTGTTCAGGGGCTCGATACCATCTTGTAGCCACATAGGATGTCCATCGATGCGAAGAAGGCTCGATTTCTGCGCGTCGTGCCAGACCGAAATCGGCAATTTTCAGCACCACCTCACCCTGAGACGTAGACACCAGAATGTTTTCGGGCTTAAGGTCACGGTGAACAAACCCATGAGCGTGGATATGTGCGAGGCCCCTGATTAACTGGGAAAATAAAGAGACCAACGTAGGCACTTTGAGAGGCCTTCCTTCTCGTTTCCGAACCATTTCTAGTAGATTGCAATCCATGAGCTCGGTTATAAAATGCAACTGGTTGGTGTTCGCGTCTAGGAACATCTCATTAAGAGCAACGAGGTTTGCATGCGGCGGCACCGACTGATAGAATTGTACTTCTCTTAGACGACTTGGTTCGCAAGAGTAACTTTGACGTAGAGTTTTCACGGCCACAAGCCTGGCGGAGCCTTTTGTCCGCGCAACACAGACAGTACCAAACGTTCCACTTCCTATTTCGTTTTCCAGCTGGTATTTGGTGTCCAGTATCGCATGACCCACCTCAGTGCCCACAACATTACGCAGCTGGAACATAATTGCTCTTAAGTGACTCGCGTACTGGTGGCCCTGTTGGGATTTTGTACTTGTGATTGAGTTTTGAGGAAGGTTCACGTAGCCCCGACAAAAGTAGTGGTTACTGCGGTTCGTGCATATGGCCGTAGAGCTGCAGAGGACAATTTATTAAAAGTGGTGTGCTACCCAAACCTTTCTCTGTAATTTTTGTACAATTCCGCTGAAATATTAGCAAATTCAGCATTCTAATACAGACTCTTTTTGAGGATTCAGCCTGTCCTTTATGTCATTTCGGGGTCCGGCACCAGGCATGCCCTGCCAATTAAGCCTGTTTCTGTCCACAGCCTGCAGCTAGCCTCAAAATTATTTGCATAAACTGTGAGGGAGATACAACAACCACTATAGTAAAATCGGAAGCACGTGTTTCATGGCGAATAAAATTTTACCAGGTTTCAGTCGGACATCCAAACGCTCGTCCACCAGTTCCCGACAGCTTTGTCTTCGAATCTTCCAACCGCATCCTCAAAATCACTCTTTGGGTTTCATGCGATGTCATTACTAAGTGGTCAAGAACGAGTATGCGGGGAGACGTAGTATCCTTACCTAAGCTGGAGCGGGATCAATGGTTGTGTGGTGCTAGGGCTTTAGGGCTAACAGTAGTAGCGCTCTGGGAACCTACATAGCCTCTACTTTTCATATCTCGAGACGACCCGTCATCTTTTATCGGTTAGAACGAAGGAAGTTTCCCGACGAGCCGTTAAAATGCAAATCTTCGTCAAGACCCTGACCGGAAAGACGATCACCCTCGAGGTGGAGTCTTCCGACACTATCGATAACGTCAAAGCCAAGATCCAGGACAAGGAGGGTATCCCCCCTGACCAACAGCGTCTTATTTTCGCCGGCAAGCAGCTCGAGGATGGCCGAACTCTTTCTGACTACAACATCCAGAAGGAGTCTACCCTCCACTTGGTCCTGCGTCTGCGTGGTGGTGGTAAGAAGCGTAAGAAGAAGGTCTACACCACCCCCAAGAAGATCAAGCACAAGCACAAGAAGGTTAAGTTGGCTGTTCTCCAGTACTACCAGGTCAGCGAGGATGGTACCGTTAACCGTCTCCGCCGCGAGTGCCCTGACTGCGGTCTCGGTGTCTTCATGGCCCTGCACCCCAAGACCAAGGAGAACAAGGTCGAGCGCCAGTACTGCGGTCGCTGCCACAAGACTTTGGTCCTCAACAAATAAATAGCTTTAGCATAAAATATTTCTTCTGCTAATAATCCTTTGAATCGCCTTAAAGATTTTTGTTGGAGCTTCGCCTTTTTGCAGTTCATATTCTAATCGGTTAGTAATCGACGGTTGTTTTCCTCAATGGCAGACAGTTCAGTTGTGGATTCAGCAGCCAAATCGACACCCGCTGATGAATTTGCGTACGCTGGGAGGCTCGGTTATCCGCTAAAGATTCATCCTCGCGTAGGCTCGAATGGCTTGGAGAACCCGATGGACTTTTTTGCCGACCTCTTGGGATCACGCATCCCGTCGCGTACGGGCAGGAAAAACAGCGATATGCCTTCGAGCGATCAATATAGTGATATGGAGAAGTCAATTCCGCAGTTCGATCTTGGTTGGGACGCTACTCCTGCTCGTGTGGTATTGCCATCCAGTGATGCAAGGTCTTCAAATCTGCCCCGTCCTAAAATCTCGACCCCCACACGCGAACTTACTGCTATAAGCTCAAATGATGCCTTTGATTTGATTGATGGTGGCGACCTACCTCCTCCTAGCCCAATTGGTTTTGACGATGACCCCGGAAGCTCTACAATCCGTGATTCTGTCCAAGTATCCAGAGTCCGTCCGTACACGTCTTCAAAACCGGACCCTGTACCCTCTTTTCAAATATTTGCATCTTCTGACTCTGGAGTCGGAGGAGTGGCCACTCGAAATGAAAAGACCACCCATCCTGCTTCAAGTCCGTCGAATAGTGGAGGCACTTCGCTCGGAATCTATAGGTCTGCAAAGCGGAAGGTCGCGATACCGCCCGTCAATCAAAACATTCTGGACGAGGGAGACTACCATGATTACCAGGATAATTATATGGATGCGCAGGACGATGTCGTGAGTGCACAAGACGATTATATGATTTCACAGGACCACATCGATGAGCCAGATCAATACGAGTTCCCTCAGCAGAGTCGGCCGAAAGTATACGAAGATGGAACCAGTGACTCTGAGTCTGATATCCACATTACTAGCCGAGTCATACCGCGGTCCAGTGATGATGAAAATGCAGAGTCTGAGCTTGATGTGAGTGATTATAATTCCGATGCCTCAGTTATGGATATGGTTGTGGGGTACGAGAATACCACCCTGGACTATAATGACTTTGATCCCACAATGATCACGGAAGATAGTGACATTTACGAGGAATGGGATACCGGAGATATGGAGGGAGAGACGACCCTAGTTGTGCCCCGGACGGAACCGCCCAATTACAACAGTGCAGGGCTGAGACGAAGTCGGAGACATAAAATTGAGCCAGTAAGATACTGGCTGGGCGAAAAGCCAGTATACAAACTGTCGAGAGGAACGTTTCTGCCTACCTTGAAAGAAGTGATCAAAGTCGAAGACCCGGAACCCTCCGTGCCAAAAGCCCGGCCGCGTAAAAAGAAACGCAACGACGACTTGGCTGATTCTTCAGTTGTTGTTGCTCAAGTATTTGATGCCGAGAAAATGGGCTTTGAGTTCCGAGAGGTCGCCAAGAAACTCGACTGGGAAAATATGCAGCCGACTAGAGGCAACCCCAAGGTCAAAGTGCAAGTGCTATTCCCCAAGTTCGACAATCTGCCAATTTCAATTGAGGGCCTCTGTTTCGAACGGGGCGCCAAAATCCCTGAGCAAAACACTGGGCCCTATGCCTATGTGGTTTCGGTGTTGACCGGCCATTTCCAGTTCCAGCTACACCAAAAGACCATCGAACTACGACGTGGTGCATCGCTGGGAGTGCAACGAGGGAACGATTTTGGCGTAGATAATGTCGGCCCTGGCCAGGGAACCCTCTTCATGATCAAGATTCATGCAGACATGTTTGAGCGGGGTATTCTGAACGAAGAGTCATTCAGCAACCTTCCAGAACAAATGAGCCGCTCAATGAACGCTCAAGAAAGCAGAGACAGCCATGTCGCTGCTGATATTTAAAAAAACATTGTATTTATTAAACTTAACAACTGATCCACCAGGGGACAGTAGCTGCTGTGTCTATATACCGTGCAAACTCTCAAGCAGAACTGAATAAATAAAACCGAATGAGACGATCCCCTCCGAAAATGGAAACATGTACAAGAGGATGCAATAGGGGAAGCTCAAAAACTCATGCCAACTGGTGAGAGACCTGTTTGAATTGGTCACAGACGGACTCGAATGCTTTGCGGCCTAGAGAGGCATTCTGGACAAACCGGTCGACACTAAAGTCCTCGACCTTGTGGCAGAGTTTCCGCCACGCGAGATAAGCCTCGAACTCGGCATGCTGGTGGAAAAGAGTCACCCCGGAGTTGGTGGGATCGGGGCGATAGGTGACGGTCTCGTAGACGGACAGGATGTTGCTGAACGTCAAATTTTGCGATCTCATAACGAGAACTTTGTTTTTGGGGTCGACTTCGCTGACCTCGCGAACGTACGACACGCTTTGGCCGCCTAGAACCGCCTGGAGCCATCGCGGAGCGGCCTGGCGGCAGGTAATGAGACGCTCTGTGCGGAGAACGCCGGTTTTGGGGTCAACTTCACGGCGGAGGATGTCTACGGCCTCGACATGAGTAGTGAGCTCGTTCGGGTATTTGTTCCAGTTGGCCTTTGTGACATGCTCCCAGTCGTACTGAAATTTGCAAGTAGTGTCGAAAAACCTCATTTTTCTGTAACTTGTGTTGGGGTCCTATTCTGCTGTGTATACGGTGATGCAGTCAAAGGTGTGCTCAAGTCCGCTTGTTCGATTTGGCGGCGTTGTGCACTGGAGAGACCTTTGCGGTTGGGCAGATAAAGAGAAAAAAAGTCTAGAAATCGGCGCGGTTTTATCAAGTGAGTCAGCAAGGTTTTTTTTTTGGGTCACAGGACTAGACCAGCAGCCGAGAGCAAGCAAGGTTTGATGAGAAGCAATGATGCAAGGTCAAATCGAACAATATCGCTAGGTCAATGCATTGGTTTAGTGTGTCTGGTGAGTTTTGTACCAGGTTCAACCCTGGCATCAGCTAGCAGAGGCGCTATCTGTTCAAAGCCGATCTTGGAACCTCGCTTACCCGACAAAACCCGGGTGGCTGTTGCTGCAGCAACCAACTCGGCAAAGCCGGGGTATGCCCTCGCCATGCGAGCTCACGCGATTTGGATATCGGAGCAAACTTTAGATCTATTCGGTAAATTAGATAGCTGGGAGCTCAATTAAGTCGAATTCGTAGTTATCCAGCCTGCGGGGTTGGTACACCGATCGGCCTCGGCATTGGCAAAATGCCCTATTGAGGTTGCAAAATACGGACAATCAGCGCCTTTGCCACTAATAATTAAGACGCCGTAAAGTTAACTAAGAAATTGTTGGTGTGACACAGAAACAGCTCGATAAAGTTTAAGTCACCGGTAAATTAAGAATGACGCATCTGAGTGCTCAATTGACGCAGCAAGTGGCAGTTCTTCACCGGTGATTTCAAATGCGACTCGATTCAGTGAAAGAAAGTAGCTTTTAATTGGCCAGTGAAAAGTGCCGCCTCAATGACTGATTTTCGCTCAGTGACTGAGTTGCCGGAACATAATCTGACACCGTTCGCGCGTGCTGGTGTAACATCGTCTGTCAATTGAATTGGAGGTGGCACTCGAAAAAATTCGCATATCAATAGCTAACCTAGACAGATACAAGACGCGTGTCTCATAAGTAATTATCAGTACTCACACCGCTAGCAACCGCCAGAGATTCTAATAGATAAGCTCTACAAGGACTGGACTGGTGAATTAAAATACGTACGTCATTGTGGACCATGGCGGGGCATAACCACAGGTGGCGTCTGAAGTGGCCCCATCCCATCATTAGGTACATGGATGGTAGGGTAGTACTGTAGGGGTGGCGATCCCATAACCATTGGATTAGGCGCCTTGGGCAAATTCATGCCATGTGAGACGTCCGGGGGACCGACAGGATGGACTGGAGAATACACAGGATATGGGGATTGCCGCATGTATACAGGCATCGGTGGAACTTGAGGATATGAGGGCATAGTTTGGCTTCTGTCCGGGGGAGGCGTCGAAGTGGCCACAATGTTCGAAACATACTCGGGCCGGTGAGCCATGCCGGGTTCGGCATTCCAGGTTGATCGATCAGCTCCAGGCTGATGGCTTCCAATTGAGAAACTAGTGATGTTCCCATTCATTAAGCTAGGCCGGCTAGCGCTAATGGCAGGGGATATTGGCCTGGAAAGGCGTCTGGTCGAGCTCTTATTTTGCCGACTGCGTGATGTTCGACGTGAGCTGGCTTGGGCTCCTTTGGACCGAGTGGATCTCGCTTTTGGCGTATCGGTAGTACCCTCTTCTGTGGGAGATCTTGAAGATGGGTTGGAACTGCTACTGGGCGCTGGCGAGAAATTAGACGCTGTGACCTTTGAAGTAGAAGGAGTCGGAGTAGCTGTGACTCCAGAAATATTTGCGGAAATGCCCATAACAGCCGGCGAGTTGAGTGCCGGAGAAGAAAGAGAGATTCCTTGGAGCATATTCGTTCGGCTGGAGTCCACAGGTTTATTGATTGGTGTGACACGGAACATCTGCCAGACCATGCCCATGGGACTGGGCACCAAAAGAGGTACCTCTGTGCTGGGGCCAACAGCATCAGGACTAATTGCTTTTTCTTGGTCCTTTGCTGGTGTCTTAGGGTCCACTAGGGCTTCAGCAATTGCTGATGGCTCGGAGGTGATACTCACGGTCACATCCTTCATGCTGGTATCTTCTTGTTCGCCATTTGGAAGGGCATCCGAAACGGCCGGAGGACTCTCAGTAAAGGATCTGTTGGGCAAGTTGCCCGTTTCAGTTTCGTCGTCGTCGCTACTCACTGACTCACGATATCGAGGTTTAGAGAGCCTTCTCAATTCCCGAACAATCGGCGACACAGGAGGGTTCAACAGACTGCTTAGAGTGTGACCTCTCCGATTTGAGACTGCTTCTGCTTCCGCTTCTGCTTCTGCTTCTGTTTCCATTACCGCTTGCTGTCTGCGAAGAGAGCGCTTCAGAGGAACCACGGCACCTGGTGTAACAGGCTTGGATTTGTTCAGGACAATTCTCACCCTCACAGGTGGATTTTCACCATTTGTTTCCACAGGTATAAACGCAGTAGTCGCTTCATTAATTAGTTGCCCACTACTGTTGGATTTAGGCGGACGCTTGCCAATGATACCTCGGCAAGTGAGCTCACCGCAGTAACATTTTTGAGCCATTGCACCTGTAAACACATCGAAATTGTAGTCATAAGTAAACTCTGTTCCAGCAGAAACACCTCTTTCGCCGGCAAATAACCCTACGCGAGGAACACCTTTCACGAACCATTTTTGCATTTCCGAGTTGGGATTGCAAGAATGATTAACAAACCGGGCTTCAGAGCCACGTCTTCCGCTATCAATTGCGAGTCCTTGTCCTAAACTCAAGCAGTAAAACCTGTCGGATCCACGGTAATCGTTTACAAGCCGCCGCTCCATTTCGGAGCTGTCGATCACGTCGCCGGTGTACTCAAGAATTAGCTCGTGTGGAGCGAAATCTCGTGTTGCAAACAGACCATGGCCCTTTGAGCCTGCAGATACAATTTTGATTCCGATGGATTCTGGATGTACGGCCAGCTTGGCCGTAAGCTCCTGGATGGCCCGATTGCTGCAGTCCCGCAGGCCCGAAGGGCAGCAAGTGGGATCACACTCGATGAAAGAAGCACGATTCAGGCAGTCCTCGTCGCAAAACCCCGGCTCACAAACGCACATAGCCATGTCGCGTGCCTTTGGGGGAGGGTTCAACTTGACGTAGGCGTTACGACGCATGACCTTCCAGGGCTGAACTTTAGGCGGTTCAGCGGCTGGCTGTTCCGAATCAGAGTCCGAGATCTCTTCTTCTGCGGGCCTGGGAAGCCCTTCAATATCGAAGAGCTCCCTGTAAATAAAGTATGGCAGTTTGAACGGTCGTGGTCGCTTCAGCTCGTTATACGACACACCCCGGGGGAGCGGAAAGACCTTCCGCGCGACGCCGCGCTTATTGTAAACACCATGAGTCACAATGACTTTACCGGATACGTACTGTCCTGTCTTTTTGGCGCGTTTAAACGCCCTGGCTTCCTGATCGACATCGAAGCTTTCCTCTACTGGAACCTGTATGCTCTTACGAAAGGGAATACGAGCATGGAACGGTATGCGTTGCAAAACTGGATTGGAACGTAAAATTGGATAGCACTGGTCACGCTTCGGTGGCCTACTGCCATCATACTGTCTGCCCTGACCTGCTGGTGACAGCGTTTTGGGCGCCTCGTGCATCAAGACTGGGAGGGTAGGCGGTTATTTGTCAAGATAAATCGCTGAGAATAGAGATCTACAGTGTACGGGTTAGATCCTGGAGGTGGTTTTTAAATACATGTATGATAGAATTTACCTAGGAACTGCTTTCTATGTTTAAAATCAAATATATTCTGGTAATGTTACATTCAACATCTGAGCACCACTACGACGCTGGATTAGTGCCCTCAGGCACGTTCTGTGAAACTCGCCTGCACATATGCAAGCTAATTCAGTTGTAGGTAATATGACACCGAAAAAATAGTCTCGAGTTGCGAGACCAAAAAAAATACAAGAATTTAAATGATTTAATGATGTTACTCTGGTAGAATTTATTCATCCTTCCAGCCCTAGTCGTCTGTAGTCATCATGAATCGTAATCTTCAACAGGCGATGGCGCGCTCTGCGCGTGTCGTGGGCCTGGGATTCGCCATTTCCACTGGGCTATTTGCTGCGCTCTATGCTATTCAGTACCGGAACCGCACGTCCATGCCGTTCGAAAGCCCTAGAGAGTGGACAATGTTGACAAAACTCTATGTTCACCAAGCTCTTGATCAGCATACGCCGGAGAAGGAAGCTCAATTCTGGGAAAAGGCGATCAATTCGTTGATCAAACAGAACGACAGTAACCAGCTCCAATCCAAATCTGTGGAATGGCTCGCTGGGTATGCGGATCTGCTGCGACTATTTGGGTTAGCTCAAGCCAAATCCGGAGAAGACCCTACTGAGGCCCTGTTGGCGAGTAAATCTATCCCGTACGGCTCGGCAAAATTGATAGAGAAGGTAGATCTCGAGCTTTTCGAGCGGACAGGCCAAAAGGAATACCTTTTAGATGCGCTGCGCACCGAGCAGAAGAATGGCAATCTAAACAGCCTCGATGAAGTGCGAATTCCCGAGAAGCTGCACCCGGACAACGCAAAAGCATACCTTGATCTTGCTCGGACCTATTACAGGGCTGACAACACTACCAAGGCCCTAAATATCTACCTTGGACTTCACAAGGCCCTCCAGGAATCTCAAAGTGAAGACGTTCTTTGTGTGCGTCCTGGAGCTGCCGGGATGGCGGGCCAAATGCTGTGGAAGCTGGGCTACAAACAGGATGCTACTCGGTGGCTGGAAATGGCTGATCGAGATGCTGCCCAGTCTCAAACCGGAGCCTGCAGGCGGTGTCGCGAGCTAGCCGCTGATTTATTACGAAGAGCTCGAGAGCAAAGCTAAAATCAGATATAATTATGTACAGAAAACGGTTTACCAAGAAGAGCTCCGGACGCCCGGGAGCTCACCCTTGAGGGCCAGTTCACGGAACTTGATACGGCACACACGGAACTCCTTGATAACAGAACGTCCGTAGCCACTCTCGATACAACGATTCTTGATTTCGGTAGGACGTGTGTAATGTGGCATCTGGTGGAGCTGTAGTTGCGCTTCAAGACGTGTCTTCATGGGTAGCGAAGTGTTGTGCGCAAGGTACTTGAGGGCTTTGCGGGCAACCTCGTTTTCAGCGTACATGTGACGCTTGTAGTTGTCTCTGATGATGTACGTGGTGTTTTTCGGGCCACCAGGCAGGGGGACCTGCTTCAAACCAGGAAATCGGGGAGGCATGAAAAAGATGACAAATCGGGGACAGAGAATTTCATTTGATTTTCTCGAGGTTTTTTGTCTTCAAGCTATTCTGCTTGGGTTTAGAGCCTGGGGCCAAGAAGACTGATTTAATATTACAGACCTGAAATTTTGAGATACATTGACTAGACCAAACTACTAAAAGAGATCCATCAGCAGCCAGCAAAACCCGTACCGGCTTGTTTCTGCAGAGCTTCTATAGTTTATCACACCCTTGAGCGTTCAAAATAAAAATAACCGTGTAGTCCAGAATATGCCGCCAAATCGTTCATGCTACAGGCCACTCAGACTGCTCCAGTGCTGTGACATGCATGGCTCAGTTGCATAAATTAGTAAAAAAAATCTTGTGTTCTTAGAAAACTTCAATGGGCAAAAGCGCAGCACGAGTCACTGAACAGATATCTGACATTCACTCCAGTGATTCAGGATCACTAGACAACGTGTCCTTGTCTGATGAGCACACGGTTTCCGAGGCCGAGTCCTACGCCTCAGACGCACCCCTTCAGCCCAAGCGTCTTGAAAAACGCTACTTTGGCTTCCTGAGATCCAAGCGGTTCTGGATTGTTCTTGTCCATGGGCAGATTCTTTCATTGGCCATTACCTGCACTAATACTATGACCACAGAAATGTCGATGCAAGGCAACAACATCCCCGCATTTCAGAGTCTTTTCACTTATGCCTTATTATTCCTGATTTTCATGCCTTACACTATTTATCGCATGGGACCCAAGCAGTTCTACAAAATGTTCATCCGCGATTGCTGGAAGTTTTTCATTTTGGGCTTTGCTGATGTCCAGGGAAACTATTTCGTTGTCAAGGCCTACCAGTATACCAACATCCTAAGTGCTGCCCTGCTTGACAACTTTGCTATCGTTGTTGTCGTTATCTTGTCTTTCCTTCTGCTCAAAGTCAGATACCACTGGTCTCAGTATCTCGGAACTGTAATTGCAATTGGAGGCATGGCTTTGCTGGTCGTTAGTGACCATTTGACTCACGGCAAAGATCCCGCCGCCAATGCAGTCAAAGGCGACTTGTTTGTGCTTCTGGGCGCTGCATGCTACGGTATTTCAAACACACTCGAGGAGTATTTTGTCTCTAAGCGACCAATGTACCAGGTGTTATCCATGCTCGGCTTTTTTGGCATGTGCATTATCGGTGTGCAGGCAGCCATTTTCGAGCGATCCAGTCTTCAGAATGCTAAATGGAATGGCGAGGTGGGTGGCTACCTCACCGGGTTTACACTTGCTATGTTGTTGATCTATACCACCGCCCCTATTCTGTTCCGTATGTCGTCTGCAGCGTTCTACAACTTGTCGCTTCTGACCTCAGACTTTTGGTCTCTTTTGGTTGGTATCGAGGCTTTCGGGTACTACGTGTACTGGCTATACCCCGTGGGATTTGTATTCACTATTCTTGGTGTCATTTGCTACTGTGCGGCACCTATGACAAAATTCGGGGAGTCTGTCAAGCCTTGGCTAGGCGACGACCAAGAAAAGGGAATTGCTGGTTTGGGAACCGCTAGAGCGAGACTGGACCGTCAAAATCTCGAGACTGTGCCAGAGGAATCGTCTTCAGAAGAAGAGACACCTGAGACCGAGGCTGAAAATGAGAGTGAGACAGCCGGAAGCACAAAACAAACGTAAATATTTAATTTAATTCTTCAAAGACTTGCTGTGTACCCTCATAAGGAGGAACATCAAAGTCATATTTCTGAGCAAATGCAGGGGTGATGAACCGGCCGCCGATAAAGTGCCGACCTTTGAACGAATCAGCGCACTTTTTGGGAGCAGTGAGACTCACCAGAACCGACGGGTTGAATTTGGAATCGCCCGGACCGTTGTCGACATCCCAAGAAGATGGAATATCGACTGCAACCGTCGGCTTCGAGGTAGATGATAGCAGATCCATCACGGGCACGAAAGATTCACGAACTGGGGGTTTGAAAGAGAACCCAAATAGGGCATCAACAATGATATCCGCTGTACTAAACGCTGAAGGCAGGTCTTTGGTATCGACATAGGGCACCCTGAACACCTCGAGCTGGGTACGAAGACCATCGAACAGAGCACCCGAAGTGGGCTTTGGGCAGTATACTTTGGGTTCGTAGCCCATCAAAGACAAATGGCGTGAAGCAACAAGACCATCACCGCCGTTATTTCCTGGACCGACCAACACTAACACCTTTGATCCCTTGCTGGGCGGATGCACTCTGTACAGGGCATGGGCCACTGCCTGGCCAGCAAGCTCCATCAATTGATCAATTGAAAATCCGCAGGTGCCCATAAGCTCTTTGTCGATTCGAGCAGCCTGTTGGGCTGAAATCCGTTTGATCATGTTAAAACACAGCGACGGTTACCTAACACACATTCACGACATGGACGGAGTGGACGACACATCGGCTGTTTTACAGGCCGCTGGGCTGCACCAGCCTCCTGTGGAAGAAGCCCCGAGTCTTTTGTGTGTTATTATCGACACGCATGCCGAAGGATGGCATAAGCTGGAGGGTTGGTCGTTCAAGGAAACTATGGCGTCGGTTATGGTGCTACTCAATGCCCACATGGCGCTGTCTAATGCGAATGACGTCGCTGTGTTAGGGTTTAATGGAATGGGCCCCAGGATGGTGTATCCGCAAAAGGAGGACGCACCTTTGTCTGATGTGAAGCTCGAAGGAACAATGTACAGGCAGTTCCATAAAATGGACAAGACCGTGCTTGCAGCTCTTGCAACACAGCTCCAAGAAACAACAGTCAACAAGCATTGCTCTATCAGCGCCCCGCTGACGCTGGCACTGTGTTACACTCAGCGGATCATGAGACAGCGGCCCGGCACACGGGGCCGCATTTTGCTGGTCTCGGTCACCGGGGATGTGCCCAGCAAGTACATTTCCACCATGAACAGCATCTTTGCTGCTCAAAAGGCCCACATTCCAATTGATGTATGCAAGCTAGGGGGTGAGAAGACGAACCTACAGCAAGCAGCTGACTTTACAGGAGGTGCATACATCGACATTGCTCACCCCCGGGGCCTCGTTCAGTATTTCATGTCGACGTTCTTAATTGACCCGGCAACCAGGCAAATGCTCAACCAGGCAACCCAGCCAGAGGTCGACTTCCGAGCCGTTTGCTTCCTTACAAAAGAGGTGGTCGAAATAGGCCATGTCTGTTCCGTCTGTTTGTGCATCATGAAAGACGAACCGGATGGCTCTTGCCCTATTTGCCATACCGTTTTCGAATCTACCCAGCTCCCTAGTTTCACGTAGAGTTATTTATTGTCTGACCCGCCTGCGGGTTCATTTAGTCATGATTCGTCCAAGTCTCGGAGTCAGATGGGGAGCTATTCGCGCCTACTCAAAGCTCACTGCCGAGCATTACAATGTTGCCAGGGGCTCATACGGATCTATTGAACAGTCTGATTTGGATTTCTTCAAAAGCATCGTGCCAAATGGTGTTGTTACCGATGCCTCAGATCTCGAGATGTTTAATGAGGATTGGATGCACAAATATCGCGGTCAGTCCAAGGTTATGTTAAAGCCGCAGAACACCGAGCAGGTGAGCAAGATTATGGCCCATTGCAATGCCAGGAAGCTTGCTGTCGTTCCTCAAGGTGGTAACACTGGCCTGGTGGGTGGCTCTGTTCCGGTGTTTGACGAGATCATTCTCTCATTGGCCAATATGAACAAAATCCGCCATTTCGACCCTGTGTCGGGAGTGTTGACCGCCGACGCTGGTGTCATCCTCCAAAATGCCGATGACTATCTGCGCACTCAGGGTTTCATTTTCCCCCTAGACCTTGGTGCAAAGGGGTCCTGCCAAATCGGTGGTAACCTTGCCACGAACGCCGGTGGATTGCGCTTATTGAGATACGGATCTCTGCATGGAACCGTGCTGGGTGTTGAGGGCGTTTTCGCCACAGGTGAGGTCTTTGATGGCCTTAGTTCTCTTCGTAAGGACAACACTGGCTACGACCTCAAGCAGCTTTTTATTGGCAGTGAAGGCACTCTCGGTGTTATCACTGGGTTATCTATTATTTGCCCTCCCAAGCCCAATGCGGTCAATGTCGCGTTCCTCGGTTTGGAGTCGTTCGACAAAGTCCAAGAGGCGTTCGTCAAGTCTCGCAGTCACTTGGCGGAGATTTTAAGTTCATTCGAGTGCATGGATGCTTCATCTCTCAAGCTGGCCAGCCATCATTGCTCTTTGCAGGCTCCATTGTCTGATGTCCACCCCTTTTCGGTACTCATTGAGACTTCTGGCTCAAACAGTGCCCACGACGAGGAGAAGCTCAGCGGCTTCCTTGAGGCATTGATGGAAGAAGGTATCATCACCGACGGTGTGCTTGCCCAAGATGAGACCCAGATTGCCAACTTGTGGTACTGGCGTGAGTTCATCCCCGAAGCTTCTACAAAAGCTGGCGGTGTTTACAAGTACGATGTTTCGTTGCCATTGCCTGCAATGTGGGAGCTGGTTGATGCTACCAATGACCGTTTGATTAAGCAAAATTTGGTTGGATCCACCGACGAATTCCCTGTTGTCGACACTATTGGTTATGGTCATATTGGCGATAGCAATTTGCATTTGAACGTGGCTGTCCGCAGGTACGACGACCGGGTCGAACAGGCTCTTGAGCCTTTTGTGTTTGAATTTGTTGCCAAACACAAGGGCTCGGTGAGTGCTGAGCACGGATTGGGATTCCAAAAGGCCCACGCCCTGCACTACTCGAAATCAGAGCACATGATTGGGCTCATGAAAGCGTTGAAGAGGCACTACGACCCTAATCTCATTCTGAACCCCTACAAGTATCTTCCCTAGATAGTAAACTCAAGGCTTCGCTAGCTGCCTGGTCAATTGCCTGAAAGCGTTTAGGACCCATTTTAACACCACCGTACCAACGGGTTACCACAATTACGACATCTTCGATATTCTGCTGCTTGAGCATGAACAGTATCCGTTGAGCAGCCGGCGGCTCGCCATTATCGTTGGCCTCTTCATAGACATGTACTCCGGTCCTGATCCGGCACGCAGATATGTTATGGGTCGCTTTGGCCGTATCTTTACTAGCTTTTAGTTCTTTAATTAGTTTAGCAGCTTGTTCAATCGTGTCTGCTCTTATCGCCCGCCCCACAAACCGCGATTTTTGTACTACTAAGGGCGACGACACTGCCCACATGCTTAGTCGGTTGATTTGGTAAATATGTATTTATGTCTCTACAGGCCTGCACGCTTTTTAACCGCATCATTTACTTTAAGATCGTCAAAATAAATACCAAAGCGCGTAGCGATACTATCGAATGCACTCACTGCACTCTGGTGTACTGTCAACAAAGGGCCAAAGTCGGGTTCCACTAAACCCGCCTGAACGGCAACGTCTTCCCATTGACTTTTGTCCCGCTTCATTACCTTGTCCAGCAAAGATAACAAAGTGTCAAGTTGGGCCAATGTAGCGGCAATATCCACCTGAACGTAGCCGAAGGGATCCTCATCATGGGAAGCGACAATGAGACCCGAAACTGATTCCAAGGCTAACGAGAGTAGTCCGCATTGAGGGATGAGTTTGTGAGCCTGACGCTGAGAAGTATGTCTAAACGGCTTTCCAACAGAACTGAGAAGGAACTTGCGATGAGTTTGGCTCATGCATGCCAACAATGGCTTTTTGAGATCCGGAATGGCGACCCCAAGCCACCTAATGGCATCTTGCGATCTTTGGGCACTGGGATCTTGCATTTGGTCAATAAGGCGCATGGACGGACTGATGCGTGCTCTCACAAATACGTTCTTGGTCTCTGGCTTCAACTGTTCGACCGTAGTAGTGGTTGCTGGCCGCGTGAAAAGACAGCTGCTGCTCATATGAGCCGCATGAGCTAGGGCATCAGATGCTTTACTAGTACCTTGAGGGACCTTTTCAGCAGGCTTGGGTTTTGCTTCCAAAGACTGGACAGTGGTTCCTACCAGCTTGGCGTATTCCGCACGTATAAGTTTCCAGACAACTCTGTCTGAATCGACGTCTTTGAAAATAGACTTGCGACGCTGTTCATCTCTACGAGCAATGAAAAGCAACTCCTGCCATGCCGTCAGTTGGGTCAGTGAGCCAGATCTATGTTGGAATCCAGATAGCAGTGAACCATTTGGATCTTGAGAGGGGGATGAAATGGTATGCCCTCTATGGTAAGGGCCCAATGACATATAAACTCTAAAGGCAGAGTTGGCGATAGTCCAAATCATAACTAACCCGAAAAAGTGGTAGCTGGCCCCCGAAATAACCTTAATGCTAGGGAACTCAGTTTGGCCTTGGATATTTAAGCCAAACACTTTATACAGCTTGTGCACGTAGTTGTGAGAAGCAGAATAAACGAGGATCCAAGACCCCACAATTGCAGATGACGCAACGAAACCAGAAACCAACGTTTTTTGAGCAGACGACTTCAATTGGCGCCAAGGAGCTTCGATTCGAACCTCGGAACCCAGAACATCAAAACCTGCAATTAAATGGTATGCGGCATAGACGAAACCCACATAAATAGCAAAATGGTGTCTAAAACAGAACTCTTGATTCACAACCCGAAGATCACCGTGCGGGGACGCATTCAAGTTCTTTGGCAACCCTGGTGGGGTAGGAGGCAGCTCAACTTTGATGACTTCAAACAGCGGAGAACTACCAGAGGCGAAAAGCCAAATGTAAATTACCGCGCTCAGACTGTATGCAGCTGCCAAAGACAAATAACTCGGAGCCAACAGCTTACGGCCAATTTCCCAAGCCAAGCTCGGGTAGTATTGGCTATATGTAGCGATGCGCACTTTCCTAGCCAGCAAAACAACCATTATTGCAGCCATAAGACCTGAAAAGCTGTACAAAAACGCGATGCCGAGGTCGAAACGCTGTAAAAGACAAAAGGGCACCGAAACAAACGTCAAGAACTTGATGAGATTGAAGAACCGTGCATTCAATACCCACGCAAGCAGCTTGGTGTACGGCACACCATTACGAGCAATCTTGTGCCGTGGAAGTAGTCGCACTACAGACACCATGATTGTCGATTGTTTATTTTACCAACTTTGATCCGCCAGCGGTCCACAAAGCTTAGTCAAAGAGGAAGAGGAAAAAAAAAACAAATCGCCAAAACACGCTGACAAAAACCCTGTCTTTTGAATCCCCAAATTGTTATGGCATTGGTGAATAGGCCAGCGGCTGCCGAACTGAAGGAGCTTTTGGAGGCGTCGTACAACTTGCCCAATGCGACGTGTGATTTAGGTCGTGTTCGGCTCGGACTTCCCGAGCTTCAGCACGTGGTGAAGACTCGTACACCTGCTGGAGCAAAGATAGACGCCAAGGCCCATTATTTGTTGGCTGGATCGGGGTTTAATGCTGAACAGGTTCACTCTGAGATTGGAATGCTGAGATTCTCTGTTGAGCAGGATCAATCTCGGCCCACTGGCTCGGCAACTAGAGGTGTTGAGGGCTATCTATCTTCGAAAAAGACTGACAATGTATTCGCTTCCATTGATTCGTTGGTGCAGTCTTCTGCGCATGATTTCGATTATTTTGTTGCCCAAAAACTAGCTTTGGACTGGCGTGGACTCAAGCAGCAGATCCAAACAATGCTGGGTCTCGCTTCTAACGCTCAGGGCGCGCCTGCTTCGCAATCAATCCAGAACAGTGATACTTCTGCATTCCCTGCGGCGTCAGATATGACACTGGCTGCAATTAACTGGGGTAGACGTCGTGTTGGCCGATTTCTACTGGGAGAAGCGTCTACAGAGATTCCCGATGCCTCAGCTGTCCAACGGGCCCATGATTTTGCTGCGGTAGTAACAGAGATTAATGATGCTTGGCAATTAAACAAGCCCTTCAATGTTGCTCGTCGCTTTTGTGAAGTCTCTGCAGCGTACGAATTAGCAAACTGCCCTCAATTGAACGATACTTGGAAGGCCATCGAGCTGCTGGCGGGACCGCAGCCCAATCTCCGTCAATTCTCGAAACAATATTTGAGCACGCGCCCCACCGACCAGACCCGCATGCGTCAACTGATTACGTTCAAGTCGAAGGAGTACTTGGAGCAACAGTATCGTGCCTACATTGAGGGCGAGATCGACTCTCATCGTCATGAAGCTAATCTTGGTGGTGTACCGTCAAGTTATAACAAGGTCAAGGCATTTGTTGCCCTCAAGTTTTTCAGAAACGGTCAATGGGACTCGAGGATTGAGACAATCAACAAAACACCGATTTGGGCCCAGCTGTACTACTTGGTTCGTGCTGGCTACCTCAAAGAAGCATCTCAGCTGGTCCTGGAACGCAACGACATTTTCGAGTCGGTCGAAAGCACCTTTGCTGCTTATTTCACTGCTTATTTCCAGTCACCAGATCACATGCTATCCGAACATTACCGTGAAATGATTCATTTAGAATACGCACAGCTTTTCCGCCCAGGCGCGGTATTTGACCCTTTCAAGCAGGCACTCTACAAGATTATTGGGCGTTGTGAACTCCAGCGTAGCTCATTGCCTCAGGTGGCTGTCACCACAGAGGACTGGATGTGGCTTCAGCTGGCCCTTGTTCGCGAAGCTGTTTCGGGTACTGAACTCCGAAACGATCGATACGATCTCACCGATTTGCAGCGTGTTGTTCTGGAGACCGGGCCCGAACACTTTGAACCTACTGGCTTGAACCCTGGCAAGTATTTCGGCTTGCAGATTCTGATTGGTCTTTACGAAAACGCAGTGGAGTTTTTGTACAAATCTCATGAACTTTACGCTATTCATTACGCTATTGCTCTCGCAGCGTACGGTCTGCTTCGCCCTGATGATACTCCGGATATGCCAGCCAACGACAGTGCAGTGGCCACCAACGCTGATATTAAGACATTTGACTTTGCTGGAGCAGTTGGTAGATACACCAGGATCATGCGGAGCAGCGAACCTGAGAGTGCTGTCAACTACCTTGTCCTTATTGCCCTTTCTGCTGATCACAACCCTGCTCAGCTTACACTGTGCCACGAAGCACTTCAGGAGCTTGTCCTTGAAACGCGCAAGTTTCCAGAACTCATTGGGGATTCACAGGATGGTGGTCCTCAGGGTGCAATTGATGCACGCCGTGAGCTTATTGGCTTGGCAGCCAAGAAGAAGTATCTGCATGTCATTGCTCATGGATCGGCAATCAAGGCAGATGGTGACGGGCGTGTGCTTGATGCTATTCTGCTTTATCACTTGTCCGAGTGCGATGAAAAGGTCCTAGAAATGGTCAACCATGCATTGGGCCAGACATTGGCATCTGCCGAACTCGGACAGCCGCTTTCCAGCACGCCTGGAGATCCTCTGATCTCTGGATTTTCTTCTAACAGCGACCCAGTGCAGCTGGCCCGCAATTTACTGCGAATCCAGCAGCAAAACCTCTCTTTACGACCGGATACTACCGTCACCACGTCATCTCGACGCCAAACTACTCAAACGTTGTTGCTGATTGCCGAGGCTATTGACCTACTGGCAGAGAAACGATACAACGAGTGCTTAGAGCGTCTCAGCGAGTCAGGAATCGTGATCCTGTCCGCGTCAATTGCCGAAGTTCGTGAACATGCCCTGCAGTTCAACCGGTACGATGAATCGGTTGCTCGTAATATCCCTAACGTGCTTGTGATTGCCATGGAATGCTGCGTAGCACTAATACAGAGCCTGCAGACCTCCAACAACCCTGCCTCTGCCTATATTATTGCCCAACATAAGCGGTGGGCTGCCAACTGTATGATTTACGCTGGCCTTTTACAATACAGAATGCCGCGCCAAGTGTATACGCGTTTGACTCAGCTGGAGCTTAATCTGAGCCGATAGTTACATACATATATACAAGAAATCAAACAGCTTCCGTAAACCCACCTGTTCTTGGCCCCAGACGCGGCCTGACGCCCCCAGCCGCCGCCACAAATACCCCTACCCTAGTTGGGGCTGAATAAAAGGCAACAACGCTCGAACCGGATGGCGATTATTGCTGCGACCATAATGTCTGACAACCCTGGTGGGCAAAAGGACCCCAATTGCAAGAAAACAGGGTTTCGAGGACCTTTCGACATGAACAAAGAACGTGCCATTGAAGCTGCCCGCAAATTTTATGCGGCAGATTCGAAGCTGACCACCGAGCAACGCAAGGAAATGTCCCAGAGTTTGTGGAGATCTTGGGCTATTCGGCCTATCGGCGGCCTTGCGTTTGCAATTGCTGGTATGGCCGCTCCAAACTGGTTGAAGCGGACAGGCAGAATGAACCCCAAACGCAAAACTGGGCCCCTACAGTTCTTCTTGGGTCTTGGTGGGCTGTTCTTTGGCCAAGGCGTCACAGCTGCTGTGGGGTACAACTATTACTACCAGAAGTTTGCCCGCAAAAACCCCAATCAGGCCATTGCCTGGGGCATGATGGGCTTTGTCCCCTCACGTCTTCCTGCCCGTTACTATGAACTCACATCGCGGGATCCTCGGTACATTATGAAGGATCCAGACACCATTGATTGGAATACTGAAGTGATGTTCCCGCTCAACTTGGTTGCCCATCGCGATAACCAGAGTAATATCCATGTACTGGGTGACAGAAGAGCTGGCGAGATCCGGCCTGCGTCATCGACATACGGCCAACTACCTACCGAGCCAGGGCAAACTACTGAGCGGGATGGGTTCCTATCGCAGCCTCCTCAGCCTCCTCAGCCTCCTCAGTCTCAGCAAGCTCAGAGGACCTCGAAACCGGGATCATCGTGGGATTGCGTTCGTGGCGGCAGCAGCCTTCAGCCCTCCCCGCCCGCGGATCAAGGCTGGTTACCCCCACCTTTGCCTGATGTACCCCAGCAGGAGTTTACAGGGCTTCAAAGTGAAAAGCCCAAGAACGAACTTGAAGAGGAACAAGCCAAATTCGACGAAATGGTTGAAAAAGCTCGGAAAGGTGCCGGTGTAGGTGATGATTTCACCGAAACTGAGAAGAAGTGGCGATAAACTATTTCGATTCAAAGAATTTCTTTGAAATACTAATGCTTTCGTCGAATGAACTGGGCGTTTGCAGGGAATCATGAACCCAACCTGAAAGCTTCCGCTGGATGTTTGGAAGTTGATAGCGTTTATCGAGCAGATATACTATTGAATAGTCTTTGATATGCCGAATTGCTCTTCCCACACTCTGGTTCACTGCCCTCATTGACAGATTCTCGTAGTAGGCTCTAGCTTCTGCGGCAGCCTCCGCTTTGGATTTGCCGGCAGCCATCGCCCCGTTCTGGATATGGTCGCGTTTAGCAATGAGCTCTGCTGAAAAGGCATTGGGGAAAGGTAAGCCTACCATTACCACGCCGCGAGCTAAATCATCGCTGAAGTTGATCCCCTCCGACATTTTGCCGCCGACAACCGCCATCAACAGAGCACCCTCAGGTGCCTTTTGTGAGTATTCTCCGAGGATTGCGTCAACGGACTTCCTGCTGTCTTCGGTGAAAAGCTTTTTGAGACGCTCAAGCTTTTTGTATTCCGGCATTTTTTTGAATTGGCCAAGTACTTGGTCCAGGTATTTGTAGCTGGGGAAAAACACCACGACGCCAGCAGGAACGCTCTCTGAAATCTTGTAAATAGCTTGGCACAGCTCCGCAATCATACTAGTATCGTTTCTTTTAGCGAATGTAAACTCGAACTCCACATTATACGGACCACGGCCCAGGGCCTGGGCAATAAAGCTCGATTTGGGAATGACATGGCCACAGCTAAACACTTCAATTTGCTCGCGGGGCACATAAGGGAACAATTGCGTGAAATAGTCATTGACTGGTTCCATTGTGCCACCAGACAGTACAACGCAACGAGCCTGGTCGACTAGATCTTTGAACTGGTTACTTGGATCCAGTAATAAATAATGTGCACAGAGCTGGTTTGATTCTGTGCGATCATAGAACAGCTTACCGTCCGCCAATGGATCGATAGAGTAAGCTAGAAAGTCAATGATACGGCTCAGACACATTGCCTCAGGTTTGATTGATAGCTCTGTATCTTGTTGGATATAGCTATCGACCTTGAACGCGAGTTTCGATGTCACAAGAAACTCTTGAAGGCTGTACAGATCAACGAGATCAGCCGTGCCGCTAAACAGCTCTGATCTGGAGATTTTTGTACCAGGGGCCGGTTTTGCCGATGGAAGAGCTGTGGCCTTTTCAAAAAAGCTAGCGAGGGATTGGATCACTTTTATGGTCTGAGCGAGATTGGTCCGATTAGACACCGACAATCGACTACCCACTCTTTTCTGGTAGATCTTCAAACCACTTAAAGCACCATCACACTCATGTTTTGTTACTTTGGCCGAATATAGTGACGACACCACGTCGATCAAGTTATGTGCTTCATCGATAATAACAATGGAGTCTGCAATGTCGAGATTCAGCGCCTGACGAGCACTTGCTTGAACCAGCAATTGATAGGGCAGCACAATAACCTCACAGAATGGGACCATATCTCTAGCCCGGTAATAAGGACACACCTCGAGCTGAGTACCCAAGTTTCCCAGCTCCTCGATATCCATAATATCCGCCAGCACGATTTCGGCAAACTCCTTACTCTTTGGGTGCTCAGCGGGCTTTTTGTACTCACACTTTTTTGCAGAGTTTTGTAAATCAAGGCACCTGTCGTTCATTTTTTGCACTGATCCCAAACTGCGCACCTTGGGATTGACACAGAGCTGTTTCCTTGATCCTAATGTGACAAGCCGCACAGGCTGAGACTTATCCGACCACGAGGCAGGAACGTCCAAAAGTTTCACTGCTCCAATCAATTGGGACAGCTGCGAGTGAGTTCTGGATGTGAAGTAAATCTTGAACGGGGTTCGAAGCCCTTCCAAGTCCTCGTCGGGCTGTTTCATTTTCTCCATAAGAGCCTTAGTCTCAGCATCAAGCAGCGTGTCTTCCAGTAAATAATTGGGAGTCTCGGCAAGATGCGGACGTTTTTCGGGTCTACCTGTAGGCTTTGGAGTTTTTCTCGCCAGAGCCTGCCGGGCCTTTTCCACAACCTTCTCTAATATTTCCCCCCGTAGCTTGTGATTCTCAATTTCCAATTCTTTTGCCGCAGTGATACTCCACTCAGGCCCCTTCGAGCTATCAATGGCGCCCAATTTCGCGTCCAATTCCCGTTTCTCCGCGTCCCGCACCCACGTCAGCGTGGGGCAGATCAAAGATAGAGTTTTCCCGGTACCTGTGGGGCTTTCGAAGATACCCACTTTTTTGCTATCGAGCGTTCGATATAAAGTCTCCATAAAAGACAGTTGGATGTCGTACGGCTCGTACGGGTGGTTGTATTTGCCGCCATTTCTGCCTGTACTCTTGGCGTTCACATGCATATATATTACGTTAGGACGACAGGTTGAATCTGAACTTTCTTATGCCTTCGCCCATTTTTTTGTCGCGGCCGCCTCCGGGGTTTTCTGTGGCGGCAATAGCGCGAGGAATGCAGTTGACATTTGTTGGTAGTTACCGAGCGCTGCAAAATCCAGAACTGCCGAAATACGGCTACTATCGCAAGGCCATGGTGCTTATAGTCTGGTCCTTGGGCCTGGAGTTGGGGCTGAGGCTCGCGTTTGGCATTCTTCGCTGGGGGCTTATGCTCTGTGGGGCGAGTGCGTCGGTAGTCGACAGTCTGATGTGGACTTTGAATGAGGTGCTGCTAATGCGCCAGTTTCTCATCATGCTTTGCAACGACCCCAGGTTGATGGATGACGTATTCGTACGGTCTCTACAGTTTGTGGATCTCACGAACAAGCAGAAGCATCCTAACGAAAGTGTGCGACTGTACAGCCCGATCATTGAAATGAAGGAGGTGAATGTTGCCGGTAACATGCGCATGAGCTCGTGCAAACGGCTGCTTCGTCGCTTCGCTAAACGCACCCTATACTTTTTGGGAGTGGGGGTCCTCAGTCGTATCCCGCGGGTCGGAATGCTTGTCGTGCCTCTTATTGCATTTCAAAGCCTACAAAGCTATATCGGCAGCGATTCTGCGATTGGCGTGTTTCTGCTTGCCATGGTTCTTCCCCAGCATTATTTCCTAGTGCTTCTTGCAGTAATGAACGGATCAAGAGCACTCATGAACGACCTTTTGCGACCGTACTTTGCTCGCCTGCCGTTCAATCACAGCTCCAAACGCCTATGGTTCCAGAACCGTCAAGCAGTTCTCATAGGCTTTGGGTTTGCATTTTATCTTCTATCCCGTTTACCCTATGTTGGATTACTTGTCTACGGGTTCGCATCTGCAGCTACTGCATATCTGGTGACCAAAGTCACAGACCCTCCTCCGGAAAACCAAATGGAGTTGGGCGTATGGACAGAACAACAAAGCCTTTGGACAAAACCTATCTATGATTAACCTCTAATTATTCTATGCATCTCCGCCCCCCCAAAAATTTTCCATAATAGAGCCATGCCGCAACAGGTGCCTTAAGAAAACCGCCTGGCGCGGCTTGGGCCTTACATCATCCATCACGTCAAAAAATGTCATCTGGGCTGCAACGACGAAGGGGCCACGGTGGTACGACTGCGACTACCGAGCGGGGGGGCACGTTTGAAAATGATGATCATCGCGTTGCGTACGACTCCAGAGATGTGCCGTCCGATAACGACGAGCAGGCCCAGTCCCGGCTAACCCTAATGGAAGAGGTGCTGCTTTTGGGTATCAAGGACGAAGAGGGCTACCTCTCTTTCTGGAACGACAGCATCTCGTACGTGTTGAGAGGATGTATAATGATAGAATTGGCTTTGCGTGGCAAAATCGCCATGGTCAATGACCCAGTGCGTCGGCGTGTACCTTTAGAAGACCGATTGGTCGAACTTGTCGACAGTCGGATGACCGGAGACGTCCTGTTGGACGAGACACTCAGACTCATGAAACAAACCGAAGAACATCTGAGCGTGGCTACTTGGATAAATTATCTGTCTGGTGAGACCTGGAATATAACCAAGATTTCGTACCAGCTCAAACAAGTGCGTGAGCGACTGTCAAAGGGCCTAGTTGATAAGGGTATTCTGCGCACAGAAAAGCGTAATTTCTTTTTGTTCAATATGCCTACACATCCTCTTGCGGATGCGGCTGTAAAAGAAGAAGTCCGCCGCAGGCTGGTCCATTTGGTCACTACAAATGAGCCCAACCTGGAGCCCACTTCAACCTGTCCGGCAAAAATGCCTTACCGCTATTTGCGGACTATTGCGCTGGTCACTTCTGCATATACCGGTGATGTGCTTGAGAACGCCCTTACTTTGATGGGCTACGACGCTCGCGATAAAGCGTTTATGCGCGCTCAGGCCCTACTCGATGATTACTCCGAGTATCCGTTCAGCACCCGTCACGAAGCCTGGGCCACCGCTCTGGCCGAACTGGTCTCTTATGAAACAGATAATCTCAGTGATACGGCTAATCTTTCAATCGAGGTTTTTGCTGCCGTTCTTAAAGTGTACACTCAGGTCCATGACAACCCTCTTTGAAGCTTTAAATATATATAAAAAAAACCGCTGCATTTCAGTTTTAACTCAATCGGAATTCGTCAAATCCACAACCTCGACTTCCGAGCTCGATTGATTTTGCACAATGGGGCCTGAAATACGGCTGCTGAGTTTGTCGACAAAGTCTTCACGGACAAACACTAAAAAGTAGGGGGTGGCATCGTTGCTCAGAGACATATCGAGAGCCTCCGTTGAGGGCACAGCCGTGACGTTTTCATCATTGTACTTGTAAAATTGATCAGTGGCAAAGTCGTGGATATAAACCCAGTAGTGGCCGAACGAGACTTGGCCGCGATGGATGAACAATGCGTAAATTTTGTAGCCGTATTTTTTGAAATCAACAAACTGGCCCTCAATCTCTTTTGACAGCTCCAATTTTTCCGCCTCCAGCTGCTGTTCAACCGCCAACATCTGGTTACGTCGCGTATACAGATGAACCAGTGTCTCATCCGCACTATCTAGGCCGGAATTTTCCAGCCACTCAATACAAGTCTCCAGAGTCCCCCGCACCGTATCGCCTCCAGGCAGAGGTTTTTCATGTACTTTGAGTATCTCTTCTATTTCGCTCAACCTGGCCCGCAAGACTCGGACCTTGGCTCGGCGGCTGAGAATCTCAGCATCGTCAGTCTCCAAGTATCGATCCAAATACACAGTATCACCGAAAATGAGAGGAGCCGTTGACTTGTAGGGCTTTCCCGTAGTGCGGTCAAATTGTACACGTTGAATCTGGATCTGTAAAATGGGTGGCAGTTTTTTGGCGCTCAGTTCGCGGATAGTTTCTCCCTCCGACATCTTGAGCACCTCATAGTTGAAGTAACTGTCGAGTGCATCATAAATATCACGAGGTCCATCGGCAACATCGACCATCAAGGTAGAGAAAAGCTCGGTTTTTTTGCGAATTTCTCCTTCCCCGGATGCATTCTGTAAAGTTTGCACAGTCAACCCATAAAACAAATCTTTCACCAAATCCAGTTGTTCGCCGTTAGGGTCAGAGCCACTTGCACAAACAGCAGCTTCAATTTGAAACAGAACGTTTTCAATGCATTCTGTGACATCCTGCTGCCGCTGCAATGCAGTAGACAGATCATGAATGGGTTTGGTTTCAGCATTTGGTGGACTGGTCATGCTAAACTCACTTTCAACATCAACCTGCATGCCTGGAATCTCCACAGAGCTCGGAATGGACTGGTCGTACATCCGCACCTCGCTATTGTCGAGTTTGACTTCATCCATCGGTGAAATCGGTGAGGACGTAGAGGACAAAGAGGTCGTATCCATACCATCAAAGCTCTCCAACGGCTCAGTCTCAACCTCACCAGATAGCTCTTGTTGCTTTGCTCGTGCTTCCGCAGCCTCAGCTGCTCTACGACGAATACTTTCTTGCTCTGCTTGGGCTTCTGCAGTTGCAACCTGTGCAGCTACGTCTTCCTCCGGCGGAACAAGAGCCATGTAGGCTAAATCCTCCTCTGGAACCACGTAGCGATCATGGGTATCCGTCATGCTCTTGAACAAACCACCAAGAGACTTTACAAATTGTTGTGAACGTTCAACCTCAGCAAATGGAACTTGTCGCCCACCTACAGTCTTTTTCTTCATCGACGCATCGTTGTGCTGGGCCTTCTCGTCGTCGAAATCGACCAAAAGATGCCGCAACGGATCAATGGTATAATAGAATTGTAATAATGAGTTCAAGTAGCACGTATTTCCAATATTCCAGAGCCCGACTGGCCCAGTATTGGAAGACTCCTCAACGACTGGTTCACTCGTGGACAAATAACCTTCAATGTACTTGCTTTCACGGCTTTGACCCACTGCTCTCAGCGCTTGTCGCAGACGTAGTGCTGACTTGGGTTCCTCCATGACTTGTACTTCAAAAACTGCTATGATGTCTTTGTCCTCCATAGCGTCTCCTACGCCCAACATATTGTAACCTTCAGCACTTGTGCAAGGTTCAAGAGCTAGCAAGGTTTCTACCCTGTTCAAAATTTCCGGGTCTTGGCGAGCAATGCCAATTGTTTTCAGAGCAATTCGACCCTCATACCCTGCAACGAGACTAGCTCGATCGCGGGAAGCAACTGTTTCGAAAAGTGTGAGGTTATCAGTACTCTCATTTGCGTTTAAAAGCTTCATGGCCGTTTCATAGTCCATTGTCATGGCTTCTGACAGTCTACGAAGCTCCTGACTTTGGCGATGATCGGCGATGGCACTAATCTTCTGAGCGAGGTCTTCGTAGGCAGCATCGGGGAATATCTTTGACTCTAATTTGTTCAAAAATACCTGGGTAATTTGGTCCTCACTTTCGGAACCATCGATGTCAAGGTCTAAAGCGTCATAGGCATCTTCAATGGCACCTAATGTTTGAGTGCCTAGTGAGATCAGCTCCATAACCCGTGTTTGAAGTTCCTCGGAATCCCGATTTTGTGCAATTATTTTAAGGCTCTCAAGGTAGTGCGGGGTGTTGCGAGCATCGTTTTGGACCTGCAAAGAATATCGTTGCCAGATCCCATCGTCCGTGAACGAGCTTGTACAACCAAGTGAACCAAAGTACTTGCTGGAAAGCGATGGAATAGTGGGTAAGTTCGAGCAGCCCAAAAAATGACCCAAAGTAGAGGTCATATTTACTTCGTAAACCGGCCAATGGCTCCCAAATTGCTTGCCACCTTTGTTGAGGCCGAACAACGAAATCTCTGTAAGAAGACCTTTATAATAAAGCCTTTCTTCGTCGGACTCGAATTGGGGCGGATCGTAAACGCGTTCATCTTCATTTTTCACGAACCCCAATTTCGGCAACAAGCTCAGATCAATATGTACACTTGCTCGGGCGGATGAAAACGGAATGGGGCGTGGAGGATTCTGAACCAAAGAATTGCGGACAATTGTATAAAAAGTTTCAAGGCATGTTGTTATTGTAGGAGCAGTGTCACCATTGTACGTCTCCGGGCGGTTCTCGAACCTTTTGTTGATTTCCGACACGTCGAACATGCTCCACTCTTCAGCCGTCAACTTCTGCGACCAAAACTTAATACCCAGCACAGATCCAGTGAGCGAGCATTTGAACTCTAGCGATAGCTCGCCATCATAGTCGGCTAGTTTATCGGTCAGATGCCAGTCGTAATCGATTGAGCCGTTGGTCGGGGCAGGGGGAGCAATGGTGGCGTAGAAATGCCACTTTATATCGGCAAAAAAGCCTCTCAGAGTAGTGTGTGAGTCGCCTACCAACGCATCCAATGCCATGTCTGACTTGGCTTCTTGGACAATGGGCGCAATCGCCATCAATGGCCTGGATCGGCCAGCGGCCCGCTTGGTTGTAAGGAGCTCCACAGGAGACAGACTCACAAGGTCTTCATGCGGTATAAAGCACAGGATCTCCTCAATCAAGCGCTGACTCGAGCGGCCACCTGTCATTTCGCACGAGTTCAAAAACTAACAAGTCCCCCTTTGTGGCTAAAACGTGTTGGTGGTCAGAATACCAAAACAGCCAAGATGACTGAGCAGCCAAGATCGTCAAGCGGGCCGGCGGCTGCAGAGGCGGTTCCTGAAGTCACGGCAGTGAGTGATGCGACTTCGAATGAAGGGTTTTTGCAGTCGATTATGTCGAGTAACCCGTACTTTACCGCGGGCTTCGGCCTCATGGGATTGGGTGCAGTTCTCGCCGTGGGTCGCCAGACATTAGTCCGCGCGTCCTCCTTGGCATATCGACAGCTCCTGGTTGATCTGGAAATAACGTCAAAAGACAAGAGCTACGACTGGTTTTTGGAATGGATGTCGAGGCATCCCGCACGTAGCTCACGGAATTTTTCAGTGGAGACGAACTATGTTGAACATGACAATGGATCGATCACTGCTACGTTTGATTTGGTTCCAGGCCCAGGTAGACATTTGCTGAAATACAGTGGAGCTTATATTATGGTGAAAAGGGAGCGTAGTGGGCGGCTAATGGATCTGAGAATGGGATCGCCGTTTGAAACAATAACCCTGACGACATTGTACAGGGACAGACAAATTTTTTCCAAAATGCTTCGAGAGGCTCAAAGCCGAGCCCAAACCAAACAGCAAGGCAAGACTGTTCTTTATACTTCCTACGGCCCTGAGTGGAGACCGTTTGGTCTTCCACGACGCAAGCGATCTATTGAGTCAGTCGTGTTGGCTGATGGAGTCAAAGAAGGACTGTTGGATGATATGACATCGTTCCTGAAGTCAGCTCAATGGTATACAGACAGAGGAATTCCTTATAGACGCGGGTATCTTTTGTATGGCCCGCCTGGCAGCGGCAAAACCAGTGTTATCCAGGCATTGGCAGGTCACCTCGACTACAACATTTGTATCTTGAATTTAGCCGAGGCCACGCTCACAGATGACCGTCTTAACCATCTGATGAACAATGTGCCGGCCCGGAGCCTGTTATTACTCGAGGATGTCGACTCTGCGTTCTCTAATCGCAAGCAGTCGTCTGACCAGGGCTATGTTTCTGGTGTGACGTTCTCGGGACTGCTGAACGCACTAGACGGTGTCGCCTCAGCCGACGAACGCATTATATTTATGACCACAAACCACCCGGAACGCCTTGATCCGGCCCTAATTCGCCCTGGCCGCGTCGACTTCCAAGCACTTCTCGATAACGCTACCCCAGCCCAAATCCACCGCATGTTCACTCGCTTCTATAATGACGATAAGCTCGCCCATGCTTTCGTAGAGGAGTGCATCCAAAGAAACAAGCCGGTGTCGACGGCCCAGCTACAAGGGTTATTTGTATTCCACAAAGACGACCCGCAAGGTGCAATTGCTGCCATCCACAACATGTAAATAGACTATTTCGCCATACACCGACATCATCAAGTAAGCGACTCCACTGGCTCATAATCACACTGTAATCACACAACCAGTGGTCTTTGCGTGGCCATGAGTTGGCTAAGAAGAGACAGCGATCTTTTGCAAATCTCCGTTCAGGAAGTTCGGTTCACTGCGCTTCACATAAAAGTGCATAGCCTGAGTGTGGAGCTGGTTGCCGCTGGCCAGCGCTATACAACTCACGCCGCCCTCCCCGCCCCGGTGGATCCGGTGTCGCATCGGCACAAATGTCGATGGCCCGAAGCCACTTTGGCAATTCCACTCCGGGCTTTTGCGGGTACTGAACGCCCGACCGTTACAATTACGTTTTGGGACCGTAAAAAGCGACGCAGCACCGAGCTGGGCAAGGTGGAGTGCTCTTTCCCCTCGTTCAATAATGAGTCTACCGAGACGTTGACTCTGCCAGTTGACAAGACACCGTTTACGGAGCTGAATATGAAGGTGGACCTTTGCTTTGAAGTGAATACCAGCGAAGATGGCCGTAATCACTGGTTCCAAGAGTTTTTCTCTCCCAGGGCCCCGGAGCTTCCTTATGAAAAATCTCGGTTTAATATCCTACAAAGGTTGCAAGCAATGGCATTGAACGAGGATGATGCATATTCCTTGGTCTCAGATTCTCCCCGTGATCAAACGTCTTCTTCAGGCACTATGAAGCGCTCATTCTGGAACCAAAGCAACGCATCGATAGCGTCTACACGTGAACCACAGCATACGTTCCAAGTTGATGTGGCCAGTCAAATAGAAGGCATTGTATTCCTTGAGATTGTCAGCATCCGCAACCTTCCTCGCTTTCGTACTTTGACTGGTCTCTCATTTGATATGGACCCCTTTGTGGTGGTGTCTTTTGGCAAAAAGACTTTTAGGACATCTTATCGGCGGCATACCACGAACCCTACGTTCAATCAACGTATCTTGTTGACTGTTGGCCCAGGTGAGCTTAATTATGACATTGTGTTCACAGTTTGGGATAAAGATAAAATCACCCTCAACGATAAAGTAGCTACTGCCAGTTTGCCGCTCCCGTCAATTCTGAAAAATACTCCAGAGTATAAGAATGGGTTGTATGATTTGGAATCTCACGGATCTGAAGCTCGTTTGATTGCTATGAAGCCGGTAGACCGCGCAACTAAAGCCGGCTCAGTCCAGCCGGAAATGTTGGTTAATGTTCATTACCTACCTTTTCCAGCCATCCGTCAACAACTTTGGAGAGGAGTTTTCTCACTCTATGATACTGATGATACAAACAAGCTCTCAGTTTTGGCAGTCAAAGCCATGATGAACGCTCTGGGTATAACGAATCCGGAGAAGGCTGCGTCAGAGCTATTCTGTCATTCCGGCAGAGAAGAGGAGCTCAGCTCAGACGAACTTGTTCTGGGGTTGGAGAAACTGTTGCATGACGATTTCACCGTTGAGGACTCAACAAATACGAGCGCGAGCAGCGCCAGCCATTCGAATGCAGGTCCAGTTATCAATTTGCGCATTTGCCCAATGTGTCAAAAACTGCAACCCGGAAAACTAACACCTCAGCAAGTCCTGAATCACATTGGTGTTTGTGCCAGTCGTGAATGGGCCGGTTCAGGCACGCCCTTGCTAGATGATCGCTATGTCACAGGACAGCAAGCGTCAAGACGTTGGTACACAAAATTCTTATCCAAATTCTCATATGGATCATACTATTTGGGAGCAAATTCTGCCAATATTCTTGTCCAGGATCGGCAGACCGGCCAGATCGACGAAGAAAAAATGAATGCAGCGATCCGGTTGGGCATTCGGCTGGTCTATTCTACCGCACCAGTCGAACGGTCGAAAATCAAAACGCTTTTGAAAAAGTACACCATTCGCCAGGGTCTCAAATACGATCATCCATCGTCCAAGGCATATATCAAAGATTTTATCAAGTTCCACAACCTGGACATGCATGACGTTCTTTACCCAGTCGATTCGTTCAGCAACTTTAACGAGTTTTTTTACAGGCAACTTAAACCTGGAGCCCGGCCCTGTGAACAGCCAGATGATCCACGAGTAGCTGTTTCGTTAGCAGATTGCCGTCTCACCTGCTTCCGGACTGTGGATGATGCAACTCGTATTTGGATTAAGGGTAAAACTTTTTCAATCAAAAAGTTACTTGGTGATACTTACCCCGAGGATGCTTCTCGATTCAACGATGGTTCTATTGCTGTATTCAGGTTGGCTCCTCAAGACTACCATCGCGTTCATATCCCGGTTGATGGAATTCTTGGCGAGCCAAAGCATATTCCTGGCCACTATTTCACCGTCAATCCGATGGCCATTAGATCAAACCTTGATGTTTATGGCGAGAACGCTCGGACCGTTGTACCGATAGACTCGCCCATATTTGGTAGGGTGATTGTTGTTCTGGTAGGGGCTATGATGGTTGGAAGCATTGTTATTACTGCAAAGGCGGGAAGTCAAGTTAAAAGAACAGATGAATTAGGATACTTCAAATTTGGTGGGTCGACGTGTGTGATATTATTCGAAAAAGGAAAGCTTGTTTTCGACTCCGATTTGACCATCAACTCCGACGATGCCATAGAAACTTTGGTCAAGGTTGGTATGTCGATTGGCCATACGCCAGATATTGCCCAGTACAGCCGCAAGTACGATACTCGGCGCTTGGCCATCAACAGAGCTCGCACTACGATTGTTGGTGGTGGTTCTTATTTGCCATTTTCTCTGGATTAATTATGTACATTTTTTTATTTATAGGCGTTGCAAAACGAAATCGCCCTTGCGGTTGGCGTTTTCTCCAAATGAAGAATCAGCGCCCACTCTGGCATACTCAACTGATCGTTTTTCTGGATGGACCGCCAAACGGTCGAGCATTTTTGCGCTATAATCCGGACAAAACGGCTGCAACAGAATAGCAATAATACGACAAGAGTCGGCGGTTGTTGCTACCACCGTTTGCTGGACAGCATCTTCGGCAGCCCACGGCTCAGTATCTTGAAAGTAGACATTGACTGCCATTGCTGCATCATTGAGTTTGGAGAGGGCTCGGGAAAACTCAAAATTTTCAACATAACCGTTCACGATCTCAGGTAATTCGCGGAGTTGTTCAATAAGTTCGTTGTGTTTTGCTTGAGCAGACCAGTTTGGAATCGACTGGACTTTTGATTCAGAGATGGAAAATTTTGGGCCACAAACTCTGGCAAACAAGTTACTCAACTTGTTGACCAGGTTCACGTTATGGCGCTCAACAATTCTGTCTGCAGAATAGGGAGTATCATGGTCCAAAGAAGAGTCATGGAGTAAAAAGTAACGAACCGTATCGTTGCCAAACTCATCGATAGCTTCCATTGGATCGACAACATTATTTTTGGATTTGGACATCTTTGAGCCTTCAATTGTCCAGTGAGGGTGGATAACAACGTGTTTTGGCACTTCCAAGCCCGCACCCAGAAGGAAGGCTGGCCAATAAATACCGTGGAACCTCATGATATCTTTGCCAATAACATGTGTGTGGGCGGGCCAGGGGATTCCAAGTGACTTTGCAGCAGTCAAATAATTGATCAACGCTTCAAACCAGACATACATTGTCTGGCTTGAATCACCGGGAACTTTAATGCCCCAAGGGCACCTAGCGGCCGGACGAGAGATCGAGAGGTCGGTTAGAGGTTGAGTTGCCAACTCAGTAGCTAGCTGTTGGTGACGACCCGACGGCAACACAAATGTTGGACTGCTTTCGTAGAGCTCTTTCAATTGAGGCTGTAACTTTGATAGAGCGAAAAAGTAGTTGGTTTCCTCGTACCATTCGACCGGGTTCCCAGACTCCTTGGAGAACTTTCCTTCCGGGCGATCTTCAAGTTCTGTTTCGGAGTAAAATGTTTCATCGCTAATGCAGTACCAGCCTTGGTGTTTGCCTTTGTAAATCAGCCCCTTTTCTTGTAAAGTTGTCCAGACTTGTCTGGCCTGTTCCTCGTGGTCTGGATCAGTGGTTCTGATAAACCGATCATAATTAATCTTTGCCTTGTCGGACAAGTCTTTGAATGTTTTTGAGAGGGTATCCACGAACTGTTTAGGTTGCTGGTTAGCTGCAGCCGCGGCATTGGCAACTTTTGTCCCATGTTCGTCAGTGCCGGTGACCATGGCGGAGGGCGTCCCCCAAAACTTGCTCCAACGCGCAGCAGTATCTGCTAAGACGATTGAGTGAAGATGGCCGATGTGCGGTTTAGCATTTACATAGAAAATCGGCGTCGTGAACAAGGCCTTTTTCATCTGATTACAAGTGATGACCCAAAAGGTATGAAGATATGTAAAAGCTTGGATGATTAAATTAGGTCTTTGCGACGGTTTTTTCAGCAAACAGGGTCATGAGACTGAAGATACCGTAGAATAAGCCCACTGGATACGCCACAAGGACTCTCATTTGCGAAAGCTGCAAGTAGCTAACAAAAAACCCAGAGGCAGAGTAGGTACACCAGCAGATAGCGGCCATACCCATAATGTATCCAACCAGGTTGTCGAGAGGGAACACCACGCCGAGTGCAGAGATGACGACCAGCGGCAGCATACAGTAGCCGAGTACGGACATTGTGCGAGTAAAGTCGATACTTTTGAGGGCCATCAGATTGAGAATCAGCCACTGCCAAAATGTGCCCACCAGGCTGACGCCATAAATATAACCAAAATGCACTTTACCATTCAGTAGAAGAAACAGGCCGAACAGGAGGAAGAAAAGAAAAGGCCCTGCCAGATCTGAGTCGTCCATGATGTTTTGATCGATCGCGCTAAACGGGTTCAATGCTGATTTTGTCTTTTGTAGAATGTGTCCAAAGTTAACGCCGAGTTCTTCGAGAAGCGGAGGCTCTCCAGGATACCCGGACGTGCTAAATGCCGCCAGAATGCCTGTAGACAGCCGCTCGCCGCTGTTCATGTCGCCATACCCGAAATCGCCTGCGCTGGTTGCCCCGGCTCCACCACCCATCGTGCCCATTGAGCCCATGGCATTAGCGGAAACAGGCGTCGGATTGTACCCGCCGTACTGAGCCGCGTACTGAGGCTGGGGCGATTGAATGCCATGTGTTGGCGGTCTTCCATACGAGCTTTGCATTATTCTATTCTCTTGGGGTGCGTCGTCGTCAAAGGATCCCTTCGTTAGTCAGAACCGGGGGACTTTTCCATGGAGGAGGACGCGTTGGATCCCATTGGGGCTACCTTGGTGCAGTCGATTTTTGCAGCCGCCGGTGTGGTTTCCGAATTGGTGTTGCAACGGATCCACCAGTCTAGTTGTCGGGTTGCCGGGGCAGAGGAAGAGTTTGATGTCAGGATACTGCGGACCGAGCGAGATCTGTTGAAGCCGCTTGATTTGGAGTTAAAAAAATGCCGTTCCGAAGAAAATGGCGAGTTTATTTATGTGCTTGTTTCCCTGGACGAGCAGTTGAACGGCAACGCGGACTTTGCTGCCCTTGACCAGACGGGATATGCATTCTATCACGCTCTTGATGCGGTGTTTGCCAACGACCGCTGTGAAGGTGCCACAGAGTCGGAGATTCGACAAATAAGCAACGCCAGCAAACAAAATGCTAATGCTATTGACTATTTATTTGCAAACAAGTGGATCGAGCGTGACCGCGGGCGGGTGTTTGCGACAGTACGCACTCTGTACAATCACAAAGCGTACATTACCAACACTTATGGCCGTACCGGCACGTTTAAGATCCATGAGTGTCTGGGATGCAAGGAGTTCCTTTTGAAGGGCACTCTATGTACAAATCTGTCATGCCCGGCTCGATTGCATGAACACTGTTACGACAGTTATTTTAAGAAGAAGAGATTAGAGCCAGGAAAGTGCCCACTATGCGAGGATGGAAGAATTATCAAAGGAAATTAGGGTGCCGGTGTAACAGTTGGGCTTTCTGTAACTGTTCGCGGGGTCACGCTCGCATCGACTTCTTCGAATTCGACTTCGTCCAAAATATCCAGAGTTATATTGTCGGCAATCTGTTCATCATATGCCTCACAGAGCGGCCGGCTTTTTTCCGGGAGCTGGCCCACAAACTCAGGCCCAAAATTAAATTTGGCCTGCCCACCGCGGTACACTGAAATCATGGGATAGTACCCGGCCATTCCATCGTCAAACGGAGGAACGTGATGCCTCAGGTCGTACTGGCTAAATGGGGGCAGAAACTCGCGAAGATTTTCAAACATGGGCCCTACTAACTCGCCATTTTTGTAAACAATTATCTTGCTGCCGGGGATAATCTCATTCTGCTTGGGCTCGCCTGCCATTTTGGGCAACAAGAGCCCATCCATTTCTTTGCTAGGGACATAATCAAGCACCTCATAATAAATAGATCCTTTGTAAACGACCGGATACCTGTCTCGGCGAGCGTTTGCATGCATAACCTTGGTCCTGGGGATCTCGACATGAAAACCAATGACATCACCGCTTCCGAACGGCTCCATGAACTCCGCTGGTCGAGAGAGATGTACTTTACGGCCCTTGATTGATTGCAGCCCGTACCCATAGCCATCTGCACCGACGGGGGCCTCCAAAGACGCTTCCCTGCGGGCGAGTCCAATTCTTACGCTGGCGTCAGACCCTGGCTCGTTAGCTTTGACTACGACAATTTCAAAGTACCAACTGCCCTCACTGATTTTGACGTTGGCTCGAGCACCTCTGTATCCCTCGGCGGTTGTGATTGTGCGGTTGTCTTCACCGATGGCCACAAAGGGGCTCAAGTCATAATAGTTGACTCCAGCGCTAAAGGGCTCAACTTCGCAATTGCTATAGAGCACACTCGGCAGAAACTTGTTTGCCACGCAGGGCTCGTATTTATAGCCCTTTCGCGATAATGGCAAGTCCTCCTGGAGGAAAAAGCCCGGGAGGTCACTTACGATTATTACGGGAGGCTGAGGCGTGAAATGGAGGAACTCTGGTTGAACTGGCGGCGGCTTGAACCTGATTGGTTTCCAGACGGACTGCTTTTCCGCACTCGGCTCCTTCTTCCGTCTCTTCTCCTCCATTTGCGAAACGGGCTGAGACGCGACTTAGTAATCAGCTGCACCCTTCACGATCAGAGACTTGGCGTTATCATGCTGATTCCAGGTCAAGGGCTAACGATCGTATCAAGAATCAGCCGTTGCGGGCAGACGGGGTTGTTCAACAGAGAGCGACCTGCATGAAGCATGATTATGACGCAGCAACGGCAACAGCAGCTGCCGTGAAAAACAATCAGATGTGTGCGTTGCCAAGTAATATCGGCCCGGGCCGCGTGGCAATCTAGGCTAGTACCCGAAGTCTTTTTTTTTCCCCCACCTCGAAGCCTAAAAAACCCGGTCATTGGTCAAGCGGCATTTGTTTAGCCCGTGAGTCAAATTAGAGTGATGGCCCGCATGATCTTTGGGTACGCTACCGGTGATATGACGTAACCGGCATGTCCCCACTCGCGTTCTGCGAGCTGCGTGCTGCGTGCGTGCAGACGTGCAAAAATGCCTAACGCGCCGTACGCGACGAAAAAAGTGCTCGCACGTTAGCGTCTATTCCCCTCAAAGCCACGGGATTTATGCATACAAGGAAGGCTACAAATATAGAATATGTATGATTTTCGGATGTGATACATGGTGTCACTATTGCACCACACTTCCCCTTACCTGAGTGGAAGTAGGGTACTCAACAAGCAGACCGATCCAAAAAAAATAAAACCTTAAATGAAGTGTCCACTGTTGGGACAGTGAATGAGATCTTCAAGTGTGACACAGTATTCTGATACGAAAAGTCTGGGACGACAATAATAGAATTAAGCGTTTGGGCGGATCTGTTTTACCTAGCAAGTTTGGATTTAATGACTATATCACATCACCGCCTTGCGGACACTATCTAAATTTTTTAGTTGATCTAGAGTTGAATATAGAGCCCACGACTGATGCGGGTGTGTGAACAAGGCATTAGCTCCAAAAACTTCAAATTGAAGTAGTTTGAACTGCGGGAACGGAAAAAATTTGAGTGCCTTATTGTTAAATCTTGGGCGGTTGGAAGTGAGGCAATCAATGCACCCGTATCACCCCACCATTGTAGCGCGAACCAAGACTTGAGGGCGGAGATCAGTCATTACTAGCTAGACTATATTATATCCCAGGGCTGTGTCGAGCACCCAGATTTATCGGTGGAACTCTAAATGCACTGGGCTCCTCGAATGTACAGGGTTTTTGAACCTCGTTGATTGAGCGATTAACGAATCCGCTAAGCTGGGCCTTACCATACATATGCACCCAAGTTATTGGGCGGCACCTCGCTTAGCCCTAAGCGATCGGCATGCGGAGTGCTGCAAAGCGGGCCGTTCCGGCAGAGTGGAAGTCGACGGAACCAGTGGAATTTCCAGTGACCCAGTGAGCTGAACTAGATGGACGTAATACCAATTATGCCGCAATACTCTGTCGTTTGGGCAGCTATTCAGAGCTTTAGCTATACGGATATGCAGTTGATAGGGCAGGGTTATCCGCTAGACATGCGTGAAGTATAGTGCAGGCTATAAATTTAGTAAGCTCCCTTTACCCTTATGCATAAGTCGTACATTGGAATTTCTACGTGGATACGGGCAAAGACGCCCATAATTACTTGAAATTTACGCCGCTAGGCACCGCGGATGCAGCCCAAATACACATGTCAAGCCATTATTTTATATCAACCCAAACACCTCGCTATTGGCCGAAAAATCAAGCAGCTTGGTGCTTAACTAAGAGCTTGGGGGGTGCATGAAATGAGCTGAACACTAATCCGCAATTTTAAAATCGACACCTTGATTCTGCAGGTTTGAATTGAACACGCTACTTAGCCGATCTTGAGAAGTTCTACTCTATCGCCTACGATCGACTTCTATTGGTCAGGATCCGTGTAATTTGATCTGCCCTTTCCGCGGGCTCACTTTATCACAGTGCCAGTTAATCGCGAGCCCTGCGTGCATAGACAGGAACGATAGTAACAGAAAAACGCAGCTTGCCCGCATTTTGATTCGAGCTTAACTATTCGGACTCAACTGTTTCGAATCTGTTTGTCCCGTTAATTTTTTTGATTAATGACTGATTCTAGACCAAATGGCCACCGTCCTACGCTACCGGAGGGCCGGTTTCCCGAACCGATTGCGTCGCAGAGTCCGGTCGCTTCGACAGCCGATGCTGTCGATGAGGAAGTTCCTCTCAAGGACGCGTCGCATACCTCCAGCTCTCCGACCTCGGACCGGAAAAAGCATGCCATCGGCAAGCCATTAGTCCTCGCAACCCTGCAAAACCAAGCTTCACAACAACCTCAAGTTACAGGGGCTCAGCCCGATGGGGACAGAAAACCGATAAATATGCCCACCAAAGGATCAATATCATCAGACGTGTCGTCTACGAGAAACTCAAGTGCCATTTCCATTGCTACGGCTAGAACGAGCTCCACTGTCACTAGCGATAGCACTACCTCCGAGCAGAGTGCGGCAAACCCCTCGAAAACCCCACCCAAAGAGCTGCCACCACCAATCAGCCAACAAAACGTTAATGCCACAATTCCCCAGACACCTGAGAATTCATCGGGTCCGCCCCCCAATAAACACTCGCGCCCCAGCCAACCAGCCCCTGGCGCTCACGTGCAGTTTTCTCACACTCCGTTTATACAAAAGCTCTATGCTATGCTAGAAGACCCTAATATGGAGCATGTGATTATTTGGAGCGAAAATGGCGACAGTTTCCTGGTGAACCCAAGCACCGAATTCTCCCAGTTACTGTGCCTTTATTTTAAACACACGAACATCTCTTCGTTCGTGAGACAACTATCAATGTATGGATTTCACAAAGTGGTCCCTTCACACGGTACTATACACAGTCCGTCTTCAAAAAATCCCGACTTTCCCTGGGAGTTCCGTCACTGTGACGGTGCATTTAGACGAGGTGACATTGAAGCACTCCGAACAATTAAGCGGCGCTCTTCGAGGCATACCAACCCTTCAAAACGTCAGAGAATTGTAAACGCCTGGGAAAACACTGGATTCACACAGCAAGCACCCTCCGGCGGACACGATCCTGGAAATATGCACTCTCAACGAGGCCGTCCACCTCCCCAGGTAAGCCAAAGCCACCCCCAGCAGCCAGTTGTTGCTCAACCACAACAACAGCAGCAGATGCCATTATTATCTGGACATAATCAAGGGCCCAGTGATGCGGTTTACGCAAAATTCACTTACCGTCACCCAAGCATGAGCCATCCTAGTGGTGTCATGGGACATTGGCCCATGTTACCAAGAACATCAAACGTTCAGTCTCATTTACCATCTCTTGGCTCCAGCTCGATGCATTCAAACTCTGTAAACTCGCATTTCAGCTCGGTCTCATCCATGGGATCGTCAGTGAGCCATCCAGGTAGCCAGCAAATTGGCCACCCGAGCATGGCTGGATCAATGCCAAATTACACCAATATGGATTCTCCTCAAGGTGACAATGTTTTAGATTTCCTGATGCAAGCTCAGCATAGTCTGCAGCTGCAGATTTCAGAGCTAAGCAGAGCTGTGGCAGATATTCGAAGTGCCATGGAGCATATTCGCTGGTCCGAAAATGCCAGAGCAGCCAGTTCAAAACCAGCATCCCCCGAAGTTACCCCCACAGAGCCTTTAGAGCCGGCGTTCACGGGATCTGCTGTACAACAACGACCTCCGTCATCTAAGACAGCTCAAGCTGTCGACGATGAAACAAAATCCCCAAAATCGGTACAAGCCGCAGCGAGCACACCGAATGAACACTTGGGCGAAGCTGCTGGAGCAGGTCTTGCCGCTGGCCCGGAGACCCAAGACCGTATCAAGCTCGAGTCTTTACTAAACTGAAACACTACGGTATCTTTTCCTCTTCTGGACCCTTAATGACATAACTCTAATGGCATGTTTAATTAACACAGCTTTTCCTTATACTAAAAATAAATATCTCCCTGCTCTGCGAGCGCATCAGCCCTTGCGTTTCTTACGCTTGTACGAGTCTAGAACTGACTTGACGTTTTTGCGTTTACCAATGCTTGATGTCTTTGATTCTTCTTCGTCATCGGAGCTCTGTTCTTGAACAACAGGCCGCGGTTTGCTTGCCGGTTTCTTGTGGTTCATTTTGGTTCTCAATCTTTCCAGAGCTTGGTTTTTGTCTGTGGGCGGGGGTTTAGCCTTTTCTGCTGATTTCAGTAGCCGACTCACCACATCGTCCTCCTCGTCATCATTAAACACATCAGCACCCATCCATTCGGACACTAAAGACTTGGCACCGGCCACGGAAACCGCCATTTTGGCCCGTTCAACATCAAGCCTTTTGTAGTCCATAGGTCCATTACCTAAGTGGGAAAATTTATAAAATAATTTGTTTAATTGTTTTTAATAATGAGGATTAATCTATTATATTGAAAAAATATATAAATATAATAAAGATCATAATATATTATAGCAAGATAAATGAAAAGAGATTTTATATATTGTTGAAAAACAATTTGAATCTATATTATATAAAATAAAAGGGAAGTCGTGCAGAAACATCAAAACTGTCTATCAGACGCGTAAATTTTTAGTCTATCAGGAATATGTGTTTATAAAGGAAGCTCGAACGAAACATTGAGCTTGGACTCACGAGCAAGCTGGACAACCTGAGACAACTTGACGACCTGGGAAGCAGCGGCATCGAGGTCACTGTAAGAGAAGATCTTGAGACCGGAGTTATTGATGAGCTCCTGGGCCTCCTCATAGTTGGTGCCCTGGAGACGAGCAACAATGGGGACGGTCAAGTGCATCTTCTGGGCAGTAGCAATGAGACCAGCGGCAATGGCGTCGCAACGAACGATACCACCAAAGATGTTGACAAAGATGGAGGTCACGCCCGGCTCGGTCAGAATGAGCTGGAAGGCCTTCTCAATGGACTCAGCAGTAGCACCACCACCACAATCAAGGAAGTTGGCAGGGTTGCCGCCATTGAGCTTGATGATATCAAGAGTGGCCATGGCCAGACCTGCACCGTTAACCAAGCAACCGATGTTGCCGTCAAGCTTGATGAAGTTCAGGTCCCACTTGGAAGCCTCAACCTCCTCAGGGTCCTCCTGAGTGAGATCGCGCCACTCAAAGACCTCCTTCTGACGGAAAGCAGCGTTGTCATCGAAAGTCAGCTTGGCATCCATGGCCATGACGCGGTTGTCAACCAGCTCACTAAGAGGGTTGATTTCAACCAGAGTGCAGTCGCGCTCATCGAAGAGCTTCCACAGATTCAAAACGGTCTGGGCAGCCTCCTCCTCAGCCTTAGCGCTGTAGCCAAAGCATGTGGCAACCTCTGCAGCCTGCTCGGGAGTGACACCAGTATCCATGTCAATGGCAAAGGTGTGAATGGCATCAGGAGTGTCCTTGGCAACGCCCTCAATGTCCATACCACCCTGGCTACTGGCCACGATCATAGGCTGTTGGAGGTGACGGTCGTAAAGGATCGAGAAGTAGGCCTCGCGACGAGCAAACTCGCGCTGAACAATATAGACAGCAGAGACCTTCTTGCCTGCCTCACCGGTCTGCTTGGTGAAGATCTTGTGGCCGACCATTGCGTCGGCGTACATCTCCGCCTCGAGAGGAGAGGTGACCATCTTGACACCACCCTTGAGACCAGACTCAAAGTGGCCCTTTCCACGACCACCGGTCAAAGCCTGCGCCTTCACAACAAGATCCTCCGAATCAAGCTCTTGGGCAACCTGACGGGCCTCTTTACCAGAAAAGGCAGGCTTTCCAGAAGGAACGCCAATGTTGTACTGGCTCAGCAGCTGAGCACTGCGGTACTCGTGCAGCGACAAAAAGCGCCGCGGGACAATTTGACGAACGCTAGGAGTAATTTTCTTAGCCAGGCCTGCACGCATCATTGTTGATGAACGTAGTTAACTTCGTGACGTCAGCTGTGCGGACCCCTCTTTGAGCCTAGGTTTAGGGAGAGAGGGGAATCAGAGACTCAGGACTAGGGCACATATTATTCCGAGGTTCCGGCATTAGTAGCCCACTGTTGAGCAAGCAGATTATAGATGAGTTGTGTGCAATACGCCCTAAATGTGCATCAAAAGCGCAGATTATTCCAATAGTTGCATTTCCCGCGCACAAACGTTTGTTCGACCCCCAACGTAGCGTTTCGATGTCGCCGAGTTCTCGCATGTGCATATCACAGAATAGAATTTTTTCCCAATATTGATCCGGACTACAGTCGCCAGTATACAACTATAGAACGAGTCTAGGAGTATTTAATAAAAAGTAGAGCAGTTTTATGTATGAGGTCCATGGCTTCTTACTCGGCCACCGCCGGGTTACACGGGTCAAGTTCTTGACCGAGGATATGACCGGGTAGGTCCACAAGACGGTAAGAGCCGAACGTCTCAATAGGCAAATAGCGTTTTGTATTGGAGCACTCGGGACCCTAGTATTTGCCAGTCGTCAAGTGTGACCCATAGTTCGTCGATAATTTTCAGTTTTGCGAAAACGCTGCCGCCTTTCCAAACCACGTTATCGGGCTCCATTTCACGAGGCATTGCCATCACTGCAATATCTCCCACATCTTTCTTTTGATTCCACATAGAGAGTCGGTCGGTTAGAAGCACGTGGAAGCCTGGGAAGTTCGCTCCACCGCCAATTACCATAATATTCTCATAGTACGTAGCCGGCGCGGTTCCTGTGCGAGCGGCAGCCTGGGCAATAGATTCAATGATTGCATGGTCCAATGGCGCCAGCAAAACTTTTTGCGGGTCAATTGCCTGGAAGACTTCCATTTGAGTTTTGACTTGTTGTTGGATCATGGCCTTGAGAGCGGCCGCTTTTGCTTGACCCGTTTCTGCGGCAGGGGTACCTGATCTCGATGCCGAATTGGCGATAGATGCAGTATCGTCAATTCCGACCGTGTCCTCTTTGATATCTGCCGTTTCCTCCTTTTTGACGTCTGCGGTGGCCTCTTTTTCAGCAAGCTCACGGGCAATCTTTTCCTGGTACCTTTCACCGAAAACCGCCAACGTTTTAAGAGAAATGTTGATCATTGCATCGGAAATAGGGTTCGCTGGTGTACCGTCATATATATTTTCAGGCACGGGAAATAGCTTGCGACGACCTTCCAGCTTATGACGATGGCCAAACAGCTCTGGATAAAACAAGCCTAAAATTGGCAACATAACCTCATCAAAGGTCTTGAAGTTGTATTTGAGAGTTGGCTGGTTTGGCTGGCGGCTGTAGAATGAATAAAGCTGAACGGCCATTTCGGCATCATTGCAAGTGCAGTATTTTTGCTTGATCCATTCGATAAGATTAAAGTCCCACATCTTGGACAGATAGACGTGGTGGGGGAACTGGTGGTCCGACAGCATTCTGGCCAGTGTTTTTGTGATATCTTTGCCCCCGAATTTCAAATTGACCCGGGAATCAGCGATAGCCATGCCCTCGTCGACACAGGTGACTTTAGTGGTCTGAGCACCGACGTCCACAATGCAAGCACTTGAAATACCAGCACCAAACGTGGCGGCAACCGACTCCTGTAACAGAGAGATCTTGGTAAATCCCATTTCACCAGTCAGTAGTTCAACAAACACCTCAACGTAATTTCGATCGTATAAGTCGGGGATCAAAAGTACCACAGAGTATTGTTTGAATTGAGAAGCAGGTATCTCCAGATTATTTTCGACCGCAGCATTGATAATACGATAAAGGTCTGTACGAAGCTCTTCAGGAGAACGGTACTCTCCCTCGTTCAACTCGCCGTTAAGCAGGGGCCAGACAACCTCATATGTATCATCGAGTTCCAATGCCTGGCTACCAAACACTAATTTTTGATCCGTAGTCCATGATTTGTCTTCATCCAGCTGCTTTTCACCTTCCTGGCGCCCATTAAAACTGCGCACAATGTCATCACCATTTCCAACAATGCGACGCTTGTAAAACTTCATGCGCTCTTTAAAGTCCTGTCGCACCTTCGCATACGACGCTTCATACTCTTCTTGGGTAGGATCCAGCTCTGAATCAAGCTCCGTCTTGCCTTCATCGATGCGTCGTGCATAAGCCATAGGCACAACCACCGGAGCGAACGATGTCGCGAGGCCAAGACGTAGGTTCTGCGAGCCTGGGTGGATCACAATCGTCTTGGTCATCTCTTCATCGTCGTCTAATGGCTCATCCTTGGTGCTAGCCGTTTCGGGAGCAGGCGTCTCACCCTTTCGAGGCAAATTGACAAGCAGCTGGCTGTCGCGCTTCAAGTACTCTGTGTAGTAATTCTTCTGGTTAATTGGCGGAATGGCCTTGAAAGTCGTGAGCTTTAGACCATTGTCCTCCCGCACAAACTTGCCCTCTCTTCGTCGCACTTTGGGCTTTTCTGACATGAGTAAAGATGTCCTCCCAAACCAATGGGTTCTGAAAAAGTAGTTAGGAGCCTGGCAGGACTATTTAAACAAGTGCGGTTGTTTCATTCTAGCTTAAGAACATGTGGGTCCGAAGCGTATGAGGGCGTCAACGAGATGCTCGAAAATCGGTATACACCTCCTGCCAATATTATTGAAAAGCGTCCCTACACCGTCCCCCATGCGATCTTTTCATCCTATCGCCAACAAAGACGAGATCCGGATGTGCGGTTCCGCGATGTGGCCATTGTAAAGTTAAAATCAGGAGATGGTGGTAACGGCAAAGTTTCGTTCCTGAGAGAAGCAGGTAGGGCCATGGGCCCCCCCGATGGTGGTGATGGCGGCACCGGAGGGCACGTATTTGTACAAGCAGTCGAGGGAATGACTAGTTTACATCATTTAAGGCATATTTATAAAGCTGCGAATGGTCGAGGTGGCGGATCAACTCAACTCAGTGGCAAGAACGGTGAAAATGTAGTCCTGCAGGTTCCTGTCGGCACGGTCGTTCGATGGTCACCTCCCTTAGACGAGCTCAAGCGTATGTTTCATGAAGCAGGTTCAAGTGCAGATGGTGCTACCGAGGTAGACATTGTCACGAACCTCAGTCGTTTCGATAACGACTCTTTGATCCAGCTTAGACGCGATTCTTATGCTGACGGACAAGGATGGCTCTTCAAAGAACAGGAAGAAGAGCACATTCGGGCTCAGCAATATTTCCGGCAATTGATACCCAAGGTTCATCATTTTGACACAATCAATCGTCGTCGGGAAGCCGAACAAGATACGTTTCCTTATGAGGGCATTGACCTCGACCGACCTGGACAATCAGTGATGCTGTTGGCAGGAGGCAATGGTGGCTTGGGGAACATGCATTTCTTGACTGGTGATATTCGCAACCCCCGTTTCGCTAAACAAGGCCGGTCGGGGCTGGAAAGCACGTTTATTTTTGAACTCCGTTTACTGGCTGATTTGGGTCTAGTTGGACTTCCTAACGCCGGTAAATCCTCTTTATTGCGCGCCATCAGCCGTGCCCGTCCTCGAGTCGGTCATTGGGAGTTCACTACGTTGACCCCGACAATCGGTACTATTCAATCCGGTTTAGCAGAGCCCAGTTTTACTGTTGCAGATATCCCCGGTATCATCGAAGGTGCTCATGAGAACCGGGGTCTTGGGCTCGGGTTTTTGAGACATGTCGAGCGCTCAGGCGGTCTTGTATTTGTTATTGCCCTCGACAGACCTGATCCAGCTGCGGACTTCCAGGTGCTTGTTAGAGAGCTGGGTCCTAAGCGAATGGAGAAGAAACGTATTCTTGTTATTGCGACCAAAGCTGACGTGCCAGAATCCCAAGAGAGATACCAAGCTCTTAAAGAATATCTTGGATCTTGGGGGCCTGCCAACAAATACGAATGGGAAATTGTTCCGTGCAGCGCTCAGGACAATGGCAATATTGAGTCGGTGATTCAAATGATGGCCCAGACGGCCGGGAAAACGAGCCAGCACGCCACAAGAGTTTAGAATGTACATATGTGTTTTGATAAATAAAAAGAATACTTAAAGAAAGTGCCTGCACTTTCTATCTAGTAGGCCGGCATACGGCCCATCATTGGCTGCTCACCAGCAATTTTCACTGGTGGGTTCTGGCTAGACGTCCATCCTCGAGTGATGTTGGGCTTCTGACCAGTATACATATTTTTGTGCATAGCATGGTAGTCGTGCACAGGTTTTGGCAGGCTCAAGCTGGCGTAACTCTCAACTGACGAAAGCGACGACAGTGACGAAGAAGCAGAGAGACTAGGGTCACGCTCTGGCGACTCAGGAGGTGTGTACTGAACAGAGGATGAGCGTGTGGGCAAGACACGGTGCTTGGGCAACTGTGGAGCGGCCTCGCGACGGGGCTGGATGTGAAGAGGAGCAGTGGTGGCGGGAGCCAAATGGCGGCTGGTCTGAAGGGAGGAAGATGAGACGAGACTCTTCTTGATATTAGTGAGGAAAGGTGCAAACTGCACGTAAAGGTCCTCTTTTGTGACGCGAAGATCCCAGTCCAAAAGGAAAAGAAGCTGCTTCTCCATAAGGTTAACCTCTTCAATCGAAAACAGACCCATGGTGTACTGAGCCCAATACTTGTTTTTGGGCGATGAGTCGTTCAAGTTCTTGGCGGCAAGAATGAGGGCAGCCAGGAAAATACGGTGGCAGGTGCAGGCCATGCCCATAGCCAGTTTAGGCAAGCGCTCTCTTAAGCGGGAAAGATAGACCAGGCTGGACATCAAGGTGGGCGTGTGAACATTTGACATTTTCACGATATTGTTGATAAAGATCGTCAAAGACTCGAGGGTGGGTTCAGCGACAAGGACCTTCGATCCCGGAGAAGAGGGCGGGGTCGCGTAGGCCGCGTGCTCACACTTGATGACGGTCAAGGTGGTCTGTGCCAAATAGTTGATCATGGACTTGGAGACCGGTTGCTGGATGAAGATATTCAACGCCTGGGAGGACGACATGTTAATGAATGAAGGCACTTGAGAAAGAGGTGGTGGATGTAGCGATAAAGCTTAGGAGCACTTTAACGAGCAGACGGCTATCAGAACAAAAATAGCAAAATAGTCTAATTAGCCTGGATGCACTCTTGGTAACGTTCAGAAGAAGCAAATCACAACAACTTGGTACGAGTTCACCTGCGATGTCCGTGCGACTATATATACGTAACTCAAGGGGCGGGTCTGCTCACCTTGTTAAATTAAGGGGCTGCATCATATGCATGCAGCGACGGGTGGCAGGGGGCCAGCCGCTAAGAGAGTTCAAAAGATACCGGGAAGGGTAGGGAACTGCTGATGCTCCATGTGGCTATTTATTGACTGCATAGCTTTATACTTCTAAAAAAACATATTAACCGTTCTGTTTAAAGTCGTTGGAGGTCTTGAAACACGATACTACACGTACGCGGACCCAGGGTTGCGCATGCATGCATCATGCGTCAATTAAGTAGAAACTGGGAGGCCCCGTGACGCGAAAAGCAAGTAGAAACCAGCGATTTGGGTACGAAAGATGCACCCCGTTAAATGGAAGGAGATCATGAAGGCCGATCTGTTGAGATACCCATTGTATCACTAAGTTTTGCGTCTGGCTGATTGGCTACGGAGGATGGCGGGCTAAATCAATTAAAAGTCCTGGCGCCCTAGGCTAGGTCAGCCTAGAAAGACTCAGACTCTGCCGATTGGTCGGGTGAACAAACTGAGATTGGACCGAGATGCACCCTTGGCATTGTAATTAGATGAAAAGTAGCTAAAAGCAGCAATAAATTACAATTACTCTACCCTAAATAGAGTTTGGCCCTTTAGAACTGCCATAAAAGCTTTATTCCTTGTAGTAGGTTTCTGCAGGGACCTGCAAAAGTAAGCCAGCCCGCCAGGCAGGGATCACAAAACCGGTGGAAGGTTTGGGGTGCCGGCAGAGAATACTGACGTAGGGGCCAGAAAGGGATGGTGTTTTCCGGCCAGGCAATTAAACAACCTCGGATTTTGCAGGTTTCGTTTAATCCTTCGATGTACACCCAAGAGACAACGCGCTGTGCCCCGCGATCTCTGCCGATGGGATCTCACCCAGATTAGGAAAGCTGGGGAGAGGGGGCTGGGGACTCCTTGGAACACCGAGATCCTTCTTCTTTGGGGTTAGGGTGTATATGATTATTTTTTCACTAGAGAAGCTATCCAAAACATAAAGTTTGAGAAAAAAAGGTTTTCAACAAGAGCTCAGAAACATGGTAACAGTGTCCACAATGCAAGCAGCCGGTTCGAAGGAACAAATTTCGACGTACTACCCTTTCGGACTGGTGCACAGCAATTGTTCATCATTTTGCTCTCACTGATTTGAAAACCTTTCCAAACAATTACTGAAGTAGTAGAACAAGGTTGGCAGCTTATTTGTAGGTAATAGTCACGTGATCCCATCTTATCGCCAGAGGGCTGCCCAAAAGATTAACGTTATACGCTATTGGTTATGCATCAAATTTAAAGTTATTTACGCTCGTACTTGCTGTATAACCATGTCGCCAGAATAACAATCGACGCTCCGACGGCAAAGTTAGTCGTCAACGTCGTGCCAAAGAAGTACACGCTTGCAATAGCCGAAACAAGAATAGAGATAGACGTGGCAAAGTTTTTCGCAATATTGTCGGCGTACTTGACGCATAGGGCAACAACAATACCTCCGCCGGCTTGCAAAAGGATCACCGACACGACGACCATGTTGTAGCCATAAAAGAAGCCCTTGGCAGAGATGTCCCGCCCATCCTTGGCCAAAACACCAATAAAAAGAGCCGGAAACAATGAGTAGAAACTTAGTTGAACATTTCTTACCCATAGCGACACAGACCTGCTGCCCTTTAACACTTTTTCGAAATAAATCCCTGCCAGGCCGCTCAAGACGCAGGCAATCGTAACGGCAACAAGACCGCGAATATTATTAGCCACCCCGGTAATACGCTCTTCGGCGGGGGTCTCAACGTCTTGAATGGGGGCAATAAATCCTTTAACCACCTCTACAATGCTGGTGGGCAGTTGGACGACAGCCACCCCCATTGTGAGCAGACCCAAAGCCGCCCATTGGTTGATATGAAGTCTTTTGTGTAGAATAGTAACTGCAAAGAACGCAGTGGACAGAATTTTGAGTTGGTACGTGACCTGGAAGGTTGCAGCATCGAGATTAGAGGCCGCGACATACTGCATCGAGTTTTGCAAAGTGTACAACGCGGCCGGAACAGCCAGCATCCAATGGCCCTCGCCAAACACTTCGGCAAAGGTCTCCTTGACTCCAGCTTCCTTGAATGAAATTAGCAAGCTGATTACTAGCTTGATCACCTCGTTCAGGAGGACCGCGGTCGACGAAATGTACACTTCATTGGTGTCCATGATTCTGGAGTACCGCATCGTCAGAATAAGCAGACTGTTCTGTAGCACAAGCGTGAGCAAGGCCGCATACTTGATTGATGTCCCAGGAGCCGCAGGAGCGACGACTTTTTCTGCCGACATCTGAAAACGCGTTGAAGTCAGGCGGGAAACTTTGATGATTAAAGGTTGGGGCATTTTCTTAATTTCCGACCTGCGCATGGACGGACCATGGACGCTACTTTATTACAGACTATGAACGGTGCAATGCTAAAAAATAGTCTCCATGTCGTCATCACTGGGCTCCTCTTTAGTTTCAGGGTCCTCGAGTGTCCCCCCAGCTTCAAGCATTTGCTGCATAGCGATCCCCGTGCCCTTGTGCTGTTTGAAGTCGCTGCGTAGCCCATACTTGGTTGCGTATGGCCCTTTTTTATTGAGAATTGCAATTGTGTCCAACACCTCTTTCAGATAAGCTTCGGGCTGACGAGTACGTTCCCGAAGGCCCTTGAGAGTCCAGTACTCTGTTTCTTCAAACAAGCCGAACAACTTGTCCAACAACTCGCTTTTGGGAATACGAATGGCCTTTCCATCGCCCTGCCGAAGCATATCGCGCTTGTTCTGCGCTTTGAGCCAGACATTGCGTTGCTGGCGAAGCGTTGCACCGTATTTCACACCGCCAACTCCCGCTGTATCGTTGAGCAGAGTAACTTGTCGCTCGCTGTCCGGTTGCTCCATGATCTTGCGGCGTTTGACGACATTCGAGTAGTTTGGGTCTCTGAAATCAGGCGTAACAACACACTCATGGCAGGCCTGCCCGACAAGAGCTGTGCGTTTAGGTAGATGACGTATCACCGGCTGGTATTTATCGTAATTTGCATCCCGGTCCTGGGGATTTGAACTGTTCGCCTCTGCTGAGCCGGTCCGGCCGCTCGACTGGGGTAAATCCTGCTCCTTAAAAACATAGGTATTCTGGACAACTTGCTGCACAAGTGTCAGGTCGTAATCGTGGGGTAAATCGTGTGTCCGCTCGCTGTCATTCAGTGTGAGCCGCACCTTCCACTGCTTATCATCTTGCTGTCTCTTGATTCGGACTTTGCCCAGCTCTCGCCCCCCGAAATAGTCAACGTCCTTCCACTGTTCCAGCAAGAACCTTGGCATGCGAACCATCCAAACATTTGAGTGCGCCTGCGTTGTATCCAAATCCAGCGAGTCCTCGTACTTGTCGTCGTCCTCAAACTCCTCGCCTTTCACAGACGCTGGGGACAGGCTCACGTCGTCCTCAAACCCCGGCGATTGCGGTTCTTCTTTCATCATGATTACACAGCAGGTCCCCCCACCACGGGACTTGGAATTATACATGTACTTAGCTAGGTCCATTTTTTAGCCTCCATTCCACTAGGTGGCGTAATTTCAACTTTTCCTTTGCTCACTTCAGCCCAATTGGTGCTGAGCGTTGTGCCATTACTTTCAATGAAGCTCTTCATCATCGCTCGCTGCGCATCGGGGTCAGCATCCTTGTAGATTTTCTCAAAAAACGCTTGCGGGTCTCCCGATTCCTCTTCAGGCTCATCTTCGATATTCCATTCTTTCTCAAACGCTGCCTTGGGCTTGGCAAGGGGCTTCAGATCATCAGGAGTTTTGGCCAATTGACTCCAGTTGCCAGGGGACGCTTTCTCGAATGTGAGCTCGATTTTAGGCTTTACAATATCGATCTTTGCAGAACTAGGGTCAATTGGATGACTGAGGTCGAGCACAAAGTCGTAGGCCGGGATCTCAATTCGATCAGCGGAAATATCAACTTTGGTGGAGGAGGGGGCATCTCTGATAAATACTGACACTGTCACCTTGTTACCGATTTGGTACCAGTCTTTGCGGATACTTGGCTTGGCTACGGGCTCAGCGTTAGATGGGATCTCCACAAGCTCAGCTTGTTCGGTGGTTTCAGCCTCGATCTTTTGAAGCCAGATCGGGAGTGTCTTGTCGACACAATTGCATTTCTGCGCATACCTAATGGCTGCCTTTGCCTCTCCAACCTTTTTTAATTGGTAAAAGGCGATTGCTCTCCTCAGTTGAGCGTCTCCTCGCAAGCTCTCGTCTGTAGCTAACGACACAGCGGACTCGGCGTCATTCAAGGCTTCTGTCGGCTTTTGTAACCTCAGGTTGGCAATCGACCGTTTCAAGAAAAGCCTGGAGCTCGTAGGTGCAATTTTGAGCTCTTGGGTCGCTAATTCGACCGCCTTTTCGTAGTCCTTATTTTCCAGTGCCTGGTTGACTGCGTCCATTAAAATGTCGATTAAGTAATTAGCTTTCAATCAAATATTTTTTTTTTCACTGATCCAAAATGGCTAAAGTCCAAAAATTGGTAGTGGATGCAGGTCCTCTTTTGACACAATCTAGAGACGAGCTGAAATCTGCTGCAGAAGAGCTCTATACTACTCCAGAAGTCTTAAGCGAGATCAAAGACGAGACTGCGCGTCAACGGCTGGCCCTTTGGCGAGAAGAACTTCACATCCAAAGCCCCAGTGCAGATGCTATAAAATTTGTGAGTGCATTCGCTAAAAAGACTGGTGATGCTACTGTTCTTTCCGCTCCTGATATTGGCATCATTGCCTTGACTTATGACTTGCATTCTAAAGAAGGTCTCAAGTCTGCTCCCCAGGTTTTTGATCCCACAATGAAAGTAGTTGAACACCAAGGCCACAGCCAGCAGACTGAAGAGCAGACTGAGGAGCAGGCTGAGGAGCAACCCGATCAGGAAGAGTCTGAAAAGCCTGAGGATGATGAATGGGCTGTTGTCAAGCCTAAGCAAAAGGGACGACGGAAGCCCGCTCCTAAAAAGATTGTGCCAAAGGAACCAGAGGTAGAGGCAGCAAAAGAAAAGAAGCCCGAAACGAATGACGAAGAAGAAGACGATGACGATAGTGACTGGTCCGATGATGGATGGATTACCACAGAGAACCTGAAAGAACAGCTGGAGAAAGATAGCGCAGAGATGAGACCTATTGATAAGCCGGTTTCTGCCGCATTGGCTTCAAGGGATTTTGCCGTCCAGAACGTCTGTTTGCAAATTGGAATGGACGTTATCAACGACAACGGGCTGCGGGTCACCCAGCTCAAGACGTTCATGCAACGCTGCCATGCTTGCTTCCACTTACTGCCGATGCCCAAAGAGGGCTCGTCAAAGCAGTTTTGTCCTAGATGCGGTGGTCACACACTCACTCGGGTCACTGTGACCATCGGGAACGGCGAGATCCACGTTCACCTTAAAGCAAATATGCAATGGAAGACCCGAGGCGATCGCTACAGTCTGCCGAATCCCCAGTCGCGTCGAGCCCGCCGGGCTCAGCATGATGACAAGGTCGAATACTATGCTGAAGATCAGCCGGAGTATGCCAAGGCCGTTAAGCTGCAACAGCGGAAACAGCGTCAGAACGAAAAGCTCATTGCTGATTGGGTGGGGCCGTCAACCGGCGATTCAGGAGCATCACCGTTTGTTGGAAAACGAAACATGACCAGTCGCGTCAAGATTGGACGCGGCCGTAACGCTAATGCTAGTTAAATATATGTTTATTGATATGTGACCATCGGCGCCCCTGCAGGCAGCCTGCATAACAGCACATTACAAAGACTGAGCCACCGACGAACCACTTAGACAATCGCGATGGCCGACGCACTAGGAGCCCTGAGCTCGACTATTGAAGGGATACCTGGGTTTGGAGCAGTTTCCACTGTGTTCCAGGCCGCGGCCCCGGATGTTATAAAGACGAAGGACCCGTTCTACGAGGAGATCGATGGCGACAAGAAACGACGCAAGGCTCCTGGAAATGTGTCTGAGGTGCAACGGAAGCTATGGAAAAAGGTCATGAAGCGTGCATGGTATCACGACCGCAATTTCTGTAATTGTTTTCCCATTGATTTGGGTCTGGGCATCATTCCAATCGTCACCATTCTTCCGTTGATTGGACCATGGATCTGCTACACAATGCATGCTGAACTGATCAAATATGCTGCTGATGCCGGTTGTCCAAAGAAGACGTTGGCTAAAATGGGCGGCAATGTCACTTTCGACTTTCTCATCTCCATATGTCCAGTGCTAGGCTCGATTTTCTGCTGGATGAATGCATGCTCGACCAAAAACGCGGCGTTGTTTGATACATTTATGAGGAACCATGCGGCTAGACAAGAGGACCTAGTACAGCATTCCACGGAGGTTCATGATGTATTTCAGCAGGATCATCAAAGGCGGATGCAACAGGCACGCTCCGCACGGGATGCCGGCGCTGCTCCCCAGGCGAATGGGGGACAGGGCCAAAGGCCTCAGCCTCAGCAGCAAGGGATCCCTAAAAACCAGGTACCGAAACCCCAGCCAGCATATACTCAGACTCGACGGTCCAATTCGCCCGACCGATCAAACCAACCCACGAGGCCCAACCAGCCAGGAAACCAGCCAGGAAGCCAGACAGTAAACCCGTACCACCCCAAGAACCAGGCTGCTCAGCCACGCGCTCCAAATGGCTACCAGCCGCCGCGCCAGAATCCCTATCAGGCTCGAGACCAAAGCCCCCAGCGGCTGCCAAATCACAACCAGCCTCCGCAGCAGCCCCCCTATCAAACTCTGGATCAAAGTCCTCAGCGGCTTCGAAATCCCAATCAGCGATCTCAAGGGCCCTACCAACCACGAGATCAGAGCCCTCAACCGCGGGCTATGAATGGGTATCAGCCCCGTGACCAAAGCCCTCAACCGCGGGCTATGACCGGCCATCACCCCCGTGACCAGAGCCCTCACTCACAAACCCAGACTCGCGCTGGCCCTCCGCCGCATGCTCAAAATCCACCTCAAGCCCAGAACCCCTACAAACCACCGTACAATCCGTACCAGCAAAACCAGAGCCAGAAACAGAACCAGAACCCCGGACCTTACCAGCAAGCGTACCGACCACCGCGAACCCTTGAAGAAGCCCAAGCCCAAGACCTTGCCATGAGGACACGCCAGACCGCCAGACCTCCCCAGCCCGTGGCAACCCCTCAGAGCCAAGAAGAGCAGGACCTGGAGGCCGCTCTAGCGATCTCCCGACTACAGTACGAGCAGCAGCAACGAGCCACCACCGGCGGACAGTCGCTGCACATGCCTGACCCCAGGAACTATAGCTAGTACACTAATTTTTCTGCCATAAAGGCAACAATACGATCTACCAATACTACATAGCAGCTTAGAAGCAGCGGCGGTGGACAATCTCGGGTCCAGTCTCGTCGTACTCCTGCTTGGAGATCCAATTTTGCTGGAAAGTACCGAGAGAGGCCAGGATGGAACCACCGATCCAGACGGAGAACTTACGCTCAGGGGGAGCAATGATCTTGACCTTGATGGAAGAGGGGGCCAAGGCAGAGATCTCCTTCTGCATACGCTCGGCAATACCGTGGTACATGGTGGTACCACCGGAAAGAACGATGTTGCCGTAAAGGTCCTTACGAACATCAACATCACACTTGATGATGGAGTTGTAAGTAAGCTCGTGGATACCGGGAGACTCCAGGCCCAGAGCATCGGGGTGGAACAGAGCCTCGGGGCAGCGGAAGCGCTCGTTACCGATGGTGATGACCTGACCGTCAGGAAGCTCGTAGTTCTTCTCCAAAGAGGAGGACTGGGCGGCGGTCTGCATCTCCTGCTCAAAGTCGAGGGCGACGTAGCACAGCTTCTCCTTGATCTCACGGACGATTTCACGCTCGGCGGTGTTGGTGAAGGAGTGGCCACGCTCGGTGAGCAGCTTCATGAGGTGCTCGGTCAAGTCACGGCCAGCAAGGTCAAGACGCTTGATGGCGTGAGGGATGGAGTAACCGGTGTAGATGGGGACAACGTGGGAAACACCATCACCAGAGTCCATGACGATACCGGTGACACGACCAGTAGCGTACAGAGACAGAACAGCCTGGATCTGGACATAGAAGGCGGGAGCGTTGAATGTCTCGAAGATGATCTGGGTCATCTTCTCACGGTTGGACTTGGGGTTGACAGGAGCCTCGGTGAGCAAAATGGCGTGCTCCTCAGGGGCAACGCGCAGCTCGTTGTAGAAGGTGTGATGCCAGATCTTCTCCATATCGTCCCAGTTGGTAACAACACCGTGCTCAATAGGGTAGCGCAGGGTCAGAATACCACGCTTGGACTGAGCATCGTCACCGACGTACGAGTCCTTCTGGTTCATGCCAACCATCATACCGGGGTGCTTGGGGCGACCGACGACCGAAGGGAACACGGCGCGGGGCGCCTCGTCTCCGGAAAAGCCGGCCTTGCACATACCGGAACCATTATCAACAACAAGGGCATACGTATCGTCTATACTGTTAGTATTCAGCTTCAAAAAACGCGCGATTTTTCAAAAGCAACCCAAGGAGGCGCTGCCGCGGCGAGGGCGAGGCCGGGTACCGGTTAGCCCCGGTAACACGTCTCTTGTATTCCTCCACCGGCGCAATCACCTCAGAATTATGAGCCGCCTCCCTTTTAATCTTGCTTTTGCTGACGGGAAACCCGCCAAATGCACTTACCTTCCATGATGAGCCAGAGTTAGATAGGAAGAAGGGGCTGGGATTGGGTATTAATAACGCCGACCCTCCTGCTCGGCCCCGCGTACATCTGGGACTGCCACGTAAACATCCCGGAATGTGTGCAGCAAGAGCACACCACAGATTGCAATGGAACTAGTTTTATTGGAGATATTTGGTTGGTTTTGGATGTGTAGGCTGGACCCGGGACGCACCTGTCCCTCTTACATGAGGCCTCGAACAGTACATATTAGTTGGATCTACGGTGGTCTGAAACCTGCCCGGGGGACTTGTCAGCAACCTCTCGCTTGCAGCAAAATGATATGACCTGAGGGTGTTAGGCCAACTGCGTGCCCCGGACCAGCGGTTTGGTAATCAAAACCACACCATGAAAAAAACCGGCCGGCGCTCACGCATTTCCAGAGTGAACCCAAACCCCAAGCCAACGTCACCTTCGAGCCGCTGTGAGCACCCATGCATGAGCAAGGATCGACGACTAGGTAAAAGTCTCTTTCCCTATTGGCCGGAGCACTTTTCGCCAGGTTGACCTACTCAATGCCCTTGCCGCTCATTTTCTTTCAGTTTATTAAATCTCTGCCCCTACGCCAGCTCTAGGCGCCAGAGAGACCGCTTTCATAAGCGAACTGAGTCCTGTAGCTGCCTTCATATGGGAGGAAAAAAAACACCCCTTATAAACACCGGCCATGTTCCTTGCCCACTTCACACTCCCTCCCCATAGGATTCCAAAGAGCGCCGTTTTCGTGACGAAGTTGATTGAACTCGACTGCGGTATGAAATAAATAAATGGATAGGTTTTTATCTCTCCAGCACTTGACTTACTTCCGCCCACCAGGTTCTTGTTTTACCTCTGTTGCCCCACTCCTGCCCGCATCCGTGAAGGCAACCCCACGAAATTGCCCATAACCGCAATATGCTAGCGTCTCAAACACCCAAGTTATCGACGCCCAGTACAGATTCGGGCGCTCTTGCTCCGCCAGCAGCCCACGACCTGAACCACTCCGGTGATTCTGCCGAGCACCAGATCCACGTGCCCCCAGGGGCTCAGGCAGAACACCAACCCACCCCACAGGACTCTGCGATGGAAGTAGATAAACCCGTGGGCAAGACTGTGCCTGATTTTTATTATGAGTGCCACATGAGGGATCTGGTCGCTCTGGTCTCGCGGTTTCTGCAGGAAATCGTTGCTCTCAACGACACAATTCCTGTGAGCTCGGAAAATCTCACCCGTTTCCACTCTCGAACGCCCCCTGAAATTTCCATTCGCGACTACTTACAGAGAATCATTAGGTTTTGTTCGATTGACCGAGCCATTCTCATGGTCGTCATTTATTTTATCGATGTTCTTTCGCATTCCTACCAGCAGTTCCAGGTCAACACCCTTACCGTTCACCGATACATCGTTACCTCGGTCACTGTTGCCTGCAAAGGGTTATGTGACTCTTTTTGCACCAACGCACACTACGCCAAGGTCGGCGGCATCTCCACCGTCGAACTCAACATGCTGGAGGTCGAGTTTTTATCTAAAGTGCAGTACAAAATTGTGCCCCCGCCGGGCCGCCTTGACAGTTACTTCAAGCTAATGATGGAGAGAAACTCCGAAGGTATTGACTTTACAGCAAAAGGCCCGCTTCTGACCGGGCCCTGGGCGGGTCTGATCCCTCCTGGCTTGGCCCTGCCCGCTGATCGAGCTTGGACTCCTGAATCACTGCAAGACACACCTGAATGTGCCGAAGAAGCTGACTGTTCTGCCTCAAAAGAAAAACGCCGTACTGGGTTCAGAGCAGCCATGCGTGGCATGTCCAAGTTTCTCAATAATCCCAAAAAACGTCGTGACGTTGACGACGATGGCAGGCCCATTGTCGATATCACCAAGCGGTCTAAAGCCTAATTTAAAGCATCAACAACTACTACAAATACATTCCCTGTTTTTGCCTTCCTCTACTGCCCTTATTTTTTTTATTATTAGACGTATTTTATTTCCATTCACATCATTCTGTATACCGCTGCAGCATGCTCTCGAGTCTTTCCTGCATTAGCCTTCCACGTGCTCGTGCCCTTGCCCTTTTGCCGGGGTTGCTAGGAGTATGAGCCATAGCTAAGGTCCTGCATAGTCAGTAGGTCGATTGCAGAAGCGATGTGATAAGAAAGGTGTGTAGATGGCGTTCACGATGTGTTTGAGCTACATTTGACAAAGTCGATGAGCTCAATTGTGTTATCTTTGGCTATTGGTTTTGCAATTCGGCCTTTTCAACAAACCTCATTCTTTGGCGTTTTCAGTCCGTGCTCCAGTGCCTTAATGTAATTCCACTCCCTTCGATCTCTGATACCTCATAGTTCTACCACCCCTTCCCAAAACATAGCCCCTATGCTCGCTTTTTACGGTTATTGACATTAGATTGTCCTTCACGGCGTGATATGCTATTCCATAAATCCGACTCACATCACCTATCACGGCCATTTTAAAAGGCTTAAGTAAAATCTGACTTTTTTTTATGGATGCAGCATGGTCGGTTGATCAGGCAGATCTAGAGCGGCAGCTAGAACAGCAGGCGGCAGAAACATTAAAAGCACACGAAAATGAATTAGACGAGAAGAGATTGAAGAAAACTCGGCAGAAAATTACCGACATTTCGTCCAAAATCGCTGCCCTCACTGATAAAATAGAAAACCCCGCCACGCGCATTACTGAACGAGAGAAGGCCCGCGACGTCATCTTCAATTTACAGCGTAAAGATCTGGTTGGTTTACGGCGTGATGAAGCTGATATACTCGCCCGGATCGCTGAACGATCCAGTACCCAGCCCGAACAAGTGGCTTCTGGTAGACTCGCTGATGAAACGGAACAAGAGTACCTAGTTCGCACAGGAAAAATTACACCTTTCGGTAAACCAAGCCAGACTGAAGATGATCCCGATAGATCCCATCAAGATTTGAGTAGACCATCGACAATGCTTGCCCGTCAATTCAAACGTCGACGAGTAGATTCTACACTAGAATCCGACTCGGAGGCAACTGACGAAGAAGATCCAGTTCTGATCAAAAGGGAGCCAATTGACTCTGATTATTCCGACGAGGAATTTGAATCAAGGTCAACAACGTCTGCTCAAGACGAAGATGATGGTAATGTAGGGTACTATCACCGCAGACTTGACCAGTGGACTAAAATGCGAAAGGCGCTGAGAAAAGAATTGCATCAATCCATTGATGAAACCAAGGAGGAATGGGAACTACCGCATCCTGAATACGAAGATAAAGTGCTGGATCCAGCAGCAGGTTTCAAAATACCTGGCGATATTTGGACCAGTCTGTTTGCATATCAAAAAACAGGCGTCAGGTGGCTCTGGGAGCTGTACAACCAGCGAACTGGAGGCATCATAGGCGATGAAATGGGTCTAGGAAAAACTGTGCAGGTCGCTGCCTTCTTGGCGGGCTTGCACTATTCAGGTATGCTGAAAAGACGGCCAGCTTTAATAGTATGTCCAGCAACAGTAATGAGTCAATGGGTCACTGAGCTTCACCAATGGTGGCCACCGTTGCGAGTCGCCATTTTGCATTCAATTGGTACCGGCATGTCAGGATCGGGCCGAGCAGGCCCGGATAGTGATTCCGAGGACGAATCGGTTCTGGCTCAGTCAAAAATTGCTGCCAGTAGTTTACTCAAAGGTATGTTTGAAACGGGTCATGTAGTGATCACAACTTATGCTGGTATCAAGGTCTATTCAAAGTACATTTTGCCCAAGGTCTGGAGCTATTGCTGTTTGGACGAAGGACATAAAATCCGCAATCCAAACAGCGAAGTCAGTCTCAATTGCAAACAGATCAAGACACATTATCGATTAATTTTGTCTGGTACACCAATTCAAAACAACCTGATCGAACTATGGAGCCTTTTCGATTTTGTTTTTCCAGGAAAGCTGGGTACACTACCGGTTTTTCAAAACCAATTCTCTATTCCAATCAACGTGGGCGGCTATGCCAATGCCACTAATATTCAGGTTCAAACCGCCTACAAGTGTGCTGTTGTTCTGCGCAACTTGATTGCACCGTATTTGCTGAGACGTATGAAAAGCGATGTTGCAACCGACCTGCCTCAAAAAACAGAAAAAGTTCTATTCTGTAAACTCACAAAGGCTCAAAAAGAGGCTTATAGCACTTTTCTAAAGAGCGATGAAATGAATTCAATCATGGCTGGCCGTCGCCAGGTACTTTATGGTGTTGACATCCTGCGAAAAATCTGTAACCACCCTGATCTTTTGACCAGAGAAGTATCATCCCACAAAGCCAGCTATGGGGATCCCAGCAAGAGCGGGAAGATGCAAGTCGTTAAAGCTCTACTTGAATTATGGACTAGTCAAGATCACCGCACATTACTATTTACACAAACTCGGCAAATGCTCGATATTCTGGAGCCATTTGTTGCTAGAATGAACTTGAAATACCTGCGAATGGATGGCTCCACACAAATCGCTCAGCGACAAAGCTTGGTATCAACCTTCAATAACAATCCCGACTACAAGGTCTTTTTGCTCACCACTAAAGTCGGCGGTTTGGGAGTTAATTTGACCGGTGCCGACAGGATTATAATTTACGATCCTGATTGGAACCCAAGTACAGATGTGCAAGCTCGGGAGCGTGCATGGCGGTTAGGCCAAAAGAAAGAGGTTGTGATTTACCGTCTCATGATTGCCGGATCAATCGAAGAGAAGATCTATCACCGCCAAATTTTTAAACAGTTTCTCACGAACAAAATTCTCAAGGATCCCAAACAGAAGCGTTTTTTCAAGAACACTGACCTCCACGATCTTTTTTCCCTTGGCGACAGTGCAGAAACTGGCGAGCTGTTCGCCGGAACTGAGAAAAAAGTGCAACAACAAGCAGTAAAGGCTGATGATGATATTGACCAAGTTGCCGGCATTTCTCGTCAAGATGATTTCAAAACGAGTGAGGATCCAAAAGCTGGCGACGAGGGGCTTCTTGAGGGATTGTTCGCAAAGGCCGGCGTTCACAGTACGCTGGAGCATGATGCGGTCATGGACGCTTCACGGCCCGACACGGTCCTGATGGAGCGAGAGGCAACGAGAATAGCAAATCAAGCTGCTGCAGCACTCAAGGAATCCCGCAGAGAAGCTCGGCGGCACAAAATCGGAACACCAACTTGGACGGGGCGTTTCGGCAAGGCTGGCAAACTTCCTCCCACCAGCAAAGTCCACAGTGCATCACCCAGTCCATCACCAAGCTCAGTGTCGATTCTCGAGGGATTAAAAGTCAAGCGTGAACTCGAAACTAAAACCACTGCCAGCGACTCGTACCTCCCGGATAATGTCTTGAAGCTGCATACTGCTGCTATAACCCGTATCCGTGACTACCTGGCGTTGCAGCGCGAATACAGTGCAAAGTCCGCTGAAATTGTCAAAAAGTGTGACATCAAGCTCGACAGTGATCAGTCGGTTGCGAATCTACGGCATATGTTAAAGAATGTGGCTACATGGGACTCTTTGAAGAGTCAGTGGCAACTAAAACCCGAATTCCAACCCGAAACGTAAACCGTTGCACGTCTAATTTTTAATTTTAATTTACCCGAAGCAGGATTCACGCGGGAGTCTGGGGATGTTGCATGGTTATTTTTAACCCACCTTACCCTAGGCACTTTTTCGGGGTTCACAAACCCGCCATCCATAGACAGGATCGAAAGGGATGGAGGTTCGGAAAGTGAAAACCTTTTCGGTATATAAAAAAATTGCTGGAAAATAGTGTATAGAGATCAACGGGGTTCGGTAACGTGTCGAAACCGATCCGTGCCATGAGAAAGGTGGGCAGTATCCTTGCGAGTTATGGTCTCCTACACCGAGACTGCCGTGTTTGGCTGCATCGGCAGGTGGTTTAAGGACTCAAAATACCCCTTGTAATTTGTCTCGCTGTTAGAGGCGATCAATTGCCATGATACCTACGTAAAGCAGTTTAAAACTTAATGAACCGCGTTTAGGCACAAAAAGTAATCGAATCCGCTTTTTCCAACCCGGACTAAATTCCTTGCCATGCAGGTCAGCATTGGATGCAGTATTACGTCGTCTTGGCAAAACTAAACCTGCTCCAGCAATTGTTTGGATGAAGGGACGGACGGGTTAAAAGGAAAAGGGGTGAATACTAATATTCCTAGCGTACTCTTAAAATTCGTCTGGCAATTGCTCCGTTTCCTAGCGGAAAAAGATGCACCAAGTTGGCGAGCCTAAACGAGCGATCGCGCGCACTGACCTGCAGCATGCAGCTGCGCAGACCCAGGGACAAGTGTCTATATAAACACCGCCAGGAGTGCTCTACCCGTCATCACAATGAAGTTCGCTTTCGTCGCCGCCATTATTTCCGCCGTTTCTGCTGCCAGCTTGCCTTACTGCCCTCTCCCTGAGCCTGCCCAGCCTGAAGCCCCCTCGGCTCCTGCTCCTCCCGCTTCCTCTACTGCTCCTGCTCCTCCCGCTTCTTCCTCTCCTGGCTCCTCCAGCAGCGGCTTTGCTGTCGGTGATGTTGTTGGCATTATCACCATCCACTCCGGTAGCGATGTTCAGTTCCAGGGCGTCGGTGTCAACCCCGACAACAAGCTCGGCATCCATGCCACAACCGAGAACGTCAACTACGTCCTCGAGAAGGGCAACTCTGATGGCACCTTCCAGGTCAAGATCCAGAATACCAACAACTTCCTGGCTGTCACTGCCGGTTACCTCGAGATCCAGCCCAGTGCTGGTATGGACTGGACCATCGATGGCAGCGACCTTGTTTTGAGCACTGCCGGCAACCGTGGTTTCGTTGTCTGCCCCAGCGACGGTAACACCATCAAGTACTCATCTGACAACTGTTCCGACCCCGTTGGCGTCGCATTACACCTTGTCAAGCCTGGTTCTTCGCCCTAGATAATGTTGTATAGCCGTATCTCGTTTATGCCCTAACGCTTTATGATTCTAGTTGACCCTGCGTGATTACACAATTGGCCTGGCGTAATTCACCTGCACGTGTGGGTACTAAACAACGTACATAAGCCGTATGAGTATGCGGTAGCTCACAAGACTGGGAGCAGTTGAAAAGTAAGCTGATTTAATAAAATTTCATTAACGATACTAAAACGACTCCAAAAGGGATATCGCGAGTTTCCACCACGACAGGGTAACTCGAGATTACAAAACCGGCTTGGGCATATTTTTCTTTTCATCAATGTCATAGGCGCCCAGAGTCACGGTTTGTATGAGCTACCCTCAGGCCGTGCTAGGGTATCCTTAGATTGAAGATTTCTCGAGTTTCGTCTAAACCGGACCTTTTACGTATTTGGTCCGTATGAACCAGACTCCGACATAATTTCATAATGCTAGTAATTACTGTGTTGAACTACCTGTTGACTTAGTGTTGAATAAGTAAATAAAGTTTAGTCAAGGTCTGCGTGGGCCTCGACGGGGTCACAAGTGCAGAACAAGTTAGTGTCACCGTAAGTATCGTCGACGCGGGTCACCGAGGGCCAGAACTTGCGCTCCTTGAGGTTGGGGACGGGGAATGCGGCTTTCTCGCGCGAGTACACGCGATTCCACTCACCAAGCAACAGGTCCTCCTGGTTGTGAGGAGCATGTGCCAAGACGGAGTCGGTGTAGGCAACCTTGCCATCCTCGATCTCCTTGATCTCCTCGCGGATGGCGATCATGGCATCACAGAACCGGTCGAGCTCAACAAGGGACTCGGACTCGGTGGGCTCAACCATCAAAGTACCAGCGACAGGCCACGACATGGTGGGAGCGTGGAAAGAGTAATCCTGCAAACGCTTGGCGATGTCAATTGCCTCAACACCCAGAGCCTTGAAAGGCCGCAAGTCGATAATAAACTCGTGAGCACACCGGCCTTGGTTGTTGACATATGCCACCTTGTAGTGGTTTGCAAGGCGCTCCTTCATGTAGTTTGCACTAAGAAGGGCAATCTCAGTGGCAGATTTGAGACCAGCTCCGCCCATAAGCTTGATATAAGCCCAGGGGATGGGCAGAATACCCGCAGAACCCCAAGGCGCAGCGGACACTGCCTCGATGGCCTGTCCGAGCTCGCGAGCAGGAAGCTCGATTTCGTGATGGGCGGGCAGGAAAGGAGCCAAGTGGCTGCGTACACAGATAGGCCCAACACCGGGACCACCACCGCCGTGAGGAATACAGAACGTCTTGTGCAGGTTCAAGTGGCAAACATCGGCACCAATATCACCTGGAGAAGTCAAGCCAATCTGTGCGTTCATGTTAGCACCGTCCATGTAAACTTGACCGCCGTGGGAGTGGACAATATCAATAGCCTTCTTGACAGTGGGCTCGAAAACACCAAAGGTTGAGGGATAGGTGATCATAATAGCTGCGAGATCATCCTTGTGCTTCTCAGCCTTGGCCTCAAGATCAGTTAAGTCAAGCTCACCCTGAGGAGTACACTTAATAGGAACAACCTTCATACCGCACATAGCAGCAGAAGCGGGATTGGTGCCATGTGCAGACACGGGGATCAAACAAATGTTGCGCTTGCCTTCGCCCTTAGACTTGAGATAAGCCTTGATAGCTTGCAATCCGGTGAATTCACCCTGAGCACCAGAGTTGGGCTGCAAAGAAGTGGCTGCAAAGCCGGTGATATCCGCCAGGTCATTCTCCAGCTCCGTAATGAGCTCTTGGTAGCCCTTGGTTTGATCCAGAGGAGCAAAAGGATGCAAATTTCCAAACTCGGGCCAGGTAATAGGAACCATTTGGACAGTGGCATTCAGCTTCATGGTGCACGATCCCAAAGGAATCATAGAATTAGCCAGCGAAAGATCCTTAGATTGCAGCTGGGTCATGTAACGAAGAAGCTCGGTCTCAGAATGGTACTTGTTGAAAACAGGCTGCTGCAAGTACTTGGAGGTTCGGGGGCATGGCACACTGACGGCATAGTCGACGGCCTCGGGTGCCTTACCGCCAAAGAGCTCGCAAAGAGCAGCAAAGTCCTCGGTGGTGACAGACTCATCGAGAGAAACAGAAACAGTCTTGTCATCGATCTTGTACAAGTTGATACCCTTGGAAAGAGCGTCAGTCATGATAGCATCAGCGCTAGGAACAGAAACAGTAAGAGTGTCAAACCAGGACTTGTTCAGAACCTCATATTTCTCGGAGATGACCTGGGCAAGCGCGGTAGTCAAAGAGTTGATACGCTCAGCGATCTTTCTCAAGCCCTCGGGACCGTGGTACACAGCATAGAAGGCAGAAATATTGGCCAAAAGTGCCTGGGCGGTGCAAATGTTGGAGGTAGCCTTTTCGCGACGGATGTGCTGCTCACGAGTCTGTAAAGCAAGACGATAGGCAACGTTGCCCAGACGATCCTTCGACTTGCCCACAATACGACCGGGCAACTTACGCTTAACGCTGTCCTTAACGGCAAAGTAGGCTGCGTGTGGACCACCATAGCCCATAGGAACACCGAAGCGCTGAGTAGTTCCAACAACAATATCGGCACCAAACGTAGAAGGAGGCTCGATAATTGTCAAGGCCATAAGGTCTGCAGCGACAGTGAAAGTACCGCCTGCGGCATGAATAGCATCAGCAGTAGCCTTCCACTCACCAATGGAACCATTAGCAGCAGGGTACTGAATCAGGGCACCGCAAGAACCCTCAAAGTTGTTATCCTCGGGCAAACCATACTTGACCTGGATACCCAGGCCAGAAGCACGGGTCTCGAGAACCGCACGGGTCTGAGGGTACACGGATTCGTCAACGTAGTAAATGGGCTTTTTACGGTTGAGCCCCACGAAGCTCATAATCATAGCCTCGGCAGCAGCTGTGGCCTCGTCGAGAAGAGAGGCGTTAGCAACGTCCATACCAGTCAATTCAGTAACCAAAGTTTGATAATTGATGAGAGACTCCAAACGGCCCTGAGAAATTTCAGGCTGGTAAGGCGTGTAAGAGGTGTACCATTGAGGGTTTTCCAGCAAGTTGCGCTGGATAACTAGAGGTAGCAATGTATTGTAGTAGCCGCGGCCAATGAAAGACCGGAGAACCTTGTTCTTAGAGGCAATCTCTTTGAGGCGGGCCAGCAGCTCCGTCTCGGAGAACCCCTTGGCGGGCTCGATGGCAAGAGGACGCTGGAAAAGAAGATCCTCAGGCACCACGGACTTGACAAACTCATCCATGGAGGGGGAATTGGCTACTTTCAGCATGGCATCGATGTCCTTTTTGTCGGAAACACCATTGTGACGGCGTTTATAAGTGTCGAGCGGGTCGAGAGCATTCGTGGAGAGGCTCCGGGCGGGCATCACGACCCGCGTTCGCATGGCCAGACGAGCAGCCAGAGCAGTGCGAGCACGAAACATTAATGCAATGGGGGATTTGGGAGAGGTGGATGTAGTAGAAGAAAAAGAAAAGAAGAAAAACTTACCCGCATATATTTGATAAGGTTTGGGGGTACCCCGTCGCTTACCCGGTTTACCCTGGTCAGCCCGGGCCTGCAGGGTGCAGTGGAGACCCGAAGATCACCGGAGTCCGGGTGAGCCCGGATCGCTGTGCAAAGACTCTGGCACAGACAGCGGCGGGGAATTTCGCAAAATTCCGGGGTACAATATAGGGCGGAAACGGTTTTGAAAAAATATAATTCAGAATTATAGTATGCAGTAAATAGTTTAACAAAATACTTTAAGGCAATTGTGGCAATGAAACAGGAACATTCGCATCTGCTGATGCAGTTCCACCGCCGGTGTAAATATCATTGTACATGGGACATGACTTGTTGGTTTTAATATGACCAACAGCACCGCATGTAGCACACTTGCGGGTAGTTGATTTGATTTTCTGTCCAGTTTTGACATCGCCCTTGGTGGCTTTGCGGGCATTACGCCTATCCTTGTTGCGCTGTAACCGAGCCAGCTCTTCCTCAAGGATTTTACGATTCCGCTTGTTAAGCTGAACGTCCTCCGTAACGCTGATTTTGTCAGGGGCGCGTTGTGCATCTTCCAAGCCTTGGCGACGTTTGACATAGGCACGAATCACATTGGCGTCAGTGACGATTTCAGTTTTGCGAACCAGAACGTCATTCTCGTCTTTGATCATTCGAGTTATACGCAGCACATTCTGACCAGTAACCCCATCGTCTTCTTCTGCGACAGGAGTCTCTTGGCGAGGGTGGTTTTCGGCAGGTAGTTGACGTGGATCAGTGACTCTGAGGCTCTTTGCCTGGGCATACCACACGCGTTTGATTTCCTCATCATATGATCGTTGTTGCAAAGCCACATTGTAACTGTGTCCGCCTAGTTTCGATTTGTCCACTTTGTCTTCATTAGCGGCCTTGAAACCACCTTTCATAGATGTCCGCAGGAAACTGAAACCCTCACCACGAGCAGTAGGATCGCCATCACCATGCAATTGCAACATAGCTTTGCCTTGAATGGCATTGATAAAGTTTCGTGAAATATTCCAAGGTGCAAGTTGTTCTTCCAAACTCATACCATCGTCATCCCGATCATCGTCTACTGTCTTTCCGTAACCAGAATCCTCTAGGTGCTGTTGGCCGACTTGCATTGCCTCAAGCAGAGCAATATCCTCAGGAGCAATCATGTTTCGAATCGCCTCCTCATTGGGCAAATCATTACCCTGTTTGACCTTCCAGAACCCCTGATCTTTACCAGACCGCTGGTATTCCATAAACTCCTTTAGACGCTGGCGATTTTGCATGTCATTTTGATCGGGGAAATGTGCAGAAATATCGCGGACCTGAAGACGCTGGTTGGCATCCTTGTTGAGTACTCGGTAAACGATCATTTTTAATCTGTTTTTGGATGCAGTAGTGACCTTACGAGAGTGCGGACCCGGAATCAGGGTTACAGGGAAAGTTTGACCGGCGACAAACAAATAAGGGATTTGTCGTAAAAAGTACCGCTGTCCTCGTGCCTTGGTTGTACTTCGCACAAGTAAAAAGTCAGTTTTGCGGGGGTCATGTTGGAAAATAGGTGCACGAATAAGCTGGTTGTAGAGAGTTGGCACAACATTTCCAGGTTCAACAAAACCAAAATTCCAGAACGCACTGCGATCTTGCACATCGAGGACATGTGTTTCACCAATGGCTAATTTAGGACGATTTGTATCCTCTGGAGTCTTTTTGCGATAATAGTTGATAAGCTTGGACCCCATGCCGACATTGGAAAGAACCAATGGGAATTCCTCGCAGTATTCGATAAGGAAGAAAGGAGCGTTGTCACCCAACGTCAAATCACTGGACTTTGCAAGAAGCTGAGAAATGGGTTTCCCCTTGTCTTTCTTCTTTTTGCGCGACTTTGGGGGCAAAAATGTAATGACTTGACCGGGCTTGACATTGAATTTCGGACGATGCCACGATCGAGTTTGGGCCTTGGAAAGCCGCACCTTGTAAAACGGTGACTGCAAACGCAAGGCGACCAAAGAATGGTCAATGTTGAGATTGCCAATAGTGGAGCGAACCTTGTTTTGATAGTTTTCTTTGAGTAATTCATAAGCCTGATCGTTGGAAATATTGTAACGGCTCTGCAGCGAAGTTTGACGAGTAAACACCGGACCATTAGAACGGTGGTTCACAAACAAAAGATGAGGATCGTTCATGTTGATCTGCACCTTGGGTTTAGCCAGTTGATAAGATCCATCCAAAATAGCAGCCTCGTCTTCACTGTTATAGACTTCGTCCAAATAAATATTAATATCTTGTGGATTGACATCATCCATAGGGGTATCAGGAGCATCTTTGTCTCCGATTTCCAGCAGTTTGTCCCAGTCTGCTGCCGCAGAGTCAAGATTTGAGTCACCAGGCAAAGCAGAATCATCGGGGCCCTCAGACGCGTCAATAGTGGTTGGAACTTCCTTGCTTTCAATTGTGACAATACCACTGCGTTGCGGTGGACGCATTGTAGCGGTCTTGAACAAACTACGATAGTCGGGCTCGACATCCAGGCGGAGCTGGCTGGGCACACAGGGACGCAAAATACGAGGTTGCGAAATCGTGAGCTCCGCAGGCTTTGGGCTGAACAGAGTGTTCATTTTAAGGATCTGGTGGGGTTCAAAATCAGGATAATAAAGCTTGAGCAACTGTCTTTTGACTTCCTCCTGGTCGACTTGGGGCTCCTCGGGGGCATCGTCCATTTCGACGTCTAGATCTTCTTCGCCAACCAATTCAGCAGTAAAAGACTTTGTCCAGTCATTTGGATCTTCTTCGTCGCCTTCGATCGGCTCGCCACCGGCCAAGTCGTCGTCGGCTCCAAACAGATCGTCATCGTCGTCATCTGCGAGCTCGTCCTCGCCCTCAAAGTCCACAGCATCGTCTGCGTGTTTGATGGCATCGGCACCACTCAAATTTTCTGGAATCAACGACTTCAAACCGCCTCCTGTGCCGGCAAGCAGTTTGGTGATTTCGTCCTCTTCTGACATGGAAGCTGCTGAGTAACAATAGGGCTAACGAATATATCAAGAATCTTAAAGTTTAGGGCTAGAGCTGAGTTGTTCTCGGAAAGGAGCGTCTGTTTTGCTCTTCACTTCTTCGAGAGTTGCACCCGGCTGCAATTCGGTCAAAATAAGACCTTCGTTGTCGACCTTGAACACGGCGAGCTCAGTAATGATGACCCGAGCAACTCGTGATCCGGTCAGAGGGTTTGAACACTGCTTGACAATCTTTGGCTTGCCATCTTTAGTGGTGTGAGTAGTACAGACCACAACCTTGGTCTCTTCTGGGTTCGAAACAAGATCCATTGCACCGCCCATGCCTTTGATATTGCCAGGGACACCCCAGTTGGCCAGATCACCGTACTGGGATACCTCCATAGCGCCGAGAACCGTGCAATTGATTTTGCCTGCTCGAATCATGGCGAAGGAATCTTGAGACCCAAACACAGATGCACCAGGGAGAAGCGTGACCGTCTCTTTGCCCGCATTAACGATATCCGGATCAACTTGAGACTCGGTAGGGTAAGGTCCAACCCCGAGGATGCCATTCTCAGATTGGAAAACCACCGAGACGTTGGGGTCGATATAGTTTGGCGCAAGAGTTGGCAGACCGATACCAAGGTTGGCGTAAGATCCATTTTCGAATTCCTTGGCTACTCGGCGGGCAATTACCACTCGAGGATCACTGTCGTTATCAGACTTGGTATGGTCACGAGCAAGCTGCAAACTTTCAATATGCTTCGGTTCAGTTGATTGAATGACCTTGGTGACATGGATGCCCGGAACATGCACTTCGTTGGGCTCGATTGATCCAACAGGAACAATCTCATCGGCCTCGACCAGGGTGACAGCAGCGGCTTGGGCAAACACCTGATTGAAGTTCAAAGTTGTGCCCCTGAACACGAGGTTTCCCAACGCATCGGCTTTCCAGCACTTTACGAGGGCAACGTCTCCAGGTAGGGCTTCTTCCAAAAGATACTTTTTGCCATTGAACACCCGGGTCTCCTTTGCCTGGCTGTACTTTATCACCTCTCCTTTGTCGTTGTACTTGACGGGCATCTTGCCCTGCTCAATCCAGGTATCTGCTCCTGTTTTCGTATAGAATGCAGGAATGCCCGATGCAGCTGCCCGACATCGCTCGCTGATTGTTCCTTGCGGGGTAAGCTCAATCTCGATCTTGCCGGAGAGGTAACTGTTCATGAGCGGCTTCGAACGTCCCATATAGGACATGATCATCCTGGATACCTGGCCTGCCTCTATCAATTTATCAGAGCCAATGTGGTTGAGCCCGCCATTGTTCGATACAATCGTTAGGTTCTTGATTCCCGGCTGTTTGGCGATTGCAGCGAAATAAGTCTCTGGAATTCCGCTAAGTCCAAAGCCTCCACATAACAAAGTCTGATTCGACTTAATATACTTTAGCGCATCCGCTATAGTTCCAATTTTGGAGAGATGGCTCAACTTCGACATTGATGTAACCAACCGGCTATAGAGGGTTAGGCTGATTTCGTCCCAAACTCAACATCTTAGCACCCCGTGCATCTAGGGGGGTACCAGACCACGTGATATTATGCAATAAGTGAAAATTCTCGAGGCCTCGCTTAGTCGGTTCCACCTGACCACCAGTTGGCCAAAAAAAGAAATAATCTCTTGGTAAGCCGCGAGAAGACAATGGTGAACATTGAGGCAAACCGGGCCGAGGAACTTGAAATTATTCTCAAGGAGCTGTCGTCGAAAATCGTCGACTACGTCAAATTAGCCGACTCTCCCGAGGGCAGCGTTGGAAAATACCGGGATCCCCGCGAGCTGTCTGATTCGTTGAAGGTTGCAGTCAGTGACAAGGGAGAAGGAATTGCCGGGTTGCTCGAGTCTGCAGACCTTTTGCTGGACAATTCGGTTGTTACCTGGCACAAAAACTTCTTGGAAAAGCTCTACGCAGGCACCAATCCAGTAGGGATTGCCAGCGATCTGCTGCTTTCTGTCCTGAACACAAACTCTCACGTCTTTACAGCTTCTCCCGCGCTTACTGTTATTGAAAGATACATCGGCAAGACATATGCTGGCCTTTTTGGCTTCAATGGTCCCCATGCCGGCGGCTTGACCTTCCCCGGTGGCTCGTATTCTAACATCACGAGCATGCATATGGCACGCAGTTTGTTGCATGAGGGGACCAAGTCGAAAGGTGTGTACAACACCAAGCTTGCATGTTTTACTAGCTCCCATTCTCATTATAGCATTGAAAAGGCTGCGATCCTGCTTGGACTCGGCTCTGAATCACTGTTCAAAGTAAATGTATTTGAAACGGGCGAGATGGACGTCGAGGACCTGAAAGTGCAAATTTCCAAGGCCAAAGAGCAGGGATTCACCCCGTTCTACATCAATGCCACTGCTGGTAGCACTGTGTATGGCTCTTTTGACGATTTCGAGGCCATCGCCGATGCAGCCGAGGCCAACGACATGTGGATGCATATTGATGGGTCCTGGGGTGCCAACGTGATTTTCAGCGACAAGCAGAAACACAAAATGAAGGGCAGTCATAGAGCCAACTCTCTGACGGTCAATCCCCACAAAATGCTCGGCGTTCCTTGCACTTGTTCATTCTTATTGATCCCGAATGATAGACAATTCCAAGATTCGAACTCGCTGCAGGCTCCTTATTTGTTCCATACGGCCAGTGACGACGACGACAACTTCGATCTAGCCGACGGCACCATGGGATGTGGCCGCCGTGCTGACGCTGTCAAGTTGTATCTGGGCTGGCAATACTACGGTAGCTCTGGCTATGGTCAGCGGATTGATCATGCATTCGAGATGACCGCTTATCTCGCCGAAAAAATTGCCAAGGACAGAGAGTTTGAGCTGTTGTCTACAAACCCTCCTCCTTGCTTGCAAACATGCTTTTTCTACCATCCGCCTGGACTTGAGGCAACCAAGGAAAACAACACCATGGCCACCAGGGCCATTGTTAACCGCATTTTTGCCAAAGGCAAGTTTTTGGTTGACTACTCGCCGCATCCCACCAAAGGCGAGTTTTTCCGTGTCGTTTTGAACGCCCCCAGTGTCGACAAAGAGAGCCTCGATTCGCTGGTCGAGGAAATCAAAATCGCCGGATCTGAGCTGTTTGCTTAATAGATTATAGACATTATATATACATTCAACGGTATCAAGACCATTGTTAGAACGGCCACCATGATTTCTTCGGCTCGTCAGTTGGCTTTGCAGTGGTTTTAGCTTCGGCCAGCGCCTGGGCCTTCGACGTCACCGGCTCTGTTGCAGCTAATTTGTGCAGCTCCCGAGAAGCATCGAAGTCACCCTTTTCAAGCTTCTCGAGATCTTCCTTATATTTGCCCGTAGACAAAGGTCCGTTGCCTCTAAGACGTCGTGACCTGTCGGCTTGGCCTCGCTTACAATCAATATAGCGGAGAATGTGAACATAGCAGGGCTGCGGCAAGGTCTTGTTCAGTTCTGGATCCTCGTAGCACTCTTTCGGCGTGTGTCTGTGCAACATCACGCACTCGGATCGCTGCAAGCACAGAGCCACTGCATCTCGGGCATCCTTACAAGATGAGACCATTACAAATCTCGCCAGCTTCCAGTGCCAACCTAAATGGACGTTGAAACGATACAAGTGCCCAAGTCTGGGCCGGCAATTCTGGACAACAACAACGTGCTAACACGAGCTCGACACGCAATAGCATTAGCGGCGGGCGCCACTGCAGGAGTGTTGCAGCTCGAGTCGTTCTATGGGTTTGGCGTGTTCGTTGCCGCCATGGCACTGGCGTCTGTTGCCCTCTTTGCCTTGACTGCGGGCTCAAACAAACAGGTTTTATATACGGGTGTGCTGGCTTCATTGCCCGGGTTTGTATTGTCATGGGTTTTGGTTTATTCGCTTAGTGCTTAGTTACATACAACAGTTAGAGCTGAAGGCTGGGAATAATATGGCGGATGCCAGTTTTTTCTTCAACTGACACACATTGCCACAGCGATTGTCTTGCCCGGTCATGGTCCCCTAAAACACTGTAGAGTGTTCCAAGAAGGTACCATGCTTCGGGGGTTTGTCGGCCCAGGGCTCGGGTAGTCATGTCTTCAAGACTGGAGACGAGGGCCTGGATAAGATCAAGTTCTGCCGTTGTGGTTTCGCAGAGCTTGGAGCTCAAGCCGGGTGTCGCCTTGCCCTCAGAGATGACTGTGTGCTCGCTCATGACAACCGCCAAGCCAAGGACAGCACGTAGGCTCATTGGATCGTATGAGTGGGCTCGCTGGAAAGCAGCAAATTGTTCGTGCGGATCGGAAATAAGGTATGCTTCGGCACAAATCACATTTGCAGTTCTTCCAGCCACAGCAGCTACTTTAATAGCCGCTTCAGCTTCACTGGTTTGGCCCGCTCGTGCGTACAAACTGGCAATCCACAACCACAAGTCCACAAGATCAGCAGGCGTCTTTGAGTTGTACCCTGTTTCAGCGTGGGCTAGCAGGTTAACGGTAAAGCCGTGGGCTGGCTCGTCCGTAGTGAATTCAAGGGTAGGTCTTCGCTTTGGTTTACGGGGTATGGTGGCTGACTTGGCGTTTTTATCCTGTCCATTGGCGTGCCCGTTAGCATGTCCGTTAGCCTTCCCATTGGCAGTTTGCATAGCAGCAGCCGACATAGTTGCCGCAGGGAACAGACTGGTAGCCAGGTCCATAACGGCAGGCAACTCTTCGAGAGCGGCAGTGCTTCCGTGCAAGCTCTCCAAAACTGCGACATGACTCTTTTTTAAATTAAGGAATTGTGTTTTTTCAAATGGAGTGAGATCGGCCTGTGGCTGCTTGGACTCCAGAGCAACCTCAGCAATTTTTAAGGCAGTGTCAAACTGTTCTTGAGCAGTCAGACAAACAATCAATTCATTGATTAGAACAATATCGTCTGGATAGCTGTTGAGAACCGATTGCAGGTGCTGGAAAGTCGCTGCTGGACCATCGGTGAACAACAAAAATTGTGCCCGGGCCCGATGAAAGGGCAAATTGCCGGCCCAGTTGACAAGGGCCTTTTCGTAGTGTTTGGCAGCAGCATCCAAACGAGCGTGATAATAATCATTACCTTCAGCTCGTAGAGCTTCCATAGTAGCACAACGAGCTAGTACACCGTGGGCAGCGGAGATTGCCTCACGATCTTGCCTGGGCATCACTGTTTCGAGCTGCGAGACAAGTTCTGCGGCGGCATCGACAATTTCGTAGCCATAAGGACTATTGGGCATAGTTTCGATGACCGACGCCCTTAGAGAGAACACTTTGACCACACCGGCTTCAGTGTCCGGGAAGGATTCGGCACCAGATTCTTTTTTCAATATCTGTTGGCCCTGCAACATCACAAAGGCCTTGAACGCAGCTTTTGCTTCAGCAAACTGGCCCAGGGAGTACAAGAGCTGACAATTGAGACGCATAAGAACTGCGGAATTGAACGTTTGTCCAATGAACCCAATAATCTTTGCCTGCAGAGCTTTTGCACTTTCCTTGTCTGGGCCAAGAGCAACATTGAAAGGCTCATGGAGTTTAGCTGAGGCTAGCCAGTCATTGTACAATTTCTGCGCTTGGTCCTCAATTTTAACCGACATGTCACGGTTCAGAGCCTGCTTTCCAGAACTAGAATCATTTACTGATTTCTTCGTAGGTGCAGTCGTCGCCGGCATCTGTACTGGTTGCTTGGTCGGTTTGGGAGACTCAGCGTGGTGGTGACGACGCAATCTTGAAAAAAGGCCATGGTGGTGATTAGAACTATCTGGGGTTGCGCCAGACAGAGATGTGGCATCACGTTTTACCGAGAGGTGCGAAGTAGACGGCGAAAGGGGAGAGACAACGGCACGCAGCTGTTTGCAGGACGATCCAATAGGGGATTTAGCAGACGGCACAGGAAGGTTCGCCAAGACCTCTTGCACGGCCCCGCGTTCAGCCTTGACAGTTTCAGTTTGCTCCAGCTGGGCGAGTTCAGTTTCTACCGCCTGCAGATGTTGTTTGCGTCCGACAATCTCGCCAGTATTTACCACATAGGCATAGGCCCGCAGGAAGGCTAAGCGGTCAGCGGGACCTGTGGCCGAAGAAGCTTCAATGGCCTTATTGTACAAAATTTCTGCCCAGCGAGAGGCCTCGGGCAAAGCATGCAAGGTCTCATCGCTCACCTCGATAGATTTGAAAGTTGACACGGCATCCCGTGGATTTGACAGCGCCAACAGCGCAGAGCCCATCAGCGCACGGTGTTTAACCGCCATGGCGCGCTGGTAATTGCGAGCAATGTGCACCTTGGTTGACTGGAGGGTCTGGAGGGCTTCCTTGGGGTCGTTGCTTAGCAGGAGCAAATGAGCCTTGGCACACAAGTACTCGAAGTTCGAAGCATCGTCTGGGGTGGCCTCATTGATTAGCTTTGCTGCCACGGACAGCTTTTCGGGCTTGACTGCAGAAACGCTGTCCGTTGCAGGGTCGAGGGCGGTTAGCGCCCGGTAGGTCTCCGCCTCGGCGATGGTAACTGCGGCAATGGGTGAATTATGGCTAGCAAGTATTAGCCTGGCTAGGTGCTCGGCGTCAACCCATTTGGATTGACCACGGAGTCGGTCCAAGTCCTCCATCACGTGCCTATTATGGAGAAAGTTGTCCACTAATCAGTATATAACGGGGGAAATTGCAGCGAACCCCGCGCTGACAAAAGGTGGGGGGGCTAATGGGAGAATAGGAAGCCAGAGAGAGAGGAAGGCCAGAAAGGTAGGCGGAGAAGGGAGATAAGCCCCCGAGTAAGGCGGTGTGACGATGGTGAAAAATGCTGCGTAATATGCGGCGGGCGATGTGGCTGAAATTTCTGCGAAAGGCAGAATAAATCGAGCAAAAGAAAGAGCATAAAGACAATTATTTTAAATACACACTAGTTTACAGTAAATATGCGACGACAGCCGCGATAAGAGTGCTGGCACCGACAAATCGGGCACTAGCAGCATTCGCGGGAACAACAGCGGTTCCATAAGCAGAAGGAACAGGAACCACCGCAGGAGCGGAACTGGAAACAACCACGGGAGGAGCTGCAGAGGATGGTCGTTCAATGCAGGACTCTGAAGTTCCAGGCGCAGCAGAGGTCGCGGGTGGGGGCGAGGATTCAGGTGAAGTGGTGGCAGGAGCAGGTGCAGTTTCACAAGAAGTGGACGCAGGTCCGGGTACAGGTTTCGAGGTATTAGGCTTGGGCTGAGGGGTGGTGCAGGTAGTGGTGGGGGAGGGACGAGCCTTAGTAGAAGTGGCAGGCGGTTGAGGAGCTGTGGAGGAGTTGACGGGTCCCTTTGTCTCGGGGCAAACCGTGGTAGTGATGGTAACGTCAGACTCAGGGCAGCTGGTAATGGTCAATGTCGTGGCCTCAGTGACGGTGTAGGTTTGGTTATTGTACACAAACGTCGTGGGTTCGGGACAGTAGGTGGTAAATAACGTGGTCACCGTAACAATTTCCTCGTTTGCAGAAGAGGAAGGGACGGATGTCGCAGACGATGCTGCGGACCCAGGACCTGACGATGCAGCGGGAGCAGAAGAGGAAGGAGGGGATGTTGCAGTGGCTTCGATTGACGCAGGGGCAGACGATGCTGCGGACACAGAAGCTGACGATGCAGGGGGAGCAGAAGCTGACGATGTAGCGGGGGCAGAAGCTGACGATGCAGCGGGGGCAGAAGCTGACGATGCAGCGGGGGCAGAAGCTGACGATGCAGCGGGAGCAGAAGCGGACGATGCAGCAGACACAGAACCTGACGATGCAACGGGAGCAGAAGCGGACGACGCAGCGGGAGCAGAAGCGGACGACGCAGCGGGATCAGAAGCAGACAATGAAGCAGACACAGAACCTGACGATGAGGGTGCAGAAGTCTGGGCCGGTGCGGCAGTTCCAGCAAGAGTGCAAGGACAATCAGTGATTGTCAACGTAGTAGGTCCTGTCACAGTGTATGTAGCATCGTTGAAAGTGAATGTAGTTGGTTGGGCAATGAAAGTCGTGTACGCGGTCACATAGACGGTTGCAGTAGAGGTGGTGTCTGCAAGGAGGTGAACAGCGTCGACCAAACTCAAAGCAGCAGACGAAAGATCCATTGTGAATTAAAAGAGCGAAACAAGGGTGGGTGCAAACTGAGGCGATCGCCTTTTTATACGGATCCTTTAATATCCCAACGCGCTGGCTGGCAGATCGTGCATGACATGCATGATATCCTGCAGAATGAGTAACGACACTTAGCTAAAACAGCTTGGTCTCATCACGTACTGTGGGATTAAAGTTGTGAAATACTCTGGTAAATTAGTATTTTCACTAGATACAAATGTATTCGCAACCACAATTCAAAATGCCCACTTCTTCCCCAGTCCTCTACCGAGACAGTATCTGTCGGAAGGGTCTAGTGCATATGCGTGTCCCAAAATAGAAAAGTAGAACCAGCCGTCAGTCCACAAAATGCCGGACCCCAGGTCGTAAACTTGACAAGATTCCTATTAGTTCTTCTATAGTTTCCGAGCAGCTTGATTTTATTTTACCCGCTGTTTCATCAATTGTTTCAGGTTCGTTCCCGTTTTCCTGGCAACCACTGTCTGTTTCGTATCACCCCGGGGCACCGTAAAAATAGACCCTATACCATATTAAGCCTCATTCACCAGCCCTCGCTTCAGCAGATCAGTCATGGCATCAGTGCTTTGCCTGCGCGTGCGCTTTGGTGATTACCACATTCTGGCTTGCGTGCCCAGCCACCGTCGATGGCTGGTCATCATGTCCGCTATGATCACGCACATATAAATAATAAACGTATTTGCGGAGGTGGGTCTTCCGAGTTAGCATCAACTTTTGAGTTATTTTGTTAATTATGAAGGCAAAGTATATCCCCCCTTTGGTTCTTGCCAGTCTGCACACTGCCACTGCCGAGTACCAGGACCCTGCGCTTCAGCATACTGTTATTGTTACTGTGACGGGTACCTCTTGCGAGCTACAATCTGACTCCTCGAGCTATCCAGTGGTCAATGTTGGAGGTCAGGCCTCGTACGCTCCAGCAACTACGGTTACTTGGATTCCTCCAGTCTACACATCGCAAGCTGAACACTCACCTACATCTGATGTTTCGCCAGGACCGGTCATGCCTACACAAAATCAGCCCCCTGCTGTGGCTGAGACTGCTTCACCAAATATACAGGCACCCCCTGCTACAGGTTCTGCAGAGCCTGCGCCTGCTGCCCCATCAACCAGCACTGCGCCTGCCAACACTGTGCCGGCCAACACTGCACCAGCCAACACTGCACCAGCCAACACTGTACCTGCCAATAATGCACCTGCCAATACTGCACCTGCCAACACAATTGCATTCAGCACTTCCTCAGTTGATACAGCGCCAGTACAAACACTCAGTGCTACGGATGCTTCAAGTAACCAGCCAATGGTTACATTCAACCCAGGTGTTCCTTCGGCAGTTGATCCTGATTCTACTGTCACTGTTTGGTCCACTGCACCCACCCCTGAAATCTGGGTCACCGTGTACGAGAATTCGAGCTCCACAACAACTCAGTGGACAACGTATACGCGAACGTTCACTGAACTGAACTCCACGTACACTCAGACCTTTACTACACCTGCTACTGATGCGCCAACTACCAACTGGAACATGTCCTCGACTAGTGTAGCTTCATCAGCCAGAACTGGTACTAATACTACTGTTATGCCAACACAGAGTGCTACACAGAATGCGACCTTCAGCACAGGATCAGGCAGATCATACTCCAACAGTACTGTGACAAGCCTATCAAGTCACAACACTAGTTCGATTAGCGTGGTTTCGAGTGCTTATAGCAGTATCGGAAGTTTGTCCAGTCCAATGGTGAATTCGAGCTCCACGTTGTCGCTTCTTCCGACAGTCAGCCCAATGAGCTTGAACTCGGCAGCTACTTCTGCTAGCTGGAACAGCTCGGTCAGCTCAACAGCCAGTGCAGCCAGCGCAGCCAGCGCAGTCAGCTCGGTAGCTAGTGCATCCAGCCCGGCAGTCAGCCCAGCAGCCAGCTCATCGGCCAGTTCGGCGATCAGTTCGGCGATCAGTTCGGCAGCTGGTTCAGTCAGTCCTGTTGCAAGCTCAGCCAGCCCGGCAGTCAGCTCATCAACCAGTTCGGCAACCAGCTCAGCCAGCTCAGCAGCCAGCTCATCTCTCAGCTCGGCAGTCAGCTCATCTCTCAGCTCGGCAGTCAGCTCATCTCTCAGCTCGGCAGCCAGTCCAGCCAGCTCAGCAGCCAGCTCGTCAGCCATTACGGTTGCGACCTCAACTGCCAGCTCGTCAGTTAGTCCGGCCAGCTCAGCCAGCCCAGCCACGTCTAGTCTGCCGAGTACTTCAAGCACAACCCTGAGTGTACTCGAAGAGGCTATTCGACCCAAAACCACAAGCTCTTCCATCGCGATTACGACTACCACGGTAGTCACTTCCACGATCGTCGAGACCACATCCATCCCACTCTCGTCAGTTTACTCCGCGCCGGCCGCACAAGCAGTAAGCACCGCACTTCTTAATTAATTTATACCACTAGTCTAATGCTATAAATGGATGTCCCTGGGGCATATCTTCCATAATTTCTTTGCGATGCTCGATAATCCTCAGCTCTAAATGTTTCATTGCCTCCGTGCTGCCACGTTTTCCTTTGAATCCCTTGCTAATTGACTTCGTCACAGTGCTTTTCAAGACATTCTGCACGGTCTCCAGACTGCTGGCCACTGCAGATGCTAAGCGGTTGGGCTCATGCTTGAGCCGCATGAAGTTGTCCAGTGTGAGCGCAGCAAAGAAGTCGCCAGTTCCAGAAAAGTAGGAGTCAATTCTATCAAGCTCGAAAACAACCGCCTGCTCGCCCTGAGACGAGGCAATAGTATAGAGTTTCTCGTCAACCACCACAGATGAGATGACCACATGCGGGACCTTGAACTTTTCATGCAGGCAGTCGATTACTTTTCGAACATCTTCAAAATTGTCCACTGGAAGTTCGGTTAGAGTCGAGGCCTCGAAAGCGTTTGGTGTGATCAAAGTGACCGCGCCACTCAACAAAATGTCTCTGTATACCGGCACCATGTCGGGATTGACATACAACTGGCCCTCGTCGCCCATTACGGGGTCAAGCAGCCAAACAATATCTGGATTCCGCTTGCGGAGGTCTTTCCCTATTTCTCCAACCTGGCGAACCGCCTCAGCACTCGGCAAGTATCCGTTCAAGTACGCATCATATTTGAAATCGTGCTCTTTTAGTGTGCCATAGATAGCTGCGATGTCGTCTGGTGACGTTTTTGACCCCGTAAACTTGCCGTAGCCTGTGTGGTTCGAGTACTGCACGCTGTTCAGAGTATCCACATCCCAGCCTCTAAGCTGAAGAGTTATAGTGGCAGCTCTGTTACCCACATAGCCGTGGACAACGTGGCTCTGGATCGTCAAGACCGAGTTCATACAGTGACTAAGTTCTGCTTGACCCGGGCCTAAATAGTGCAATGGCGCAGACAGGCAGACCAGCAAGCTACACTATTATCCTGATAAACAACCACTTCTGCGGTGTTGAATACTCTAACTATATTACCATAAATTCAGAAACCGATCAGTACCGTACCCCATAAAATACGTCTCGCCATCAGCTATCCAAGTTACCTAATGACAAGCGCAGGATATCCCCTATATGCGGCGGCATTTTTTGATAGAACTACCCTGGTAGTAGGTGGCGGTGGAGGTGAGGGCCGGCACGGCATAAAAAACAAATTGACGAGCATCAATGCAAGTACGGGCGAAGTACAGCAGGAATACGAACTACCCGCTGGAGAGGACAATCCTACCTGCTTAGCTGCTGCCGGCCAGCGGATCTATGTGGGGGCCAACAGAGGAGCGAAGGCGATCGAGGAGCGCAAAAACCTCCACTTGCGTGTGTTTGACAAGAATCTCCAAGAGCAGACCGCTGTCGATGCTCTCAAGTTCACTGATCCAGCCGCGTACCAAAAGGCAATTGCTGCTAGTGAGCAAATCGTTGCTGCTGTCTCTGACTGTGCCGGTGGCGGCGCCCTCCAGGTGCTTGAGAGCGGCACTTTAGACTCGTTGTGGTCACAGACGGGCGATTTTCTCGATGTAGCAATCTCGCCAGACAATGCGCTGGTGGCCGTGGTCGACTCCGCCTCGCTGGTTGTCTACAACGCTGTTACCGGAAAGCAGATCGCTAAACAAGCTAGTCCTAAGGGTGGAGCTAAATGGGTCCGCGTTACTTTCACATCCAACCTTGAGCTTATTGCTGGAGCAAACATCCCAAACCAGAGGGCCCGGATCCAGCAGCTCAGAATCCAGGACGACGTGATCAAGGTGATCCGGAGTCGAAGCGTTCCTGGAAAGTCTCTCACATGCCTCAAGTCGACCCCTCATGCTGTTGCCGTGGGCACAGCGGCAGGCGACGTTTATCTCTATACCAGTGCTTTGAAGTCGTTACGCAACCTGCGAGGAACGCTCAAGTTTCCGGTCACAGCACTGGCCATAATAGAAGACGGCGAAATAGCCACTGTTGCCGCAACGTCTCTTGATGGCTCTTATTCAATCTCCGATGTGAGCTTGAACACCTTCTCAACGACGATTTGGTGGGTGTTACTGTCGACGATTACCATCGCGTTCATTGCGTTTATTTCCGGACGTTTAATTAGCATGGACCTCCAGTATTTGAGCTTCAGAACATTAGAGCCTGCTGCCGCTCCATCCAAATATCCCGGCGACGCTGCGAACGCCGACGCCATGAGCGATTTCGAGGCATTGTTTGTCGATACCAACCAGGGTGATAATATTAGCTAGCTATTTCTCGCTGGCCGCGACTCTCGCGCCTTGTTTATTAATTCATCAAAATCTCCGTGATATTGGCTCTGCCATCTTGTCGCGTCAATGTCTTTCACACTGCTGGTGGATTGCCGATCTTGGGCAGCGTCCCAATTTCGCATCTCCTGCAGCAGGTCGCGCTTAGCCTTTGGATTGAACGACTCTAGATTAGCGTTGTAAAGATGCACATATTCCCGGTACCTCGATTGTAATCGTTGTTTGTTGCCTTTTGTCGATAGTCCGGCGTCCAGAAGGGTTTTTTTAAGTTTGGCCTCGCTCAGTAGAGCGTAGTTGGGCATGGTAATCTTTTTGCGGGGCACGGCAGGCTCTTTTACTCGCTCCTGCCGCCGCAAGCATGTATCAACGTGTGTGCTTTGTAGTTCTTCAAGTGGCAGAACCGCGGAACAAATTGGACATACCCCAGTGTTGTCGGGCAGGGCCTTTCGTTTGCTGGTTACTGGCTGATCTTGGTCCATCCGATCAACATCACAGGCAATCGAGCCACTCTCTAGCTCAGCGACATACTGACGAGCCCGTGTCCATGCCTCCGTTGCATCTGAGACTGCTATGTTGACTTTGAGCTGAGCGATTGTGGTTTCTTTCCAGCAGATAGGACATCGCGGCATCGAGTCCAGGTGACGCCGGATACACAAGCTGCAAAACGTGTGCCCGCAGTTCGTTATACAGGGACCATTGTAAAAATCCTTACAGACGTGGCACTTTAAGGTGTCTTCGAATTTAGCCAGCCCAGCGTCTCGCCATTGAATGTCCATAGCGTAAGCGATTTTGCACACCGGGTTGGAAGATGTGCAGCCAATTAAATTTTTAAGTTCTAGTGTCAATGCCCCGTATACGAGACCACGCTTTTTTGCTACGAACTTGCTTTCTAGCTAACTTTCTCTCCCCGTCCAAAAAATTTCCATCAAATCAACCACTTGAAAAAGCTCTTGCTCACCTAATACTTTGCATACCATTGGACAAGATGAGTGGTGGCCCAGTTCCCTACGGACAAAAGTACACTGCCGCATCCAGAGGCATCTGGAACAAGATTCGCGGTTGGCTTGCGATGGTTCCCAACCGGTCTAGCGGTAACGCACTGGTTGGCTACTTCCGTAACCCCGCTCCTTACAACTTGCCTTCTTCAGCAGACGACCACACAGTCGGACAGAAGCCAGCCGCTGATATCGCAGAGAATCCCTACTGGAAGCGGGACTATCGCCGTAACTACCCCAAGACCTCGGTCTTCAACCAGAGTGCCATCGCCGGTTTGCTCTCGTATGGCTCTGTCGCCCAGCCCCGGATTGCCAAGGGCGCTGAGGGTGCCAAGCAGCTCGCCACTGTTGCAAACAACGAAGTCTCGCTCAACACCGTGCTTGCCAACAAGGAGGTGCTCAAAGAAGTTTTCGAGTCATCCGGTATGCCTCCTCTTCCTCCGGCTATGAAGAAAAAGACCTACCACATCGTTACTGATGTTGAGCAGCACGGCCAGTATCCTTCTGACTATCCCGTTCGCATTTTTAACTAAATAGTATAACATTTTCGTTCTCTCGCTTCCGGTCTCTTTCTCACCACACTCATGTCTGTCAGCGCGGCCAACCCCGTTTCCCAAACCAGCTACGATAAGAACCATGAATCCTACGATAAATTCCGCCCAGGATACACAGAAGAGACGGTATCCACGGTTGTTGAGGTGTGCAAACTTAGCGAGAAGAGCCATGTTGTAGAAGTGGCTGCCGGAACCGGAAAGTTCACTGGCGAGCTGGTGAAGGTAACCAACGCGCGAATCACAGCGGTGGAGCCTTCAACTGGAATGCTAGAGTCTTTCCGCAAAAATTTCCCAAACATTGAGGCTATTCAAGCCTCCAGTTTCGCGATTCCGCTGCCTGACGCCTGTGCGGATGCCATTATTGTGGCCCAGGGGTTCCATTGGTTTGCCACGCACGAATCCTTGGCGGAGTTTGCTCGCATTCTCAAACCAGGCGGAGTGCTCTGCTGTGTATGGAATTACGAGGATTTTGATGCGTTATCCAAAGACAGCTGGCAGTACCGCACTGTCAAATTGTGTCACGGCCTCGACAAGAACGTGCCCCAGTACAACCATATGAACTGGCCCAAAGCGTTCGACAACCAGCCGTGGTTTGCTCCATATAAGGAGGTTAAATTCCCCTACGAAAAGTCTATACCCTCACGCGAGTTTTATTGGAATCTGTGGCGGACTCGGAGCTACTTGACAGCACTGGACCCTAGTGAATTGGAGAAGGTCCACGACCAGTTTGAAAAGATTATGGACGAAAGTCTAAGTAAAGAGGAAATCCAGCCCGACGGTTCGTTTAATGCCAAGCGAGGAGGCCACGTTATTTGGGCCACGAGAAACTAACTTACAGTTCGTCGTGACTGGGATCGACATGGGTCTCGCCATCGTGACGGCTAAGAACCATGTTAGTGAGGATCTCGTAGGCAAGCTGAGCACCAGCCAACGCAGTGATCTCAGCATTGTCGAAAGCAGGAGATACTTCAACAATATCCGCACCGACGAGGTTCAGGCCCGAGAGGCCTCGGAGAAGACCGATCATCTCGCGAGTTGTCCAGCCACCGACCTCAGGAGTGCCGGTACCGGGAGCCATACCGGGGTCAATGACATCAATATCCAAGGAAATGTAGACCGGGTTGTCGCCGACACGCTTGACGATTGTGTCGACGATCCCCTCAACACCCATAGTATCAATATCATCGCAAGAAATACGAGCGAATCCTTGTTTAGAATCATCCGCATAGTCCTCATAGTCAGTTCCAGAAAGACGAGTGCGCAAACCAGCATGAATGCACGAGTCCTCAGCTAACAGGCCCTCGGTATGGGCCATCCAGAACATGGTGCCGTGGGTAAAGTGACCGGAACCAGCCTCAGCCTCGGCCCATCCCGAAGGATACTTGGAGGGCAGCCAAGTATCTAAGTGAGCATCAAAGTGTATCACAGTGATGGGGCCATGGATCTGCTTCAAAGCACGAAGATGAGGCAAAACGATCGAATGATCACCTCCGAGGGTTACCAAGCGAGGCACTCTGCCATGGGTGGGGCTCGCGGTATCGTGGCTCAAGAGCTCTTTGAAACCCTCGGTCATCTGGTGCAAAGCCAGTTTGTTGTCAACGGGAGTGACTGGAATATCCTGGCAGTCGATGATCTTGGCCCAGTCCTTGTAAGGGTTGATACCAGCTCGGGCATTGAAACCTCGCAGCGAGGACTGGCGCATAGACGCTGCACGAATAGCACGAGGACCAAATCGTGCACCAGGCCGATAGGATACAGCAGTATCGAACGGCACGCCGATCAGCGCGATGTCGTATTTCGTGTTGGGATTCACGAGGCACCTGTCGGTTTCGAGATGTGCAAAGGTTGAGATTCCGCTAAAGGGCCAATCCGAACCGAAACGCGCGTCGAGAACATCTTGCTTGGTGGAAGACTTTGCATAGACGCCAGCTGCTAGTCCGAGAACCAGTGTGCTGAGCTTCATTCGTTGAATGCGGGGTAAATTAGTTCAAGATAAACCCTTTTATTTGGAGTGGAAAATAATCCAAACCTAACCCATCCGCAGGACAGCTCCTGTTGCCGAATCGGATCGGCAGAGTATCTCAACAGATTCCAGGTGAAAAACGTTGCGTAGAGCCTAAATTCGTATCTGATATGAGGGGGAAAAATCAGAAAAATGGCGAGCAGAAAATAAATAATTAAAATGCTATTTTTGATTTATACACCTTGAGGTTTTCGTTACTACCGGCAGCAGATGCCTGGTTGGGTAACGCTGCTGACCAAAAAAACAACAGATTTGAAGGTTACAGAACGGCAAAAGAAAGTTGGCTTGGAAGGAAGAACGCCGAAAAGGCAGAAGACCGGGTGGTGGTAGGAAGGTAGCGTAAACAATTAAAACAACCAGCCCGGAAGTATTATAACCCTAGGTGCTCCAATAAATGATTTTTGTAGACGATAGGGTCGCGAGTAGCAAATTGGCATCTGGTACAGCTCATTTGACGTTTTTTGCGGTGAGCATACTGGATGTGCCTGTGGAAAAATTTCTTGGAGTTGCTTGCGTAGCCACAACCACTGAAGGTGCAAACTTGGAGCTTTGCCACGTCATTTTCGGAGTCGCTTTTGGAGTCCGTTGAATGGCAAGCACTGTGCTCAGAAAACGACCCAGAAAATACAGCCGTTGTAGAAGACTCCGCTGTAGGGGAAGCCGCTGATGCCTCCGAGGGTGATGTGGCTACCTGTACCACAGGGGTGTAATAAGCGGTAGGTGGGCACAGTGCAGTATTGGAGCGCACGGGTGGAGAATGCAAAACAATATGACCAGAGTGCAGAGCTTGCTCTTGTTGCTCTAATTGGGGTTGTTGTTGCTGCTGCTGAGGGGGTAATTGTCCGATCGCGATGGGCGCAACCAGCCCCGTCTCGATGGGGATGGGCATGGGCATGTACCCCTGGTGCGAATGGGCATGAGCAATATGGTACTCATAGAGGGCACCGATATACGAGGAGTAGGAACAAATTGAGCACTTGTATTGCCTTTGCGCTGGCTGCTTCATGGGGTTGTTGCGTTTTGGCGCTAAGAATGCATCGGCAGAGAAGTTCTGGATCTCGGAAACTGGCATGTCAGGAAGACTGGCCATAGGTGGTGGTAGTGTTCTTACTTCAGGTGAGCCATATTGGGCCTGGGAATAGACCGTGTACGCTTGATAAGATAACGGTGGTGCGTATATGCCACTAACAAGCATGATCTGGGAGCGCTGTTGAGGCCAACCTGTAGATCAAGCATATATAAATGTTTTGGTCCACAAAGGCAAGGGTTTGATGTTTCGCCTAGTTGCATCCTGTCACGTTCGCATGTAAGCACCAGCCATGCATGTAGCACCTGACTATGCACCAAGAAGTTATTGCATGCAGGTATTTTAAAAGTGGCGGCGGCATGGGGGAAGGCTGATAAACAGCAAGCCCTGTCAAGATTTGGCTTAATTCAGGTATTTTATACAGCTATATGCTTCCGAGGCGTGCTCATTGTACCCTGAATGGTCTGTGTTCGTGTGTTACGTTTTAGCTGGGCGAGGGCGCGCTGGTTGTGGTGAGTGTCAGGTGCCGGCTTAATATGCATACTCCTGGACATGTTTAGACCAAAGCGGGTTGCTGAGGATGGGTAATCACGTAGGTGCGAGCTGAAGGCAAGAATGCCATGTAATCTATACGTACGGAACTGGGACGTGAAAGATTCAAGAACGCGGTATTTTAGGTGATGTCACAACCTATTCATGCTTGTCTCAATTTCTCCGACGGGCAGGCCATTCCGGACGGCCAGGGGGTCCACGAGCTCGCAGCAAGCGTTTCAAAGTCTAACCAGTAGTACTCGTAGCGGGTGGCACAGATAAAAAATCACTTTGAGTTGTAACTAGCCTTCAATTGCTCCGCCAGGGTCCCCAAATGTCACATCATTCGACCTGCATCCCCTCAGTCAACAACAAAGAGGGGTGTTGAAATTGATTAGAGGGAGCCCTTACCCCATTTGGAAAGCGGCACGAAACGGTCTGCAGGTGCGGTGCGGCGTACTTGGATCTGCTAGATCAAGGCTGTTCTAGACCATCCAACTTTTAAACCAGCCATATGCACAAATATTTTGGGATCGTTTGTTTGTTAACCAAGCACAAACTATCAGACAAGTAATAGTCTCACCCCCTATTCGTTGCATAAATCTTGCAGATGTCATAATTGTACTGCATACACATGACAGGCAAGCTGATGTTAGGGGTTGATACGAGTATCGGTGGAAACTTCAGGATTTTCAAGAAGTGTTTATAACCCCTTGAATTATAGCCTGCGACCAAAAAGCCCGAGATTCAACCCGACTAGTCCATTTTCCTAAGATAAACTTCTATCATGCATATCATACCTGCCAGGATGTGGATGCGTTGAGATTTGCACTGCTCCACCAAGAAATTATTTGTCACAAGCAGTTGACGGACAATCGTGAACGCATTGGAGCTGATTCAGCGCACATAGCGATCGCTCCACGTGCCAAAGAATGGTACTATATCTGTTATATACAAAAACTCGAACGCCAAGCTGCTCCGCTTTCGAAAGGAGAACGATGCTAACCACAAAGTAAGTAACGTCTACTTGGAATAATATCGTCTGGGCTGCATCAATGTATGACGTGTCCGGGGCAAAAGAAATGTTTGCAGGGGGACGGATGTTAGGGTAGACTTATTTACCCCAACGAACTTTATAGCTCTGGGCAGAAATAGTGCAGATAGCTGAACTGAGGTGATTCATGAGCCAAAGCTTTCAAAATGTCCCCAAAACTGCTTTCACGTGGGAGTTAAGCCCTCTTGCAGGTGCCTTAGGCCCCGCCCTGTCGGGGAAGAATCTGCTGCTCCCCTTATTTTACAAAGCATGATGGCCGACATGAAAATTCAACAGTCTATGTCGAAGTCATGGGGTTGGAATGACCTGATTTGCTCTAGTGTCCGACTCGATCTTGAACTATATTAGCGATTATTTTGGCTCGTAATCTCGGCCCTGCTCGTTTTTGAAGTTATACTCGGATGGACCAAGAAATGTTTTGACTGCAGACCTAACCACTACAGCATCCCGTCGAAGCTTTAACCCAACACCCTTATCTCAAATAATGCTGATGTTAGATATGACTAATAATCATGGGCGGTCTCTTTGGTGTGCACGTCAACTCGACCTGAATTTGGAACTCACCGCTGCAGCAGCGGGTGCTCAACCTTGTTTCCATAGTGCATTCAGAAACAGGACTAACCGATGTGTAGCTACGGCCATATATATTTCACACGAACCATTTCTATAGACCCGAGAGGATTATGTTGAAGCTGCCCCAAAAAATTCCGACTGTTTCGCGTTTGATGGCGTAAGTGCCGCCAAACCGTCGTCAGATAGGAGACAAGCAATCTCATAGTTTCACGTACACCTTACCCTACGAATGCACTAGTTCGCATCCCACTTAGGAGGTTGATCATGAATGCATGGGGTTGCATAAGCGTTTCCAGGGATTCGTACCTCACGTGTTTCATGATAATCGAGCCGTGTGTGAGCAAGATTACTGATAACCAGCAGGAGATAGGGTGATCAACTTCGATATTCTCAATTCCGCTTGAAAACAAAATCTGTACAGTTTTGACTCACATTGGCTTGGCGACTGGTTAATGCTCGCACGGCGAAAAACAAGTAACTTAGGAGCATGACTCTGAGCACACCGGACAGCCCAAGCCGAGAAGAGGCTTTTAATGTTGGCCATTGTTATGTCGGAGACGTCTTTGCGTTCGTACGCATTAACATTGAACCTCACAAAGGACGGCAATGACGTTTAACTTGGCACGGAAACGCAGCAGGGTCGGACAATCTCTCCGCTATCGGACGACAGGGTAACCATCAGCGATTCGCTAGGCTATATGCACGATTATCAAATCTATCATCTGCGAGCTAAAAGATTATCACTTTATCCAGATGCAGCTCGTAGAACTGGCGGGCGAGGTCGTAGCGCTCTTTGCTTCTGCTGCAGTGGGATTCCCGTATTTGCTCAGCTTGGAGCACACTTTCAGGCTTCAGCGCCCGAGTGGTGTCCCCAACCTTCAATGGCATCTCTGGACAGGGTGTTTTTTTTTACTGTCAGTATACTTCAACTTTCACCCAAAACCCATTCACAATCATCATCACCATTTGGTCACTGACATGGTAAAGTTTCCAAATGTCCTTATGTACAGTCTCCCTCTGATCACTCTTCTAGTATTCGTTTGTCGAATCTACGACCTGTATCTTGAGAATATGCCCAAGGATGCGGCCTGGAAAACAAAACTTTCCACCGTGGGTCTTTGGATTGTCCCTTCTGTGGTGATTGCCGCGGTTTCTACTATCGGCGCATGGATGCTCATCCACTCCCCTTTTCGACGCTCATTAATTCTGTACGGACTAGGCGGTCTTGGGATTGTTGGTTCAGTTATGTTTGCAATTGCCTGCTTGACCCAATTCACGCGCTCGTCAAAGGATGTCCAAAGCTCCTCGGTCCTGCTACACCACCTGCCTTTTCTTGTCCAGCTGCTTGGGCTCATGTGCCTGAACGTGGTCTTGGTTCTGAATTTTGTCAATCCAGACTGGATCGGCGTTATCCAGTTCGGGATCATGTTCTTGGCCAATCTCGCTTTTGTGGTGAGCAGACTGATTGTCAGATCTCGCGGTTATGCCCCAGTCATCGAAGATGAGACTGAAATTGACGAGTTCGAAGTGTAAAACAGAATTTCCACCACCCGGGTTCACGATGTCACGAACTGCTATGTAATACGACCGAAAGCATCTTATGTAATTAACGACTCCTACTTGAACGCGTGTTCACCGTAGGTTTTCCTGAGCTTAATCACATGAAAGGCAAATCCGGAGAAACGGCGGTGACTCCGCGCACCGTTTTCCAGGTGAATGGTGTGTGGATTGCACACGCTCATTCTATATGTGCAGGCTCAGCATTTTTTGTTGCTCTTTTGGTGGGATGCTACTTGCATTTCCACAAAATTGTTCAGAACGAGTACTTCGGGTACCCCCAAGAATGGTTCCCCTCTGTCTCGGCGACGATTGGCGACCGCTACCCGGAGCGTTCATTTTACCAGCTGCTTATTGCACTTACGGCAGGTCCTCGTTTCCTACTTCTGCTTTTCACGTATATTTTGACTGCCCGTGAGGGGGCCAAGGCCCCTCTGTGGTTGGTCCTTGTCGGTGTAATTCGTACCTTCACTTGCGGTGGTTGGACCTATGTCACCTCAACTGATGATCATGACTGGCATGACATTTTCATGATCTCCTATATGGTTCTTACCATCCCGTGGACGGCCCTGCGCATCGCATTGACCCCGGCTGGTAAAGCTCTTCAATGGAGAAAGTGGACAGCCACTGCGTTTTTTACCACCATTGCGCCTCTTATCTACTTTTTCATTCAGCACAAAGTCAAGCGCGTCCCTGGTGCCTACACAATCTATGCTTTCCTAGAGTGGGCTCTGATTGTGTTCGATATCGCATTTGATGCCGGAGCTATGTACGATTTCGAGGGCTTGCAGTTGAATGTCGTCGACACCACAGGCAAGCTTCGCAACTCTTCGGTTGGGTTCCTTAAAGAGTCCACGCAAACTACTCCAGAGGACAAACGTATTCCTTCCGTTGCTTCTTTCGTGGTTTCTACCATCAACTACTTTTTGTACTGGTCGGTTTTGACCTCCCTGGGGCTGGTCATCTGGTATTTCCCCTTGTGGTATATGGGTATTTCTGGCTATGAGGCTCTTTTGCTTTCGATCGTGGCCACTTTCCTTCTGGTGATTCCTCCTTTCCGGCGTTTACTAGTCGCTCTGCCCCAGATCGCTTGGCTCGGTAACGCACTTGGAATTGCTGCTGGTTATGTGCTCGCTCCCTCAGACCGTGTGTTGGTGGTCGGCGCGGGTGCAGCTTTCGGTGCTATTTCCTTCGCTATCCAGACCTACTCTGCTGCTCACCGTCCTGCTGGTTTCTCTGCGGCCAACGGAGCTGCATTTGTTCTTGGGTTGCTGCTTTCTGCGGTTGCCAAGATGTACTTGTGGACCAATAACCCCATTTGGCCTATTATGAATGAAAACAATGGTGGTTTCGTTCGTGTCGGTGTGACTGTGGCTATTTTTGCTGCCTTGTTCACCAACGTCGGGGAGCCTACGCCTTCAACTGCTGTAAAGGCTAACCGTGAGAGCTCTATTCTTTCCGGTTTGGGCCTTGGTGCCGTTGTATTCATTTTCCAGACATACTTCTCTGATGGCTCTACTCTGCCGCTCTGGGTCTGGGAGGGTTATCCCGTTCGGGGCCCTACTCCTTTGCCCCATGGTTTGGTAACTATTGCAGTTGTCGCTTTGGGATTATATGCTGGACTGGCCTATCGTAACATCCTTTCTACAAAGTACTTGCTTTTTGCTCACCTTGCTACTGCTGTTCTTTGCTTGTTCAAGCATTGGTTTGGGTACGCTGGTGGTCTGGTCCTCGGTGCTTACACTGGCGCTGTTGCACCATCGCTACTTGAGGCTGCTGGACGCCATACTCCTTGGCGTTCCTTCGGCATTGGCATGCTTGTTGTTGTTCTGTTCATGCTCGCTGAGACTTGGACGGTGGCTTATGCTTTCGTGCCCGGCGGACCAGCTCTCCGTGAACGTACCTGGGCAGTTATGGTTGCCCACCAGGTATGCTTGACTGCTGGTGTTATCAATGCTAAGCGTGTCAGACTCGATACTGCTACACGTGCTGCCGGCCGTGGTCTCGCCAAGGTTCTGCGTCTCACTATGGCTGGTATCACGATCGTTCTGGCGTTGGGATCGCTGGTTACTTATCAGCGCCTGCAGCACGTTGTGCCTGCTCCTGTTCACCCTGAAGAGAAGTTGCTGACTGCGGGTATCTGGACTATTCACTTTGGTTTGGATAACGACATGTGGGCTGCCGAGGTCCGCATGAGAGATCTGATCCGTGATGCTGAGCTTGATGTTATTGGCTTGCTTGAGTCAGATACCCAACGTACGATCGGTGGCCATCGTGATATCACTCAGCGTATTGCAGAGGAGCTTGGTTTCTATGCCGACTACGGCCCCGGCCCGAACAAGCACACCTGGGGTGCTGCTTTGCTGTCGCGCTTCCCTATTTTGAATTCCACTCATCATTTGATGCCGTCGCCCGTCGGCGAGCTTGCTCCAGCAATTCATGCTACTCTTGATGTCTATGGTACTCCTGTCGACATTGTTGTCTTCCACTCTGGCCAGGAAGAGGATGTTGAAGACCGTCGCTTGCAGACTCTTGGTGTTTCGACCATCATGCGGAATGCCGTCAACCCTACCATCTTACTTTCGTACCTTGTGACCAAGCCTCATGAGGGCAATTACAACACGTATGTGTCTGAGTTCTCTGGTATGCACGATATTGATCCCAGCGACGATTGGGATCGTTGGTGCGAGTACATTTTGTACAAGGGTATTAAGCGTACCGGTTACGCCCGTATCTCACGCTCTACTATTACTGACACTGAATTACAGGTTGGCAAGTTTGTTGTCGGGGAACCTCCTTCCTATGAAAATGCACGCATCGAGGAGTCGGCTGTCCCTGTAGGACGTCAATTCCCTCAGATGTTCCGGGGAGATGGCGTTCGTGGTCACCGCTATCACGTGTTTGACGAACCCAGATACTTTGCTTGAGCAAGACTTCAAAAGGACCCAAAAATAAAAGTTAAAAGCCTATGTACGTTTCTCTCAACCCTACCCCCAACACACTTGGCTGAGTCAAGTAAAGTAATAAAAAGCCCTGCACCCTGCAAATCACCTGCGCCTTACTTTTGAGGCAAGCGTTGGTTTTTTGAGGTTTTAAAAAAGGTTGACGCAATAGAATGCGGCTTGTTTCCTGGCTTGTGACACCATTGAGTTGGCTTTGGTTTTCTGACGAGGACTCTGTTGCAGAGTATGCTCCTTTCGGGGATAGCGGAGTGGAGTCGTCGTATTTCGACCGCTTCAGCAACGAAGTCGTAGTTGAGTTCACTTTGTCGGGCTCGCGGGACAGTCGGGTCATATCGGAAACTGCCTTGACGCTGTTGAGCGATGTCTGGGTACTCTCTCCTGATCGTGCTCTGATTCGACTAGACCGAGCCCAACTGGAAGACTTTCAGCGGCTGCTCCCGTCTCCTCTTCCAGTGACCACTGTGATTGGTGACATACCTCGGGCAGTTGTTACAAGTTATCCGTTGACAAGGAAATCCAAAGATCCCCGGCGAGAGTTTCTGCCATTTGCGGAAACCCAGGCCTTGGCCAATATGTCCATTGGTAGTTCTTGGGAGGGACTGCCTATCGGAGCCCGTCTGACTTCCGACACAGATCTCCTTGTAGTCTGTGGTTTGCAAGGCCGTGAATGGGCCTCCGTAGCCCTCTGCCTCCAACTGATGGAGGAGCACCCCGAACTGTCGATTGTCCCAGTGGCAAATCCGGACGGGTATATTTATTCTTGGGAAACAGACCGACTGTGGGTGAAAAACCGGCAGCCAACTGGAATTAATCTATGTCCAGGCCATGATATTGCCACAGCAGCGTTTGACATCGAGCCACCCTCCTCGGTTCCGCCCTGTTCAGACGACTGGGCAGGCCGAGGACGGCAGACGCCCTTGGAAGCAAGAGCGATTCGTGACGTTGCGGCCCGATTTAGCCGCTTGGTCGCAATTCAAGGTCTTTCGGGATCGTCAAATACCCAAGTGAGTCTCAGAGGTAATTGGACAGTTTTAAGTGTGCCTGACTTTGGTATGGGGTATTTATTGCCCAAACGGCACATTGATGCGAATTACCAAGAGATTATGGCCGTGCTACAAAAGCTACTCTGATCTGTTGTGCTGTTGTGACTCACTCAAATGTGGTTCAGACCCCGAAACCCAGACGTAGATCGGCCCGAGAGTGAAGCAAAAGCCGACGACGAGGCGGAGCGCAAACTGTCCTGTGCTGAGCATCGCGCGGCTCGTCGCGCCGCCAGAGTCCAGCGGCGACATGAGAGATTGCTGCGCTGGCGTAGTCGATTTCCTCAGTTCCGATTCAAGCACACTAGCAACAACTCCACCCCAACCACCGAGAATAGCAGCCATCTGTCTCGGGAGAGCACCGTTATACAATTACCTATCGACTCTTTAAAAAAACTACAGCTAAAGACAAAATTGAAGCTGAGCGCCGAGCGTGCAGTCGACTCCAACTCGCCGCTTCCTGCACAACCGTTGTCCCACCCAACCGAATCGGAGATAAGCGTGACTGCGGGAGGCACCGACAGCGAGTCGTGGGTGTCCACAATTGACGGAGCGGGTCTCACTAAGTGACTAAATGGTGCTCAATGCATAGGTGTGGGTACATAATTAGTATACAAACTCAATGACCCGCCTGACAAGCGTGAGTACCTGGTGACTCCCCTCCCCCATTCAAGATCTACGGTCTCATGCAAAAATTACGTCATCTGCCGCATCCCGTGCCATAAACAGGTCGAATCTGTGAGTTTTTTTTCCCCTTTGTCCCGCGAAATAGTATCCTGGCCATTTGTTGACCATGAGTGGCTATATTGCTAAGATTGGTATACTCAAGAGAAAGATCGAAAGAGAGGACAAGCAGGACACGTATATGTCCAGGCTGCCTCGGTGGATAGGACACTTTCTCGGCCATCGAGAAGAGCCGTGGAAGAACCCGCCGCTGTGGATCCACTCGATTTCGGTGTTGCTGGTCACATTTGCTGCTATGATCTGCCACGAAGCCATGTTTATCTACGGTCCCGTGCTCAAAAACTGGCATTCTCCTCCGCTGCTGCCAAGTTTTGCTGCTGCAGCTATTCTGTTGTACAATGTGACGACAGTTCCTCTGGCTCAGCCGAGAAACTTCTTGCTGGGAACTATTCTATGCTCGATTATAGGCGTGGCTATCTGCAAGTTCTTCATGGTCCATCACAACCAGGAGGACCACTTGTGGATTGCTGGTGCACTGGCCGTAGCAGTAGCATCTATGGTTATGGACATTACAGGCACCGTCCACCCTCCAGCTGGTGCAGCGGCTATCTTACCGTGCATGGATGATAGTGTGCGACAGCTGGGATGGAAGTACTTGGCTGCTGTTTCGTTTACTCTGTTGCTGTTTATGGGCATTGCTCTTTTACTGAACAACATTGTTCTCAGGTATCCAAGCTACTGGTGGAAGCCCAAGCCCCAGCGCTTGATAGCGGTCCCGCCCAAAGAAGAAGAAAAGCAGGTCGATCCCTTTCAAATCGTGATTCGACCTGATCGGATCGATTTCCCTACCGAGATTGAGTTCGATGAGTTCGAATTAACCTACCTCGACACTATGCAGAACAAACTTGCCGAGATGATGGAGGAGAAGCTGTCAATACGGACGGCTCGAACTCGATCGTTCCCGTGATCGCTGTCGGTAGTTTTAATTTATTTCTTAGTCTACTCTGTAATTTCGTAAAACAACACACTGCATGTCTCCATTGCCGCCGTATATCGTTGCTCTACATCATATATACGCGGTCCCGGGTAGTATGACTGAGATCGATGGCCAGCACCACCTGCTCGAGGCCCACCCTGGCTGCTACACAGAGGGGTAAGCGCACCGAGGCAATCGAGGAGTGGTGAGGCGTGTTTGCATATTCGACGACTGCATCCCCTCCAAACTCTATTGCTGAGATTTCTGCGATCGCCCTAAGCTATGCTCTTACCCCAGATTAGACCGTTTTTGGTCGTCATTCCAGTGTGACCAACATGACTAGATGGATTCTCGCACTGCATGCAGCAACTGGCCGAGCAGGCATGCACGGTTAAGCGTTATTTCTTGTTTGGCATTCCTTGGTAGCCCGTCCGACTGTGCCCGACAGTATGGAAAGATTACTTCGGCCGCGCCCCCAAGTGTCCTCTGGTCGGGTCGTGGATGCTCTTACTCCGCTTTTCGTGTCTGTGCTGTGGGCGGAGTTGCATAAATCATGCATGCTTAGTTGCGGCGGTTAGTGGCGACCGAGCCCCGTCATTCAGCCAGGAACCCCCAACCCCATATATAGCTGACTCCTCGAACAGCAGGACCTTTTCCTCCACGAAAACGCACACTACTCAACATGCTGTTTAAGAACATTGTGATCCTTCTTGCAGCGGTAGCCGCGGCGGCTCCTTTGGAAGCCCGTGAAGCTCAGCCAGAGACCGTCGCCAACACGCAGGACTATTTGATCATTTTCAGAAAGGGATTCGACACGCCTGACCGACTAGTCCGTGCCCTGTCCAACAACCTCAAGTCTTTGGGCGCCAAAATCAACTTCGAGTACCACACGGTCATTAAAGGTTTTGCTGTTTCCATGCCCAAATCCCTTGTGGACGAGGTGGTTGCCCTCAGTGACTCAGAGTTCCCCTTCGTGGTCGAGGAGGATAAGGAGGCGCGTCCGTTGATCTGATCTCCGCCTGAAAGCCGCTCAACATTATCATAAGCATTGCCACTTTGTCTAGTCGACGATGGCACCCAGCGCTGGCCATGCTCGCCATAGCAAGGCCGAGCCCACTCTGACGTTTGGGCCGATCAAAAGTGCCGGGACGTGCTCGACACTTCTGATATTGCTCCTCTCTTACCTTTATATTTATCCTATTCATTCGCTATTTCGTCCCAGGTCTATAAAATTAGACTAGCTAAACATTGTTATCTTAAACCTTTCTCCGCACGACATTGAACGGCTTCAGCTTCAGTCTCTCTCGAGGTTGATTGACTTGCCAAACTTGGCGTATAGTTGGCTTTTGAGCTCCGTCATGCGCTCGCTACAGGCGTCTGCGTCGGCTTGACGTTTTGAAATTTTCTCATCAAGCTCCTCGTGCTCTCGCTCTAGTCTCTCCATGACTTCCCTCTGCGGCAGCGAAACCAGCGCGTCGCCAATCTTGTAGGGAACCAACTCATCTTCGTCTACTAGTTCAAGCTCCAAACTGACGTCGTCGATCAGCTCTTTGTCCTGGGCAAGATTTTTCAGGGCCTGTTCATGCTGGGATAGTTGAGTATTCAGTTTAGAGAATTCGTTGATCTTCTTTTGGTCTTCCCAAGCTACCTCACTCATAGTCGGGTCTTTTTCCTACGCTTAACTGGTGAAATGCTTAGGTCTCTGAGTGCCCTGACAAATGCTCCAGGAGTTTGAAGGAGTTCTCAGAAGACTGGTCGGTTTGCGAACTCCAGCAAAACTGGCACTTTCTGTGTCAGGTGGAGTAGACTCAATGGCTTTGGCTGGGCTGGCTTCCCAGTGGTCCAAAACTCGAGACGTCCGGCTGTATGGGTATATTATAGATCATCATGTTCGCGACGGATCGAGTGCCGAAGCTTCGCTGGTCGCCGACCGGTTGGCTGGCCTTGGAATCGAGCCCAAAATCCTGGACTTGCATGCGAATTTGGTAGAGCCCTCGGTAATGGAAAAATACGCTCGAGATGGCCGTCGCAATCTGCTGCAAAGGGAATGTGTGAAAAATGGTATCCATCACATCCTGCACGGTCATACTCTCGATGATCAAGTTGAATTATTTATTATGCGGTTTCTAATGAGAAGCACGACCTACGGACTAGCAGGAATGCACCCAGAATCGTTTCTATCCATCAGAACCCCGCCCGATCAGTATCCGATCAAACTTTTGAAGCCTCTTCTCACGTTTCGAAAGAAGCAACTGGAAGAGTACTGTCTGGATCAAAACATTCAGTGGATAGAGGACCCGTCTAATCGCGATGTTACCCTAACGAAACGAAATGCAATCCGAGCGTTTTTAGCGTCCCCTGACATCCCAACCGCGTTCTCTTCAGACAATTTGATTCCTTTCATCGCAAAGCTACAAAAGCTTCGAGAAACAACATTGACTCAAGCGAAACTCGCATATCTGCAACTACGCAATTCAGGTGATTTGTACTATAAACAAGGTGCTTTCACGCTGAAACCCGTCAAGGTGTATGATGCGCTTCCCCCCGACGTCAAAGAACAATTGACCCTTTTGATCCTCTCCCTGGTATCGCCTTTATCGGTCGAGCAGCTCTTTTATCGTCGCCAGGCAATCCATAACTACGTCAAGCTGCCCATGGACCGGAAATGGACGTTACTCGATGTAGCCATCTTCCCTATGGACGGGCATCTTATTTTCAAACGCGGGAGACCTAGAGCCCAAAAAAGCTTGGAGTATACTGTTCACAAAGCCACGAAAGACTGGTCGGAGTGGAAACTAATAGACAATCGGTTCTGGATCAGGTGGAAACTGCCAGCCACCCACGAAAAGTCCGAATGCAATATCAATTCCCGACTGTTGTACTCTACAGCAAACACCAAAACAACCCTGTCCAAAATTTTTGGCTCGGACATCAAGCCAAGCTATGAACGCCAGACACATCCATTGTTTATGTTTGATGATCCAGAGGACCCTTACACTTTAAGGTCTGACCTAATAATCGGCTATCCTACGCTAGGTTACTGTCGAGGTTTAAATATGGAATGGCAGCCCGTGGAGATCGTGTTGTAGCTTATCAACTTTTCAACCCATCAATGCCTCTAACCGAGCGTACTAACTTACTACCCCTAGTACTCAGTGACTCAAAGGAATTAGTCATTGGCTGGAAAATTGTACATAATTCATAGTGGGAGAAAAGTGATTGTATTACAATTTCTGCGTCATGAACTTCCCCAAAGAAGAGGAGAAAGTTCTGGAGTTCTGGAAGGAAACTGATGCCTTCCAGACTTCGCTGAAAATGACGAAAGACCGTCCACGTTTCGTATTCTACGATGGACCTCCCTTCGCTACAGGCACACCCCATTACGGTCATCTTTTGGCTTCGACCATTAAGGATATTGTGCCCCGTTACGCCACCATGAACGGCTACTTTGTAGAGCGCCGTTTTGGTTGGGATACACACGGTCTTCCTGTCGAGCATGAAATCGACAAGAAGCTTGGCATCACCTCCAAGGAAGATGTCATGAAAATGGGAATTGAGGCATACAACAATGAGTGCCGAGCCATTGTCATGCGCTATGCTGAGGACTGGCGCTACGTAGTCGGTCGTCTTGGCCGTTGGATCGACTTTGACCGTGACTACAAGACATTGTACCCTTCATTTATGGAGTCGGAGTGGTGGGCCTTCAAGACCCTGTTCGATAAGGGACAGGTTTATCGTGGTTACCGTGTCATGCCTTATTCTACTGGTTGCACAACTCCTTTGTCCAACTTTGAGGCCCAGCAGAACTACAAGGACGTTCTTGATCCGGCCGTTTCTGTTGCTTTTCCCTTAGTAGACGAGCCGGAGACATCTTTTGTCGCTTGGACTACTACCCCATGGACGCTGCCTTCAAACCTGGGTCTTGCTGTTCATCCTAACTTGGAGTATGTCAAGGTTCGCGATGAGGCTACTGGAAAGCAGTACATTTTGCTCGAGAAATTACTCACCACCATCTACAAGAACCCCAAGAAGGAGAAGCTCACTATTTTGTCTAAAATGAAGGGTTCTGAGCTTGAAGGCAAAAAATACGAGCCTCTGTTTAATTTCTTCGTCGAGCAATACCCCAAAGCTTTCCGCGTCGTTTGTGCAGACTACGTCACTGACGACAGTGGTACCGGTGTTGTTCACCAGTCCCCTTGCTTTGGTGAGGTCGATTACGAGAATATGATTGCCGCTGGCATAACCAGTGTTGAGGACCCCGGTCCCGCTCCTATTGATGATGCCGGTCGCTTCACCGCTGAGGTCAAGCCCTGGGCTGGTGTATACGTTAAAGATGCCGATCGTCAGATCGTTAAGGAGATCAAGTCTCGTGGCAGACTTGTTCATGACGCACAGGTTATGCACTCGTATCCATTCTGCTGGCGTTCGGACACCCCGCTTCTTTACCGTACCGTTCCTGCGTGGTTCATCCGTGTAAAGGAGCTGGTCCCTAAGATTCTTGACAACCTAGAGAAGACCCACTGGGTCCCTGGCAATATCCGTGAGGGCCGTTTCGGTAACTGGATCCGTAATGCTCGTGACTGGAACGTTTCGCGTAACCGTTATTGGGGTACACCCCTCCCCGTTTGGGTCTCCGACGATTACTCGGAGATGGTTTGCATTGGCTCCATTGCTGAGCTTGAGGAACTATCTGGTGTGTCTCCCATCAAGGATTTGCATCGCGAAACTATTGATAAAATCACCATTCCCTCAGAGAAGGGCAAGGGCACCCTCAAACGTGTTGAGGAAGTTTTCGACTGTTGGTTTGAGAGTGGTTCTATGCCTTTTGCTTCTAACCACTATCCTTTTGAAAACAAAGAGAACTTTGACAACTGCTTCCCTGCCGATTTCATTTCGGAGGGTCTCGATCAGACCCGTGGTTGGTTTTACACTTTGACAGTTCTAGGAAACCACTTGTTCGGTACATCGCCCTTCAAAAACTGTGTGGTTACTGGTATCATTCTCGCCGGTGATGGTAAGAAAATGTCCAAGCGCCTCAAGAATTACCCCGATCCCACTGCTGTCTTTGATAGCTATGGTGCCGACGCTGTGCGTTTGTATCTTATCAACTCTCCTGTTCTTCGTGCTGAGGCCCTCCGATTCAAGGAGGAAGGTGTCCGTGAGGTCGTGTCCAAGGTCTTGCTTCCCTGGTGGAACTCTTACAAATTCTTGGAGGAGCAGATTTCGCTGTTGGCCAAGACCAGCAATGTCAAGTTTGAGTACTCTCCTGACCGTGTTTCCTCCAACGTTATGGACAAGTGGCTTATGGCTACTCTCCAGGACTTGATTGAGCATGTCCATACCGAGATGAAGGTGTACCGCCTATACGGTGTCGTTCCTGGTCTGCTCAACTTTATTGATAACTTGACCAACTGGTACATTCGCCTCAACCGTTTGCGTCTCAAGGGTGAGAATGGCGTCGAGGACACTTTGGATGCGTTGAATACTTTGTTCGAGGCCGAATTCGTATTTGTGCGCGCCATGGCTCCTTTCACACCGTTCTTGGCCGAGACCATTTACCAGAAACTCAAGCCCACTCTTCCTGCCTCGTTCGGTGAAAGCAAGGATATCACATCTGTCCATTTCTTGGACTACCCTCAACGCCGTAGTGAGTTGGTCGATGAGACCACCAAGCGCGCTGTTGATCGCATGCGCAACGTCATCGATTTGGGTCGCGCCATTCGTTTGCAAAAGACCATTTCTTTCAAGGTTCCCTTGAAGACTTTGGTCGTTCTTCACCCCGACGAGTCGTACCTGGCTGACGTCCGTGCGTTGGAGTCGTTTGTTGTTGATGAGCTCAACATTGTTGATCTCGTGCTCACCAGTGACGAGAAGAAGTACGGCGTTGAGTATCGTGCTCAGGCCGAGTGGCCCGTTCTCGGCAAGAAGCTCAAGAAGGATGTTGGTCGCGTTAAGAAGGCTTTGCCCTCGTTGTCATCTGAGGACGTCGAGGGCTATCTCAAGACCGGTAAGGTTCTTGTTGACGGCATCGAGCTCGTTGAGGGCGACTTGCAGGTAGTTCGCGGTTTGTCGGAGTCGGCGACCGGTGCTGGCAATGCTGTCAACAGCGACAATGATGTTTTGTTGATTCTAGACACGACTATTTACGAGGATCTCGCTACCCACGGCACTACTCGTGAATTTGTCAACCGCGTGCAGCGCTACCGCAAGAAGCTTGGCCTCAAGACCACAGACGAGGTCAAGGTTCAGTTTGAAGTTGTCAAGAATGACGATATCAATCTCGACCAATGCCTGAGCCTGAACCCGGAGCTTCTGCAGAAGACTATTCGGTGCCTGCCCGAGAAGTGGGCCGACTGCGACGCGGCCAAGGTTATTGGCGAGGAGGAGCAGACTATTGGAGACACCGTCTTCAAGCTGCGTTTACTGAAAATGTAGAGCTTGTAATTAATCTATCCCCGTTTCATCAACTGCCAGCCTGTCCAAGCTAATTGGGGTGCATATCGGCTTACATGCAACGATTCCAGAACCCACGTGCATGAGAAGCGGTGACCAACATAAATGCAGTGGTTTACGCATTTTGCCACCAAATAAAAATGGCATTGTTACGGTCCGCTATAATAGCGCTGATATTCTACCTGCCGAAGCTAATACCAGAGCGTAAATGCACGTTCTTGGGCAAAGCGGTGGCGTGCCTCCCCGATTCTGGACTGTGCCACTTTTGGGACACAGTCGAAAGATGGTACCAACAACCAGCCGTCTGTTAGTTTCGTATCTATATATATTTATCTCCGTAGTGTCTTTAAATCAGACTTGAATCTCTCTGGCTTTGTCATGAAGGCTTTGCAGCAGTTGAGAAAACAGGCAGCGTCCTGTGGTGCTCAGAGTGCGAACTACGCCAAGTGCGTGATTGGAAACTCTGAGAACATCTCTCATAATGTCTGTGCCAAAGAGTTTTTAGAGTTTGCAAAGTGTTTGGGCCGCAAGTGAAGCTCTCACAGCAGCTCTCTATTTGACACCATGCTCTCTACGAGTCTTTCAGCGTATCGTACCAGCACACCATCTTCAATAACGGTCACTGAACAATTTCGACACGGAGATCCAAGCAAGTGCCCCTTTCTACCAACGTCAATGCGCTTTGTCGCGACTAGAGCCTCCAATAAGTTGATCAAGGCTCCACCATGGGAAACAATGAGGATGCTATCGACTTCACTGGCCTCAGCGTCGGAAATGACTTCATCCCAAGCATTTAGCAGTCTACTCTTAAACTGTCGTTCATCTTCTCCATAATCCATGATAGTTTTACCCATTTGTGCAGCGTGGGTCTTGGCTTTGTGAAATAGTTGATCTTGAATCTCGCCCATGTATCTCTCACGCAGGCCCTTGTTCAGCACAAGAGGGATATTCTTTTCGGTGATGATTGCTGCGGTTTCGGAGGCCCGGGCAAGGTCGCTGGAGTACACCTTTCCAAAGTCTGCTTCTAGCTTTGTAGCGACATCTCTTGCCTGCTTACGGCCATTTTCATTTAGAGGCACGTCAAGTTGACCCTGGATTCTTCTAATCTTGTTATAATCTGTTTCTCCGTGTCGTATAAGCGTCACTCTCATTTGTGAAAAAAGCCAATTTAAAACCTCCGGCAAACTGCGAAGTCACTCTCCCGCTTACATCATCTTTTCCCGTGAGGTTTGTTTACATCAACATGGACGAAGCGATTGACAAGGCAAAAGCGCGTGTAAAAGCACTGTGCGAAGAGATAGGGCTGGATGAAAGGGACGTTAGTGTGAGAGTTCGTGAATTGGAGAACGCTGTCGATAACGCGTTGAGTATATACGTCGGGGTCGTCTTGCAAGAGATTGACGAGATGCGCGATCACTGTACACGACTCTACGAAGAAATCAAAACCATGCAGACTCAGCTGAGCGATGTTGACTTTGATGCGCATTTGTCTGAGATCAAAGCGCCCTATTTGCCGGTTGCCCGTGAATTGGAGGCTACTAAAACCAAGTTGTTGGGATGGCATACCCAGCGATCCAAGCGATCGGTTGCCGCTTCGAAGCGAATTGTAGAATTAGAGAGTGCTCTCGAGGAAGAAAAGACAAAGCTACCGACAGACCTGTCTCAAAACTCTATTTGCGGCATGGAAGCGCGTGTGGCTGATCTGATTCGAATGCGAGATTCGCGTGTCGCTTTGATGGATAAAGTGGCCTCAGAAGTAGAAGACTTGTGGTCGGATTTAGGGATTCGAGGTCAAGGCGAGCTCGCGGAATTCGTTGCTACTTATCAAACTAATCCTGATCCTTGGCTAGGCAAGAGTGGGGTTGACCATCTCCAGACCCAAGTTCAATCGCTGAGAGACGAGCTCGAAGCAAGAAAACAGCAGACGAACCGTCTTGTGAAAGAGTTGCAGTTCCTTTACGAAATGCTGGAAATCCCACCAACTGACCAATCTAGCGCTCTCACGCAAACGGTCTTTTCCGAAGAGCGACTGGCAGGTTTATCAGACGAGTTGCAGCGGCTCCAAGAGGCCAAGGTTGCTCACATGTCCAAGTTTATTGAAAAGGCAAAAGCCCGGCTCCGAGAGCTCTGGGAAAAAATGTACTTTTCTGAAGAAGAGACAAAGCAGTTTGCCCCATACCACTCTTCTGAATGCTCTGAGGAGATTTTGAAAGCATGCCAAGACGAAATAGCTCGGATTGAGGCGTTGGTGCGCGACCCGGAACGACTACATTTGTTTGCGATGGTTCACCGTCTTAAAACACTGCAAGCTCGTGAGATTGAGCTGGAGAGGATTGAAAAAGATCCTTCGCGATTCAACAAGCGCGGCAAAGAACGGCTTGAAGAACAGAGAATGCGATCTAGTGTCGCCAAGAAGCCCGAGGTGGTCAGAGAACTCAAGGTGAGTTTAGAGAAATGGCATGAAAACCACGAGCCTTTCTTAATCTACGGCAAACCTATAATTGATGAAGTTCTGGAAGAGGAAAGCAAGTTGTTATATCGCCGGCCTCGGCATTCGCGAGACAGCAAGCCAGCTGCTCCCCCTGTTCGCGCTGCAGCACCACGCGTTCAGGCTGGGCGGGTCGAAAAACGGCCACTAAGAAAACCCGTGGTTGCTCCCGCGGCTGCGTTACGACGACCAAGTGCAGCCGTCCAGCGTGCGCGTCAGCTTGAATCCCGCCGGCCTCTCGGACACACTCAGTTTAATCGCTCACCACCCACCAAAGAGACTCGGCGATCGGCGTTTATTGCAGACAGCAGTTTCGATGACCCACAGATGGAAGTCTGGAGACAAAAACGAATGCTGAGCCGCCAAATTGGGTCCAACAAATAATATATAACCGTACCTACTTATTTATTACCTCCTTTGTTCTTAACTTTCCCCTCTTAGATTATGTGCGAAACGCTCTCCTCGCTCCCAATATAGACCATATAGGGTTCATGTAAGCTCTCTGTTAAGGATATATTGGGTAAACAGGTGATCCAACGCAATTTAAAGTATTCAAGAGCCCACTATTATCCAAGCTAGTTGATAAAGCGAGATTGTAAACAGAATAATGCAGGCTGCACCAAACCGAGGACGGCAACCTGACCAAGCTCTCAAAATATCTGGAGAAACGATTGCCAGGGCTAGCCGATCGCCGGTAGCTTGCTTTGCTGGACGTCCCAGTGCTCCAAGCGCAGGCGTGGGCATGGACAATGTGTTTGATGCGATGGAGCGTGAGAACGAGGCAGTGGTCAATAAGCTGCAGCGGGAGATTTGTGCCCTCAAGGAGGGCTCGCGGTCAAGGTCCACATCGGTCAGTAGCGCGACGTCGGCGCGCTCGACATCGACCTCACGCACTTCTGGCCTTCCGGATCGCCGTACCAGTGATATTGAAGCGGTCACCCAACTCAAGCGCGAAAACGAAGCTTTACACAAGAAGATCGCTAAGCTAACTGCCCTTTTACAGGAAAAAGAGCTGGAGATCGAAAAATACCGGACCCAATTGGGCTTAGCCAAGTAGATTCAGCACCTATTTAACCGGATTATCTATTTAAAACTTCCCCGATGGCCAATTGTAGTTATGGTACTCGGACAGGGCCGCGAGCGCTTCGTCGACCAACGCCGGATCGGGATTGGTTTTGGAGTTCGCCAGCACCGCGTCGATCTCTTGCTGCGACCGCAGTCCGATCACGGTCGGACCATTCCAATTGGCAAAAGAATACTGCACGGCCACGTCTGCAAGTTCCACTCCTCGCGAGGCGAAGCTCTTGGCAAGCTTATCAGCCGCCTCCCGCAGTCCTTGATCTGCAGGGTGGAACTCGTGGGTGCGGCCGGACCGCAGTAATGACATACTGAGAGGCGAGGCATTGAGCACGACTTTGACCCCCGCAGCCTTCAGTTTGTCTGCATATTGGAGAAGCAAATCACATTGAAGAGTCAAATTGCAGTAGCTCAAAACAGCGTCGATCTGCAGCCCGCGTTGTCTGGCCAATTCGGCAATTTCCACCAGGTACTTGACGGGATAACCGGAAAAACCAATATAGCGCACTTTGCCTTCTTTTTTCAAGGCAGTGGCTTCTGTCAAAGCTTCAATAGCTTGTTCTTCCGTCTGGAACTCGACATCGTGAATATACAGCAGATCAACATAGTCTGTGCCAAGACGAGACAACGAGCGCGTGACCGACTTTCGAATGGCCGCAGTGCTGTAATCGAACTCATCAGTTTCCCAGCGACCCGCCTTTGTACACAAAAAATACGAGTCTCTGGGAAATTCGTCTTCTATGTCCGAAAGAGCTTTGCCCACAATATCCTCGCTTGGGCCGTAAAATGCAGCGGTGTCAATGGCGCGAAACCCTTTTCGTAAAGCATACCGAATCACCTCGCTGGGGTCCGGAATCGCGGGGTCTCTATACTGCGTGTTGAACGCACCCGCTCCGTATACAATGGGTCCGATTTCGTCAATGGCGTACATGATGATGACAGATGAATGCATGGAGAACTAAACTACATAAAAATTAAGTGAACGCAGACCAAAACCGTTGTTCATCGTCTCCGCTGAACTTTAATAGAATTGATAGAACCGGGAGCAATTGTTTTCGTTGGTCCTTGTGCTCGAGGAAGCCTAGGATAACGTTCTTGATGTACTCTTCTTGCTCGGAAGACTTTGTCGGACCCGACTCCTGGGCTATGGACGACGAGCGGCCTCGTAGCTGAGTGTTTTCTTGTCTCAAAGCATCCAGATCGTCATTTAAAGACCTCTGAACCTTCTGCAACCGTTCAAGTCGTAATTGGGTGTCTTCGCTGACCTTCTTGAGCAGGGCATGCGCACGAGAAATCTCACGGGCGTTAGATTCGGAAGCTTCCAGCTGGCTTCGTAGAGAAGAAACCTCTTCCTGCGCTGCTTTTGAAGACCCTTGATCCGCATTCAGCTGGTTCTGGAGGCTATCAACCTTCCCACGCAGCTCTCGGGCTTCTTCTTGGTAACGGGCTCTTTCTTTTTCAGCAGCCTCCAGCTGGGCACTTGCATCGTTGACCCTTGCTCTCAGCTGCTCTGTTTCACGAACAAGCCGTTGTCCAAGGGCAGCAACTTCTTGCTCAAGTTGATCCCGTTCATCTCCTAGCGTCTTCACAGAATTCCGAGCTTCTTTGAGTGCACTATCGTGACCATCGGCTCTTTCAGCCAACATTTGACGCATGCTTGTTGTCTCAAGTAGTCGTTCATGGGCTAATCTTTGCGCATCAGCAAGCTCGTCTCGAAGAACATCGATTTTAGCCGCTGATTCGGAAACCCGCATGCCCAGCTCATCAACTTGGCGGCGGAGGCCATCTTGAGCAGCAGTGGCTGCCTTCGCCATAGCTTCAGCATCGTTGACTTTACTCTGCATTCCACGAATTTGCGAGAGCAAGTCCGCCCGCTCTTTTTCTAACGAACTCCGGGTGCGCTCGCTGGTTGCAATTTGACGCTCCAAGCGAGTCTTTTCACCTTCAAGAACCTTGAACTGACGATCAAGGTCTGCTTGGGCCTGGACTTTCTTTTGCAAATCCTGGAGTGTACGTTTTTGTACCTCAAACTCTTGAAGCTTGGCTTGAGTGGCTACCAAATCGTCCTTGTGTTTGGTGAGCTGCAACTTGTGCTGGCGAATTGTAGCTTCCAACTCTGCATGCTTCTTGACATACAGAGCCTTTTCAGCCTCAAGTTCCTCGACACGTTTCTGGGCTTCCTGGTGGGCTGCCGAGCCATTAGCGGTCTTTTTTTCAATTGCCTCAAGCTGGGTCTTAGCCGCCAAGGCCGCGTCTGCAGCTTCCTTTAACTCGGTCTCATTCAACTTGGCCTTTTCTTCCAAAGCTCCAATCTTTTCATTAGCAGCTTCAAGTTGCTGAGCAATATTCTCTGCTTCCTTTTCCAGTGATGATACTTTTTCATGAGCAGATTTGGAGGCTGCTTGAGCTTGATCCAATTCTTTCTCGAGCGTTTCAATCTTTTCATTAGCAGATTGAACTTCTTGTTGAACAGAGAGAAGTTCATTTTGCGCCTTTTCCTTAGCCGCATTCGCCAAACTCAGTTCTTCAACTAGACTCTCCTTCTCCTTCTTCAGCTCATCCAGAGCTTTCTGCAATGTCTCACGAGCTTCAACTGCTTGCTCAAGCTCAGCGCTAGAGCTCAACTGAGACAGCTGGCCCTCCAATTCTTTCAGTTGCTCCTGGTACTTGGACTCGCGCTCTTTAAACTCTTTGAGCTCAGCCTTTGTAGAAGCCAGAGCTTCCGTTTTTTCAGCGAGCTCGGATTGTAACTTATCGTTCGAGCTACCAACGGCACCTCCCTTCTTCTTTTTCTTACCACCAGTCGACGTGATGGTAGGAGCAGCGGCAGCGGCAGCTTTAGAGTTCGCTTCTTCAAGAAGTTTTGCGGTGCTCTCCAACTCTTCGAGAGTGCTCTTGTGCTTGGTTTCGAGGTCCTTTAACATGGCAGATTCATCGCTGAACTTCTTTTCGATATCGCTAGACTTTACCGTCAGAGCAGACAGTTCCTCCTTTACTTTGGCGAGTTCCAACTCGGCGGAATTGGCTTTCGATTTCGACTCCTCCGATTGGGCCTTGAAGTTTTCCAACTCTTCAAGCTTGCTTTCATACTTGAGGGACTCAGCTTTGAGCTCCTCTAGCTCCTTTGCTGTAGCTTCAAGGTCTTTGGTTTTTTGTTCAATTTCTTTCGCTTGAGTTTCAAGGTAGTTGGCCTTTTGCTGAATTTCTTTTGTTTGAGCTTCTAGTTGTTCAGATTGCTCCTGAGATTTCGCTTTCGAAAGTTCTTCGGCCTTAGCAATTTGAGTTAGATGCTCTGCCTTTGTCTTCTCAAGTTCCTCTTCAAGCTCTTTGACTTGCGACTTTGACTTTTCAACTTGCAGCTTCAACTCCTCCAGCAGCTTCTCCGAATCCTCCGACAACCCGTCAGTTTGTGGCGTATCTTGGAGCTTTTCTAGTTCTTGCTTTGCATCTGATAACTCACTTTCTCGCTCAGTCAACAGCTGCTGAGCAGCCTTCAGATCAGCAGTGGCCTTCTCAAGCCTTGCAGCCAAGTCGGTGTCTTCACTATCGTTTACCACGAGATTTTCAATTTCTTTCTTGGCTTCTTCCAATTGGGCTTTCAAATCAGCTTCAGTTTCGGCGGATCGCTTGCGAAGTCGCGAGTGAGAATCCGATACACGCTCAAGCTCCTGTTTCAGCAGCGACGCCTTTGTATTCAAGCCATCAAGAAACTCAAGCATTTGCTGAGGCTCGGATATTGTTTGGCAAGGCGTGTTTTCTGATAACACCTTTTCGAACAGTTTAACTAGCTCGCCCTTTTTCTTCTCAATGCGGTAGGCTTTGAGAAGCTGGGGATACTTCTCCTCGTATTTAGAAAACTTACGCAGCTTGCCCTCAATTTCAGCTTCCGTCATTCCAGCGATCATGCTATGGGAATCGTCTGGCGTCGCATCCTCAGACGCCGGTTGCGATGTGGCTGAGCCAGCCGGGGCAGCAGACTCGTCTTTCATGAACTCCATCTCAGAGACATCAGGTGTTTGTGTTCTGAGCAGCTGTGAGTTACGCTCAATGATCTCCACAGGCCCGTTTGTCTGCTTCTGGCCATTCACAACTTGCTCAAGCTCGTCTGTGATACTCTGCTTGAGGCGCTGAAGCATCGGGCTGGCAGTCGACTAAGCAGGATGCGGCTGAGGTGTGGAGATGAAGTATGCTCAGCAGCAAGAGTTTTTATGAAAGTATAGTAATTGGTTTATTTAGGGCATTTTTCGTGATACAAACAGAGTTGTTAAGTTTTATTGTGTGGGCTGATAACTCACCAAGCTGACATTCCTCAGTATGCCGTTCACTGTGCAGTATGCTGTGCCAATGACCTGCGAGGACTGCACCAAGAGCATCAAGAAGGCTCTGGATAACGTCGAGGGTGTAGAGAATGTCGATTTCGACTTAGAAAAGAAGCTGGTGACCATCAGGGGCGAGTCTGCTCCGTCACAGATCGTTTCGGCGATGCGGGGGATCGGCCGCGATGCCATTGTGCGAGGCAGCGGCCGACCCAACTCCGCTGCTGTGTGTATTCTTGAAAACGCCCAGGGCAAGACCCGTGGACTAGTGCGCTTCATCGAGGACGAGGAGCACCAGATTATTATTGACTGTACAGTCGCGCCCACTACCCCTCAGGCTCAGCAAGTATCGATCCATGCTAGTGGCGATATGTCGCAAGGCGCCATGTCAACGGGCGAGAAGCTGTATACTTTGGGAATGACCTCCAAATTCGGTGACGTCTTCAGCCTCATCACTCGTCAATCGCTCCCGCTAATGAATACCATCGGACGGTCAGTTGTTGTCGGCCCCCCCTCTGGCCCGACCACCGAGTCACTGGCCGGAGTGATTGCTCGCTCTGCGGGTCTGTGGGAAAACGATAAAGTCGTTTGCTCGTGCACAGGAATGACTCTGTGGGAAGAGCGCAAGGTCGCTACGACCGTTTAGGCTGGAGACAAAATTCAATTTAGTTCTAGGATAAATAAAGAAAAAAACGTTAACCGCGACTGCTGATGCGAGAAATAAGTTGAGGTCGCTTTCCATTTAAGCGGACTTCCCTCTCTAGAGAAACCGGATACTGGTCGTTGAGGCTGGGAGCTTGGTCAAAAGCCTCGTGCAGCAGCTCAGTAACCTTGTGTAGAGGGGCCAGACGATAAGACATACGTTGAAACCTAAGAGTTGATTCGATAATGCCAGCCACCATGGACCATTTGGCAAAATTGATCAACTTGTCGTCACCATGGATATGGTCCGAGTTGCCGTCCTGGGCGAATCGAAGATCCATAAGACAGACGCCAAAGAACGGGACGGCTGCTTCGGATACAAGCGAGAGCAGGTCTCGATACTCCTGGAAATTGCGGCTGGAGTTCATAAGTCGGTTCATTTCTTCCAGGCTCTCCTTAGTTTGCTTGGACACAAGTGCCCAGGTCTTGTGGAGACGATGAATTCCCGCGCTGGATAGAGCCGACAATATGGACATCATTGTGCTGAAGTTCTTAATGCTGCGGCAAAAGGAAGCTGTTTCAACAAAGTAAGCAATCCGCAGAGCACGCTTGTCTGGGGTATCTCCCTCCAAAACTTTTTGAGAGACCCAGCAAGTTGCCTTGTTCCAATGGGTGACAAAGTCAGTGATCGCGGTGTTGCGGGCGGGCCGTTCCAGGGCACGATTCAGACAGTCCTCGGGTGTGATATCAGCGAAATAGACCCATTCGACAAGAGTCATTTGACGAGCGAGCTCTGTTGGAGAAAGCTGCGTGGGAGTGACCAGCTCGTCAATCGAGAAACTTGGCAAGATGGGATCGAGCACCGGCTGGGTTGAAGACGACTTGCGAACGATCGAAGACGCTCCAGACGACCTCCGGCGCATAAGTAGTTCGTGCAAGCGTTGGCTTCCGGGAAACTCCTGAACTTCGAGAACTCGCAAAAGCATCTCGAGTCGGTGGAAGAGCTGTTGTTCTTCCTCCTCAGTGTCCGGATGCGACCAGTACGACTCAATCCACATCCGGAGCATATTTACTACTCTCAGACGAGTTGGACGTTGGACATGCACCTCCCAGTCGCGGAACTCGGTCCGGGACAACCCTGCATCCGGTTGCACCGAGAAGCGATCTTGAAGCAGGTCAACAAGTTCCAAGTGCTTCATAAAGGCAGGGAACGTCATCAAAAAGGCAGAAACTTCATTAGGACGCGGCTGAATATGCTGAGTCAAGTGCTCCACCAGTTTTTCTTTGGTAGCACCACGCAAATGCCCCTGAGAATCGTAAATGCACTCCGCTTGTCTCTCGGGAACGACTTTCCAGCGCTCTAGCTGAACAGAGGGAAGCACACCCTGAAGCATTTTGGGGAAGTTGTCAATTGTCTTGAACAAGAGTGGTACCAAGCGAAGGGCGCTGGAGTACTCATCGGTAACACACAAAGAACGTTGTGGCTTGGCCCACGAGTTTTCTATAGTAAGAAGAGAACGGTAAACCTCTTTTCGTACTCTAATGAGCAGACTGAGATCGCCAAGACGAGGTCGAGCACAATCAATAAACTGGCAAAGCTCACTGCAGTCGATCAAATGGACGATGCTCTTGTAGATTGACATAACTGCGTGCAAAGACGAAAAGAGTGAGACACTGCTTTCTTGGAGTCCGTTCCGTTGTTTCAATCCTTCCTCGCAGATCTCATTCCACAATGAGATGCAGCTATTCACCGATTCCTCAAGGTGATCTCGTTTGTCTTCGATGTCGTGAAGAATTGTGGCACAGATACCGTCTTGGCTGACAGAGGCTTCTAGAGGCATTGCTTGCTTAACACTCAATAGCTTATCCACAGCAGAAGACAGGGAAATCTCAGCAGTTATGGGGTCCACGTCAAAAAGATAGTCAGTCCATTCTGTTTCCAGCACAGATACTTGAACAATAGGTGGTAGGGGTAAAACTTCTACAGCTGGGTAGCCGCTAGTAAGATGGAACAATGTCACAAAGTCAATTGTTGAATGAGAAAGATCGTCCAGCGACCCCAATTTCAGACCTCGCACATTGTTCACGTGTACCTCATAAACAGAATGGATCATGAGACGGTAAGCTGCAGCAATCGCACCCAGGCCCAAGCAAGGATTTGTACCTGGTGGAACATGTGCAGCGCAGCAGATCGCCTTAATGTGTGCAGTAATATGTTGCACTGCTTCAAGCGCTGTAGCCTTTTCTTCTTTGGTGGAGGGAATCAAGTCCTGGACACGACGAGCGGCTTCAACGGCTATCATAAACCCGTCCATTAACTCTGGCCAAGTAGGGTACATAACAGTAGGTGAAGCATTAGAAATTCGAGTCCAAAGTGACTTCAAAGGCGTTCCAGTAGGACGGCTTATCTGACGGAGAACGCGATAAAAGTCGTTGTTTTTGTAAAGACATGGCTGAGTTTTAGAAACAGCACTGATGCTCTGTATTTTGGACTCCAAAACATCAGAAAAATTATCCTTAATCTCAGCAGGTAGGGGGATAATTGGCTCAGGTTCAGAGTCATCAAGAGTGATGAGGGGCAAAAAGCGAGACATCACTTTCGATTTTGTATCCAGATAGACAACACTACCTTGATGACAATACGGGACCCAAATGGCCGAGTGTTGTGCTGTCTCAACCACTGTGTAAGTGTGGACTTCGTCAGCGAGCTCGGGCTGCATTTCCGCAGGTTCAACTGCGTCCGCAGTGGACGTTGAATGCTCTGATAGCTTGCGACTGCTCAAGGAAAGTGTGCTAAAGTCCAGGGACGAGTTTGTATCAACCGGAGACTCTGGTCGGGAAACGCCCCTTTGGGGGAAAATATGAACTGAAGATATGGGGATCCACCCTGCAGTGGATCCTTTCGCTCCATAGACCCAGCCAGGTACTTGCTTGGTTACAAGAAGAGTGTCTCCTCGTTTATAAACCAGAACCTCTCCAGGCGGAGGTTCGACGATGTTGCCCGTGGGGTTGAAATCTTCAACAGCGATTGCACTTTGGCAAACTTCAGTAGACATTATTATCAAAAACTTTTGATAACAGTGTCGAATCCAAAAAAAAAAGAGCCACTTAGGGTCTCTTACAGCAATGTGTGGGGTTTGGGAAGCTCTAAAACCTCTTGGGGGATAGATCTAGAAGGGTGCACACGAAGAATGAAGCGCCACCTGTAATAGAACTTGCGGAGGCGTCGATTCGCGCTTTAATGTTTTTGCAGGGCTATCAATAGCCTCTTTTTAAAGTCCGAATATTGTAAGCCACGACAGACACGCACTGTGTCAAAGCTGTGGCAATGGCTTTGGGGTAAAAAAAAACTCGAGGCAGCGGAGAGGCAAGCCGACTATACGTCCACCCAACTAATACGAGGTTAAAAGAAAGGGATAAAGCGGGAGCAATAGCGGGTTGCGTGTGCGTATAAATAAGTACACACCAGAAGGTTGCAACAAAAGATGTGTGTTCAGTTGCTGGGCAGCCCGTAAAAATATACACCTTTTTAGTCAGTGAGCTCCCAGACCCACGCTCATGTATGGAGGGATACACCCTTGCCCATACACATGCTAGGCAGCACACGCATAATGTCTCACTGATGACCTTGAGCTGCGAGTGTTTGCTGTTTTGAGAATTTACAGCAAATACCGAGCACCAAATCGGTTTTACCCACAAAACAGAACAGTGTTCCTGAGGTCGCTAGATGCGTGTCCTGCCACTGGTTGTTGCATGCAGATAGTTGTCCAGACTTTCACATTGTCGTCTACCGATCCCGCAGGCCAAGATTAGTGTTTGGCAACGGACTTGTTGGGTCTACAAAGAACACGTTCTTTGGCTTTGGTGCTGTTGCACACTGGATGTCTATTTTTTTGGTCGTATTAAAAATCTTGCAGGTTCGGGGGCGTACCGCTAGGTATTCTGTTTCCCAGCCCATGCTCTTCCTGGGCTCCTCTGCAGCTGTTTGCATGCATGCTTATGACAGCACAGTATTCTCACGCAAATCGCTGCTGCTTGAAAGTTTCTTGGAAGTTACGAATTTGTCAAATTTGGCCCTTTTTGAATTCAAACAGACTTGACTGATTATCTACGTGACTACAATGTATTCGCCACGTGTTGCTCCTAAGCCCACCGTGGCTATCGCATTCCTGGTGTAGTCATGGGCAGGAATGGTCTAGACTCCCGCGAGCCTTACTGATAGGACCTCCTCTCAACTGCGATCCTCGCAGAGCTTACACGTCGGGGATAGGACTTCCTTATGTAGGGTTAGGGTCGGCAATATAATTGATCGTGCTCCAAGCTGATGGGTCACACATCAAGGGGCTCGCAATGATGCTCTAATATTACTCTTGCTTCGAGCTCAGCAACGCTACACGCAATAATAGGCGAGGTGTTGACTGGACTCACCTCCAATGAAAGGGACTGGATGTGAAACACCTGCTGCACATGGGCAGTGCGCGAGGTATACAGTTTAAAGGTTGCAAAACCATCGCCTCCATCTCTGCAGTAAGCCCAACTTAGCCTTGGCTCCACCTCCTCAAGCAACTTCCTCCTGTCCACAGTATACCCACCGGCTATTTTCGAACTGCCTCCCGGACCGCATTCAGGAAAGATTTCGGCGGCATTGAGGCCTTCAGGGTTGAGGGAGGCTCGCAGGTGAAAGTCCCCCCATCGCCTCGATAACGTATTAGTACATGCATAAGCATGCAGGTGGGGCGTTTGCGCTTGTGATTCTCTATGCGAAGCTAAAGTCACTCTCAAGAAATGTGGAGCGAACTTTCGCGAGAATTTCCTTTTTCAAAACAAGGCCCGTGCACGGTCGCCAAGCTAATCTGGTAACGTTTCAATGATCGGTATCGTATCGGTGGGGCTCAGATATGCGTGAGTGGCGTGAAAAATACATGTAGGGCTGGAGCCCACTATTTTTGTTCTCCAACGCGAAAGCTTCGATGTTATCGACAACAGACCAAACGGAGCTTAAGGTCTCCAAGTCTTTCAGAATCAACAGAGTAGCTATATTCTATGTAGTCCAAGGCTAGCAGAGATAGTAAGATCTTGATGTAAAAATTTTATGGGCGGAGACGGCGAGGATCACGAGGGAAGAGAGTGGCCCTGCGAATGTTTCCGAGACCCAAATAGAACATAACAACACGTTCCAACCCAATTCCACCGCCAGCGTGAGGAGGCGCGCCGTATTTGAATGCATCAACGTAGTCGGAAAGACCTGGCGCGGTCGGGTCGACCTCGTGGGCTTTCATGCGCTCCACAAGGAGCTCAGGGTCGTGAATACGCTGGGCGCCCGACATAATCTCCTCACCACGCATGAAAAAGTCGTAAGAGTTAGAGTACTCGGGGTTTTCGGGACAGGGCATAGTGTAGAAAGGACGAATAGCCAGAGGGAACTTGTCCAAAATGTAAAAGTCGGTATTGTACTTTTCGCGAACAATCTTGCCGAGGGCCTTTTCCTGCTCTGTGGTGAGATCATCAGTATCGCCAAGCTCGTAGCCGGCCTCGCGCAGCATGGCGATACCATCTTTATAATGGAGCCGAACCATTTTGCCGTCCTCGGGCAGCTTAAACTCCTCGACAGGGTACTGCTTGCGCACAACGGCGATCTCCTCAGCATAGCGTTTGCTGAGCTCGGAGAAAATGAAAACAAACATTTCCTCCAAAGTGTCAACGACCTCATGGTAATGCTCCTCGAAGGACATTTCCAGATCGAGACCCATGAACTCGGTCATGTGACGGTGGGTATTGGAGTTCTCAGCGCGGAACACTGGAGCCACCTCGAAAACACGCTCAAAGTCACCAGCAATCAACATTTGCTTGTAGAGCTGCGGAGACTGGGCAAGATAGGCGTCACCCTTGAAATAAGTAACCTTGAATACATTAGCACCGCCCTCCGAAGGTGAGCCAATGAGCTTGGGGGTGTGGATCTCAGTGAACTTCCGTTTTACGAGGAACTCACGGAACAACAAGCCAACGCCGTGCTGGATCTTGAAAATAGCCTGGTTAGCTTGGGTACGCAAGTCGATAACGCGGTTGTCCAAACGGGTGTCAAGATTGACAACGGGCAGGCCAGCCTTTTCCGCCATCTCTTCGCTACGGCTGGCATCCTCAATCAAAATGGGCAGCTGGGCCGGAGTCTCAACGATGGTGTGCAACTCCGTGATCTGGATCTCGACATCCTGAACGGTAGCAGAGGTGACCGGCTCGGGTGTTTTCGCAACAACACCCTTGACAAGGACAATACTTTCCAGAGAGATCGACCCGGCCCATTTGACCATCTGCTTTGAAACATTCTTGTTGTCAACTACAAGCAGACCCTGGACATTGTTGGACTGCTGGCGCAGAGACAAAAAGCACATCTTGTTTCCCTGAAGACGAGAAGTGTGGACTCGTGCACGGAAGACAATTTCTTTCCCGGCCCAGTCGGCATTGAGATCGCCAATGGCAATCCGCTTGACGCAGGTGCGATCTGAGTCACGGGACTGGATCAAAGGTAGCTTGCCATAGCGGCCCTCAGAGCAGTCTACTTCGGCAGACTCACGAGCCTGCTTTTCAGCAGCAAGGCGGGCAGCGATTGCCGCCTTCTTGGCCTCCTTTTCCTTCTCCTTCTGCAGCTTCTTGAGAGCCTTTTTGGACAGCGGCTGGCCGTCGGGCCCAAGAACAACTTCGGCATCATTAGTAGACTCCTCACCGGCCCCAACAACAGCTGGAGCGAGTTGCTCGGCAGGGACTTGGCCAACAGGTTCGTTAACAGATAATTTAGCGGTCTGTTCTGGCAAATCAGACATAAGGGTGGAGGTTGAAAATAATTTGGGAGAATGTGTCATTTTGGGGGTATTAACCACAAGAGTGGGTTGTTGCGGGCCTCTTGGTGACACCAACCAAATCAGTCCGAAATACACATCACATTAATTTATAAACTACACAACAAAAACCTGTAGACCACCCAGCATTTGTCCCGTTCTCGCTTCCCATTATGCTCTAGTCAGCAGGCTGCCTGCTTAGTTGTTTATATTGTGTCCAGACCTTGCTTCTGACTAACCATGAGCGAGGAAGTGTATCCCCTCGCGGTGCTGATTGACGAGCTTCGTGACGACGATGTGACAGTGCGAGTCAATGCCATGGGCCGCATTTCGACTATTGCATTGGCTATGGGAGAAGCTCGTACGCGCAATGAGCTCATTCCTTTTCTAGAAGAAGCGGCACAGGAGGATGAAGACGAGCTGCTGGTCGTGCTGGCGGATGAGCTGGCCAAATTCGTTCCGTTGGTGGGCGGTCCCGAGCATGCACATGCGTTGATCGATGTCTTGTCGTCGTTGGCTGGCTGCGAAGAACCAACCGTGCGGCAGGCTGCCGTCGCATCTTTGAACGATATTGCCCGCGAGATGAGCGCCGACCAGGTCAACGAGCATTACGTGCCTCTCTTGCGCCGTATCTCTACTGCAGACTGGTTCTCGTCTCGCATGTCGGCTGCTGGAATCTATGCTAGTGTGGTGGCTAAACTTGGGCCCAATGACGATCTGTTGGGGCTCTATAAAGATCTGGTTACAGATGATGCCCCCATGGTGCGCCGAGCGGCAGCTACTGCTTTGCCCAACGTTATTGAAGCACTGGGGAAAGTGCAGTTGACTGGCACAATCCAGGAGATGTTCGAATCTCTTGTGTACGATGATCAAGACTCGGTCCGGCTGCTATCTGTGGACGTCGTGGTGGCTCTTTCCGAGGCCCTGCGTGAAAATGGAAAGCCATCTTCCGACGAGCTAGTGGCACAAACTTTGGCTCTTCTAAGTGACAAGTCGTGGCGTGTGCGATACATGGCCGCAGATCGCTTGGAGCAGCTTGCCAAGGCTCTTAACTCCGACGAGAAACTGCCGCGTCTTGTTGGCCAGTTCGTAACTCTGTGCAAAGATGGCGAAAGTGAGGTGCGTAGTGCTGTCGCCAAGCACGTGGTGGGGTTCGCCCAGAATTTAGATCCTGCCGTCGTATTGGACGAAATTGTACCTGCTATTGAGCCCCTGGTCACTGACCCAAGCGAGCACGTTCGTGAGTCCCTTGCCGGACAGATCTCTTACTTATCAGTACTTCTGGGGAATGAAAAAACCATCAAGCACCTGCTGCCTCTATTTTTGCAGATGCTGAAGGATGAACACTCTGAAGTGCGTCTCCAGATCATCTCAAACCTCCAAGTTATTAATGAAGTCATTGGAATTGATCTGCTCTCGCAATCGCTTCTTCCTGCCATTACTGAACTTGCTAAGGACAAACAATGGCGTGTGCTTTTGGCCATCATCAACTATTCCCCCCTCCTTGCCGAGCAGCTTGGAGTGGAGTTCTTCAATAAAGAGCTTGTTCCTCTGGTCATGCAGTGGCTTTGGGATCCTGTGTGGGCCATTCGGGATGCCGCAGCCCAGAATCTTGTTAAACTCACTGACGTATTTGGCGTGGAGTGGCTTGAAACGATCATCTTACCCAAACTGGTCGTTCACGACCCCACAGCCAACTACTTGTACCGCTTCACTTCGCTGATGGTGGTCAAGACTCTGGTACCTACTGTCTCATCTTCTGCCCTGCAGGATCCGGTCTTGCCTTTCCTTCTATCGTTCAGCGAGGACAGTGTTCCGAATATCCGCTTTAACGTCGCTAAGGCGCTGCTCCAAGTTGCTCAGGCACTGGTGGCCAAAAACACCCCTAATGCACAGTCAGTCATCTCTGAATCAATTCTGCCTGTTCTTGAAAAGCACGCTGAGGATGTTGATGTTGATGTTCGCTTTTATGTCGCAGAAGCTCTCACGCAAATTAACGAGCTGGTTGCAGGCGGCCAGGAGATGCAGGCTTGATCTTTTATTTTTTTCCACCACCCCCCGATCACCCTTCTATTTTACGTACAGAAAACTTGTCGCTGTAGAGCTGAATAAATAAAGTTAACACTGCATATTGGCAGAGGTTATAAACCAATCTGGGTCTGCCATTCCAAAAGTTTAGCCACCAAGCTTAGGTTTGGTGATAGTGCAGGATGGCGCGTCTTCACGTAGCTGTACGCTGAGGTATAGTCCATGTTATACTCTTGCATGACGTAGGCAAGAACCAAGGTTGCAGAACGAGATATTCCACATTTGCAATGAATTAGCACACGCTTATTGTTATTCACCTGCTCCGAGACCTCTTGGGTGAGCGGGCCAAGCACCTCGCTCAACTTTGGATCGTGATCCCACGCCGTGGCATAGTAGTAAACCTTCCGTGGTCCCAATTGATGCGTTTTGCATGTGATGCCGAAATTCTCTAGCTCGGACCGACACCTTACTGCAACTGGAGAGCTCAGCGGGCACGGCACTTCGCGAGCAACATTGAATACGACATCAAAACTTCGTAAAGCATCTGCACTTATCTCGCCACATATATACACGTTGTGGGAGATCTCAAGCGGCTCCACCAGCTGCTCTATCCCTTGATGTTTAGGATATTCATCGGTTAGCTGTGGGCGCGGTGGTTGGGCATTAGCGAGGGCTGCCGCACACTCATTTTTGGGAATGGTAATAGATAAGTTCTGGGCTCGATGGCGGGCTGGGCGCATACGTGGAGAACGGATGTAAGTAAAAGTGCACTTTAGATCGATATGGTGCTCTTTGCCAACTACAAAAACTCAAACTTTGAAATCAATGAGTGGGAACAACTGTTGACGGCCAAATTTTGTAGTTTGTAGTTAAATTTTAAGCGCGAGGGAACTGTTGGAACGTACGGTCTTCTTCGGCAACTTCGTCGGTGTATAAGGAGGTATCAAAGATGGCTCTGCCAAATTGCCCCCGGGCTTTACTAACTAAAGAGTACTTTATCGCTTCCTGTTAATGTAAGGGCCAGACTGATGTTCTGGTACTTTGCCCCAACCCTGAAAGGCGGGAAGCTTGTGGTTCTTTCCTGAATGAGCACAATTTTCAAGACTTGCTTCTGGCAATTGGCGGTTAAAACTACAACAGCTAGTCTAAATTCAAGAAAACATAGAAACGCAGTAAAATTTAAAACAAGACAGTTAGTAGTGCTTTAAATACACACGCCCACCATAGTTTTAGGCACTATTTTGCAAATATTCTTGAGTTTTCATCTTCAATTGAGCACTCAAACAGGCAGCAGATTGTTTTTAAACGCGTGTTAACGATATTTAGCGCCAGATGCTACTCAAATTTCTGAAGGGCGATTAGGACTATAGGAGGGGTAGTAGGAACTTTTTAAGTTTGTAACGCTCCCACCAAGTTAAAAAATTATGTCGTCCAAAGCACTAGATCGCCTGATCGCAAGAACACTCAAGAACGAAGGCGTGAAAAAACAAAGCCGTGGGCAAAGAAAGGCAAAGAAGAAGCATGCTGAAATTGTCCGCGCTGAAAAGGCTGCGGCTGATCCCCAAACAGAAATTACAATTTCTGCCCAACGTTGTAAAAAAAATCTCGAACAGCTCCACAACAGCGAGGAAATTGATGAACTCAAACAAGAGATTTTAAAGTCAATGAACAAAAAGACCGTTTACGTGAAACGCTCTCGTAAGAAACATGAGTTCTCATTTCCTGGAGTCACGCCTGGTCTTGCTCCAGTGGACTACAACCCTGATGAAAGCGACGACGACGAACCTTATTGATCTAGCCTAGATTATAATTTATTTTACACGTACGCTAATTTGCAGATTTCTTAGAAGGCTCCTTGACAGGCTCCTTAGCAGAACTCTTCTTCTTTTTGTTCTTCTTCTTCTTGTCCTTTGCCTCGTCATTTGCGCCAGAACCAGAACCGTACTTGGCTTTCCACTCGTCGATCATCTTATCGTCAATACGAGAGAACAGATACTGAGCTTTACCGATGTTGTGACCACCCTCAATGGCGAGATCAAACTCATCAGGGATCTTACGCAGGGGAGCCTCAAGCTGCTGAACCATGCACTCGCATGCAGTGGGTATGAAAGGAGCCATGACAGCAGATAAGATATAGATCAGGTTCAGTGCGACACCAATAACTGCAGCACATTGGGCTGGGTGCTCAGAGAACAGAGTGTTGTCGAGCTTATTCTCCTGAAGGAACTGATTACCTCTAGAAGAAATGCGCATGCCCAACTCCAAACCTTCACGCAGCTGCTGGGTAGCCATTGCAGTATTGTACTTGCTCAGCAAATCATTGACATCGGCAACAAATACATTGTAATCATTGAGATCTTGAGGGTTAAACTCTGCAACAACGCCGTTGTACTTCGCGTTGGAAAACTTGACAACACGGTTGACAAGATTACCCAAATTAGCCAAAAGTTCGGAGTTATTACGGGCAACAAAGTCTGCCCACGAAAACTGAGAATCAGAGGTTTCGGGACGCGCGGATGCAAGGTAGTAGCGCCAGACGGATGCGGGAATACCGATGTCCTTGGCGTTATTGCCAAAGACACCCAAGTTACGGGACTTGGAAAACTTACCACCTTCATACTGAAGATACTCAGTTGTGCTCAAGTTTGAAAGCATAGTCCATTTCTCTCCGCTCGCAATTTCGCAAGACGGGAAAATAACACTGTGGAAGGGAACGTTGTCTTTACCCATGAACTGGAACAAGCGAACATTTTCGGGGTTCTTCCACCACAGCTCCCAGTCCTCAGTGTATGTAGCGGTAATAGAAGGATACCCAATAGGAGCATCAAACCACACATAAAGAACCTTGTCCTCGTAACCCACCAACGGAACAGGAACACCCCACTTGAGGTCGCGGGTAATTGCGCGGGGTAGCAAGCCATCACGAAGCCACGACTGGGTAATAACACGGGAGTTCTTCGACCATCGCTTCTCAGTATCATTGCCTTCAATCCACTTCTCAAGTTTTGGCTGTAACTTTTGCAGCGAAAGATACATGTGCTTAGTGACACGAGATTCAGGAGTGGTGCCGTCTAGCTTGCAACGAGGGTTGATCAGCTGCATAGGATCAAGTAACTGACCACATGAATCACACTGATCGCCCCGAGCATCATCGTAGTTACACTTCGGGCATGTGCCCTCAACGAAACGATCAGCCAGGAAACCCTTGTGCTTAGTGCAGTAGAGCTGCTCCTGCTCATGCTCTTCAAGATAGCCGTTCTCGTAACATTCCGTGAAAATCTGCTGTGAGATCTTGGTCTGCTCAGGTGTTGAGGTTCGACCAAAGTGATCGAACCCAATATCAAACCAATCGTAAACCTCCTTGTGAATCTTGTGATATTTTGTACAAAGTTCGAGCGGCGTGACATTCTCCTCGATAGCCTTAGTTTCAGTAGCAGTACCGTACTCGTCAGTACCGCAAATGAACAGAGTATTATATCCACGGCCCTTGCAATAGCGGGCGAAGAAATCAGCACTCAAGACGCTGCCGATAATATTGCCCAAATGAGGAACATTGTTCACGTAGGGCAATGCGGACGTGATGAGGTAGTTATCCTCTCCTTCCTTGGGTAAGATCTTACCTTCGGGTTTAACCAGAGCGACCTTTTGATTAACTTTCTTGGCGCCAGTTCGCTCAGGTTTGGGAGGAGCCTCCTTCACTTCTTTTGCAGCTTCTTTACCTTCCTTGGGGACATCCTTAGCGGCAGGCTTGGGCAAGACTTGCGAGGGAACACGGCCTGAAGCACGGTTCGTGGCAGGCTTGTCATAGGGCAGCTTGGAAAGAGAAGCAAGAGCATTCTTGACTCGGGGAGTGTTCAGCTGTTGCTGATACCACATAAGAGTCGGGGCATCAACAGCCAAAGCAGTCTTCGACCGAGCGCTAACCAAAGCGTACAGAGATCCAAAGAGAATTACCGCAGCAGGGGTCAAACTCTGAGGAAGCAAAGGACCAAGCTTTGCAGCTGTTTCCGCGTCAATAGGCTTTACACTTTTGACAAGTGGGTAAATACTTTGCTCTTCAAAATCAATCAAAATATCGAACTGACCAGAAGTCTCAGAAAGATAGCGAACCATCGCATTCGGCTCAACGATACGAGCTCCATCGTCAACGACCAGGGTAACAAACTCAGTTGGCCCAACTGTAATTTTAATAGCAGAACCAAACACACTGCCTGCAGCAACTGCTTTCGCGGCCGCAGCCAGCTGCAAGGTATCGAGTTTTTCAGGAACTAAAAGCTCAGTCATGATGACAATGTGCCCCTCGCAGGGAAGGGTATCTGGGAGTAATCCTGTTTCACTATGAACCGGCCAGGATAATTCGATGCCCAAATCTATAAAAATTTGTATTGTAAATATGATCTCTAATATATGATCAACAGTTATAGGTGTCATCCCAAAACGATCCGACGCCTGGTGCCATAGAGTCACATTCCTGAGCTAGCATTGCGAGATTGTCAGGAATCAGCGGGGACATCGGTCGATAGCTCGATGGGTTTGCTTCGAGAGGTGTTGAAGGACGATTCTGAAAGAATGTGTCGGATTTTGAAAATATTCTCGGGATAGGAAACTCACCCTGCTTGGAGCATATTGGGCTTTCCGCACGGCTGCTTTGCAAAGACAGTGGGGGGAGGAGGTCCATTTCTTCCTTTATTGGAGATGGCGAAGAGATTGCTGAAAGTTCTCTCGACTTGGGTAACGTTAGTTCAAGTGGAGGGGCTGAAGAAAATGGCTTGAGCATTTCCAGGTCCTCCAGGCTGGCATCACAAAGTTCCACTTCATCTGGACCTGGAGAACTAAGATGCGCTAAGTTTGGCATGCTCATCTGACGTGACATTCGTAGTTCACTCTTGATAGTGTCAATTTCATCATCGATTTTACTCTGAACACTCTGTGAACGTGCAAGCGCTGAACGAGGAGGGGATTCGTCAAACTCATAATCTTCACAGCCAATAGCTAAATCATACTCCGAGTGACAATCTAATTGGTATGGTGGGAAAATTTCGTGTTCTTGACACCTCATGAATCTTAATGTTTGCAAGTTCTCGGTAAGCTTGTGTGTCGGACCACGCAGCCAGTGTTGCCGACAGGAAACAGCTTCTCCAGACGTGAAATCCTCACAAACTTTCCAGTCCATCCCATCATGCACCTTTCGATGAGAGAAATCAGGTGGTCGATTTACTTGGACAATAAGATAACTTGAGGAAGAGTCTCGCATATCAGGGCAGATGGACGCGTTCACCATGCTATCAAACGATACTACAGCTCTGAAGCACGTCCCGTTGAAAATAACATAGTATACCAATGCTCTTGCAATACCATCACATTCCACGATTAGGTCCGAGTTGGTCTTGTTACTATGCTTGGTTCTCCGCCAAGATCCCATAGTCAAGCTATCACAGGCGAAAACATACTTGTCACAACCAACTTCGCAGGTCACTTGTGAGTATTTGTCCGTAACTTCTGAGTTCAGGGTAGGCCCGCATATATCACGGGAATGTTTTTGTCCATCCAAGTTGTTGTATGGAGAATATGGAGGCTGCGATACTTTGTATGCCGGTGCCACTGTGTAGTGACTTTGACCCATCCGGTGGGTTTTTACTCTCCACTCATTTCTTAGCTTGGCTCGATTATTCTGAAACCAAATCTGTACACTTCGCCGGGTCATGTCAATGTGGCGGCCAATTTCATACTGAGTCTCCTTATCTGGACGTGGGTTCCTCTGAAACTCCTGTCTCAAATACTCTAGCTGGAGTCCCTTTGCTCTTCGTCGCCGGTTGTGCCGTTGTTGCTCCGTCATGGAGCTTTCCATGACTTGCTCCAAACCGTAGGGTACCATTTCGAACCGAGCTGCGATAACCTAGAAATTTGTGACCATTCTTCACAATGACCATCTTTTAAACCCTTGAGGTTAGTGAGTTAAAATTTCGCAGGTGTAGATATGGATTGCGTACGTTCGTGCAGCGATCCGCTCATAAGGTTCGACGGAGGGATATCCGCCGATGTTTGATAGTACATGTACATGTGTGGAACTTGGAGTGTTGTTATACTTCCTAGTTTTACTTGAAGTCTTCAATCTGGAAATGAGCGTACGAGGATTTTTACCCCTCTAATAAAGACGCTGCGTGCCAAAAGCGGTGTGGAAAATGGCCCGTTAAGCTCTCCTAACCTTAATGCTCAAAAGGGTGGACAGCTGTAGCCAAGAACATGCAGACAACAAGGCACGAGATACTGCATATTTAGTCTTAAGGTTTGTTCGCTTCTAGAGCGGGCACCTGCTTAGCGGAGGATGGCCTGACTTAAAACCTTCCATCCAACGAGTCATTGACACCGATATCCGCCGATCTCAAAAGAAACAGTTAAGTAGCCTAGATCTATGAATGCTATGAAACTGAGATACCTCTAACCAATGCCCAAGGTTTTAGGTGTACTAGGAGACTGAACTTCTCTGTTCCAACTCTCGAGCGTGTCACCCTAAACTGCACGCATGGCAGGCATTGTCAGCTTTGGCATTGGCCACATTCGATTAAGATTTGTGTCAAAGCTTTCCTTCTGTATCTTGACCCACTCTGTATATCATGGTAGGGAACAATTGTGATCCCTCGTCTACTAATGATATACCAAAGCCATTTCCTGGTAGGACTGTAGATTTTGCCGACGTTCGGTTTCCCACGAAGCCACATATTGCAGCGCACAATCTCAGGCGTGACCCGGCACTCAAACTCAATGCAGTCGATGGCAATGACAAGGCAACGACGGCTGGAGGCCTTCTGTTGACGGATCATAGGCCGAAAGTAAACGTGCACAGACCCCAATCCTCTGACCGTGAATACAAAGATGAAGTATAGCTAAAAACTCTGTTTATTTTTCATAGTACTAAAAATTGGAAAGACTTACGCTCAGTATTCAAACAAAATACTGAAACAAAAAGAAAAGAAATGTGCCGTGACCAAGAATCGAACTTGGGTCTCAACGGAGCTGGTAAACCACAACGTTGCGTACTGACCACTATACTATCACGGCTGTGAACCACCCCTAAGAATATGGGTTTGGATTTTTGTAAATGTGCCGTGACCAAGAATCGAACTTGGGTCTCAACGGAGCTGGATAACCACAACGTTGCGTACTGACCACTATACTATCACGGCTTTTTACGTTTATTTTATCCATGTCCATATATATTGCACAGCAGATACAACTCAACAATAACATCTAATAGCACAGCTTTGACCGCTGTTCTTTGACTTTTGAAAACCCCAGTGGATTTTGCCGTGTATTTTTTTGGCTAGACTAGGCATAGGGTCAATAGTTCAACGTATAATATTACTGTTAGCTATAAATGGGGGCTCAAGTCTTACGAGCGGCCTCTGGCAATCGAGAGTTTCGCAGCGTTGACCGCTCTCTTTGAAGGTACCGCTTGGCTTAATGAAACTAGTGGTTGCTCCAGCTGTAGTTTGTTTGTCTAAGACACCAGTAACACTGGTGCTGTGCACTATTATATGCTCTGCCTAAGCTCTGGTTGATGGGCTTGCGGTTTCCCAGTGATATATGAGGCAAACCGAATGCACGCCAGCCTTTATCTCGCATATTTTTCGCACCGTTATGACCATCGTCTCGTATACCTCGCAGCGCTTTTGATAGTTGGGTGTTAGTTAGAACACTATAAAATAGTTACTCGATGCACGAATGGCCAATGACAAAATCGCTTTTATTGCAACTCTGTCTACTGTTGCCATACGTTTTGAAGTTGCTCTCCCCGCATATTAGAGTCATGGATTATTTCGAATGGCTTCAACATCCTCCCAGGACTGTTGACGAAGTGCCCAGCCCTCCGCAGTTTCAGGAGTGTCGTTGAATTGACCGGTTTCTTCATTGTATTGCAAGGGGTCACATGGAATTTTAGCACGAAGTTTTCGGATGCGGTCAACCATCCAGCCCGTGTATACCTTTGGGGCATTACCGAACTTCTCCTTATAGCCACGGTAGTCTTTGTTGGCCTTTTTACCCAAAATGATAGCATGGTGCTTAAGCTCGCAATTACCTTCCCAGAAACTCCAGACGTAGCATACATCATGAGCTTCACAGGCAGCACGGCAGTCTTCCTTTGTTGCATATGGGAAAATGTCTACTCCATTGCTATCCTTGAAAGGCATGTTCTCGTCAGCTCTGATCTCATACGAATGATGAGACATATACCAATCTTCACGCTCCTCCACAACAAACGGCAGGACAAAGTCTCTGTAAAAATCATTAAATAGGAGAGGCTTGCCAGGAGGAGACAAACGCTCATATTCCCATAAAATTTCGGTGTCATGACCAGTAATGTGATGGAAAGACAGCACTCTTTGACACATGTTATCTTTTTCGTGATGTAAAGTGGCTATGGGCTCCCCTTGGAACCGGGCGCCGGGGTTATCAAGTAGCGTTGTATTGGCAACTTCGAACAATATCCAAGACACCATCAAATCGCCGCAACAAGAGCCAAGTGTTGTGCCGGCCCAGTGGTCCAACATTGCCTTGGTTTCCTCCTTGGCCTTGGGACCAAAAAGTGCGTCCATGGCTGCCTTCGATATGGCGACACCAGAGCCACCGTGGCCAAACGTCGACATTTTCTCACCATGATGTTTGACTTCCATCATGCCTGCTGGAGAGCCAATATAATACCTCTCGGTATGATTCAAGGTCGCAAGATACTGTACCAAGTTGTCCCACATGATATAGGTGTCGTCGTCCATGAACACGAACCATTTAGAATTCGGGCTTCGCTTGTAGGCATCCCAAAGCATAGGCATGTTCTTGAACTTATCGTTAGCCCAGCCATCATTACGGTCATGGAAGTCGAGATCCGAAATATCCCAGCGATAACCTTCGCGGTGGACTTTTCGCATTAAACGGTAAGATGTGAGCTGCTCGTGCTTCATAACATTTTCGGGGAGATCTCGTAAAATGTCAATAACCTCGTAACCTCCAATCGACCCAGCAAAGTCAGAATAAATAGCAAAGTTTTTCGTCCGCGTGAGGGTGGTGAACAGATGGATGGGCAGGCGTTCCCACATAACTGTGCCACCGGTTTTGAGCATTAGAAAAACATCGTTGATTAACTCCGACGGATAATCTGCGACCAATGTTTGCTCCAGGTACTTTGCCGCGGTCTTGAAGTGCGACGGAGGGGCCTGCGGTGGCCGCGGGATCTCGCGACCCCTGTCCGGGCCTGGTTGGCCGGCCCGCTCCTTGAACATGTTCTCTGCTCGCCAGACTTCGGGACTTTCGTACCGCATACACATGTCTAAGTCTGGATAGACCCGCTTCAAATCAAAGCCACCACCCACGTCCTTGTCCTTGTACAAACCGCCTGGGCCGTTCTGCTGGAGTTTAAAATAGCCAGACTTCAAGTGATCCCGTGCGTGGTCCACGCCCCCCAACACGTAAAGAGTTGAAGCACAGATAATCAGCACAACCAGCACCAGGTACTTTTGACGGTTTAGTGCCATGAGTTGTGTGAATTCGAGACGAAGAATAGTCTTGTTTGCGATCGAAGCCGCATTTTGGGCGCTGCACTGTAGCATCCACGTGTCCGTGCTGGGCGTTTTACCCATGCCCTACTCTTCAACTTCAGATGCTTACTTTTTCGTAAAAGATTCGGAAAAGCTTGGAGCGGCTGCTGCTAACCCTTGGTAGAACTGCTATCTCAATGCCACCAAATTGGTCTGTGCAAGGCTCGGGACTATGTAGCTGGCTAATTTCGCTGTCCTGTATCTTCCTGCATACAAATGTATGCTAGGTGAATCTTGGTGATAGATTATGTTCGCTGCAATGTGAGGCAATATTTTGCATTTCGTTTGAGTGAGTTTTTTTTTTTCTTCTTTTTTTGCCCGGTTCTTATTTTAGGTTCGAATTTGAATAAAGGGATGAAACTATATTGAATTAAGGAACCCCCAATGTGTGGCCTCCTTCATGTATGAGGACCCGATCACTACAGCTAGTCACAAGGGTCGTTTCCATTTCTCAACACCAAAAGTATGCTGTATAGGGATAAAACACCTGGGAATAAATAGCGCTTGCAATATGTGAGAAATTTATTGTACAGAGGTAGCCTGAGCACGAGCTGAGTGAGTTCGTTGACGCTCGCGTTTCCAGGCTGCATTCACGAGCAGCTCTATCCCTGCGTCAGGAACAAGCTCTGTAACACTGATTGGGTAAGGGCAGCCGCTCACTGGGCAAGCGACCTCGTCTCCATTGGTTTGGGAGAGTTCTTCAATATACTGTAGAACAGCGTCGCGGCTGAAATGATGGCCGCATCTGGCCCGGACGGGATTTTGTAGATATTCACCGGTTATAGGGCATTTGTAGTCACGCACTGTCCGACCGATCATGATACCATCGTCATCCACTTCTTCTAGCTCCATGAATTGCACAACGTCTGAGGCGGTCAATAAGGGCGTAGGGGCGATTGAACCACCTGCGACAGCATTGCGGAAGCGAACGTAACTGTCCATTTGAACGGGTGTGTATCCAGGAATTGTTCGCGTGCTGCTCTTTTGTCGCTGTTGTTCCAAAGACTTGGAAAAAGAAACGTTCAAAGCATCAACAGATTGCTCCGACGCTAGAACATCTTGTGCCGATTGACCAAGAGCTTGAGCATGTGTAGAGGCGTACGACTGGACATGCTTCAGAGCTTTAGTATCATTTTGGACCGATTTTTCCACCCGCATTGATGCCACAAATTCCGAGTTCAAGGCATTTAGATGGTCCTCTATAGCTAGTGAAATTTCCGCGCCGTCAATCTCGTTTTGAACGGCCACGGAGATGTCCCGAAGTAGCTGCGCTGTTTCACTGCATGAGGACTGATACTCTGATATCATATCGTTCAATGAATCATATTTACTTCCAATAGCTGCGACAGTACTTGCTACTGCCCGCGAATAAGGATACGATCGCGTCCCAAGATCTGGATCTAGATCAGCCATGGAAGTTACTAAGTAGGCGACGCTAGCTTGGGGGAGTGAACGCTAACTTGAAATGTTTTGACGTGCTGTTAAGAATTACATAGGAGGTAGATAGGGCTCTGGCCGGTCGCTAAACACGACTTTGTGGGTTAATATTTGAGTCACGGGTATCTCTGAGGCATCCGCTGATGGAGGCATTTCCATGACGGCCAAAGGTTTCGCTAATTTGACGACTTTGCCTACGAGCTTTTGCCTGTTCCCAACAATCAAAGTCACTGTGTTAGAATTGCCCTCTGCAAACTCGATATCACCCAGTTCTGTGAATTGAGTTATTGGCTGAGCGCGTTCCGTAGCGTCCTCTTCTCCGGTCAGCGGGAGCTCACCAACGTTTATAGTGCCCTGTATCTCCACAAGGAGCGTCCCGTCACTGGTATTTAGAACCTGGGGGAAGTTTTGGGTGGGTTTTTCGCGTATTAACGGCTCGTCGCGTAGAACAACCTTTGCAGACGGCATACAGAAGTTAGCTAATCCTGAGCATTTATGTCGCTGAGAGTGTGCGCAGAACTATTCGGAGTACACTGTATAAAAACAAAAGTTATCGACGAACTATCTCCATACGTCATATACGTCTTGTTTAGAGCTTAATTCGGTATATTTTGGTCGAGCCATCTTAGTCAATCTTGTGACTTTATTAAGACGCAGCATGGCTGAGGTCGAATTGAAGACCATTTTATTCGCACAATGCGTCACTAGAGAAGCCCAAAAACATAATCATGGAGGCCGACCAGATATGAAGCGGGTCATGAAACGTCTGAGGAACCACCCGCTAAGCGTTGGCATACATCTCAGCTCCCAGGAAGCTGCACAGCTATACAGCAAAATATTTCCCAGGCGGCCATCGGTAGCAGTGCTTGAATCTGCCACTGCCGACCTTGTGAAGGAGTATATCAAAACTGAAGTCAACAAACTCGAGCAGGACCTTGAGGAAGGGGCTGGACCACTTAACCAGCGCTTCGGGCGCATCCATAAGGCGGTAGAAAGCCGGTCGGACGAGCCGGAAAATGCACATGAGAAGAAAGTCAGGCACGAGGCTGTCAAAAGATTCCAGGGTCGGGCATTTCCCCTATTGGACGATTTTATGTCTTGGAGGTCCTCGTCTTTCTTTGCTCAGCCGGTAACTGAGTCTGAATATTATGAAGTTGTCAAGGCACCCACAGACTTGAAGACAATCAAAGCCCAGGTCAAAGATGGTACAATTACCAGCGGTGCCGAACTAGAAAGAGAAATTCAACGAATGTTTGCCAACTCAGTAATGTACAATCCCTGGAACTCTTCCATGTCGGAATGGACAAGAGAAATGCAGCAGGAAGCAGAACTACGGCTGGCTATGTTCCGCGAATTCGATGAGGACAGGCGTTGATATTTAAAAAGAGACACTCATAGTTTTTCTAATTCAACCACACCCGTGTGCCCGTGTGTGCCCTTACTATGTACTATACGTTTAACGCATACCTTGTTGTTGCATGAGCTTGGCGTTCTGCTCTTGGAAACGCTGGCCAACCCGCTCAGAGTGCTTAAGGAACTTCTCGGCGCACTTGTTGACGCAGGCCTCCTCCTTAGCGGAGATCTGCTGGGAGGTGAAGTCGTTGACGCAATCAGCAAAGCAGCGCTCGACCAGAGAAGAGTACAGACGCATAAAGTCCTTCATCTGCTTCTTCTCAACCAGCTGCTGGAATTCCTGCTGCTCCCGGGGATTAAGTTGATCCATTTTTCTTGTGTTAGGTCAAAAGGTTTTCTCCTCGTCTGAGTAATTTGGGAAAAGGGGGGCGGCCCATTTTCTCGCGGACAATTTTTCAGCTGACCTAAGCAAGCTCTCTTCCCCAGAATTGCTAAGGACCCAATTCCCCCTCCTATAGTACCCGAACACCCCCAACCAGGTCTTAACCATTTCACTTGGAAGCCGCTATTAGATGGCAGAAGAACGGCCGAACCCGGTCATTGCGGTAGTTTCCGGTGGTACACGAGCTCTAACTACCCAGTTCTTTTCGTTCTATATTCGTGTACCTGTAAAGCTTTTTCGTCCTGCTCGTATTGACTACACACAACTGCTTCGGAGATCGTTGCCGGCGGCAAATAACGAGCCCTGGTCGTTTTGGCGGCACTCAAATCCCGCCATGCTGGTGCGTGCCGTGCGCAAGCACGGGTGGGAATTTATTCCTGACAAGCTGCTGCCCCCGATTCTTGCTAACTCCGTAATAGGCGCTGTACTGTACTCGACCTATTTGTCGGCCCTCTATGTGCTCCAAGCTAGCTCCGGCAACAAGCAATATCCAACGATAAAACAAACTGCAGTTGCTGGTGCACTTGCTGGTGGTGCTCAGGCGCTGGTCGCCACACCGCTTGATGCAATCACCACGAGATTCGACCACGATCTTATGCGCACTTCTACGAACCTTTGGAAGTATGGTGCTGAACAACTGAAAACTTTAGGACCCAGAGCTGCTTATGGTGGTATTACCTTGAATCTGGTGCGCGAATGCTCTGCCTTTGCAGTATTTTTTGCGTCTTTCGAGCTTGTGAAAGGTCCCATGTACAGGAGCTATGCCCGATGGTGGTATTCTCCGAGCTATTTCCATCCTGAGGGCAGAAAAAAGAGCCGAGTGCTTTATCCATCATTTGTACTACTCGGTGGTTGTGTTGCCGCGGCTGCAATCCAGATTTTCAGCTACCCATTAAGCAAACTGCACAAAATGCATACCCTTCGTTTGCAGGCGATTGATCAAACCCCCAACCATAATCGGGGATTCCAAGACTATCTTTATTCTTATCACAAAACTTTTCAGGCCATGAAAAAGCAGGTTAAAAATGTTGCAAATGGCTCATGGACCCGCTGGTTGTATGGAGGCGTATTTCGCTATACGCTAGCCAGTATGCCTAGCACAAGTATCGGTTTGCTAGTCTTTGAAATTATGCGGATCAGATACGCACCAGAGCCTGCAGGTGGAGCCTATGAAGCAGATGATGATAAATAGGACCTGATGGCCGCTGATATTTTTATTATAGATTATTGTTTATAGAAATCTATCTTATATGCGAGCCTGGTAAGCCTCCCATCCGGCTTTCTGGTAACGCTTGGCCTCTACAATTGGATCGCGGCCCTTGCCGTAAAGACCGCGACCAACAATGATCACATCAGAGCCATTGGCAACAACCTCATCAACGGGGCGGTACTGCTGGCCAAGGCTATCTCCCTTGTCGTCAAGACCTACACCAGGCGTCAGAATAACCCAGTCCTCACCATTCTGTTCAGGCATACGATTTTGTGCAATGAATCCGAACACAAAGTCTTGGTTGTTGCGGGCAATTTCGACCGTCTGGGCAGAGTACTCACCCGTCGCGAGGGAGCCTTTGGAGGAAAGCTCCGAAAGCATAATAAGACCACGCGGCTCTTTAGTAACCTCACGAGCTCCTTCATAAAGCCCCGAAACAATTCCTGGGCCAGGAACACCATGGGCATTAGTGAGATCTGCCCATTGAGCGATCTTGAATACACCGCCAATGTACTGAGCTTTGACTGTTGAGCCGATATCCGCGAATTTACGGTCTTCAAAAATCAAAAAGTTGTGTTTCTTGGCAAGCGACTTGAGACCACCGACCGTCTTGTCGAACTCAAAGTCGTCGACAATGTCAATGTGCGTTTTAACCATGCACACATAGGGGCCAACCTTATCTGCGAGGTCAAGGAGTTCTTCGGTGGTTCTCACATCAAGCGACGCACACAGATTACTCGATTTCTCCAACATAACCTCAAAAAGACGGCGTGCGAATGCACTGGGGTGAGTTCTGGCTCGAACCTCGTAGGACATATTTTTCAGTTACTACACTTTACTAATCAGTGATTATTTAGAGCAGCTCATCGGTGGTTTATTCTTCGTTTTTCCGGGTCTCCGCCTGTTCGCTGGGCACTTCTTCAGTCTCATTTGCAGTCGCATCCTCGACCTTTGACTCAGGAGTCTCTGGTGTTTTCTCTGTACTCAGCTCGGGCTCGCGCTCGGGCACAGGCTCGGGTTCGAGATTTTTGCGAACAAGAGCGGCAATTTCAGGGACGAATCCTTTGAGTTGGCGTTCAGAATCGTTCCAGAACTCCTCTGTACCATGGCCAGCCATGCGCATAACTAGGACCACGTTTTTTAGCATCTCCGTGACGCTTTCCTGTAAGGCTGGCTGCCTTCGGGAAGACAATAGACGATCCAGAACTCTCAGGAGAGCCAGCCATGGTTTTTCAATATCCACATCACTTCTCATAGCGTAGTGCAAGAACACCTTTCCGCCCAATGATGAGGCCTGCTGGCGCGTTCGTTCCATGCCTGTTGCGTCGCAGTTAAAGACCTCTGGCTTGAGCAGTTGATTCAGCAGGCCAATAACCGCTACATCAAAGATGCGTTGCCAAGACTCTCCGCTCTTTGCAGTTTGCTGCTCAAGTAGTATCTTTTGGAGTCGAGCGACGGCTCCTTCCCGTAGCTCCTTAGTGAGCGCCATGTAGCATGGCTCTTGCAGGGCCGTCAAGTAGCTTGCGACCTCTTCGGGCGACCTATTCAGATTTTGCATTCCATAAAGTGCATCCAGAGCGTCTTCTGATCCTTTAGAGGCAAGTACTGCAAGTGCATGCTCGGCTGCGGGACGCGCCTCGGGTGTAACTTCAGCACTGTGCTCTTTGGCAAATGCAGCTGCAAGACTTAAATCACTTGTCTCCAGTAACTGCCAAAGCCTAGCACTGCCCACCGGTAAGTTAGGCATAGAAAGCAAACCATCCGCAGTCTCCAAGTTTGCCAGCATCTGATCAACAAGATCCAGCTTACCAGAAACTAGTGCCGCGTGTAAGGGAACCAAACCATCAAAGTTGCCTTCAGCATTGGCACACACAGAAGCAATCTTCTCCGCATGTTCGCTACGGCCGCCTGCCATTTTTAGGGACAACTCCAAAAGCATAATCCGACTTGCTGAATATTTGGAGCCTGCCGGTGGTAATGCCGCCATAATTCCATCAATAGCAGTCTCGGCAATGTCCGAGCTTTCAGCGCAGATCTTGATAATATTATCAACGATAGTCAAGACGTTGCATGCAGTCACACAATCCTGAGCACCAAGGGCCGCATCCACTTCTTCATCACTGGGCTCACTGGGCTCATCGGGATTAGCCGTCAAGTATGAACTGAGTGCGCTGAAAATACCTACGTTGCGTCCTGCTTTACCCCGCTCGAAGCGATAGGCGGCAGGCACCCTATCGAGGCCTGGAGGCACAAACAAATCATAAATATACAGGTTTGTCACGACACGCGCAAACAGCTCCCAGCCTTGAGGTGACAATGCGTCCAGTTGCTTGTTCTCAACGGCATCACTGAAGATTTTGAACATAGTTATGGATGCCATCTGGGCCTTGAGGTCCGACCCAAACGGACTAGAAAGGTCGCTCACAATAACGTCGTACGTGGTTCCATCATCACGGTATATAGCAACACAAAGGTTTGTTTTTGGAACTACCAAATCACCACTTGCCAATGTAGAAATTTTAGCAAGACAACGCACAATATGGTCAAAGGCGGGTTGCAGCTCAAACTTCGCGGCGAGGGAAGCTGCTTGACGGAAGCCGGTGATAACACGACTGAAAACAACGTCATCTGTTGCCGTAGCAAAAATAAACGATAGAGTCGAGACAATAGGACGCCATGAGTTGGCAAAAACGTAGCGGTCAATATAGGGCGAGGCATTAGTTTCAAATTCACTTGCCTGCGGCAGCGAGAGCTGCAGTTCACGCCATGCATATTCAAAGGTTTCGTCAGTATCGTGTTCCTCAGGTAAAACAATCTCACGGTGCTTGATAGTCGTATAGATTTCACGCAAATAATCCTCATTGAAGTCTTTGCCATTATTAGCTCCTCGTAAATTATTCTTGAATGAATCAAACTCCATTCTTCGTTTCACCTGTGGGCTATGTTGATCAGTATTGAGCATGATCACTGCGTACGCCAGAACAAATGCAGCATCAGCATTCGCAACTTGATCAGAATGACACCCATTTGCAATATAGTGCTCACTAAAGCGCTCGAAAATGGGTTCAATCTCTGCAGACTCACCCGGTAATCGGAAACAGCATAGGAATTCTCTTAAAGCCTCATCGATGCGCTTCTCGGTGAAATCGAATCCGTCAATAAACGATCTAAGAATATCCTTGTTAACAGCTCTGGCTAAAAAGCGTCCAAGCTCGCCCTTGTGTAGACGACGAGATGAGCGAAGGAAAGCGGCGATTGCTTGTGGCGATTGCTCAGAGATTACACCGCGCTCCAGCATGAGCTCTATTCCCTTTTTAGGAGACTTGTTGAACTCAGTAGTGACAACAATCTCGATATCCTTGCGCCGTTTTCGCTCAATAGCTTCTGTAACCTCTTGAGGTTCCTGTTCTGTGATGAGGGAAGATCGGGAAGTGATACGTTGAAGAAGAGCAAGCACGGCTTCCAAACAGAGCGGTGGGACAGCAGGAGTTGACCAAGTCGCACTATCAGGATAAGCACTGCGGCACAAAAAGCCTACCAAATCCTGGCACATGTCTGTTTGTGAGGTATCACAGTCATAGTTTGCGAACAAAGACGGGAAGAAGGACACGCCATGGGAGAATCGAGTGAGCGTCTCAACCATGATCTCACGAATTTCTGGAGCACGCGAAGTCGCATTAGGACCAGGCGGCTTAACACATGCCGGGCGGACGACAATACCGTCATAAAAGATGTCATCCATCGAGGTGTCACGAGGTAAATCCGTGAGAGGAGCCAAAGCGCCAAGCAAATAGGCGAGAATGAATTCAAGCTGCAGCTTGTAGTGCTGTCCACCAGTCTCCATAATTAAGCCCACGAGTTGTAATGATTCATAAACAAGAGCCGGGTGCTCGCGGCGGACCAGTTGAGCCAAATACTTGAACAGATGGGCGGAAATCAAGGTCACAAATGCAGAATGCTGAGCTATTCCTCTACCTGCAATCTCGAAGCATACACGGAGAATGCGTAGAACCATAACTCTGGTCGAATCAGTGTAGGCGTGTTGACTTTGGGGGTTTGTGATGCTAACCAACACGCGAAATGTTTCTAAGATTGCCGGGGTTGAGAATGGTGCGGTATCAATCTCTTTCTTGTCGGTTCCGTTCGCCTGCTGCGACGGGTTGCCATCTGTAGTGCTGGCCGCAATGCTAGCCGCGTCCCCGTTCACCGAGTCTGTTTCAGCAGTCGTTGAATCGGTAGCGGCAAAAGTACCAGCTGTGTTGCCACTACTCATATCATTCTGAGGCATAGGACTCTCGATATTCAGAACATCGTCACCAAAGTCTCGGCTGCCTTGGTCCTCAAACGGCAGCTGGCTAAACACTAACCTCATTAGTCCAGTTACAGTGGAAACCACCGAGCGGCGAAGGGCATCGCCGCGTCTCATTTGGCACGCCATACTAAGACAAGTTTCGACCAGCTCACATACAGCTTCATTGCAGAGTCCCAGCCCTAGTTCAGACACAATAATCTTGTCCAAAACACCCATAAGCTGGACGAGCACCGCATCATCCTCGTACTGGTCGGTGGCTCTAAACCGGCAGTTGGTGATGGCCATCGCAACTTTGTACAAAGCCTCACCAATGTCTGGCATCTTTGTGTTGATGACCTTCAAAACCACCATTTTCTCCAATGCCGAGAGAGCAAGAGATGTTATGGCCCCCGTGGTGCTGGGGGCTTTGATGACCGCAATGAAGGGGTCAACAAGCGCAACTGCGGTCAGATCACTGAAGTTCTTAGATTCGATCTCGGACCGTAACTTTGCAAAGGCCCAAATCAGCGGCTGGCTAGTCGTGGACACGTTGACCTTGTTGGATGTTCGGAGGCCCAGCCGCTCGCTCAACGTCGTGTCGCCGTCCTCGTTCTGCGTTCCCAGAATAGCAGCAATACCAGAGTGTGTCTGCCGCGAACTCTTCCGCATAGCAGACATTATGGCTATGCACTCGTTCGCGACAAGATAGCCGCTATCCACTGCACATTGCATATTGCTTAGAAAACTAGTGTCCCCGCGGTGATTTGTAAAAGCGAGGCCTAACCGGAGGGCGAGAATGCGCCATATTTAGGATTGCCAGCGTTGTGGAGAACTAAAAAAAATCTACAGCTATATTTCAATCTTCGTCAACTAGCTAGGGGAGGAATTGTTTCACCACCAAAATACTTGGCTGCGACTGATGGTCATAAGGACAAGCACAAGCCACATGAGGGCAATAGGTTCATCCTTTTTCGATTCAAACTTGAACCCGACCTTGGAGTAGTAGTAAATCATGCCTACGAACGTGGCAATGGAGAGAGCCGAGCTGAATGTTCCGACAGGCGCGCAGTTGGGTGCGTAGTAGGCAGAACAGACCTGCTCGAACAACTGGAGTAGAGCCCAGTACGACAAGCTAAAGGCCAGCGCCCCGAGTCCAAAACTGGTAGAGAGATAAAGCATGCTCATGGGATATGATACAGCACAGAATGCCCCACAAATTCGACAGATAACGTTAAGTAAGCTCCTGCATGAATGTGTTTCGAGGCTGGTAGGGCGTGCACTCGTCTCGGCATGTTAAAGCTCAACAGTTCGTCTTGTATCCAACTCACCCAGTCGTGCCATCTCACAGTCAATTGTGTGTTTGACTACCCTAAGCATGCGCAAAAGTGGTGCCCTTGCGGTTTGGTTGGCGCGTCATCCTGCAGCTCTGCTAACCGTCAGCTGGAAAATTGGGAAGATTACCGAAAAAAAAAATTCTAAGCGATCATGCCTGACATCTCAAACTTGTTAGCACCAGAATCCGACGAGGAGGACGTTCAAGACATCGTCCTTGATTCTGATGTTGAGGAAGCGTCTGGCTCGTCTTCCTCGAGTTCGGAGTCTGAGAGCGAAGACGACCAGAGGTTCCCCGATCTGGATAGCGACGAGGACGACGACGAGACGATTATGAGGGACATTGCGCCCAAGAAGATCTCTGGCTCGTCGTTCTCTGCTATGGGACTATCAAAATTGATTTTAACTAACATTCAACGGAAAGGCTTCAAGACACCAACGCCAATTCAACGCAAAGCAATTCCGCCCATTGTGGAAGGACAGGATGTGGTGGGTATGGCTCGTACAGGTTCTGGTAAAACCGCCGCTTTTGTTCTTCCCATGATTCAAAAGCTAAAGGTCCACAGCGCCAAGGTTGGTGCGCGTGCACTCATTCTCTCTCCGAGTCGTGAACTCGCTATCCAGACGCTAAGGGTTGTTAAAGACTTTTCGAAGAAATCTGATTTGCGAAGCGTTCTGCTGGTTGGTGGTGATTCTTTAGAAGATCAGTTTGGATTCATGATGAACAATCCAGATATTATCATTGCTACTCCCGGTCGTTTCTGGCATTTGCAGGTCGAAATGAGACTCGACCTTTCAACTGTCGAGTATGTTGTGTTTGATGAGGCAGACCGTCTATTCGAGATGGGTTTTGCTGAGCAGCTCAACGAAATTCTGGCCTCGTTGCCAGAGCTCAGACAAACGCTCCTTTTCAGTGCCACCCTGCCTCCTTCTTTGGTTGATTTTGCTAAAGCAGGTCTGAAAAATCCCCAGCTTGTGCGTTTGGATGCCGATCAAAAGGTATCTGACCAGCTGCAAATGGGTTTTTTTGCTACAAAGGACTCTGAGCGTGATGCGGCTTTGCTGTACATTCTGCAGGACCTGATTAAAATGCCTTTAATGTCTGAAGAGCAGCGCGAGTATCTGAAGAAGCGTGAGGATGTTGTCTATGATGAGGAAGGTAAACTTGAACGCCGAGAGCGGCTGCCTCATGCACTCGAACTTCCGACCCCTCAGTCTACTATTGTATTTGTTCCAACAAAGCATCATGTCGAGTATATCTCCCAGTTGTTGAAGCTTAATGGTTACGCTGTTTCAGCTATTTATGGTTCTCTAGACCAAGCAGCCCGACGAGAGCAGTTGTACTTGTTCAGAGCAGGAAAAACAAGCATCCTGGTTGTGACTGACGTTGCCGCTCGTGGTGTTGATATCCCCATGCTAGCAAACGTTATCAACTTCAACATGACCACCAGTGCTCGTGTGTTTGTTCACCGTGTTGGTCGTACCGCTCGTGCTGGTCATCAAGGATGGGCCTACACCTTGGTCAGGCAAAGCGACCTGCCCTACTTGGCCGACCTCGAGGTCTTTTTGGGTCGTAAAATTGTTAATGCCAAAGGAGACTATTCTCAATCGCTTGTGCTGGGTGGTCTGCCTCGCTCGGGGGTGGAATTCCATATGGAGCAAAATTTACACCTGCTCAAGCGTGAATATGATTTGAGTGAGCTCAGTAAAGTTGCCCTCCGTGGTGAAAAGCTTTACAACAAGACTAGAGAGGCAGCGTCGAAAGAAGGTGTGCGTCGGGCCCGTGAACTGGCTAATACGACATGGGATAGGCCTCACCCACTGGCGGTCCACGATGATGAAGCTGCTAAAGAAGACCTGCTAGCACAATTCGCAAACCGTAAAACCAAAGAAACTGTTTTCGAATTCAAAAAGAATGGCGCTGGCGACTCAGCCCAGTTGATGGCTCGCCGCAGAGTGCAGATCGCACCTGTCCAAGAGCGGCTTGCCAAGCGCAAGAGGGTTGCCCAAGCAGAAGCAGATGCATCGAATAAGGCGGCAGAAGAAGCAGCATCTAGCAAGGCGGCATCTGCTGGACGGTTTGCGGACAAGACCTTTTTCATGAGTCACTATGAGCCTTTGGAAAGTCTACAAGAACGTGGATACTCTCTACATGGAACTGCCGGCTTCAGTGATGCTGTGCGAGATGTATCCTTTGGTGTCAATGATGAAGGTAAAGATTTCCAAACCAAGCAGATCACACGATGGGACAAGAAACGCGGCAAGTACATCAACACCACTGGCGAAAACAAAGTCAAGTACATCAAAGGTGAAAGCGGTCACAAAATCCCTGCGTCACTTCGCACTGGCAAGTTTGAAGATTGGAAGCGTGCCCATAAGGTGTCTGGCATCACAGATGGACCCAACACAGAATTCAATAAATTCCAGCACCGTAAACTCAAGGCCCCCAAGCCTGCAGACAAAGCGCGTGATGATTATGCAAAACGCAAAGGTAAAGTCGCTAAGGCAGTGGAAAGTGGTTTGCGGGTCAAAGGTCACCCTACATCGGTTAGCCTTGGCATTCAATCGAACCAGACGATTCAAAAGCAGCGTGCGCAAAAGCAAAAGCGGTGGGAGAAGTCTAACCAGCCAGCTAAAAGACGTAAATAATATGTATCATGTTATATCTGATCAACGATATTTTGAAACTGATCTGCGGAAGGATCTTCTGCGAGAATCAAATTTTCTTCGTTGATGCGCATCGTATTTAATAGTCACAGTATTCCTGGCTTGGCGAAACTCTAAACATATACAAACACCCACGATTAAGCACCAGCGGGGCAATCTTATTACAACCTAGTCTTTATTGCCACACTATGCTTCAACAGACTTTCTTAGATTAAGTTCGCCATCTCGCGAGGTATAGATTTGGGAGGGGCGCCAGCAGCATGTAAGAAAACAAGGCCAGCTTCGATCGCGGTTGTTCAGGCCAACTCAAGCCAAAAATGCAGCGAATGAATGAGCCAAACCTTTGATAGTAGCCTGCTCAGTTGAGCTCAGGTGATACAGCCAGTACAAAGATATTTATGAACGATTTAATCGAAAATGGACTGCATGTTCTACTCTATCACCTTACCCAACTGACGAAAACGGTTTCTGCATTATGGCATCACTATGCATCTGATCGTAGCCGTAGCTTTTTGATTCCGTCTGTACACCGACAAGTAGACAACTATTTTCACCTGAAACTCGTATAATGCAATATGCTTGATTTTCCAAACACATTGCAGCCGACATTCCGACTGTTCAGAATGACGGCTTTTCTGACCTAGTATACACACTAGCTGGACGGTGGTTAACAACACGACCGGCAAGACGGAAAAATTCTTGCCCTAGGGCCACATATGCCCACCATAGTAGATCCATCTACACTAAAAATACGCAAGTGGGGATAAAAATTTTTGTGAGGTTTCAGAAGCGGTTAGCCAATTTCCCAACTTTCAGGTTATAGAGTGAGTAAAGGTTTTCTTTTGACGCACTGCAAATCGCGCGGTTCTCCACACTGTAGGCGGTCGACTTCTCACGCCCCTAAAGCGTATGTGTCTGAAAAAAACACCCTTAAAAACAACGTATATTTAATTGGATAAAACGAGGAAAAATGTGCCTCTTCTACAAATAGTGGCCAGCTTGCTTGGGGTTGATTGTTTTGGGCGTCCAAGGGTTCCCCTGCGGGTCATCCGGAAATGTCAATGTAATGTTATATTGGGAATCATGAATAATCGCTATACGCAAATATGGACCGCCAGGCAATGCGCAAGGTAGTGATAGTGCTCTATAGTTCTAAAACAGTGAAATAGCTGGCAAAGATTGTAGGCCTTGGCAGCCCAGAATCGTTCTGCAGCGGTAAATCGGAGTGGCCATCTCAAGCTTACGCTTCAGGCCATATCCGCTGCACGTAAGCGTTATATAAGCGATGCATGTGGGTAGAAACCTTGTGAACTTAATAATACACATGAGCGCATTTTATCGCGAGTGCGGGGGTGGTTGATGTCTGGGTTATACGCTTGTTGGCAGTCTGAGTTCAAACCGGAGTTTTAGAAAATGAAAAAACCAAATGAGCTATCGCCCCAGCTCAGGACCCACGGTTTCTGACTTAGATGTCCGGTACCCCTACCCGTATGCATCATCTGGAAAAAAAATCTGCAGGGCGACCCGGTTGTCCCACTCTTTTAGATGGTTGCCCGATCGTTGCTTTGACGGGTCCGCAAAAAATGGGGAAGGGTATAGTGGGATGCCGTTAGCGCGTTTGAAGGTTCACGATCCGCAGGAACTTGTCGTGTTGGACTGGTAGACAACATTATTTCCCCGCACGCCGTGGAATACCCTGGGGGAAATCCCGCACTACCTCGGAGGGAAAACCTGGTACCCCTGCGTTCTACTGTGCTGGTTAAGCTGTGCCAAGCACGGCTGCGGAGGTGGGTTTGCGCGAAAAGCTTAGCTCAGCGAGGGTTAGCTGCATGCACTATGACCTAGCGGTACGCATGGTAAACGCAGCGTGCAGAAATCCGGAAATGTTATATAAAGTGTATAAATCTGGGGCATCGTAATCTGCTCGTAAACTACCCCGCATTAAAATGGTTCGTGAACGATCAGGTACCATGCTTTCACGCATGAGTGACAAGGTCGCAGTGGTCATGCCTACTGATATGAAACGTTCATCCACTATGGGCCTGACTGGCCGCCCTCTGCGCTGGCTCATCTCTTTCGCCGCTACTGTTGGCTTCTCGCTGTTCGGTTATGACCAGGGTCTGATGTCCGGTATCGTCTCAGGCAAGCAGTTCTGCCAGAAAGAGTTCAAAATCCTCTGTAAGAACCTGTTGGACAACGACGACACTACCCATGACGATGATGTCCGCCAGGGCGCCGTCACTGCGTGTTATGAGATTGGTTGTTTCTTTGGTGCATTGTTTGTGCTTGGTGTTGGTGAGCGCTGGGGCCGTAAGCCTCTTATCATGACCGGCTGCTTCATCATCATTATCGGTACCGCCATTTCAGCGACCGCATTTGGCGACAAATGGGGTCTTGGTCAGTTCGTCATCGGCCGTGTCATTACTGGTATTGGCAATGGCATGAACACTGCAACTATTCCTGTCTGGCAATCTGAGATTGCCCGCCCTGAGCTCCGTGGTCGCCTTGTGCAGCTTGAGGGTTCAGTGGTTGGTGTCGGTACTATGATTGCTTATTGGCTCGACTACGGTCTGTCATTTGTTGATTCTTCAATTCAATGGCGTCTTCCTGTTGCCATGCAGATCGTTTTTGCATTGATTGTTTTCCTTTTAATGATCGGTCTTCCTGAGTCACCTCGTTGGCTCGTCAACCATGAACGCGAGGAGGAGGCCCGCCCTATTTATGCCGCCTTGGAGGATGTGCCGTTGACCGACGAGATTGTCGAGACCCGTTTAGCTCATGCTATCAACGACTCCAAGCGTTCTGGTGGTGGTAGGATGCGCTTCTCTGAGCTCATGACTCACGGCAAGACCGCCCATTTCTCTCGTATGTTGATTGGTGCTTCTACCCAGTTTTTCCAGCAGTTTACTGGTTGCAATGCCGCCATTTACTACTCGACTATTCTATTCAAGAAGATGGATCTTGGTGACGTTATGTCCCTGACCATGGGTGGCATCTTCGCCTCTATTTACGCTGGTATGACTCTGCCTGCTTTCTATCTTATTGAAAAGTGGGGTCGTCGTCCCTTGTTTTTGTTTGGTGCCATTGGCCAAGGCTGCTCCTTCATTATCACCATGGGTTGTTTGGCGGCTGTTCGTACCTCTCAGTTGAAGCGTGCTCACGCAGATCTCACCCACCACGAGAAGCAGGTCACCAAGGGTGCTGCCGTTGGTTTGTATCTGTTCATTTCATTCTTCGCTATGTCCATTCTTGGTCTGCCCTGGATTTATCCTCCTGAGATCAACCCTCTGAGAACCCGTACCGCTGCCACTGCCGTCTCCACTTGCACCAACTGGTTGTCAAACTTTGCTGTTGTTATGTTCACGCCAGTGTTTGTTGGTAACGCCGGCTGGGGTGCCTACCTGTTCTTCGCCCTGATCAACTTCATTTGGGTGCCTGTCATTTTCTTGTACTACCCTGAGACTGCTGGCCGCTCCCTGGAGGAGATCGACATTATCTTTGCCCGTGCCAACGAAGAGAACAAGATGCCCTGGCGCGTTGCCGCTGTCATGCCCAAGATGGACAACGACGAGGTCCATGCCGAAGCCCGCCGTCTTGGTCTCCACCTCGACGACGAGCTGCTCGACGAAGAGTCTGGCTTCGACAGCAACGACAAGGCTGCTGGCTACGAGAGCGACACTCCTGGTGAGACCCCTCTCGCTCGCAGCCCCTCGGCTACCTCTGCTTAAAACACTTTTTAGTTGGAAAACTTGACCCCGCTAATTACACTCCGGGAACCCCCATATAAGTTATTTCCGATTTATTATTACATCATAGTGAGAATTTAGAATACCGTGTATTATTTTACAGACCTCTTTGACTGCTGTTTTTTTTCGCCCTTCCTATACCATCCGCGTGCGTCTGTAATATGCATGCCACGTCCCGTAAGGTAAACAAAAAGTGCATGGATAATCGAGGTGGGCTAGAGTAACACGGGCCATGCGTGGGTCGAGATATAGTCGATCATGAATCAACTAGCTGTAATTTATTATTTAGTGCTCTCAGCAGCGAGCTATAATTCGACCCTTTTCACACCTCAGCCGCAGGACGACAGTTTATGAGGTCGTGAAGCTACCCTGATCAGGTCATCATACCACAGTGCTAACACTTGCAAAGGCTAGTCTGAAACAATGGCTGAGGACCAAAAGGAAGTTTCAGATACCCTCAAAAAGGTATACGAGATGATCAGTAAAGAAGATTCGGAAGACCAGGAGTTTGCAATGCAGCAGGCACTGCTTGAAAAGCAAATGGCCATGAGGACAGGTGGTTCAGCGAGCCATTCTAATGCCCCGCCGAGCAGTCCGCCCGCTAATCGCCGCATTTCGGCCCTGTTTGGAGGCGGCAGCTCAGGTAGTGCCAACACGGTAGCCCAGCGCTCGAGCCGGGCAGACGATGTGCAGTTTGCTGCGGAGGTTTCAGAGAACCTTCTCCTCGAGTGTCGTCGTCAACAAGTTCAGATCAAGAAGCTCGAGCAAGAGAGGGGCACTTACTCTGCTGAGCTCGAGTCGCTGCGGCAAAAATTGAACCAGGCCGAGCAAAGAATCGATAGTTCAGGCGCAACGCAAGAGCAATTGCGTGAAGCTAATTGGTCGCTCGAGCTCCAGCTCCAGGAGGCTCAGGCTTTACTGGCCAAGCAGGGCGACGCAGCAAACAAATGGACACAAGAGGCGGCCAAGCTTAAGAACGCCGAATCGTCCCATTTGGAAAAAATCGACCAATTGACCAGTGCTCAAGACGAGCTTACAGAGGCTGCCCGCTCAGCTGCCGCAAAACACGATAATGATGCCCAGACCTTGCGACACTTGGTTGATGAGCTCGAGGAAGAGCTCGCAATTGAAAAGAATCGGGTTGCTACGCTGGAAAGTTCGCTCAAACGTCAGACTATGCTCAACCCTCCCCAGTTGGGGGCCCCTCGAAGCTCTGACAATCGCGCCGAGAACGAAGATGAGTTGACCACCCCTACCAACTCTCCACCGACCTCCCCGATCAAGGCAACCCCAATGAAATCAACGGCTCTGGAAAATGATACCCAACGTGCGTCTTTAAGCCACCTGCAACGGCAGCTGCAAACCATGCGCACAGCACTACAGCGCGAGAAAAACGAAAAGCTCGAGCTCAAGCGTCAGCTTGTCGAGTATTCTCAGGCATCCAATGCTGGAGGTAGGAAAAAGAAAGCCCGACCTATCCCTCGTACTTCGGCTCGTCCCCTTTCGTTTACCAAGCGAGGCACCCCGTCGCTGCAGAGCCATACCACTGATGAAGACGGCGATGATGAATTTGATTTTGAATCTGCGGCAGAGAGTATCTATGAAACAGCTGACAGCGCCATTACCGGAGTTGCCCAAGTTGGATTAGGATTGGGTGCTAGCCCGTCTACCGACTTTTTCAGTGTTGATGAGAACCTTGACGACACTGACAGTGGACAAGAGACACCAACTGGCGAGATTCCGGCCGGAACTCCCAGAACATCATTCTTCCGTCGCATCTTTACGAAATCACCGCAGACGAAAGCAGATCTCAGCACGGAAGTTGAAAGTGAGAGTAATGCCTCATTCAATGATACCCTTAAACCTCTCTCGGACGATATTATTCCGGCAGAAAAGCTTGCTGAACTCGTGTCTGACGAGGATCTATCCAATATCGTCGAGACACGTGGATTTGAACTAGTCAAGCCTAAGCAGGTGCTCCCAGCTGGGTTTGTTGCTGTATCGCGCGGTGAGTACGAAGACTTGAACTCTCGACCTTCAGTAAAGAGCGACGATGCTGTTGTTTTGTCCAAGCAAGAACATGCGGCTCTCATCAAGCCTGATATCGATACCGTCAAATCGCTTGCAGAGTCTGAAGGCTATGTTGTTATTACTTCCGCTCAACACCAAGCACTTGTCGAGCCGTCCTTTGAGGAATGGTCATCCCAGGCATCTAAGTTCCACAAATCGATTGTGGATCCTGAGGAGTTGGCTGAACTACAGTCTCCCACCTTGGGTGCTTTGAAAAATTATCTACAGAAAGAAGATCATGTTGCTGTGCCTGCTGAGGAACATAAATCTCTCTTGAATCCATCCTTGGACATTCTGCAGACCCAAGCTGAGTCTCATGGCCATGTTGTTTTGTCAATGGCCGCTCACGAGACGCTCGTCAACCCCACCTTGGACACTATTCTTCAGCAAGCCCTCAACTACGATCATGTGGTTCTATCAAAAGCCGAGCATAAAAAACTTGAGCATCCTGAATTGGACGCAGTATTCAAACAGGCTGAATCGTACGGTCATGTGGTTGTTCCAGAGGCCGAGTACAAGTCACTTGTCAATCCTGAGCTAGATACACTTCGTCAACACGCAAATACCCACAACCACGTTCTTTTGAGTAGAGAGGAACATTCTGACTTACTCAATCCTGCAATTGAAAAGTTGCAGAATCATGCGGAGAATAAAGGCCATATTCTCCTATCCGCAAAGTCTCATGAGCGGCTGCGCCGTCCTTCTCTTGATAGTATACAGGCTCAGCTTGATGCTCATAATCATGTCATGGTTCCTCGTGAAGAACATAATCAGCTGCTTGACCCCACGCTGGAGAAGGTTGCTGAGTACGCTGTCAAAAGGCATCATGTTGTTGTTCCTGAAGATGAGTATGACAGGCTCAAATCTCCGACCTTCTTGGCCGTCACCGAGGAGGCGAAAAAGCACAACCATGTGTTGGTTTCAATTGACGAGTATAGTACACTTTCCGAACCTGACGTGTCTGCTCTCCGAGAAGGTGCTAAAAAGCTGCACCATGTTTTACTGAGCGATGCAGAGTTTGAAGCTCTCAAGAGTCCAGATATTGAGACCATCTCTAGACATGTGAAGAGCCATGATCACGTCTTATTGTCGCAGGATGAGTATGAGGCACTTGCAAACCCTTCACTGGATCGCGTCAAAGAGCGAGCAGGTGATTTCAAGCATATTGCCATTCCCACCGAGACATACAAGTCATTACTGCATCCTGATGTTGAGTCTCTTCGTACGCACGCAGCTTCTCTGAATCATGCTATCTTGTCTGAAGAGGAGCTCGAGAAACTAGAGCATCCTCCTGCAGATAAGGTCTCGTTGTTGGCGAGCTCGCATTCACTTTCAGTAATCGCTGATGATGAACTCGCCAAGCTTCGCAGAGAGGCCGAGCATCCAACACGCTCAGAGCTTGAGATGCATGCTGCAGAGCTTGATCTTGCTGTAACTTCCAAGCAAGAGATCGAGGAACTGCAAAACCCTCCTTCAGAAAAGATTCACGAGCTGGCCAAGCGTCACAACCTGGTGCTCTTGAGTGCTGCTGAGCATGAAGATCTGATATCGCCAAGCCGTGAGATGGTTGAAAAACACTTGGAGCGTGAAAAACCAAGTCTTGAGGTTGTTCGTGGGCTTGCAAAACATCACAACCGTGTGTTGGTGACTGATGACGATGAAGGAACCCGGTCGTTAGCTGCTCAGCATGGCCTTGCTGTTCTAACTGCTGATAAACTCGAAGAGCTTCAAAATCCATCCTTACAGCGCACAGTACAGGAGCTCAAGCGTCATGGCTATGAAGGTGTTCCCATCGATGAGCTTCAAACTCTTAGACACAAGATTGAAACACCTTCTCTCGAGGAGCTGAAAGGTCGTGCGGATTCTCTTGGCTTTGCTGTTGTTCCTGTGTCTGATTCAGAACTATTTACCAAGCTCAAGCAAAAATTCGACTCGCCTACCGAGTTCGACCTTGAGGAGATTGCTAGCAAACGCGACTTTGTAGCTCTTCCTCGCGATGTATATGAACGTCTAGAGGAGACTACTAAGAACCCCGATGAGGCTACTATAGTACGCTTTGCCAAACAACATGGTCTCGAAGCTATTCCAGTGGCTGAGCTTGAGGCCCTCAAGGAACGTGCGTCCAAGCCCACGCGAGAGGACATTGATGCTTGGGCCTATGACAATGATCATGTTACGCTGCCTACTGAGGAGTACGAGAAGCTGGTTAAGCAGGCCGAGTCTAAACGTAAACAGACCGACCTAGCCAACTTGAGCGTGGCAGAGCGCAGAGAGCACTTTGAGTCTCTTATCAAAAATTCTCGTGGAACCCCCACGAAATCGCTGCAGGCCTCTCCTCAAAAGGGAGAACGTATGACGGAAACTCTCAAATCGTTGGGTTATGTGCCTCTTCCTCAAGATGAGTATCGCCGTTTACTTGCGTCTCAGACGGTGTACGAACCTACTAAGGGTGATATCATGAGAAGTGCGCGCACGTTCGGTATGACGGCTTTACCTACTGAGGAATATCGCAGTCTTCTTGAGCGTTCAGGTGGTAAAGCTGCCAGTAAAGATGATGTTGCGCAGGTCCAAGGTCCTGAGCCCCCACGCACACCCAAACGCAACATTCGTGGATATCCTGATGAAAGCTTTATTGCTACCCCCAGCGAGGATGAGGGTCTCAAAGTCGTGCCTGGTAAGTACCTTGATACATTACGGCGGATCGCTGAGGCTCCTACTAGAGAAGATCTGGATGGCATGGCTAAGCGTCTTGGTCTTGAGCTTTACAAGCCTGACGAGGTGGTTGACATTACCGCACTTGGCCGCAATGAGGATACAGAGAATAAGATCAAACAGGCAGCACGTGAGATTGGCATGACTGAGCTCTTATCTGAAGATGCGATCAAGCAAGAAGCTGTGAAGTTAGGATTTGTTTTACCACTCAGTGACGACGAGATCAAACAACGTGCCGCAGCTCTTGGCCTTGCTGAGCCCCTGGATGAGGAATCAATCAAACTGAAGGCCAAGGAAGCTGGCCTAGTAGAGCCCTTGGAGGATGAAGATTTAAAGGCCAAGGCTAAAGAGCTTGGTCTTGTGGAGCCAATTAGCGACGATGAACTCATGTCTAGGGCTAAATCTGCTGGTCTTATTGAGCCTAGTGATGAGGAAATTCGCAAGCGTGCTATCGTACTTGGCCTTGCTGCCCCTCTTGATGTTGAAGCCATTAAAGAAAAGGCAAAGGCTGCTGGAATGGTGGAGCCCATCTCTGATGATGAGATACGTAGCCGTGCTCTTGCGGCCGGTCTAGTGGAAGCACCTTCGAACGAACAAATCAAGTTTAAGGCTATGGATCTGGGACTTGTTTTGCCTTTGGACAAGGACACGATCAAGAAAAAGGCCAGGGCTTCTGGGCTTGTTGAGCCACTTTCTCAAGAACAGATTTTGGCCCGAGCGAAATCAGCTGGTTTGGTTGAGCCGCTTACCGTAGAGGAAGTCAAAGTCCGTGCTCGTGCAGTGGGACTTGTCGACCCGATTTCCGATGCAGAAGTTCTCGCTCGTGCAAAGAAACAAGGCTGGGTTCCTCCTTTGTCTGACCAAGATTTGCTTGTTCTTATAAAAAATCGTGGCCTCACTAACAAGCTGGTCACTCCAGAGCCTCACATGGATTCTTCTAGTCCATCTCCACCAACCCCCACCCCCCGAGCGACCAGTATACCACCAAGGGGCTCATCGGCCACTGTCACAGCAGCCCCTCCCTCGGTGCACCTTTCGCATCGCCGCTCTGAATCAAATCGGTCGATTGACGAGTTCGGTCTGCCGACTCATTTGGGCGCAACTCGACAGCTTCCGGTGAGTCGCAGATTTGAAATTGTCAAATCGCCATCAGTTGCCGGTCGGGGCCCTCGTCCTGCTCCTGCCCGTTCTAGTGTTATTCGGTCTGCAACTACACCAAACCTTGGCCACAAGTCCTCCCGCGAGAACCTGGTCGAAGATGATCAACAAGTTCGCCAGGCGTTCAACCGGGGTTTCGCTCAAGGGTCTACAACCATCTCGCGCTCTTCGTCGCAACGATCACTGCAATCTAATCTTGTTCAGCGTAAGAACTCGTTGGTTCCCTCAATGGCTAGCGGACTTTCGATTGCTGAGCTTGACCACCCAACCACAATGTCTTTTGTCACTCAGCTAGTCATTGGCGAGTTGTTGTACAAGTATGTGTCGGGCTTCAGTCTGCACGCGTTCACTGGCGGTCGGCACGAACGCTACTTCTGGATTCACCCTTATAGCTTGACGCTGTTCTGGGATAAAGAGAACCCTGCCGTGGGTGGACGTAGCCGGTACACTGGACCGAAATCTGCAGCTATCTTGGATGTCACCGAGATCACTGATCGCAATCCCAACCCTCCTGGTCTGTACTACAAATCGCTCGTGTTTACTACTTCCGGTAAAAGCGTCAAAGTTACGTGCCCCTCTCGGCGTCGTCACTTGATCTGGTATCGTGGCGTCAAGTACCTCCTGGAAAAAGCCCGGGAAGAGAGCGAGATGGCAGAAAAAGACGAGGAAGAAGAGGACACCCCTCAGCAACAGGCACCTTGAAAAATTACATTAAATAGAAAATAGTCAAACGGGCTCTTCCTTTACGTGCGGAGGACGCCAATTCATCAATAAATACGCTTCCTTCGTCCACGGACCTTGGGAAGGAAGATGATCGGGGATATATACAGGTCCTGTTTTTGACGGTTCTACATCCAGAACCTTGAGGATAGTGACTTCATCGTCAGAGATATCTTCGTCCGCATTCAACTGGGTATCTGACAGAAGAGACGGCGGAGACGGGATGGTTTGTGGGGGTCGTTTCCCCTTTGATCTGGCGATGATCTCATTCAGAGACACATTGCCTGCGGGCAGCGGTCGCTTGGCGGGCTTGTCAATGTACGGCGTTTTGCGGGCAGAATGCTCTCGTTCTTGACGACTTATCATGGGACCGACCTGTATAAATGCGTTTTCGATTTCCAGATCGTCCCCATCTGAAGGGATTCTGGCCGACCAGCCGGAAATAACGACGTTTCCGTTTTCGTCGTAGACCGTGACTTTCTTGTTGAAAGCATTGTACTTTAGTCTACCGTCCTGCCACGTTTTATGCTTTCTCTGCTGCGTACTCCAGAGTGCCTCAAACTGAAACTGTGAAATCAGCATGCGTCAGCTGAAGGAGACGAAAACGCGAATACGTTAAATATATCATCACAGGTTAAAATCAGGGGAGCAGAGTTCTTGTTATATACTCAGTTAGACCATTCTACAGCCCACTTGAGAGTCTCGCCAGCCTGGAAAGGAATCACAGTGAGACCATCTTTGCTCAGTTCATCAGCAACCTTGAAGGGCTTTTCGACGAGTGTGACGGTTGCAGAATCGAGGTCGGCATCGTTGATTCTGTAAAAGTCCTTGCCAAAGTCGGTAACAAACCCGCGAAGCTTGTCGAGTTTGCCTGCATTGTCGAAAACTTGGGCAACGTAGGAAATGGCATGCTGCTGGGTGAATACACCGGCAGCAGCACCTTTACCCTTTGTTTTAGACTCAACAGGGTGAGGTGCCGAGTCAGAGCCGAAGAAGAACTTGGGACTGCCAGAAGTAGCAGCCTCAATCAATGCTTCGCGGTCCTCGGGGAACTTGGCGACGGGCTTGCAAAAGTTGTGAGCGTTCCCGCCCCAAGAATCGACCGTCAGGTACAGGTGATGGGCCGTGATTGTGGCAACAACATTGGGGCCACAGCGTTTGACGGCTTTGATGGCCGCTTTTGAAGTGCAATGCTCCAAAACAATGCGCAGCTTGGGGAACTTGGAGTGCAGCAGCTCGAGTGTGGGCAAAAACTTTTCTTCTGCATTCAAAACGTGGATATCCTCGCCACTGGGGCACTCGCCGTGAATGTTCAGCACAATGTCCTGGCGCTCCATCTCGGCAAAAGTGGGATAAAACGGCTCGTAGCTGGAAACGCCGTGGTCACTGTTGGTGGTGACGCCGGCAGGATAGCACTTGACGCCGGAAATGCCGGCCTTCTTTGCGGCCACAATCACCTCAGGAGTGATCTCGTTGCAGAGGTACAGAGACATTAGGAATTTAGTGCGGGGCGACAATTTTTGCAGGCTCTTCTGGTACTCCAGGACCCGCTGCGGGTTGGTCAAGGGCGGAACGAGGTTGGGCATAACAAAGCACACCGATACACCCCCCTCGCGCAGGCTGGGCGTGACCAGTTCCTTCATTGCACCATCGCGAAGATGCACGTGAAAGTCTCCAGGTTTTCCAAGATCAAGCGACATTACAAAGCGTCAGACAGTCGATGGCTGACAAGTTCCCCGGATTTCCCAGCGAGAAACGCAATTCATTTACAGACAGAGTTCATATATAAACGGTTTAGAAACGGCCAGCAAGGTCGGTGAGAAGAGTCTCGGTATCCTTGGCGAAGTTGCGGATACCCTCGCTGAGCTTCTCAACGGCCATCTGGTCATTGTTGAGGTGGAATAGGAACTTGGCGTGGTCGTCAACAAAGGTTTCCTTGGCGACGTCGGCAGACTTGGCAGCAGCAGCGTCAAGCTTGATGGGGACAGGCTCGTTGGAGTTGTACAGCTCCTCAAGCAGCTTGGGGGAGATGGTCAAGAAGTCGACACCAGCCAGCTCCTTGATCTCGCCAATGTTGCGGAAAGAGGCACCCATGACGATGGTCTTGTAGCCGAACTTCTTGTAGTAAGTGAAGATGGCCTTGACCGACTCGACACCGGGGTCCTCGGCGCCCTTGTAGTCCTTGCCGGTGCTCTTCTTGTACCAGTCGAGAATACGGCCGACGAAGGGAGAAATCAAAGTGACGTGGGCCTCAGCGGCAGCAATTGCCTGGACCTGGGAGAACAGCAAGGTCAGATTGACGTGGATGCCGTGCTTGGCCTCAAGCTCGCGGGCAGCCTGGATACCCTCCCAGGTGGAAGCAATCTTGATGAGAACACGCTCCTTAGAGATGCCCTTCTGCTTGTACAGGTCGATGATCTTGAGGGCCTTCTTAATTGTGGCCTCCTTGTCGAAAGAAAGGCGAGCGTCGACTTCGGTGGACACACGGCCAGGAACGATATCGAGAATCTTGGAACCGAATTCGACGAGGAGAACGTCGAGGGCCTCCTCAGCCTTGCAGCGGGCGTCACCAGAGCCGCTCTTGACGTGGGCAACAGCCTCATCAATGAGCTTGGAGTACTCCTTCTTGGTGGAAGCTGCCAAAATCAAAGACGGGTTGGTGGTTGCGTCCTGAGGCTTGTACTTTGCAATCATCTCGAACTCACCGGTATCGGTGACAACGGTGGTGCCGGTCTCTTTAAGGAAATCCAAGGAACTTTTAGACATGGTGTAATTGCTTCGGGGGATGATGAAGAAAGAGTTGGCCACGGGGACCCCAACCGCTTATATTATCAGCAGGATATGCACACTGCATAAGCAATTGTCAGTGGCTTACCGGCGAGACGCAGAGCAATGTCAGATTATTGCGCAATTTCTGGGTGTTTTGTATATAATTAACGCGCCATTTTATATTCAGGGGCACAGCACCGTTGTAGGCGCGCTGCGGGCTCGATTGTATCCCTGGGTGATCGAGACACGTTCTTTCGGCACCCCGACTGCCCTTGCATAACAACTCATCAGTAGCCACCTTGCCGCAGCAGCTCAAGATCGTGGTACCGCAGTCAGTATGGCGCGGTAAATCCGCCAAAAGCAAGTGTTTGCCCGTGCCGCATTGATATAACTGCGTATAGAGCTCTGCCCAGCCTAATTGACTGGAGGCCAAAAGCTCGATCACCAACCCTAATCTAGATCTCGTCATAGCGATTATGGAAAAGCTGTTGCAGTGGTCGATTGACGCCGCTCAGAACCCCGGCCACGCTGGTGAGCCGGATCCCAAGCTGCTTTCCCAGCTGTTCGGATTCGACAACCCGCGGTCGACTATGCGTGACTCGCTTCAGGAGGCTGTGCAGGCCACCGACCTCGCGTCGCGCACTAACGCTCTCTTGGAGTTCACCGACCTGGTCGAGGACATGAACAATGCCAACGAAATCGGCAACCTGTGGGAGCCTCTTTTGTACTTGGTGAACGACAGCGAAGCTCAGATCCGCACTGTTGCTTTCAGTGCTATTGCTGCTGCCACGCAAAACAACGAGAAATCGCAAAACGACCTTGTTGCCACAAAGGCCGGCATCCCCAGAATCATGGAGCACATCAACGAGGCAGATCGCGACGTGGCGGCCAAGGCCCTGTTTGCTCTTTCTTGCGCAATTGGCCACTGCCCAGGTGCCTACGAGCAGTTCGCCGCTACGGACGGTTGGTCTATTTTGAGCTATATTGTCGAGAACGAGACTGTTGGAGAGAAAATGGATAAAAAGCAGCAGCGAATCGTCTCGTTGGTCTCGGCGTTGGTGTCTGTTCAGCAGTTCCGTCCTGTTTTCAGCGAACTCGAAAAGACCCAGATCGTGGCCACTCTCGAAAAATGGTACCCGTTTGCAGGCAATTACAAGGAGCGTTTGGAAGACCTGTTCATCCTCCTCAAAGACCAAAAATACGATGAACCTCGACTGCTCCCCATGAAGGCCTCATCGTCTTAGGGTAAGGGTCAGACAACTCCCACCCGCCAAAACCGCTTAGCTAGCTATCTTAGTAATCCACAAACTTTTTTCCACTAGGAATGTCCGTTGATGAAGCTACTCTGAATGCTTTGAAAAGGGCAGTCGAAAGCATCAAGGATAATCAGGCGGCTGGTACCGAGGATGCAGCCAATTTTGCAGCTGCATTGAGTGCTGTGGCGGCTGGCCAGACCGCTCCCCCAGCGGCTAGCCAGGAAACCGGTGAAATAGACTCGGCCGTTTTCAACCAATTGGCAGCCGCAATTGGCAAACAGAATGGGCAAGCAAATGCAAACGCGAATCCAAACTACCCGCAGCAAGAGGCGTTGGGATTAGAGGTCGACCGACAACTGCTGCTGGATAGCATCAAGTCGATTGTTTCCGGTGATGGCGACTCGAACGAGCAGCACGCTCAAACAACTACACTTACCCAGGATGAACAGGCTATGCAGGAGGCACTGCTCATGGCCACGCGACAATTGGAAGGCACGGGACAGCCCGCGGCATACCAGTACAGCGCGTATCAACAGGGCTCTTTCCCCCTGGAGGGTGAAGCTGATGCGGCTACTTTACAGGTTGTCCAGTCTGTTTTGCAAGATTTAGGTGGTGCCTGGGGAGATATGGATGGCGGACGGGCCAAAAGACGGGCCAGGCACGCGAGCCCAATGACTGAGGAAGATCGCTTGCGCATACGGGAAGACAATCGCAATCGTAAGAAGCGTTGGCGCGACTCGAATGCTGATCGAAACCGCGATAACGACCTTCGTGGACGCATCACTCGCCGTGCGCATGTGATCTTTGGTCCAGTTGACTCGAAACAGAAACTCGACTGGATTGAGGAGGAGTACCTCAAACGTCGAGAACGCAGAATGCTCCGCGAGGGTACAGGTAAATTCAGAGAACATGCCATCAGTAGTCTCGGAGGTCAACACCGATCTCATGCCAGCAACCAGCTGAGTGCATTGTTCAGAGAATCAAATGCTATTTTGACCGCAAACCGTCCTGTCACCGCCGGATACGTGCCTCCTCATTTGATTGCCGGGCCTATGGTGCCTTGTCCGTCTCGGCCTTCCTACCAACACCGGTATGAACGCAAAACGAGACGCAGCCGGGGTGAGTCGCGAGACACTATGGGGGCTCCTCCTGTTTTGGAAGACCTTCTTATTAAATTAGAGTGATTTATTTATTTATTTATTCAAAGATTAACCTGCTTGATGGCGTCCAGCGCCTCTTTAACAATTTCTAGCTCGTGCCCGATTGCAACAATCAGAGGGCCCCAATGCTTTGATGCCGCAAACGTGCCTTTCTCGGTTAGCCAGGCTACTGCCTCTTCTAAAGCACTCACAATTTGCACTGGCGGCCCCTGCATTTTCGTATCCAGTGCGTCAAGGTATTTGATCACCGACTCCCACATTCGAGAGCCTTCGTTGGTTGCTTCCAGTTCACTCTTGGTTTCCTCTAGCTTAGTGAGTAAGAGCTGCTCGTCTTTTACTACATTGGCATTATGCGGCGGTAGTGCATCCAATTGACTTGTGATTCGGGCTTTACGGGCTCCAAAAACCGATTCGAGCTCAGCAAGCTCTTGACGCGCTTGGGCTCTTTTCTGCTTCAGCTCGACGATCTGGCGGTCGATATCCGCAAGCGATTTTTTGATCTCAGTCAGTTTACTGGCCTCGTTAGTTTGCATCAGGCTATCGAGCTCTTTGTTTAGCACTGTCCTTCGTTCTGCAACTTTGTTCTGGCGTTGGGCTTCTATGCTAGCCTCATGGAGCTTATGCTCAATGTCCGCAGCTGCTTGTTCCTTATCAATGGCCATATCACTCAAAATTTCGCCTATTGCCTTCCGGACCTCGTGTATACGCACGTCTCGGGCCTCTAAATAGTCCCATTGCAAATCGAGCTGTTCTTGAAGGCGCTGCATGACACATCGAACGACGGCAGCGGTGCCTAATTAAAGCTGATCTTCAAAGTAAGTAGTCTATTTCGAAAACTGTTTACGAATTGCGTTCAAGAATGACACGAGTCCTTCTCCTTCGTACGGTACATTGAGCTCAGCCGACAGGCCCTGGGTTCCACCCTGCAAAAGGATCTCATCTAGCTGGTTTAAAGCCCCCTGAAAGTGGGGAGAGCGCACAAGCTCAACCAGTTCGAAACGCGATGTCGCTAAAGGACTGACGGTGGCCAGCAGCTCGTCACTTTCCTCTTGTGAAGCGTTGGTGATGTGGGCGGCGAGCCTGTCGCTACTCAAGGCCCTACCCAAAGAGGCAGGACCGCTGGGTTTTGGTACAGCTGGCGGCGGAGCCGCGCTAGACGAAGGCACACTCGTTGGTCTGGTCAGCTTTGGTCATTGCAACATCAGAGACAGGTCAAACTTACGCTACAGCCACGGGCTCACTTGGTGCTTCTTCCTCTTCGTCGTCTTCCTCAAGCTCCTGGTTGGCAAGTTCATTGAGACGCTCAAGGTTCAGGCGGTCTGCGTCGCTAAGCTCGTTCAAATCGCCACTCACCGGGTCCTGTAACCAGTACATTTCTCGGCGACCGCTGGACTCAAAACGCAGCGAAATAACGCGGCCAGTCTTGCATTCTTTGATATGCTCAAAAGTCACATCACCAGGAAGAACCATAAGCTCCTCGGTGGGCTGCAAAGACTGTCCGTACGCCGCCCGCGGCCGCCACTGGATGGCCAGCAACGAGTCGTCGTCACTGCTGCGCTTCAAAATAACATTACCTTGGCCGCGCAACGGCGTTGCCTGCCCTGTCTCTTCGTCGTATTGCACTCTTCCGGCCTTAAACTTGATCAGCTCGCTCATCTTACGGGTAGAAGCAGATGACAAACCGGCTGGCCTTCTTGTCGCTTGATATTCGGAGTTTGACAATTGCAAGTGGTTTCTAATGCTGGATCGCGAGGTAGTTGAAATTGCGGAGAAAGTTGCAGAGCTGCTGGTCGCGAAAAATGCCACAGTCGCCGTGAGCGATGCCGCGTGTGGCGGTCTCATTGGCGCCTATCTTGTAGCAGTGCCCGGGGCCTCGAAGTTTTTCGTAGGATCGCGCACTGCCTACACCGTAAAATCTAGATTAACCTTGTCTGGTTGGTCGCAGGATGAAATAAATAGCTATACGGGCCCCAGCGAAGAGGTTGCCGCGAGAATGGGCCGAAGACTAAGACTTGAACTGGGTGCTACATACGTCCTGGCTGAGACGGGCTGGGCTGGACCTTCTGCCGACGAAAACGGCCAAGTGGGTAGTGTATACCTCAGTGTTGCTGGTCCTACTGGAACTGTGTCCAAAAAAGCTTCCACTGGGCTGCAGGATCGGCTCGAAAATATGGCGGCTTTCGCTCGGCTCGCTCTTGAATATCTACTGGAGCAGCTGTCTGCATCGACGTAATTGAAATTAATAACGAAAAACAGAGGTGTTTCTTCAAAGTACGTACGGTTTAACTTTATTTTTTTTTTTCGTTTTGGTCACATCATGCAGAACCACCAAATGTTCCACTTTTGATAAAGAGCGGGTCGGTGGTTCTACAGCGAATATAACTTCTAAGCTCGCAATCGAGTTTCGGTTTGTTGAACTAAACCATGGACACTTCTCAGCTAAGTTTTAATCCTCTGACCAAGCTGTGTTACGGCAAAACAAGGAGTGTATCACAGTTATGGCTAGTAGCCACAGACACTACAGGAGCGTACTACTTGGGGTACTCGTTCATGGCACCAAATGTATGGTCTAAAGAACCAATAACTGGTCGCCTAGAAAAGTTTTCTCAGCTTCCCGTGCCAGAAATCCCCCTTAGACAGTCTGAGCTTCCGGCTAAAGAGTCGTTGATTCTCACGATTTGGGACTGGTTCCTCCAATTACCTCTTTACTTTGATCAGAAGGATGATATTATGGCGGCAATTGACCAAGTATTGACGCTCTGTCGCTCCCAAACCTCCCTTGATCAAGCTCTAGCTGTTGTCGAAGAGTTCCAACAGGCCAAACGAATGCCTATTATCGCTCGCACTGTTGCAGGAACATTTTCCGCCTGTGATATCCTCGACAAGTCCGCAATCATGCTCGCTGAAGACCAATTTCGAGCTGTCAAACCAGACTTGCGAGCCAACAGCAGAACAACGAGAACCAGTGCCGCAGTAAAATCAGCCAGATCTTCAGCTTCCATGACCACGTCGCCCCTGAGCCACGACAAGCCGTGGCCAGAAAATATCACTTTGAAAGTCGAGTCCGCGAAAAAGCGCGCGCAGAGTGGGACATGGGAAGTGAGTTTCGCTTTGAGATCGTATTCTTCGTTACTATGTGGAGAAGTGAGACAGCAATTAAAGCCTCATGAAAATATTCAGGAGCTCTGTGCCAAGTTTGAGCATGTAGTTTTGGATGAGCCTGGGTACTTGGTCGTGTACATTTGTGAGCCCCGAGAAACCGGCAACTATCCGGTGGCAGTCGGCGTTGCTAACATATCTCGACTTATTTATCTAGGTGTGGCAACCTTCGAAATCCCAATGTACTGCTTGCATGCCAATGATGCGGACGGCTGGGGTAAAGCGTTTGAGACAATTACCCAAGCTAAGACCTCTGTCAAGTACTCAAAACAGGTACGAAGCCTCAAGGTTACTATGCAATCAACTGAGTTGACTACTCCAGATTCTGGGAATTCTGATACAAGTCCAAGCTTTTTGATGGACTCGTTTAATCCGCAAAATCGTGTCATCCTATCATGTAACAATTTCGTTTTGACGACGGATGAGCCTGGCACGCTTTACTGGATTAAAATAACCGCCACAGGAAATGTTCAGATTAATGGCAAAGCCAATAGTAGCTCCAGGTCATTCGCTGTCAAGAATGGCCAAAGTCTGGGACAACAGGTCGAGCTAGCTGGAGATCTTGAGGAAGGTGTGGTGCTATTTACTGTATATGTCAAAGGTACTGCATTGTACACTGGGAAAAACAAGATCAAAGGCTTTCAAGATGGAAGTAATACCGTTGCATTGACATCAAACAACTCGTTTGTTGGGTACATCAAGTTGCACGCGCGAATTCTGAACTCCTCTGTCTCTTATCAGCCTACTGTTGACAAGCTTTTAAACGGTGGAGGAAATGTGTCTGCTATTTCCTTACTTTCTCAGACAACTCAAGTTCAATTTTATCGCCAACTTTTCGAACGCACCCTCAGAAGCTTTGTTGATAGCCCCAAGTCTCGCGACTCGATTGCTGCGTTGAACGCAATGTGCGAGATTGGGGACCGGGTAGGTTACTTGATGTCTTTGTTTTTTAATATCGAGCAAATACCTGTGCCAAAGCTTTTAGGGTGCCTACTGAGTACTTATGGCGCATTCCTTCCCGAGTGCAACATCTCCGTCCACAGGAACTTGCCAAGGATACTACAATGGCTAACACCGCATTGCACAGTAGAGGTCGAGCTTGTTACCGAAACTATAAACTCGCTTGCAACCTTTGTGCAATCTGGGCCAAACTATTTGAGCAAAGAGGTACTTCGAAACTTTGTTGACATCATTATAAGTTTCAAACCTATTGTTGGCTTTGAAAAATTAGCAGAATATGTTGAGGCCGTTGTCGAAATTGTTCCCATCACTTCGGACTTGGATGTGAAAAGGCAGATGTTCTTTTTTTATGCACAACTTTCCGATACACCTTTGCTTAGCCAAGGTGATCTATGGATAAGACTGCTTGGTTGGACCAGAACTGCATGGAGTAGTGATGACCTTCCCAGTATTCACGCACTGGCAATATTTCTGAAGAATGTTTCGCTAACGGCTGGATCTTTGGTTGAATATACCTCGAAACTCATCCCATTATTGTTTAGCGTGTTGGCAAACCTGCTAGAGAAGCCAGCAGTCTGCATAGGAGATAAGTTATTTGATCGCAATATGAACACGAAACGTCCAGAATCAGAAATGCGTGGACTTTTGATCTGCGAGTTCACTCTGGTGTTGGGCCTGTTTCTCAGATCCGAGCAACTTGTAAGCTCGCCATCAGTTGTTGATGGTCGATTTTGCACAAACGCGCTCAAAACAGTTCGTTCACTTGTTGAAGCTCCAGCGTTCCCAAAAAGCTGGGTGTCACTGTATGTTTTGCAAGTTCGTATTGCTGTCAGATGTATCAGATATCTTCGGCCCCTGCTACCAAGCATCAAGCCAGAAAAATGCGACCGTCAAGATCTTGAACTTCACTCCAAGTTTTTGACATTATCGGCCCGTATTTTCGGTCTGCGATTAATTAAGCCAGCACTACTATTCCCGGCAGAGCGTGTAGCGGTGTCTGGAATCGTGGCTGATACCTTTGAGCAATGTCTTGACGAGTTTTGTAAAGTTTGGAAGGAATTGGGCAGTCACGACACCGACGAGTGCGCAACCGGAGGTCAGATTCTTGTGGTGAACAGTACCCCAACTTTAATTCAAGAACTAATGCGGGCATTACTGCAAGATTCAAACCCGGACACGAGGCAAAAACTAAGCACCGTTCTTCATTCAGTAATAATATCAGGGTATCACGGTACCGATGAAGAGGAGGCTAGACGATTTCTTGCTATGTTTTTGAACTGCCTGGACGGAGTGCTGTCGGTTTTGGCCAAAGTTGAACTACCAACTCCAGAAGATGTTTTGAACTTCATTGATGCTTTGAATGTTCCAGATGCTATCTTTCTAACAAAACTAGAAACGTTCATGAATTTGTCAATTGGTTATTATTTGTATGAAAACCTGTTCACTGCTGGAAGCGTTTTGAGATTCTGTGGAGATCTGAAATTGATGAGACTATTCGAATTATACTGTACCCGAATTTGCTCTATTTTTCGCGAAAACTTCAGAGTACATGGTCTGGTGTATGTTGAACTAGCAAAGCTTTATCAATGGAATGATTTTTCTGTGGTTAATGCCATGGAGTTTCCTAGGCTCCCCCAACAGCGAGCGTCTGGTCGGAAACGAAAATTAATGCTGATGGCTATTGATTGTTTCACGAAAGCTAAAGAATATGCCATGGCCATCTCAATAACAAAAGAGCTCTGTCGACCAGCTGAAGCAATCAAAGACTATAGGTCCTTGAGTGAGTTGTCGGACAAGCTGCACGTTCTCTATGGAAAGGCCGAAGCCACGCCTGAGCTTGTCACACACTACTACTTGGTAACTTTTCCCGCACATCGACTACCCCTGTTTTCAAAGAAGCTTTATATTCTAGAGGGTGGGGGACTTCGAATTGACGAGGTTCGAAATGCGCTGCAGTCTGAGTATGGCATACCCTGCGTGATACGGGATAGCATCGATCGTAATAAAGATTTTATCTTTGTTGAGACTGTTTCACCGTACTATGATGAGCTACGAGAGGCAGGCGGTACCGTTGACACGTTTTTCAAGACCCGGCCATTGCCAGGGTCGACCAGCGTTCTGGATCTTCAAGTTGAAGAAACCATATTCAAATGTGCACAGGGCTTCTTGCTGATTTCCGGCATGTCTCAGGTGGAAAATATAAAAATGAGAGTGCTGAGCCCTGTGGAAACTGCACTGCAAGCAGTCCAGGACAAGGTGTGGCAGTTCAAGGTGCTACTGAACAAAGCCGTCGAAAGGCCACCGGGGTTCGAGATCCAGCTCGAAATGGCCCTCTCGGGCGTCATCACAGCCCCCGTCAACGGTGGAGTGGCTCTTTACGAAGTGTTTTTCACAGATCCTGAGATGAGACTAGCCTGCGAAGAGCTGGGCAAGCTTGTGAAACTCGCAATCGAAATATACGCCACAGCGATTTCTGAAAAGCGGAAACCTCAGGTAGACCTGTTCTGGTCGGCTTTTCACAAAAATTTTCACTCCGTGGTCATATAGTACCTATTATTTATGTAGAATCTTCACGCCTATTAATGCCGCCGATCTCCGCGAACACCCTACAAATCGCCTTACCAATCGTGGGGCCGCTTTGTCATTATGATTCGCACCTCTTTCCTTCGTGCCAGCCGGACTGTTGCCCCTCGTATGGCTATGCGCATGCCTATGTGCGCCCGCTTCCAGAGCACCATCCCTCGCGGTGATATTGAGAACCGTGTTCTTTCTGTTTTCAAGACCTACACCCAGGGCTCTGACAAGCTGTCTGCGACCTCGACTTTCCAGGACCTTGGCCTCGACAGCCTCGACGCTGTTGAGCTGATGGTCGCTGTTGAGGAGGAGTTTGGTATTGAGATTCCTGAGAAGGAATCCGACGAGATTCGCTCTGTCAAGGACGCTGTTGACTACATTGCCGCCCAGTCTGAGGCCCGCTAAAGTACATAAGTTTGTCATTAGAAGAAAAAAGTTAAATCCTTGCCAGAACACGCCGCGTCTTGCTGCTCGTCCGACACTTTGCTCAGACCGCAGCAGTTTCTCTTTCAACTCGGCGGCTGCTACAGTGGACCAACGGTTTTTTCAGGTCGTTTTGCCATTTCTCGAACAAACCCTCGATTACTAACTCTATCTCATCCCTACGACATGACCAGCACCCATTCGAATGGCTCGGAAGTGTCTGAGCAGGGATCTCAGGAGCCAATTGAAAATAGGCAAAGTACTGGATCGGGGGCCGATGCACCGGCTGCAGAAAATGAAAACGCAGATTCCAATGGCGCAAATGGTGGCGAGAATGCTTTCGATAACGTCGAACGGCCAACCACCTATGTGGAGGACGAGAACCAGCTTGAAGCTGACTCGGAGATTCTACAAGAGTTTGAGGACGACTGCGAGTCCATTGACGTTTCGCACATGAAGATCATGTCGCTCAAACCGCTCGGACTGTCTAGGTTCCAAAACCTCAAGTCTATTTGCTTCCGACAAAATCTCCTGACATCGATGCAGGGGATCGAGGATCTGCCCGAGGAAATGGAAGAGATTGATTTTTACGATAATCGTCTAAGCCACATGGACCGCCGTTTGGAGAAGTTTGGATCTCACATCAAGTCTCTAGATCTCAGCTTCAACAATTTCCGGCACATCAAGCATCTGCAGAACATGACTCAAATGACCGACTTGTATTTGTGTCAAAACGATATCGGTAAAATCGTCAACCTGAACTGCCTAACAAATCTCACGAACTTGGAGCTGGGAGCCAATAGAATCAAAACCATCAGGGGTTTGGAGAAGCTCGTCAACCTTGAGCAGTTGTGGCTTGCTCGCAATAAAATATCAAAAATTGAGGGCCTGGAGACACTCAAGAACCTCAAGTTGCTTTCCATTCAGTCAAACCGTATCACCACGATCGAGGGTCTGGAAGAGCTCACCAATCTTGAGGAGTTGTATATTTCGTACAACCATCTTGAAAAGATCGAGGGCCTTGAAAACAATACCAAGCTGACCACCATCGATGTCGCAAGAAACCGCATTTCTGAGCTCGGCGGCCTGGATCATCTCACCAACCTCGAAGAGCTGTGGGCGTCTGGCAACCAGCTGACCAGTTTTGAAAACGTCGAGCAGCAGCTGAAGCATCTACCGAATTTCCATACCATTTACTTGGAACAAAACCCCTTGCAACGCACGGCCGGCGCTACGTACCGCAACAAAGTGCGGCTTGCTCTTGGTACTTCTTTACAGCAGATTGATGCCACGCCCATTCGATAGCATTCTTTTTATTGTTCTGTAGATAAATTTCTATTTTAAACTTCAACCTCGCTGTCATCGTTGGTCGAGACCGTGCGCTCAAGCGAATGTTCTTCGGTATACGCAGCGGCAACAAACGAAAAAATGCTGATGGCGAGACCCAAAAGAAACACATTCTGGCCGGCATGAGCGTAGGACTCAATAATCGCTGGCTGGTACTTTTCAGGCATTTGGCGGATCGCTTCGACTGAGCGTGAAACCTCCTCGATAATCTCCTTCGCATGCTTGCCTGTAATATTCTTGACCAAAGAGCTATGGAGACTGTGTTGGAAAACAGCAGCAGCCAGCGAGATACCAACAGATGAGCCGGCACCGCGGAAAGTGTACTGGGCTGAAGTGCTGGTAGCCTGGCTCTCTGGAGGCACGGCAGCGATGAGGGCGATAAGCGAGACGGTGAGCATGATTGAGTAGCCCAGACCGTTCAGGAAGTACGAGACTACCTGGTAAACTTTAGACTGGCCAATAGAATCGCGAAGAGTAGGCATAAGATAGAACATGATCAAGGCAATACTCATAAACATAATTGAAGACATGTTGATCCGATAGTACCGACCTGTGCGTTTCATGTAAATTCCCGATCCCACTGATCCCAAAGCCACGCCAATAAAGTTGGCAATCAAAAGGCGTCCCAGCGTGGTGTATGTGTAGTCGAACAAAGCAGTCATAACGATGGGACTGTAATAGAGCACAGCAAATGTCATGGCGGAACAGAAAAAGTTGGTGAGACATGCAGAAATGACAGTGCGATGCATCAAAATATCGATAGGTAGAACGGGCTCAACTGCTTTATAGACCTCCCAATAGTAGAAGAGAATTCCCCAAACAACCGATGCGACAAAGCCGCCGACAATGACGAAAGACGACCAGCCCAATTGACCCCCCATGGTAACACTGAACATGAAGCACAGTAGAGTTAGTACGAGGAGAAGAGAGCCGACGAAATCCACACGCTCAAAACTGTTGCGGCGAACAACATGATCAGCATGTACGTTACTTGTCACGATCTCATTATCGCCGGCCTTCTTGTCGCGGACTCTCCAGATCATGATGATGAGAGCCGCAACAGTGAGCGGCACCTGTAGAGTAAACGCATAGCGCCAACTACCAAAGCCAGTAGCCCAACTTCCAAAAATACCGCCCATGGATGCACCGGTACCAAAGGAAATGTTGCCGATACCTTGGAAAACTCCCCGAGATCGGAGGGGAACGTAATCGCTCACGGTAATTGTGGACGTGGAAAGCATACCGCCAGCACCAATTCCCGAAATAAACCGTCCTGCAACCAACAGTGGGAGGCCATTGGCCAACCCACAGATTTGGCAGCCGACGCCAAACGTGATGGTTGAAAAGATCATAATCTTTTTACGGCCGAAGATATCCGAAAGCTTACCATACAAGGGCTGGAACGCAGAGTAGGACACAGTGTATCCTGTGGCAACCCACGAGATGTTGTCAAGAGCCTTGAGGTCGCTGGCGATATGGGCCATGAGGGTCGACACGACAGTCGCATCCAGGGCAGCCAGGATGACGCCGGAATAAATTGCGCATAGCAGGAGGAAAAAGTCAAAGTGCGCAAGTCCCTGCGTATTAGCCAAGAGTGAGGTGTCTTGCTTGCTGTTCAGCAATGGAGTCTCCTCGTCTCGCTCGGGCATTGTCGAAACAAGAGTGATAGTAGGTGAGGAGATGACTGGTATTGCATAATATGCTGGAGGATGCATATACAGCGAACGGTGATCAGGGGTTCTCTGAGAACTGGCGGTTCTTTTTCATTTCCATCAGCTTAGGGCTATTCTATTTACTCTGCTTGGTTTTACCGGTGGCTTTTGCATCGAATTGGCACGTTTCGGCACGCGGCCTGCAGAGGGTATTCCCCATCTGCATAAGCCTGTTGAGCCGAGCTTGAAGGAAGTGCGAACAGTGCGAGCCGAAATTTTTCGAGAGCCGCTCAAATGCACCACGGCACCCCCTTAGAGCCTATGAGGTACTTCGGAACGGGCCACAACCCGCGCATTCACAGAATGCCGTCACCGAGATAAGGCGGGGGAGAGGGATCCTACCGAGAGGCCCCTTTTGGGCGGCTTAGTCATCTATCACCCAGGAACACTGATAAGCGGTTGTGGAGCGCCAAGGGGTGTTAGGTTGCAGCCCTGGGGTTTTAGAGAATTCACCGGTGGGCCAGTCAAAAAGGCTGTCGCCGATTGGGTAATCACTCTCTGTACCAAATGGTTTCTGGCACCTATCGTATTGCGCCTTCCTACAAGAAGCCTGTCGTTGCTGGCGGCATCTTCACTCTGCCCAAGGTTTTCAGATGGTAAGTTGAATAGAATACGCGCTCTTCGCCGTGCTTCCGCGGCCCACAGCCCCTCCCGCGAAGGGCTCGGTGTGCAAGGTAGTTTTCAGGAGTACTAACAATCCAGGACCCCGACTTTGGCTCTCTGGGGCGCCACCACTGGCGTTGCTGCCATCTTTTTCTGCGACTCTATTACCCTTTTGCGTCGCGATGTGTACAGCAAGTTGCCCATCTTTGGTAGCTACTACTCTGACCATGTCGATCCCGAAGACACACCTTTCTAAGTAGTCTACAAATTTGTATTAGCGTTTTTTTTTGGCATGGCCGGCTGCTGCCTTCAGATGCTCGATTCGCGAAAAAAGCGTTGCCTGGACAGTCTCCGGCGCTTGACTAACCTGAGACGTCTAAGTGATTATTTTTTTCGTCAGGGCTCTTGGAAACTTGACTCGCTCTTCGGAGAAAACAGGTGCGTATATGATGATCAAGTTAAATGGGAATCTCTCTGACAAAACCGTGGAGAGAACACGACTTTTTTAATGGCCTGAACCCCGCTAACCAGGTAAGTACAACTTTTTTTGCAGTGATTCAAACGTTTTCATGCACCACTCTGAATTCGTGACGACATACAAAACCTTCAGTCTTCAACATGAGCATAAACTAACCAGTCATCAAAGTATGCCGATACAAATATATAAATAACATTTATGAATGCCGTACACTCTACAGGGTTCCGGAACTTAGATCTGTGGTTCCGAAGTGATTCCGAAAAAAACTCGTGCTACATGACCACAGGTCAATGCCCAGGCGTGCACCGGCTATGTGTGAAAATAGCATGTCTGCAGGGGCATTGAGCGCAAAAAATTGGGTCGTTGTCCCACCGAGGCCGACAGGTGACTGCTGGTCATCGGCATACCACTATGAAAAACGGCTCAGGTTGCTAGCGTATAGATCACGCGTTTCCCCCAAGCTTGCTGCAGGGCTGGCTGAAGAGTGGGAAAGGGTATCAGAGGTTGCTTGCCAGCGTTTTGGGCGGATATCGAACTGAGAGCGGCTAGCAAAGGCAGCTGGTACGCTACTGGAACTAATTGAAGCACGGTTTTTTGGTGTGCCGCTTAATATTCGCGCAAGAATATGTCAAGGCTGGGTGCCGGAGATATTCGGACGTTGCTCACCTGCGTGAGTCCCGGAAGTCGCTGGCAGATTCGGGTTAGGTTCCGCGACTTGTATAAAGACGTTTGCTGGCAACATCGGTCATCCCCTAAGTTATCTAGATTTTTCAAAATGGTTGTCAAGGTTGGTATCAATGGTTTTGGCCGTATCGGACGTCTTGTTCTCCGTAACGCTCTCGCAAACCCTGAGGTTCATGTTCTTGCTGTCAACGACCCTTTCATTGACGCCGAGTACGCTGCCTACATGTTCAAGTACGACTCCACCCACGGCCGCTTCAAGGGCGACGTCTCTGCCTCCGGCACCACATTGACCATCAACGGCAAGAAGATTGAGTTCCACGGCGAGTCTGATCCCTCCAAGATCCCCTGGGGCTCTCACGGTGCCGAGTACATTGTCGAGTCCACCGGTGTCTTCACCACCTGCGAGAAGGCCTCTGCCCACTTGAAGGGCGGTGCTAAGAAGGTCATCATCTCTGCTCCTTCTGCTGATGCCCCCATGTTCGTTGTTGGTGTCAACTTGGAGGCCTACAAGCCCGAGTACACCGTCATCTCCAACGCTTCGTGCACCACCAACTGCTTGGCTCCTCTTGCCAAGGTTGTTGACGACAACTTCGGTTTGGTTGAGGGTCTCATGACCACCGTCCACTCCATCACCGCCACCCAGAAGACTGTTGACGGTCCCTCCAAGAAGGACTGGCGTGGTGGCCGTACCGCCTCTGGCAACATCATCCCCTCTTCGACTGGTGCTGCCAAGGCTGTTGGCAAGGTTATCCCCCACCTCAACGGCAAGCTCACCGGTATGTCTTTGCGTGTCCCCACCGTTGACGTTTCCGTCGTTGACTTGACCTGCAAGACCCAGAAGTCCGTCACCTACGAGGACATCAAGGCTGCCATGAAGAAGGCTTCTGAGGGCGAGCTCAAGGGCGTTCTCGGCTACACTGAGGACGACGTTGTCTCTTCCGACTTCATTGGTGACACCCACTCCTCCATCTTTGACGCCAAGGCCGGTATCTTGCTCAATGACCACTTTGTCAAGCTCATCTCCTGGTACGACAACGAGTACGGCTACTCTGCCCGCGTCGTCGACCTCTTGGTTGCCGTTGCCAAGAAGGACGCCTCCGCTTAGGAAGTGAATTCCAAACTCTAGTACAGTTTGGAGCCTCAAGTATCTTTTCCGTAAGTAAATGTTACTCCGTGAAGGTTTCGCACACTTTTAGTTCGAATTGGGCTTTGTCATCATCACGAAAATGGGTAAGTTGATATTTTGGTAGCCGCCGATTTGCTCGAGCGTTGTGGGCCGGGCGTGCGAGAGTAGAGCTCGCTGGTGGGGTGGCATGTTTTTGGCCAGATTTTTCTAACGTAGGAAGCGCATTCAGCAGCCTGTTGTCGCGGCTATGGGATAGCAACAAGGAACATCGCATCCTTATTTTGGGCCTAGATGGCGCGGGCAAAACCACCATTCTTTACAAGTTACAATTAGGCGAGGTGGTGTCAACGGTACCAACTATTGGTTTCAACGTCGAAACACTCACATACAAAAAGCTGCAGTTCAACGTTTGGGATCTGGGCGGCCAAACAACCATCCGGCCGTACTGGCGATGCTACTACTCGGGCACCGCGGCGGTAATTTTCGTGGTCGACTCGACCGACCGCGACCGCTTGGAGATCAGTGCCAATGAGCTGAAAACCATGCTGGAGGAAGACGAGCTCCAAGACTCAGCACTACTTGTATTTGCTAATAAACAGGATCAGCCCGGGGCGCTTGGCGCGTCCGAAATCGCCAAAGCACTCGACCTTTCGTCGCTCAAGGACAGATCCTGGACAATTGTTGCATGTTCAGCAATCCGCGGAGACGGCCTCACCGAGGGCCTCGACTGGCTCGTAGATATGATCAAAGACGATTAAATAGCATGGATTGACGAAAACAAAAAAGAGCAAACTAAACGTTGAAGCATATTCATCATCCTATAATTTTAGATACACCTGTCCATATGGCAGCCAATCACGCAGCCCGTATCCCCCAACACGATTTCGCACTGAATCTAGGCCCCACATCGCCTCTGCTGCATGGCTCCCAAGCTGTTTCAACAAGACACTTGGGACGGCCTGGGGCATCCCCTTGCCCTGGGGGTTCAGTGAGCACGTTGCAGTCGATCGTGGGCATGGCCGAAACCATAAAGCTGTGGCAAGATACGCTGGAGCGGCTAGCTGAGGCTGGACAATTTCCCGGCGGAAGTTTGGTAACGAAATACCCGTTTCAAGTGGTCTAGATCCACCTCTATTTTCCCCCCTGCGTCGTTTTTTTTCGCGAATTCAGAGGTCTAGAACCGCGTGCTGCACCAAACACCTATGGCCAAGCAGCAATACTAATGATGCAGTAATCGGGTTTAGGGTTAAGCAGGTCTGGTCGCCGCTGCAAAAAGCAGTATATATATGGCAGGCAGGAACGGCAATTCCGCATCGAAATAACCCGAAATGTCGAATAACGGTCCCTACTCTACTTCGAATGGCTGCCCAGTCTTCAATCCCTATGCATCCCAGATGATTGGCACGCCTGGTCCCCTCCTGCTCCAGGACACCCATCTCATTGACTTGATCGCCCACTTTGATCGTGAGCGGATCCCAGAGCGTGTTGTCCACGCAAAGGGCGCCGGTGCTTTTGGTGAGTTCGTGGTCACTGACGATGTCACTGATCTCACTTGTGCCGACTTCTTGTCCACCGTTGGCAAGAAAACCAAGACCTTCACCCGTTTCTCCACAGTAGGCGGTGAGTCCGGGTCTGCAGACACTGCCCGTGATCCCCGCGGCTTTGCCACCAAGTTCTACACTGATGAGGGCATCATTGACTGGGTTTACAACAACACCCCCGTGTTTTTCATCCGAAATCCTTCCAAGTTCCCCCTGTTTATTCACACCCAAAAGCGTAACCCCCAGACCCATCTCAAGGATGCCGACATGTTCTGGGACTACCTCGTGCAGAACCCCGAGGCAATTCACCAGCTAATGATTCTTTTCTCTGACCGTGGTACTCCCGATGGTGTCCGTTTCATGAACGGTTACTCTGGCCACACCTACAAGTGGGTCAAGAAGGACGGCTCGTTCAACTACGTTCAGATCCACATGATCACCGACCAGGGAATCAAAAACCTCAACAACGAGGAGGCTCTCAAGTTGGCTGGCGAGAATCCTGACCACTCACAGCAGGATCTGTTTGAAAGCATCCAGAAGGGCGAATACCCCTCGTGGACTTGTTACGTCCAGGTCATGACTCCTGAGCAGGCCGAGAAGCTCGACTTCAGTATCTTCGACTTGACCAAGGTGTGGTCTCACAAGGACTTCCCTCTCCGTCGTTTCGGCAAACTAACTTTGAACAAGAACCCTGACAACTACTTTGCTGATGTCGAACAAGCTGCCTTCTCTCCCTCCAATACCGTCCCTGGCTGGGAGAGCTCTGCCGACCCTGTTCTGCAGTCTCGTTTGTTCTCCTACCCGGACACCCACCGCCACCGTCTTGGTGCCAACTTCTATCAAATCCCCGTCAACAAGTGCCCCGTTATGCACAACCCCTTCATGCGTGACGGCCCCATGTGCGTTGATGGAAACAGCGGCAGTGAGCCCAATTACCCTTCTTCTTTCAAGCCTTTGAACTACTCCAAGGGCCCCGCCCTTGCTGGTGTTTCTGATCACGAGAAGTGGGTTGGAACTGCCACCGCCTTCCACTGGAGCGCTACCGACGCCGAGTTCAAGCAGGCTACCGCTCTCTGGAACGTCTTCGGAAAGACCGGACAGCAGGATGCCTTGGTCCACAACGTTGTGGCTCATGCCTCCAATATCAAGAGTGCTGAGCTCAAGAAGGCTGTCGTCGACATGTTCGGCAAGGTCTCTCCTGAACTTGGCAAGCGTCTCGGCGCTGAACTTTAAAGATATCAATTGCGCGAGAGTGAATGGTTATAGTTTTCGTTATATTCCTATTCTTTTGTAATGATTCGTAGTTTGAACACTTTTCATCAAACCTCTCACAACCCCCCCTCGAACGCTTACTATATGCTTCGCTTGCTGGTCCGGCCAGCAGTCTCCCGAAGGTTGTGTAGCCAGATGGCTGTGGGTTCACACCCGCTCATCAGGGACTTTCATTTCTCTGCTCACTGTGAATTCATGGGGCCATACCGAGTGTACGAAAAACCAAGCCGTACTGCCAAGATCATGTCTTATGTGCCGCAGCCCATAAAAGTTTTCGGATCAATTGCAATGGGCGCGGCATTGACGGTATTTTTAGCGCCAGCCCTGGTCATTATATTTGCTCCACCATTGATTATGGGCTGGATTTATTATAGACGTCGTCTGAACCAACTCAAAAGGGCCCTGAACGATCAGCGCTGGGCAGATATGTCGTCGTATAATTTGACATTTGAAGATGCCAGTGCTGGTGGATCGCCTATAGATTCGATTCCTTATCCGGCCAAGTCCCGCATTTACAATGCTATTCAACACAATGAACAGAACTTGGCAAGTTCGATAGGCGTGCCCCCAGACTCAATCAAGTATACTGGAGTTGAGTCGCTTTACCAGGATTTCAAGACTTCGAACAGTGGACTCACGGAAACAATTCAAATCCAGCAGTTTGGCATTCTGAGCCCCAATGGCCGAAGGCTAGGAACTGTCTCCTTGGTCGTCCTGGGTGATCCGGCAGCCAGAAGCAAGAAAATGAGAATTGAGATCAACCCCGCGCGAGGAAAGACGGTCGTTCTCACTGACATTGACAACGATGATGACAGTAATGTGATTATTGATGTGAAGAAACACTAGTACATATCAAACAGATAAATCTCGTATCCACCGTTCAGAAAGACGGCCGTGGATATATACTGGCTCTGGTGCATCACCGGGTTTATCGTTCACCTTGGATTTACCAAAAAGACGCCCCTTTTCAAGATCCCAATCATAGTATGTTATCTTTTCCCATTCCCTGGGCTTGGAGACACCGAGCCGGTGCAGGAGAGGAGAGTCGATTTCGTCAGGGTCTATGACAGTGACCCACGAGGGCTTGCTAAAATAGATAATACTGTGCCTGACATGGCCCTGTTGTGACTTGGGAGGATTCACTACTCGGTGAATCGTACTTTTAAAGTACCCTCCAGTCATAAACTCCACAGCATCTCCAATGTTGACGACTAGGGCACCAGGCACGTGTTTCACGTATCTCCATTCCCTTGTTCTATAGTCGAGAATCTGGAGAGACACCATGGGCTGACTTGCGATAAATGTAAAGCCAGCAGAATCGCTGTGTCCACGAAGCCACGTATTGTTAGTTTTTTCATTATCCTCGTCGCTGTGGCCATAGTACATCATAAGACGACCAAACCCTCCACCGGAGCCGCTGATATCCCCTTGACTAACTTGAAAGTAGTTTTCATACCACGTTCCTTCAGGAAGCTCCAAAATTATATCACAAAGAATTGTCAATTGTTTCAAGACCACGAAATGTAGAAACTGATAGTAGTTGGCTATCTCGTTAAGATAGTCTTTAACGATTTGAGGATGATTTTGCTCCCACATTTTATCTTGGTGTTGAATCTGGGTGAAATTATAAAACTCAATGTTATCTTTCACACCATTTGCCATGTTCCAGTACTGTCTGGGCTTGAAACCAGGGCCCCGTTCCGCGCCAACCGAATCTGTGTCTAGGTCTGAAGACAAACTTCCAGCTAGATGTTGAGCCTTTATCTCATTAGAAACTTCAAATATAGACTGCGAAATCGAGTCCAAATGAGAAATTATCCCTTCGTCAACGCCGTGGTTGACCAGATAAAAAAAGCCGTGGGTACGAACGCTATGGTCCAGCTGTCTGGCCAGTCTCTGTCGCGATTTCTTGGCTTCATCCGAGTCTCCCCATTCAAATGTGGACAAATCAATTGCGTCCAAGTTTGCGTAGTCGATCTGTTCGCTGGGTTGGTGAACGTGCTTGAAGGGCCGAATGTTGTATTTCTTATCTAGGCTTGCGGCTTGTGGGGGCCTACGAGACTGAGCTGAAGGCACACTATTAAGTTCCGCTGACATTAGAAAATTCGTCTGTCGACAGAACGAATATATACTAAAGCCATCACGTGCAGTTAGCACTTTGCGAGTGTGACATGCTGCAATCGATGTTTCAACTTATTCTATTCGATTGTTATATTATACTTCCATGCCTTCAGTATACGAACAATATTCTGCTATATTAAGGTGTATGGATTCAAAAATCTTGGCTTCTAAAATTGTTCCTATCACTTTAGCAGAAAACTGTAGTGACTGCGCAAAGTCACGTGAAATGGGGTTTCTCAATTTTTAGGACCCTATAGTCTGAATTCAGTTATAGAAAAGATTCAGATATTCATCGTCTTAAGCTGGCCTTTGAATTGTTCAATTTCAATGATTTGCTGTAACAGTTTCATTTGAACATAGAGCACGCAATCGTTCCTGCATGATACTACAGTTTCTATAAGTTGCTGAGGCTCATAGTGGCGATCTTCTAGGTCATGACGGATACTAAGAGCATGTCCAACGCCAATTCTTTCTTCGCTCTCCCTTCAGTCGAAAAAGCGCGCTCTCATGGTGAAGTTGTTGCCAGCAAGACTGGGTTAGACGCACAGCTCCTAGGAGATGCGGCAGTGGCCCTGCATTACCCCAACTCTTTGAAATCACCAGAACACAGAAATATTCTTGAGCATGAGCTTAGATACAAATGGTCCCAGACATGGACAATGTATTTACTAGCAATCACCAGTGCAGTTTCGGCAGCTGTACAAGGTATGGATGAAAGCACAGTTGGAGGAGCGTCACTTTTTTACATCAAGAAGTTCGGCATTGCCAAAGACTCTACTTATAATGCCAATATTCAAGGTATAATAAACTCAATTCCTTATCTCGGTGCAGCAGTTTTTGGATTTTTAGCCATCCCATCCAACAAGTATTTTGGAAGGAGAGTCACGGTGTTTTGGGCCTCAATCCTAGCTTCTGCATCCGGCCTCTGGCAGGCATTCGCACCTTCATGGGAAATGTTAATGATTGGTCGCTTGGTCATGGGCGTCTCTATTGGGGTCAAATCGGCTACTGTGCCTGTTTATACTGCTGAATGTGTTCCAGCCAGTATTCGTGGAGGTGTGGTTATGTTATGGCAAACTCTGACTGCGTTCGGTGTATTTCTAGGTTTCGCAATGGGCGCTGCTTTCTTGGATGCTGGAAGTAATAATTGGAGATTCATGCTAGGTTCTGTGTTTGTTTTGCCTCTGTATGTTTGCGCAACGATTTTCTTTTATCCCGAATCACCCCGCTGGTACATAGAGAAGGAACGTTACAGTGATGCTTTCAGGTCTTTTCAAAAACTCAGAAAACAAGAACTCATAGCAGCGCGGGATTTTTATCAAGCATTTTCTTTGCTCGCAATTGAAAGACAACAACAGCAGTCCAAAATGGGAAAGCACTGGTACCAACAGGTTGCACACTTTTTCAGGAATCGGCGCAACCGAACCGGGGCACTAGCAGCAGGAATACTGATGTTTGCTCAACAGCTTTGTGGTGTGAACGTCTTGACATTTTATATATCAAAAGTCTTGACAAACGCGGGATTCAGTGTTCGCAGTGCTCTAGGAGGCAGCTGTGGTTTTGGTGCGTTAGCATTCGCTGGTGACCTCACTTCAATTCCTTTGATTGATCGTTTTGGACGACGAGCTCTCGTACTTGTGACATTCCCTTTGATGGTCTTGTTCCTTCTTTGGATTGGGCTCTCGTTCTTGGCAGACGGTGACACTAAGCTGGGGCTTGTTCTCTCAGGAATCTATATATATGTTTTCATCTATGGATTGGGTGCAGGTCCAGTGCCTTTCACGTATTCTGCTGAAGCATTCCCCTTGTACTTGAGAACGCAGGGCATGGCATTTTCCACAGGTGTTACATGGCTGTTTTGCTGGGTCTTCGGGTTTACACTCCCCAATATGGAAAGATCCATGGGTGATACTGGGGTATTCAGCTTTTATGCCGGTTGGTGTGCTCTGTTGTTCGTTTTAATCTACCTTTTCGTTCCTGAAACTAAAAATTACACTCTTGAAGAGCTAGACGCCGTATTCGGCATGGGGATCCGGAAACATGCTAAGCTCAAGTGGCATCAGCTTTTCGACCGCAAGGTTAGATGTCAAATCTCCACTGAATACGTCTCCTCCCTCACAGATGATGAATCTGCCGATAGCTACCCTAAACGCTTCTAGCCCATAAGTCTCCTTAGTCAGTCGTCGACAAGAAATTTTCAAAAGAGTGTGCATAAGCTCGATTTTTTTCCTTCACCGAAAGGTCCGTCTACTATTTTGTTTCAACGACTACAGCGACTTTTTAAGATGAGTAGCAAGTTGCAAGGTCGTGAGCTGTACGAAAGTTTGGGGTCGCCTAAAAAAATTGTCGCTCCCATGGTGGACCAGAGCGAGCTTGCATGGCGTATACTCAGCAGACGCCATGGCGCAGACCTCTGCTACTCTCCCATGTACAATGCTCGTCTTTTTGGTACCAATGAGACGTATCGTAGAGACAACTTTGGTGAGCTTGATGGGGACGAGAAGATAGATCGGCCGCTGGTTGTGCAGTTTTGTGCCAATAATCCCGACGAGCTTTTGGCAGCAGCAAAGCACGTTGTTGGGCGTTGTGATGCTGTTGATCTGAACCTAGGCTGTCCTCAAGGAATTGCTCGCAAGGGACATTATGGGGCGTTTCTGATGGAGGAGTGGGATCTCATTCACAGCATGATCAGTAAACTTCACCAGGAATTGGATGTTCCTGTCACGGCCAAAATCCGTATATTCCCCGAAAAAGAAAAGACTTTAGAGTACGCAAAAATGGTCCTCAGCGCTGGTGCTCAATTCCTCACGGTACACGGACGAACGAGAGAAATGAAGGGCCAACAGACTGGGTTGGCGGATTGGAGTTACATCAAGTATCTTCGAGACAATCTTCCTCCTAACACTGTCATTTTTGCCAATGGAAATATCGTTTACCAACATGATATTCCGAGATGCCTGGAAGTAACCGGTGCCGACGCAGTTATGTCTGCTGAAACAAACCTGGTGAACCCTGCTGTCTTCTCGACTAACTCGACTATCGACAATGAGTATCCTAGGGTCGACAAACTACTAAGGGAGTATTTCGAGATTGCCAAAGAAACCCCTGGTCGAGCATCAGCTGCTGCCATGAAGTCGCACTTTTTCAAAATTCTTAGATCGTTCCTCCCCCATGCGATTGATATTCGCAACCAGATTGGTCCTATCAAGCGAGGAGAGTACGAAAAGTACGAGGACATTGTGCGTCAGGTTGAAGAACGTGTTGCGAAAGTCCTGTCCGAAGAAGGTGTAGAAGATAAAGTGACCAATGATGGCGAGTACAAGAACGTTCCTTATTGGCGCTGCCAGCCACTATTCCGGGTAGTTGATGGTATGGCGAGTAATGGCAAAATCACTGGAAAAAGAAAGGCTACCGATCAAGCGAGCGAAGTGTCGCAAAGTGAGAAAATGGCCAAAGTGGAAGCCCAAGACACCATTCCGGCAACGGCTTAGGTTTTAACGTTATTTTTTTAATAAAACTGCTACATCGTAGTAGTACATAAATAGAGCATCAAGCAAATCCTTGTAAAGATCGAACAAAGGAGTCAAGACCCATATTGAACAGGTCGTTATCGACTCCCGTGCCCCTAGGGTGCTCAATAGGACTCAGAGGGTTTTTAACCACATACTCCACATAGAGGCCAGCATAGATCTGACGCAAAGCGTTGCAGGCGTCGCTCATCATGGGATCAGTGATAAGAACCAACTTGAGGTTGGACGGTGACTCGAAGAAATGCAGTTTGTATTTTGATGTTTGAAAAGAAAGAAACGCGTCATCGTCGCTTAGCTTTCGTGTGATGTTCCGTAACGAGAAAACACTGCCATATATCAGTTTCTGCAGATCCTCTTTGTCTTCGTGCGCCGCCGAGCGATGCCAATCCCGCGAATAGATGCATTCGCAATGGCGGTCATACATCCAGAACGAGTAGATCATTTGGAGGAGTTTGTCAGCTTGCACTAAAAGTAAGATAAATATATATAAATATACACAAAAGACTATTGCACGTACTTCTTGATGAACTTCTTGGTCTTATGCGATCTCAAGGAGTCGTTAATGCGATGAGGTTCAGGTGTAGAAATCTGCTGGTTTGAAAAGACTGTCTCGTCCGCCCAAGAACGTTTTTTGGCTTTGGGCTCCTCTTGACTGTGCTTCGTTGATTTAATGTCTCGTAGCTTCTGCAGTTCTTTTCTCAAATCCTCCTCATTGTCTGATTCGTAGGCCGAGTCTTCATCTGATGGCGAGGAAGGGTTCGCGGAGCTCTCTACATCATCCGGAGGAGCTGGCTCAATTGCCAACGGTTCACTTGCAGAGTCTTCAGTGCCTTGTTTGTTTTCCGGGCTCAGGCCGCCTGCTGCGCCACCCTGCCCGGGTTGTCGCATTTTGAGCTTGGTGTACCCCGGCAGCATACGGTCGTAGATAATTCCTGTTTCAGGAACGAGCTTGCCCTTTGCTGGATCCAGCGTTGGTCTATGAGCAGACGTCATTTTGAACGTTTTGTTTTATCCCAGACAACAAACTATACAACAAACACTTGGAAAAAGGCTCTCGTGATTAGTGTTGGTGTTACTACTAGTCAGCCAACTCAGTAGACGGGGACGACGATTTAAACAACAGTTTAAACTCGTTTCTCAACCACAAAAAGGACTGGACATAGTCAGTGCTACTACTACTATGGAAACTCCTGAGTTCAAATCAGCGCTCGACTATTGCGAAGTCCGAGATTTTGCGTACCCTGTGTTTCATCCTTTGCATTACGGCGTTGCCATTCCAGCTGAGCCTGAGGACGCTGTGGATGGTTCGAATGAAGAGAAAAGCAATGAATCTGAGGAGCTGAAGCAGGTTGACATTCCGGTTGGTGAAGATCAGGTCATCTACTACTCGCCTGACGATATTTACCGCCGCGCGGTCGCCTTGTTCGACTTTGTTCCTGAAAACACCAACGAGATCGAGCTGGTTGAGGGACAGGTCGTTTGGATCTCATATAGACACGGCCAAGGGTGGCTCGTGGCTGAAAATCTCGAAACAGGCGCAACAGGGCTGGTCCCTGAGGAATACGTTCAGCTTATTCCTGGTGAAGACGACGGGTGGGAAGATGCAGAAGGCGAGGAACAGCAGGCTGTTACTGGAAACCTTACTGCAGAGACTGAAACCAGCGGTGCCGATGGTGAGACGCAGACCGAAATTGAAGCCGGGCTAGAAAAACTGGATGTCAACGATGTAAACAAAAAAAATGCATAGCATAAAAAGTCAGAGTATTTCACTATTCTTCTACATTTTCGTCGTCGCTCTCAAGAACAGGTTCCGTGAGAGGCGGAAGACTAGCAACCAGCTCGTTACTTGCCGCAGCCATCTCGGGATCGACGGATTCATCGAGTTGTGAGAGCAGTTCTATGGCATCCCGAATGGCTGCATTGTGTCGATTGAGCTCTGCCGGGTCTGATTCTTGGGCCATGAGCTGCTGGTGGGCCAAGGCATTGAGATAATACAAATCGGGAACCTGGTCATCGAGACGGGTCGCCTGGGTCGTCAGGTCCAACACCAAATCGGCCATCTCGAGCTCGATCATGCTCTGGGCCAAACGAACGAGCGCCGGCATAGATGTGGTATCCAGCTGTGCCTCAAGCAGAGCCTTGTCGAACAACGACCACGACTTCTCCAAGGCTTGTTTGGCTTCGTCGTTTCGAATCTGGGAAATCCGAATGCTGCCAAGAATTGACCATGCTTCGGCGTGGTTGTCGTCCAGCAACAATGCTTCAGCGATTAACTTTTCGCAAACTTGTTCTGCCTCGGGTTCCATGCACAAGTCTGTCATATAAATATCAATCATTCCTAGCAGGCCCTTGATAATTTGCGGGCCCGACTGCTCGACTGGCTGTTGACGGAGACCATTGATACCCTGTTTATAATAATTAATGCCGGTTTTACCACCAATCAGCTGTCCCAGCCACAGGAACTTGACGTAGCCGCCTTTGGTTCCGTCTGGATCCAGGTGCAGTGTCTGTTGCAGATAGCCGTAAGCCTGTTCTGCCAAACCGAGCTCGAAACAAACCTCTGCGGCGAGCTGCTGGGCGTCCAGTTTATCTGGCTCGGCCGCAGCAGCCTTCGTCACAATATCAATCGCCTCTTGAGGGTTCTGCTGAACCAACTCAAGAATATTCATGGTTGGCTAACTAAGATTTTTTTTTTTTCCACAAAGCTCCCAGCTTGATTTTGGGCTAGGATTTTTCCACCATTTGAGCTGACAGAGATGAGCGAAGAGCAGCGAGAGGAGATTGATATTCTGGAGTCGATTTATCCGGATGAGATCGAAATTCACTCTGAGACGAGCTACTCCATCAACCTGAGCTTGGACACGGTGCCGACGCGGCTGCTGGTGGTCCATGTCCAGTACCCGCGAGACTACCCAGAGGTTGTGCCAATACTAGATATAGCGGTTGGTGACCATGAGCAGGACAGCGATGAGGAAGAGGAACAAAGGGCTGTAGAGCAGCCCCAGTTCACGTACGACTTTACGAGCAGCGATGTGGCAGAGCTGAAGGCTTCAGCCAAAGAGACTGCCGAAGAGAACCTGGGCATGCCCTCGGTATTTGCTATTGTTTCACTGATCAAAGACGCTGCTGAGCAGATGTACGAAGATCGAATCAAAGACATGGAGCTGGCGCGGATGAAGGAGCTCGAGATTGCCGAGGAAAAAGAACAGGCGAAATTCAGAGGCACGCCAGTAACTGCAGAGTCGTTTGCAGCCTGGCGGACGAAATTCCGGGCGGAGATGGGCTGGGACCAGAAAAAAGAGCGCCCAAATGGCCGGCTGTCCGGCAAAGAGATCTTTGAGCGCGGCGTCGAAGAGGAGGCCGACGAAGAAGAAGACGAAGATTAACTATATATTACCTTTTAGCGTTTCTTGGGGCGTGGCTTGACCTCCATTTCCTTGACCACGCGAACCCGGACTTCGGTGGGATAATTTACTGTGTTACTCTGGTACCCCTTAGACCAGTCATAGCTAATACCGTAGGCAAAAAGCAACCCGTTTTTATTGAACGAAGTGGAGGTGATGGCACCGCCCACTGGTTCTGAGTAGCGCAGCCGGAATTTGGCCTCTTTGTCCCAGAAATGCACTGTGCCGTCGGAGCCAGCCGTCGAGAAGGTGCCATAACCCGGGTTGAAGGAGATTGCATTCACTGCAAAGATATTGTCGCCAACTTTGGGGGTAGTGACGGGACTGCGGTGGCAACGGAAAGAAAAGCCACTGGCAGATTGTTTTGCATCGTCCACATACTGAATTGCACAGCGGCCCTCGATGGAAGCAATTGCGTATCCGGTGCCATCGGGCATACAAGCGATCGATCTAGTCTGCATTTTCAGAGGCGACTCAGACGCACGATAGATAGTCTGTGGACTGTTCAAATCAATTATGGCTAGCCGGCGCTCAGCACAACCCACTACAAGCAGGGTTTTTTGCGTGTCCATGATATAGGCCCGCTCGGGCAATTGTACAGTAGAAACAGGCGTGGGCTGTCTCAGATCCCAGTATTTCAGTGTTTTATCCCAACTAGCCGAAGCAACCATTGGAGAACCGAGCTGGACCGAGCACACGCTTTTGACCGCAGCATCGTGGCTGCCAATCTGGATGGCCTGGCCTGCCTGCGGATCGTAGACTCTAACCGCGTTATCGCAGCCTCCGCTCACAACCTTGCTGCCATCAGTGAGCCAGCACGTACTCAAAACGGGTGCCTGGTGTTCATAAATAGCTCTGCCCTGCGAGTCGCCCGTCGACGGGTTGACCTCGTATATGCGCACCTTGTTGTCCCACGACGCGACACTGAGCACGTCGGCAACAGGAGAAAATGCGACGCATGAAACAGAGTCCGATGGAGGCTCTGGCACCCGGCGATCTTGGCTCAAATCAAAAGCAGACGACGAAATGCTGGACCCGCGACTCAATAATGACATTGTCAGCAGGGAGAAAATAACCCGCCCTGACGGTCTGTAAACAAAACACATGAGAACAATAAGTTTTCTATAATTAACATCTATTCAGAGCTTTTAGCAGCATTCAGTTGCCAGGCAGGAATTCCTGCTGGGGTGCTGGTGACAGATTCGGTAGAGGTGGTGACTCCAGGGATAGACGGCCCGCCAGCCGAAGAGGCAGAAACCGCAGTGACAGGCGGCACACTGCTAGCAACCGACGGAGCGGCACTCCGGGCAGCTGGATCGGGGATAAAAGGTTCAGTGGGGGGGCCCACATTCATATTGGGGCTGGTGTTGGTGCTAGCAGCACTAGGGCGGGGGAGAGTCACTGATGAAGGCACCATGGAAGCGGGTGGAACGCCAACATTAGAGCCATTGCCTTTGACACGACTAGAAACCAGATGCTTGAGACTCTTGACTTCGTTTTGCAGCTCCTTGATCACCTCATCTTGCTTTTCGCGGTACTGATCCAAGTGTCTAGGCATCATTTCTCGCAGAGATTCAACGTGGGATCTCAGACTCTTGAGCTCTTTGGAGCGTTCTAAATTGAAATTCTCAAACTCCTTGACCGCGTATTTGACAGACTCCATTGCCGATCCATGCTCGTCTTGCCGTCTCTTTTCGCCCTCGAGCACTTCCGAAGTCTCTTTTTGGAGCTGTTCAAAGAGAGCCTCTACACGATCAAACTCGAGTTCCAATGCCGCCTTGTCGGCCTCTAATGATGATGGTGTAGACGGCATGATCATAGGCAAAACATATCGCCTGGTGACCTCAAACAAACCATAGGCCACCCCCACACTTACGGTGGCCATGACAAAGTAGTCTTTCCAGTCTCTCATTGGCACAGGGGGTGGCTGCATCATGTACTGCGCTGGATACGCTTTCATGCCGGGCACACTGCTAACAGGAGCAGGGCTACCCACTGCGGTCGAAACGGTCGGAGCTGGAGACTGCTGAGCCCGCTTCAACGCTTCCTGGATTTCCTCTTCAGTGAGGCCCTTGCTCTCCAAGAATTTGATTCGTGCGTCCATACTAGAGGACGCAACCTGAGGGTCATTCAAGAAACCCACCGCATTTTGGATTTGATCCTCACGCATTCTGAATGATGGAAAGAGCGGGGGGCACAAGACACGATGACTCAAGACTCCCAACCGAGGCAGATCCAGGGTTTCACCGGGCAAGTGTGCTTGGGGGATGATTTATTTAACTGTTTTAAGAAACGTTAAGGATGATACGGAGACTACGAAGCAAGCATCGCAGCGAATAAAAGACCGCATACAGAGCGACTACCAGCAACAAATTGTGTACGATGGAGCCAGACCAACCTTGGCGCGAGACGATTTCAATGTATCCCACCACTTTCCTGTTGTGGTTGCCATTGTTGACAGCCAACGAGTGGGTGTTGATGTCACATACTCACACTCACCTCCCCACTTCACACACGACGAGTGCACACAACTTTTCACGAGAGTGCCCAAAACCGAGCAGGAGTTTCTGCTGCTTTGGGCACTGAGGGAGGCTCGTCTAAAATATACCGGCGAAGGATGCAGAGAAACGCCTCTGCCAATTGGCCCAATACCAGATCCGGCTACGCTGCCTGAACTCGAGTCAAGCGAATTCGATCCCCCAACCGCCACGGTTGAAAACCACACCCTTTATTGCTTCAAAATCCGGGGTCAGATCTCGGCCGCCCAATGTCGCTTGGTAGCCCTTAGTCAGATTGTGATCTTGGCTTGACGCAGAATCGTGTGATCTAATGGGCGAATTCAAAACGAGCTCGCATCTTACTGCGGGTTTTGTTGGTGGCCTAGCATCTGCAGTTTTGCTACAACCCTTGGATTTGTTAAAGACCAGGTTGCAGCAAACGCCTGGGTCAACTCTGATGGAAACAGTCAGGGGACTCCGCAGTCCGCTAGAACTCTGGCGAGGCACTCTACCGTCGGCATTGCGGACATCATTGGGGGCATCTATGTATCTTACCAGCTTGAGCAAAATGCGAGCGTCTCTTGCCAATTATACCAAACCTGAGGAGGGGTACTCGAGCGAACTGCCAAAACTCAGCAGCCAAGCGAACTTGGCAACCGGTGCAGTGGCTCGAGGATTAGTGGGGTTCATTACAATGCCAATAACAGTTGTGAAAGTCAGATTCGAGTCCTCTCTCTATCACTATAAAAGCATGGCCGAGGCAGTAAAGGCGCTCTACGTCGAACGAGGTATCCGAGGGTTCTTCTACGGATACGGCGTTACGCTCACTAGAGATGCGCCATATGCCGGGCTATATGTTTTATTTTATGAGCAGTGTAAAGACCTGCTGAATGACCTCTTCCCGGCTGGTGATGCCCACCGCAAGATCACGACCTCAGCGGCGTTGAATTCGCTGTCGGCCGTGAGTGCCGCAGTAGCCGCTACCACCATCACATCACCGTTCGATACGATCAAAACCCGTGTACAGCTGAATCCAGAAAAGTACAAATCCTTCTTAACTGCTATCCGTCTAATTATCAAAAAGGAGTCTTTCATGAGCCTCTTTTCGGGCCTTTCCTTGCGGCTGACGCGAAAAGCCCTCAGTTCCGGCGTGAGCTGGTGTATTTATGAGGAACTGGTTCGTCTTAATGCGTTTAAAGGAAACATTGCCTTATGAACGAAACAGTGTCGCGGGGGAGGCATAGTGCCGGGTCCAGCTTGTTGGATGCAACGAGCTCCAGCGCACAAAGCCCCAGACACGAATGTAGTGGATCCGCGCGACTTCCTGGAGTCTTTCCGAACCCGCCTAATAGCTCGTCTTGAGTCTCGTTGGTCAGAAACTCCCGTGCTCGCTTATGGTCAACCAAATCGATATGGCCGAGAGTTGCCAAGGCTGCAATTACCCAAAACGAGTAACAAGTATCCTCGAGTTTGTTTGGTCGGCCATTAAACCCCCCCGTTGGCTGCTGCCGGTGGGCCAACCAAGCCAGCAGTGGATTCAATTTGTCGGTGGGGAGAGCCACCCCCATCAGAGATAGGGCGTTCACGCAGCAATAAGTTAAACCAGCATGCGATTCTGTTGCGTCTGGAGACTCTCCAAACCCACCGTCTGGGGTCTGGCACTGTAAAATATACCGCGATGCATGGCTCTGCATTGGCTGATCGTGAATGCCCAGTAGCGAAAGGATCGCTATAGCTGTAAATAAATGACGCACACTTTTTTCCCCTAGCAGTTTGTTTTTGTGCGAAAGTGCAGCAAAGTTCCCGTCGTCCGCTTGGCACTGCTTGATGTAGTTATGTATAGCCAACCGGTCGAGGCCCTCGAGGGACTGCTGATCCCGAGCCAGCCCCAGCATGCAGATGCAAAAAAACGTTGAACTCAAATTTGGCGGGTCGTACGGAGACCCTTGGCTAAGTTTGTGGGATGCAGATCCACGAAACCCCGCTGGTAAGCTTAAATTGGCAGTGTATTTCGAAATGGTGTCTGGATCTACTGATTTCCCTAGCAACTCGAGAGCTAACACGCAAAAAAACACCAGCGATGAGTGCGATGAATCATATGATTGGGCTTCCTGGGGAAACATCACTAGGCATCGCTCATAGTACCTGATATGCTTTGCTGCCTGCATTATCTATAACCCACTCAACAGTGTAGGGTTTTACCTAATGTCAGACCTCTACATCAAGGCCACAGCTGCCGCGTCGTTTATTTGTGACCAAACGCCTCTCCGGCCGGAGACGGCAATCATTTGTGGCACGGGGCTGGCCAACCTAGTCGACTCGCTGAACCCTGGTGCGATTCGCCTGCAGTATCATGAGATCCCCCACTTTAAGCTCCCCACCGTCCAGGGACATGCCGGAGAGATCATAATTGGTACAATCGGGCCCGAGCAGACCCCTGTAATTTGTGTGAATGGCCGCCTGCATACTTACGAAGGCCATGATATCAAGGATACGGTGTTCAGCGTCCGAGTGTTTGCGTTGATGGGGGTTCGAAACCTTATCGTCACCAATGCAAGTGGGTACCTGAACCCTAAATTCGAGACTGGCGACCTCATGATCATCTCAGACCACCTCAATTTGCCGGGCCTGGGCGGCCTGCACCCGCTCAAGGGCCCCAATGAGGACGGCTTCGGAGTTCGCTTCCCCCCTATGGGCGATGCGTACTCACACGAGCTCCGCCACAAGCTGTGGCAGGTGTCAAGAGAGATCAGTCTGCAGCGGAAGCTCCGTGAAGGAGTCTATGTCTACGTTTCTGGTCCCAGTTTCGAGACCCCCGCTGAATGCCGTATGCTGCGGGCCATGGGGGGTGATGCTGTGGGCATGAGCACCGTCCCAGAGGTCGTCACTGCTGTTCACTCGGGCATGCAGGTTTTGGGCGTGAGCGTGTTGACCAACATTGCGTCTACTGTGCCTCCAGCGCCTATGGAGCATGTCCACAGCTCCCAACTCGACTTCCATGGCCACGAAGACGTGTTGGAGGAGGGCCGGCGGGCTTCTGAAGACCTTGAGCTTTTGATCACGAACCTCGTGCCCCATATTTGAGAATAATTTTAGATATAAGGTGTTTTTCTACTCACTAACTTCGCCTGCGGGCTCCCAGTCGCCCTGCAGGTTCTCTTTCCAAAGAGTAATTTTACTGTCCCCGCCCGAGACCGCGAGCACGTTGCCAGAAAGCGACCAGGAGACGCGCCAGACCACGTCCGGGAACTTGTCGTGCTTGAGAAGCTTCTTTTCCCATTTTTCGTCGGCGGTTTGTGTCCAGATAACCACCGTTTTGTCCTGCGAGGCCGAGGCGATGTGCGACTTGCCTAGCAGGGACGGTGACCAAGCTACGTCGCGAACCCAGTCAGTGTGGCCCTCAAGAGTCGCCTCTTCGACGTACTGCTTTTGGCCAGCGTCGTATTTCCAGACCTTGACCAGATTGTCGCTGCCACCCGTCACGAACCGGCGTGCGGCGGGACCCTCGGTAGCACCAGGCAATGCCGGAGCCCATGCGGCTGCGTTGACGCCAATCTGGTGAGCAGGAATCACAACACTATCGGGCTTGACTTCGTCCTTGAACTCGAGTACCGAAACCGTGCCATCAGACGAAGCACACAGCAACGCCGCACCGTACTCTGGAGGTGCCCATTGTACGCTGTTTACCGACGCGTGGTGGACAGTATGTTGAGAGATGTTGGACCACTGCCCGTTCTCCTCGCGCCAAATCAGCACCTTGCCGTCATAAGAGCACGAAGCCAGAATAACTCCAAACTTGGGATGCGCCCACGCGATCTGCCACACTGGGCCTTCGTGCCCTCGCAGCGTGTCCAAAAGCTTCTGGTTCTCGCCATCTACCTCGAACAATTTGATCGTCTTGTCACTGCTGCACGTGGCCAGCCGTTTCCCATAGTAGTCCAACTCGGCATCGTGAATGAGATCACTGTGAACCGCACTGATCGTAACCATGCTGGAGGATGATGTGTCAGAGAAATCCACCAAGGACGGCCGTTTTGCCTTTGACGAGTCAGCATGGTTGGAGGGGTCAGAGACTATTTGGAGAGCCTTCCGGAGGCGGTTTTGACGAGGTTGTTTCAGTCCCCGGCGTCATGTCTGGCTATTTTGCGTCTGCTCTCTCCGCTGGCCAAAACCTATCTTTTGGATATGGTTTTCACCGACGCGCCGGTCAGTCTGGACAGAATAGACCAGTTGGTAAAGCCTGAACACCGTTCTGCGCAGGTCGAAGCGATTGAAAAGCTCAGACATCTTCACCTTATCAAAGAGCGCTATGCGTCAAAGACGATCGTGGCGAATTCCACTTTTTGCACCTCCTTGAGATGCGCTTTGACGGCCGGACCGGCAAACGAGAAATTCGGCGTGCCCTGCGACGACCGATCTTCCGTGACCATGGATTTCCTTACTGAGTATTCGCGCACCAAATGGGAGTCTATTTTACATTTCATGGTGCAGTCTACCATTGAGATCGCCGAATCGCTTCCTCCCCCCGCGACTGGGGCTTTGAATTTACTACAACAAAGTGGTTTGATGGCCGGACCATCGCCAACCCGTTTGCACATTACGTCTGAAGGGTTTCAATTCCTGCTCCAAGACCCAAACACCCAGGTCTGGTCTTTGCTGCTGCATTACTTACATTTGGCATCTAAAATTGGCCGGGACGAGGTCGACGTATTGAACTTTATCTTCATGCTGGGGTCTCTAGAGGTGGGTAAAGAGTACGCTGCTCAGGACATCTCGCCTACCCAGCAGCAAATTCTCGTGGATGTTGCGGATTTGGGCATTATTTATCATGTTCCAGAGTCAAAAAGGTTTGCACCGACACCCCTCGCTCAGATTCTAACAAGTGAGAATGGTGATGGTGCTGCCGAAAACACAGATGCTGGCAAGTCTCTCAAAGGATTCATCATTCTTGAGACCAATTTCCGCATGTACGCTTACACGGACTCTACGTTGCAGATTTGCATTTTGAATCTGTTTTGTGACCTCAAATCTCGGTTTTCAAATCTCGTGGTCGGCCGCATTAGTCGTGAATCGGTGCGCAGAGCTTTCCACAATGGCATCACCGCCGATCAAATCATCCAGTACCTCACAGTTCATGCCCACGATCAAATGAAGCAGACTGACTCTGGGCAGATTCTAGCGCCTACTATTTCAGATCAAATCAAACTCTGGCAGCTTGAATTAGACCGATTTGTATCAAACTCTGGGTTCCTGTATCGTGACTTTGCCACAGCCCAGGAATACAATCTTATTGTCAATTATGCGCAAGAGATGGGCGCCCTGATGTGGAAAAACGACTCCAGGAGAATGTTTTTTGTCGATCGTGATTCAAACCGCAAGGTTCTCGAGTACGTGAATCGCAAAATGACTTCTTAGTATAATTTATTGCATAAATAATTTCTTAGGGTGCTGGCACCTCGGGGATGTTGGCTGCCTCGTCATTTTGATGGTGGTTTTCGTCGGGGGCCGGCGCTGCCGGCGCTGCTTGCTCGACGGGTTCCGCTGGCTCTGCTAAACCCGCTGCTTGACGAGCCATAAGACGGTTGCGCCTAATACGGAAAGCAACCGCAACAGCCATAAACAGAAGACACACTCCGAAAAAGTAGAGGTCTGTAGTGAAATTTTCTAGCGTCAGAGGCTCCTCAACTTCCTCTTCAAAAACAACCTGAGGCCGTGATGCTTTGAGATCTTTGAACGTGGCACGCATCATTTGAAGGCCCTCCCAGAAAGATTTTCGAGGGGCCTCGGGTTCTTGGTTTGGCACTTCAACTCCTAGAAGTCGCTGCCAAAGTAATTTCCAGCGAAGCCGCACTAGTGCCATCTGGACTAAAAGAAAAGCATTGGAGTTGGCACTTGCGCTCAAATCATAGTACCGCTTAGCCAAATGCGAATCTTGGTTGACTCCCTCGCCATGTTCGTACATCCAAGCAATATTGAAGTATGCCATGGAGCTCGCTCGGAACGTTCGGCGGGCCTGGTCAGTGTAATACTCGAACGCCCTGGTCAGGTCTTTTTCGGTACCTGTGCCGTAATAGTAATAATCTGCTACTTTCATCATAGCATCCATAGAGCGTTGTGCAGCTCGTGTAAAGAACGTGAGCGCGCTTTCAGCTCGGTTTTTGACAAAGTCAGGAACCGGCCAGGCTCGCAACCAAGGAACCGGTAGAGCAGAGTGATACACATCCAGCAAGTCTCCGAGGTTGAATTGAGCTGAGTCGTACCCCTGCTCAGCTGTTACCAAAAACCCTAGGTAGGATGCGTCCAGGCCCTCGGCATAAGATCGTTGGGCCCATCGAATAGGTGAGTGATAGTCTTCAGTCCATTCACAGACACTACGATACAAAGCAGCCACATTCAGGTCAAGATGTGTATTTTGGAACCATTCCTGGACATCCTTGTTTGTTTGGGCCTCGATTTCTAGATCCTCCCATAACGCGCCAGCCCAATAAGCCGCCAAGGGACCGCTTTTGGCAAATTTGGAAATCTTTGGGAGCACTTCCATTTTATCTTCTGGAGTAAACGAGTGGCGAATCGAGTTGATCACTTGACCAAAATAGCTGTTCACTTTGGCTCCCTTTTCAAAGTAGTTATCGGCACGAGTTTCGTGGTAGATAGCTTCTTCTGACCCCGGCTCATAATGGGCCGCCTCATAAAGCTCCATCATACCCAAGGGACTGCTAGCAAAGCTGTGGGTGGTATCTACCTCAAGCTCAAGGGCAAGCTCGTAATAATACTTTGCTTTCTCGAGGTTTTTCTCAACCCCTTCTCCGCGACGATACCGATCGCCAATGAAAACATAACAGAAGCTGGCCATGAATATCTCTTCTGAATCGGGTTTCCCCGGCAGTCTATCAAATTGATCAATCACGTTGTTTGCGTGGGCCATGGCCCTCTCATATTGAGGCTCATTGAACGATCCACCTCGGCTGTAATACTGGGTTAGAATGAAGTGCGCCCTCATGTCGTCTTCTTCCAAAGCAGAAAACTCGAGCTGGTCCAAAATCTCGTCTTTTTCTCCAATCATTGCTTGTAACAAAACTGTTGTTGCTGGAGAAATGGAGTACGTCTCGTGCATCAAAAAATCGTAGACTCCGCGGCCGAACTCGTCGGCAATAATCCAACTGTTTTTAGGCGTTTTGCGAAACCCCTCCACCGAATTACCGTTACTGTGATACTCCATACACTTATCTGCGGCCTCACCATAGTAGAAAGCTGATTTTGAATCACTTTGTTCAACGCCGATTCCATGAAAATATCTGTAGCCGAGAGCCATCTGAGACCGCAAGTCACCGGCCTCTGCGGCGAAAGTATAATACACTAGTGCTTTTGCTTGATCAGTTTCGAAGTTGCCGAAAACACCGGTCGAATACCTGAGGCCCATCATGAACTGAGCCGGAGCACTGCCCAGAGCAGCAGCTCTCTGATAATAATCGAAAGCCCGCGTAAGGTTTTGTTGGGTTTTCGCACCATAAAAACAGCATTCACCGATTTTGAATAACTGGCCAGCCGTGCCGTCGTCAAACTGGGACAAATCGTCCACCTGTCCCGGTGGGGATTTTTCAACGTCGTCTGTCTCTCCACGCTTTTGCCACAAATTAGCATAGAGGATTTTGACCAAATGTGAGTAAGAAAATCGGTCGTAGGCCCAGGGATATGAAGGAGTCTCGGGCAATGGCACATAGGTGGAGAGCTGGAAGCTGGTCAACGCACTGCCAGGGTGGTCGGGGCTGATCCATTGCTCGAATCCTGCCACCTCGTTATGATCAAAATCTTGTGTGTACGCCTCTTCATTCGCAGCCACAATACATGCAGCTGCCAGCGCTATCACAAGCTTAAGCGTCCACATAACCCAAGCACACAGACAGACTGTCACGTAGTAAGCTTGCATGAAATGGCGTGTTAAATACTTTTGTACGTGTCGAGAGACACGAAACAGCGAGGTTCCAGAAACATTGGAGGATCCCCGCTGTTTCCATGAGCTGAACTATTTATATTTCTGTGAAGATTGTGCGGCGATCCGGTGCAACTATTGTGTCGACAAAGAAGTAAAGGCTATTTTCTGTCCGTCGTGTCTGTTTGAGACCACCCAAACATCAGCGGTAGCAAGTGGAAATGTCTGCTTGCGAAATTGTCTGCGGTGTCCTGATTGTTTGGCAAATTTGATTGTGAGCTCTGTTGATTTAGGCTATAGTGCGCGATGTGCTGTGTGTGCTTACCATGTGGAGCTTGCAAAGGGTCGCCCGCTAGCTGCGCAGGCTGAAGACGTTGCGGAAAGCGAAAGAATCGAGGGCCTGAAGAATGCCTTTGTAAATGGTAGCGAAATTGAGCTCAAGCTGCGGGACCCGGTTAAACTGCCGCTGCGAGTGCCCTTGAGAGCCCGCTATTCCAAGTTCTGTAAATACTGCAGGAATCAGGTCGCCGATCACGATCCCCAGCCCGCGTCGGCCAAGGTTATCAATGCGGTGATGGCGAGGTCAATGGTGCCCGAGATCAAGGTTCTGACGGGGACCGATCAGCCGCGAATGGTAGTATCCAATCCGACCCCACTGGAATTGCAAGTTACGCTGGCCAGCAAGTCTGGAATCAGGTTTGCTGTGACACAATTGACTCTCAAGCCTGGATCCGGCAAACGAGATGATCTGAGTTTGATAAGAGGAGTCCCAGAATGCTTAATTGGTCGAGAAACTACTGCATCTAGACAAGTGTTTATGGAAGGGTCGCGAAAACGGCAGACTGGGGTTGAACAGGGCATAAACTGGGCCCTTATAGACCTCGAGGTTCCCAAAGACACAACACAATTCAACGTTCAAGTCTCGGTAAAATTCATTGCTGGCAATGAAACTATGTCGCTAACCCTCTGGCTACTATGTCGAAATGAATAAATCCCCTCCGTGGTTATGTCATCTCTCTCATCCCACACGTTTCAATGTTGGAGGTAGTAATGGATCCCAAGACCAAGGTCCTTTCATTGGACGAGTCGTCTACTGCGGACCTCAACGAGGTCGAACTGAAGGACGCCAAGCATACTCTTGACTTGATTAATCTCTTGGTCAAGGACTTTACCCAGCTGAACAAGCCGTTTCCTCCGCCTGCGAACCAGGTCACCGCCAAGCACACCCAGGCTTCTCAGCAGCTGGTCAAAAACGGCGTCCAGGCTATCCAGAAAAAGAAAACCGACGAGGCTATAAAGCTTCTGCAGACCGCCCTTGAGATTGTTCTTAGACGGCCCTACTGGGAGTCGGTCGCAGTTGCCCTCGAGGAGGCGATCGCGTGCCTGGCTCCGCTGTGTGACGCCTATACCCTGGCTCAAATGTGGCCCGAGGCATACAGCACTGCAACAATGCTGACGCTTCTCAAGCCCAGCGACGCCTCACATCTTTACCGCCGGGCTTACTCGCTTATGGCCGTAGAGCGGTACGAGGACGCCCGTGAAATTATCGAGACTGGGTTATCTATGAATGCTAACGAGCCTTTATTTAAAGAAATGCAGGAGTTTCTCATCAATCAAGCATCTGCCAAGGAGCCTGAAAAAGAGAAGTAATGATGTAGTTTGTTGTACGATGCTTAATTAACATGCATGCCTCTCCTACCCAGAGTGAGCCCACGATGTCAATGCTGCGCCATGAGAAAAAGTTGCAGGGATTTGAACCTCCATGCGCAGAGATGCCAGAAATTAGTCCTGAACGAAAAAGAATCAGAAACCACAAGCCGGTCATCGTGCCAGCTCTGAATGGTAAGCTTTGTCTCAAGCCGCAGCCGAAAATCCGCAAGTATGAGCTTTGAAAGGGCTATTATTTACTAGAGTATAGGGGCGCAGCTATTTAAAAGTAGACAACCATACGGCCTGTGATGGTACCCTTCTGCATCTCCTCCATGATCTCGTCAATGTCCTCGAGCTTACGGGGGGCAGTGGTGGGGTTGATGAAGCCAGCCTTGGCGAGCTGGAATGCCTCAGCAAGATCGTTACGGGTTCCGACGATTGAACCAACCAACTGGATACCCTTGAGAACCAAGTTAGGGATAGAAAGCTGCATAAGCTTGCTGGGCAGACCAACGGCAACGACACGACCGAAAGGACGCACGGAGTTCAGGGCAGCCTCGAAGGCAGGAACTGCAGTGGCAGTGATAACGCAGGCGTGAGCACCACCGAACTTGTCCTGAATTTCCTTGGCAGCGGCAACACCGTCCCGGGAGTTGATGACATGGTCAGCGCCGTTGGCCTTGGCAAACTCAAGCTGGCGGTCGTTGACATCGAGGGCGATGATCTTGCAGTTGTAGGATTTGGCGATCTGAACAGCCAAGCTTCCAAGACCACCAAGACCCCACAAAGCAATCACTTGACCGGGAATGATGTGGGCTTCCTTGATAGCCTTGTAGACAGTAACACCAGCGCAGGTAACAGAGCTGGCAGCGCCGTCGTCAAGACCCTCAGGGACTTTGACAGCGTAGTCGGCAGCGACGACAACTTCCTCGGCAAATGCACCATCGGCAGACAAGCCAGGGTTGGTCTGGTTGGAGCACATAGCCTCACGGCCAGCAATGCATTGCTCGCAGGCGCCGCAAGCAGAGAACAGCCAGGCGATCGACACGCGGTCGCCAACCTTGAGCGACTTGACATCGGGGGAAATTTCAGTAACAATGCCAACACCCTCGTGGCCGCCAACACGGCCAACAGAGTTGCCGAACTCCTGGTCACGAACGTGCAGGTCGGTATGGCAGACACCGCAGCAGGTAGTCTTGACACGAGCCTGGCCATGCTTCAGAGGTTGGCTCTGCTTCTGTACAATCTCGCAGGTTTTATCCTTGGTGAAGACAGCAGCGCGGTAGGTCATGGTTTAATGATGCAATAAGTTTCGAGTTGAGAAATGGGAATTGATGGCTGAATTTCAGTGGGCGGCCCTCTTTTTATACTTGTTTCAATAAGGCCGGCCAACATGGCGTGTGCAGTAGATCCCCAAACCCTGATGTGTTCTAACAATCAGCAGATTGCGCAGGCTCGGCTCGCTTAAAAAAGCCCGCGACACATGTACCGGGACCGGTTCGCGTCTCAATCATGGGCAGGTGCTTGAATTCGAGCGAAATTCGAAAAAGCTGTTTTTTTAGGCTCATACAGGTACCGCCGGAACTCAGGAAACAGAATTTCACGGCCCGCATGTATATTGTCCCCTCTTTTGGGGGCTCGAGACATGCATACCGGATGTTTAGAAGATTCCGCAAACCGTATAGCCAGTAGAAAATTAGCAGTCTAGAACACCCTACGCTCTGCAGCCCAGCTTATTTCTCGAGCTCTACGGGAACTTGCACCGGGCGAAATTTCGCTTTGTAGTGCCCGCTCTTAGGTTGCTCTGCAGCGTATTCTTCTCTCATTCGACAATATGCATCCAGCCGCACCTCCCAACGTCTGCGCTGTCAGGAGGAGGTAAGGGGGGTTTTTCCGAGGAGAAAAAGACGCACTGCCCGAATTGGCGCGACCACTTAGTTTCCCGCGAGCTATAAGTGAGATGTTTCGTTTCCATTCAATTCCATTTAATGATCAAATGCATACAGCATCGATATCGTGGTGTCCCCGCATTTACGGCTATCGATATGCATCGCCCCTATTGAAAGTACCTATTGCCGAACCATGTGTGCTATGCAGCGTGTTGTTCTCCCTGCGGGTTAGACGCCTTCACACCCTTGCCCCCACTCGATACTAACTGCACGACCAAGCTGGCAGACGTGGGGTAAATATGCATGTGGTCACACGCAATCTACTCAACAAAACCAATTGGAAGTTGCAAGTGCCCATTTGGGACTGCTAAATCCGATGTCGCTAGGTCTCGTTTTCAGCCACTGCTGCAGGTCTCGCGGGTGGCTACTCCGCCGCACTCACCGTTCAAAGACGGGCTTAGTCGATTACATAATTAAAATTTTTCGCAGCTTCATGTCGAAGAGCGCTTCTTCAGGGGGCACAAAGAAGTTCTCTGTCAAACCTAAACCGCCGCCTTCGCCGACCGTACAGGAGCTTATTGTCCGACCATCGAATACTGGGGCACAAAATGGTGGCAAAATCTATTTAGATTTAGAAACGATTCGTGCGCTGGGGCTCGAGGCCGGAGCCTGTGCTTCTGTCGGAAGATCTGTCTTCGTGACAGGGACGATCACCCCGACGTCGTGTGATCTTGATGTCGTAGAGATCCCGCAGGAGCTTCGACGGCTTTCGGGGCTCGTTGCCGGAGACAGAGTCACTGTCAAGCCAGCCCCTCGCCCTGATCCCGCCGGAACCGTTTTTGTGTTTGCTGAAACGCCCAAAGAAAAGGTAGCGAAACTCTTGAAATCAGTGGGAATTGTTCAGACTGGTTTGGTTATAGACGGAATTGAAATCGTTGGTGCCGTAAAGGAGAAGACGGTTGACGATATACAGTCCCTCGCGCTTTCGTCAACAAAAAACTTGCCCCTTACCATCACAGATTCGACAAAGATTGTTAAAGTCGACAACGGCTTACCCAAGTCATCAAAGTACGTCGGATACAGCTCCATTGGTGGCCTTAAGGAAGAGCTGAAGTTGCTCCGTTCCAAAATCGAGCTGCCGCTTAACCGACCAGAGCTTTTTGAAAGGTTCCAAACACCACCTGAGCGGGGGTTCTTATTGTATGGACCTCCAGGTACAGGTAAAACCTTGCTTCTCAAAGCGATTGCCAACGAGACAGACAACCATATCTTGCGAGTGAACGGCCCCGCTATCTATTCAAAATATCTTGGCGAGACCGAATCGGCGCTACGGAGTATTTTTGATGAGGCAGAGAGGTTCGCTCCAGCCATTGTTTTCATTGATGAAATCGATGCGCTAGCCCCTAAACGTGACAGCGACGAGTCGGGCGAAACTGAAAGCCGAGTGGTAGCTACCTTGTTGACATTAATGGACGGTATGAATGCTGGAGGAAGAGTGGTGATTGTTGGTGCTACTAACCGGCCAAATAATATAGACCCTGCTCTGCGGAGGCCAGGAAGGTTTGGCCAGGAAATCGAGGTTGGCATCCCGAGTGCACAAGCGAGGCAAGAAATCTTGCAAATACTCTTGTCGGCGATACCACATCATCTGACTCCCCTAGATATCGAACAGATTGCCAGTAAAACGCATGGATACGTGGGGGCAGATTTACAGGCTTTAAGTAACGATGCTGTTATGTGTGCCATCCAAGGCGGTCTTCAGGCTAACAAGGCCATAGACGATATGTTTCTTGAGCGAGATGATGTTGAGAAAGCTTTGGTACATATAAGGCCCTCTGCTATGCGCGAAGTTTTTTTGGAGACTCCCAAAGTATTCTGGTCTGATATTGGCGGCCAAGCAGATATTATAAGAAGACTCAAAGAAGCTGTTGAGTGGCCGTTGACACAAAAGGAATCTTTTGAGAGACTGGGTATTGTACCACCTCGAGGAGTTCTCTTGTATGGACCACCCGGATGCTCTAAAACCTTACTCGCAAAGGCTCTAGCTACTGAGACTGGACTCAATTTCCTGGCTGTAAAAGGACCAGAGCTTTTTAATAAGTTCGTGGGGGAATCCGAACGAGCCGTGCGCGAGATTTTCCGGAAAGCAAGAGCTGCGGCTCCGAGTATTATTTTCTTTGATGAGATAGATGCCTTGACCACGGCAAGAGGCGAGTCTGAGGCGGGCGGGGACCGGGTTTTGACCTCTTTACTGAACGAAATGGATGGAATTGAGAGTTTGAATGGGGTAGTGATTTTGGCTGCCACCAACCGCCCGGACGTCATTGACTCCGCGTTAATGCGCCCAGGTAGATTGGATCGCTTAGTCTATGTGCGACCCCCAGATAGGGATGCACGCCGGCAAATACTGCTGATACAATTCGCAAAGATGGCTCTGGATGACTCTGTGAATCTGGAGGAGCTTGCGGATGCCACAGAGGGCTGCTCGGGAGCAGAAGTCGTTAGCATTTGCCAGGAGGCTGGTATACTTGCAATGAACGAATCCGTTGATATTGCTGCAATCCGTCGCGATCATTTCTTGGCTGCGTTGAGTGGTCTTCGCAAAAATATTACCGCCAGCATGCTCGAATATTTCGAAAATTTTGACACTGGCAGGCTTTGATTATATTTATCTTACCGGTTGCGTTGCCGAAAGCAGGCTCAGACTGGTATTTATCAACTTCATGAGGGCTCTCCTGTTTTGTAGGCGGGCTCTTTCAAAAGAGCGACTGGAGAAATAGTTTTCAGTTCATATTTTTGAGGCTATTAGTCTATATTCTTGTCTCATAGCTACCGGCACGGGTTAAATATCGGACCCATTTGAGGGCAGTATAATTGCTCTTATCTTCCACTTTCAGGTATCTGACAGATAATCCGGAGCCGCAGTATTGGCTCAGGCTAAATTCAGCCTTAATGGGAGGTGGATTCCAGGGCATGTTGCTCTGGGTGTAGTTGATAGTACTTTCGAAGGATGCATCAGTACCACCGGTGAATCTACCAATTTTCCACATTACGCGATTGTCTGACGACTGGTATTTTGTTTTGCCAGTACCGTTACTGTTAACTTTAGTAGTGTTCGGTGGAACAGGAACATAAATCGTCACATCACCAGCTACCAGTTTATTTTCAAAAGTGGCTTTGGCTCTAATGTTGTAGTGGATGGTTGCGCCGCTCTTATCCACATCAACCTGAAGATTGATAGGAGCTTTCAAATTATCTGTGACTTGATAACGCATGAGCTCAAATTCGCCATCTGGAGGGACAAAAAGCACTGTGCGGTTACGATTGAACCGTGCCAAATCAACGCACTGATGTAATTGGAAGTCGGTGATTTTCACGGTATGACGACTTCTAGGACTAGACTTGTCGTCATTTTCATCATACTCTGTGTCGATTTCGTGACCACTCTGATCATTCAGCCCAATTCGGCACTGAGGCATACCACTCAAGTGGCTGTTGACTTGAATCTTTCCGTCGACTGTCGAGCTGATAACATTTCCCCGCAAATCAGTGAGCAGATTAAAATTTTCGAAAATGTCGACAAACACCTCGTTCCGTCGATACTTTATGCCTTCACGTCGCCACGATACCGACCCCGTCGCTTGCTGGGTCGCTTGGTTGGATGGTGCTGTGGGTTGCGATTTCGATGACGAGCTGGACTTTGACATGAGTGACCTTGGAAATAACGAGGATCCTTGACTGGAATTGCTAGTACCGGCAAGCAGCTGCTTCACGGCGTCTGCATCTGTGTTTTGAGGGTAGCCAAAGTCTACTAACTCGTCCAGGAGTTCGTATAGTAAGGTTACGTTTTTGTGACAAGCTTGTTCGTCAAAAGTTCCAAATTGCGACACACACAAGTCGGTGAACTTGTATAGAAACTCATAAACAAGCATCGCATCGACATCGTGACGCGTGACCGCGACAATGTACAAGTCTCCATGGCGGATATGGAGGAAAGACGTAGAGCCTAGCGTGAGCAAGGGCGACCTGTTTTCCGGGTTCGAGATGACTTGAACACGAAATGCATCGGTGATTGCTCGCCTTAGACCGTCTTTATAAATACGCGAGGCAAGAACCTCACCTCTATTGCCGCCATAAATGAGAACGGCCGAGATCATGACAAAGCGGTGTCGGAGACGTCGATCCAAATTAAATAAATTACCACTCTAAATCTAAACTACCGAAAGGCTTCGAGGTTTCGAGCTCACGCACCAGACCATCTACGTTAGATAGATACTTGCCAAGCATCAGTTGCTTCTCGGCTGTGGTTTTGCGAGGAATTGTTCGGTCTTTGTCAACAATGTGGGTTTCGGGAATAAGATAAAAGAAGAGGAACTCCAAAATAGACAGCTTCACCTCCTTGGTTGTGTGGCGGTGTTTGAATGTGTCGCACACTGCTTTCAGTCCTCTCAATGCCTCGAATCGCCGAATGTTCTCCACCTGCCGGACCATTATACCAACCAAAGCGTTGATGGACGCGGTTTGTATTTGTGGACTGGCGTGCTTGATACAGGCAATCAGCTTGCCCATGAGGTCGTCGTTATTGAACGCCAAACGCGATGGGCGGTGGATCAGACATAGGCCCTGAATGAGCCTCAGCATCGCTACTGCTACCGCTACTGCGGTTTCGTCAGTGTGATCGACTGAGCAAACCGCCCAGTCCAGCTGTAGTGCAAGTCTTCCCGTCAGGTTATAAGCAAAACTGTCCTGCAGTGCAAGGAATTGGTCCATTTCCCGGGTGTGCTGAGACTGCCGCAACGTCATGGTCCCGTCTTCGCAGATCTTGAGAATCTTGATTTCTATGTCACTAATGACACCATGCAAATCGCCAGTATCTCGTTTCTCAATTCGTTCTATAAACCCAGATATTTCGCTCTGCATTCCAAAAATTATCGTATGTAAACAAACCCGAAAAGTGCTCTCGTTCACTTTTAGTCAGATGCGGATTGTGGTATGCGGTGACGATGGTGTGGGGAAATCGTCGCTTATCACGGCGCTAGTTAAAGATAGGTTCGTTCCGCACATCGAGGACGTTCTGCCGCCGCTCTTTATTCCCCGTGGAAACATCACGGTGACTGTGGTTGACACTTCTGCTCAGCTGTCTGCTCGCAATACCCTGAAATCTGAATTGCGGCAAGCGAACGTATTGTGGCTGGTTTTTTCGGATCACTATACATGTGAACGTATTTCACTGTTCTGGATGCCATTTCTGCGATCCATTGGAGTGAATCTCCCGGTAATTCTCTGTCAAAACAAGTGCGATGCTGATTCGGCAGAACAGAACGACAATGACGACGATGAAGTGCTTAATATCATGAACGAGTTCAAGGAGATCGACTCATTTATTCGTTGCAGTGCAAAGGACAAGTTCAACGTTAGTGAAACCTTCTACCTTTGCCAAAGGGCCGTTACGTATCCGCTTGCTCCACTGTTTGATGCGAAAGAGGGTCAACTCAAGCCAGCGGCAGTGAGTGCGTTGCGGAGAATTTTTTTTCTTTGCGACCAAGATCAGACCGAATACATGACGGATCTGGAGTTTTTGCAGTTGCAATTCCAATGTTTCCAGTCTAGTCTCGACCAGTCCGATATTGAAAGTATCCACCGCGCGTTGCTCGACCGGTCAGTGGACCCCAAAAAACCCCTCTACATCCCTGGAAAAGGTATAACGTGCGACGGATTCGTTGCTCTGGCCCAGCTGTATGCCGAGCAAGGAAGACACGAAACAGTTTGGGGGATTCTGAGACACTTTCATTACACAGACTCGTTGTGTCTAGATGAGCGCTATCTGTGCCCCTCTGTGGATGTACCCACCGGATCTCATGTCGAATTGAGTCCCAATGGCTACAGATTTTTGGTTGATCTGTTTACATTGTTCGACAAGGACGACGACGGGGGCCTGAGTCCGGACGAACTTGATATATTATTTGCCCCCACTCCTGGATTTCCAAAGCTATGGACCGATACCCAATTCCCGTACAGCACGGTTCGGAATGAAAGGGGATACGTAACACTTCAAGGTTGGTTAGCTCAGTGGTCAATGACGGCTTTTCTTAACCACCAGACTGCTTTCGCATATTTGGCCATGCTTGGCTATGAATCAAAATACGGCGCGGGGAAACTCACTTCGGCGATTCGTATAACAAAGGCAGCAAAACCCCGGAATCCTCGCTCCAAAATTTACAGAAATGTGTGCTACAGCGACCGCAATGTTTTCAATTGTTTTGTACTGGGTGCAAGTGGGTCAGGGAAGTCCGTTCTGTTATCATCGTTCTTGGGTCGTTCGAGCTCCTATACATACTCACCGACGATCACCATGCAAATGATGGTCAACTCGGTGGAGATGCCAGGCGGCAAACAGTGCTACCTGATTTTGGAGGAACTAGGCGAGCTGGAACCAGCAATTCTTGAAAACCCTCAGAAACTAGCGCAGTGTGATGTGCTTTGCTTCTGCTACGATTCTTCAGACCCAGAGAGTTTTTCCTACCTTACCCAACTACGTGAAAAATACCGACAACTCGATCAATTGCCTGTGGTATACGCTGCTTTGAAGGCTGATCTTGACAGACAACAGCAGCGTACAGATGTCCAACCTGATAGATACACCACCCAAATTGGACTTGCTGCCCCATTACATGTCTCTGCTGAGTGGCCGTCTTCGTTGAGCGCGCTGTTTGTGCAGTTGGTTGATGCGGCAATGCGACCAGGCCCGGCGACTCCTCAAATTGCTGATATGCCTGAAGAGGACTCCGTGTACCAGGTAATTTTGGCGATTGGTACAACAGCTATGGCGGCCGGTGTCGCATATTTATTATGGAGAAGGTCTTTGTAGTGAATTGTGTCAAGGACCACGTACAACCTCTTTAGCGTCTGAAAGTCGCACCAGTTATCAGACTCGACCCGATTTATACCCCGTAGCCAGTGATTTGCATAGTGTTTTGACAATTTCTGCTTTAGCAACTCGACAAGTATTTTGATGAACTATAGACCTGCTTGTTTACTTGGTGGACCGTGTACGCTATGCTTGCTGCTATTTCGAGCGGCTGAGGCATTATTTTTACATATCCACCGTTGGTAGTTCAGAATGATTGAACTTCATATTGATGCGCAGGAACCTAGCTGCAGTTCCTGCGCATCTGTGGAGTGCATCCTTGACAAGCATTAGCACCTGAGCAACACATGAAACAGTTACATTTAAACTTAAATTTCGACATACACATTAGCGATCCTTGCTGGAATGCAGGCAATTTTAAGCTACTGAAGGGGATCACATAACACAGTCTTTGTATTTTCTCCTCAACCATATCTATCGTAACCGTGGTATATAAGTGTTTTGTTACCTCCTATACTGGTGAGATTATTGCACCGCGATCGACGGTCCAGATTTGGTCAAGTAGCAGAAGCATGTGACTCGGAACCTCACTTGTCACCAGCTCCCTTCGACAAATAAATGACACTGAGAGTGTGGTATTGCGTTTGTTTCGTGAAAATTGGCCTATATCAGATACTTCTATGCCTTTAATTTGCTGTCGAATCAAGTTAGACTTCTTCACAGATGTGAGCCAAAGCTTTCATCTGACGATGTATTGATTATACATGACTGCAGGTCACTCAGTGCTGCTACGAAGTTTCAGAGGTGGACTGCTGTCATTTTGGAGCATATGCCTCGGTCAGTAAACGGAGATGCTGGGCAAGCTCGCCGGCAAGCTTTCCAGGCACGTCGCTTAGCAAGGCGGAAATGAGGAAATAGTTATTGTACAAGAACAGCTCAGCATCAGAACTTGCTTTACTGAGTTTTGTGACGAACATTTCAAATCCACTAGTCATTTGACGTAGTTTGGGTGCCAATGGCTCATCAAGTGCTTCGTTCTCCGTTGAAATCTGTAAAATTCCAGTTAAAAACTGAGCAAAGAGCTGCGTCATTGGATGAGGAGTGACATCAGAGGCGGCACGGTGACTCGAAGATTTCGATGCTGCTTGTTCGATGCTCTTCAAATTCGCATCAAGCACAAAGGTGATCTCTGTCCAAAGCAAGCTTTCAAGCACCTTGGCAAACACGTTGAAATCCGCCACATCTTTAGGCATTTGCTGAATTAAACGCAGACTCAATATAAGGCCATAGATATCAAAGTTCTCGTGGGAGAGGCGGGTGAAGGTGGCCTGGATGCCCGCTAGTGGCTTTGTGAATAAAGCAGAGTCCACCGGCAGCTCACTCATATCTGAGTTGACCTCGGAATCTAATGCAAGCTCTTCTACAGCAACCGATTCATCTGCAGCATTTTCTCGAATGGAAAGATCAGCAATGTTGGCCGAGGCTGCAACGTTGGCAAACCCTTCCCGCTGTGTTTCTTGCTCGACCTTCATGCTATTGTATAGTACCAATAGCAGACTTCGCAAAATAATTTCAATGTGATAGCCTTGCGGAGGACTCGTCTGCCCTAAGCATATTGCCGTATCATTGCTTGTGAGAATAGTAGGCCTTGATCCGATATTGAACACGTCCGTGCCTCGTGCGGTTGATTTTGAAACAAATATAGACTTGTGAGCTGATGCGCCAAGAGCCCCGAGTGTTTTCGAACTATCAACTAGAATGACCGGCATTCTATCAATATTCCTATTATACTTGCCAAAAAGCATCGTATAGTACCAACGCACTGTGTTGCAGTACGCGAGATGCAAACGTCTAGCCAAGCGTGGCTCTCGCTGCAACAGAAATTCGTACAAGGGTTTATTGTTAATAATTTCGCCCTGGACTGTTTCGGCGTTGGTACCCGGTTGACGAATACGCCTCACACAATAGACGTACCATACTTTGATTCTTGCTGTAGCTTTAGTGAGTAACGTGTCAATGAATCGTTGAGATTCACTGGTATCCGCACTTGAAGTCGACAGCATTGGCCTTTTCAAAAGTAAAGCTAGTGCCGCTCTCCATTGAGGTCCTATTTCGCCAGTAGAGATTTCGGATACCACTGCTGGTGGCACGACTCTTTCGGCACAAATAGGGCTCAGCTCCAACTCGACCTCTTTACGAACCTCTAGACGGTGGTGCAAATTCGACGACAGTGCTTGCAGCTGGCTCATCTCCGAGGAGAGTTGGCTGATATCTGACTTAAACTTTTCGCTTTGCTGTTCAACCAGTTCCAAGTCTTTGAGTGTCGAGTCCACCAGCTTCGCAAAGTCCTCTACTGACGCCGACCATTCACTGAAACTTGCCAAGTCAATCTTTTCACTTGTGGTTTTATAGTGACTTTTGTCCCGAGCACGTTCAGCGGCCGCTGCGAGCTGCTCGGGTTCAATGCCTAGTAGTCGCGAAACCTCAGACTGCATTGTAAGCAGCTAAGATGCTGATGCAGGTCAAGCAGACTATCTCTCAACCAGAAATCAATAAATTAAAATAGACCTTGCAAATCAGTCAATAATATCGTACTTATAGCGCCTTTTCTTAGTGGGTTGAGGATTTGCAGCAGCTGGATTTGGGGCAGTTGTTGGTGTGTTCGAATATCGCATATGATCTAATGGGCGATTAACGAGATCTTTGAAAGGCAAACGCGGTTGAGGAGTAACGGGAGTCACTGGTGCAACCTCTGGAGAAACTGAGTATTTGGATACGCGTTTACGAGGTACACTCCGAGGTGTTGTCGATGTTTTACTCAATCGATTGATTGGGGTGTGTTGTGGACTAACAATTGAACGACCCGACAGACCAAGCCGAGCGTCGGAGTCAATTGGAGCGGCAAAGCTGCGAAGATCGTTGACTGCCTGCGGTCTGGTATCTTCTACTGGGGGTGACGATGGCTTGCATAGATTAATCTCAGGTTTATTCGTGGGGGGGACGTGAGGTTCGGGTCGCGTTGGTGGGTGGCAGTTATCGCGCATATAAGGCCATCTTTCGGTCCTAAACCGCGAAAAATACCTCAGCTCCTTATCAGCGGCTAATATTGTAGCATTATCAACGTACGGCATTTGCCTGGACTTTTGTTTGATCCACAAAAAGATCAAGTTGGGATTTAAGACGGTTCGATTTGTAAACCTTTCTTTTATCTCATTGATTAATGGTGGTTCGTCTTCTTTCGAGTGCGTTTGCTACATTTTATTGGATTGGGATTTATATTAAACCCAAAGAAGGCCTCCGAGATGATCCGGCTGTTATTAAAAACACGATGGTTAGAATTGTGACCTCAACTACGGTAGCCATTGCATTAGGACCATTTGCAGCTCAAACACTGATTGGCGGCGATTATTGGCAAAATTTCAATTTAATGGGGCTCCAGATGAGTCCAAAAGGAGTTGCAATTGCTTTGGGGTTGACAATGACCCTGTTCAGCGGCCCCATAATCCGCAACGGTATCCCTCGCCCAGAGTGGTCATGGCCAGACCTGCGAGATTATCTGTTCGGGCCGTTGACTGAAGAATTGGTGTATCGGTCAGTTATTATTTCGTTTTACAAACAGGCAGGGCTTTCTCAAACTAGGATGATTTGGGAAACCCCACTATACTTTGGGCTAGCTCACATGCATCATGCGCTGAGAAAGTACCGTCAAGGAGTGCCACTGAGAGAATGCATTATTCCGGCAATCGCTCAGCTAGCAATGACAACTTTATTCGGAGCATATGCATCCAAACTTTTCCTCTCGCTTGGTAGTGTATGGCCAATCGTGGCAGCACACGTTTTCTGCAACCTCATGGGTCCCCCTGATATTGATGGACCTTGGTGGTATAGGACGCTATTGATAGGCGGATTATCAACTTTTGCGTACGGACTTACCAAGTTATAGGGCTGCAAGGCGAGATAATAAACCGGAAACCTGTAATTTGGAATTGACACCTTCTAAAACCCGCATGTGAGTAAACCCAATTTCTTTAAAGTACATTAACTTTTCATGGTCATTCAAGTCATCGAACGTTTTCACAACCCTGAACATTGTCGTTACGAGATCAATGGCGCTGTAGCCTTTGGTCCAGAGTTCATCCATCTTATCAAGGCTTGCATCAAGATCTCCCTTTTTCAGTGCGCCAAGCATCTCACGAATCACTACTGGGTGAGGCGAGTCCACAATTTTAAAAACACTCTCACCGTTGACAAACCCAAAACCATTAACTGTAGATTGAAGGTTGTTGATCGCTTGTCGCATGTCACCCTCTGCAGAAAACAAAAGCGCGCTAAGTCCATCCTCGCTGTACTCGACATTCTGAATTTTGATAATCTGCATGAGCCGCTTAAGAATCTGTTGATCTGTGAGACGACCGAACCGCAGAATAGCACAACGCGATTGTAGCGGCTCAATGATCTTGTTGGACAAGTTGCAGCAGAAGGCGAATCGGGTGGTATTTGCGTAGATCTCCATGGTTCGGCGCAGAGCCTGCTGAGCACCGGGGGTCATCGAGTCAGCTTCATCCAGGATCACAATCTTTTGCCGCCCTGGAGGGAGCAACACCTTTTTTTGTGCGAATGTCTTGATGCGTCCCCGAACAACGTCAATACCTCTCTCATCGGAGGCATTCAGCTCTAAAACGGCCTCGTTATAGCAATCACCAAGTAGCTCGTGTGCCAGACAGTGCACAGACGTAGTTTTACCAATACCAGGGCTTCCTGAGATGATCATGTGTGTCATATTTCCATCGCGCGCCATAGCTTTAAGTCTGTCGATGGTGTCCTCGTTCCCCACTACATCATTGAGTGATCTCGGCCGGAACTTTTCTACCCTTAAATGTTAGCATTCGTCCAAGCGGTCGTTCAGTTGTTCTGTACTTACCATGGAAGCTCCAGTCCACTGTCGGCAATTGATAGCTTTTGGCGTTTTGACGGCCCTGGGTTTGACATGACTAAAGACGACGCGTCGAGGAACTCAACTTGAGTTTCTTGTGCTGAATGTAATAGCGAACCTTGAGTCCGTATTGTTTTATTTTTAAACTGCAACGATAAATTTAGAGTTCCCCATAGATATATAAGGACAAAGGAGGGGCTATTTATATTCATTCAAAGAGTGGTGACAGCCGCTGTCTGGGCTCTGCAAAATGCCGTTGCGTTAACGCAGTGGCTTTTCTTCATTATCGTACAATCTTCCTCCAAACGAGTCGTCCTTGATATTGCCATCGTAATAAGATCTTGCGTACTCCCCTGACTTTTTCGCGGGGTCGTACACGGGTGTGTTGTAGTCATTTCGACCAAACATGGCAGGGGGATTCGGGGGCGTCGACAGGGTCATTGAACTTGGACGATTATACCCAAGACTGTGATCGATATTATCATAGTACTCTGGAACACTGGTGGGGTAGCTTCCTTGTACAGGCGAGTAGCTGTCACTTAGTCTGACATCCCGTCCAGATCGTGGACTGGGGTCAGTTGGAGTCGGATGGGATGGCCAGACTGGATGGGAAGCCATCTGCTGAGAACGAGTGGGACTGCATGTCTCACTTAGTGGACGATTCCCGGATCTCCAAGGAATTCCAGGCACGGTTCCATAAGGGCCTGTACCGTGGGGTAGGCTGTCAACGTAGCGAGGTTGATGGTGTCTTTGTGGTGATACGTTGGGCAGATACGACGGCATTAGGGCTGGTTGGGCCGGAGGATATGAAGATTGAGTTGTTCGTCCATAGTTTCCATAAAATTCAAGAGGTTGCGGTTGCTTTTCGTAGCCTTCTACCATTGGGTTCATGCACCCATTCAGCGTCACTCTAAAGGACGGGCTGTTTATCAGATCTTGATGAATTTCTAGATCCGTATAATTTGGATTGTGACTGATCTGAGGTAGTCGGCAGTCTTCCGCATCTTCTAGGGTATAATATGAGACCAAGTGGTAAGTCTCATTTTTGAACTTGGCAGTGATGGTCCTTTTAACAAGGCCACCTTCTTTGAAGTGCTCACTATCTGCCAAAGAGCCTACAAGAGCTGGATCCGGTCGTTTGGTGACCATTCGGCAGGGTTCAGGTCTTTTCGGGGACCTTGATCGTTCTCGGTCCCGATATCCAATTGAGCGGGATCGATTCTTTGAGATGTCTCTTCTGTGTCCACTCTCGTCCTTCTTGACTTCACGATAAACAAGAAAGTTGTCAACAATACGAGATGGAGACCAAGAAACGCTGTCTGTCCAACGCCTTATTCCGCTGCTTTCTTTGAAGATAAAGATATTCCCGGATTTGATGAGTCTGTTGCGGTCCTCTTCGCTTAGGCGCTGTTGCACCAGTTTGAGTTCGCCATCTACCGCTAACTGAAACAAGATTAAAGCGTCGTTGATATCTCTAACCAAGCCAAAGTATGTAGGAGTGGTTGTCAAGGAGTCCATGCGAGATTTGGGTTAACTGATGCTTTCAGAAACGAAAATATTGTCCAAAGTATGGGATCTATCGGCACGTATGAGCTTTGTAGTGAAATGCGTTACAGAATATGCTTTCAGATTCTGTCGCAGGAGGTTTAGAGTGTCAAATATAGATGCACACTCTAGAGTAAGGCAAAAAGTGTCAACCGCGGGTGATCACGAGGTGAATACTAAAGCTGGGCAACAAGTGTTCTCAGTAATGGTTTGTACAAGTGTTGATGGAATGGTCAACGCCAGATTGACCTCTCTTGGGAAGAAGCACGTTTAAATTTTTCCAGTGTGTAGACCTGAGGTAAATGTAAAATACCAGGAAATGCAAACGTAGAATTCAGCTTAATGGTTAAGTTCTGCTGCGTTTGGTTTGTCTTAGGGAGCCTAAATTATATATACGCTTTGCCTAAGAAATGCAAATTTGATAAAATATGCGCCATAGAGAAGACGGCAGCATGCTGCTAATACTTGTCAAAGCTTGAGCTTAAACGCACGGTCAACCACGCGGACAAAAAATCCTGTAACGTCCTCAGTACATTGTATACGCACAGTTTACAAACTATTGCGTATTTTACCAGTGCCAATCGCTTTCGTTAACAACAGGACCTTGCTCTGACATTTTACTTAATGCAGCATACGGTGCACATGTCCTGCAGCCGCCGGGGCCGGCTGTTTCGAGTCAGCTGAGTGTTTTCATTAAAGCTTAAAAGTACCTCGGAGATTACATTGAGAGACAGCTCCGCTCTAGTTCAGGGCACACCAGGATAAAGAATGAACACTATCAGCTGATACTAGGTGAATTAATTACCCTTAGTTCTGCGTCGGGATATGCGGCCCGGATGCATGCAGTTGGAGCGATGACCAAGTTGCAGAATCTGGAGCACATCCGGTCTACAAGTGGAGTGGGGCCATTCATTGAATGAGATCGGAGATATAAAAATTAGATTATTATATGAACTAGTGAATTTTCGATATAATTAGTCGAATTTACCAGTCAAAATGGCACCACGACCATGTTTACGCAACGATGGCCTGGCGAGTCGCCGGTAGCCAAAGAACGCGCCAATGACGACAAACAACATGAAAAGATACTTTGACTCAAAGCCACCTTTCTTCCAGAACCCAGTGGAGAGATCCTCAAAGTTCAATGTCTTTGCTGGAATGAACGGCTTGACGTTCGGAACGCTTTTCAGACCCTTACTCACAACAGGAGAACGGTTGATGGCATAGGAGTTGAGAGCTTCGTATGCCTTAACGATAGCATTTTTGTCTCCAGGTCGGATTCGCTCTCCAGTAACAGAGTCCACAATTCGCGCATTAGCCGGATCAAAAACAACGACGGCACCCTCTTTATGCGCAGACACATCAAAGAAGCCACCAAACTGTTCTTTCCATTGATCAATATGCATATAATTGAGAGTAATATTGAGCTCAAATGGGACTTCGGCCATTGCTGTCTCGATTTTGTTTGCGAGTCCATAATTGCCTTTGGCCACTGCATCGTCCGTGGCAACTAGACGAGCCACCCGCAGCTCGTTCTCCCGCTTGATTCTACGAGAATCAGATTCCTCATAGAGATCATAAGCCAGCTTGCGATACTGATAAAGTTCTTTGGTAACATCTTCGGGAAGATTCCCAGACCCCTCAGGGAGCAGATAAACCGCATGGGCTGGTGCGAGGGTGTTCATAATTGGAAGTTCCGACAGCTGCAGCAGCTGGGCACCAGAGTATCGAACCTGGCGTGCCCAATCGTAAAGCCCAGCTGGGTCTCGCAGCTTGATCGGGTTGTTTGAGAGACGATAAGGTATAGCGAAATGGCCCGTGGCTGTATCTTCATCATCGACAACGCCCAAATAGGCTAGAGTGGAACCGTGATGGTGGATGCTAAATTTGTCACGAACATCATTGTTGTTTGAGCGATATACAACGCCATCAAAAGAAGTCAAGAGGCTACTGAACTTTGCGAGAGCTCTCCAGTCTTCATCTCTGACTGACTTGTCGTAAACAAAGATAAAAGAAGCCCTGTCTTCACCATTGTTGATGGTTACGTTGCCCCAAACTTCTTCCTCGGAATCAATCGGAATAATATGACCACCCATTTGTGTAAGCGTGTACATTTCCATTGCTGTAGCCTCAAGAGCACCGGTATAATCGGGCTGGAGCTTATGTTGATCGTAGAAACGCATGGTGGGTACACGCTTGATACCAACTTCACTACACAGGGCTCTGTTCTCCTGGCAGTTTACTTCTCCAATGTTGACCTTACCAGCAGTGATTTCAGCCAGCTTTTTCCACTCTGGCGCCATAGCTTGGCAGTGGGGGCAACCGGGCATGAAGAATTTAATGAACCAGGGCTCTTCTCCGCTGGTGGTAAAGGTGCGATAATCTTCTTCACTCAAAGTAACTGAAGCACCATTGTTATGGGTCGCCTTAACATCGTCCCAATTAGGAGGGGGAGCATCGGGCTCGCTAAAAAGCCGGATGTTGTGCTTGGCCTCTGCATCTGAACCGAAAATAAGCAAGCCAGGGTCGGCGTCAACTCTCTTACCTGCGGTACGAAGAGCGTAATCAATCGCATCCGCAAGAGCGTTATCTGAAATCACTGGGCGAGTCGCTGTTTCCTTTTCATTCTCATCAGCAAGGTTCTTGTCTCTAGAGAAACTGTATTCCAGAACCTTGCCTTCAGTATCACGGGGTGCCCATTTATCAACTGCTTCTTTAGCGAACTCTTTAATGCCTTCAACAGTGGGCTTCCCATCGTAGGTGTGAAGCCACTCATTGTCCAAGAAGACGCGCAAGCTTGGGAACTCAGTAATATCGAGCCTTTTGCAAAGAACAGCATTCTTATGACAATCAACCTCGGCCCAAATCATACCCATCCCCCAAGTCCCAAAAATCCCACCTAGCTCCTGGAAAGCTTGTTTCCAAGACGCAACCTGGTCTTTGGACTCGCTAGAGTAAGGGGAATGGAAACGCACTAACCAGAGCTTGTTCATACGGGCCGGGGTCCATTCCTTCTCGCCTATCTCAATGATGACATTCTCAGTCATACTCGAGAGTGAGGCCACTGTGTTCGCCTCGACAACTTTCTCATGCGCATTTTGGAGTCTAGTTTCGGTCTCTTCCGGAGTCATATTGCGTTCCTTCTCTTCTTTGTCGATAATCTCTTTCATTTCGGTAACACTTGCGTTTACACCTTCAACCCCAAACTTCTGCAAGTTACGAGCAAACAAGTAGAAGTCCTCTTCCTCGAGGGCATACTCAAACGTAGCCACAAACTGATTGTCCTTGTATACGTGGATTTGAGGAAACTTCTTGATGTTCTGTTCACTGCAAAGATCACCCTGTTCAGAACAGTTAACCTCACCCCAAGATAAGGTCTCATCATTACCTCCATACTTTTCAAATGCTAATGTCCACTTCGGTGCGACTTCCAGGCACTTTGCACAGTACGGCGAAAAAAACTTGACGTACCAAAGACCTGGCATATTGTTATCTTTGAAGGATTCAGGCGTAAGGCTGGCCATTTCCGGTTTTCCGGATCCACTGTCCGGCGAGGCGGCAGCAATAGATGCGACTAACGCCAGAAGGGAGCTCAGTACATCAAATCTCATTAGAAAGATCGAGTTTTAAGTGCACCCTGAGGTTTTATGAACACTTGAGACAATTATTCAGGAGAATAAGGCGAACAAGGTGATTCTGACACACTAGATAGCTCTTATTATCTAATAGGCCATGCAGGAGAAAAATCCTTGGCGAGATGTGTTTTGAAAACCTAAACACGTTTCGCATAGCAAAATAAGCGCAACTCTGATACAAGGGAAATATTTCGTATTTGTATACAGTGTTCGAAAATTCGATAGTAGTCCGATCATCAGCTGCGACGACGACTTATGTACAACCTATCCAAGTGTGTAATTATCAATCACCCCCTGCCCATTGACAATGTCGCTCAAAATAGCCATTGACCGGGGTGGAACGTTTACAGATGTATATGCTTCGGACGGGAAAAAAGAGATGGTCTTGAAGTTGCTCAGTGTCGACCCTGAGAACTACAAGGATGCCCCTGTTGAAGGGATTCGCCGAGTCCTGGAGAAGGTCACGGGCAGGGTCATTCCAAAAGGCGAACCACTGGATCTTTCAATGGTCGACAGCATTCGAATGGGTACGACTGTAGCCACAAACGCTCTTTTAGAGCGCAAAGGTGAGCGGGTAGCCTTTATTGTCACAAAAGGGTTCAGAGATATCCTTCGTATTGGCCAGCAGGCCAGGCCAGATATTTTTGATATTAAAGTCGCCAAACTAGAAGCGCTGTACGAAGATGTGTTTGAGATCGATGAGAGAGTCACAATTGAGGGGTTTAGCGAGAATCCACTCCCCTTTGAAGCGAACTGGGAGGACCCGAGCATTCGCAAGGGGGTTTCAGGAGAAGCCATTCGTATTTTGAAAGAGCCAGACGAGGAAGCTGTTGAGAAGACTCTAAAATCTATCTGGAACAAGGGTATTCGGTCAATTGCTATTTCGCTATTGCATTCTTATACCTATTCACGTCATGAGGAGCTCGTTGCCAAGATCGCTACCAAAGTGGGGTTCACAGATATCTCTGTTTCCTCAAGGCTTCAGCCCATGATAAAACTAGTTAGTCGGGCAAACTCATCAACAGCGGATGCTTATTTGAGTCCCATTACCGCTCGTTATATCGAAACAATTGGGCAAGGATTCAAAGGCGGGCTGAATGCGATAGGAAACAAGCTGCTGTTTATGCAAAGTGATGGTGGACTGACATCTTGGAATACATTCAGTGGGTTGAAAGCCATTCTTTCGGGTCCTGCTGGCGGTGTGGTGGGCTATGCGAAGACTACTTACCGCGATAAACCTTGTTTAGGTTTCGATATGGGCGGCACATCCACTGATGTTAGCAGGTACAACGGTCATTTGGAGCACGTTTTTGAAACAACCACAGCACAAGTCACAATACAAGCTCCTCAACTTGATATTCAGACTGTTGCAGCTGGTGGTGGCTCTATCTTGTTCTGGCGCAAAGGCTTATTTGTTATCGGGCCTGCATCTGCATCTGCCCACCCAGGGCCGGCTTGTTATCGCAAAGGTGGCCCATTAACAGTAACTGATGCTAATCTGTTTTTGGGACGAATCAATGTAGCCTCGTTCCCGCATATTTTTGGTCCCAATGAAAACGAGCCTTTGGACGAGGATATCGTGGCTCATAAGTTTACTGAGCTCACAAAGCAGATCAATGGCGACCGCAGTCACGCTGAGCCCCTCACTCCCGAGCAAGTTGCTCTTGGGTTTTTAACAGTTGCAAATGAAACAATGTGCCGACCGATCCGAAGTCTGACCGAAGGAAAAGGATATTCCACAGCCAATCACGTCTTGGCAAGTTTTGGTGGTGCAGGTGGACAGCACGCGTACGCAGTTGCCAAAAACCTCGGAATCAATCAAGTTATCATTCACAAGCATTCCTCCATCCTTTCAGCTTTTGGAATTGCTTTAGCTGATATTGTAGCCGAAGCTCAAAGACCAGAGTCGTTGACGCTTTCTGACGCTGAGTTACCTGGGCTCTCCAAGCGTTTGGATCAGATTCAAGAGCAGGCCATTCAAAGTCTAGTTGATCAGGGGGTAGAAAGCACAGGCATAAGCATCGAGCGGTACCTCAATCTTCGCTACAAAGGTTCTGAGACGTTTATCATGGTTCGTGAGTCCAAAGACTCTAGTTTCGCTAGCAAGTTTGTTAAGCTACATGCAAAAGAATTTGGTTTCACTTTAGAACGTGATATTTTGGTCCGGGATATTCGCGTTCGGGCTGTTGCGAGGCCTCATTCGTCTGAAGATCAACTTTTGCCAATAATGCCAAGATGCTTTATTCATGCAACTTCTAGTGAAACACAACGTATGTTTTTTGACGACAAATGGGTGGATGCAGCTTTGTTCAAATGGGACGAGTTAAAGCCTGGTATGAACATCACAGGCCCGGCAATGATTCTGGATGACACTCAAACCATCGTTGTAGATCCTAGTACGACGGCACTCGTTTGTCCGAACCATATGATTTTGAATATTGACTCTGGTAACTCCCAGAAGGTAAGGGAGCTTGAAATCGATCCCATTCAGTTGTCGGTATTTGGCCACCGTTTTATGAGTATTGCGGAGCAAATGGGACAGACACTACAAAAGACATCTATCTCTACAAATATCAAGGAGCGGTTAGACTTTAGCTGTGCAATCTTCTCTCCGGATGGTGGACTTGTTGCTAACGCTCCACACATCCCTGTACATCTTGGATCAATGTCTTCGGCTGTTGCATTTCAAAAGAAAAAATGGGAGGGTAAGCTCGAGGACGGTGATGTTATTGTTGCCAATCACCCAGCTTATGGTGGTTCTCACCTTCCTGATATCACGGTGATTACTCCAGTTTTCTCTAATGGTGAGATCATTTTCTGGGCCGCATCGCGTGGCCATCACTCGGACATTGGCGGTATCACCGCTGGTTCCATGCCTCCATTCTCTGAGCATCTATGGCAAGAGGGTGCCATGATCGAAGGGTTTAAAGTGGTTTCAAAAGGCAAATTCGACTACGACGGTATTGTCAAACTTCTGTACGAGGATCCTGCCCAGTACCCGGGATGCAGCGGCTCTAGAAGCTTGAGCGACAGTATCTCGGACCTCAAAGCTCAGATTGCAGCCAACCACAAAGGAATCCAACTTCTCAAACTTTTATGCGATGAATATTCACTTAAAGTTGTGCAGCTCTACATGAACGGCATTCAGACTAATGCAGAGCATAGCATTCGGCAGCTTCTCAAATCTGTCGCTGAAAAACATGGTACCAAACTACATGGTGTTGACGCTCTTGATGACGGAACCAACATTGAGCTTACGGTTACTATTGATGCTGAAACAGGCACCGCAAAGTTCGATTTTACTGGCACAGGGCCCCAAGTCAAAGGAAACCTCAACGCTCCTCGGGCTATCACGTCTTCTGCGATCCTTTACTGTTTGCGCACTATGGTAAAGGATAACATTCCCTTGAACCAAGGGTGTCTCACACCTTTGGAAATATATATTCCGGAAAAAACCGTCTTGTCGCCGGAGCCAACCGCAGCTACTGTAGGAGGAAACGTCGAAACTTCTCAGAGAATCACTGATATTGTATTCCATGCGTTCCAGGCAGTTGCAGGCTCTCAAGGTACTTGTAACAACCTTACATTTGGGTACGGTGGTAGAAAGAATGAAGCTGGCAATGTAGTCCGCGGATTTGGGTACTATGAGACCATTGCAGGAGGAGCCGGTGCTGGACCAACTTGGAATGGTCAAAGCGGCGTTCAAGTCCACATGACGAATACCAGGGCCACCGACCCCGAAGTATTTGAGAAAAACTATCCTGTTATCCTTAGAGAGTTTTCTATTCGACAAGGGTCTGGAGGCTCTGGGAAGCACACAGGAGGAGACGGCGTTGTGAGAGACATCGAATTCCGCCATCCTGTTCAGGTATCTATTCTATCAGAGAGGCGAGAATTGGCTCCCTATGGATTGAATGGAGGCAACCCCGGACTACGTGGTCGCAATTTATGGGTGCACGACGGCAAAGAGACGGATCTTGGAGGTAAGAACACGGTTCAAATGAGACCTGGCGATCGTATTATCATTCGAACGCCTGGTGGCGGAGGTGCTGGTTCAGCCTAAGAAACGGAGTGTGAGTTCAACCGATGCAAAAGTACAGGCCGAAGCGGGTAGTGCTCTCAACAGCGTTGGAACAAGGCCTACCCAGAACCCTCGAAATCCTAACGTTTTCCAGGTCTGTCTGGCCGCATCAATTGCACCCTTATATCTTGCCGCTGGTCCGAATTTGTCTCCCTGGAACTGAGATTTCACCACATCCAGCGGATAAGAGGCCAGCCAAAGCGCTTCGCCAGCCAAAGCACCAAAGCTCATTAGCTTCCAGGTAGGGATATCGTCTCGTTTTATACCTTGGCGTGTTTGTGTAGAAATAAGATACTCGAAAGTCATAAACCATGTTCCATAAGCTTGAATTTCTCTAAGAGTAGTGACTGAGAACCCTCTGTAGACCGCTCTCCACCCGTACTGCGCGGAAACTTTCCTTGCCGCATCGAACGGTCCCTTGAAAGTGCTATCTTTCTGTGTTTGCATCAGAATTCGCACATGCTCAATGGGGGTCGTGACCACAGAGTTGGCGACACCGGCCGTGGCACCTGCCAGATAAAACTGTGAGGGAGTGAGATCGGCTTTTGTGTAGTTTGCAATTTGACGTTTAGTTTCATGGAAAGTGTAAAATTGGATCGACACGCAGGCACCGACTCCAAATAACGGCGCAGTGGTGCCTTTGTAGAATGCAGCGGGGCCCTCTTTCGCTAGAGTTTGCGTCACCGTCTCCGCGATGGTTTTGTACTGCCCAGTCTGCATTCTGACCTTGACAAGGTCGAATGGCTGTCCGACCAGTACCTGAACTGCACCGCCGACAAATCCAGCAAAAGTGTCTTTAGCTTTTCGCTGCCAGCTCGAGTCCATCACGTGAATGTGCACAAGCGAGAGTCCTGCATTACGGTTACGATCTCACATGGGGGGTGTTGGATTTATACTTGAACACCCCCGCGATCTGCCAGGTTTGTTATTCATCAAGTCTTCGGGACCTTGGTTTGTTGTTATTGAGGCACCATGTCGTTTCTAACATTGAATGGACGTACACTGAAGACGTTCCGCACGAAAAATGGGGCAGGGTCGAAACAAGGCACAGCTCTTCGTAATTATGCCCGGGCCACGCTAGGGTCGGATGCTCTGCGTGAGGCTGTGAAACTACCTCCTGGCGAGGATCTGCATGAATGGGTCGCTGTTCATGTCGTGGACTTTTTCAACCAAGTCAATATGCTTTACAGTACTATCACCAAGCTGTGTTCGCCCTCCAGCTGCCCCAAAATGATGGCCACTGAAGAGTATGAGTACCTGTGGCAGGATGCCCAGTCTTCACATTACCGCAAGCCGACGCGATTGAGCGCTCCTGAATACGTGGAAAATCTGATGCAATGGGTCCAACGCTATTTGGACAACCCTGACTACTTCCCGAGTGCTCTTGGGGTCGAGTTTGCTCCTGGATCCATGCAGGTGTTCAAGACAATTCTGCGCCGATTGTTCAGAGTCTACGCCCACATCTACTGCCACCACTTTGAGCAGATCTCTGAACTTGGTCTTGAGCCTCATTTGAATACCAGTCTCAAGCATTTTGTTTTGTTTTCCGAAGAATTCGATCTCGTCGACCCCGCCGAGTTTGGCCCCTTGGCAGAACTTATCGATATGCTTAAAAAAGAGTGAGTTCCCCAACGGCCACAGCATCGCATCAACTATACTATATTATATTCAAGGACATAAATTATTCCTACTTTCCGCCAGCAGCTCTCTGGATCGGCCCTTGACTAAGGCCCTCTCTCCGAACTTTTCAAGCATCCGACCGAACATGCTCTTTCAGGTAGCGGTTGCAGCTGTGGCAGGCACGGTGACTGCCATAGTTGGACTATGGATGGTAACTGTTGTTTTGAGGCAGAGACTGCGCCAGATGCCCGCCAAATGGAAAGATTTTGTGGAATTCGCCCATCAATCCAAGGCCCCGATCCCCAACGTGGTCAAGACACCATCGATGCGACGCCAGCTTATTTTGTCGTCTCTTAAACCAGCATTGTTGACCTCGATGCTTGAAATGCGTGCAGATACTGTTGATGTCCGTGTAGTCGGCAAGCCAACCCGCAGAAAGATCTATGGCTTTTTCCACCCCAATGCCAATGCGGGCGGAGGAGGAGAGCGCGTTCTTTGGGCGGCTGTTAAAACAGCCCTAGCTGAGGAGGCCAAGATTGCTGCAATTTATGTCGGAGTTGAGGATAACTTGACACCCAAAGTCCTGCTGGAGAAGGCCGCAGAGCGTTTTAATATCCAGTTCAGTGCACAAGAGGTGGATCGTATCGTGATCATCTTTTTGACTCAAAAGCAGCTCATCGAGCCGTCTTTATACCCGATTTTTAATCTCGTTGGTCAGGCATTTGGTCAGGCACTGCTTGGTTACGAGGCTATTTCCAACTTGGTTCCAGACGTGTTCATTGACACCACTGGTCTCCCGTTCAGTTATCCAGTTGTTCGTTGGTTTGCCCAGATTCCAGTGGTGGCTTATGTCCACTATCCGTTCATCCAAAGCGAAATGATCAGCTCACTTCGGCTTTTTTCACCTAAACAGATTTACTGGCGGGCTCTGTTGATCGCCTACAAGGTAGCTGGTCTTTTTGCCAACAAAGTGATGGCTAACTCTACCTGGACTAAACAGCATCTGGCGCGAACGTGGGGTAAGAAGGACATTGATATTGTCTATCCACCAGTAGCTGTTCAGGATTTCCCTGAAGTGACGGGTAAAGAGGAGCGGGTGGCTGTATTGGCATATGTTGCGCAATTCCGGCCCGAGAAGCGCCATGAGCTTGTTCTCAAAGCGTTCGCCCGACTCATTGCCTCAGATAAAAAGTTCCATGGAAAAAAGCCCCACCTCATCTTACTGGGATCTGTCCGAAATTTGGCAGACCAGCAACGGGTTGCGTACCTGAAAGAGCTCGGAACTTCACTACAGCTCACTGATAGCGACTATACCATTGTTGAAAATGCCCCATGGGTTGCTGTTAAACGCATCCTCCAGACCTCTTTGATCGGTCTTAATGCTATGTGGAATGAACACTTTGGTATGGGTGTTGTTGAAGTGATGGCTGCTGGATTGATACCTATTGCCCATACCAGTGCTGGACCTCTTTTAGATATCATCAAAGATGATCAAGGCACACCGGGATTCTTTTTCAAGTCCAAGTCCGACCCTGACTACAAACCATGCGAGTATCCCAAACTGAGCGACGCGATGCGATCTGTTCTTTCTTTACCGGTCGAGGAGCAGCGGGCACTTAGCGTGCGGGCATATAAAGCCAGCCTGAGATTTTCCGACGAGGCTTTCACCAAATCCTGGGAGAGCTCGCTTTCCAGTATCCCCAAGACCGAAGAAAAGTACCGAGCACTGCGGGTCAAATCGGGACTCTTTGATTAAGCATGTAAAGAAATAAACCTAGAGAACTCAACTCAAAACTACAACTACAACAACAACACAAAGGGGATAAATGTATGAATTCTTTCTTTATCATGACTTGTCCGAGATTCTAATTGTGACCGGAAGTAGTGGCAGGGAGATCTTCGGAGAAGAAGAGTTCTTGCTTTTCGGGAGCGCTCAGCGGCTTGAGGTCGTCGTCACCGTATGAAGCTGTGGCACGCCGGGAGTTCTTTCTAGAGCCAGCAGAAACAGAAGACTTGCGTCGTCTTAGGACGATTTCCTCGGGAACATCAGCCTCGTCGGCGGTACGAGCTACGCCAATTCCATCACCCTCCTCAAGCTTGTGAGAGGTCTGCGTAAGTCGACGCTCGGCCGCTACGGACAATGTCTGAGGCTTGTAATCTTCACCTTCGTAAGTGGTGGCCTTGTGGGTGAGATCGTAGGAAAACACAGAGGTTTGGTCGTCTGAATCATGAATAGCCGAGGCACCATGATCACCAGCAGCGGCACCAACCAAAGGCCGTGTTTGAGGTTTATCATCGAGTACATTCAAATCCTTACGATACGCAGCTGGCTGGGGTGTGGTAGTAGGAACATCCATGGCAGCGTTATGAGCGCCTCCAGCGACAGCACCTGTGCTAGTGGTGAGGGCTGCCACTGCGCCGGTCTCATCACGCTTATAATTACTGGGTCTTCTGGGGGTGGTACCAGACACATCACTAACGTCTTTGTCGGACTTGTTATCAACATTGACCGACTTTACAGCAGCTGTGGACATTGCAACTGCGGAAACAGTGTCACCCTTAACTGAACTTTCGTTGACGGAGTCTTCCTGCGTGGCTTCAGCACTGCCAAAGAGGGCAGTAGCACGCTCCTTAGGAGTCTTATGAGCCAAGATTCGCTGGACGTCTTCGGCCCACTCAGCTGCGTTATCAGACCGGAAAACCCATGTCTGCATCTTACCCGTATCGGCCTGACGGGCCTGTAGAACAAAGCGGTCGCTTGAAGCGTGTTTGTGATCCTTATCAAATGTGGCACCGGCACCGGCAAGGTCGATGGTAAGAACAGGTTGGTTGTTGCGGAACTCGATCAGAGACTGCGGGGTCAGGGTGTATTCACTACGAGTGAATGATTTGAGATACTTGGTGCGGCGTTCAAGTTCGCCTTGGCGAACTGGCCGAGCCAGGTTAGAAAGCTGGTGGCGATATGATGCGGCAGTGGCCAGGCGCTCGGGAACTTCGGCGTTGAAGAAATACTTGTTTTCACGGGCAAAGAAAGAGTTCAGTTCGAACAGGGGGTGTTTTGAGCCAAACCCGTCAACGATAGAGGCAGCACTCTGAACATAAATATCACCAAGGCCGCCTACAATGTTTGCAAACTCCTTCAAAACGTCCTGTAACACCGTCGTGGTTGAAATTTCCACATCCTGGGCCAATGACTCGGCATGGCGGTAGGCATCCAGCAGCGAATTCTCTGCCGCAGCCTGACGATGCAACTGTTCCTCCAATTGAACCTTCAGTACGAACGGATCAACACGAGGAGTTTCGCCATTTAGGCAACTATCAATAGAAGCACCATAACTCTGCAGGAGGGCTGCAGTGGTTTGCTGCTCACGGGGGACCACGTCTGAATTTTTGAAGCGGGGCGCCATGTTGGCGAATTCAGCGCTGTAACGAAGCAGATCTTTGCGGAGAGTTTCCAAAGCAGGAATTAGTTCAGCTCGAATCAGTTGAGCCCCACCCAATGACGATCGGGCGGTTTCCCGGTGGAAGTTGAGAAGAGTGATAGGAAGATCTGCAATTGACTCATTTCCGTAGTCCAAAAACATTTTATCTTCAGAGTCTTTGAAGTTGGAAGGGTAGTCGCGGCGGAAGTTGCCAGGCATAGGCACCGGTGGGGGCGCCTTGGCATTTGCTGCGTCCAGGAAAGGGATATCGATCGCGCGGGCGGCGCGGTCCTGGAGTTTAGCAGTTTCATCCAGGACGCCAGCAGTTTCACGGAAATAGCTGATCAGTACCTTGAGTAGTTTGCCCCATGTATTTGTCCGCTGAGACAACAGAATAGTGGGATTGAGCACTTGAGGGAGAGTCAGAGGATTACAGGGGTTTGGAGAGATAGCGGCTGCCGCTTTGCGGGCTTCCTCAGTCACTTTTTCCGTATCGACCCTCTTAGGAGTGTACTGGCCACTTAGACTCGAGATATCCGACGCGGCGTCGATCCTTTCTGTCTGGTTCATTCTAAGCGTTTGTGGTGTAGAATTGATGGGGAAGAGCAAGCCAGCCCGGTGGGATTACATCCACCCTTGATGCACGATGACGTTGAGTCCGCACCATGTTGGGTACGGGTTGCTGCCAGGACGGTAGATGATAGTCAACGGTTTTGAGTCGATAGTGGTGGGCAGGCCTATAATTAGGAGACTGGTTGAACATACATGTACAAGATATAGAGTAGTAAAGAGAGGGTAGAGTCAAGGCCCAGGGGGTATGGGCTTATCTCAGTAAAATGAGCAGGAACACAAACAAGTGCGTAGTAGCAGCTCGATTTTTGTCACATTGTCAAGCGTCTTGTTTGAAAAAGGGCCAGTTCCAGCAGCAACCAAATCGTTCTTGCTCGAATCTTCGTATTTCTAAAAGTGCGTTTGTAGCATAATGTGGTAGTGGGAAATCTATGTTTAACAGAACCACGAACAGGAACAAGCACGGAGAACATCAAACCCAGTTTACAACTTGGGGATCTTGAGGCTCTTAGAAATCATAGAACATCCGTGTAGGAAAAAGATAAGTGCACATGGATGGAATTCGTATAGCGAGCCTGCGAACCGCAGTCCTCCGGGCAGATTGTTGTGCACACGGTTCCAGCGGAGGGCCAAAGACATGACGGCGACAGTGCCTAGGGACGAAGGAATAGGGAGACCCTCGAAGTGGGAGACTTTGTCGTGGCCCTTGGACAGAATAGCCGCGGTGACGTTAAATCTGGCCAAACGCAGTAATCCGCACAGAACAAAGAAAGTAAGAAGAAAAACATCCAAAGTTGTTTGAAGTCCTAAAGAGAAGCCAATTGCTGCTGGGGCCACGCCAAACGAAACAAGGTCAGCCAGCGAGTCGAGCTCTTTGCCCATGAGAGAAGATTTATTCATCCAGCGCGCCACTCGGCCGTCAAACACGTCAAAAAAGAAGCCCAAAAACGTCAAAAACATTGCACGGAAGGCATAGTTGCTGGAGCCGTAGCCACTCATAATGTACCGGCACGTGGACACTATTGAGTTGAAGCCACAAAAACAATTCATCATTGTAATGTAGTCCGCATACTCCAGCTGGCGCAGCATGCTAAAATGGCGATTATCGGTAGTGAAGAGCTTTTCATCCTTCTCGCCCACTGGCGGAGGAGAAGGACTAGGTGAGAAAAACGACGAGCGCCTTCGAACCACCGTTCGTCCTCTGTCGGAAGTTGACATAATGAGGGTTTGTTTTGGGCGGCGGCCGAACTTGGTTTTTTGGAGGCGGCAAGACCACCAGAAAACTGGGTTTTAATAAAAAGCCTCTTTTTTTTGGTGCGATACATAACTACAAAATTATTAGTCGAGATTTGCTTTTATCCATATGGGCCGGCGTTCTGAGCCGACCCAAGAATGATAGTAAATTATAATGACAACAGTTAGTATTTTTCGTCATCGGGATTGACTACCTTCAAAATCTGACGAGAATAGTCCCGTGCATCAACCAGTGATGCAATAGAAATGCGGTGATCGCCTCCCAGAAGATCCGGGTTTAAGCGTTGGTCGATCACCGGATAGTTAGGGTTGTAGCCGCCATGGAAGCCACTAGAGTCGTTAAATCTAGAGGGGGATGATTGGGGAGAGTAGAATTCCTCTTTCCGCCTTCTGATAAGAATAAATGCGATGATTCCGGCCACGGCGCCGACGCCGACGACGACGCCGACGACAATGCCGGCGATCGCACCGCCCGAGATGCCGCCGCCGCCTTCTTTCTTTTGTGCATGACTACCAGCAGTTGTGCTGGGAGTCGCGGTCGACGACGTGACACTGGCGGTGACTGAGTTGGTCACTGTTGCCGTTGCAGTGGAAACCTGCATCGAGTGCTCGGAGGTAGCACTTTTTCCGCCGGCGGAACCATTGCTTGACTGGGGTGCTGTTGGCGAGGTGGTCTTGCTCTCAGCTGACGTCGTCGAAGATGACGACGATGGAGGAGAGGAACTCGACTCAGTGGTCGAGGAGGATAATGCCTCGGTGCTTGATTGGCTGGTAGAAGAGGGAGCAGAGGTGCTAGAGGAAACCGGGCTAGCAGTGGTAACATCATCACCTACGTGAAAGATGTTGTAGGCGCCATTGGGGCCACCACAAGGTTCCTGCGGATAAGCTGGACAAGGGAAGTTGCAGTCCGAGCTCGGAAGCTGCGTGCCTGGAATACTATTACCACAGTAGCAGATACCTGGATCTGTAGCAGCAGCAACGCTGTAGCCCTTCTTGGTGCATAAATTCATACAGTAATAAGAAGACATTGATGCAGACTGGCCCATGTTAACGAAGTTGTCGAGACCAGAGTAGCAGCCATCGTGAATGTATCCAAATGGATCAAGATCTGCTTTGACCAGGAATAAAAACTGTAGCTGAACCAAAAACCTCAGCCATGAGGTTGTAGAGAGCGGTTTCATATTGTGTGAGCGGGGCGTGTATCTAATATGGGCCCGGGAGGGGTGATTTACCAAAGTAATAGAAGAAATAATAGCACAGAAAACGACAGACGCGTATCAGTGGGTCGCAAATGAGCAAGGTACAGTAGTGGGTGTGTATAAATGTCTTGTTGTTGACCGCTAACGGTAGTTAGCAAAAAATAGAAACGACTGAGACACGAGAGTTGCGCGAGCAAGAGGTACACGGACAAGAATATCGATACCAATCCACGGTTGTCAGAATCCTAGTAGTTCTGTCAAAAAAATAGTATAGTCTGGTCCACGCCAGAGGTATTACTGAAAGTCAAACAAAAGATCTCAAGTAGAGCCTCCCTTGGCAATATGGCAGTGTGGAATACGAAAGTTAAACCCTCGTACACGTCCTCCCAAGTGCTTATGCAGCAGGGCCCCATTCCCTAGTTTCAGCCTGGGGAGAGGGATGCTGACGCGTTTCGAGGAGGCAGGAGCCCCTTTGAATACTCTGCGGTATGGATATTCACGATTTAGATAAGAAGCTGTAGATACAAATTAGCCTTTAGGGCCACGTATGGCCAGTTTTAAGCTCAAGCTACCCAGGCCTAGCCTGGCAATTTGCTAAAATCACTTAGCGAGGTTTCCGCAGTAAGGTTTTTTCGCTCGTTTTTTTTTACTAAGGGGCTCCGCTGGGCACCGAGGCAACCGCAGATCAGATCGCCAGTGCGAAGAGTTTCGCGCACAAAATTCAAGGTATTCGGAGGATATTTACACTACTACCAGGTGATAGCACCAGTACTGCCCAAACTACTTCTAAACTGCTTCTGGTACTGAAGACATGCACGGGCGACCGTTTCCGACATTCCGCAGCATCAGCTTTTCTAATGCAGGTTAACACAATCAACTACACGCGAGGTTTTCCTTCTACAAGGAAGCTTGCTGGCTTAGGGTGCTGTAATGATTGGAGATTGAGAAAATAAACAAGTTGGAGAGAGTATGAAAGATAAAAGAGAGATAAATAAGTAGAAAAAAGCCGAAAAAGCCTCATGAAGGTCAGGGACGAGCTAAAACAAACTTAGAATATGCGTCGCCTGTCATGTTTCAAAATTGAGGTGCTGCCTCGCCCGATTAATGCTGCTTGGTGTCATAGGATGGGGCACATGATTACCGCCCGGTGATGGAGTGAAGATGTTACAGTACTCGTTCAAGTGGAAATCCGGCGTCCGCGGAGTGTTGCGTCCTGGTGAAGTCGCTAGATACAAAAGAAGGTTTGCTCCCTCTTGGTCAGTTCCCCGTAGCTGTTGTGATGTAGGCGTAGATGGTAAGGCCGGAATGGGCCCTGATTGAGGCGGTGGTGTGGATGGCTCTATAGCGGGACCGTCCTCGTTTTGGTGCAATGAACTCTGCAGTCCATTTGGCATGGACATAGATTGAGGCATCCCACCTCGAGGAGCAGACCATTGATTACCACCCTGTTCCAATGTTTTCGCCCGTTTCCGATGACGAGGTGCACTTGGAGTCGTGGGCGTCATCGCTGCACCAAGTGATGGCAACACTGTCTGCTGCCTGACCGGCGACCCACGAGATAAGCTGTTGTTGAAAACCTGTCTTCTATGCTGAGCAGCCCCGGCGTAAGCTGTAAAGTCCCGTTTGTCCGGCGAGTAACCCGGTAAGGGAGGTGGAGGCATTGACTCAGTTGCATTTTTCTGGTCAAACAGCTGATTGGTGTTTCTGACAGGAGACTTAGTATGCTTGGGCGAAGGCTCGAATCTAGCCGCTCCAGGACCATTAATTGTGGCAGAGTTCAGCTTGGGCGACGAAGACTCAGAGTGGGATGGAGGGCTGCCGTCGTTATTGACAAGCGTTAAGGCTTCGAGAGCCTCAAAATTGCAGCTTTCCAGCCCGCGCTGAGTCTTGAATGTTGCAAGGGCCAAGCGACTCTTCAAGTTCGTCACAACTCTAGCAATATGGGCCCTTCGCAAAACTTTCTCTGCAGTGTCCTTACTTTGATTAGGAGGTGTGTAATTCATAGCTTGCGTTCCTGGGTTCCATACGTCAACCATGTCTATGCGATGTCCTAGCGATTCTGTACTTTCAGGTCTGGTCGAAAAACCTCGAAAGAGTAACGGGGAACAAGAAGAATAGACCCTTCGGAAAAGGGCTGGCGATTATGCAGGCTTAGGGCAGGGACCCAATTTAATTTCTGCGACACGATTTACGTGGGGTCAAGGAAAAAAGACGTGGCCGCGACTTAATTTGTTCCGAATTTTCGTGTTTCGATGTTAAACCACGGGATTGGGGCCATCTATAGTCACGAACACGTAAATATCATACTCGCTACCCAAGTTTTGATGAGTACAAGGGCTCCCCGATCCTCTGGGCGGGTATCCCTTTCTGCACAGTTTGCTCCCAGTGGACGCGTTGTGCGTGTGTTACCCGGCTGACACGCAGTATTACTACCCAGAGCATTGAAAATCGGCAGGAAGAATACCAAATGCAGGCAGTTCAATTAAGTTGCAGCCAACATGAGCTTTAGAAATAGATATAATCGACATATAGAGGGCCTAAAAAAAGAAGGGCATCAGGATGATTTGATCCAAATTCGCTTGACGGCATTGTCCACTTTTTTGTGTCGCTCGTCTACAGCGCAGAACTTTTTTTTATTGCTCACCGGCTGCCTGTACCAAACAGGAAAGCTGCTTGTGCGTGAGGTTGCTTTCATCATGCAATGCCTGTAGTGATTTGCTTGTGAAAATGCTACAACACAATACTACCTGACACAATCTACGTAAATCTAGTCGTGGTGTTGCTTGAATTGGCTTTGCGAAAGTCCCGAGACGCATCCATCCAGACCAGCGCTGCTGCTGCTGCCCCCCAAGCACAGGCTTGACGAGATCGCTTACCCGATCATTACATAACACACAATGGGTAAGCAAAAGCATCTCATCCTTCGACTGACTGGGCATTCGCCGTTGGTTACCCGGATGTCACGAGTGCCCCCAGACCGCCCGCGATTAGTTAACTGGGCCCCCATTAGAAATTGCGGGCATAATCTGTGATTACTTGACTCGATGACCACACCGAACGTATTGGAGCGCCTCGTATCAATCCGGGAAAGCCTTTACACCATCAAGAAGGATCGCACAAAGTAAGTTAATCAATTATATCAAATCAACGACCGAAGCTAACCCCAAGGACTCTAACCACCGACTCATTTCGGCCACTCTACGATCACCTGATAAGCGCGTTGGAGGAAGTTCCCCTGGACACCTTCGACCATAACAATGAGATTACTGCTGCTGCCGATGAAATCCTGTTCATTCTGTCGTTAGGCTTCCTGACCGTTGGATTGCGCGGTGCTGCTATTGGCGGGTTTGCTGCTATATCGACAATTCACAGTTTATTATCCCAACTCACTATGGCACCATTGTACACACATGCTGAGCTCCAGGTTCTTTGCGATCGCATCAACACATTCGAACAAGAGCTCGGTTCGCCTGAGAATTCGGAATTCCCCCTGACCCCAGCACTGGTTCGGCTGATGCAGCGTGAAGTCGAAGGCTGCCGAAAATACATGCCGCTGGCGCTGAGTCGTTTCGAAGGCATGAACGAATCCCATTTCAAGTATCAAACGCAGCTTGTTCATGCGCGTCGTGAGCTTCTCAACCATCTGACTCTACATTACAATGAAGAGTGCGATCCGGCGCCGATTCAGCAGCTTGCCAACGAGCTCGAGGAGCTGGACAAAACTGTAAAAACTGTGTTTGCAAATGACAGCGATAACAGGCCCGGGTGTGCCTTACTGGTCAAACAAATCGAAATATGCATTCCTCATGTCAAGCGCTTTTGTGAGTTTGGGCCTACGATCAACCCCTCCGTTATCGAATTTATGCCCAAACTCATTGAAATTAACCACACCTTTGAGCTGTTCCTAATGACGCACCGCTGGACGCTGCGTGAGACTGACCTTTTCGTGTACAAAGAGCAACTCGACGAGATTCTCCACAAAGTCTCTGAGAGAGTGGAATCGGATCCTGAAACCCACGTGCCCAATTCGGACTTTGCGATTGTGGTGTTCTTGACTAGAAAAGCTCGAGCTCTGCTGTTCAAGATTCTTGATCTGGCTGAGCCTGTAGATGAAATTCTGTCTCCCATGTACAACCAACTTCAGACTACGAAGCGTTGTCTTATAGAGGTTCGGAATATGGGTGGCCTGTCAGATTTGCGAGAGCTATATCCCTACCAAATGAAGCTCGCCAGCATTGATAACGCTCGTGAGGATGGCAAGTTTGTTGTCAACAATAGGGTGCCCGCTGGTCAAGCGGCGATCAATGCTGTTCTTTCTGAATGCTTTGAGCTCTGCCACGAGCTTAAGCTTGATCTTGAAACGCGTGAAGAAGAGGAAGAAGAAGATGATGAAGAGGACGACGAGGACGACGAGGAGGAGGAAGACGATGCCGAGAACAACGAGGAGTAGGCCTGTTGCCGGATGGTGTTTCACACCCTACCGGGATGCATTGAATGGATTCAAACCCACAAATAACTAGCAAAAATTACAATTACTTCTATGGCCAATAACCCTTTGCTTAACTTTATGGCTTGAGAAGACAACTCCTGTCCACGGTTCTAGAATTGCACGTGACGAGGGATAATCAAAGACTAAGGCGTCATGCGGATTCAACAAAAGCCGTGAGCAGCAAATTTTTCAGTGGACGACAAGTATAGAAGCAGGGAAATTGTGAATGTACCTACCGTCACCGTAGCAGATAGCTGACCTTTGGATGGCCTTGTGCACCGAGCAAGCATTTTACCCCAGATCTTTTCTCTTTTTGCAGCTGGGAATGTAACGGTCCATTATGCAGACCCTTAGCGAGTTGCTATGGAAACGCCGTTAGTGGGCAGCGATATATTTTTGGCACCGCCGTTCACCGAAAACGTATAGTCTGGTGCAATTGAACGCGCAAGAAAGATCTAATTAGTCTGTCGTGGCATCACGATGGTTGATAGTCTGCGATCTGGTTGTTCTAGACCATAATCAGCTTTAACGACGTAACGTCATCCAGGCGTCATGACGCACATGAACCATTTTAAACCTTTCGGCGAGAAACAAAATCAGCTCTGTAACACGCGAGACGTCCGTAGAAATGCTTATGTCTCAATTATTTAATGCAGCAACTCTCCACCTTTTTGTTACCGCGTTTTATCGGCTATCGACAGCGGTGTTGACCGGTTACCGAACGTGGAAAGAAAAGAGGCTCTTATTACTCAGGTTAGGGTATGATATCCAATTTTAGGCATGGGCGAGAAGACACGCTAAATTCTTCAGCAAGCACCAAATTGTAGTAGATAATTTTCTATACTAGCTTTTAGAGAGGTATAAAGTTGATTCGTTATTTTTTGATTTCCAAATTCATTCAAAATTGGTCCTTTTTTTACATTCTCAAGAGGTTGGCATATGGCCCAGAAAGGTTTAGGGTCCCAGCCAACCTTGCCATGGAGTGCGCTGCCATGCAGAACGTCCTTTTCATATATATAGAAACTGGCAACTACGATCTCAGTTGTAGCACTCGCGTGTCCAACCCCCTCTCCCCCCCAAACAAACAACCAACTTTCTCCCGATTGATATTCAATATGGATTCAGCCAGCATCAACCAAGTTTTCAATGAGCTTTACATCCCTGGGTCCCCCAAGGATGAGCCCAAGAAGGTTCCAGCCGTCGCGCCTTCTCTGATAATGCAGGACAAGACCACCGACGCAACTCACCATTTGTCCTGTGGCTGTCTGGGTGCCGCATGTATTCACCAAAACGCTTGGTGGTCCGACAAGGAAGAGCCCATCCGTCCTAGCCTGGCACCCCTCCGTAGTTCCAGCGCTGTGTCGACCATCTCAAATCCTTGAATCGACACGTATTTATTGCGGTGCGCATTCTGCCGCTTTCTAAACGCTATATGTATCATTCCATAGATCTAAACGCATTTCATTCGACTCTTACTAAAACGTCTCTATGTTGGTTGCTGGAATCGACTCTTCTACTCAAGCTTGCAAGGTTTTGATCGTCGACTCGGTGACGGGTGAAACCGTGAGATCTGGAAAAGTCCCCCACCCCGACGGAACTGAGATTGACCCCAATGATTGGTGGCAGGCACTGTTAAAGGCCATCCAGCAGGCAGGGGGCCTGGACGACGTAGCAGCAGTTTCGATAGCTGGACAACAGCATGGGATGATTTTGCTCGATGAAAATGGCGCTGTGGTCCGCCCGGCATTGACATGGAACGACACCCGGAGTGCGGACGCGGCCAAACAGCTCATAGCCGAGTTTGGAGCAGATCTATTTGCATCAAAGACTGGAATTGTTCCGGTCGCGTCATTTACCGCATCAAAACTCAAATGGGTATTGGACAATGAACCCCAAAATGCCGAAAAAACCGCTGCAGTATGTCTACCGCACGATTATCTCACCTGGCGGTTGAGGGGCTTCGGCCCGCAAAACAACAACCTCGAAGAATTGATCACTGATCAGTCCGATGTTAGTGGTACTGCATACTGGGGAAACGGATCGTATTGCAACGATATTTTCAAGCACGTTTTTGGCCGTGATCTGCGAGAGGCAGGATCACAGGCTCTCAAAAATTCGGTGATTGTTCCCAGAGTCCTGAACCCTGGGGACAAAGTAAAAAGTGCCGATGGAAAACTAGATTTCGGACCTGGAGCCGGCGATAACGCGGCGGCCGGTCTTGGTCTGAACTGCATGCCGGGAGATGCTGTGATGTCATTAGGCACATCTGGAGTCGTGTTTGGCTCATCGTCCCGGAACGTTTTCGACCCCACAGGCATCGTGGCCGGGTTTCGTGACTGTAATGACAACCACTTGCCACTTATATGCACATTGAATGGGGCTAGGATTCTCCAGGCGGGAGCAAATTTGTTATCCTGCAACTACTCTGAATTAGAAGACCTAGCTTTAAAGGCACCTCCTGGTTCGAATGGGCTTGTCCTGGTCCCGTACTTTGAGGGAGAACGCACACCAAATCTCCCTCAGGCCAAAGCTCGGCTAGAAAACATGTCCCTGACAAACTGCACTCGCGAAAATACTGCTCGGGCTTTTGTCGAAGCCCTTTTATGCTCTATGTCATTTGGACTCTCCGCTATAGAAGAAACTACTGGGGCCAAGTTTACTAGAATTGTTATGATTGGAGGTGCTTCTATTAACAAAGCTGTTCAGGAATGTGCTAGGTCCGTGTTCAATGTACCCATCATCGTTCCATCCCCCACAGAATATGTGGCTCGAGGAGCTGCCGTTCAAGCAGCATGGGCACTCAGCGGCAAGAAACCGGACTGGACCTTGAAGTTAAACGCAAGTCTTGAATCTACATATGAGCCCCGGGTGTTCCAGCAGTACACAGCAGCCGCTGAAAAAATGAGTTTGTAACTAGCGTTATGAAATGTATATCACATACGTCCGAGGCGTCGCAGCTTGCTCATTGCAAAGTCTAGCCCGTTCTCAATTTTATCCATGGTGTCCTCCACCCCATCCACAGCCGAGTCGATACCCTGTTCGAATGAATCTGTGGAGATATCCAGACCGTTCTCCAACCGGTTGACTGCATAGTCAATATGGTCTGAAATGTGATCTAGAAACTGGGACCGATAGTAGTGATCTTCCTCACAGTTATCATAGTCCTCTCTGCTGTCTGTATCTCTGTCCCAGGTGTCAGAATCTTGATCGTCGTCAAAGCCTCTATCCCAAGTGCCCTCACTGCGCTCCCAATCAGTCTCCTCATCTTCCTCGGGCACTTGTTTGTTAAAGATGTTATCGTCCGTATAGCCTTGATTGGCATGGCTTTGATCATTGTCGTGAGGCCTTGGTGGATCAGACTCCACGGCAGTCATCTCAAATTCATCAGAGCTCTGCTCAAGGTCTTCATTCTCGTCAGGAATATCTCCTGGAATGATTTGATGCCCCGCAACTGCCTCAGGTCCAATCAACTGAGTGGGCTGGCTGAGGGGTGCTGGTGCTGGGTGAAGCTTTCCAAAGTTTAGTTCAGCCTGGTCAGTGCTCCATTGGAGAGTTTCTTGAGACTCATCTGGATCGTCGTTAGGCGAGCCCGTCATCGTTGGACTTGCATCAACTGGCGGTGATGTTTCTACAGGATCATCATCCAAAGGTTCCTCAGCAGAGATTGCTGGATTTGAGACAGTGCTGGGTATCGTAGAAAATATAGTATCTGTTCTGAAGATCGTTGTTGTCTGATCGTCCCATGGTTGTCCAGTTGGCATAGCATCCGAGAACGCACTTCCCCCCTCGTTGAAAGGTGATCCCATTGAGGTTGATAACGACATGGTTGGCATTCCCATCGGAATGGATGTCTGATCAGGATACATTACCGACAGTGACCCTATGTCACTATCCACGAAACTTGTTGGTAGGACACCTGGGACATTGCCGGTCTGAGGAAGAAATGTAGAGTACATGACTGGAACCGATGCACTTTCCGTATCGAAGTCCGAAGCGGTGGTCCAAACCTCTGTGGGTACAGGTTGCGACTGTTCCGTAGCTGTCACATACGGATCCAGTACCGAGGCAGTGGGATAATTTGAGAATAAAGACTCACTAGGGCGAAGTGCGCCTGGAGCGACGGAGTTGCCTGAGGGGTTAAGCGCGGTACGTGATCCAAAGAAAGCCGTCTCATCAATTGACGACGTAGGAACAGTCTCGATTGTTACCATAGGCACTTCGGTGGTTTCTCCAATATCGTCAGTTGATGTGTATGTTGGCAAAGGTTCTTGACTGGTGATGGGCGAACGAGGATTCACAGTAGTAGTGTCCGTAACAGTCAATGTAGCAGGGGGTAATGTTGTGAAGAAAGACTCTGTTGTTGTAGTTGGCTGTAAGATGAACACAGTATCGGTCGTCGTGAATGCAACCGAGGGTACTGGTACAGTAGCGGTGCCATTGAGGTCTTTGGAGTGCCATCCATTCAATGTTCTCGTTTGGAAAAACGTTTCAAAGACTGTTATTACACTCTTATATGGTGTTTCAGTCATCGTGCTGGTGATCGTTATAATAACAGGCTCCAGAGTGGCCCTGACATCAACACCAATACTCAGGCCAAGCAGGGGGGCAAGATTCGCCTTCTCTGAAGTAGTTGTTAGTGCGGCATCTGACGCAATAGGATCGCCATCTGAAGTGTCTGATGGGACATCAAGCAGTGTTTTAAAGGGCTCGTTGTGACACCAACCGCTCAACATCTGCCTAAATACTTTTGTATTGTCCATTGTTACCAAATGCCCTGAATCGGGCACGTTCACGAATGTAAGCCCCCCTTTGACGAAGCCAGTACCCAGGGCATTTTCTTGAGAATAGATGACACCCTCAGTGACGGAAAACTTTTGTTTCGTCCATTTCAAAGCAGATGTCCAACTATAAATACCGTCAGAGTTGTAAACCATATCGTTTTCGCCAGAGTAGACTAGCATGCGTATGCCAGCAGCTAATATATATTGCACCATGTACTCATAAGGCTGAATCAGTTCATCCGTTGATAAAGACAACAGGTAGGTTGGATCTTTATAGAGGTGAAACATGGAGTTCGTGGGAACCTTGCCACTCCTTTCTTTGTTTTGAAATGCTTCAATAACCTCGAGCCGAGATTGTCCTGCTGAGTTTATATCGAATCCGTAAATATTTTTCACATCACTAATAACAGGCCCGACTGTATTCTGCTGAAGGTCTGACACTAGATCTTTACAAAACGGAAGTGCTGGGTTGACCTGACATTTTTCAAGTTGGGGAAGAAGTGTTGTTACACTCTGATTCAATAGTGTGCATGTTTCTGGACCAAGGTTGATGGAATTGTTGACACAATTTGCGGTAAAATAAGAGCTATACTGCTTCACTGGATTGATGAAGGCATTGCCCAAAATAACAGACGATATATTCACTGGGCGATCGGCCGTGCTCATGAGGTTTGCCGCAAAAATAGGAACATGTCGAGCAGCAAAGGACTCAGCGCCCAACTGTATTCCTTGCTCATAGGAGTATTGGGGATATTTCTCTGTAAACAGTGAAACGAACCTGGTTATCGATGATGCTCCAGAGAGAACATCACCTATGGAAGAGTTAGCAATATTGAAGCCACCAGGATGAGCTAGTAGGACAATGTTTGCGTTGGAGTTCAGAGGGTATTCATTGTCCGTCAACACGGAACCAGGTGTTACACATAGAGGGCCCACTGCTAGAGCCATTGCCTCGATGTCAGAGATTGTGTTGCCGTTGACAATCCAAATTAGAACTGGATCTTTTGAGGGAGAGTCCTGTGAGTCAAAAAGCCAGTATGGTAGGGTTCCGTCGACTCCGTAGAAAAGACCCTGCTTGCCCACGACTCGCGATTTGCCGTGTATGGCCATAGCTAGAGGCTCTGATAGCAAGAATTCGGATCGCATAGCATGGTTAACCGGTGCCAAAGCTGCAATTGCACTGGCAAAAAGCAGCAAACTCTGCAATAACCAAACCATCCGAGTGTCGAAGTGTCCACGTCGAGAGGTGTCATTATCTGGAATAAATTACATATATGAGGCATTACTAGACTTAGGCAAAAATGGAAATGGCAACTAGTGTGGTGATAAATAGTAAGAACAAAAGCGCAATGCATGACCACTTGCCGCGAGATCTCTGGTAATTTTCCGCTTTCGTCAACTGATTAGAAGCCTCGTTGGTGTTTCGGGCCATGTCGCTGATATTTTCCTCGACTGTATCCAGATTAGCGCCCTGTTCAGCAACCAAAACGCCAAGGTCTTTGAAAATCGAATTGATTTCGAGCATACCTCGCTGTATTTCAGCAATTTCCTGCCCACGATCCTCGATTAGGTCATTATGGATGGTGAGATCTGCCGATACGAGTTGCTGTAAAAGGGGTGTGTTTTCACTCAAGCCTGCAGAGCTTCCTGCTTGTGCGTTAGAAGTTGCCCCTGAAATAGTAGCGACTTTACGCGCGACTGTAGTTGCATTTTTTTGCAGTTCGTGGATTTCTTTCAGAACCGTGTCGAATCCGCTATTCAGATCATCCAATTGCGATCTCTGTGAACCGTTGAGAAGGTCTCTGGGCCATGTATTAAGCTCCTGAATACGTGAAGCTGTGTCGCTGCATTGTTCTCCAATAACCACCATGTCTTTGCTAAGTCTTTCCGAGGCCCGATTGAACACTGGGTCCCGCTCGACTTTTGCAGCTAGCTTCTTTGTTTGTCTTATTCGAGTCGAAAGCGTATAGATATCGTTCGAGCATACTGCCGCCACTGACTCGAAATCTTGCCGTTCCAGGTCAACAACCATTCTCTGTGTACGTAATCAGACTGGGAAACCACCTAAAATGAGCATTGATCTTAGGCTACTACAGTTTATAGCTTTTTCGGAATCATCGAGTGAATGCAAGCTTCTAAAAACTAGGAGGGTTCTGATGGAAGCTGTAACGTATTTTAGCACAGCAAGCTACAATTTTGGCTCCTCCAGCTTACTCAAAAGGGCGGCTGGCAAGAGAGGGGGGTATTACTTATGGGTCGTTAGAAACCAATTATGTTAAATTGAAACGCGTAAGCTCCCTAATTTCTCACCGACGCGTCAATGGCTCGATCTCAGCTAGCAGAGCTCAAAGCTTTGCGTGCGCAAGGAAAAACCCGTTCGGCAACGTACAAGGTTGAAGATGATGCTGATATCTATGATGAAGTCGATCAGACGGAATATAGCAAAGTCTTGAGGGCCAGAATGGCTGAAGAGGACTTTGTAGTCGATGATAATGGTGGTGACTATGTTGATAATGGTGCCTACGAGTGGGACACGCCGGCCTACTCTGACGACGAGCACATACCCACCAACATACGAAAAAAGCACAAGGGTACCAAGGCTGAGAAGCAGGACGAGAAGAGAGATGGCGCAGTTTCGTCGTTGTTTAGGAAAAGCGCGAAACCTCAGTCAATGTTTCAGAAACCGGTGATCCGTGATCAATCGGCAATTGACGATATCATTAATGGCCTGACGCCTGATTCTACAAAGGCAAAGCCGAGAGCGGCCCTCAAAAGATCCCTGGGCGTCGCAGCCACCCGCACCCCCTTGAGAGAGATATCCAAGCGAGCTGCAATTGACACACCAACACCGGCCGAACGCGGTTTCCCTAAGATGTCCAAGCTCCCTTCGTCGCCACCGGCTCAACCAGACGAAGAAACACAAGCCGACACTTCGCCAATTGCTATGCCACCCCTTGCTCCGACAGGACCGGCTATCTCAGATGATAGTGACGATGATAACGATACCCCAGTTGCTTTGGTACAAGCAGCACATGTCGAGAATTTGCCACCAATGTTGGAACCGTCTACTCCTCTGCCGTCGAGTGAGATTGATCTGCAAATTGCCCAGACCTTAGTCGAGGCGTCTTTCGAGGAGGTCACCTCTGAACAGCCTGGACTTGATAATAAAGACACAGCAAAACTTTTTTGGTTCGATTTCACCGAGCTCAATGGAAACTTTGTACTGTTCGGACGTACAGAGGATAATAAAAGTATTAGTGTCGATGTCCGCGACATGTACCGCTCAGTATACTTTCTTCCTGCCGAGGGCTACAGCCCATTAGATGTTAACGATGCTGTTGCCGATGTGTTAGCGTCTCATCGCATTCGTGAAGTTCGTGCCCGGAAAGTCACGAAGAAATATTGCTTTGGGCTCCCAGATGTTCCAGCCGAAACTGAATATCTTTGCGTGCAGCTCCCTTTCAGTGCACCCAAAGAAGTGTTTGAAAGCTTAAAATCCGGTGAATCTTTCACTCATGTGTTTGGCTTGACCAGCACTATGTTTGAAACGTTTGTCGTGAGTCAAAATGTCATGGGTCCATGTTGGCTAGATGTACAAAATTTCAAAAGCTCAGGCAACTCCACTTGGGCCAAGCTTAATGTATCGGTCTCAGGAACTTCGTCTGTAACAGTTGCTCAAGAACAACCGCCGATGCCTGCTTTGAATTTACTGGGCTTGTCGATTCGTACTCGGATCACCGCTTCTAACATGGAAATTGTGGCAATCTCAGCTAGATTTTACCAAAATGTGAACGTTGATGGAACCGAAAAAGCGTCACAGTTACCAGTGGTATCATGCACCTGTGTTCGTCCGATTGACAAGGTGTTTCCGACTGGCTTCAAGAGTGCCGTAGAAGCTTTTCACCAGAAACAAGGTGTGAGGACTATCACTACTGTTGCTAGTGAGAACGCGTTGCTTTCATGGTTCATAGCTCAGATTCAAAGGTTCGACCCTGATGTTATTGTTGGCCACGAGCTTGAAAGTATTCAGTTACAAGTGCTGTTATCTCGTCTCCGCGATCTCAAGGTTCAATTTTGGTCCAAGATGGGACGTACCAAACGAGCAGCGTGGCCCAATCGCATTGACGATTTCACTGTTCGCACACTCATGTCTGGCCGTCTCATTTTCGATCTGAGCAATGACTTTGGACGTTCATTAGTGCCCAGTTGCACCGAATGGTCGCTATCTGAAATATCGCAGACTGTTCTCAAGTCGGCACACGTTGATGTAGGCGTTGATATTGAGCGTATCAGCTGGATCAATGATGGTGCATCTGGCTTATTGAGAGTTTTGCGTCATAACGACGGTGATGCAGCTCTTGTTGTCGCAATTGGCCTCGAAACCCAGGCTATTCCTCTCTCTCGCCAACTCACGAACCTCTCTGGTAACTCTTGGTCGAAAACTATCACGGGATCTCGTGTTGATCGCAACAATTTCCTGCTTTTACATGAGTTCACTCGCGAAGGGTACATTGTTCCTGATCGTGTCGTATCAAAGGGCGAGACGAAGCGTGGAAAGGCCAAGTTCGAGGGTGGTAAAGTGTTTGAGCCTATGAGAGGCTTGCATAGGTCAAATGTTTTGGTAATGGATTTCAACAGTCTGTATCCGTCAATCATTCAAGAGTTCAACATTTGCTTCACCACAATCGACTGCTCCAAGTCATCGAACTTTGATGATCCTCTGCCACCTCTTCCCGACCGTAATACGGAAATGGGTATTTTCCCTCGGCTCATCAAAACTCTTGTTGACCGCCGCCGGAGTGTTAAAAATATGATAAAGTCGTCGCCAAATGCGACTGAGCAGGAGCTTGCGCAATGGGATATCCGTCAAACAGCGCTGAAACTCACCGCTAACTCAATGTATGGTTGTTTGGGTTTCGCCCAGTCGAGATTTTATGCTCTTCCGCTTGCGCGTCTGACAACACAGCAGGGACGCGAAATTCTGGGACAGACAAAGTCATTGGCAGAAAACGAAAACCTGAAGGTTATTTATGGTGACACTGACTCTGTCATGATCAACACTGGTGTGTACACATATGAGGAGGCCCGCCAGATAGGTGAGGTGTTCAAGAAGATGGTTAATGCGCAGTACAAGCTTCTTGAGATTGATATTGACAACATTTTTGGTGCAATGATTCTCAATGCCAAAAAGAAGTATGCTGCAATTGAACTTGTGAAGCACGGTGACAAGATTGAGAATGTACTTGTCGTTAAAGGTCTTGATTTGAAGCGCCGTGAGTTCTGCCAACTGTCGAAAGATGCTTCCATGTTTGCACTTGATAAACTTCTTAACAACAGTGACATTGATGAGGCGCTTGAGAGTATCCACGACTTTTTGCGCAAACTCTCTGACGACGTTCGCAACAATCGCGTACCGCTCGCCAAGTTCACTATTCACAACCAGTTGGGTAAGGATCCCGCCGCCTACCATGAGTCTCACAAACCGGCGCATGTTCATGTTGCTTTAAGACGTCTAGCTCGTGGTGAGCTAGTCAGAGCCCATGATGTCATTTCTTACGTCGTGACAGCTCCATTAGATGGTGAGACCTCTACTCCAAACGAGCGGGCCAGATCCCTCAGTGATATGCGCAAAGAAAACCGTCAAATTGATGTTGACTACTACTTGCAGCAACAGATTTTGTCAGTTGTGGGACGTATCTGTGACAATATCGAAGAGGCTGATATCGGGAAAATTGCCAACTGTCTTGGCCTCGAGGCCCCTAAAACACAACGCCAGGAAAATAGGATGGCTCAGTCGCAGACATCTTTCATTCCTTTCGAGTCACAGCTTTCTGATGCAGAAAGATTCAAAGACTGTCAACCGCTGAAACTTGTTTGCTACGATTGCCAGCACGAAACTGCTTACCGTGGAGTCGACAAAACGGTTCTTTCTCCGCGTGGCATCGAGTGCGTAAATTGCAAGACTCTGTTTAGCTGCATCCGATTGACGTCCCAGGTTGAAATGACCATTCGCCGTCATATTGCACGCTACTATGAAACATGGCTCAAGTGTGATGATGCGGCGTGCGGACTTGTTACGAGGCAGATTGGCGTGTCTGGTGGCAAGCGATGCTTTGCAAAGGAGGGAACCTGTCGTGGAACACTTTGGCCTATGTATTCTAGCCGAGACCTTCACAACCAGTTGATGTTTTTCGAGGCGATCTTCGATATGGAGAGAGCATGCAAAACCCTGGCCGAAAACGGCGAGCTCCGGGAACTAGCAACGGCAAACCAAAACCGTTTCCGGACGGCACACAGCATTGCTCAGCGATATTTGAGCAACAATGGCCGCCAGTATGTTGACATGAAGCGCATTTTCAGCTTTATGTAAAATGTGAAATAATTTATCTGAATAAAAATATAACATCTAATGTAATTGCTCGTTTCCTGGAACCCAAACTGCGTCGTCATAGTGCTCTTCCCAATCGCCTATGGACATACCGCCCGGGCCATAAAGGTTAGCTGCTTCAAACGGACTCGGAATCGCAGTTCGTTCTTCTTGCGGGGTGGCTGTATTAGCATTGTCAGGAATATTGTACGAAGACCCTGCACCAGGCTGAGAATTGATAATAGGTTGTGTAGTCTTGATGCGGTCCAGATAAACAAAGGGGTCTTCCAAGGGAGCTTGTCCTCTAGGAGCACCATGTCGTGGCCCACCCGCTTGCATGCGTAATTGATCATAAACACGGTCCACATACTCTGGGCCGGTTTCACCGTTACGAGGGCGGGGGATTTCAGAGGACTCATCTTCCATGTCTTCGATTTTTACACTGTCTCCATCCTGGGTGACGAAGCTCTCGTTATCCTGTCCAATTTTGACTTCTTCAGACTTGAGCTTTTCCATGAGAGACATGAATTTAGTAGATCGCATTTTCTGAACCGTAGGGTCGTCAATCTCGCTGTTAGCAACCGTTTTTAGGATGCTGGCTGCGGCGTCCCGCATACCCTCGTGGGTCTGCACATCTGGTGGGGCTGTTTGTTCGGACTCAGGCTCTGCATTGATTTCCAGGTTTTTGATCTGCGCCTCAGCAGCTGCAAAGGCTTGGTCAAATGCTTGGCCGTTTACCTGGGCAACCGAGGCGTGTGGCTGATTCATTCGTATTTGAGCCAAGTGCTCGGGGGTCATCATCCGAGGCTGCAGCATTGGTGTCACAAACTTCAGTTGATCCAACGGGATATGGGTATGGTCGCCATGTCGTTGTGCAGGCTCCTGGAAGTGATTAGAAAACATGGCATCGAACTGCTCGAGAGCGGCAAACCGAGATTTTTCCCTGGAAAACTGGTTAGCCCAGTCGGCATTTGCACCCGGAGGTAACCTCTGAGTGGGCTGCATAGCGCTGAAGCCGTGAGGAGAGGGTCCCACTTGGAAATCGTTCAGGCCCTGGCCACCTGCTGCAAATTGTGCGAACTGCGCATTGGCATTCGCGTTGTTGCCCTGGCGTAGTCCCTGTGGACCACGCTGTGCAGTAAACTGATCAAGATGGTGTGATCTGTCGGCATTTACTCTTTTGCCGAGATTGTCAAATGGTGTCGTCGAGCACGAAGCCATTTATGTGAGGAGGTAGAGGTCAGTTCCGGAGGCTTTGTAATTTGTGGGGTTGGGCCGAGAGGATGCGAAGTCACATGCAGGGCGCGGGAGGTAGCCGCAAAGGGGTGCTAGGGTATCTCGCTTAATACCCCATGCCTGGCGAACGACGGGCGATATTTTGGGCCATTCACAGACCGGTTTGTCATCGATGCTTCGCAAGACCCTTTTTAGTGCCGGTACAGTGGCTATTGGCGCTGCCATGCCTATGGTTGCATTCGCCGACAACAAGTACAAGCCAGTATACGATGACGATGTGAAAGAAATCAAAAACCCTTTGCCTGGTACTGTTCTTCCCGGGAAAGAGGTGGAGACTGCCATTTCCAAGACCGAGGCCAAGATCGATCAAGCACTTGACTTGCAAGTTCAAAAAGTCAGTGGTTTCAACATCCAGGTCCCTGAGGCACTCAGTAAATATGTGCATGTGACTCGCGATTTCGTCAATGATGTCACGCAGAAGGTCGAGGCTAAGAGCTCCGATCTTTTCAGCCGCTATATTCAGGGTGAGCGTGGTCTTACGCAGACCATTGCTAGTTTAAAAGCACCCGGTGAAGACGTTTTGCCCAATGCCATTTATATTCTCATTGGCGGTTTGAGCGGCTCTATTTTTGCCCGCCGTTCCAACGTTTTTGTCCGTGGACTCGCGCCCGTGGTTGTTGGTGTTGGTGCTTTTGCCTACTTCATGCCTCAGACTTTTGCCAACACTCGTGATCTGGCCTGGCGCGAGGAAAAAGAGCATCTTCCCCAGCTCGCTGAGGCTCATGCTGCAGCAGAGAAACAGGTCGCTGAGCTCAAGAATTCAGCAATTGACGCTGCTAATAAGAGCGAGTCTAAACTACGGGCCGGTGTGAACAAGGCCCGCAAGGTTTTCAAAGACTGGACCGGCGTTAATTTGCCTTGATTTAAAAAGTAAAACCCTCTAGTGTATATCCTTCTGTTAACTAAAAAATCCCACATGCGTCACTGTACTGTTGCGTTTGTATATTTTTGTTGTTGTGATTTCCTCTACCGTTTCGACACAGCTATGGACGACTATACACCATTGAGTTCTCCGACGTTCTCCTTAGGCGGCTCATCAGTTGCAAGCTCGCTGGGCAGCCCGAGAGGCACGGGGAAGCTGCGGCGCATCGCGTCTATATTTTCACGGCGCGAGCGGCAAGTGGCATTGAAAGATGTTGAACGTGCTATGAGACGCGCTAATAAAAGCCACGAAGTGGCTCAGAGCCAGCGCAAACATCTAGGTGAAACACTGATGCTTTGGGCGTCGCAATCTTCTGATGAGCGGTACCAGGAGATTGCATCTAAACTACATGAAGTACTCGTTCCACTTTGGTCACTAGATCCCGGTATCAATCAGCAGCTCAGTGACACGTTGGGCAAGATTGACAACCTCAAAGGTGAAGAGGCGCAGAGAAACCGGCTACAAGAAGAGTTCTGCATCGCGGAAAAGATGTTTTATCGAGGCAAGTGGAAGGGGTTTGCTGCTGTTGACTTGGAGCCCCTGGAGAGGTCAATTCAAATCCTCCGGGTTCAGGCTGATGCTGCAGATGTCAGATACCGCCGAGCAAGCAGCCGAGTTCTGTATTTGGCACTACATAGCTTTCTTGTTCAATGTGAAGAAGCAAGTGGAGCTCGGCAAGTAGCTTGCCAAACTGCTCTAGAACTTCTTCGTAAACAGAATGATGATTTTGTGCAGCTGAGTCCCTTTACGCCCCAGCACTTTGACCACTCCCACTACCCGGAATCACGAATTGAGACTGACGAAGATGAGGATCGTGCGAATGCCAAAGAGAGTATTCTAGAACAGGTTATGCGTGAAGACAACCTCATGTGTCCTGAATATGCTATGCCTTTTGCTAACTAAATGTAACTTGAGCTCCAACAAGCATGCTTCTTTTTTTTTCTATAGACCTAGTATTGATGCGTCAGTTTTTCGTAGGCGGTTTAAAAAACATTTTGCCTGTTTCATAAGATGAGATCATAATCGCACACGCCGGTGCGACCTTCAAAAGCCGTGGGGTCAACCCACAAAATAGTGCGCGCCAGCCTTCTGTTTTAATTATATGTCCAATGAAGGCGGTCATGCGCATATGTGCAGATTCGGAAGAGTAGTGGCTTAGCTGCCGGCGGGTCTTGGCTACGTCGAACGGCGTAGTGAAAATCGCAGCAGTCGCACCACCAATGGTTCCGGCCACGATAGATTGGAACAGCGCCTCTCGGTGGGACTCTTGTTTTCGAGGCATTGCATCACGGATCAACTCTACAACCGCCCAGTAAATACTCGAGAACGGAATATCTCGGAAAAGCGTCAATCCCAATCCGCTCCACAGAGATCGAACACCGTCCATTTCCACAGCTTTTGTCACGGATTGCAAGGCAATTTTATATGCATTTGGGGTATTCAAACTTTGGAGCCGAGTCTTGAATAGCTCTAGCGGTGATACAACCGTGCTTGCCAGCGCACGAGCAGCTCCACCGGCGATCAATGGTGTCGCGATCGGGTTTTGGAAAAACATTGAATCGCGAAGATTTTCGTAGGCAATGAAATAGACCACATTGGCGGGAATACTCTGTACAAGCTGGAGCCCCAGTCCTCTCCATAAGGCAGAAACTCCTTCGTCCCGGCCTATCGTAGCCATCAACCCAACTGTCCCGGGCATTCGCCCCCGGGTACAGGCGAGATCCGGGGCCTGGCAATAGTCCATGGTTGACGGATACCAAAACGGCGACTTGCAGCACACCTTGGGATCACAAGGGTTCTGTGGCAGGCTTTCCATGATTAGTGTTGACGGCGATGGCGTAAATTTCACTGGCGTCGGCTCGGGAGCGATCTTCGCAGTACTGATTGCAGAGTCCTGCTGCATTCTAACCCGAATCACATCGAATGGATTAACCACTACAGACGTCACCAGGGAGCCGCAACATGCCGATATGATTTTGGGCCCTAAAGGTACATCTGACATGGATCTGTGAACGAAAACTGGGCCAGTTCTGAAGATGACAATGGAAATCTCCCAAAATCCTTGATCTGTGTAGAGCGGTGGGGTACTGGCCCAAACCCCGGTTGAGAGGATGGCCAGGAATTACATAAGGTATCGTCGGAAGCGGCCCTCTAAATAAACTCTTCCTACCTTAGTTCAGACGGTTTGCATTCATGGCAGAGGAGAGGCTTGAATTCACGTTCAGGCCGACAATGCCCAAAGCGCCGTCGACAGATGGGTACGATAATGGCGACGTGTCTTCCAATTTGTCGTCCATTGGACCTTCACATGAAATGTATAACACGCACATTCGGCATGGATTCGGAGTTATCTCGCCAGAATGGATGCAGTACTTGGCAGAAAATTTTTGGAACTACTACGAGGATAAGCGTCACGAAACCGGCGGCGAACCTCAGGCTGTAAACCGCGAGCAAACCGAATCCTGGCGAATCGCTGACCGGCATAGAACCGTAAACGCTGCTCTGGTTTTGTGTTTGAATCTTGGTGTTGACCCGCCGGACATTATCAAGACTCAACCATGTGCCAAAATGGAGGCCTGGATCAACCCCACTCACATTACTGATTCCAAAAAGGCTATTGAGCAAATCGGTAAGAATCTACAAAGTCAGTACGAAACATTGAGCACTCGCACAAAATACAAGCAATGTTTAGACCCCAATGTTGAGGATGCAAAGCGATTCTGTATGGGTCTTCGGCGATCGGCTCGCGAAGAACGCATCCTATTCCACTATAATGGTCATGGCGTGCCGCGCCCAACCAGATCAGGCGAGATTTGGGTTTTCAACCGTGGCTACACTCAATACATTCCTGTCTCTGTTTATGAGCTCCAAACATGGTTGGGTGCTCCTGTTATATACTGCTACGATTGTTCTGGTGCTGGACATATCGTCAACAACTTCCTCAAGTTTGTCGAGAAACGTAAAAATGAAGAGCAGAAAAACGGCCAGCGTGATCCGGCCGCAACTCCAGCTGCCGTATATGATATGTGTATTCAAATGGCTGCTTGCCGTGCCGATGAGGTGTTGCCAATGCATCCTAACCTTCCTGCTGATATGTTTACTTGCTGCATCACCACGCCGGTAGAGATAGCAGTCAAGTGGTTCGTGATGCAAAATAATTCTTTGCTCGGACTAGACCCGGAAAAGACAAGTATTCCTGGCAAGGTCACGGATCGCAGAACCCCCTTGGGTGAGCTCAATTGGATCTTCACTGCCATTACAGACACAATTGCTTGGTCGGCTCTTGACACGCCACTGTTCAAACGGCTTTTCCGCCAGGACCTTGTTGTTGCTGCAATGTTTCGAAACTTCCTTTTAGCAGTGCGAATTATGCGTGTTCACAACTGTCACCCAGTCTCCCACCCTGAACTTCCGGATACCCATTCTCATCCCCTCTGGGCTTCTTGGGATCTGGCAGTAAACCAATGTTTACTGCAGCTACCGGCAATGGAAAAGGCAGAAAAAGAAGGCCGAACTTACAATTATCAACACAGTGACTTTTTTGAGCAACAATTGACCGCATTTGAGACTTGGCTCCAGTATAACTACACCGATCTATCCAAGCCTCCCCAGCAGCTACCTGTACTACTCCAAGTGCTTCTGTCACAGATCCATCGTTTACGAGCACTGGTACTGCTGTCTAGATATCTCGATCTTGGGCCGCAAGCTGTCCATATTGCCTTGTCAATTGGTTTTTTTATTTATGTTTTGAAACTGCTTCAGAGTCCTGCCCCAGAACTCAAGCCGGTTTTGGTGTTTATTTGGGCACGTATTATGGCAGTCGAAGCTGAGGATGTTCAGCACGAGCTGGTAAAAGAAAACGGTTATTCTTATTTTGTCAACATACTCACTCAAAATGCCAGCAGGGTAGCAGAACAACCTTCTGAAATCGACGCTGAAGATGATGATGCGGTGCCATCGCAAGAGCACCTGGCTATGTGTGCATTCATTTTAGCACAGTTCTGTCGTGATTATCCTCCTGGTCAACGTCTTTGTGCGGTTCCAGAACTTTTCTCTGCATTGTCTGCTTTAATGGCCCACGCAGAATCACCATTGCTACGTCAATGGTGCTGTCTTTGTGGCAGTCAACTTTTAGAGTACTCTGAAGCTCGTGAGATTGCACAAAACCAAGAAGACTCGTTCATCGATCAGTTGGTGGCTAGGCTAGACGACCCTATCCCCGAGGTTCGCGCTACTGCTTTAGCTGGTCTTACTCCTGTTTGCAACGAGCATATTGCCATCCGCGTAGTAGATATGGCACTCAATGCATCCCCAATAGTTCGAAAGGAGGTTGTAGTTTTCTTCTCGCGCTTGGTATACGAAAACATGGGCTACTTTTTGGTTTGTGCCTACACCACCCTTGAGGAAGACTTTGTAATGCTTCAAGAACGGCCGTCCCGTTCCGACTCGCCAGCCATCGGATCGTCATGGCTATCCGTATGGAGGGTTTTACTTGTCCTCACCTTTGACCCTGACGCTAATGTCCGCCATGCTGCTGAGGATGTTGTTGATTATGTGTATATGAAGTTGACCAAGACTCCTCTTTCTGGTGACGTTCAAAAGATCTCTGACTTTATTCTAAGCGCTAACCGTGATGGCTCAGAAAGCCCCATGCCTAGCCCTCAACCTCCCCCCCAAAGAGTAGTATCTGGTCCAATCTCTCCCCCAATCAATGGGAATGGGCGCGCTACGCCCCCTCCCACTGGGAGCAGGCCATCAATAATGAGGAGTATGTCTGCACCTTTGATTGAGACAGTTAATAAACGAGGTGGTCATCAAAATGGTTCTGCGTACGCACCCATGAACTCCATGCTTCGATATGCCCGCACCTGGTTAAAGGGAGCGGATTCACCTTCTACCCCACTAAACTTTGAAGCTTTCAAAACACATGATACTTGGCCAGTACCACCTTCTGCCGGTGAGCTAAATCATGACACACAGGCAGAGATTGTTCTACCGCTGAAATCCCACTTTTATGACTGGTCTGTCGAGTATTTCAAGGAACCTCAGCTGAGGGGAATGGAGACTGAAGAGCCGGGTAGTCGTAAATACTTGGAAAGAGTATGGCGTAAAGGGCGAAATGAACAAATCCTGAGCCAAACTCAAGTTCAAAAGGATCTGGCAGTGACGGGCACTTGGAATAACGTGTTGACGACTGTTAAGCCCAGTCACGAGGCACACCGTATGGCTTTCGCCCAGTTCGAGCCACATCTGGTTGTGAGTGGTTTAACAGATCGTGTGACTGTTTTTGATTGGTCCAATTCGTCGCGCTTGAACACTTTCAGTAATGGCAATGCCCCAGGGACCCATATTGAGGACATAAAATTTTTGAATGAGGACGATCACCCGATGCTGTTGACAGCGTCGAACGACGGCATGGCAAGAGTGTACAAGTCCTATAACTCCATCACTGAAATTGAACTTGTGACATCTTGGTGGCTCTTAGCCGATGTCGTTCCCTCACGTAAGTTACCGCCATTGAAAGTTGAATGGCAGCAGAGTCGAGGAACCCTGCTGGTCGGCGGTGATATTCCTATTATCCGTGTTTGGGATGCTGCAAGAGAACAAGCTAGTGACTATTTGCCTGTGCGGACGGCTAGCCGTCTCACCTCACTTACTAGTGATCAAGTTACAGGTAACCTTGTGATCGCCGGTTTCCAAGATGGAAGCGTTCACGTGTACGACCGACGTTTGCCCAAACAGCAATCGCACATTAGACATTGGTCAGGTCATAATGCACCCATAATCAATGCTCGGATGCAGCGGGGCGGACCTCGCGAAGTTATGACTGGATCGTCAGATGGCCTTGTCTGTTTATGGGACATTCGAGGCACCGATCCGGTGGTGCGATTCCAGGCCCATACCAAAGAAATGAGTTGTATTGATATGCATGAGCACGCACCAGTTATTGTCACTGCGTCACGTATTGTAGGTATCTGGACCACCGCCGCCCGGCGGGTGGCTACCGTCAGACCCCCTAGCGGTTATATGGCGCGAGCAGAGATTGTAAATGCCGTCAATTTCCACCCTCATCGTATTATGATGGCTGCATCAACAGGTGACATTGTTAATGTATTTCAATGTATATAATTTATAATGTATCTGCGCGTGCCGCTGACAACCACGAGATCTTACCTAAAAGACCCTAAGCAAAATGGCAGAGACAGTTGAGCTTCGAGGTCAAAAGTTTGCCACATACTTTATTTCGCCGCCGCCTAGTAAACCATTGGCTGTGTTTCAGCATGGAATAGGTTCATCGCGACACACGTTCACGCAATTGATTGACTTTTTATTAGCCAGTGATCTGCAGCCCGGAATATTGAGCTTTGACGCAAGGAGCCACGGGGAAACCACGCCCATTGATCCGAGTGAGCCATTAGATTTATATGCCGAAACACTGGAAGAAGATTTAGAGGCAATTGTCAAGTATTACCTTGATAAATACAGCATTAAGGCACCGTTGTTGATCATTGGTCATTCGATGGGGGGAAATATCGCTTCGCAATTATGCAAAGCGAACAGATTGCCTAACGTTCGGGGGCTGGTTGTATTGGATGCTGTTGAAGGCTATGCGGTTCAGTCATTGTCGTCAATGCCGTCCCTTGTCAAGACCTGGCCTTCTTCATTTGCCAGTCTCGATGAGGCAGCCGAATGGGGCGTCCGCAGCCGCCAGCTTCGCTCAATTGAAGCAGCAAGAACATCTGTCCCGGGCATGCTCAAAAATGTTGACGGCAGGTTCGTCTGGGTTTTGGACTTGCTGAGCACCAAGCCGTTCTGGGACAGCTGGTTCAAGGGACTAGATCAAGCATTTCTAGGCGCAGGCGCCTCGAGGTTACTTATCCTGGCTGGAACAGGTCGATTGGACAAAGATCTGCTTCTAGGACAAATGCAAGGCAAGTATCAGCTTGTTGTGTTCAACGATTGTGGCCACTTTTTACATGAGGACCGACCAAACAAAGTTGGCCTAACAATCGTGGACTTTTGGGATCGAAATGCCAAACCACCGGTAATACCAAAATTTGGAAAATTTAGAGATGACTAGTGTATAATTTAATCTGTTTTACGTTTCTCAACTACTTGGTCAATCTGTGCAAACGCCCAAGAAAACGGCCTGATAAGGAACGGGCGGAGATCGAAGCGATTGTCGTCCGGAGAGTACTGTTCAGCATGATAAGCTGGGGTGATGACGGTCATTTTATGGCGATTGATGGCATAGAAGTAGAAAAACCTCTTGACCTTTTCGGCCACAACTTTGGGTGCCAAATGTTTCCATTCGTGGCATAAATGGACAAACGTAGAGTACGGTCCAAACTTTTGGATCTTTCGCAAACGTCCAAATACACTCAACTCCTCATATGTCATTCCCATATCTGCTTCATCACTTTGGACGTAGGTCTCAGTAATGGGTTCGAGTTCAGCAGTGGGGGTGGCATCAATAAATGTTTGCAAAATTGGCATTTCGAATTCAGTGCCCGCCCAACCAATGAATTTACGGAGATCTGTTTTCGAAATACCTCCAATTGGATTCACATCGGCTGAAGAACAATCATATTTTGTAAGGTAGCCGCGCAGCGACTCATCAACGTTAGCAGAACCGAGCACTAATAGACTGCCAGGAATCCCTCTAACCCAGGGGAGCAATTGAGCAAACAAGTAGGCAAATACCATACGTAGACGAGCCTGAATGTTTTGCAATGCTAGGTTTTCCCGATCTGATCCACCATGCACTCTGAATTTAGGTGTTTTGTTTGTGACAAAAACAAACACCTGAATGATGGCTTTTACAGCAAGATCAATCATCATATTCGTATGATATGCACCAATATCTTGAGCTAGTGCCTTAGCACGTTCCTGGGTTTCTTGTGAGGAGTTGACGGTGCCCATGTAACAAGTGTGGAAAATCATACCACAAAATTCCTTGGGGTCGGTAGGAATCCAAGGCTCCTCTTTTTGGGCCAAACGACGTGCATTCTCGATAACTTGCTTATTTCCTTCGGCGGCCTCCTTGACAACTAAGCGGCACATTGAGTAGACGATCACCGCTGTTGCGCAGCTATCGATACCACCGCTGAGGGGAACAAAGTATCCGGCAGCTCTACAGCGTCTCAAGTAGTCCCAAAGCCAGCATGCAGGTCCTAAAGCAATTTCTTCTTCAGGGGTGTGAAGATGAACAGGTCTTGCCTGTGTTGTTGGTGTATCAAGGCGGTCAATTTGCTTAGCTTTGAGGTCAGTCAACAGTTTTTCTGCCTCAACAGTTTCCAATTCAGTACTTAAAGAGCACTGCATTCCAAATGACGGTGACGATCTGTAGGACTTGACCTGCTCTAAATCTACTGTGGCAGTGATCACCTCAACATCTTTCAGGCTAAACTGGGAGCCTTGAGCAAGCACCTGCCCATTCATAACAATCATAGCACTACCGTCATAATACAAGCGGTCTCCATCACATCCGCGCTGATTGGCATAAAGATAGACACCGCCACATTTACGAGTGGCCTCTATAATCAAGTTCAAGCGAGTGTCAAGTTTTCGGAGTTCGTGGTGTGAGCCAGATGAGTTCGTAATGATATCAACACCATCCAAAGCCATTTCGAGATGAGGGCTCTGTGGAGTAAATAGCTCTTCGCACGTCTCAAAACCAACGCAAAAGTGGTTGGCGACCTCGATTTTGGCGATTCCCATTTTGGTGGTTACCTGCCCTGTCAACTGCTGGATTAACTCGGGTAGAATGAACTTGACTTGAAGTCTGCGGGGCCATGGCGTAAAATAACGCATTTCACGGTAGTTGCCATCATTAGCAAGCCACATTTTGGGACGGATCATCAAGATCTCCTTGTTGTATGCGACCACTCGACAATTGTATCGCACATTGCGGTACGTAATGGGCATACCAACGTCAATCAAAATATCCTGGCAGTCGGGATGAACAAGAATCTCACCCATGATCTGCCACGAATGGAAGTATGTGTCCTGCTCCAAGAAATGATCAAGACACCCGTAGCCCGTCACTTCAAGTTCAGGGCCCGTGCGCATTACCGCGCCTTGAGCTTTGGCGAGTCTGATCGATTCGATAATTCGGTCTCGATTGCCCTCAAAGTCCAGTGCCCATTGATTAAGGCTACAAGTTGCAAGCGTAACTGGCATTCTTCAAAAACCTATTCGCCTAGAAAGTGCTGATTATGAAAAAGTCCCACAGGTGACTCAACTTTATAACCTTGAGCAGGGATGGTCGGACCTAAATTGGTGATAAAATTAGGAACATCGTCGCTGTTCGATGAAGCAACCGGCGAGCACCGGCTGTCTAACATGTCACAAATTGTAGAGCAGGTGGTGGCTTTGAGAAAACGCGGGTACAGAGTATGCCTTGTATCTTCTGGCGCAATTGCTGCTGGTCTGCGTCGGTTGAACCTGGACCATCGTCCTAAACACAATGCGCAGTTACAGGCAACTGCTGCTACTGGCCAGGCGCGTTTAATTCGACTCTGGGATAACCTCTTCAGTCACTTTGATACGGCAGTTGGACAAGTTCTATTGACGCGGAACGACATTGCGCATCGTTCGTCGTATCTAAATGCAGCAAACACCATCAATGCCTTACTGGATATGGACATTGTACCAATTGTTAATGAAAACGATACTTTGAGTACCTATGAGATCCGCTTCGGTGATAACGATACTCTCAGTGCGGTGACGGGTGCAATGATTGGAGCCGACATGCTTTTCTTGTTAACTGATGTCGACTGCTTGTACACATCTAATCCTCGGAATAATCCTGATGCGCAGCCAATCCGAATTGTTGAGAACGCTCAGGAAATCAAGCGTGACCCTTCAATGAGCCAAGGATCAGGAGTAGGTACAGGAGGGATGACTACGAAGCTCATTGCCGCAAATCTGGCCACAAGTGCTGGTATCACAACATATATTTGCCGCAGTTTTGTCATTGGTAGTGTTTTCAATATTCTCGATGACGTCGAAAAGAAAATTTCACCATTGGAGTCTAACCATCTTTATACCAGGTTTGATGCCCATCCATCTATAAAAGACCGCGCCTTCTGGCTTCTCCATGGTCTGAAGCCTCACGGCTCTATTACTATTGATGCTGGAGCCTTTAGGGCTCTGTCTAGACGGGACAGAGCTGGGCTGCTTCCTGTTGGCTTAGTCGCAGTATCAGGATCCTTCCACGAATCCGAGTGTGTTAATATCTTTGTGCAAGAGAAGCCAGAACCAGTTGGGCGATGCCTTGTCAACTACACATCCGTTGAACTGGACCGTATAAAGCAACATCATAGCCACGATATCCCCCAGATTCTCGGCTACACAGAGTCAGAGTATGTGGCCTTCAGAGACAACATTGCTCTTTTCCCCGATCCAGTTGTCTAATTCCATAAAAATATGTGCAAAGAGTCGTCGTCTCTTGTGTAAATAGCTTCAATTTTTCGAATAACAAACCCGACGTCAATGACTCGATCATCATAAATAACTTCCTGGCCGACATAATCCAAAGACTTGGGCTTGCCAGCAATCTCTAAACAATGTGATGGCCTTGGCTCACTGTAAGGTCCACGGTAGGGGTATAAACTATAGTCCTGTTTGGTCTCACTTAGCTCTTCAATGAGAACCGCAGGTTTGGAAGACGGTGCGACCGGTGCTTCACTCACGGCGAGCATATCCTCCAAAGTCTTTGGTTTGGCAAAACTCTCATCAGACACTTCTGTATTGCTCAATTGACCTTTTGACTTCATTTTTGGAATACTATACTGTCGGTCCAATTGCACACCTGCTGCATCTTCAACCAGCTCAAGACACGTCTCAATAGTCAATAGCTTGATGCCTGATTCCACAACTCCAATGTTCAGCACTTGGGGGTTCATGCAACAATCCCATACACGGCTTGGGTTGCCAGCCTTGTCCCGATTAGTTCGTTCTGGCGATACAACAATGGGTACGATCCAGTCGACATTCTGCTGTATCCGCAAGACAATTTCTGAAGCATCTAATGTGTCTGGCTGAGGAACCTGTTCATCCGAGCATAAATTTATAAAACACTTCTCTCCTTGGGCCGTCCGCGTCTTTACAACAAACCCAGGGATCGGATGAAGCTTCATGATTACGAAAGTCCGGTAGGGACGATATTTCTTTTTATGTACTGGCCTAGGAAACCCAACTAACGAATGTTGTGTAGGTAGTGTAGAACATGATTCCGAATCCGCAAGCGGTTAGAACGACGTCCGACCACCATCTCCAGTGGCCACGCGAAATTGTTTCCATATGCAGAATGGGAGGATAAATATAAACAAGAGGAACGCAGGCGAAAGAACCCGTCAAGGCGACGAATTTGTCTAAATCATTGGCGCCCACGTATGCAATTGCACCCGTTAATAAGACGATCAGAAACCTAAATCCATTCTTCTCCCATTTGACCCGAGGCGAGAATTTACCACTGCGAACGAAGAGTCCATTTTCGAGAATGCGAATTGCTGGGAAAAGCTGCAAAGGGGTTGATAATAAAATGGCCAGCGAGTAAAGGAATTGAATGGTTGTGACAGCCGACGAGTCAGAAGGGAGGTTAAGTAGAATAACCGTCTCAACCTTGGAGCCCGTCGCAGCGTACAGCAGTGCACCAACCGAAACGAATACGAAAGTGATGCCCACCATGACTGCTGCCAAAACGCCATTGAACTTTTTAGGTTCTCGCATCGACTCTTGGATGGGGATAATCAATCCAATTCCCTCGAATGTGAAAATCGCTGTACCAATAAACAAGGTCCAGTTGCTCTTATTGAATAAGGCCACATCGGCAATACCTTGAGTCAATACCGTTGTGGTACCCCAGCCGTAAAGATATAGCAGGCCAAGCAGAATGAAAAAGTCTGCGACCAATGCGGTGAATCCCAGTTTAGCAATATCACGGATCATACTCAAAGGCAAGAAAATGATGAGCTGAAGGACAATCAGAGCTTGTACGCTGACAACCTCACCAGTTTCACTAAAGCTCTTGATTACTGCTTGGAGATTCTCGGAAACAAACACAGTGTACGCGGCCGCGAATCCCAGCTGTGACATCACAATTGAAGCGAGAATCAAATTCCTGAACCTGGGGCCAAATAGTGCTCCACCGATGTCACCAAAAGAAGCTACTTGGGTGAAAGACTTGGCATCAATAAGTAGCAAGAAACACCAGTAGGAAACAACCGACACAACGACCAACACAATGCTTGAGAATAAAATGCCGCCGTTGTAGAACGCACGAGGCAAGAATAGAACGCCAGTGCCAACAAAAGATTTAAGTAAAAGCATCACGGTTTCAGGAACCGACGCCTGCCCTTTAGCTTGCTCAGACAGCCGACGGGTCATTCTTGGTCTTTGTTGTAACAAAGCTGTCCGCTCAGAAGGGGCCCCAGTGTAGCTCTCCAGGGACTCGTCGCCTTCTTCATCCTCCAACTCTTCACCAGCAAAGTGTCCATACAGCGACAAGAACTCAATAAAGTTGCGCGCAATCATTGTTGGCTGGGGGATGCTTTCTCTACTTCCATCGCCCTCCTCCAAGGCCTGAGTAATTGACTTGTGGGTCACAAAATCACGTCTGAACCCACCCGGAACCAACATTTGTTTCTTGTCGAGAGCCTCGCCATGCGGCCCAGTGGCGGGCTCACGCGGGATATCAAAGGACCGGGAGCGCCCCCTTTTAATTGAACCGCTGTTTCCTTCGTGTTCGCGCTGCCAATTGTAAATTTGTCTAGTAACATCACCGCCTTGCAAGCGCAACGACGCAAATTTGCTCTCCGAGTCGTCTGAATCGTCGGCGTCCACTAGATGCCGGCCCACGACCTTGACGGTTTCTGGATCTGGGTTTTCAATATCGAGAGAATGCATTGAAGCAGCGGCTGATCCATCTATTAAGCCCTCGCCACTGGGTCCAGGTTCCCCTGATCCATGCGAAACGAAAGACGCTCGCGGAGTGCGCCGCATTGGCGAAGAAGATGCCAAGTGCATGCTCGACAGCCGCGAGAACGAGCGTGCGGCGTCCGATTTCCCACCAGCAGACTGGTTACTTTCACGTCTCTTGATTTCGATGTTCGCTGAAACCATTTAGCAGTACGTCGCTCAATGCAAAGTCGTGCCGTGCCAAAATATGCAGATGACGTGAATGGCTGTAAACTGCTTCTGTCCCTAAATAGCCCCTCCCACACTGGTTACTAAACCTGGGTAAAGAGGTGAGTTGGGGAGCTGCAATGGCTCTCATCACGTAATTAATTTTTTTTTTCTCCCAAGCATGTCCAAAAAGTGGATCGATAAGAAAAAGGCGACTACTTATGAGCTGGTGCATCGCTCATTTGACGATCCGCTGATTCATGATGATGATGCCGGACAGACTGTGCTAGTAAAGAAGGACAACTTGAATGAAAAAGTCCTGAAGGAGGCCCGAAAGAACAAATACATCAGTGGCCCGGTCCTGCACTCTCAAGCCGAAGAGTTTGCCCGAGCGGGTCGTCGAAACAACGAAGGCGAGGCCGCCGTGTATGGCATTACCTTTGATGATAGTAAATACGACTACATGCAGCATCTGCGGCCAATGGGTGTTCATGAAGATGCTATTTTCATTGGGAAAGACGGTAAAACATCGCTGAATGCCTCGCAGAAAGAGAAGCGCAAAGGGTTAGAATTCAAGGACGACGATAGTGATCAAGTTCAGATTCCTGCCGAGTTTCTGCCTTCCGAGGTGGAATCATCTGAGCCTACCTGGAAGGTTGCATACAAGGCTCAGCAGGCTCTTCCCGACGAACTGTCGGGGCTGCAGCCTGATATGGATCCGCGGTTGAGAGAAGTTCTTGAGGCGCTGGAGGACGAAGAATACATTGATGAAGAGGGCGATGATGATGTCTTTGGCGAGCTTTTGGGCGGTGACGAGGTCGACGAGTCCAGTTTCAAAGCTACGCTTCCCGAGGAGACTGTCGAACGCAAAGACGATGAAGAGGACTGGGAATACGAGTTCCGCAAGTTCAAGCTTGATCAGAAGAAAGGCGTGGAGGTCAATTCAGACGTTGGGTCCGACTTCGGCAGCGATTTTGGCAGCGATTTCCAAGTCGAGGAAGTTGCAGATACAATCGGCGATCTGCCCAACATTACGACTAAAAAGAAGAAGAAGCGCATCGGCGCGAAAACCGATCTCACAGGCTTTTCTATGTCATCTTCAGCAAACTACCGTAACGATGGTTTAACTTTGATGGATGACCGGTTCGACAAGATCGAAGCAGAGTACGCTAACGATGAAAAGAGTGAAGAGGAACAAGAATTCGACATGTCGAAGGAGCGTTCGGACTTGGAAGACATCCTTGACGACTTCCTAGATAACTACGTTGTTCAAGGAAAGAAAATGTGGAAAAAATAGCTGCAGGCGGCATAAATATATATTAATTACTGAAATTTCATCCTTCCTCTGAGTGTATAATAATTACCTAATTTTTTTTTCTTTTCAAATCATGGCTAGGTCGCTTGCCGAACAGTTGGCAAAATTCGCCAATCCGGAGCCGGAGGATTTTGATCCCGAAGATTTTGAGCGCAACAGTGATGTATCACAATCTGACAATGAAGAGGCTCGTGCACACTACGTCGAGGTGGGCAAAAGCCGTCTGCGTGATGATGGACCGCTAGTGCACAGTTCAAAATACAAAGGCTCGAGAGTCTCCCGCCAAGATCTCGATACTTTCGGAGCCAGTGAAAGTGAGGATGATGTTGAAGATGAAGAACTCAGTCAAGAAGATTCCAGCCAAGAACTCAGTCAAGAACTCAGTCAAGAATCTAGTGATGAAGTGCCCAGTGAAGAAGAAAGTTCTAGCGATGAAGAAGGGTCTAGTTCTAGCGATGAAGAAGGGTCTAGTGATATCGATGAGAACAGCCATCAGAATGGTAACGGGAAAGCCGCTGCCGTTGCCGCTATTCTCAAAGAAGAACAGAAGCAGCTTGTAAACCGACTTTCTCAAACCGCCCAGGCAGACATCGTCAAAGGAAAAGCAGTTCAATCCCAAATGTCTGTTTATGAGGGTCTTCTGGATGCTCGAATTCGACTGCAAAAAATCTTGAATATCAGTAACACCTTGACAGAATCAGACCCCGAGGAGGCAAATGAGGCATTCGAAGCCATACTTGTACTTTTGTCTGCTCTATCAAAGATTCGTCACAGCATGCAGAAAGAATTATTCGACTCTAGAAAACGAAGTTTATCGGATTATATTACCGAAAGCACCCAAGCCGACGACGAGTTGGTCGAACGCCGCGAAAATGTTCTTGGCAAATGGAGCCGTAAAGTTCAGCTCTCCTCGGGATCTAGTGCTCTTCAATCTTCAAAGTTCAAATCACTCAATCAGTCCGCTGCCACGCAGGTATCAAGTGTTCTCGCCGATATGGATCGTTTAGTTAAGCGCACACGGACTAACCGTTCTCGCTACGAGCTGAATGGCGAGGTTCCCGACGAATCAGAGCTCATTTTTGATGATACAGACTTTTACCGTTTACTGCTCAAGGATTTGGTAGACAGAAGAATGACAGAAGCTGGTAGTGGGGTTAAATGGTCTTCCGTTAAAACCAAGGCCAAGAAAAAGGTTGACACTAAAGCATCAAAAGGCCGCAAGTTAAGATATCACGTTCAAGAAGAGATTCAGGGCTTTGATGCCCCACGTGCTGTATTTACCTGGACTGAAGAGCAGGCCGAAGAGCTCTTCTCGCACTTACTTGGACAGTCTATCTCAATGGACGATCAAGAGCCAGAGGAAGAGATTGAAGTCGGTGATCTCCAGTTGTTCAGTTAAGCATTTTTATATATAGTTGTAGAATTACAGCGTCATGTCGCCAACCTAGTTGTCATTACTACTTTACCCGTACTGCCTTATGCTAGTTCACTGTGTAAAGTGATTAAGGTGCAGACGTGATTGATCTTAAGTCATCATTCACCGACGCGTTCGAGGCTGCAGGTTCAGTTATGTATGGTGTTTTGGCAGATAAACTTGTTCAGGATGCAAGAAGAACCGCCAATTTAGAGACACTGCCGTTATATCCCACCGATCTAGTGCGAGCCGTAGTAAGAGAGACACAAGACCAGTATCAAAGGGCACTGGCATACCATGACAGCACCGACGGGCTCTCATCACAGGACCGTGTGGCGATGTGTGCATTGTTTGTTGCTCAATTATGCGTACGCCGAAACAAACGATGTTTGCTGGCCCATGAAAACCTGAGAGCCTCTCGTTTAGACCAAGCGGTCTGGGCAGAACAAGAACTAAGTGCTGAAACTATGAGCAATTTAAGCGCACCGGAGCAGGTGTATCTCCGGGAATACACAGAGCTGGTATCGGACTATAAAGGAGAGTGGACTGAAGTTGATTTGACGGGTAGTTTAGATCCCCCTAAAGAAATCTACGTTGAAGTGAGAGTTCTTCAAGACGCAGGTGAGGTTCAAACAGAATACGGTGTATTCAACCTCACCAAGGACTCGCAGTTCTTTGTTCGGCAAGCTGATGTTCAAAGGCTGATCCAACAAGGATTCGTTCAGCTAATCTAAAGACGCCCCCAAGAAGGTTGTATAGCGTGAGGGATTTCTTGACTTAACGGGACAATGGCTGATTCGGTTGTGTGCTTGACCTGGGCAATTGCTGCCATATTGCGGTAGAAATCGTAGACAACGTACGCGGAGCGCAAAAATGCTGAACCAAGCAGAGGTATGCCGCCTGATTCGGACGTCTTAAAAATAGCAAGTTGGTGGTGATTCTCGGGATCAGCCAGCAAATCCTCGTAGGGAACGTAAATCTTCGCTTTGCCAAATTCAAACAGAAATGGTTCAGGGTTCTTTGGAGGGTTTGGCACTACTATACCCTTTGAAGGATCGTAGGATCCCGAAAAGCTCTCGGCGATAGAGTCTACAATTTTCGAGCTCAGATACAAAAACTGAGTGCCCGTATCGAGCATTGCAACTTGCGTTATGCCGTTGACGGTAACATCAACTCCAAAATATGTGTTTCTGGGCTTTTTGTTCCTCAGCCAATAGATGTCACCCTGGTATTTTGCAGTGTCCACACCCCCAAAGACAATCGTTCCCGTAGATTCATTTCTTGCGTTGAGATAAATTGAGTACCCCAGGTGATCTATGACACCATCCAAAACAAGTTGTGCAGGAAAGTTGGTGTACTTTTTACTTGTGCCTTCTAGTCCTGTGCCACCAATACCAAACAGGCCCCCAACGTGATCGAAAACATGGGGGATATCTTTATCAAGCAGCGCAAATTGTAGATTCAGGCGAGCATTATAAAAATATGCAGTGTCTCTGTAAAAGTTCCCTGTGGCTGCGATGTTCTCTGGCTGAAATGAGCCCGAAAACACCGGCTGGTTGGGGACTAGTTGGCAAGTACTGGACTTTTTCTTGTCAAAAAACTGCGGGTGGCCAGATTGTGGAGTAAAAAGTAACGTATCGGAGGAGCATGTATCTAGAATAATCTCCATCTTCTGCTGTGGTGAACCCACTCCAACCTTGGCACCATAGTAGAAATTGCCGAGGTTTTCTACCGTTCCGCCAGCTACATTTCGGCGAGTGATTTGGTTTCCTACTGTATGAGCGACTAAAGGAACTTCAAGAAACCCTTCATTGGCCAGAGCGGCCCCGATAAGAAAATAAAACGTGAGCTTCCAATGCATGGCTTTTGGGGCTCACTGGGACATCGCCTTTTAAGAGACTTGTGGAAAAACTCTAACTTATGGTTGCACTACTCAATTATCTGCGGCTGCATCGGCTGCATCTTACTTATTTAGGATTCCACCTCCACAGATCCATCTGTCAAGGTTGGGAGTTTAGTAGACCTCAGAGGTGAGACCATCTTCCCACCTTGTCATCATTGCCACAAATGCCCCCTAAAGCAGACTGGGAGAAATACAAGCCCCCTGTGGGCGGTGGCGAAGAGGAAACTGAAGATAAAATTGTACCTTTGAGCGAGGGTGACATTGAAGTATTAAAGACATATGGCCTGGCGCCTTACCAGCAGCAGCTGAAGCAAATCGAGAAGGATATTGGTGAGCTCCAGAAACAGATTACTGAAAAGGCCGGCATAAAGGAAAGTGATACAGGCCTCGCACCGCCAAATCAATGGGATCTCATGGCCGATAAACAGACCATGTCACAAGAGCAGCCTTTACAGGTTGCGCGGTGCACCAAGATCATCCAGGACCCGACCGACCCGGACAAGGCTCAATACGTGATCAACGTCAAACAGATTGCTAAATTCGTTGTTGCCCTGGGTGACCGTGTCTCGCCAACAGATATTGAAGAGGGCATGCGTGTCGGTGTCGAGCGTAACAAGTACCGAATTATGCTGCCTTTGCCCCCGCGGATTGATCCCAGTGTGACGATGATGACGGTTGAGGAGAAGCCTGACGTCACTTACGGTGATGTTGGTGGCTCCAAAGAGCAGATTGAAAAGCTTCGGGAGGTTGTAGAGCTCCCGTTACTCTCTCCTGAGCGGTTTGCAAAGCTAGGTATTGACCCACCAAAGGGTATCTTGCTATATGGACCGCCCGGTACCGGTAAGACCCTGTGCGCTCGTGCAGTTGCAAACCGTACGGACGCCACATTTATCCGAGTCATTGGCTCCGAACTTGTACAAAAGTACGTGGGTGAGGGCGCTCGTATGGTTCGTGAGCTGTTCGAGATGGCTCGGTCCAAAAAGGCTTGTATCATTTTCTTCGACGAGGTAGATGCTATTGGCGGTGCGCGTTTCGATGACGGCGCTGGCGGTGACAACGAAGTGCAGCGCACCATGTTGGAGCTGATCACGCAGCTCGACGGGTTCGATCCTCGCGGCAACATCAAGGTGATGTTCGCGACGAACAGGCCCAATACCTTAGATCCTGCGCTGCTCCGACCGGGTCGTATTGACCGTAAGGTGGAGTTCTCTCTGCCGGATGTCGAGGGCCGAGCCAATATCTTCCGCATCCATTCAAAGTCGATGTCTGTTGATCGTGATATTCGATGGGAGCTTATTTCGCGGTTGTGTCCTAATTCCACCGGTGCGGAGCTGCGCTCTGTATGCACCGAAGCTGGAATGTTTGCCATTCGCGCTAGACGCAAGGTTGCAACCGAAAAAGACTTTTTGGCTGCTGTCGATAAGGTTATCAAGGGCAATCTTAAGTTTTCGTCTACTAGCCAGTATATGCAGTACAACTAGATGCTTTTATAAATAGGCTTTTGATGCTACTATTACCACCAAGAAATTAGACCCATACCGTCGATTTGTGCGCTTGCAACAATCCGCATCGACTTGTCGAACACAACTTCTTCCACCCTGAATCTGATCTTCTCATTGATGTCCAAGTAAAGGCTATACTCGTCGTTCTTCCACACCCAGGCCTGTTCTTGGACAATAAACTGGGTTCCCTCGAACAGCATCGCTTTAGGAATGAAAACATTATCGAAAAACTCCATTCGGACATTGAGTCCTTCCTCGGTACAGCTGGAGATCCAGCCTACCAGTGTCTCGCCGGGGAAGGGAGCAAAAACAATTAACCGGAACTCGCATTTGATGTAGATTGATCCATCTCCTGGTCTCAGCAGGCCATCTGAAGCGGTTTGCAAATCGTACAGAGCAATACAGAGGCCAACGTCAGTCAGTACCCTGTTTGCATACTTTTTATTAATCTCTTGATGCAACGCTTGCTGGTGAGGCAGTCCAAATGTACTTGGATCAAGCTCTATAGTGTCTGCTATCTTGACCAAGGTGAACATGTCAGCGAAAAGAATAGCTCGCGAGGCTAGAGATAGTTTAGAGGTAAAAAAACGAGTGGTCTATTCAATAGCACGGACGGCAATATATCCAAGTTCTCGAGTAGAATTGACTACTATAATCCACCGGTATGGGCTCAAGAAAGAAACCTACTGCCAGGCGGCCAAACTTTTCAAGGATTCCCAGAGGAAATTTTTTCTTGGTAAGCGAGGACATAATCAGAGAGATTCAAGGCGTAAATGCGGGGGGCCGCATATGGTGTTGCATAGCTACCGAGAATGCCCAAAATTAAAAGCCCTAGTGCAATAATTCAGCGAACCAAACACAGCAGCTATCGAAGTTCACGGAAAGCAAGCCCGGACCGGAGTCGCGGAAAAACTCGGACATGTCACCCTCCGAATCGACCCGCGGACGGGGTTTTTTATCCAATCAACGATTATTCATTTTCTCCCAAATGCTCTCCATCTCTAAACGGGCCAATCTTCGTCTGGCCGCTCGCCGAGCGTTTACCACGAGCCGTGTTGCTCACAAGGTGGTTTCGCAGGAGCAGGTCAAAGGTACCGATGCCAACAAGCATATCAACAACAAATACCAGGTCATCGATCACGAGTACGATGCGGTTGTCGTAGGTGCTGGTGGTGCCGGTCTCCGCGCGGCGTTCGGTCTTGCCGAAGCAGGCTTCAACACCGCCTGTATCACCAAGCTCTTCCCTACTCGTTCGCATACCGTTGCTGCTCAGGGTGGTATTAACGCCGCTCTTGGTAACATGCACCCCGACGACTGGCACTGGCACATGTACGATACCGTCAAGGGTTCGGACTGGCTCGGTGACCAGGATGCCATCCACTATATGACTCGCGAGGCTCCCCAGTCTATTATTGAGCTCGAGCACTATGGTGTTCCTTTCTCGCGTAATGACGAGGGTCGCATTTACCAACGCGCTTTCGGTGGTCAGTCAAAGGAGTACGGTAAGGGTGGTCAGGCCTACCGTACCTGCGCTGTTGCCGACCGCACTGGTCATGCTCTCCTGCACACCCTTTATGGCCAGTCTCTGCGCCACAACACCCAGTTTTTCATTGAGTTCTTCGCTCTCGATCTGTTGATGGAGGACGGTGTCTGTAAGGGTGTTATTGCTTACAACCAGGAGGACGGTACCCTTCACCGCTTCATTTCCCACAACACCGTTATTGCCACTGGTGGTTACGGTCGTGCTTACTTCTCGGCCACTTCTGCCCACACCTGTACCGGTGACGGTATGGCCATGGTCACCCGCGCTGGTCTTCCCTTGCAGGATCTTGAGTTCGTTCAGTTCCACCCTACCGGTATTTACGGTTCGGGCTGCTTGATCACCGAAGGCTCTCGTGGTGAGGGTGGTTACTTGCTTAACTCCGAGGGTGAGCGCTTCATGGAGCGTTATGCCCCCACTGCCAAGGACTTGGCCTCTCGTGACGTTGTCTCGCGTTCTATGACCATGGAGATCCGTGAGGGCCGTGGTGTCGGTCCCGAGAAGGACCACATCTACCTGCAGCTCTCTCACTTGCCTCCGGAGGTTCTTCACGAGCGTCTTCCCGGTATCTCTGAGACCGCCGCCATTTTCGCCGGTGTCGATGTTACCAAGGAGCCCATTCCTGTCTTGCCTACTGTTCACTACAACATGGGTGGTATCCCCACCAACTACCACGGTGAGGTTCTTACGGTTGAGAACGGCAAGGAAAAGATCGTCAAGGGCTTGTACGCTTGTGGTGAGGCCGCTTGTGTCTCTGTCCACGGTGCTAACCGTCTTGGTGCCAACTCCTTGCTTGATTTGGTCGTCTTCGGTCGTGCAGTCGCCCACCGCATTGCTGATACTCAGTCCCCCAACCAGCCCGCTCTCAAAACCTCTGAGAACATTGGTCAGTTCTCTATTGATAACCTCGACTGGGTTCGCAACGCCAAAGGCTCTAAGTCCACTGCTGAGATTCGCTCGGCTATGCAAAAAACCATGCAGCGTGATGTCGCTGTCTTCCGTATGCAAGAGTCTCTTGAGGAGGGTGTCCGCAACATTCACAAGGTTGACAACTCCATTGTTGACCTTAAGACCACTGACCGCTCTATGATCTGGAACTCTGACCTCGTCGAGTCTCTCGAGCTCCAGAACCTGCTCACCTGCGCTGTGCAGACCGCCTACTCTGCTGAGGCCCGCAAGGAATCTCGCGGTGCCCACGCCCGTGAGGACTTCCCTGAGCGTGACGACGAGAACTGGATGAAGCACACTCTGTCTTGGCAGAAGGCTCCTGGTGAGCACGTGAAGCTCGATTATCGCAAGGTCATTAGTGAGACTCTTGACGAAAATGAGTGCAAGACCGTTCCCCCCGGCAAGCGTGTCTACTAATTTAGCTTCCCATCTTTTACGTACTAACAATCACATATCCTCCAGGCTGTCCGGACTCAAGGTGTCCAGGCTAAGGATTTTTTGCCATTTTTCGTCAGGTTGGAGCCCGTCGGAAGCTGTCGCTTCCACATCCAAATAAACGACGGTGTTGGGTCTGTATGGCTTGTCGGTGGCATAAAACAGTGTTTCACGCGCACCAGGAACCAGGTCATTAGGATCACCGTGTTTGTATTGGGCGGTAAATCCAATATGTATATGAGCACTGCACCATATTTTAGGCTGAAGATGAGCAAGCAATTGCATAGCAGGAGGCGATCCAAAATTATTGTTGGTGATATCATTGCGTAGATAAGGCTTTTTGGCAAGAAGTCGTTTCAAATTTCCATGCTGCTCGATGCCAGCGGGCCAGTCGTGGCTCAGCATTATATCAATAGAGTTTCTGCCCATCAACCATAACTTTTGAACATCACGCTGTCGAACATAGTTTACAGAGTGCACTGAACTGGAATCGAATGGGCTTTTTTCTGTTCGCGGGCTCGTATAGCTTTTATTGTTGTAAATTCCTGATAGGCCTCCGATTTTGACCCCGTTGAACCTTACTGCCCCAGCATAGCCAATAAAGTACATATTGGGGGCAACCCAGCCTCCATCTGGTTTTTCTAATAAATAACGGCTTGATTCATGGTTACCACCGATAAATAGGGTCAAAAAGGGTGCCTTCTTTTCCCCTCTAAAGTACTTGTGAAAATCACCCATCACTCGGTACTTTGCTGGAGCAGCCATTGATTTCAAGTCTTCTTCATCCCTCAGAGCTTCAAAATCGCCACAAACAAGCACAAGGTCGGGATTTTGGCCCTCCTGCTCTATTATATCGTACATAACGTCCAATTGGCCATGGCAGCACCCGGCAACAGCAATTTTCATTTCCCGTCACGGTTAGGTAAGGTCCAAACAACTATAGACTATTTAGAACTTAAAGACAGTGTCCTTGGTGAAACCAAGCTCTTGAAGAGAACCAGTGAGATCACCTTGGTCGGTGGGGCTCTTCTTGGGGCCAGAAAGAGCCTTCATGAAACCGGGAGGACCGCAGACAAAGACACGGTGATTCTCATCATCGGGCTTGACAATGGCAACTACGTCCTCCTTTGAGATATAGCCAACCTTGCCGTCGAAGCTCTTGTCACCCTTGTCAACATAATAGGTAACCTTGAGCTGTCCGGGTTTCTTGGCAACGACGTTGTCAATCTCCTTCTTCAACAGAATGTCGTTAGGAGTCTGCGAGCCGTAAAGCAAGTGCACCTCGGTCTTGTCCTCAGGATCCTTGGCGATATGAGCGAGAACCTGGTACAAAGGAGTAATACCACTGCCGCCACCAAGCATGACAATCTTCTTGTGCTTGTTGGGTTTCTCGAAAGGGTACTTGGGGATGGGGCCCTGAACGTCAATGGTCTCACCAGGCTTGAGGTCGTGGACATGAGTACCCATGGCACCACCGGGGTACTTTTTGATCACAAAGACGGCCTCACCGACGGTGCTGGGGTCGGAAACGGGAGTGTACGGACGGACAACTGGCTTGCCGTCCTGCATGAACTTGAAAAGAACACAGTAGGCGGTGCTTCCACCAAGAATCTTGTCGTTATCCAAGTCAAAAATAATCTCCTTGGTATCGTGGGAGACATCTTTCGAGCTCTTGAGCTTCAAAGGGACCCATTGCTTGGGCACCAGCTGGCCTGCAGTCTCATTGCGCAAAGCGTTGCTGGTAGACATGCTGTAGCTAACGGCACCGGCAGTGCCGAGCATAACACCAGTCAGCGTCGATGTAGCACGGGACTTCAGAATATTGCGGAACATCTCTGATGGTTGATGATGCAATTGAGATGTGGCTCTTTAAATACAGCCAATGATACGCAATTACTAACTCTGCATTGCAGCACGATTCGGGGACCCGGAAGAAGTGCGGGCCTTGTGGCTTGACATTGGTTTGAAGGTGTAGACTACGTACAGTTAAATTGTTTGATCCGATTGATCGTCTAATATTCGGGGACGTGACCGTTATGCGGCATTTAAATCGTCAGTCTATCGAACGCGTCTTCGGCTTATGCAAAAGCAAGCTGCCAAGCTGACCAACGCCAACCGTCTTTTTGGTTGTGAGAGGTAGCCCCGCTGGACTTTGGGGTAGAAACATTTAATTTTTTGACAATTGAGTCTGCTAACTGGTGTTTTGTTGACAGGTACGGTCGGACTCGATCAATTGGCCGCCAATACAAAACCCGACGCTTTAGCGCATCCTATGTCGAACGATACATTATGCCCATAATTGGTGCTGTCTGCTAAAACTCAGAGCATTTCCGGTGAATCCCAACGGCTGATACCCAAGTGTCTACCGCCCTCCATAAGCTTCAGTCCCCGCCAGCTGGGAGAGGGCTAGGGAAGCCCACCCTATAAGGACATTAAATCATCGAAGTCTCTGTATTTATGAGAGCAAGCATTGCCAGGTTTCTAGCGATGTCAAAAAACAAGTCTCAGCTCCAATATGTTGATCCCAGAAAATTAGTACCACCCTATAAGCCTGGTAAAGGCTACAGACCATTCCACAAGGGCGATCACGGAAGGGTGATGGTAGTAGGTGGATGTCAAGATTACAGTGGTGCTCCCGCAATGGCTGCATTATCGGCTGCTCGAACGGGTGCCGATATGGTACATATTCTGTGTCCGAAGGAAGTCAGCTCTGTGATCAAAACCTACAATCCTAACCTGATGGTGCATGGTTATCTTGAAGAGGAGGCATCAAAACCGTTACCAAATAAGGCCATTGATCTAATTGATCGAATGCACGTCGTTCTGGTTGGCTGTGGGCTGGGTCGCGAACCAAAGCTACTTGAGCAAGTCAAGCAATTGATCAGGGAAGTTCATAGAAAAGGCAAGCCATTGGTGATTGATGCAGATGGGCTGTTTCTGGTGTCGCAAGACCACTCTCTCATAACCACTGGAGATGTTACACTGACGCCCAACTACGTTGAGTTTCTACGGCTCTGTAAGTCGTTTGATGACTTTCCCGTTGACCCGGAGCAAGACTTGCTGGGCAGCGTAAAGCATTTGACAAAAACAACAGGCTGCAAGGTTTTACTCAAGAATGAGAGCGATATTGTGAGCAGCGGCGGGTACGTTGAGCAAATTGATGAAATAGGCTCCCCCAGAAGAACAAGCGGCCAAGGCGACATTTTAGCCGGCTGTGTTGCTGCCTTCACAAGCTGGAGAGTAGCCTATCAAAAACATCTTTGGGATGTAGAACCATTGAACAAAAGTCGTGTCGAGGACTCTGACAGACGCGCCCTTGAAGAACTAGCTGCCCCTTGCGGCGCCTCTGAGGTCGTAAGGTTAGCAAGCTCTTTAGCATTTGATCAAAAACATAGATCAATGATGGCCAACGATGTATTAGATCGTGTCGGCGACGCTTTTGAGTTATTTTTGGAGTTACAAAGGCTATAATTTACCGTAGATTCGACCCCATCCTTAGTAAACAGAGCGAAATGTCAACTGCCGAAATTGCGGAAATCAAAGCTCAAATCAAAAAGATGCAGAACGTCATTGCGATGACCGGACGGCAGATTGTGGAGCTACAGCTCGATAGTACCCGTCGTAGAAATGAGGATGTTGATCGCCGCACGAAGGAGCTGAGGGGCGAGCCCGCAGTTGCTAGCTCTGCAGAAAACACTGGCGACTATGCGACGAACTCTGATATTGTTGAGCTTGTCCAGGAGCTCCAGGATCAGTTGGACATTCTTGACGAGCGAAGTATTCGCCGCACTATCAACTCGCGAGCCGGCAAGTCAACACCAATCGTCTCTCTACCATCGATTGCTAACGAATACCCCGACGCCTTCCCGCACACACTACTTGATTTTGCAGAGATTGGCACTAGTGAGATTGAACGACTTGCGCGTTTTTACGAATTGCTCCCCCCAGATGCTGTAGAAATGGAAGAGTTGCTCCAGAAAGTGTCCATGACAGCCGCCGAGGCTGGAGTCTCTCAGACCTCACCCGAGGTTACAGAGAGTGACGGCGTTGAACACTTCAATAAGCTTGCACGTTTTTTGGGACTGCCCCTTACAAGATGATCTCTATAATAATGTAATTAATTTGCCTTGGTCTCGGGTCTATCGTATGGCTTCTTATGGTTGATCCGAGGCCGGGGCTTTGCTTTGCCATTGGCACGAGGAGCAGGTGGTTCATTTACTGTTTCTCGCAACGAATCTTCGTGCTCCTTGACAATGTTATACCACTCTTTGCGAGAGTGCAGGTACTTGTCCAGCTTCCAGTTTTTCCACACCATTTTACCGTAGTTGCTTTTCTTCAAAGTTTCCTCGTGCTTGGACAGCTCAGTTGCGATTCTTTCACGCACAAATTTGAGTTTGAAGCAGAATGGCCAGAGCTTGTCAACCAAGTGAGACCCATAGGCATTCGCGGCCAGGTCGGCGACCAAGGGCACGACTATGTTGAGAATACGCCTGCGCTCTACAATCTCCATTTCAGGACGCAAAATCGCCTCCAGAACATGGCTTTGAACAGGATCAGTGGCCTTTGATGTGATGATTTCATAGGTCAATGCTTTGCCTGCCTCTTGCAAATACTGAGGTTGCGTGACCAGATCCTGCAAGAGAAGTGCTTTCTGTAGGTCGTTGGAAAGCAGTAACTCCGCAACGCTTCCATATCTTTGAATAATAAGTTTGTAAATCTCTGCCTTCTGGGCAGGTTCTCCTGCCTGCAGCATTGTGCGAACAACCTGCACTTGATTTTCGGCAAGTATCTTGGGCGTTTCGGAAAGGAGCTCAGCAACCACCTCGTTTTTAGGTCCCAACTTGGACTTGAGAAGGCTTTGAACGACAAAGTTGCCGTTGTCACTGCAAGCCATTTTAACCAAGTTACCCTTAAACCGAGTCTGGTAAATATTCAACAGTTTCTTGCGAGGCAAAGACATCAGGCAAGACTGCAAAAAGTGCGTTCCAACAGCATCACTTGTGGTATGTTGATAAAACGCCTCCGATCCTTCGCCAGTCAGACATAGGTCCACGAATGTGAAATAGCTTCTAGACGACTGAATCCTGACGACAACTTGGTAAAGAGGAGATGTGAGCGGATCAATCGCAAGATTTCTCGCTTTGCTAGAATCAAGACCCTGTGTTAAATCGGTGAGAATTTCATTGGACGCCTCAGTGAACGTGGAAGGCACTTGGCGTTGATCCAAATCTCCGACGGCATCCATGTCTGTATATTCGCGTGCCTTTCGAGATTTTTTAGAGCGAAGAGCTGGATCGTTCCCCAGCGATAAGCCAGCTAGCAGCAAAAGGATCAAGCGCAACACATGGCTAGAATACTTTTCCTTGGCCATTTCGCTCACATGAGGGCGTAGCTCATTGACCAAGAAAACTATAAGCATTTCTGCGGAGACAATCTCGTCAGACATAGTATAATTTGCTTCTTTTCTCACTTCCCGCTCAACAAGCCCCGCTGATTTCCAAAGTAGTGTTTCGACACAGTGCGACGAATACTTTTGTAAAGAAAGAACAAACACATGGCCACTGATTGACTTCAGCAAGTAGATAAGCTGGTCATCGTTAGCGAGCATAACTAGGCGCTCAAACAGTTTGGAACATACCTGATTTGTGACAAGCTTCAATTCTTTACCCTTGGATTCCTCGAAAACATTTTCAACAAACGCTACTTTCTCGTCGGCGGTCAATGCATTCGCTGCTAATGTCGACTCAGCACTCTTAAAGTACTCAAGCTCCTGTCTGTCCAAAAGGCCGAAGAAAGCTGCCTGTCTCGATTGACCGGAAGATGTTTGATCAGCGGGCGCTGTTCCGAAACTGCCTTCCCAATCGCCTTGGCTAGAAGTGTTGTTTACTTCTTCGAAAGCCAGTTCCAAATCATCTTGCTCTTGCTCAATTTTCTTCTTCTCCTTCTTGTCTCTTCGTCTTCCTCGAGTTTGTCCCATGTTAAACTGGTTCAAATTTTTTTGGAGGTAAGGGACTTTGGAAAAAACTGATTACGAAATAGACTTCATAGTAAAGCGTAGGCCAAACGACTGAGCCTTCGTTGCCGTTCGAAAACAAGGCAAAAAGGACGAATTCGGACCATAAAAATTTCGACCAATAACCGGCGTTGATACCAATTGCGCTAAGGGAGACAAGCTCATTCTCCAGTTAACCCGAAAGATTCTTGCCAAAAGTTATGAGACAGTACATCGTGGGGCACCTCTAGTGCATACAAAATGGGTACGGAATTTCATAACACATTCTCTAAGCCTTAACGTGCGATTCATGCACTTTGGTACTCAGATGTTCAAGCATGCTGCATTCTGTGCGGTGTTACCCTCCTGTAATTTATATGGTCAGATGGGTCAAGCCATACTCGTACATTTCCAGCGGCGCCTCTGAGCCGCTCAAGGCTAGGGGAAACTCTACATACTGTGTTTCAGAGTGATTACCGTTTAGTAACGCATGTCATTTTTGATCCGACTTGGCGTTGCAGTATTTTCACTGTTCGAATCTGGAACTTTGTCTGGTCTGGTGGTGGCTGGAAGATCCGTTCACAAATGCCAAACAATGTGTCAAAACGGTTAGGGTTCCATCCGCTCGACCGTCATTTCGCCATTTCGAATGCAAAAATAATAGTACTATCGAAACACACGAGGTTAGGTGCAATTCAATCTGGCTAACGCTAATACTAAAGGGTGGGTTCAGCAATCATTTTAAACTTTGGCACTTCCAGAACACACCATCTAATGGTGCAGCAGACTCCCAGTTTGGCCGGGGAAGCTATGCAATGCAGTAGCCTGATTAGGTGGGCCACGTGCAGGATTTCAAAACAGCTCGTACCCTTGCCTGAGGAGTTTGCCTCATCACCCCCTCTCCCCCCTAGATTAGGACTAGGACTAGTTTGTTCACCACCACGCCCATTTTCGCTTCGGCAAAATTTGTTGAAGAAGTAGAGTTTTGTTGGCTAATATCATCCGATTGGCTTAATTTCCTGGCAATTCGGACGTGCCCACCCTAGACTACGGTTGTCGTATACTTTTTCGTTTGTTCAAGTTGACAAATTATTGATTGCAAAAACGTTTTAATCGTGGAGCCCGTTCTATTCTCTTCTTTTCGTGATGCCACTCGTGTCGCCACCTCTCCATTCCTCAACCAGGACACATCTCAACGGTGCCGCGCCGTCGTGGGACCCCTTCGGGTTCCGCCCCGTCGCGCCTCAAGACCGGGGCCTTGACTCAACAGCTGCTCCGGGAGCCTCTTTGAGCCCCACAGCACCCACACCTGGTATTTCATTGCTAGCGGCCCGAAGAGAAACCATGCCCCACCTCAGCCTAGGTGCCCACCCACCCTCCAATTTTCACGCCGGCGTGCCCGGCCACTTCGACGAAGTTGATCCTCTCCGTTCTCCGCCTGGTGTAGTACCGTCGTCACGTGCGTCTAGTGGAAATAATGTTGGCCAAAGACCCCCAGCAGTACTTGTTTCTTACAACTTCCCAGGGGATCTTACCCCACGCGAAGCCCACTTATTATTTGCATTTGCACCCGAGTATATTTCATGTGACGTTACACGACCCACCAAAGAGGAAGCCGCTTTCTGTGTACCAGATTCTACGGTTGTCGCCGCGCGTTTCCATTCTGTACAGGCAGCTCAAGCTGCTCAAATGATGCTTGATAATCGTGTTGACTTATTTGCAGATTACCCAAGCTCCACTTCATCCCCTAGGGGCTCTCAAGACTCCAATTCTGCCGCACCCACACCTCCAATTCGTTGCGAGGTAAGGGGACCAAGCAGCGGTCAGAACTCTGGGGGGCTCGGAAAAAGCAGGTTCCAGTTTGGCGAAGACGAAACGTGTTCGATTGCTGCATCACGAGCAGGCTCGGTTAGTGCTGTGGTACCTCAATTTGGCCCAGCAATGCCAGTGTCTGCCGGATCTGCAAAAAGCCCCTTTGCGGGGGGATCCATGTTCGTGGCCGACCGCATTTTCAGCCCAGCAGGCTCTAGACCACTGCCTCAAGGACGAACACTTTTTGGTGACCACGTTAACAATTCCATGAGTGGTCTGCATATATCTGGGATGAGTAGCCAGCAGCCTGCGGAATCCCATACCATGGATCGCCGCCCCAGTGCGCCTTCTCTTAGCGTGTCATCCCCTCCATCAATAAACGGTGTCCTTCCCAGCATGACCAAACGGCCCTCAGTAACAGGAAGGACATTTGTGGCGGCCAATTCAGCTGGCGGGTCGGACGATCCTTCAAAAGTGGTTATTCCATATACCCCACAAACGCAAGCCAAGGCAGCAGCAGTACTACAGAATGGCGGCCGAGTTCTTCCCCCTGCTAACCCGGCGGATCAAAATCCTCCGTGTAACACACTGTACGTGGGGAATTTACCGCCAGATACGCAAGAAGAGGAGCTTAAAGAACTTTTTTCAACGCGAGCAGGATACCGTCGACTGTGTTTCAGGGCCAAAAGCAACGGCCCAATGTGCTTTGTTGAATTTGAAGACGAACATTACGCAGGACGGGCGCTGGAAGAGCTGTACGGCTTTGGTCTCTCCAACTCCATAAAGGGGGGTATCCGTTTGTCGTACTCGAAAAATCCTCTTGGGGTTCGCTCAAACAGGCCGCGCACTACAGGCTCAAACAATAGCCATTGAGCGGTCTTTTTTGGGCAATCTGCATTATTTATCTTATATACTCGGCTCTTTGACGGAATTAATCTCATAGTAACAAAGAAAGAATGTTTTATTAGATCCGGGTATACAAAAATACTACATGGAGGGGGAAAAATACAGTGTTATGGCCGTTCAAGTTTTTTGGCTCGCTCGAACTACAATGAGCGCACGACCACCGGCGGAGAATTAAGGAAAACAACGGTAGAGTTTGAGCGTCTCAAAAAAAGCTGGAATGGTATAAATTAAGCCCGCACATAGGAGGATCGTTCAGCAGCTTCATTGATACTGGTATTATCCGCGGGGACAACAACCGTCTCGGTGGTCTTCTTGGAGCCCAAACCAAAGCGGTAGCGAGACTTCTTGTTGCTGGCCGCCGCGTAGCCGCCGCTGGAATATGCGGCACCAGACGCAACACCACCGGAATTGCGGGCAGGACGAACATAGCACAATAAAACAAACTGGCACATGATCATGAAAACACAAGTCCAAGCAAAGGCAATGACTAGACGACCCAGATGGGTGCTCTGCTCGCCAGCCTCTTGGAATGCAGTGCGAGCTTTGACATTGAGCGCAGTAACCAAAGCTGCAGCGCTGGTAACGAACAAGAAACTGATAATGTTCGAAATGTAAGCAGTGAGACTAACAATCTTGCTCTTGTACTGGAAGGGGAAGACAAAAAGCTTGACAACCTCGAAGAAAAGACCAATCACAAAGAAAGGGAAGAGGAAACGAGACAGGTAGTACAAAGAGTCGTGACGTCTTCTGAATGAGTCAGGGACATCGCTGGTGCCCAGGTTGTTGCCCAAGTCGAAGCCAAACGCAGGATGGTGGGGACTGCAGCCAGCGTTGTCGCCAGGGTGAGAGGCATTGTCACCCGAGTAGAAGCAGACACCCCAAAATGACCATTGAGTTACGCCGGGAGTGCTCGGAACAATAGAGCTGGTGACTGCCCGGAAGTAATAGAAGTGTGATGTCACGCCAGTGCCCTTGATTCCACCGAGGATAATAAAAAACAGTAGTAGGATGGTACCAGCTGTGAAAAGCAGCGAGATAAGGCCATTCAATCCTTTAAACAGCATTGTCGTGTATGATACTAGGAAGACAAAAAACCTCTCGAATAGTTGCGGTACCTTATTAAGGCCTGGCGGCGCAGCCATAATGTTTATTTTTCTCTGTTGCCAGCGACGATCTGCATGCACCATGCCCAAAGCGGAATGTATGTAGGCAACACGCTGCAGACTGTGTCAGATCATCGCACGGTTGGACTGCTATTTTGAACACTTCCAAGCATTTAAACAGCCCCGTTTTTGGTAAGACTGTTTAAATACATGATATCGTTTTGCCGATCAAAAACATTTGTCCAAAATAACCATCGAGGGTACTCCAAGAGCTTCGTGGGTATGTGATGGGCCTACGTCGCTTCCAGCCCATGATGTAATCCGGAATGCAGCAAGCAGCGGATTACCCAGACAACACTTTTGCTACTTGCTTTTGGACCACGGTTTTGTTCCCAGATTGTGGGCTGGCACCTCTTGTGGTCGAAGAGGTTTCGGATGTACTCGTGGGGATTCGACATTACATGCCAAGTTGTATGCATACAGCATTTGCATTTACAAACGTAACGAAATAGAGCTTTAACCTATTTTTTGAATGCATGCTGCATTCCAGAAAAGGATGTGGGTCCTTGACTGCGGAGCCAAGTCTAACCCATGTGTCATGGCAAGTGCTAGCAGAATGGTGATTTATTTAGAAGAACAAAGATCCAACAAAGACGCAAAATCGAGCATATTCTCGCCCTTTGCAGAATTGTTGGCGTGTCGATTCGACCCAGACACTTAGAAGACCTGCAAACAAGCCCGTGGGTGGGAGGCGAGTACACTCAGCCTGTGGACGATCATGGTTCTAGAACCATAGCAGTTTTCGACCAAAAAAGTTTAAAGCACGGAACTTAAGACACAGAAGACTCGAAACGGTCACTAGCTGCGGAGACAATATATGTACATCATAAAATAACCTTCGATACCGCCCAGACCATGATGCTCATAATGGGTCATTGGCTTACATCTAAAGAGTCTTGTAATTGGACCCACTAACCCAACTATGACAAAGCTCTCCCACCTCGGTCCCAGACGCCCATTCTCGAGCCTCCTAGTACTTGGAAGGAAAATTTGTAATACGCATCGTGCTCAAACGTAGAGGTGTAACACTTTGAATCATTAGACCGCTTGTGGGTGGCAAGACAATCTTCGACTCAATGCCACGATTTTGGTCTTGGCATGCTAATAGGCAGGGAATATAAACCGTTTAGCTAATTTTCTTGGCTGGGCCACGCACCATGCATGGGTTTAGGCTAGACGTATCAGTAGTTTGTTTTTTCTGTCTGGTAAGGACGATTTTTTATTTGGACCTCTTATTAGTAATTACCCAATGGCTGCGTTGTGCACGTATCGCTGTATGGGCCCACAGACCCACAGGTACTATTTAATACTCGCCTTCAAATAAATTAAAAGTACATATATTGACTTGGTAGTTATCTAATAGATGGTAGATACGTTTGCAGAATATTCGTTTCGCCAGTTCTTGGTCCTAAAACTATAAAATTCAACAGCGGAAAAAAGTTTAATGCTTTCAAGCATGACTAAAAACCCCTGGGTCTTGTGATACCTACCCTCATGTCAACGCAAGCTGCCGAAACAGACAGAGTCATCGGACCAAACGCTTTGGATTGACCGAGTGGCAAACTTGGAGTATTGCTCAGTGACTTCAAAAAAACTTTCGGTTAAGATTTTTATACTCAGATCCCAAATCAAAACTTTACTCGAGAGATCAGGAGATTGCTTAGAGTAAGTATCATGCGCACGCCATGCACTATTAGTAGGGTCATGCAAGTCCTTGGTGCAAGATTGTGTATCACACTTGTCCCAGCTGACCCTCTGCGTAATGCATGTAGTCTAGAATTCGACGCTCCCTGCTATCACACTTATATGCCACCTCCTCCTTGCCCGAGAAGCTATATATTTTGCGTGTAACTGTTCGAAACATCTTAGATAGTTACTATCCCAGATCACCCTGTGGGCAAAAATAGTGGGATCACTCTGCAGCGCGCCCAGGTCCCCGCTCCAGAACTCGTAAGCCAGTGGTTAGTGATCAGTGGCACCTTGTCGTAATCCGGGTAACTCAGCAAGCACCTGCAAGTTTCTGTGATGTCGGCAAACCTTTCTTTGCGCTTGCCTTTGGGCTCAAATCGTATGCCTAGTCTTGCGGAAGTATGAACTTATTTTTATCTTCCCATTGTGACATTCAAACTCTAATTCAGTTGGGTCGAAGAATTTGAATCAGTGTCTAGTCTTTAGGGTTGGCTTAGTAGGGTTCATTTGCTGCGTATGCTGGTGCATGCATACGCAGCTGGAGTTGTGAAAATGTGCGATCGACTGCGCTGCCGATTCCGGGGGATGCGCTTTGAGACCTCATATAACTATGGCCAAATCCTCTACATCGTTTCGATTTCCTTGACTCGAATCAACACCAACCAACTGACTCGGTGTCCTTGATCACAAAGACTTAACACCACGAACAAAGGCACTACATCAACCATGCCTTTCTCTTATGGGTATAATCCCAACTCAAACTCTACCTGGATCTCCAGCCAGGAGGATATGGCTTCTCCGGGCTGGAGCCTCGACTCAGTGGAGACCCCTGCAGCGCGCTTTGAAGAGGATGGCGTCTGCGCATGGACTCAAATTGGCGATCCTGTAGCCAGAGCGGGAGGAAGTTTCACCACACATCCGTCCATCGCTGGGAACCAAGATGCTGGCTTTTTGGCTTCTTCACCATGGAAAAACACGTTGTTCGACGCAGCCAAAGCCTCCAAAGAGGATCCGGTTGTTTCCGGAGGACCCTCATATTACAGCTCGGAGATCCCACTGCAACCATCGCAACCACCTTTCCTGCGGCATTCATATTCAGATTTCGCTACTGACAGTGATTGGGCGAGCCCTAACGTCGATTTGTGGCATACTGGCGATGCTGGCTATTTTGAACACTCGCATCTTGCCGATGCGTCCCCTGCAAACATGTCTCCCCTGTCAAGGCAATCTAGCAACGACTTTTCGTCTTTGGAGTCCCCCTCTTATCGTAACGTTTTCAACGAGGAGCCGGCACACTACTATGAAACGCCTTTGTCTGAAGCACGCTCCTCTCTGCAGAGTCACCTAGAAAGTATTGACCAAGAGTCAGATGTTGCCACTCCAGTGTCGGCTCATCAGCACCAGCAGCGCCGTCGTCGCTCAGTTCGTAAGGGTCGTCGCCATAGTGCTGCTGGCCTCAGTGCAACCCCCAGTGGCTCCCGCAGGTCATCGGTTACTGACAAAAAACTTGTCTGCCCGCTTTGCAACAAGGTTTTCCAGCGCGACCTGGCCAGACATTTGCGCACGCACGAGTCAACAGCCAGATTTATCTGCCCCTTCCCCCGTGATCAGTGCTCTCATAAACGTGGTCAGTTCAATCGGGGTTACGATTTCAAGAAGCACTTGCTGCACTACCATTTCACATTTTCAGATGCAGGTACAGCACGTAAACTTCGGGATTTGAACGGCAAGCTAAGCTTCCAGGGCCGCTGCTGCTGCGGCGACGAGCACGAGTTCGACGCGGAAGAATGGCTTGACGATCACATCACTTGCGAACCGCCAAGGTGTCCCTTACTCAAAGGACGAACCAAAGAGGTCGTACTTCAGGAGGCTATACAAAGAGCCGCGCACGAAGAAAAAAATGGTCGCAGATGATTGTTCAGGAGTGACCTCTGATGCGTACCTTCCGCTTGTCGAGCCACTGTGAAAGTTGGCACGCCGTATTGACAATTAAATTATTTAAAAAAAACTTATATACTTGTATTCCAGATTTGTTTTCTTACAGATCACCGCCTTGCGCCACCGTACCGTATAGGGGACGAACTAATCACGATTGCCCTTCTGCCCTGACTCGAGGCGTCATCGTCGCCTTCGCTGGAGGGTTAGGGTATACTCTCCGGCCTTGACGGTATCCTTAAACTAACCTTGCCGATCAGCCGACTAAGCAAGGCAACTGGCAGTCGAAAATGTCGTCGTGGGATGAGCCTAAATGGTTCAAAGGTACTCGAAAGGCAATTGGTAGAACCCCACACATGCTTGTGGGCCACAAGACTATAGAGGATCCACAGATCACTGTGTGGTCCCGAAATATGTCTGAAGCAAGCACTGGTTTGACTTCGATCGGTGTGGCGGCTGAGCAGCTAGCCCAACGTTGGATGTCTTCACTCAAGCACTTGCACGAGTGCGTTAATGCCTTCCTGCCTGTGTATGCTCCTATTGAAGATAACGAAAGCACATTCAAAGGCGTAGAAACACCTGCTCGCACCATTGAGCGAGTGAAGGCAGTGCAGTCGGCATTGATTCGTCTCGAGTCTGAAGCCCACGTTCACGCCAATGAGGTGACAAACAAGGTGAAACTTGCTGTTGATCAAGCCAAGCAAGAGGTTAAGAACATTTCGCACCTGCTCACGAAGCGGCACCACAAGAAGATTGACTACGACCGAATAGTTTCGTCCTTAGCGCATCAGGCTTCAAAAACTGGTGCCCCTTTTGATGCCGACAAGACAGACACAGAAGAGCAGCGCCTCTTTGAGACGTACGATACGCGTGTGAGAGAAATCGTTCCCCAGTTTTTGGTCGAGATGGATGTAATTCTCAAACGGCTGGTTCTGCTTGTGAATGGCTCTACTGCGAAGTTTTATGAAGCGGTCGCCAAAAACCTTGAGCAAGCCGCTAAAGATGCTGATTTACCAAACACTACCCTCAATGAAGCTTTGAATGAGTGGAATATGGAGTTTTCAGCCATCAAGCCAGCCGTCGAAGCCTTAAGCTTCTGTAAGGGCGGACGCAATGAGATGCCCACTCACTTTGACGAGCGTGTACATGTCCCTGGGTCGAACACTATTTCCGAGTCTTTTGTTGGGCGTGCGTTCAACAAGGTCGCCCAAAACGTGGTCATGCCTAGATTTGTTGGCGGAATGGGTTTCTTTGGCGACGAGAAGGCATTGGCTAAAGAAGATGCTGAAAATGCTGAAAATGCTGAACGAGAGGAAGCTCAGCAACGCGAACAATCTGGCTCACCTCCCCCGATCCCTCCTAAGGCTAGTCACGCGCAATGGGCAGAAGCGCTCTACCCCTACAAAGGTGATGACGGTGATCTGTCATTCGCCGCTGGAGAAAAGATTCAAATTTTGGACCAAGGTACAGATGGTGATCCCAATTGGTGGCTGGGTAAGAAATCTGACGGTGCTCAAGGGCTGTTCCCCAAGAATTATGTTAAGTTATCTGAGCCGGCATTACCACCGCGTAAGAAAGACCGGCCTCTCCCTCCCCCTCCGGCTGAGTCTGTGGATGAGAAAGTAGTTGAAACTGTTAGCAAGGAGCCTGATCAGGTCCTGGAGAAATCCGCTGAACCTGTGGCCGATGTTTCCGAAACAATCAAAGAAACCAAAATCGAGGGCGGTGGTGATTCCAAAGTCGTAAAGGTTGAGCATGAAGTCAACATTTCAGAACACAAGCCAGACGCTTTCGAATCCGTTTCGTCTGAAGAGCCAGTGACATCCTCTGAGCCTAAACTGCACATCGAGCCTGAAAAGCCCGCTGAGCCTGAAAAGCCCGCCGAGCCCGAAAAGCCCGCCGAGCCTGAGGATTCCACAGACCAGCTTGAGTCGACGGAGTTGGATAAACCTCTTGAACCGGTAAAGTCACCCAAGGCTGACGACTCCTTGGCTGAACCTACAGAGGAAGCCGAAGCCGAACCTGAAGAGCCCTCAACCAGTGAACCAGCAAAAGGAGATGACCTTCTTTAGTAGTGATGCAATTACCCTATATAACTATGCGGACAAATCTTCGCTCCAATCATCGTCGACTTTAAGGTCAGCAAGATCAACAGCAAGATCACTGCCTGCAAAACTATCTTCCTCGTCCGGGTAATCATTGCGATAAAAGTCTTCCGCATTGGAGTCGTCTTCTTCCTCACCGACGAAATCGCTTTCATCTTCTTCATCGGCTAGCAGTCTTTCATCGTCACTTTCAACATCACTGAGGTTAGTATAAGGGTTGTCAGAACCAAATAAATATACTTACATATATCCGATTTTTCCCGAGCTGCTACCAGCAGCTTGCGAAGAATTTGAATAGTAAACATCATAAACATAATCCTCTACCTCAGTATCAGGACTTTCTACAGCAACGGGGGCAGCCTGGGCCTGGCCATCACCTGGGGCTTCTTTTTCTTGTTTGGTGGACTGGGACATATAATCATCAATCATGTCCTTCAGTTCCGGTGGGATGTCGTCTTCAATTGACGACTTGTCTTTTGGCGGAAGCCGGAAAACACCCTCCCCCGTACTGGACAAAACAATATCGTTTTCAGCATGACTATTCATCGTCCCGGCCAGCCGGAAAACGGTGTCCAGCCTCTTGCGCTTAGCACGCACCACAAGAGTTTGAAGAGGCTCCTGGTCACGCTTCCGCTTGACCTGTACTGTATGCATTTTTAGTTCTACAGACCCCCCAAAAAGACTGTGTTGACGGCAACCTGAACCCAGCCAGTTGCTGACTGTTCCGATCCAGCGTGCGCCCTGGCATTCTAATGCTCCCTGCATGCGGGAAGGTGTGAAGCTTTTTTCTCTTTCCGTGCATGTGGCTTAAGAAAACTGATGTGGTGTGTATCACAGGTGGAGCTTCAGGCCTGGGGGCAGAGTTGGCACGAGAATTCAGCTCGCGTGGTTGCGCGGTAGCTGTTATCGACATTATCCGGCCTGCGCTTGCCGACCTGGTACCCACTGTTCGGTATTTGTCGGCAGATGTGCGAGACTTGGACGCAATGACAGCCTGTGCTGGAACAATTGCTGATGAGCTTGGTACGGTGACTGTCCTTATCAACAATGCAGCGGTGAGGCGCCCCTGGACGCCAATCCTGTACGAAGATGTAGCTGATATGCAGTGTGTCCTTGATGTGAACCTCATGGGCGTACTATTAACGACGAAGCTGTTTTTGACTGGAATGACACTGCGCGAACGTGGCACTATTGTGTTTGTGTCTTCAGCCCTGAGTATGCAGTCGCCAGCGGGCCTGGCAACATACGGTGCTTCAAAGGCAGGGCTGGTGGGTATCTATGAATCAATCACTGGCGAGTTTTCCGCCAACGAGCACATTAAAACACTTTTGGTGTGTCCGGGCCAGCTGGACACTGAGATGTTTGGAGACATAACTACTCCGTCTAGGCTAATCGCTCCGGTGGTGAATAAAACAGCCCTCGCTAAGCGGATTGTCCTGCGGGTAGAAAAGGGGGGGGAGGGCTTCCTCTACACACCTTTTTACGTACATTTTTTGCCTGTCATGCGAATCGTGCCATATACGATATCACGGCGCCTCAGGAAACTCTCCGGAATGGATGACGTTCATCCGGGTCAACGCACTAGAGACTATACATAGCCGAGGCTTCGACCTGACGTAATTAAACCTCCAAGATGTCCTATACAGATTCGGTTATTTCGAGCAATGGCGCTGATTTGGTAGTGCGCCATTGGCCAGCTCCCGACGGAGTTAAAACCAAAGCCAAAATCGTGTATGTCCATGGGTTCTCTGAGCACAACGACCTGTACAGTGCGTGGTGGCCCAGAATTGTGAGCCATGGCTACGACGTGACAATGTTCGATCAGCGGGGCTTTGGCAAGACCGCGTCCTCGGTGAAGGATTTTGGTATTACCAGCGACGAGAACCAGTTTAAGGACTTGGACCGTGTGATTTCTACTGTTCTCGACGGGTCTGACGTGCCAATGATTTTGTGGGGACACTCCATGGGCGGTGGAATTACCCTAAACTACATGGTCCGCGGGACTATGCGGGAGAAATTCTCAGCCTATATGGCTAACTCGCCCTATGTGCTGGGGAACCCCCAGGGGCCGAATGGACAATTTCTCGTCAAACTAATCCCGCTTGCTATGCTGGTTGTACCTGGGATGCGTCAACAGGTTGAAATTGATCCCCGCATCTGCACCAACGATCCGGCTAAAGTTGAACAGTACAAACGCGATCCGCTACGCCATAACATTGGCACAGTCAGATTGTTCAGCGACATGAAGAAGAGAGGCAAGGCCCTTGTAGACCCAGACTATGTCAAGCGGAGTATTGACAGGCCGGTGCTTGTATCTCAGGGTGACAATGACTTGCTCTGCGATGTCAAGGGCGCTCAAGAATATTTCCGTCTCTTGAACAATTCTGATAAGACCTTGGAAATCTATCCTGGTATGCCTCACGAGCTGCAACAGCTTAAAGAGCCCGAGGTAACTGATCACCTCAACAAGGTTCTTGCTTGGCTCGATGCACGCTTTGACAAGGCCGATCAGTCAATTAAGCCTGACAGCTCAACTGCCAAACCTGCAAGTAAACTTGACAAGGTGGGGGCTTAGAAACTAAGCGATACTTCAGTATGCAAGTACCTCGCTTCTGTTCTTGCTCCCGCTGGGGTTGGGTTTAAAGATCAAGCGCCACTGTCACTTTATATGTCTTTCTCAATTCTATAACTTCCGGGTGCTATCCGTTCTTTCTTTCCATATAAACTTTCTTTAAGCTTCTCGTTGATTCACACATTTATCCAATTAGCCGGCCGGCTTTAGGCGTGCTTTTTTCATCATTACCAGTAAGCACCACTAAGCACGCACATGCAGGCCCCGATAAGTTGTGAGCAAGTTTGCGCTGGTGATTCTAACGTACGAAAAGCATTGCTGCCAATTTCAGTGATATATAGCTCCTATAAGAAATGGACTTACTGAATCGGTTCATGGAAACACAAAGAGTCCCCACCCTCCTGCACCAGGACCCCGATCGTCCACGATAACACACGATAATTAGTTGGAGTTCAGTGCATGTGATTTGCATAAATGTCGGTTAGCATGGGTTTTTACCGATCACGTCACGACTTACCAACATGGTTTTCAAACACCATCAACGTCCAGACGTCGATATGAGTGAAGCTAAAGCCTCTCCTAGGTTGTACTGGGCCGAGAAGCCCGAAACCGGTGTAGAATCCCCACCTGCCTATCGGCAAGCGCTCTTCAAATCTGGGCCTCTTCAGGTTAAGAAAGAGATGTCAACCCCAATGAAGGAATCAAGTAGCCGTAAATGGCTACCGTGCCATGTTTCAATCAATGGTACGCAATTAGTTTTGATCTCCGGGAAATTGTTGGCAACTACCAGTATTCTCAGCTTGCAGTACGCCCGAGTTGGTCTCGCTTCAGACTACACGAAGGTGGCCAACTGTTTTCGCATTCGGGCCGAAGGCCAACAATATTTATTCGCCGCAAGTTCACTCAAGGAAATGCTTGAATGGATCCTGGCTCTACAAATCGCTATCGACTTGTCGCTACCCATAGATCTTCGGAGCATGCCGCGCCTTCCATCACGACGGGCGGCTTTGTCGTACGCAAGGAGTTTGGAACCTACCTACCATCTTGAGCGGTACATTTCACACGCTCCTATTTGTGGGACTCCCAAGACTCCCTCAGGCTCGATAAATTCCCGCGGGTGCCCCCCCACGACGAAGGACTTCTGGTCCCTCAACAACAACGATCCTTGGACTGGAATCATTTATTACCATGGCAGCTTTGCATCTGTTGAGCAATCCGGCATTCTCCCCATGAAGAGCTGAGGCGCATCACAGTTTATCTATAGATAGAACATATTTGAATAATAAAAAAAAATGGCAAAAAGGAGCCTTAAGAAATTTCTGTCGCCGGCGCTGATTCCCGGGGTCTCACTAATTATCAACCCTGGGTGCCCAGCAGTGGTCACTATTCTACTCCTTCTCCGAAACTCTGAGAGCTTTGCGAAGCCGCTCAGGCTATGAAAAAAACGGTGATAGGAGATGACTGTGATTATCAAAGCCCCGGACTTGGACTCATATACCCGCGGTGGTTACCCTGACTCACATGAAAGCAAAATTCATTATTGTAGAGGGTCTCGATAGAGCAGGGAAGTCTTCCCAGTGTGAATTGCTGGTCAAAGAATTGAGCAAATCAGGCCCAGTAGAGCTGCTCAAGTTCCCCGACAGAACTACAGCCGTGGGTAAAATGATCGACGCGTACCTTCAATCAAAGAGCGATTTAAACGACCAAGCAATTCATTTACTCTTTTCTGCAAACCGCTGGGAAGCAGTAGAGGATATTAAGTCGAAACTAAACAGTGGCGTCACCCTCGTCGTAGACCGGTTCTCGTATTCTGGGGCGGCTTTCTCGGCAGCTAAGGGTCTCGATCTGGGGTGGTGTAAACACCCTGATGTGGGTTTGCCAGAACCCGATAAAGTCATCTTCCTCGATGTAAGCGAGGAGGTTGCAATGCAAAGAGGCGGCTATGGCAACGAACGATACGAGAAACTAGAGTTCCAACGCAAAGTTCGCAGTATTTTTCAACAGTTACGAGAACCCAATTGGGCATGGATCAACGCTGATGAATCTGTAGAAAACGTGCACCAAAGAATAGTACAGGCACTTGGTGTATAAAAAAATCATTTGCAAGTTAGCATAATAACGTTTACATTTTTGTCCTCCACCCCTAGATGGCATTCTTACGAGTCAAGTAGTCAAACCTCGAGAAGGTGTACCCGATGAAAGGAAGATCCTCCCGAACATTTGTTTGTCGGTTGCTCGAAGGTGCCGAGGGCGTATCTGGAACCTGCTGAAGGTCCTCGATGGGGAAGTACGATGTGTCGATCATACTCTTCAACTTGGGAATGAAGGGCGCACTGTATTGTCTGATTGAAGCCCAATCAACTCCGCGGAAGAAAGGATGAGCCTTAATCTCATCAGCCCCACCTCTGCCCAGTCGCTGATCCTGAGAAGTTAGGAGACGACGAATGAGATCCTCCGCTTCCGGAGACAAATGAATGTCCTCAGGGAATTGCAGAGTCTCTTGCCAATTGAGAATCTTACAGTAAGTCTCTTGGGGTGTTTCAGAACAGAACGGCGGCCACCCCACTAAACACTCAAACATAATAGCACCCAAAGACCACCAATCGCATTCGTGGCCGTATCCTTTGTGAACAAAGATTTCAGGTGCAATATAGTCAGGTGTGCCAACCGTAGAATAAGCCATAAGACGACGTGATTTACGCCAAGTGGAAATTTGTTGCCGGTTTGAAATAGTGAGGTGAATGGCATCGACGACCGTAGAGTTTCGGTTTCGTTGAGTTCCGCTACTCTGTCGGTCTTTCTCCAGCAACTGACGATAGTAACTTGAATCGTGGGTTTTGTGGAACCCGGTAGACAAACCAAAATCAGAAACCTTGATGTGGCCCGATTTATCGATCAGAATGTTGTCAGGTTTGATATCTCGGTGAATGAAGCCTAGCTTGTGAATAGCCTCAATGGCTAAAACGCATTCAGCAATGTAGAATCGTGTGATATCTTCACTGAAAACATCATACTTGATAAGCATGGTCATCAAGTCTCCTCCGGGCAAAAACTCCATAATGAGATATAGATAGTCTGCGTCCTGGAATGAATAATATAGACTCACGACCCAAGGAGAGTCAGAATCTGCCAAAACATCACGTTCAGCCTTAACATGAGCAAGCTGGTCCTTTTTAAACATCTCGGACTTGAATAACGTCTTCATAGCATATACTTTACCAGTGTCACGCTTTTGCACCAAACGAACCTCGCCAAAGGCACCTTTTCCAATAACTTTTACTGTCACAAAGTCTTCCAAGCTCAGCTTTGTTCGTCGAAGGCGTAAAAACGATGATTCTTTACGACCAAGAGACATGAGCTGGCGATTTCGTCGCTCCTCGGAACATCGCTCTTGAGCCAGTGCTTGTTCAGTTTGGACTCGTCTCTGATTTCTCTCAATAGCATGAGAGACATTCAGCTTGAAAAAGTGTTCGATTCGCAGCTTTGTTGCAGCTGCTTTTTCCTGTGTGAGCTGGCTAAATCGCTCAGGGTGCCGCTCAATAAACATTTCTGCGGGGGGCTGCTTCGGTGAAGATGAAATCCCGTTCGAAACCGCACTCGTGGTGCTCATCTGGCCAATGGACGTTTGTGAAGAGTTTCCTTGGCGCAAATGATACATGTTGGGTGGAGGAGCCTGGCGGGAGGGGCTCTGATCGCGGCGGTATGGAGACGAGGGGTTGAACGAGCGCAGCGGCGAGGCAGTTCGAACTGGAGACGCAGATCGGGCAGAATTCAATCCCGGAGAGCCCGGCCGAGCATAGTAAGGATCGCTCAGCATCGGCTGATCATATCCGAGACTGGGAACATACCCAAGAGCCGCGTTTGACTGACCCCCTGTCTGCAATGCGCCTCCAGCCTGCTGTCCATTGACCTGACGCTGAGCCAAAAGTGATGCCTGACTCGGAGACGGCATCTGCATGAAAGGATAGCTCTGTTGAGGCGAGGCTGGCTGCGGGCTGTGCGGTAGAGTCGGAGGATGGGCAGTCGGTGAAGCCTGTTGGTCAAAGCCCTGCGACCTATTGGAGTGCAATGAAGCCTGTGACTGGGGATTCTGATTGTACCATCCGCTTGGAGGTGCCTGAGGGATAGACTGCGGTGCAGAAGCGGACCCCGTGTCGTTCCCGTAGCGACCAGGTGAGGTATGTACTGGTTGTGAGGATTGCCCATACATGTCTGTCCGTTGCCTGTCGCCATAATTAGACGCCATGTTGCTGTCTACTTGCATAGGGCGGTTTTGTCCCCCGTAATCCTGCTGGTATCCCCCTTGGTTTCGATCAAACATAGCTTGGTTTGGAGAAACGTTAGGTTAGTAAGCTGACAGCTCCTGATTCAAGGTTACTAGGCTAGAGTACAATGTTCATATGCGAAACTCAAGCAGTAATGGGAGTTCGGGCTACAAAGCTGTGATGATTGAGTTCCAACCACGCGTCTCTGGTATTTTTTAAAATTGCAGAGACAGCCCCTGATGATAGCTGCAAGATCACCTGCAAGCTAGCCTCAAGGTAACCCATCATTCCAACTGCTCGTAGCTTGAATTCAGTTCTTTCGGGCATTTCTCGGCGCCCTCGTAAAAGCCCGCTGTCTAAAGTCTCGACCGCTCATATCGCTCGTTGGCGGCGTCATTACATCCCTTAGTAACCCCCACCTATATCAAAAAAATTATTCACTAAACCTCCCAAGGCATCTTCTCGAGACTTGAATAACCCGGTCACAGGGAATTTTTTTCTAAAACGTAGCAATGAAGAACACCGTAAGCGATGATCCGCCGCGGTACATTTCTGCGATGACCTTTGGCGTTCTCAGTCCTAAAGAGATCGAAAAGCTGAGTGTCGTGGACATTACCACCCGGGACTTGTACGATCTCGAAAACGGTCGCCTCCCCAAACAACATGGTGCACTTGACCGCAAGATGGGTGTCAGTGATAATTTTAGTGACTGCTCTACTTGTGGGGGTCGTCTTGCTACTTGTCAGGGCCATTTTGGGCGTATCAAGCTTGCTCTGCCCGTGTTCCACATCGGCTACCTCAAACAAACCATTTCGATTTTACAAAACATTTGCAAGGACTGCAGCAGTGTTTTGCTTGACCTTGAAACAAAACGCAAGTTCCTTGCCGAACTGCGTCATCCAGGAATCGACAATTTGCGTCGAATGCAAATCCTTAAGCGGATCAATGACCAGTGCAAAAAGCAGCGTCGCTGTTTACATTGCAACGCTCTCAATGGCGTCGTCAAGAAAGCTTCCGCCCTCAAGATTATCCATGACAAGTATCGTTGGATCGGCAAGAAGGTTCCTGATGATAAAATCGAGTTCGACGCTTCGTTTGAGAATGCTCGCCGTGACGTACCCGATCTTGACAAGTTCGTGAAAAAGGCCATGGACGACTTGAACCCACTGCGTGTTCTTAATTTATTTAAACAGATCAGCCCTCCTGATTGTGAGCTTTTAGGCCTAGATTCACGCAAGGGCCGGCCAGAGGATTACCTTTGGCAGGAAGTCCCTGCTCCCCCAGTGTGCATTCGGCCCTCGGTCATGCAGGATACTGCTAGTAACGAAGACGATTTGACGGTTAAGCTCACAGAAATTGTATGGACTTCTAACATTATTCGTGCTGGTCTTGAAAAGGGTATCTCTCTGGTCAATCTCATGGAGCAGTGGGAGTTTCTTCAGCTTTCTTTGGCTTTGTACATCAACAGTGACACTCCATCAGGTCCTGGAATGCCAGCTTCAAAGCCAATCAGAGCACTTTGCCAGCGCCTCAAAGGCAAGCAGGGACGGTTCCGTGGTAACCTAAGCGGCAAGCGAGTGGATTTCTCTGGCCGTACTGTCATCTCGCCTGATCCGAACTTGGCAATTGACGAAGTCGCTGTTCCTGATCGTATTGCAAAGATCTTGACTTACCCTGAGAGAGTCACGCGGTACAACCGGGACAAGCTCAAGACGCTGGTTGCAAACGGTGCTTTACAGTACCCCGGTGCTAATTATGTCTTGAAGAAAAATGAGACAGTTAGGCGAAACTTGCGATTTGGTCGCCGGGCAGAAATTTCTCGAGACTTAAATATTGGTGATATTGTAGAGCGACATCTTGAAGATGGCGATATTGTGCTTTTCAACCGTCAGCCATCCCTGCATCGTCTTTCAATTCTGTCACATCGGGTCAAGGTTAGACCTTGGCGTACTTTCAGACTGAACGAATGTGTTTGCACTCCTTATAACGCAGATTTCGATGGTGATGAGATGAACTTGCATGTTCCGCAAACTGAGGAAGCGCGAGCCGAAGCTATGAACCTCATGGGAGTCACACACAACCTCATTACCCCTCGTTCTGGTGGACCTATTATCGCTGCTACACAGGACTTCATCTCTGCAAGTTATTTGATTTCCAAGAAAGATCAATTTTTCGATCGTGCTCAACTTTCTATGATCCTGGCTATGATGTCAGACGCAAACACACACTTTGACATCCCGCATCCCACAATTGTCAAACCTCAAAACTTGTGGACTGGAAAGCAAGTGTTCTCTTTGTTGATCAAGCCAAACGCAGACAGCAAAGTTGAAATCAACCTTGAAGCGAAAAACAAGACATTCCAGGCCCCGAGAAAAGGCCAGCCTCTCGAAATGAGCCCAAATGATGGCTACGTTGTTATTCGAGGCTCTCAAGTTCTTTGCGGTGCTATGGACAAGAATCTCCTCGGTGACGGTAAGAAAAATTCTGTTTTCTATGCTATTCTTCGCGACTATGGTCCAAAGGAGGCGGCTGTCGCTATGAACCGGATGGCCAAGATGTGTGCTCGCTGGCTGGGCAATAGAGGTTTCTCTATTGGCGTAAGTGATGTCACACCTGGCGAGAATCTTTCACGTCTCAAGGACCAACTGGTTGAAGCCGCTTATGCGAAATGTGACGAGCTCATTCAGCTGTACTCTGAGGGTAAGCTTGAGACACAACCTGGTTGCAATGAGGAACAGACACTTGAAGCAAAAATCGGAGGTCTACTCTCAAAAGTTCGTGAGGAAGTGGGTGATGTTTGTATTAGCGAGCTTGATAAGCACAATGCACCTCTCATTATGGCCATGTGTGGCTCAAAAGGTTCGAATTTGAATGTTTCTCAGATGGTTGCCTGTGTCGGTCAGCAGATTATTTCTGGTAGCCGTGTTGCAAATGGTTTCCAAGATCGTACGTTGCCTCATTTCCCCAAATTCTCCAAGACGCCTCCGAGTAAAGGTTTTGTGCGGAATTCTTTCTATTCCGGATTATCACCGCCTGAATTCTTGTTCCATGCTATCTCTGGTCGTGAAGGTTTGGTTGATACCGCCGTTAAGACTGCAGAAACAGGCTATATGTCTCGTCGACTAATGAAATCGCTTGAAGACCTGTCGTCCTTGTATGACCGCACGGTGCGCACCTCATCTAACCTTGTTGTTCAGTTCAATTATGGTGGTGACGGTCTCGATCCTTTCGACATGGAGGGTGATGCTCAACCAGTCGACTTTGATCGTACTTGGGCTCATTGCGGTAATATTACTTTTGATGTTAATGCTATTGGCCTACGGCCATTTGAGGTTATCAACTTGACTAATGAAATTCTAAAGGTGCCCGAGCAGAGCCTCAAACGCATTGATAACCTTGGCAATGAGCTCAAGGAGTCTTATAGTAATCTGGACGATGTGGAGGATTGTTACGTTGATGAACACGACCCCCAGCGCCAGTTCTATGAGTCGCTCAGGTCTTTCCTATCCGTAAAAGCGAAAAAGCTCTCGGTTTTGAGGGAACGTCATGGCTTGAACCCTGCTCTTTCTAAGACTTCAGTCAAGGACAAGGCAGTGGAGCTTGCCACTGTTTCCAAGGTTTCAAACATTACCAAGGAGCATGTTGAGTCCTTTTTAGAGATGTGTCTATTCAAGTATGAGCGTTCAAAGGTTGAACCAGGTACTGCTGTTGGTGCCATTGGCGCCCAGTCCATTGGTGAGCCCGGTACACAGATGACGCTCAAGACTTTCCATTTTGCTGGTGTGGCTAGTATGAACGTTACGCTTGGTGTTCCTCGTATCAAGGAGATTATCAATGCCTCCAGAACTATTTCTACGCCTATCATTACAGCGTGCTTGGCCAACGATGAAGACGAGCGCACTGCGCGTATTGTCAAGGGCCGTGTGGAGAAAACGTTGCTAAAAGATATCACTGAGTACATGGAAGATGTTTATGCTGAGAACCATGCATTTATTGCCATTAAAATTGATTTCAATACTGTTGAACGGCTCCAGCTAGATGTCAAACTGCATGAAATCGGAAGGGCAATTCAGAAGCACTCAAAGCTCAAGCTCAGCGACTCAGACATTGTTATGCTACCAGAAAATGGTATCATTCAAGTGTCGATTGTGAACAATGTTGCCTCGATCAAGGATGTTGACGGTTCCGAGCTGTACTACCGCGGTCAACAACTTCAACGCCTGCTGCCAGAGGTAGTTGTCGTTGGTTTCAGCGACATTTCTCGCGCGGTGATCAACATCAAAGATGACGGTAAGAAGGAGCTGCTTGTTGAAGGCTACGGGTTACAAAATGTCATGATCACTGACGGTGTTATTGGCCACAAGACTATGACCAACCACGTGCTGGAAATGCGCCAGGTGCTCGGAATTGAAGCCGCACGATCAGCAATTATTCATGAAATCGACTATACCATGTCTAAACATGGTATGGCAGTCGATCCGCGCCATGTGCAACTTCTGGGCGATGTCATGACGTTCAAGGGCGAGGTGCTTGGTATTACCCGATTCGGCCTAGCCAAAATGCGTGACTCTGTACTGCAACTGGCTTCCTTCGAAAAGACCACAGACCACCTGTTTGATGCTGCCTTCTACATGAAGACCGACAAAGTTGAAGGTGTATCTGAGTGTATTATCCTGGGCCAGGGAATGCGCATTGGAACTGGCGCGTTCAACGTGATTCAGCCGTTCCAGCCCGCCATTGAGCAGAAAATTCCGGCATTTGAGCAACTGGTTGCATAAAAAACAAACTGTAGCGTTTAAAATATTTAAATTTTTGTCCTTTTCCTTCCCGCTAGTTCGGGTGAAATCGAGCGAGCTCCCACACCCCTTACAAAGCCACTTACTATCATGTCGAACCCCAGTGAAATCAACGGCGGCGCCGCTGTGGCCATGGTGGGTAAAGACTGCGTTGCTATTGCGAGCGATCTGCGACTAGGCCTACAGAGTGTGGGAATATCCGGCGATTTTGAAAAGATTTTCGAGTACAACGGCGTTTACTTGGCTCTTACAGGATTGGCCACCGACGTGCAAACATTGTCGATTGACTTCCGCAAAAAGCACAGTCTGTACGAGCTTCGAGAGGAGCGGCGAATGGAGCCTCAGACAATGGCGAATCTTGTTTCCTCGACCCTCTACTCCAAACGATTCGGTCCTTATTTCGTTGGCCCGCTGGTTGCTGGACTCAACTCGTCCACTAGCAAGCCGTATATCTGTTCATTTGACTCCATTGGCTGTATCGAGCACGCCAACGACTTTGTCGTGGTTGGAACTGCTTCCGACCAGCTGTATGGTATATGTGAGTCTCTGTACGAGCCAAATCTCGAGCCCGAAGACCTGTTCGAGACTATTTCGCAGGCGCTCATGTCTGCCGTGGATCGCGACGCTTTAAGCGGCTGGGGCGGTGTTGTCTACATAATTGAAAAAGACAAGGTCACCAAGCGATACCTCAAAACCCGTCAAGATTAACTGTAACTCTTGTTTTACTGTGGCCACGCCCTGGTTGGCGGCTATATATATACATGATATGTTAAAAGAAATATGTGCAAATCGGGGAAAGCAGGACCTCAGCCAGTGGGTTCAGCTCTCTTCTTCCTCTCGGCGTTTACGCCAGACCTCCTCGAGCTTTTGGCGGCGTTCTCGAGCCTCCGACACATGCACTCTTCGGTCTTCTTTTCGGGAGAGATGGCGGCAGAGTCGTAATTCGCGCTCGATATCGTAGCAGCCACCCATCATTCGTTGCAGCAGTCCTTCACTCCTGCATTTTTCCAGCTCTTCAACAAGCTCTTCGCAGTTCTTCAAGGCCCGCAGGTTACTCATACGGCAGAAACCGACATGTCAGCAGACGAATCGGAAAAGCGATTTTTCAAACAGGGCACATGGGTGGTGGGCTCTGCCGCGGTGACTATTACCGCTGCTCTTTTATCTAGACGGTCTGTGAGAGCCCGTATGTACCGACCCAAGACGTTCGAGGCCAACCACATACCGCCAAAGTTCAATATGACAAAAGACGCAGCCTTCGCCATGGTTGACGCAACCCTGCTGTCCACTGGCTTTTTCGCATTCGGAGTGGCCTCAACCTGCTGGCTCATGGACGTCTCATCTTTTGAACAGTTTGGCCGTAAAATGAAGGCATATTGGGGCGCCGAGGAGCGAGAGAAGCAGGTTCTGAAGGAGGCCGACAAAGAGATCGACGAGGCCGTCCAGACTTGGTTCAAATGAGTTGGTGTCCAAAGAAAACGAAGGGCATTCCCCTGTACATAAATAAACTGTATATATGAAAAGAAACTAAATGATCAAGTGTGCAATGCCTGTAATCTTTTGCGGAAGTCCGAAATCATAGCCTCGTCTTCCTCTGCTTCGGTTTCGGGCTCCGCACGGGCGGCGGCCGGGGCGGCTGGGGCGGCAACTGCTGGCTCGGTCGTCTTTTTCTCGCCCAAAATTTCGTCTAAAATACTCGTGACTTGGCCCTCTGCGTCGTCCTCAATAGCATCGTACTCGTCCAAGCTCTCGAGAGTCTCCGTGACCATCTCGTCAATAACACCGCTTTTGATCAGCTCTTGCCCCAGCATCTGCATCGTACCCATCAGCTCCGGTAGCTGGACCAACTGGTTGACCTCTTTCATGAGTTGTGCAGAGGAAGTCATGGATCCTTGCATCTTTTGCATAGCAAATGCCTCTCCTACCTGCATCTGGATTGAACTCAGCCGAGCCTTAGACTCCAGGAGCTTTTCTCTGTGTTTTTGGGCCTTGAATATCTCACGTGCGAGCATTCTGGCGCTTTTGACGTCGTTTCTCCGTGCGCACTGTTTAATCATACCTTTGGTTTTGTTCTCGCTCGCCCTCAATCCCGACAGCTGCTTGTCAATTTCCCGTTGGTTTTTTCGAATCAGAGCGTCGCATTTCCGTTTCTGCTCCTTGGGATCGGGCCCATATATAGCCCGCTTAACATAGTACATTGTCAAAGTTTACCAATGGTCACCAATGGTTAGCTTTTGGACCCTCTGGAGCTTTTTTGGCTTGAGCTTTCCTAATCAGTGGTGGGTGGCGGGTTAGGTTGATAGCCGGAGAGATGCGCCACTCCAGCACCCCTTCCGCCACCCTTGTACCCCGTTTCCCAAAAAAATTCTTGCTGACAAACTTTTTTTTCCCACGAGAGCAGATTCCATGACCGGGAAACGAGGATTAGAGCTCCCCCCTGGCAAAGAATCGGCAAATAAAAGGCAGCAGTATGGTGGAGACATTGATCTAGAAACTTTGGTGTCGCAGATCCAGCAGAATACCTCTGGGACCGAGCATCCACCCCAACTTACGATCGAAGAGATTGAAGGTGCCCTCGCGTCGTTCCAACAGGGCCAGACGCTGCCCAGTGGTGCAGCTTCACAAACGCAAGCTATTCCAAATGCTAATCGCCCTCTTACTCTGCTGCAATCTGGCTCCAATGACCAACAGGCCCGTGGAAATGTCGCGAGTGCTCCCACCCTTCCTCAGCTCAATGAACCTTTGCGTCATTCGGCACAGTACAGCGACCAATTGCGCTCTCAATTGAGCATAGACACTCAGCCCGACAAGGAAAATGGACCAGCAGTGTGCCATCTCCGCGGTAAAATGCTACCATTCCTTGACTCCCTCGCGTGCCAGTTACTCGAGTCTTTGTCGAGCTCCCATCACCAGGAAACTCTTAATATCGTTACGCAGCCGCTCAGTGATCGTGGCCGTGCCTATCGCATGGTAGTCGATTTGTTCGAGGAAACGAAACGGGTGTTTGTTCCCGAAGAGGTCCCCTTCATTGCAGCTTCTGTCCCGGGTATTGGCAGTGATCGTTCTAGCCTGGCCATGGTTCAAAGAATAAATCTTGCTACTTTCTGTGCAGCAGTATTCGGGTCAATCCAAATCGGATTTTCCGAACTTAATCGCTCGTTTATGGCAGCTTTCGTGCCCGATGGAGGCCGTCTTTTAAAAAGCCAAAACGGCCTCTTCTTGGAACTCAAAACCCAAGCTTATATTTCCGCATTGTCGCAAAAGGAACGTCCCCACGAGGAGGTACTTGAGGAGCTTTTTCCAAAAAATATGGCAGAAGAGTGGGCTGCTGCTAGAGGCGACCGCCAGCAATTAACCCCTGCCGAAAATGACTTCATTACTCGATGTACAAAACGCCGCGAAAACATTGAGAGCGAAACTGGCCAAATAGAGCTTGCCAAGCGTTACCAATGGGTGTTTTTCTTGCGTGACTTAAGTGACTATGTTGGCAAACATTATGATGCTATTGCGCAGAAATACGAATTCATGCCCCCTAATGCTATCTCGGCTGGCACGACAGCTCCAACTTCAAACACTGGAACATCCAGCTCGAAAGCAACCGCGGCTGTCGCTGCTCCTACTTCGGCCCAACCGGCCACATCTGCCTCAAACACCCCCTCTCCTGCCCCTACGTCTACCGCTCCCACAGCTTCTCCTGCTCCGGAAGAACCTAAGCGGACACGTAGAGAACTAGGTGAGAAAGCCAAGAAAAAGGCAGCCGAGAACAACGGACAGCTACATACTGGTGACACCTTGGCAGAATACTCAGCGGCAAGATCGTCAGCAGAGGGTCAAGAAGCCTTGCGATTTCCTCGTACATCAGCGCTCACAAGACGTTCTTGGACTAAAGAGGAGGAGGAGGCGCTTCTGCGTGGTTTGGACAAAGTCCAGGGTCCTTATTGGGCTCAAATTTTGGAACTATATGGCCCTGGTGGCTCAATCAGCGAGGTACTGAAAGATCGCACACAAGTGCAACTCAAAGACAAAGCAAGAAATCTGAAAATGTTTTTTGTCCGAGTCGGACTACCCGTTCCTGCTGTTTTCGAGTATGTTACAGGTGATTACGAGACCCGCAGGACAAGTGGACGTCGTGCCCGTGATAAGAAACGCTTCGATGAAGCACGTGTTCAATCGAGAAGAGCACCACCGGCCCAACAGCAGTCTCAGAATGTTCAGACAGTGCAAGCACAGCAAGCACTACCATTGGATAACCTGCTTCCTGCCAATGACCATGCAGGTGCTGGACCGGTAGCCGCTGCGGCCAGTCGTCCTTCTCAGCCATTGCAGGACGACTCAATGCTTCCTACTGCCGAAGCACTCGATCGTGCACTCAATTTGTTCAAAGAGGGTGGCTCAGGAAATCCAGGATTGGCCGCAGAATCCACCGAGAACTCTCTTCAGCATCTTATCCAGAGTGTCGGCGATTATATCAACAACCAACAGTGAGATTGTCTCAATATTTAATGCAAATATATTTATAAAATCACATTTAATTTGTCTTGCCGGCAGTTATTTACAGATTAAGAATTAAGCAGTTCCCCATACACAAAGGCACGTGATAAGACATCGTTTGGGTGCATATTGCATGTCCCAAACTTAATATCAGTATTGACATTGCGGAATATTTTGAAGCTAAAACTGAGAAGATAGCTCGGCAGACTCTGTCCGTATCCCAGGGTAAGCCGCAATTCCAATTTTTCTGTCTGGACGTCTCAAACCTTATATCGTTGTGTTATCACAAGGGTTCGGGTGCACCAAACGAATCTCCACGTGAGCAAACGGCAAAATAGGATATAAATGATCAAAAATCCATTGGATTGTGCAATCATTCATGGCCCCTCCCCCTGCTTCTATCGTTGCACGCAACCATGCTGATATTTCCGCACCTACGTGCAAGATCCACACTGTCGAGACCAAAGTCACACACCGCATTGGCGAGCCTCTTGGCAAAGTCACTGGTATTGAAGAGATCACTCAGCGGTTTGTTGACCTCCTACCTGAGCAGCATACTAGGAAGTACAAGCATGAAGAACTCGAGCCAGCTTTCCCTGATATCAAATGGGAGCCCCTGGCGGAGATTGATGTCCCAGAAGATGCTGGGAAGCGAGCTGATCCTAAGTACAAGCAGCTTTTCGCTGCTGCCACTGAAGTTGATCATTTAACCCCTGGTTTTGGGACCGTATTATATGGGCTCAAACTCAGCGAATTAAATGACCAGCAAAAAGATGAACTTGCTCGGCTTGTGGCCTTCCGTGGTGTCGTATTTTTCCGTGAGCAGAATGATCTTGACATCCAAAAGCTTCTCAAGCTTGGTCGTTACTATGGACCGCTGCATCGCCACGCCTCCACCCCGCTTCCTAGAGGTGCTTTGAAAGACGAAAGCCTTTTAGATGTTCATGTTGTTAAAGCAACCGAAGAACGTTTCCTTTCTCAAACAATCAGCCAAGGCCGACTCTGGCATTCGGATGTCAGCTATGAGATTCAGCCACCCTCGTACACCTTCCTCCAGCTCCTTGAGGGACCCCCAACTGGCGGCGATACCCTGTGGTCTAGTGGGTACAACTTGTATGACCGTTTATCTTCTAGCCTTCAGAGGTATTTGGAGGATCTGGTTGCTGTTCATACTGCCAATGAGCAAGCAGCGGAAGCTCGTCGGAACGGGCACCCTGTTCGTCGCGAGCCCGTAACCAATGAGCACCCTGTGATACGTGTGAATCCCGTTACTGGCTATCGCTCTGTTTATGTGAACTCAGGGTTTACTCGCTACATTAAAGGCATCCCCAGAGAAGAAAGCGACGTTATCTTACGCTACTTATTTGAGCTCACGGCAACCGACGTCAACAATACCGTTCGCTGGCGTTGGAAAGAGAACGACGTAGCAGTGTGGGATAATAGATCTACTTTTCACTCCGCCTCATTCGGCTTCTGGCCTCATTATCGTCATGTTGCCCGGGTTACTCCCCACGGTGAAAAGCCGTACGGAGGAGCTGGCCTAGGGGAATCTCAACAAGACAAGCTGCTGGAAAAGTTTGATGCTCCGAATGTAAAGCTTTTTAGTACAGATTCGTATGATTAATTTGTCTTTTTTTCATAAAATTTCTACTTTAAGCTTGTTTGCCGCTGTGTGCATCTATTATTGCAGCATTTATGTATGCCCTAACCTGCTGGATATGTCAAACTGAAGGGGCAGTGGTGGCTGTAACCGACACAACAAAGGCGATCAACTTCTACGGGTGTAGATGGGTAAGTTTTCAAAACCCAGACGCCCTTTTTGACGTTCACTAGATAGGACTGCCGAGACAGAATTTTGATAAGGCCTTTAGTTTCGTCGTTATTCTCTCGGTAGATGAGACCCCCGCACGTGATTAGGCCAAATTTCAGGCTGCAGTGTGGCCCGCATCTTCCTAACGGTCGCTTGCCACAACTCAGACAAAGATTCCCGAGGCATGAGGCGACATTTTGACATTTAGAGAAACGTCATTTAGTTTTTATCAGTAAAATGAACTCTCTATGGAATTATTGGATCTCCACAGTACTCACGCTACTTCTCTTTGCACTTTCAGCCATGCTAGACTTGCCGCTAACCCACAGGTCGTGCATTATCACATGTCACGTGCACTATAAGAGGGGCACTACTTAAGGCAAGAGCCGAGGAAACGATTTGCTGCATTGAAAATCGATAAGAAATAGTGAAATGTCTCCACCTGTTGCTATCCAAACCCGCGGTCCTGCTACCGACAGTATCAAAGAACCTGAAACTGCGAAACCCCTGAATCTCCCTTCCCAGAAAGCCCCCTCTTTTGACGACCCCGTTGGCAAATTACGTGGTGCTTTGGACATCTTCAAACTCTACAAGGATATTGCTCCTTCACAACGTGCACGCAAGTATGAACATGAGCACTTGCTTCCTGCGTACCCTGATTTGAAATGGGATCCTCTTGAGGAAGTTCCCATTCCTGAGGATCGCGCCTTGTTTGCCGACCCCGACTATATCAACTTGTTTGCGGCTGCTGATAATGTTGAACACTTGACACCCACTTTCGGTACTGTTTTGCATGGTGTTCAACTTGCTGATTTGACGGATGCCCAAAAGGATGAGCTGGCTTTACTCGTTTCTCACCGAGGTGTTGTCTTCTTCCGTGGTCAGTCATCCCTCGATATTAAGAAACAGCTCGACCTTGGGCGCTACTACGGTCCTTTGCACAGTCATCCCACGACTTCTGTTCCGAGGGGCTGGGAGCAGGATCCAGATTTGCTCAACGTTCATGTCATTTACGCCGATGACACAAAGGTCACCCACTCCTCCTTCCCCCAGAGCCACCAATGGCATGCTGATGTTACCTACGAAGAGCAGCCTCCGTCATACACCTTCTTGAAACTGCTTGATGGTCCTTATACCGGCGGTGACACCTTGTGGAGCAGCAGCTATGGTGTTTACGATGGGCTCTCATCCTCGCTCCAGAAGTACTTGGAAGAGCACACTGCTATCCATACTTCTGAGGATCAAGCTAACGATACACTGCGTGCAGGCCTTCCTGTTCGTCGCGCCGCTATCACTACTGTGCACCCCTTGGTGCGCGTCCATCCTGTGACAAAGTACAAGTCCATTTACATCAACTCTGGCTTTACCCGTCAAATTAATGGTGTTCCTAAAGCTGAGAGCGATGCTATTCTTGCTTTCTTGAATTCTCAGATCGCAACCAACGTCTCTCACACCGTTCGCTGGAAGTGGCAGAAGGATGATGTCGCTGTTTGGGATAACCGTTCCACCACTCACGCAGCATCTTACGCTTTCAACCCCGCTTTCCGCCATGCTGTTCGTGTGTGCGTCCGTTCTGACCGTCCCAAACACAAGGTTGAGGGAGGTATCTCTCAACTTGAGTGGCTTGAGAAGGAGCTTGGTTTGAAGCTGTACAACAAGAACGGCACTGGTGGCAGTTACAATGACTAGCCTATAGTCGTTTATTTATATTCTATGTGTGTAACGCCCTCTTTTATAATCATTTATCACTTAAATCAGAAATCATGACACTCTATCTGGTGCTATCATCTCCATTATTGCCATAGCCAACGCATGGCCTGGTACGGAGCTCAACAATCGTATGTGCAACCCTCTGGTAAATGCCTTTGCTATTCCCGCTTCTTTAATGAGGTTGCGAACAACGTGAAGTATACCCTTAGCATCGTCAGGTCGAAGCGCGGACAGCTCCTTGGAAGTAGCCAACTGGGTACGTTTCTTTACAATAACGAAAAAATTGCTCGCGGTTTCACCCAAAGTCGTGGCTGCTGCAGATGTCAGAAAGTAATCTAGTGGTGTAAGATCGATGTTTTGGCGATAATTTCGAGCAAGTCGTTTGCCCTCTTCGTACGTTGTCCACCATACTAGATTGTACGGCATGTATATGCTCATTCCTAACCAAAATCCTCGATAAAATCCCCTCATCCCTTCCTGCCGGTATATTTGTTTCATTACGGATCTCATGGGTACAGGATCACCAATTTGCATACGGCCCTTGATAATATCCATCGGATTCCACACCAACGCAGATACAAATTGAGACATTGCACTGCTACATAAATAATTAAGTACTGAACCGGACCCAAGATACGGTAGCAGTAGAGTTTTGGCTTCTCGGTAGACCACAATATCTATAGTGTGGGCCGGCACGGAAAAAACCACTGATGGGACGAGTCCGCTCCAGTAGCGCCGAAACGGCATAATGAGGCTTGATTTAGGATTGGTTTGATGAACCGTGAGCATTGTATCTAGGGGATGGAAAACCACGCTAGCAACCATGCTGCTAACAACAGACGCTGTTACGGTTTGTCCATCCATTTTTGAAATATCCAGTCACGTGAAGATGAATATTTCAAACCGCCGGTCCACTCTCCCATATTACTAATGACTGCGTTTTCCCCTACACAGAAGGCTGGGAATAATGTTAACCCATTCCGTAAGCGCTATGCACGATTATGCATAGAGCGGTGGTCCCTTGCAAGATGTTACATCGGGTGCGTGCAGCCAAGCCATGAGCAGTCAACTTATCGTACGAGTTAGCTGGATGGACCGGCTTCTTTTTCGCATAAGCGATAATCTCGGCTAGTTCTACGGTCATTCAGACTGTTCATCGGGTCGTCACAGCCGCCTCCAACAGAGATCTGCAATGCAGAGCACATACCACGCCTGTGCTAAGGAGCCCAGCCTTCCTCGACCCACAGGACCGCGTCTGCACAAAAGTATATAAGAATCTTGCACTGATTTTCTTAGGCACCTGTTTTGGAGGATCCTTGATACATTTTCGGTAGCCGGTATCCATTTGCAGAGCACTCCACATTCATTAACTCGCTCTTTCACATGCAACTTCTCTCTTTAGCTTTGGCTCTCTCGCCTGTCCTAGCAGGTGTAGTGACAGTGGAGCGTGTGACAACGCCCCAGGCTGTTCTTCATACAACTACCGTCATTGGTGAGCAGAAAGCCATTACCATTCCTTTAACTGCTACTGCTGCCACGACTGTGTACACTGCGACTACCACACCCCTGACCACTCCCACTGGTACGGTTGTCCGGACCTTGGCCACCACGAAAGCTGACCCTGTTACGCAAATACCAACGTATCAGACAACACAGCTCGCTACCCCAGTCAATCCTTCAACTTTTACAAAGCCTGTTACGGTGCTCACTGCCATCATTGCAACCACTGCTACCTTTACCACGCAAACAGCGGAAAAGGCTGCTACTACATCAACCTCTTCTACAAAAAAAACAAGCTCAACCCCGCAGTCCCAACCTACTGCGGAAGCTCAAGAAGCTCCTGCCGTCTCTGCCGTTCCAAACTACTATCCCGATAGTGATATTTTTGGTGCTGTTTCGCTGTCTGCTCCGCCAAACATGTTTCCACGACGTGATATCACCTGCCCTGTTCCAAATGGTGTCAGTACGCTGCTTCCGGCTCAAACAAATAAGTTTTACACAAATCTTTTCCTGGGAACTCAACAACAATCTGTCTTTGCTCAGCCCTACACCATGTGGTATGCCCCTGATAACCAATGGTGGGGTTTCGGTGTTAGCTACACACAGGCAAGCCAGCGGGTATTTGGACCTGACCCAAACTCTAACCCCGCAAGGTATTATCTGAATCCCCTTATGCTCAAGTCATTTGTCTTTTCCGCAAATGAGTTCACTACACCCAGCGCTATGTCTCTAAATGTCGATGGTCAAACTCATCTCTCAGTCAATACTAGCCTGGTCGGCGCGGGTGGTCGCATAGATATTCCTATTTCTATTGGTATGGGTATGGCTACGGCTGTATACACGAACCTTACACCACGTCTCTACTCTCAAATTGGTTTCAAGCAGATTGTTAAATACTCGAACGTTTTTTCGAATGTTCAGAAGTATCGTATTGACCTGCAAGACGGCACTCATTGGGTTGTGTATGTCACTGATCCATCTGGCTCCTTTACCTGGAAAATTAACTCCGGCAATGACATGGTCGGTAATAGTAAACCCAACGGTCTGGTCGTCCAGCTGGCGATCAATCCGAACGGTATGTATGACTCCGTCATGGACTTAGCTGCTGGCATGTACCCCTCTACTGCAACGATTGATGCTAATGTTCAAAACGATGTTGGATACTATCGCTTGAACTATCAATCTGCGGGTACTTCTTCGACTGGTAGGATGCTTCTTTACGCTCTTCCCCACCACGTTTCGTCATTCACTCCCGCAACAGGCGCCTGCTCGCTTGGCTTTACTGCTTACAGCCGCACAAAGGGCTACCTGACTGCAGTTTTAGCCAATACTTTGGAGATGCAGGAAACTCTGGATACAGCACTGCAATGGCTTCCCTATCAGCCGGGTAAATCTTTGACCTGGAGCACCGGTGCTTTGCAGAAGATTGCCTCCGTTATCAACAGTGATATCTCTCAAGATATGGTGGGCCCTACCACCACCACGTCTACATACACTGCTGGAAAGATTCTCGACAAGTTTGCCTTTATCGTTCTCACTGCTTCGGAAATTCTCAAGTCCCCCAGCTTGAGTCAACAAGGTCTTGCTTCCTTAAAAGAGGCTATCGCTCCATGGTTGTCCAATACTCAGTTAACCCCATTCATTTATGACACTCGCTTCAAGGGTGTGACTTCTTCTGCTGATCCAAATGATGATTATGGTGCCCCCTATTACAACGATCATCATTTCCATTATGGCTACTATGTTCACGCAGCGGCTGTCATTGGTTTGGTAGACAAAAAGTTGGGAGGCAACTGGGCTGAGGAAAACAAGGACTGGGTCAACTCACTTATTCGTGACGTGGCCAACCCATCAAGTTCCGACACTTATTTCCCTGTTTTCCGTATGTTTGATTTCTACCACGGTCACTCGTGGGCAGCTGGTTTATTCGAAAGTGCTGACGGTAAAAACGAAGAATCGTCATCTGAGGATTACCATTTTGCCTACGCTATGAAGCTTTGGGGTCAAGTCATTGGAGACAAGTCTATGGAAGCTCGAGGTGATCTCATGCTTGCGATTATGAAGCGCTCTCTTGCTCTGTATTATCTCTATGAGAACAACAATAATGTCGAGCCAGCCCAGATCATTCCCAATCGTGTACCCGGTATTCTCTACGAGAACAAGATTGACCATGTTACCTTCTTCGGTACTAATCCCGAATATATTCAGGGTATTCAAATGATTCCTATGACTGGAGCGACGGGTTTGATTCGAAGCCAAGAATTTGTGAGACAGGAGTGGACGTCTCTTATTTCTACTTTCCTCAACTCGGTCAATTCGGGTTGGACTGGAATTCTCAGAAGTAATCAGGCCCTTTTTGACCCTATAACGTCTTACGTCTTCTTCTCGCAAAATAACTTCCCGTCACAATGGCTTGATAATGGTGCATCTTTAACCTGGTATATTGCATTCGCTGCTGGTCTCAGTGGTATCTGAACTTGATAATATTTTTTATTTTACGCATAATACTTTTAACAATGTCATCGAACTGCATGCATCTCTAGCTGCGTTTTTGTACGTGCAGACCTTACTTCCCGCCTCGCTTAGTGATTCGCCTCTTTACGACCACCCGTGATGGAGTTGTTTGATGCCATTGTACGGGGCTTTAAGGGTCTGTTCCTGATAGCTATTGCGTTGATCGTATTTGGTACCATCCTACTTTTATTTATTTATTTCGTTCGCCGCGTTATACGGGGCTCATTTTCTCAGGACAAATATCTTGGGCTGAGCTCGGAGACGTTTGATCTTAGCGCCAATATCGAGAATGACAATCGAAGTGGTCTCGACAACAGATCCAAATTCAAAGTTCTTTTGTTGATGCTGTGGTATGGTGAGAGTTTTGATGAGGCACGTACTCGGTACGTTCAACGCGCGTTTTCTTCAAACAACATCGCTCCTGATGGCCGACCGCGCGATCCCAAAGCAGTATTTTTTGCGTGATTTCTCTTTATATATATGTGCTACATATAATCTGTATTTCCTGTGTTGGGTATGTAAGTAAAAAACGTCCAGTATGCAGATTCTTAGAGCTGACGCTTCTGCTGCTCACGAGCCCATTTAGCCATGTCGCGTGTGGTTTTGCCGTAGCTCTTATCACGAGCTTTCTTGATGACGTCTGAAATCCACTGCTGTTGAAGCATCTCACGGAATTCACCATTGGGGTACATGGATGCGATGTCACCGATTAGACCAACTGCCGACCGAACAGACGATTCGGACATGATAAACTCGGGCTCCTGAGAAACAAGATGCAGGAACTGAAGAATATCAGGGATTATGGGTTGGATCTTGTGCGGTGTCTCGCGCATACCTACCGTGATACCAACATATGCGTCAAGGATGGCATCGCGCAAGGTCAAAATATAGTCGACAGTATCGGTAGGCATATCAGCCGTGAGCTCTAGTCGGGCGCCCTGAACGAGAATTTGGTGGACAGGAACAAGATAGGGCTCGAAAGAAGCGCCACCTACACTCGATGCAATATCGCCGATACAAGAGAGTACAACCGGCTTGATCTCGCGGCGAACATCGTTGTTCTGAAGAATTGTGAGGAGCTCAGCCATAAACATAGGTACATAGCCCGACATTGCAGGACCCAAGGCATGAGAGATATCAGCAATAAGCCCAACGGCCGTGCTGGATGATGGCAAGTCTGGCTCCTTCAACGCGTTAACGATGAATGCAACAAAAGCCGTTGCGTAGGGTTCGAATGCTGGGCCAATAGCGCCTGCAACTGCACCAACAGCAATAAAGACGTCTTCCTCGACTAAACTGTTGGGTAGTTTGTTTTGCAAAAGCTCAAGGAACATGGTCATGAGCTGATCAGCACCAGACTGTACCTTACTGCCGACTCTGCGAATGATATTGGTCAACAGCCCCAACAAATTAACTTGAAGCTCTTCGAGACTAGCTCTGTCGTCACCGCTGACGATCTGGTGTTGCATTGCAAATGTGGCGTGTAGGCGTTCCAACACAGCGCCGGAAAGCTCAAGAACTAAATTTTCGACGTCAACGGTGGCGAACACCACCAGGGTGCTAAGAGCCTCGTATGCTGATGTTCGAGCGCTGTTTTCGTTGTCAGAACGAGCCGACGACTGCAAAAGAGAAGTGATAAGCTGAGGATAAAACTGAGCCAGAGGGGAAGTGGGATCACCTGTCACCGACAACTGCTCGGACAAGTTCATGATTGTCCAACAACAGTTAGTTGCGACTCCAGGGGCGTCTTGGAGACCGGCCAAAAGCGCGTGGATCATAGGTGGAAGGTCCTTTTCTACATCAATTGCAGAGACCACTGAATCGGCAATGCGCCCAAGGCACCAAGCAACGGTATCTTTGACATGCGTACTCGGATCATTCATAAGTGATAGCAACGGCTGTAGGGCCTGCTGAATTAGTTGACGAAGGCTATTAGGGTCGGGACCATCCAAAATAGAGCCAAATGCCATAATTGCGGCATCGCGGTTAGCCCAATTTGACGAGGAGAGATTTGCCTCGACGAACTGCAACGTCACAGGTATAACAGCGTTGCGAACATTTTGGGCCAGCAGAGTCAGACAAGCACCAGCCGCCATCGCAACACTCCACTCATCGTCATCTGCATCCTCATCTTTTTTAGTGAGGAGCGAGAGCAGAGTAGGGAGAATCTTATCCAAAGCAGTGTTGACAAAGTGGAAATTTTGACGTGCGTTGGCAGGCAGGGCGATCTGGGAAGTCTCTGCTTCAGCTTCTGTTAGCATTATCTCAATTTCCTCTTCGCATACAGTGGACCAAAACTCGACAGCCATAGAAGCGACCATATCATTACTGGAGTTCATGCCAGCAACCGTCAAACTGAACAACGCCTGCTCCATGTAGGGGCGCATATACTCATAGTACAATAGCATAGTACGGCTTAGAGCGTTGAAAGCACAAGATTGCAACTCAGGCGACGAGGCCTCAGTTGCTTCGCAGATGACCTGCATGATGAAGTTACGCTCAGACTCGTTGGCGAAATTGTTTTTCACAAAATCCAACGAGTTGACCAAAGCCTCCATGGCAGCAAACCGCACCACTTCATTAGGCTCAGATTTCTGAGCGCCTTGAATAATAGCAGTGAGTAAACCATCCATTTGGGATACAACTGCCGGGTTGTTGGGATCAGCGGTTTCACAAATGTATCCGATGGCTATCAGACTTGCCTTTTTGACGTTGTCCGGTACCTCTGGTTTCGTGCTTTCAACAAGCAGACCAGGAAGCTCTTGCCACTGGCCCAAGGGCAGCTCAATATCAGCAATAGCAGCCACAAGCTGGGCTGCCGCGCTTGCGACCCGCTCTGAGGGCGTTGTCAGAGCCTCCAGAGCACTTCGCTTGATCTGCGCCTTGTCACCTTGATCAATAGCAATCCAACGCTGCGCTTTACTTTCTTTGGTCCGCAAATCTTTCGCAACGAGCTCGTTTTTGAGCGCGATTGCTGCCAAAACGCGCACATCGATGCGGTTATTAGTGTCGGCAAGTACCGTGGTCAGCATCCCCATATATGGCACAAAATGGTCGCGGGCGGCATCTTTCAGTTGAGTTTCGGCTTCAGCGCGCGCCTGCGCATCTGTGCCCAAAAGCGCCTTCTCTAGGACCTGGACGAAATCCATGAAATCTGAGCTGTGTTGACAAATCCAAAACAGAAGACTAAATACAGTGTGGTTGCCCGGTCAACTATGGGCTTTGGCAGCCTTGTGCAGATTGTTTGAAGGTGCGCACTTAAACTATATTGATGGACAGACGGGCATTAAGACAATACATGCTATTTTTTCAAGTGTGGTGAGACGTTGTATTGTGCCCCAGTAATCCCCAGAAAGTGTATGCACTGGAGGGTAACCACGGGGTTCCACCCACCTTTTTTCTCCAGTCCGCTTGAACGGCTGGGGTTATCTCGTTTCCCACTGTTGTAGAATATTTAAATGTGCAGAACCAACTGTGGCTATTATTTTGCCGATTTGTATCCCATTGCAAAAATTTTGTAGTTCCTCATAGCTCGAATGCTCGCTATAAGGTACTTTGCAGATCCCAATCGTACCACTTGTTGGACATGGTAACGACGCCGGATCAAACGTACCCCTGAAAGTCCAACCAGTAGGGACGAACGCCAAGAGGTGTGTATAGTGCTTTTTCAAGAACTTCCATCGCTCTGCAAGTTTTTCTTTGTTGAGTTCAGACATTGAAACGAGATGTACTTGACAGGTGACTCCGTTCCCACTTTTCAATAGCAGCTCATCGAGATCATTGTCTTTTAGTAGGTTCAGAATTTGTAGTTTTGGTTCAGGGGTCCAAATCTTGGAGTCCAATGCTTTGGCTATAGCAATGGCTAACCGCTCCTTGCCGATGGTGTATGACCCGACCATCACTAGTAGGCGGTTTTCACGAGGTTTGAGAAAAAAAGACCGCTGATTTGTAGATTGAACGCTCAAGCAATGTTCCACGCACCTTGATATCACGTATGACTGGGTCGGAAACACCCTTTTAGGGTCAAGATAGGTGGTGTCGAGGTAACACTTGTCTAGTTTCGTGGTATATCCTCGAACCGTTTCAAGAATTTCGGGAGAGGCACGAAAGTCCCCGGTGTGCAGAACTTTATTGTTGAATAAAATAATTGAGGAACCAGGACAGTGATTAGCGTCTAGGAAGAAAACACGCACGCCATTTACAATGCAGGGCTGTCCGATCTCAACTTCACATAGGTACTTTGGATCGACATTCAGCTTATAATGTACGAGCCGCGCAGTAGCTGGTGTACAATATATAGGCCCCCACTTCCACGAGCCTGAAAGTCCACCATAGTGATCGCTGTGGAAATGGGTCAAAAAGTACGCATCCACTTCAAGTGGGCCATAACAAAAGGCATCGACTGCAAACTTGGAGCCTGGGAAAGTTAAAATCTTGAAAAATGGTATTGATCGCTTTAGAGGGGGTTCAGATTTTCGCTCCTTGAAGTTTCGCCGCTTCTTGGGCTTGGTAAGATGGGCTTCGTATGTTAGTTCTAGCTCCTTATCTTTGCGTGCTATTCGCTCCAATCGCTCATCGCGCTCATCTGATAAAGGTTTTTCTATCAATGCTGTTTCAACTTTGAGTTCTGTCGAGATCGCCGTCTCCTCCTTCACCACCAGCTTGTGTCCACCTTCCATTGCCTCCAGGCAGCGGTCGGCATGTGCTTCCCTTTGTGCAACGTCCAATAGTGTTATGTTTTCATCACACAATGGACATAAAACATTCATTTTTTCGCCGCATAACCCACCATATGTGACCGACTATGTAATCAATTTAAGTTGCACACTTGACGAATCGTAAATTGCGGAGTTGCCACGATGAACAGCAACAAGTTTGGGATGGTAATTGAGGGCGGAGTCCCTGTATACCACCCAGAGTACGAAGATTTCCGAGACTTTAAGAAATTTGTGGAGCAAATTGAGCCCATGGGCATGCAAACAGGAATCGTCAAGATTGTACCGCCTAAAGAGTGGCTAGTTCAACTTCCAAAGCTGGATTCAACCATCACATCTAAAATCAAGATCAAAAGACCAATTGTACAGAATGTTTCCGGCAGCCATGGCGTTTTCCGTTTCCAGAATGTCGAAAAAGGTAGAACGTACTCTATTGAGGGTTGGCGCAAAGTTTGCAACGATCCAAGCTACCAATTGCCGGCAAGAAGAGGAGAATTAAGGAAAGATAAAAGCCTCCCAGAAGATATTACTGAGTTTGATGATGGGCAGTTCACTGACGAACGCTGCGAGGAGCTTGAGAAGTCATTTTGGAGAAGCATCGGTTTCTCTGCTCCAATGTATGGCGCCGACATGCCAGGAAGTTTATTCACCGACGATGTCAAAGAATGGAATGTCGCAAATCTCGAATCAGTGCTGTCAAACCTCGATGTCAAAATACCCGGAGTCAATACTGCTTATCTATATTGCGGCATGTGGAAAGCGGCTTTCCCTTGGCATTTGGAGGATATGGATTTACATTCGATCAATTATATTCATTTCGGTGCACCGAAGCAATGGTACAGCATTTCACAGTGCGACCGGCCTCGCTTTTTCAAAGTCATGAAGAGTATTTTCCCCCGTGAATTTCGAGGCTGTCCAGAGTTTCTCCGACACAAGACGTTCATGGTATCTCCAGTGATTTTAGAAGAACATGGAGTCAAAGTGAACAAAGTTGTACATCGCCAGCACGAGTTTATCATCACCTGGGCTTACGGCTACCATGCTGGTTACAATTATGGCTATAACGTGGCCGAATCAGTGAACTTTGCCACACCAAGTTGGCTCGATATTGGTGTCAAAAGCGACAAGTGCCATTGTATTGAGGACTCGGTTGGAATCGATGTGAAGCGACTGATTCGACAAATCAACGGCGAGCCCCTGAGTCCACCACTATCGCCAGAGCAATTTGATGATGTGTCGAACGAAATCAGCGAAGTCAAACTCCAGCACAAGCTGAAAAAGCGGTCGAAACCGTCTGTTCAGACTGCACCCAAACGGCCCAAGATCCTGAGGAAAGGCAACTGCGTGTTATGCCCTCATAACTGGGACCATATTTATATCCAAAACACAGCAAAAACCGCAAGTGTACATACTATATGCGGCCAGCTTATTCCAGAAACCAAAGTGACTGATGGAACAGTCGAAGATCTCGGTACCGTGCCTCCAGAAAGATTCAAACTCAAATGTCTCGAATGCAAGATCCCCGTGGGCGCGTGTGTGCAGTGTTCGTTTGGAAAGTGCGTCAGAGCTTATCACGCAACATGTTTGCATTCAGCAGGGGCTAGCGTCGACAATGGGCAGGTTTATTGCCGCTACCATGGCAGAGAGGCTCCAGAGGACCCTAGTTACGCCAGTAGCCTGCTGGTTGGAGACCTTGTACAGTGCAAAACAGCTCGGGGTTTATCATTTGCTGGAGCGGTTGAAGAAAACTTGCTGGGAGAAGAGACTCTTGTTCTGAGTGCCCTTCCAGATCGGGAAATTCGAATTGAGGTGACCTACGACCAGGTTATAACCAAAAAGCTAGACCCGGCATCGCGACCTCCCGAGGTAACCATGATAACGAGGCCAGAGCTTTATTCCACAACTAATGCTGATGGAGAAACTGTGTCACCGTTTGTGTTTATTGGAGTACCTCTTCCGGACTGTTTGAAACGAACAAGTACATTCTAGATGTTTACGTATGTTAATGAGAAAATAAAGCAAACTTATTTGAAGACCTTGCCGTCGGCAATCTCACGCTCCTTGCCGTCAATGAGAAGAGGCTTGTCCCAGGCCCAGAGGTCGTCGACGAGAGCGCGGTCCTCAGGCTTGGAGGCATCAAGACGGGTGAAGCTGTAAGACTCCCAATCAGGGGCGACGTCGAAAGCGGGCTTGTAGTCCTTGCCGCGGATAACAAAGGCACCCTGGATACCGTTGTCGTTGTTCTCACCATAGACAACGGCGCAGCCAAAGATGTACTTGGTGGACTCAGTAAGACGGTTGAAGAAGCCACCGATCAGGTTGTTGGACATGAAAGTCAAGGTGAGCTCGTCGTTGTACTTGTAGTCGAGCTTCCAGAGCGACCACTCCTCGTCGTTGTAGAACTCGTTCCAGAACCAAGGCAGGGCCTCCTCACGGGTCTCCTTGTTGGAGTAAACACGCTTCAGCTCATCCAAAGGCTTGGAGGACTTTCCAAGCTCGGCGAGAGGGTGGCCTTTAGGAACAGTGGGGGCAGGGGCGTCAGACATTATTAGATGAGAAAAGTGAAAAAGATCCAGGATGGGTTTTAACCGTTTGCTGGAACCCTAAACCTAACTCAAAAGTGAGACTGGGCATCTTTGGATACCAGTAGCAGTAATGGCAACAATTAGCTAGTGTGTTGAGGAGCGGCAAAAACTCTGAGGCTTGCACTTGACCCAGTTTTGGGTGATTTGGTCAGGCGGGCTCCGCATTTGGAAGTTTGGAGAAGTGGCCGGTCCACAAGCCTCGGAGCAATTCATCGTTTCAGGTAGCGATGTCAAATATTTGTTAAAAAAATATACTCAAACCCTCCAAGGGTTTGAAACATCAGAGTCAAGTTATAGACTGCATAGTGAAGCACGTGCTGCATAAACAGCGTACATTGGCAAGACCTCCACAATCTTCATATGGCATTCCCTGATTGTTCAATCACCGATACGATTTACAGAGGAGTTGACCTCGGGAATATTACCAGACAGGTTCCTGAACCAGCATGGGGCTTGGCTAGTCCCTTTGGCAGCTACAACTATTGTTATATGCCCCATCCTCGCAGAGACCAATATGATCCTGTCGAGAATGGTAAACTGCTTTATGTTGAGTATATCCAACGACATCAAAAGCGCACACCTTACAATTTAATCCCTGTTGATGCATTCTTTTGCGAAGGGAGCTATCAATTAACCGGGAGCCGGCCTCCCAACTCAAACGCACCAGCCGCTCATCTCATTATCGAAACTCCAACGAACGAATTCACTGACATTAGTGGCACTTGCCAATATCCTCAATTGACTGCAGGTGGGCTGATGGATGCAGAACAACACGGAAGAGATTTGTGGGGGGTTTATGGGGAGCTGCTTGGGCTATTGCCGGTCGAGCCTGGATGTGATCAAGTAAAGCATCGTGCTTCAAACTCTCGTTTGACTGAAGCAACTGCAAATGGTATCATGCGAGGTATTTGGACTTCTCAATTTGATCTTCCGCTCTACCAACAGCCCGCAGACTATGACACCGTGAATGCGGGGTTCTCGTGCCCTAAACGTGATGCATTGAAAAAAGACCAGAGAAAGACTCAAGCGTGGAATGACCATTTGAACGAAATGCAACCGGTTCTGACCAAACTGAATCAAACATTCGACGGGATAGCTACTGGCGAGTGGGCAGCCAGCTTTGATCACTTTTGTGACAACTTCCAAGCCAAGCTCTGTAACGGGTACCCGCTTGATCTGGACAGTTATGTCGTTGATCCTGTTTTCAACGCTGGCGATTGGGAATGGAACTACTATTGGACTTCTCAAAATGCTACCGACTATATCAAAGCTACGTCCGGGCCGTTCATTGCCGAAATCATCGAGCGCTTACAGCATCGCGCCAAAGGTTTGGTGTTCAGTCACACATTTGCCCACGACGACGACATTGGCCCCCTGAGCGGCGCCCTGGGCATTCAAACATTGCGATGGCCCGGTATGGGCTCTAATATCGCCATAGAAGTGTGGTCTGTGAACAACCAACAAGTCGTTCGTGTGCTGTACTGCGGGGCCCCAATCCGCAGCCGGTTTGGGTATGGGGACGGAATACCCCTTGGCGAATTTGTTAGCAAGTTTAGCGAGTACGCACTGGTGGACAAAGGCTGGTGCGAATAGGTATAAATTCAAGCATTTTGAATTATCGAAATCTATGCGATCAAACACCGAATCTCGCGATTCGGACCAGAACTTTCCGAACCTCGATGCGCACGTGACAAAGCCGCTTCGGTTCCGTGCTGCACCCCGCGAGGTGATTATAAACTGATGTCCTGATCAGATTGACAAACCCTCTAGTCTAACATGCTTCGACGACGATTGATGTCGACTATTTCTCAATTCCCGTACCCGACGGCTGCGCAGGAGGCAGAGTACCTTGCTCGTCAAACTGCTGATATTGACGCCTGGTTCAAGAGCGAACGGTTCAGCAAGATCAAGCGAACCTGGTCCGCCGATCAGATTGCCAAGCTGCGCGGGACTCTTGTGCCCCAGCTTCCTTCTGACATTCAGGCGCAAAAGCTGTTCAATTTGTTGCAGGAGAGATTCCGTGAGGGCAAGCCCGTGCACACCATTGGCTCGATTGACCCCGTCCAGATGACCCAATCAGCTGCTCACCAGGAGGTGGTTTACGTCTCGGGGTGGGCTTGTTCGTCCGTGCTAACCACTACTCATGAGGTTGCTCCTGATTTTGGTGACTATCCTTACGACACTGTGCCCAACCAGGTTGAGCGTTTGTTCCGTGCTCAGCTGATGCACGACAAAAAGGCTTGGCTTGAGTGGTGCCAATTAAGCGCCGAGGAGCGTGAAAAGCGCACTCGTATCGATTATCTTCGTCCTATCATCGCTGACGCTGATACCGGCCACGGCGGTGTCGGTTCCGTCATGAAACTCGCCAAACTGTTTGCTGAGCGCGGTGCTGCAGCAATCCACCTGGAGGATCAGCTTCATGGAGGCAAGAAGTGCGGTCACTTGGCTGGAAAAGTCATTGTCCCTACTTCTCAACATGTTAGCCGTTTGCTGGCTACTCGCATGCAGTGGGATATCATGGGCACTTCTAACTTGGTCATTGCTCGTACCGACTCTGAGTCTTCAAATCTCTTGTCTTCTTCTGTTGATCCTACTGACCATGAGTTCATTCTTGGTGTCGCAGAGCCCACAGAGCCTCTTATGGATGCTCTGGAGGCTGCAGAGCAATCCGGTGCTTCCACTGATGCACTCAACGCCCTTGAAGCCAGATGGATGAAGGAGCACGAACTGCTGACTTTCGACGAGGCCGTTCAGCGTGCCCTTGTCAAGGAAGCTAAGAGTGACAAAATCGAGAGCTACCTGCACCAAGCAGCTGGCCAGTCCAACTTTAAAGCTCGCCAGATCGCCCGGGAGATTGTTGGTCGCGATGTCTTCTTTGACTGGGATGCTCCCCGCACCCGTGAAGGTTACCACCCTGTGCGTGGTGGTATGGAGCCTGCTCTCAAACGTACCCTTACTTTTGCTCCTTATGCTGATATGCTTTGGCTTGAGACTAAGAAACCTGATCTCAACCAGGCCCGCGAGTTTGCCTCCAGGATCCACGCCCAGCACCCCGAGAAGTGGCTTGTTTATAACCTGTCACCTTCCTTTAATTGGTCAGCCCATGGATTCAGTGAGCAGGATCTCAAGGACTTTGTATTTGAGCTTGGCAAGTCTGGCTTTGTTCTTCAGCTGATTTCTCTTGCCGGTATCCACACCAACGCATTGGCCACTTGGCAACTATCTCAGGCATTCCAGCGTGATGGTATGAAGGCTTATGTTGAGAATGTCCAGAAGGTTGAACGCGCCACTGGTTGTGACGTTCTCACACACCAAAAATGGTCCGGCGCGGCCTACTACGATCTTGTTCAGCAGTCAATCAGCGCCGGCTCTTCTGCTACATCTGCCGTCGGCTCTGAATGTACAGAAGCCACATTTTAATCCTCTATTTTGTAAAGCAACATTATAAAAAAACCCAAAAAAATTCCTTTCAAACTTGCGTTCCGTTCACGCGTATTATCGCGTAATCTGCTGCTTAACTGATTTTTGGTGTTTGTTTGATTTGACGTTACCTGGGAATGGCAGTATCAAACAATCTCAATGAAAATATTCGCTGGTTGAAGGAAAATAATGTTCATTTGCCCCGTAACATTGCTGCAAAGTCTACTGCACTAGCGCCAAAACTCTATAGCAGCACAGCGCTCCCGGAACCGTTACAGGCTAAACAGCGCACCCAAGGGTATCTTCTGGTGGATTCTGATGAGGAGGAGGACGATTTCATTGATTTAACTGGCTTTTCAAAGCCGCAGGCTGCTAGCCAGAAATCAAGCATGTCCATGAGCAAAGAGATTCTCTTTGTTAGTTCTGACGACGAGGAGCTTGACTACGGCGCATTGAGTAGCCGCTCTTCAAGCATAAAGACCTCGGCAGATTTACAAGAGCCTGCTATTATTTCGCCACCGGAAGATGAAGCCGGTTTGCCTGATCTGAATCAACCCCCTCCATCTTGGGCAGCGGCAAAACCCGCTGTTCCAGCCAGTTATAACTCATTACAATGGTCGGACGACGAGTGCCAAGTCAATGGAACACCTCTAAATTCAGAGCTACCAGGAACTCGTGTCCAAGCACATTATGTGGAAGACACGGGCGTAAAGCTGAACAAAATCCAGGCAGAGAAAATTGGTCTACTAGAAAGGAAAATTGACGTTTTGACCAAAAGACTAGCATCTGCTGGGATCTCTGTAGACCTATCGGCACTGGACAAAAAATTGGCCGGTCTCGACTTTGACATGGCCAATTTAGAGGATGACGCGGTGGTGTCTTCTCAGGATTCTGTTATTTGCGATAAGATCAACCATCTCTCAGGAGAGAACGCTCAAGATCCGTCACCGTACTTTTCACGGCTAAAAGCAACGCAGTCTGTTGTTGATCTTACAATGGAAAATGTTACTTCAATACATAGCACTGCCGATGCGGTCCCTCAACCAACCCCCCAACACAAGGTCACTACTCCTTGGCACGACGAACTAATGAAGCTACTGCGTGCAAAGTTTGGACTAGTGGGGTTTAGGCAAAATCAGCTTGAAGCCATTGATGCCACTATATCCGGTCGAGATGTAGTGGTTCTCATGCCGACAGGTGGAGGAAAATCGCTCTGTTATCAGCTCCCTGCTCTGATCCAGTCTGGGCCACGAAAAGGGACTACTATTGTAATTTCTCCATTGATTTCTTTGATGCAAGATCAAATATATCACCTAGAGACGCGCAACATTGCGGCTAAAATGGTCAACTCCCGACTCTCTTTAGCCGAAAGAAACGAGGCTATGAACCAGTTGGACGCAGGAGAGCTTGTTCTTCTTTATTTATCACCCGAAATGCTCAACAAAAGCGACCGTATGCGGAATACCCTGCAAAGAATGTACCAAAACAATCGCATAGCTCGCATTGTCATTGATGAAGCCCACTGCGTCAGCGCGTGGGGACATGACTTTAGAACTGACTACAAGGATTTGATGGGGCTGAAAGACCAATATCCGGGCACACCCATTATTGCTCTGACTGCAACGGCGAACAATCGAGTCTTAAGCGATATTTTCCAATGTGTAGGTCCGGATCGGCTCCTATTGAAGCAGAGTTTCAATCGGCCGAATTTGATTTACTCGGTGTTGCCCAAAGTAAAAGACAAGTTCGAGAGTGAGATTGCCCACATCTGTCTAAAGCGGTTCCCGAACAAGACAGGAATTATTTATTGCAGCTCCAAAAAGCACTGCGAAGAACTTGCAACCCGTTTGCGAACAGTTGGTGTTTCTACAAGTTACTACCATGCTGGAATGGATAATGGTGAAAGAGAACGTGTTCAAGAGTCATGGCAAGCAGGACAAATCAAAGTCATCTGTGCAACTATTGCCTTTGGCATGGGCATCGACAAGAGGGATGTAAGATTCGTGATTCATGCTACTTTACCTCGGAATATGGAAGGCTACTATCAGGAAACTGGACGTGCTGGCCGTGATGGTAGAGAGTCACACTGCTTTTTATTCTACACTTTTGCTGATGGTCAGGTACTTATGCAATTAATCGAGAAAGACCGCGAGTTGAGTTTTGCTCAACGAAGCCAAAACAGAGATCTGCTTCGTCGTGTGATTGGCTACTGTGAAAACAAAGTAGATTGCCGGCGATCTCAAGTCCTTCAATATTTCAACGAAGATTTCGATCCTCGTCTTTGCAACAAGACCTGCGACAATTGCATAAATCGTTCTCTGGTTGAAATGAGCGTGAAAGATGTTAGCAATGAAGCTAAGATTATCATCAGCTTGGTTGAGGCTTTGAATGGCTCGAATATTACCATGATTCAATGCATTGCACTTCTACGGAAAGCCAAGGCTGGTAGTCCTCCCCAAGCCGGTGCTCTCAGTCAGTGGGATCGAACGCATGTAGAACGCATCATGCATCATCTTTATACCATTGGAGTGTTTGAAGATCGAATTGTCACTAACAAGATGGGGTTCTCGAACTCTTATCTTGCGCTTGGCTCGAATGCTATGAATGTAGCGTCTGGGCGAGTTCCAGTGAAACTCCATTTCGCCGAAGCCGGCTCTTCAGCCGGATACCATCACGCGCAAAAGCGGCCTCAAGATAACATTGCAAACGAGGATATGTTTAACAGGCGCCACCGAAGACGTAGACGCAGATAGCTGCATTTCTTTATTTATCCGAAATCCCACATCCAAACTTGACTCAGCCATGGATCGGCCGTCACTAGGCAAGCGATCGTCCTTTCCGGCGCTTCAAGTACCGCGGCAGAATGTACAGTCGCAGCTGGTTGAGATATCGAACGAGCAAAAGCACAGATCCTTTTATGGGTACACATACCCCACGAACCAGGTTCCTGCCCCGCCCCAGAACCCGATGGCATTTGACAGCAGTTGGCCGCTGCTAGGAGGTGCTTGGGCGGTGACGAACTATGGCCATTTTATTGCTACAAACACAATCAATGAAGAGAATACGAACAGGATCCATATACTCTCTGCTTCTCAGGACGCTCATGGCGGGTACCAGGGCCTCTCGAACGTTGCAGACGCGGCTGTGTATTTACCTCAAACAAAAGTTGCTTGGGACCCATTGGGATCCGGCAATGGAACTCAATTACGCATGCTGAGTACTGGTGATTGTTTGCGGTTGTGGAATTTGAACATGGCTACTGGCAAACTTGACGCGGTGAGTCCGTTGGTTAAGCGATCGAAATCGAACCCTGAAGACCAACCGGCTCCACTTACCAGTTTTGATTGGAACAATATCGACAACTCGATTGCAATCACTTCATCCATCGATACCACATGCACAGTGTGGGATCTGAATACTAAAACGGTGCGTACTCAACTGATTGCCCACGACTCTGATGTGTACGATGTGGCATTTTTGGCGCAAACTCCGCATAAGTTTGTTAGTGTCGGGGCAGACGGGTCAGCACGAGTCTTCGACTTGAGGGCACTGGACAATTCGACGATTATCTTTGAACTGCCGCCCAAATTTCCTGGCGACGCTCCAGCTCCTCTGCTCCGAGTAGCTGCCAATCCCACCAATGCCAACCTGCTTGCATGCATAGCATACGACTCGCCAGATATTTATATTTTGGATGTCCGGTCTCCGAGGAATCCAGCAAGCATCCTCGAGGGCCACCAGGGCCCCGTCAACTCGATCCAATGGGCGCCTGCTCACGTTGGACAGAACTGTATTGTTTCAGGCGGCGACGATTGCCAAGCGTTGGTGTGGGACGTTTCGCGGGCCGATCGGACCCCTACAGCCGCATTCACAGATACCGGCCAGATCAATTCGGTATTCTGGTGCCCTACCGGCGAGTACCTCGGTGTTACTTCCGGACGCACTTTACAGGCCGTGGGATTCAACCGCTATTAAAGCTGCCGGATCATCCATATTCCCAACCCTAAATAACTTAAGCATATCGAAAAGGGTCTCTAACCGAGCCATCCGACATTGGCACATAAAAACGTCAGAGAGATGCCGTTTTTGCGACGGCTAACCAAGATGTACTCAGGGCCGACTGTATTGGCTCGCCATGCAACCAGCAATGAGCCGTACGGTCCCTCACCGCAAGACTTGCATGAACTTGCTGCGGTCTCGCGCAAGCCTAAATTGATGGAAGAAGTAGAGGATGTTCTGATTAGTCGCCTTCAGGGAAGTCCAAAGAACTGGCGACAGAAATCAAAGGCTCTGACCGTCGTTCAGTACCTCTTGCTCCATGGCCATGACGATTGCCTCATCTGGCTTCAAAAATACACAAAGCTGATCGAAACTCTAACTGTGTTTCAGTACTCAGACTCCAAAAATGTAGATCAAGGCAAATCGGTTCGTGAAAAGGCAACCGCTATCCTCAAACTACTCAATGACCCGGACCTCATCGCATATGAAAGAGCACTGTATCTCAAGAACCGCCAAGAGGTACGCACGTCGACTGGCAGAGCGACAATGTCTCGGCATACTCTTGAGTTGAATCGCGGACTTGAAGATTTCGATGAACAGGAGGAAGAACAGGTCCAGCCCTCCTTCGACCGCAGTCGCTACAGTCTCAATTTAGGCCTTCAGTCAATCGCTGAAGAGGGCTGAAAAAATCCATTTTCCGCTTTGCATACCGCTCCAATCAATTTATATTTCTATAGGAAAATAATCGCCACTTTTGCTGCTGTTTATCCAATAAATTATTATTTATTGTTTACCCGACCGCACGCGCTACTAATCATCCTGGTTGCCACGCGTTTCAACTATGGATGAACCCACGCAGGAGCTCACTCAGGACAGAGAAAAGGCCATGCCTGAGGGAAGCTTTGTTGGTGAGGAAGAGCAAAGCTCGCTTGCGGTTCTCGTGGGCTCGCTTGGTATGCAATGCCGCTGGGCTCTCCCCAAAGATGGAAAGCGCCTGTGGAAGTTTGGCCGTTCAGCCGAGAGCGATTTCCAACTGGATCCCGCTAGAAGACGTCTCAGCAATCAACATTTTGAGATTTGGGCTACGGAAGATGAACCCCCAACTTTAATGATCAGAGATGTCTCTACCAATGGCACCTTCATCAACAATGTGCGCATGACCAAAAAGCGCAACTATATGCTAGTCAATGGCGATGTGATTGGAGTTGGCATCGGCGTTCCTGTAGACGAAGTCAAATTTATTGTTTCGATTGCCACTGCAAACCGCAATGTGGCAATCAATGGAATCCATGCTCAGTACGAGTTTGCAGAGACTATTGGACAAGGTGCCTTTGCTTTGGTCCGTGTTGCGATAAACCGTGAAACAGGTAAAAAGTTTGCCGTCAAAATTATCAACAAGTCCAAAATAACAGGCGGTATCGCTGTTCACCGGGAGATCGAGATTCTCAAGGCGTTGCAAAACCCCTATATTGTTTGCCTACACGACTTTTTCGAGGACGAAGCCCACTACTATCTTATTATGGACTACGTTGCTCATGGTGATTTGATGGACTATGTTTCTGAGAATGGCGCAATTCCAGAGGATGCGTCGGCTGAAATTATCCGCCAGGTGTTGACTGCAGTCCATCATGTTCATCGTATGGGCATTTCACATCGAGATCTCAAGCCAGACAACATTCTTATCGCTCAAACGGACCCGATTGTTGTGAAAGTTGCTGACTTTGGCTTGGCAAAGATCTCGAGCCAAGGAACTTTCTTAAAAACATTTTGCGGAACATTATCGTACCTGGCACCTGAGGTTTTAGCATCGCGCAATGGTGCTGGTGCAGCTAAATATTCTCGGCTGGTGGACATTTGGAGTATTGGTTGCCTCGCATATGTTATTTTGACCGGATATCTACCGTTTTCAGGAAACACCCAGGAAGAACTTTATCGCAGTGTCATGAGCGGCCAGTTCAACATGGAGCCCCTAAAGCAACTTAACGTCTCTAAAGAGGCCCTAGACTTTTTATCTTTGATGCTCACAGTTGACCCAAATCACAGACCCGACGCTTACAAGGCCCTACAGCACCCTTGGGTAACTACGATTGGTGCTCGGTATGACCCCATTCCAGTTTCTTCAGTTTGCGAAATCGATGGTATGTCAAGTCTCCATTTACAGTCTTCCCAACATGTTTCTGAGTTGAAGGCTGAACAAGAGGCGCGACAGCAGGAGTCCAAGCGACAAGACGCTACGAATGGTGTACCTTCACTCGAAGAGGCAGGCAATCACAGTGAAAGCGATCATGGGGATAGCGATAGTGATGACCAGCAATCTAGAATCAAGGCTGATATTATGGCATCTCAAGGACACATGTCGTTTGGCGTCCGTGATTTGAACTTTGACGGTCTGGACGAAGCAGACAAACCCCAGGGAGCCTGGATCAAACTAGCAACCCTACCGGAAAGTTTACCTTGTAAGGATGTTTTTGCCAGTAGTGACAGCTTGACGCTGGGCCGCGTACGCTCTTCCATCAATGACGTAGTGATTCCAGACAACCGCCTTTCAGCTGTACACTGGAGGATTGAGCGCAAGCTACACGACGGAAAATATACGATCTGGTTAAATAACTACAGTGCCAAGTCGTTTATTAACGGTGTGGAAGTACATCGTAATGTTAGGACACAGTTACACGATGGAGCTTTGCTTGTAGCATTTGTTGATACCGATGGTTCGCATCTGGGATTTCGAGTCCACTTCTTGGACAAGGAAAACTACGACTACAAGCGTACGCCTGAACGCAAAGACTACCCTATTCCAGAAAACGAGATTCCTCGAATTACTGCGGCCGCCGTTCCGCCCACGACCGCCAAACGGGCATTTTCAGGGATGGGTCTGAAGCAACTCAGTGTACGGAGAAAAGTAGCTTAGTTTGATACGTATTTACGAGACAATGCCTAACCTATGCACCTTTCCAAGGCCCTAGCGACTTAAGCGATCCGGTTAGTAACGTGCTGCTTTGTGCCTGCATAGCTCACAAGACAACGCCCACGGATAACTTCAGTAAAAGAAGGTCCAGGCTTCGATACCTTATCTCTGTAAATCAGGGTCTCACATGGTACCTTGATTCAGTTCACATTGACGTCAATGCAATTGTCATCCCCGGAAACCATGCAGCCATGTTGAGCCTTGGTGAAGCGCTCTCGTTGTTGAAGCCCGTCAATTCCCGCAAATATTTGGAGAATTGCATATCTTGCTTGAAAGACTACGAACGAAAAAGCAAACAAAAACTTTTCCTCCGACCTCTAAGATCTAAACCCACAAGCACACCCCAAACACCCTTTCCCCTGGACGGCAGGACAGTGTTCACTGCGCTTTGCCAAGCATTTGTAGCAGTCTACCAGACTATCGAAGAACTAACTCGGGATGGATTCTCGAATTCTGAAGAGTATCTTTACTGGAAACTTCAAGATCTCATTGCCTTGCATATTATTCGGGTGGGATTCAAAGCGCTCGAAGTCCCGGCCCAGAGCATTGAGCATAAAGAGAGGTTGATGCTAAAAGGTCGCTAACGTATTTATTTAAAACAGCTCTAAACATCTAATTCAATCTGGTCTTTACCTGCCCACTCTGCAGGGTCCAGTTTCCAAAACATGATCTGCAGATCTGGAAGCTGCAGCTCCGCCAACTCAGGACTGTCTTTGGGGAGTGTCTTTAATTTCTCAATCTTACTGAGTTCTGATTGAGCTGACTCCATGAGTGACTCAACTTCAAGACCACGAGCCCGCAGACGAGCCTCACGTAGGTATTCTTCAGCCTTGGCCCACTCGCCGTAGTGACACGCGACGACGCCGAGCCCATACGTAGCTATTGCCTGAGCTTCTGAAACGAACGGACCTCTCCGCTGCCAAATACCTAACTTTGAAATGCGATCAAGAACGAATTGGTATTGGGCTCGGGCGGCAGCAAAGTATGCATCTGGTCCAGTGCAAGCGGGATCAGCAACCAAGCAAGCGGGAACTGGATGGTACAGCTTTTCCTTGGACGGCAAAGCAGGGCCATTGCCTGCATTCATACTTTCCAGGTCAGTCTTACGGTCAATTATAGTGTCTTCAGATGGGTTCTCGCCACTTTCTTTCATATCTTTCGTGGTCACTTGTTCGAACGAACCCTGCAAATACAACAAAGAAGCAATGTTTGTCGTGCTCAAAAGCATATCACCAACATCGGCACCCGACGTTAGTTGAAGCTCCGTTGTCCGCAGCTTGGTGAGTAGTGCATTATAGTAGTCGCCAACAGCAATCGACGAGGCAGTATAGACTTCACGAAGCGCGAACAGTTGGTCACGGAATTGGGGCCAGTAACCTGTTAAAGAGTTGTTTGGAGCCAGCCCATCTTTGAATTGTTGGAACACCAACGAGGGATCTGACGGTTTTCCTTTGAAAGCTTCAACAATTTCTGGATGATTGCGAGCAAGCTCCTTCTCTGCCGCAACCAGTGATGGCAATAGCGACAGGCGAGCAATCTGAGGCCGATCTTCCATGTACAAAGCCATAGTTGTTGCGATCATCAAAACTCTTTTGATTGCATGATCTCGGGATTGCGCCTCAAAGGCATTTCTCTCTAATGCAGAGAGATAAACACCGCAAACCTCGGTATACATCCACATAGCCTCGTCAAAGTACCCCAAACGGGCATACATATCAGCAATTTTGAACTGAATACCAGTATACTCGTCGCTGAGAGGGCTCATCTCCAGCTTGTCTGCAATATGTAGCGCCTCAATATAGAACATCAAAGCCTTTTTGTTATCTGGCTGTCGATAACCCGATCCATTAAGCTCTGCCATGAGCCCTTCCTTTAGCTTTTGAGCTACTTCAAGAGGATAGTTATGGTGGGTATACCATTTCCAACCAATGTAGGAACCAGCCAATACTAGGGTCACTCCGAGGAGCCGGGGCCAGCGGCGTTTCTGAAAGTGCGTAGGGGGCGCATTGGTGAACGCACGCCTCGAATTCGTGAAAAAGGACGGCCGCAGCTGGCTATACTTGGGCCGGAGCGATCTCAAAACCGCCCGCCGAAACATCCCAGTTAGTAATAAGACGAAGATTAATTTCAATTAAATAAATCTGCTAAAACTTCAGTGCTGTACTTGTGATACGAAAAGTACGAGTACCCCTAGCAATAAAAATGGCCGATGGACCAATCGTCAAGCGGGTTACTAACTTATGTGTGGGCGATACGCTCTCGAGTTGACAACTGAGCAAGTCGTCACAGCGCTAGAGAGTAATGGCTTGAGGATTGATAATGTTTATGATGCAGAGCGCGGACTGGAGAGCCTCAATATTGCCCCCACTTCGTACGAGCCAGTATACTACAAGGAGAACGACGAGCACAATTTGCGATACATGCATTGGGGCCTTGTACCATCATTTGCCCACGAGGTGTTCAAATTCCCCACTCATAATTGCAAATCCGATAGCCTTGCACACCTAAAACCCATGTGGAGATCCGCAAAGACCCGGAGGGCTGCGGTGCCAATGCAAGGCTACTATGAATGGCATAGCGAAGGCAAGAAGAAGCTTCCATACTATTTCAAGGACAAAGACGCTGAATTATTGTGTGTTTTGGGTATTTGGGATCGTAACGAGCATGTTGAAGATAGCCTATACTCGTTTTCGATCGTCACCACCGACGCTGGCTCGTCTATCGAACACGTCCATCATCGTATGCCGTGCATAGTGAGATTCGAAGATGCAATTGAGTGGATTGACGGGAACTGGCCCAAAGTTCTCGATCTAATAATGTCCAAAGATGACTTGGAGTTCTACAGGGTCTCAACTGCTGTGAACAAAATTGGTAGTAAGGGCCAGTTGAATGAGCCACTCAAGGAGGAAGAAGTGGCCCAGGTGGGTGATAAGCGACAGTCCACTATGGATTCCTTTTTCTCACCAAAAAGAATCAAAAAGGAGTAGACATAGACAACGTAGTATTTATATTCCTGGCGGGATTTCTCAGCCTTGCGTAATCAGCCATGTTCAGAACCGTGGGTTTGCGACAGTCTTTCCGGGCAGCTCGATTTGCCCAGGTCCCCCGTAGATTCAATTCAACTACCGCCAAAGAGGGCAAGATGAATTTGAAAACGTTGGCCAAAAAGTACGGCTGGGTAGCCACCGGTGTTTATATCGGCCTTTCGATGGTCGATTTGCCACTTTGCTATTTGGCGGTGCACTCTCTTGGTACCGACAAATTCATTGACTACGAAGTGTACCTTCGAGAGAAAAGTGGATATACAGTCCCTCGCGATGAAACATATGTGAGCAAAGCTGCTCAGAGTAAACACGGCATGTTTCTTACCGAGTTGACTGTGGCCTACGTTATCCACAAATCCTTAATCGTGTTCCGTTTGCCATTGACTGTATCTATTACTCCTGGCATTGCTCGTAAGCTCAGCGAATGGGGATTCAAGGTCGGCCCTGCAGCCGTGAAAACCGCAGGCTCGGCAGCGGCGGCGGGCGTCGTGGGCGGCAGTGAAGCCGCTAAGAACGCAGCAAAAGAGACTGTCAAGAAAGAATTTGGCACTCGACCTAGCTCAACAAAGCGCTGGTTCTCTGGATTCTTCTGAATAAATTGCACATAGAAAGCATATCGTCTTAGACGGCCTCGGCCTGTTCGATTTCGTCAAACTTCTCCCTCACGGCTCGAATATTCAAAATCGCAAGATTTTTGTTTGTGTTCTCTGGACTCATGACCAGCATGAGATAGGTATTGCTGGTGAGAGCCTCAATGACTGCGTTGCAGTTGTGAGACTCTACAATGATACTTTGCAGTTGCGATCGCAATTTCGAACAGCTCTGTCGATAACTCTTGATAATGTTTGAAATTTTCTCAAAGCGTTTAGGATCAGCCATTTCCTCTAGTTCAGGCGCAGTAATGTGCGAAATGACCAAGAACGTTGTCCGCTCGAATAAGATAACCTCACGTACATTGTTTGCGGTAGCGAAGCCTTGTAAGTATTCTTGCAGTTTGCTCATGTTTGACACTAGCGAACAAACAATTGTGGACCATGCCTTGTACAAGCTTTCGTCCCAGATCGAAGTTGCGAACCCAGTGAGCTTGAAATCGAATCCTTTACAGGTGTCCAAAATCTTCCCCATTGTGGTTTCAAAAATTTGATCACGACGGTCTGCACGGACCAAATCCATCTTGTGCAACAAAACAAACACTTTAGCCTTGGGACTGAACTCTTGCAAGTTCTCGAGACAGCGCAAGAAGGTCTCCATGTCCTTGGGGACCTCCTTGGAACTGATATCAAACACATAAATAAGAACTTCAACCATGCGGAAAATATGGTCTCGCTGAGTGGTCAAATGGTTTTCAATAAACACGTTCTGGCCGCCGCAGTCCCATAAATTTAAAGTTGTGTTTCCTAAAAACCGCAGGTGCGAATGCTCGACATCGATCGTGGCTCCTAGGCGATGTGTGTCAATTGCCGAGTAATTCGAAAAAATGATGCTTCGCATTGAAGATTTGCCGCTTCCACTGCGTCCAATTAATAAAAGTTTCTTGCGATTTGGGGCCATCGTGATTGGGAAAGTTGGGAAATTGACCCTTGCTTAGTGTACAGCAAACATGATTTCCCTCGACGAGCTGCTGGTTATTATCCAGCTCAAACTGAGCCGGCCACTGCACCCGGTTGGAACTAGAGGACGTGATTTAACGCGTTGTTACGAGCTTTTGCGACTTACGTCGCGGTCTTTCGCCTCGGTCATCGAGCAGTTGCATCCCGAGCTTAGAGATGCTATGATGATCTTCTACGTGGTGTTGCGGGGCCTCGACACGGTCGAGGACGATACCGGACTTGATAACAAGGTCAAATTGCCTCTTCTGCGTTCGTTCCGCAATGTGCTCAAAACAGAGGACTGGACGTTCCACGACAGTTCGGAGACCGAGAAAGATCGGGTTGTTTTGCAGGAGTTTGACTGCATTCTGCGGGAGTACCACAAATTGAGGCCCGAATACCAGGATATAATTGCTGATATCACAGAGAAAATGGGCAATGGCATGGCCGACTACATTGCCATGGAGAATCAGCAAAATTTTGAGGGCGTGAAGACGGTTGCTGATTATGATTTGTACTGCCACCATGTGGCTGGAATCGTTGGTGAGGGTATCACACGCATGGCTGTTTATTCCAAGTTCGGCGACCGTAAGCTCGCTGAGAAGGAAGACCTGTTTGAGAGTATGGGGCTGTTCTTGCAAAAGACAAATATCATCCGTGACTACCGTGAAGATATTGACGATGGACGTTCGTTTTGGCCCCGTGAAGTCTGGAGTAAGTATGCGGACAGTCTTACTGACTTCACCAAGAAGGAGCACACTGAAAAGGGTCTCCAGTGTATCTCCGAACTGACCTTGCACTCTTTGCGCCATGTTGAGCATGTTTTAGAGTACCTGTCCGCTGTTCGTGACGAGTCGCTCTTCCGTTTCTGCGCAATTCCTCAGACTATGTCCATCGCCACACTTGAGCTTGTATTCAACAACCCCGAGGTTTTCCAGTCGAATGTCAAGATCTCCAAGGGCCAGGCGGCGAAGCTAATTCTAGGATCTCGGTCCATGGCTGAAGTTTATGCCATCTTCCGCCACTATGTTCGCAAAATCCATGAACGCAACAAGGTCACGGACCCCAACTTTTTGCATATTGAGCAGCGTTGTGCAAAAATCGAACAGTACATCAATGCAAACGACAAATTTAGCATTGAGTATATCCGCATGCAAGCCTTGCCCAAATCAGAGTTTGAACGCGATCAACTAGATTCGGCAAACAAGGTCATGTACACTGGCTTCGGTATGTTGCTGGTCGTATCGGGCCTTATGGTTGGCATTGCTTCATACTTTAGCGGCGGTAAGGTCGGCCCATCGCGGTTCATTGCTGAATTCAAAACCTTTATTGATTTTATGTGGAATTAAAGTACATGGTATGCAGTAACTATCGATATAATTCTCGAAGTAGGTAGAGCGAGCCGCAGATGACGGTATTATCATTGAAGTAAACGTCCTTGATGTTTGCCACCTGTGTGACGTTTGATTCTTCGGTGTATTTTCGAGCGGATTCACAGATATTGTTGGGATCCAGAGACTTGATCCATGGCATTGTGGCGATACTCCCGAATTTCGTGGCTATCACTTTATCCCCCGGTTGGACAAGCTGTGCCAATATATCGTCACAGGGTTTTGAGAAGGCCACTACCCAAGTGATGGGCGATTTGGGTCTCATGTGTTCCTGTACATATTTTGCCAACTCAATTGCCGCCGATGGGTTGTGGGCACCGTCAACCAAAACGCGCTGGTTGCCCATGTCGATCCATTGCAGCCGCCCAGGCCATGTCGTATTTCTTAGGCCTTCAATAATCATTCCACGGCTGAATTGGGGATAAGCAACTGATATTGACTGGACGGCAACGGCTGCATTTTGCTTTTGAAACTCGCCCTCTAAAATGTCCCTAGTGCTATAGCCAACAGGAAGCCCCACTGGGGTATACAGAAGGCTAGACTTCATATCAGCAACACTTTTGACAACTTGAAGAACTTCAGTATCGTTTGTACCATCGGCAACGCATGGAACACCAGGTTTGATAATTCCAGCCTTTTGAGTAGCAATTTGGGTTAGACTACTACCCAAAAAGCCTTCATGATCGAAGGCTATTTTCGTTATAGCAGTACACAGCACATTTTCTTTCATCAGCACATTTGTCGCATCTAAGAGCCCGCCCAAACCAACTTCAATTACGGCGACCTCCACCTTCTCTCTTCGGAACACCTCGAACGCCGTCGCCGCCTCTCTTTCAAACTCAGTAGCTTGGATCGTCTTTTGAATATTGAGCGCATCAACCGCTTTCTTCACGTCTTCGTACAATTGTCGTGTTATTGGTCGATTGTTGATACAGATTGCATCCTCTTCATTGATTAAAAACGGGCTCGTGAACCGACCGGTCCTCACCCCGTTGTAAGTCAGAATGCTAGACAAATAAGACACAACAGACCCCTTACCATTTGTTCCTGCAACGTGGAACGCCTTGTAACAGTTCTGCGGGTTACCGAGCTCTCCAAGAAGTCGAGTCACCCGTGCCAGCCCAAGATCAATCATAGATGACAGTGCACTGTCGAGAGGTGAGCACTGATGGAGCACGGTTCGCGAACTCAAACTATATATTTACAGAGCTCGAATTCGCTTATTTGAACAAACCGCCTAATATCCCGGTCTATCTGGGCGAAAGATACAAGGCTGCTGATTGCTGCGAGCAGTGCTTCTAGCAGAGCCTTTGCTTGGAATGTCCGAAAGCTTGGTGCCATACCGGTGGTGCACTTGCCGCGTATTAAATCAGCCAAAAATGCGTAAACGCTATTAATCTCCTTATTCGAGAACCCGAGGTCCTTTTGAACTCTTTTGAGCTCGTTATAAACAAGTGTTTCGATTGGGAGGGTCATTAAATCCTCAATCACCTGGGCAAACTCCTCCTCAGTAGCTTTCTGCACTGTTGTTTCGACAATATCGAAATCTTTCTCGATATACTCGATTATTGTAAAGTCCCTACCGTGGAAGAACTCGTCCGCAATAAGTCTGTATTTCGCTTTGCGATAGAACAAGCCGAGCTCATGTGTTCCAGTGAGTTCTGGGGTCACAAAAGGCGACTTGAACTCAATCAATTTGTTGTGGCTTGAAATCAGATTCAGGCACTGTACTTTGTTTCTGATAGGCAGCGTTGGGTTGAACACCGACTCAGGAATATAGTCTAGAGGCAGCTTGATCCTGCGATTGCTTGGTATAGAGTCCCAGACTTTACCAAACTGCAATACCTTGATTGATCGAATGTTACCGTGAACAATTTGGTCTGTTGAAACGCCGAATATAAGCCGTTTCAGCGGCAGATCGAAGGTGTAGATGTCTGAGTCGTCTGAGAGAATAAAGCGCTTTGAAGTCCGATCTTGCTGGTTTTCATAAATGTGCTGTACAATTGCGGCTTCTCCTTCTAGGCCACTGAAAATGAGCTCAATAGATGTTTCCTCGTCAATAAGGTAACGAAGGATTTCTGACATCGCGCTCAAATGAGGTTTCTTCCAGATGGCCTGCCTTTTTCGAGTGATTTTAGTTTTGACTTTTTCAATAGGATAATATGCATCAAATACCATGTATATCTTTTTCCACGGTAGTTGTTTGATGGGCCTCATTTTGGCTTGGACAGCCTTCACTGCCCGTTTTCTAAAGTCCGCTTTGGTGGATTCTTTCATTTGGGAAATAGCCGAGATTCCTCCAACGAGGTTCAATCCATCAATGTAAAGTATGGCATTGTTGACCGACGATATGGGGCAGACGGTCGCCAGCTTTTCTAGGGAGGATGCCAGCCCTGCGACGCCCATTTACTGTAGTGCTGACAAGATAGAGTTCTAGTCAGTGAAAGTAGCATGTCATAACTGTGTGATGCTGAACCGGAGCCTAGAATTTTTTTTGAATGCTTTCACAGTTTTCCGTGTGCGTGAAACAACTCGAAATTTAGCGAGCTTATTGTTATCGCGTGATGCTAAAAAAAAGCTTCGACGCGAGATTTCCAAACCGTTACTGCTGAAAGACCCAAAAGTGTTATATTAAATATTGAATATGAGAACAACCAATTCAAACGCAAACAGGGCGATTTTGACTGCAAATCACGAATCATTTGTAAATGTTCGGCTACCGTCAATATACATTTGATCTTGTGCAAACATCTAAACAAGGCACTTTGGCCGAGCGGTCTAAGGCGCTAGCTTCAGGTGCTAGTATCTTCGGATGCGAGGGTTCGAATCCCTCAGGTGTCACCACTTTTTTTTTTTACCTTAATTTTTTGGCTTTTTTAGCCAAGCAGTCTTCATCATACTGCAAGCTCTCAACTATGTTCAAGAATCGAAAACTCAACTAATCTAACTATGCTAATACGTAAGGTTCTAGATGGAAAGGGTTGATCTCAGTCAGTAGTCTCATGTAAGGGTCGCAGGAGAAGCTATGTTCGCATTCGCTTAAGACGCACAGACTGTAAAACAAGACCGAAAGATAGCAGATTGCTTGTTTTGCTTCCAGTGACGGCGTCGCTGATCGCATAGGCTTCTCATCAAGGAGATCATTGAGATACCTGCCGACCGATGAGATTATTGGGGGACTCACAAAACCGATTAGCTCGTCGCAAAAATCGGTTCCTCTTCTCGCTTGGCTCCAGTACCTTGCATGGGCTTTGCAAATACCTTTATCCAAAGGACGAAGAGGGTGGGCTTTGTACTTGCGCGCTTCCTGGTGATAGAGTTTGATGGGTGTTTCCGGGGACACGTTGAGTTCATGCAAAAAGGAACCATAGGCAGATCTTCTGTAAACAGAACCAACGTCGTAAGGGCTGATACCATCTACAATTGGAACAACCGGAAGCAAAATGACAGGACATTGGTTGCGTAAAGAGTTTTGAAGCTCGAGTCGCAGGTAAGTGCCACTATCGGGATTAAGAATGGTACCTCCAATCAGGTCTGGAAGTTTTTCTGGTGCCGAATCTTTGCAGAGCACGGACTGGAGCTCGTGAAATGCGTAAGCTCTCAAGTTGAGAGGACACTCCTGTAGATCAGTATCAGTTGGGAGGAGGAAGATCTGAGAATTGTCAGGAAGCTCGTAGCGAGCGAAAGATAGATTGCGAGTAATTATCAAGTAGGAGTCGTCATCTGAGGCTCCGGGGCTTGACTTTAACTTAGCAATATCATGCAGAATAGTATGTTCGTTCTCCATATCGCACAGAGCAGTGTTTACTTTTGGAGAGTACTTCATAATCTCCGAAAGCGTCAAGATCCGCGGGGAAACCAAACCATCAAAGTTAATTGTGTTGAGCAACTCTTGCTTCGAACGAATCCTGTTCTCCAGCCCGAGGTTAGTGACAACAGACTCGACAAAAAAAGTGATTGATCTTGGGTTCAGTGCAAGAAGCAGGTCAATTTGCTTTTTGACTTCCTGGACATAGATCTTGTTGGGTGCCACATTGGACTGTGTATTTTGGTTGGAGATTTTCCAGTGGTGTAAGATTAGGCCGTAACCATCGATAAAAATATGCGAGTTTTCAAGATTTAGGGAACATCTCTTTAGTAGGGCGCTATAGTCAGCATGGTCAATTCTACAACACATTAAACCGCCAGTAACTCAAGCAATTTCGTATGTTATAGTTTGTCGAAAATGTCTGAAAGAAAAGCTCGTGATGCATGGAATTCTTGCATGTTAAGATGTCCGTTCGTATGCATTTACTAATCAGCCGAGCCGATATGCACACTGCAGTGGAGAGAGTGCTAGGCGCAGAAACTCGATAATGAACGTGTTTGAACTGCGCACTCCAGGATTTGGAAAAAGCATCTAGACGGGTAAAAAGGAGCAGGACTAGATATTAAACCTATGTTGAGCTCGAGGCAGCGTATTAAAGCACCATCATGTCGGCTTATCATTGTTTGGCCGGTAGGCACCGTTCACTGAGTATTCACACCACCAAAAATCACGCTACTAATCTGCTTCAAGTGAACAACGAGGATAGCCCGCAGGTCTATATAGCTTTCTACATACAGGCACGCATACCACGACGAAACTTACTTTCGGAGAATAAACTGCAAATTCAATGCAGATATCACGGCCGGGCACACTCTTTTAATAGCATCCTAAGTATAGCGGTTCTGGCCCACCTGCACGATCCTTAGGTAACATATGCAGGCGCGGTCCAAGCAGTTGAAAAATACTAAGTTCCCAGATGTTGACACCCAATGGCTGTTCGGGTGCATATTGTGTTTGGCTTTAGTGTTTGTTGATCCTACGGCAACCCGTTGCTGGATTTGGGAGCAAATTTTAGGTATCACACAATACCCCACATTATACCCCACAGGGATTAGTAGCTGGCTAAAGCTCCCAAGTTGCAGAGAACTCGAGAGTAATCACATCGCCATGTCACAGTGGGAAAAGCGAATCCGCGACCTGTTCAGAACGGCGCCCAGAGGTGAGACGTCCGAGCTTCGCAAAGGTCTTGTCTCACAGTACGCTCATGAACGTAAAGATGCCATCGAGAGAACCATTCATGCCATGACATTGGGCAAGGATGTTAGCGGCTTGTTCCCTGACATTCTTAAGAACCTGGCTACTCACGATCTCGAACAGAAGAAATTGGTCTATTTATATCTCATGAACTACGCGAAAACACACCCGGAGCTCTGCATTCTTGCGGTGAATACCTTTGTTCAAGACACTGAGGATCCGAATCCACTAGTTAGGGCTCTTGCCATCCGCACTATGGGCTGCATCCGTGTCGATAAAATGGTTGACTATATGAACATACCTTTACAAAAGACCTTGAAAGATGAAAACCCGTATGTTCGCAAGACAGCCGCAATTTGTGTCGCGAAACTATTCGATCTGAACTCTCAACTCGCTATCGAGGAGGGTTTCGTTGAAGAGTTGCAAAACCTTATGGATGATGCAAACCCCATGGTTGTGGCGAATGCGGTTTCAGCACTCGCAGAGATCCAAGATGCCGCACCACAGACCAAGTGTTTCGAAATCACAAGTACCGTCCTGGTAAAACTTTTGGCCGCGTTGAACGAGTGTACGGAATGGGGCCGTATCTCTATTCTCACCGCCCTGGCTGATTACAAGGCCGAAAACGCTGAAGAGTCTGGCCATATCTGTGACCGCGTTGTGCCGCAGTTCCAGCATGTCAATCCTAGCGTTGTTTTGGCAGCCATCAAAGCAGCCATTGCCCACATGCCCAGCCAGCCTAATGATGTTCAAGAGACCTTGAAACGTAAAATGAGCTCTCCACTAGTAACTCTTTTGTCCACTCCTCCAGAGTTGCAGTACGTCGCGCTGCGCAATATTCGAATCATTTTGCAAAAGTACCCCTCGATTGCCGCCAAGGAGTTGCGTGTATTTTACTGTAAATACAACGACCCATTATATCTCAAGCTAGAAAAAGTTGAGATTATGGTGAATTTGGCGACTGAAAACAATGTCAAGCAGCTCATTGCAGAGTTGAACGAGTACTGCCACGAGGTGGACATGGAGTTCGTTCGTAGAGCGATTCGCGCCTTGGGCCAATGTGCAATCAAGCTAGAAAGCTGTGCTCCTGCTGTCGTTGATTGTTTACTGGATCTTCTGGACAATAAGATTTCTTATATCGATCAAGAGGTCATGATTGTTATGCGTGATATTTTGCGCAAGTACCCTGCGTTTGAAGACGCCATCCCACGCTTATGCGATAGTATAGAAGAGATCGATGAGCCTGAGAGTAGGGCAGCTATTGTTTGGATTCTTGGTGAGTACTCTGATAAAATTCCGCCCATCAAGTCTCTCATCGCACCGTTTTGCAGATCCTTCTTGGAAGAAGGCACCCAGGTTCAGCTTCAAGTTTTGACTGCTGCTGTCAAGCTCTATATTAAACGTCCCGACGAAGGGAAGGAGCTTATTCACGAGCTCTTACAAACAGCAACGTCAAAGAGCGATAATGCTGACATTCGCGACCGCGCCTATGTATACTGGCGAATTTTGTCTAGTGATCCTGCGGTTGCCAAAAAGATTGTTCTGGCTGAGCGTCCTATTATTGAGACAACTATTGAAAAAATGCCAGAGAGTTTATTGAACGAGCTTTTGGGTGAGATCTCTACCCTTGCCAGTGTCTATCACAAATCTCCTGCAAACTTTATGGGCCGTGGTAGATACGGCTCGGACGAAGTACAAAAGCGCGCGTTGGAAGAACAGCGTCAAGCCAAGGATGAATTGAACGACGATAATCTGCTTGATCTTGATAGTGGTGAGCCTGCCAAGAGCGATTTGAACATGCTCACAGACATTTTCATGAACCAGCCTAGCAGTAATAATTCTGCCACAACAGGTGCTGCAAACAGTGCCAGCGACGATATTCTATCCTTGTTTGCTTCCGTTACTGCGCCTGTGCCCACTCCATCGGGCGGCTCTTCTGGTGCGGCTCCTTCGGCAGACCCTTTCAACTTTAGTTCGCTGAACATCCAACCCACAAAGCCGTCACCGTCTCTAGTGGCAGCTGTCACAACCAGCACCACTTCGTCCAACGGCTCATTTGATGACCTCTTTGGTTCGCAAAGTGCATCTGTACCCCCACCGACTACCTCTGGTGGAGATTCAAAAAACGACTTGCTAGACTTATTCTAAATGATTACTCGTCTTTAACTTCTTTTTTAGCGTCCGAAGGCATGAATAGATTAATTTTTCCTGAGGCAGTCCCCCCCGCAAGCCAGTTCTCTGTGCGATGGAATTGGACGACTGCTGGCACTGCACTCATGCCGTACCCATCCAGATGGGCAATTTGCTGCCCAGTATTAGAGAATACGTCAATGTAACGCTTCATATTACCGATAGTGAACTTCTGAATGCCGTCTCGCGGTCTCTCGTGCCACCGGGCTTTGAAAATGGAAACCCACCGACCGGTTTGACAGTTGTGTTTGATGCGTACGGAAGGCTGTAGCTCGATGTTTTCGGACATCTCCCAATCGCTTGGAATGTCGATAACATTGACCGTGTCGTCATACCCATTGCAAACAATCTGGCCCGCAGTGTTCCATGAAGCCGCACTAACACTCAATCTCGAGTGATACTGTCCATATAGCTCTACCTTTTCGTTACGAATGTCCCAAACCTTCAGCGTTCGGTCTAAGCTTGCTGTTGCAATTTGATATGGATTCATTGGGTTTACTGCAAAACCACCAATCTTCTTTTCATGCAACTCTTGAGCAGGCTTTTGAGTACTTGCTCGTAAATCGACTTTTCCAAAATCACCTTGTAGAGTGGTGTAGTATAACGTGTTTGTATCCACGAGCGCTATATCGGAAACACCGATGGGATCATGGGGGTTAGAGTCGTAGATGAACGCTTCGGTACTTTTCGCGGCCGGAAGCTCCAATTTTCTGACGGAGCCGTCATAAGAGGCAGTATAAATCCGAGTGGGGTTCTCTGGATCAACAAGAATTGTTGCAATTGAGCCGGTATGCGTCTGGAAGCTCAAAACCCCCTCGTCGTCGGGTCTAGAGGTGTCCCAAATTCCCAATTCACCGGTTTTGTCACCTGCCAAAACCATTGGCTTCTCGGCTGACGGGTGAAATGCAATCGAATATATACGTGCCTGTGTGAGCTTGAAGTCTCGCTCGTCCAATGTGAGATTTGCGAACTCCTCTCTAGCGGCAGCCAAGGTCTTATCGGTTACGGGGATACTGTCGAAGAAGTCGCCTTGGGACAATTTTGAGCCGAAACTTCCCAGAATATCAAGAGCTTGCTCCCATTTGCCTTCTCCCACAACCTGCTGAAGCTTAATTTCGCCCTCTTTCCTTGCTCGTTCTCGCTCTACTTTCAGCTTGACCTCGTCCTCCAATTGCGCCTTCGCGACGTCATATTCGTCTTCAATTTTCACTCCCTCGAGTCTGCGGGATTTGCGTCGCGGCAGTTCCTCTGTTGACTTTTTTTTGTCTTGAGCAGCCTTTACAGATCTTTGGCTGGCGGGTTTTTTCGGTTTTGGACTGCCTCCAAACGCGGCATTGCTCAATTCCTGAAGCTGTAAATCTCGCAGCAGTTTCTGATTGCGTTCTATATTCGCTTCCCTTTGCTTTTCAAGGTCACTCACCATTTTCACACGTCACTAATTGAACCAGATTAAACCCTTCCGTTTGTCATCGGGGGCGATCTCCCACTTTTAAATGTCGAATATTCTCAAAATCTTCCAAAAGAATAAAGAACAGCAGCCGATAGAGCAAGAAGAGTGTCTTGGCTGTCTTCTAACTGCTGCCACCGTTATGACTTTCGGTGGTGCTTATTTGGCCAGTGGCATGGTATTCTACAACAAGGGTCAGCCTCTTCCTGATGTGACGCCGACCTACAAGTTTGGCGTGCGAGCTGCCGGAGGAGCAGTTACATTGTTTGGATTCTATCGAGCGTATCAAGCGTATGATTTCTATAGCAAACACGGCTGGGGAGGATTTCAATAGCGGGCTCCAAAAAACGTTGTACATAATATATATTAGCCACCACCTGCTCAAAGTTCGTTCAAATTAAACCCGTGGCAACTTGGCAGCCCATTCGAGCAAGTTGCCCGGGTTTTGTTTTCCCATTATGTAGAAGGAAGTGTTCCTTAACTCTCTTGGAGTCATTCGTTTCTCTGCTTCCATCAGACAGCGTTGAACAAACTGCTTAGAAGCATCAGAGAAATTTGCTGGAAGGCTAGGCGGGGGTTCTTCCACGATTCTTTGCAAGAGCTCGAAAAGAGACAGCGGCGACACTGAGTTGTTGTCACCAGATGCAAAGGGGAATCGGCCTAGAGCCAACTCTACTAGCACAAGACCCAACGACCAGACATCGCCGGCTGCTGTGTACTGGCTTCCTTTGATTCTTTCGGGAGACATGTATGTTGACGTGCCCACAAACGTTTCAGCCAACGAGTCGATTAGCACACCAGAGACACCGAAATCACACAATTTGATTTCTCCACGGGAATTAACGAGAATGTTTGATGGTTTGAGATCACGGTGTGTGATATTAAGGTCTTTCAGGTAGTTGATCCCATCCACGACGGCTGCATTCACACTGGCCAATATATCTTCAGGAAACGGGCCTATTGCCTTGTAAATTTTGTCGAGAGAACCACAATCCATGAATTCCATGCAAATAGTCACAGACTTGGGTTCCACGATTTGTCCATAGTATTTTACGATAAAGTCAGAGTCACATACCCGCAGAGTCTCAAGCTCTTGGGCGATGGCCTTTTGAACTTTCATATTGGACTCCAAATTAATGAGTTTCTTCGCCATATACGTATTAGTTGGCGGATGGTAGACTTTATAAACTGTCCCACCATTGCCGTAGCCGAGTTCTGCGACCACCTGCAACTCGTCTTGGAGAGGGTAGACGTCAAACTCGACTCCAGGTTTGAGGGAGTCTTGACTTAACGGTGCATCTGCAACAGGCATCTGTGCATGTGGATCAAGCTGGAGGTGCTTGAAGTTCTTGCGGCGTAGAGTTTTCGGAGTTGGTATCATCATGCAATAAATATGGCCCAATGTTTCAGGTGGTAAACAAGTTATAGCTTGAGTGGATTTTGAGGTAGCACCGTGAAGCAAGATCACAGCGAGGCACCAGAGAAAGGAAAATCAGCCAGCCGAAATTAAAAGTTTATAATCTGGGGAAATTCGTTGGCCAAGCTGAGTTGTTGGAGATTCAAACTTTAACAGCAACCAAGTGGGGCAAAAACTCCACAATTGGTGCAATAAATAACAGAAAATTGGACCAAAAACCCAGGCACTGTTTTCTGGAGCCTTGTTATTAACCTTTCTGTCAATGAAATCGAGGCACAGGTTGTCACGGTCCGGTGAGGCGGATAGGACGTTGTGTGAAATCCACTGACGGATGATGCGCCGACAGAGGGCGCGCAGTCTAACCGAGAGTTACCCTACCCTCATTAAAGAGGGGATTAGAACCACAACCTGGCGTTAGGTGGAAGGCGAAGATTAGTAACTGGGATCGCTCCACCTCAAGACACCTTTATATTCTATTTGAACTAGAACATCCGCCGCAAACAGTTTGTGCCCCAAACCTGCGGAATCGTGTGAAAACAAAAGAGACACTGTGGTCACAACCTATCTGATACATCCACCGGTCTTTTATCCCAAAACACCCAGCCATTGAATCCAAATGAGTGAACTCGTTGAAGGAATGAAAGCGGCTTCTCTAGACGACTGGAAGTCGCAACTTAAGCTTCCCAAAAAAGACACACGCCCACAAACTGAAGACGTTACTGCCACAAAGGGCACAGGGTTTGAAGATCTTGATCTTAAGCGTGAGTTGCTGATGGGCATTTTTGAGGCTGGCTTCGAAAAGCCCTCACCTATTCAGGAAGAGGCTATCCCCATTGCCCTTGCCGGCCGTGACATTCTGGCTCGTGCAAAGAATGGAACTGGCAAGACAGCAGCTTTTGCTATCCCCGCGCTTCAGCAGGTCCATCCGGCTCTGAACAAAACGCAAGCCCTCATCCTCACCCCTACTCGTGAGCTTGCTTTGCAGACCTCTCAGGTCTGCCGTACTTTAGCAAAGCATCTCGGTATCAATATCATGGTCACAACTGGCGGAACATCGCTGCGCGATGATATTATCCGCTTGAACGAAACAGTGCATGTGATTGTCGGCACCCCTGGCCGAGTACTAGATCTTGCCAGCCGTAAAATTGTTGACCTTAGCGAATGCCCCCTGTTTATTATGGATGAGGCTGATAAGCTGCTAAGTCGTGAGTTCACCACAGTAATCGAGCAGTTATTGGCCTTTTTCCCTAAGGACCGTCAAACCCTACTGTTCTCGGCAACTTTCCCTCTGGCCGTTAAACATTTCACGACTAAACATCTCAACAAGCCATATGAGATTAATTTAATGGATGAGCTCACTCTTCGCGGTATCACGCAGTATTATGCCTTCGTCGAAGAGAGTCAAAAACTGCGATGCCTCAACACCTTGTTCTCCAAACTGCAAATCAACCAGAGCATCATTTTTTGCAACTCGACCTCTCGTGTTGAGCTACTTGCTCGTAAAATCACTGAACTTGGGTACTCTTGTTATTATTCTCACGCTCGTATGCCCCAGGATGCCCGTAACAAGGTATTCCATGAATTCCGCAATGGAGGCTGCCGCAACCTTGTATGCACCGATTTACTTACTCGTGGTATCGATATTCAGGCTGTGAATGTCGTTATCAATTTTGATTTCCCCAAGACTGCTGAAACTTATCTCCATCGGATTGGCCGATCTGGCCGATTCGGTCACTTGGGTCTGGCTATCAACCTTGTTAGCTGGAACGACCGCTTTAACCTCTACCGTATTGAGCAGGAGCTCGGTGTTGAAATCAAACCCATCCCTGCTCAAATTGATGGTGCGCTTTACGTTGCCAACGATAGTTCTGTGATCCCAACTCCTATGAGTGCTCGTGACCCTAGACCCAAAGCCAAGGTCGCCGAGAAGGGCTCTGATGAGCCCAGCCACACAAACGGAAAACAGGGCAAGCAAAGCAAGCGCAACAGCCCCGACCACAATTCTTGGCCGAAAGAGGCCTCCGCCTCTTCTCCCTCTCTTGCTCAGAAGGCATCTACCCCTTCTAGTCAACCAGCCCAACCACCTGCTTCCACGCCCAACGCACAAGCAAACCAGCAGGGAGTCCCTGTTCAGCAAGGCCAGATGCCCAACCAGTTTGCATACTACGGTATGCAACCGGGAGCCATGCCCAGTGGCCAACTACCTCAGGGGCCTCAGTATGGCCAGCAAGGAGCACAACAACAGCAATATCCGTATGCTCAAATGCCATATGGCTATCAGATGCCCTACAATGGCTACGGCTACCCCATGAACGCTTATCAAGCGCCGAACCCGCAGTGAGGGTGTCGCCCAGGGGGGCCAATTGGTAGCAATTGAATACTATACTCGTCACTTTCGTTTAATATCAGTCTTTTGCATATGCTTTATCTAGTGTCAATAAGCTACTTGCCCACCCCCAGGCTGTTCATAGGGAAACCCCACCCACAGCTCATGCCTTCTAGGATTAAAAACCTAGACCCACACGAAAAGGGAACCTTTGGTAAGCCAATAAGCAACGTGTAATTTTTCACGCGATGAAAAAAAAGCCTAACTTGGGAAACCTAAAGAATAAATTTGGAAGAAAGTTTGCTAGATGTGCACAATTCACACAAGCAATTAAGGTTGTGGAGTCCTGGGTCAATTCGCAAATAAATTTATAATTTCATCGCCACCGCGGGCCTTCTGTCCTGTAGAAAAGTAAAAAGCACACACAAGGTTAGGGTCGAAAATTTTTTTCAGAGTATATAACAATTTGGCTTAGTATAGGGAAATTTTCTACCGGTAATCTCAATGTCTGCTGCGGCTGAGAAAAACAACTCCAACCAAATCCTCTCGGAGCTGTTCGAGAAGCTGGTCATTTCCACTGACGATAACCGCAGTGAGAATGTCCACTCTGTTGCCAGTTTCGTGAACGGTCCTATTGAGGAACATGATCTCCCCGAGGAGTTCTTTGCCAACCTCAAGGGTGCCTTGACCAACAAGAAGGATGCTGCCAAGCGCCTTAATGCGGTTGCCGCCATCAAGGGTATCGCTGACTCTAACCAGCTTGCCCCCAGCGTTGAGCCTCTGTTGGTTGCCTTGACCAGCGATGTTCTTGCCTTGGCTGGTGACAAGGACGCCGTCATCCGTGACGAGGCCACTGCTGCCGTCAAGCACATTGCTTCTAACGTCACTCCCCGTGCTGTCAAGGCCTTGATTCCCCACTTGATTGACTCTGTCCACGACAGTGGCGCCAAGTGGACCCAGAAGACCGCTGCCTTGGAGGCTATCTCCGTTTTGGTCGACTCTGCCCGCGACCAGGTTGCTCTGCGCATGACTGAGCTTATCCCCGTCCTTTCTGAGGCTATGTGGGATACCAAGAAGGAGGTCAAGGCTTCTGCCACTTCCACTGCCACCAAGGCCACCGACACTGTCGATAACAAGGATATTGAGAAGTTCATTCCCGCCCTTATCTCATGTATCTCCAACCCCAAGGAGGTCCCCGAGACTGTTCACTTGCTCGGTGCCACCACCTTCGTTTCCGAGGTCACCACCGCCACCCTTTCTATCATGGTTCCTTTGCTGTCCCGTGGTTTGGTCGAGCGTGAGACTTCCATCAAGCGTAAGGCTGCCGTCATTATCGATAACATGTGCAAGCTTGTCGACGATCCCCAGGTTGTTGCTCCTTTCTTGCCCAAGCTTTACCCTGCTTTGAAGAAGAACTACGACACCATTGCCGACCCCGAGGCCCGTAACGTTACTCTTCGTGCCATCAACACCCTCAAGCGTGTTGGTGAGATCGGTGCTGATGACAAGATTCCCGAGGTCTCCACTGCCGGTGATGTTGCTGTCAACCGTGCTATTATCGACGATCTGCTCAAGGACAAGAAGGTCGATAAGCGCTACAACGTCATCATTGACTACGCTGCTGCTATTGCCGGTGACCTCATTGATGAGCGCAAGATTGATGAGATCGAGTGGGTTGAGTCCCTCCGCCCCTTCTTGGTTGTTCTCTTGCACTCCCAGGAGGCCAGCGACCTCATCTCTGAGCTTAACAAGCGTGCCGTTGCCAACATCCCCGGTACTGCTGTCTTCGACGAAGAGGACGACGAGGGTGAGGATCTGTGCAACTGTGAGTTCTCTCTTGCTTACGGTGCCAAGATTCTGCTTAACCGCACTCAGCTCCGTCTCAAGCGCAACCGTCGTTACGGTTTGGTCGGCCCCAACGGTGCTGGTAAGTCTACTCTGATGCGTGCTATTGCTAACGGCCAGGTCGAGGGCTTCCCCTCCCAGGACGTTCTTAAGACCGTCTACGTCGAGCACGACATCGATGGCACTCACGCTGATACCAACGTTGTTGAGTACGTTCTTGCCACTACTGGCGATACTGTCGGCTCTGAAGAGGAGGTTCGCGCTCAGCTCATTGACTTCGGCTTCACCGACGAGATGACCCGCATGCCCATCACCTCCCTTTCGGGTGGTTGGAAGATGAAGTTGGCCCTTGCTACCGCTGTGTTGCGTAAGGCTGACATTCTCTTGCTCGATGAGCCCACTAACCATTTGGATACCGTCAACGTTGCTTGGCTCGAGAACTACCTCATGACCTGTGGTATCACCTCCATCATTGTGTCCCACGACTCTGGTTTCCTCGACAAGATCTGTCAGTACGTTATCAATTACGAGCGCTTCAAGCTTCGTAAGTACAAGGGTAACTTGACTGAGTTCGTCAAGAAGTACCCCCCTGGACGCTCCTACTTCGAGCTTGGTGCCTCTGAGGTTGAGTTCCGCTTCCCTGAGCCCGGTTTCCTTGAGGGTGTCAAGACCAAGCAAAAGGCTATTGTCAAGGTCTCCAACATGACCTTCCAGTACCCCGGTACTTCCCGCCCCCAGATCCAGGACATCACCTTCCAGTGCTCTTTGTCCTCTCGTATTGCCGTCATTGGTCCTAATGGTGCTGGTAAGTCCACTCTTATCAACGTTTTGACTGGTGAGTTGCTGCCCACTTCTGGTGATGTCTACGTCCACGAGAACTGCCGTATTGCCTACATCAAGCAGCACGCTTTCGCCCACATTGATAACCACTTGGACAAGACTCCTTCCGAGTACATCCAATGGCGTTTCCAGACTGGTGAGGACCGTGAGACCATGGACCGTGCCAACCGTCAAATCGATGAGAGCGACGAGGCTGCTATGAACAAGATCTACAAGATTGAGGGTACCCAGCGCCGTGTCGCCGAGGTCTTGGCTCGTCGTAAGTTCAAGAACTCTTACGAGTACGAGTGCTCTTTCTTGCTCGGTGACAACATCGGCATGAAGTCTGAGCGCTGGATCCCCATGGGTTCCGTCGACAACGCCTGGATCCCCCGCTCCGAGCTTATTGAGTCCCACTCCAAGCAGGTCGCTGAGGTTGATATGAAGGAGGCTCTTGCTTCTGGTCAGTTCCGTCCTCTTACCCGTAAGGAGATCGAGACCCACTGCGAGATGTTGGGTCTGGATGCCGAGCTGGTCTCGCACTCGCGTATCCGCGGTCTTTCCGGCGGTCAGAAGGTCAAGCTTGTGTTGGCCGCTTGTACTTGGCAGCGCCCTCACTTGATCGTCCTTGATGAGCCCACCAACTACTTGGATCGTGACTCTCTTGGTGCCCTCTCCAAAGCCCTTAAGGCCTTCGAGGGTGGTATTGTCATCATTACCCACTCTGCTGAGTTCACTCGTGACATCACCGATGAGGTCTGGGCCGTCCTTGACGGTAAGATGACTCCTTCCGGCCACAACTGGGTTCAGGGCCAGGGCTCCGGCCCCCGTCTTGAGTCCAAGGACGACGAGGAGGAGAAGTTCGACGCTCTCGGCAACAAGATCGAGACTAAGAAGAAGGTCAAGAAGTTGTCGGCCGCCGAGCTCCGTAAGAAGAAGAAGGAGCGCATGAAGAAGAAGAAGGAGTTGGGCGATGCCTACGTCTCTTCTGATGACGAGTTTTAAGTAAAATTCACGATCTTTTTCTTTCCTAGATATGTAGTAACTCTTTCTAATCTTGCTTATATCAACCTACTCTACACATGTCCACCGATCAATTGACGAGGAGAGCTCTGTCGGTGCTAAAGGATAGTGGGAAGGATCGCATTGTGGTCACAATTGCCGGCATACCCGGATCGGGGAAATCGACTGCCGCAGCCAATGTCGCTGCCGCGTTGAATGCGATTAGTCCTGGAATTGCTGCAGTTGTGGGGATGGACGGATTTCACTATTCTCGGGCGCAATTAGACAAATTCAACGATCCGGTGAGTGCTCATAAGTTTAGAGGTGCTGCATTCACATTTGACGCGGAAAAAGTGGTGGAATTGGCTCGCAGCCTTCACGATAGCTCCAGGCCTATACCGGTGCCAAGTTTCGATCATGCCAAAAAAGATCCCGTGAAAGATGGGATTGTTATTGATCCAAAGGCTAAAATTATTATTTTCGAGGGTCTCTATTTACATTTGGATGTCAGTCCGTGGAGTGAACTCATGTCATACTCTGACGACAGCTGGTTCGTTGAAATCGACAAGTCAGTTGCTCGAGATCGTCTAGCGAGACGGCATGTTACAAGCGGAATTTGTGATACATTAGAGCAAGGTTATGAGCGGGCTGATTTCAATGACCTGCCTAATGGTGAGTTTATTATTGAACACAACCAGGCCTCAAAGCTTTATATTTCAGGTTCAGCAAAGTAGTCCTCATCATATTCCCCTCTCAATACGAGACTGGTCCACCGCATAAAGTCCCAATTGACCCAATTTTCGGAAGGATTGGGCGTATGCCAATAATTTACCGACATATTTATAGCGTCGCCGTCGTCGATAATTTCCACCTGATGATACCATAACGCCGGTATATATAGCACTTGACCAGGCTTTAAATCGAGCACGTATTTAGTGCACGGGGTGAACTCAGGGCTCCGGGGATCCACGGTTGGGAAAAGTACCGTTGATGGAGGTTCGTCTATTTTGATAACAAACTTTTCATCTTGTAGGTCATAAGTGGCAGCTTTGAGGAACTTTTCTTTACAGCAGTCCACTTCCCCGGGAGGAACTAGCCACATACGTTTCGTACCCTGGATTTGAACGTAAATATTGTCGTAGTTATCGCTGTGCATACGTGAGGTAGTTCCTGCTGCTCCAATCCATAGATTTACTGCCTCAGTGGGTCCTAGCAGTTTTGTACCTGGTAAATTGAGTTTTTTGGGTATAATAGACTCGGGCAATTGTGCAAACTCACGATTCAGGTTGTCATCCTGGCTTTGCATGTAGTAATGTGAATTTTCAGCCTGAGTTCTAATAGCCGTCAAAAGCTCAGCAACAGACATTTGCTGAATGTAAGGCTTCACAAACAGATCCCCCAACGGAGCGTCTGCATTTCCAAAGGGCGTTCTTGCGACGGGAACAACGATATCCTTGACTTCGTTTAATATCTGCGCGGAGCTTACTGCTAGAACTGGGGGAAGTAGACACGGTCGACTAACAGCAATATGAAGATCGAGATCCCCAACAGATACCTCCTCCACCTCGAGGGGGTATTCTGCTGCAGCGATTTCCGCACGCCGTTGCAACCCTCGCTGGATCATACTTTGGAAAGCCATTACCCTAGCCCGGCCTTCGTGAATGTTTAAAGTGCCCAGAGAGCCATATTCAGAGCATGTGGCACTTGGTACGTTTACAAGTTTTTCAATTCTGCATATATTTTCGACTAGTAGTTGATGTGTCTTGTATTTTGGAATGTAAGCGCATCAATATGCAACCAATCTAGTGAATTTTAGCAGGCGATACATTGCATAACCGTTCGATTCTCGATAGCAATTCTCCGCCAAATTTCCTATCAGAAGAATGCGACTAAACCAGGCTCTGAGCTGAGAAACCATATTTCGACGCACAGTAAAGTTCACACACCTTATCGCCTAGCTGTTATCGGAATTGGCACGGTCCTTACCCTGACATATATCAAAGAAACTACTACTAAATAACCATTATTGTGAGAATTGACTCCGGAATTTCAACTAATAGCACTCAGATGTAAATCAGATGCTGACGGTTCGCAGTTTGGCCGAGCCAGCTCAATCGGAACGACTCGCTTAACGTTAGGATTTTTTCGGCGATCGCCGTTGGGTGGTTGTTGCTGATAGGAGATTTTCGATAAGACCCATGCACGTCGCACGCTCCGGTGTCCAACTATAAATATGAATCAATTGAACAGAAACGATACTTAGAAAACTAAAACATGTCAGCTATTGTTATTCCTACTACCAAGCACTCTCTTGAGGAGCTCAATCGTGAGTCCCAAATGGGTCGCATTGGAACTGAAGACCGAGAGCGCGAGGTACGCCAAATCAGCCTCAAGAATTTCGAATCGCGTCGGGCTGAGATTACCCAGCATCTATGGTCTGCTGCTACCGATATTGGTTTTTTCCAGCTCGTTGACCATGGAATTGACATGGACGAAGTGAACCACGCATTCGAAATGTCGGCAAAGTTCTTTGCCTTGCCCAAAGACGTCAAGTCCAAGTTCTCCTTGAAGACGGGCCAGAACGCCGGCTGGGAGTACATGAGCCAGGTCAGGCCCTCCACTGGAACTGCCGATCAAAAGGAGTCGTATCAGTTCACTCGTCCTCGAATGGAGGGCCTGTGGCCGAGTGAGGACGAGATTGCCGGCTTTAAGGCTACCCTTGAGGATTTTGAGCACAAATGCTATGAGACTGCTATGTTTGTGTTGAGCTGCTTTGCAGACAAGCTTGGTTTGGACCGTGATTTTTTCACCCAGGCTCACGATCCCACCAGCCCCACCTATCAGAGCACTCTGCGTCTTATTCACTATTATCCTCTTCCTGACGAGATGTTGGACGAGGAAAACGTTTGGAGAGCCGGTGCTCATACTGACTTTGACGCGTTGACTCTTTTATTCCAACGCAAAGGCCAGGGTGGGCTCCAGGTGCTTCCTGGTGCCGAAGCTCAGACTCACGCGTGGACACCTGTTCCTCCCCTAGAGGATGCAATCACCTGCAACATTGGTGACATGCTCATGAGATGGTCGGACGATGCTTTACCGTCTAATTTCCATCGGGTTCGCGCCCCTCACCGGGGTGAATACAGTGGTCCCCGCTACAGTATTGCCTACTTTGCTCAGGCCAACACTGACGTATTGATCACTAGCGCCTCAGGCAAGTATCCTTCTATTACTGCTGCAGATTACTTGGCTCAGCGTATCGCTGCTAACTTTGCCGAATGAAGAGGCAATGTCATAAGTTCAGACCAATTCTATGATCCATTGGTTACTGTTCATGTATGAAACGTATTATAGCTACTTGAATATGTATTAAATACATCCAAACATAACCACCAACAAAATTTCAGTCTTATCCCCCAATAAACTATCAATTTCCTCTTGGGTTAGGTGTAACCGAGGCCAGCAGTTTTGTGGGGAAGAACCACTTACCCAATCACTCATCCCTACTGATGCTTCGTAACTTTGGTACTTTCGGCAAGCAGATTTCGCGGGCTCGTTTATTGTCTACGCTGACCCTGATCGAGCACGGCAATGGTGCTGCTCTTCCTGGCTCCCTCAGTGCTCTTGCTGCTGCAAAGCAGTTGGGTGGTCCCGTTACCGCTCTGATCGCGGGTAGCGAAGGATCGCAGGTGGCCCAGCAGATCGCCAAGGTCGATGGCGTGGAGAAGGTTCTTGTTGCTGGTAACGAGGTTTACAACCACAGCATGCCTGAGACTACCTCTGCTTTGTTGGTCGACGTTGTTAAAGCCGGCAACTTCACCCACGTTGTGGCTCCGTCTTCGGCATTCGGTCGTGCAGTTGTGCCCCGCGCTGCTGCTCTTCTTGACGTCCAGCCCGTCACCGATGTTATCAAGATCGAGGGCGAGGACACATTCGTTCGTCCTATTTTCGCTGGCAACGCCCTTTCCACTGTAAAAAGCACCGATGCCATTAAAGTCTTGACTGTTCGTGGTACTGCCTTCGACGCTGCCACTGAGGGTTCTGGTTCTGCTGCTGTTGAGGATGCCGTTGACCCCAAGCCTGCTCCTCAGTCCGAGTGGGTTTCCGAGCAGATTGTCAAAAGCGAGCGTCCCGACCTCGGCACCGCAGACCGGGTCGTCTCTGGTGGCCGCGGTCTCAAGTCCAAGGAGCAGTTCGAGGCGGTTATGTATCCCTTTGCAGATGCTGTTGGTGCTGCCGTTGGTGCTTCTCGTGCCGCTGTCGACTCTGGGTTTGCCGATAACAGTTTGCAGGTGGGTCAGACCGGTAAGGTGGTCGCCCCGGAATTGTACGTCGCGGTCGGCATTTCCGGTGCCATTCAGCACCTGGCTGGTATGAAGGACTCCAAGGTCATTGCCGCCATTAACAAGGACGCTGATGCACCCATCTTCCATGTCGCTGACGTCGGTTTGGTTGCCGATCTTTTCGAGGCTGTGCCTGAGCTCACCAACAAGCTCAAGTAAGTCTTAATGACCCCCATACAAAACAACCCAGAGTGCTGCTATATATAAAGTAAACTAGCCAATTGGTTTTCATGACCCAACCGGCCAGCTCTTTAATTGAGATTACTCATGGACCAGCCGGCTCTCACCCACCTGAATGCAGGAAACTCAACCCCTTTTGAACCGGAAACCTAAATGGTATATCGCGTATTATATTCCGTGTTTGAGATGGATGAGCGAGTACAAATGGTCTTATTTAATAGGAGATATCACAGCTGGGTTGACTCTCGCTAGTTTCCAAATTCCCTTGAGTATTTCTTATGCATCGTCCCTGGCGCATGTCGACACCCATTGCGGTCTTTGGGGCCTGATTATCCCCCCTTTTATTTATTCATTGTTTGGTTCTGTTCCAGTTATGGTCGTTGGTCCAGAAGCATCCCTGTCTTTGGTGGTAGGCCAGACCGTAGCACCGTATCTGCACGACGATGGCCCCGGCATCACGTCCTCGGATCCGTCGCGACTTACCACAACGGTTATTGCCTCGCTTATCACAGCTACTGTAGGTCTTGTTGTGCTGGCTTTAGGACTGATGCGTGCTGGCTTCCTCGAATCCATTGTTCCGCCGTCTCTGCTACGAGGTTTCATTAGCGGGGTAGGTCTGGTCATGATAACTGATCAAGTTCCTTCTCAATTGGGACTCGCAGATAAGATGCACAAAGAACTGCCTCCAGATGCGTCTTCATTTCACAAACTTATGTTCAGTTTCCACCACTACAAGAAAGCACACCGTTTGGAGACAACCTTCTCCATATGCGGTATCATTGCGATTATCACACTAAAAGTCATCAAGTCGAAGCTCAGTAAGAAAAGAAAGTGGGTTGCTCTTTTCCCCGATATCCTAGTGGTTGTCATATTCTCTGGTTTTATTACCTGGTGGGGTTCGTTTGCCGAAAAGGGGCTTCAAGTCATTGGCAACGTCGATGCCACTGGAATATCATTTGATTGGATGCTGCGACCTAAATATTTCAAAGACTTTCGTCTGAATTTCAGCTCATCTTTCTTTATTGCCGTCTTAGGCTTCCTGGAGAGTACGGTCGCGTCTCGGGCATTGGGGCGAGGCGATCTCAACGTTTCAGCAAACCGTGAACTAGTGGCTTTGGGCCTCGCAAATTTGGTGGGTTCTCTTTTCGAGGCTTTACCCTCTTTCGGTGGTTATGGCCGGTCCAAAATCAACAAGATGTCTGGGGCTAGAACGCAGCTGTCATCCATGGTAATTGCCGCCGTAACTCTGTTTACAGTCTACTTCTTGATGGGGTATCTCTATTATGTTCCCAAGTGTATTTTGTCTTGCATTGTTGCTAGCGTCGGGGTTTCTTTGGTTGAGGAAGCACCAACCGACATTCTGTTTTTCCTCAGGGTTAAAGGATGGAACGATCTGGTCACCATCACCATATCCTCTTTGGCAACGTTCTTCTGGTCGGTCGAAGCTGGTGTCACAATTGGTGTGTTCTATGCTTTAATTCGCGTTATACATCATGCTACTCGCCCTAGAATCCAAATTTTGACCAAGCATGCAGATACCCGTGAATGGGTCAACGCGGACGAGATGCGTCTGGAAGGTCCGGATGCGGACGAAGTTGAGGCATTCCCCATTAACTCGGGTACCCTTGTCGTAAAGATTCCTGAACCATTGACATTTGCCAACTGTGGAGACCTGGGCAACCGTCTGCAGCGACTTGAAAGGCATCGCACGGTGAATGCCCACCCTGCACAGCCAGCAACTGACACCGAGCTTCACTATATTATTTTCGATTTAAAAGGAATGACCAGCTGTGATGCCAGTGCGACGAGGTCTTTGCTTCAGATTGTGAGACACTATGTTGAAAAGGGTGTGAAAGTGCTGTTTGCAGAAACACCAAACACATCAAACGTTCGAGAGAGACTTTTCGAGTCCGGCATTGCTAATCTTGTTAACAAGGCGAACAATGGGAATGCTTTCTACGATAGCATCGACAAAGCATTGATGACTTTTGACCCCAGCTCTGCTACCAGCTTGGCCTCCTCAGTTCAGTCAAACTTCAAACCTTCAAGCTCTAGATAGAACATAATATAACTAGACTACACAGTGAAAGTGGCCACGGCCCTTACGGATGCCGTCTTTAACGATCCGGGAAATTTCTTCGGGATCCTTGGTCATCTTGGTAAAGTTCTCATGGCCATCTTTGGTTACCACGATGTCGTCTTCAATGCGAACACCTCCAACCGGCATGTATTTCTCAAGCACCTTCTCATCAAGGTATGATGCAGCAGCTGTAGATTCCTGGCCACTGCGGTAAGGATCAATCAGGTAGTTGTTGAAGTAGCAGCCAGGCTCAACGGTGAGAACCATGTTTTCTTGGAGAGTACGGCGGATACGAAGATAACGAAGCTTAGGATCAGGATCCTCATAATTGGCCCAGCCAGCAGGATCATGGGTATCCATACCAAGCATATGACCAAGACCATGAGGATAGAAAGCAGCAGAGAGACCAGACTTTAAGATATCATCAGTAGTGCCGTTCTTGAAAATACCAAGCTCCAAAAATTTGTCGATTAGAATACGATGGGCCTGGATATGAAGCTCCTCGTAGTTCACACCAGGTCTGATCCTGTCGAGAGCTTGCTTTTGCATATCCAACACAAGCTCATAAATTTCCCGACACTCTTTAGTCCACTCTCCAGTGAGAGGGAATACACGGGTGACATCGGCCGCATAAGTCTGCCATTCGGCACCGGCATCAATCAAAATAAGCAAACGACCAACAATGTCTTCGTCATTCTTGACATAGTGCAAAGTTCCTGCGTTTGTACCTGCACAGCAGATCGGATCGTATGCCTGATTCTTGGAACCTTGACGCATTGCGTGATACACAAATTCAGCGTGGATGTGACCCTCATTCTTTTGAATTGGCATAGCAGACATGACCGCCATATGGCTATTATCAGTGACCTGAGCAGCCTTGCGCAGCAGGTTAAGCTCGAACTCATCCTTGATGACACGGCTCTCATCGAAAGCCTCCAACAACTTGGGGCAGGCTTTAACGCTAGGATATTTCTCACTAGCATCCACAGTCAACGCAGTACGGCCCGACAGAACAGCCTCAAGTTTGTCGGAATACTCTACGGCATCCACATCATAAGCGGCCAAAGCGTCCTCCGGGGAGATTGGCATACCGCTCCACATGACATCATCTTCGTCAATAGGAGGCAAGTACAGCGTTAGTTTATCTGATTTGACATCATAAACCACGTGGGCATCGGGTTTATCGAAAGCACCGGTGATGTAGTTGAAGTAACGGCTCTGGCGGAGCGGAACTGTCTGATCGCAGTGGGGCCAGAGTTTGGTTTCTGTGGCCGGCAAATAAACCAGATAATCCGTTTCAGTCCCGCCTAGCTTTTTATAGAGCTCTGCAACTTTGCGTGCGTGGTTTTTAGCAGGATACCTCATTGTCTGTTCAGGTTAATAGAGAAACCTTGCGGGGGATCATTCATCAGGTTCTGATCTGCACACCTAACCCTGATGCACGACACCGTCATTCTTGGCAGTGGATTTCGGCGAATGTCAATACAAGTCTGTGATTTATGTATATACTTTAGATCCACTCCTGCTGGATTCTTTTATTGCGCGCTATTGGTCTCAGGAACATTACCAGCGCTCCCAGAGAAGCGATAATCGCCAGTAGTTTCGTAGTTTGGAACGTTTCAGGTAGTCGATCGAATTCTCCGGATGGCGAGACACGGGTGTAAAAGACATCAAGGTCACCATAAGCACAAAGAGCAAATGTCGATTCGAGAAGTGTTGTTGCTGTCGTGAATCTGGTAATACCGTGTACGATTCGCTCGTGAGAAATAACCGAGCTATCTGGCGCGGTCAAAACTGTATCTGGCTCTTGTACGGGTTTTCCTTTCTCCGGGCTAACTCTTAGCGCAGATAGACCAAGTTTTGGAACAGACAAAACCTGTGTGTCAGTGGCCATCAACACCTCACGTCGGGTTACACCAAAGTGTGTCACTGAAGTTCCCAGAGCCTGGAGCGGGCTCTTAAGCACCACTACTCTCTGGAAAATCCAAGGAATTTGCGAATCAGTGTAAGGGTTTACTTGATCCGGTGACAAACGCTCATTAAGCACTGAGGACTCGTACAAGTCCAGAATGGACAGTTTTGAGCTGGCAAGTTCATCTTTGGACCTATAGGTAAACGCGACCCAGTGCTCTCCAACCACAATCAAGAACTTGTTCTGGGCGTCAATTGTAACGCTGTCCTCAACTTCGCTCACTGCGAGCGTTCGGCCGGTGATACCATCCAATAGGGTGACAACAAGTCTATTATTTTCATAAGTCGCAACAGCAACCAGATTGGGATTCAGGTACTTGTACCGGACTTTCGCATCACCAACCACGGTGCCAACGTTGGATGTCACTTCGCGAGGGTCCCGACGGGCAGTCCCAACAACGTTTCCAGAGAATCTCCAACTTTCGGAGCCGTTGGCCAAACCTGCGACATAACTTGGCTGAATATCCAGATCAAACTCGGGCTTGGGTGTTTCGGGAACAGCTTGTTCGGTTCCCTCATGACTGAAAGCAATCTTGAAGCCATTGCTCAAGGTGACGACGGCTAGGTTTTCGAAGTTTTCGACAGAGACAGCACCAACATGCTTTTCCCATAATATAGACCGCGAATTAGTGTCAAATGCGTAAACCGAGCCTCTTGAAGTGACAAGTATCAAAGCTTTATGGTAGCCGAACAAAGCATCTTTTTCGTTAACTTGTGTCGAGATACGGAATCTCATCAACTCTTTGACATGACGCTTTACGCGTCCAGACCAATTCTCCAACAAGGTCCCTGAGAGATCGGGTAGCTTGGCGTCAACTGCATGCTCAATTTCCAGAAAGCACGCAGCCACTGTTTGGCTCAATCCCTCAGGCCTGGACCACTCGGGAGCCGAAACAACACCAAACTCATCTACAGTAATATCGCCGAGACCAAAAACGGGTTTAGAGTCCTCGACCGATTCAAGGTCACCGTTGACGACCTTTTTCGGATCATTTCCAACCCAGCCGACGACACCATCAACGCATTTCAAGGCGTCCAGGGTGCCTCCAAACTCGACCTGCTGAGGTTCTTTGCTTCCATGCTCATAAATAAAAACCTTAGAGTCCTTGGCTACTGCAAATGCCGCATTATTTGCACAAACCAAGCTGCCACCAGGGACCGAGGTTAGTCGATCTCCGGAATCCAGCTGCCAAGCCGTGACTTCAGTGTTGCTCGAGGAATAAACTGTATTATTGCCAACAGCAATATGCTGAGCAAGGACTGTTTTTCTCCAAACAAGCACACCGTTGTTGTCGACAAGTGCCAGTTGGTCTCTGTCGGTCAGCATAACATGGCCAGCCGCGGTTTTTACTGCCTCAAATGGGATACCTAGTCCTCGATATTGCCAATCAACTTTATACGCTTGATCATTGAAGACAGCCAAAGCGGGCACGGCCCACGCAGCCCACAGAAAGCGCATTTTCAGGTGAGTGTCAAGTGGGTTGATTAGATGTATGCTATGTGGAGGGGAATGCGGCTTAGAGCACTTTTTTAATAACGATAGGCTCGGAGCTGTAAAACACATTTGTTTCCATGCGTTGTGACTTCTGTTCATTATACCGAGCACTATGCGGAATTAGGACCAAAGAAACGGGGCTTTTGTCAATGGGCTCCCAGTGGTCGAACATGTCAAACTCCAGATCGTCTACGTTGATGCCCTCATCGACAATGACCTGAAATGAGTCTTCGTGAGCATTTTTGGACTGGAATTCGCCCCTGAGTATAGCCTTGTAAATGTCTGTGGATACTTTGCGGTTGTGGGCCCGGATTTGTTGGGTCTTGCTGTATCGGTGGAGCACCATCGCCTGGTTGACGTCATTGCGTTTGCTGGCGACCATGTCGATATAGGCCTCTGTGCGTCTCAGCCACTCCTTGGTCGGCATTGCCTTATAGCCTGGTGGGCCGAACCATGTGGCCAGAACACCGGAGTTTGGAGTGCGGGATCTTGCAACTTTGGCTTCTTCAACCCATGGGTCATGGGGCAGAATAAATCGAAGGCTCTCCGCCAGGGAGAAGAAAATGAGATAAGATCCAGCCATCCAGCCAGCAAAACTGATGCCTCTATTGTGCCACTTGCTTCGTCCGGGCGGAGGGCGGCGACCCGGGAAGAAACAGAATGCTGCACCGGTTACGAACTGCATTCCTACCATAAATGCCATGCACGGTTTACAGTCATTAGCGGGCACTAATGGCCCCCAGACGTTCAGTCCAACACTGGGATTTGGATACCATTTGTTGGGATCTGCGTCCTCTTTCATGTTGCCAAAACGGTAATTGGGATTGCTTAGTTGGGAGCGGCCGGTGGGGGGTTAGTAGTCGTCGTCGATGAGAACGGTTTGGAAACTGCGAAGGGCTCTGAGAGAACCTTTTTGAAGCGTTCGCTTTTTAAATCGCCAAACCCTTCCATTCGATCGACACTAGCAGCGCCGCGGACAATCTGTCTGAATGAGCCGTAATTGGTGGATAAACTGAGAGCGTTGGTGCGGTTGATCCCCCGCACTTTACCCAGCACTTGAGCTAGTTGGTCCTTATAGTCTGACTTTGTGCTTCCTTTGAGTGACTCTCCCGTGGATCTCTCTTTGCGTTTAAATTCGCGTAAATAATCAGCCGCTTCGGCAGCGCTCCATGCCACAATCAAAGCGTAATCGTTGTGGATAGCTAGTTTCGTTAGCTCTTTAAGAGATTCAGTGGGGTTCTCGACATCAACCTGGACAAGCAGAATCCTCAATTCAAAGTCCCGCCCCAATTTGGCCATTCGCTTGTATATATACTGGCCCATAACCTGGTGATAGCTCATTGACAAGAACAACACACATGAAGTCGCTCCAGTTACAAAGTCGGCTTTGATATCGTCCTCATAAACACACTCGATGTGCTTGAGGTGTGCCAGCAGCGGGTTTTTCCGTTGCCGCTTGCCGTTTATTATCAGCGCGGCCTTGCCAACGGGTCGATTCATGCTGACAGCGGAAATCTAGTTTTCCTGTGAGTTTGTGGTTTGAGATCCAGGTCTGTAATAATCCTTGTAATCTTAACCATGTCAGGACCTATGCCGCCTTCGGGCATGCAGATGCAAAACGGTGTTCAATGGCAATATTCGAATAATTCTGGGCGACGAAAGGCACTACTTATTGGTATTAACTACTACGGCAGCCGCAACCAGTTGAATGGATGTGTAAACGACGCACACGCAATGGCGTCCTTCCTGTCCAACGACCATGGGTATCGCCAAGAAGACATGGTAGTTCTCACTGATGACCAGCGGAATCCTCGCTCTGTACCCACTAGACAAAACATGCTTGATGCGATGCGGTGGTTAGTGAGTGGTGCTCAGCCTAACGACTGCTTGGTGTTCCACTATTCAGGTCATGGTGGCACTACTCCGGACTTGGACGGCGATGAGGACGATGGATACGATGAAGTTATTTATCCGGTTGATTTCGAAGTCGCAGGCCAGATCGTCGACGACGAGATGCATGAAATTATGGTCAGACCGCTCCCTCCGGGCTGCAGGCTAACTGCGTTTTTTGACTCCTGCCACTCGGGCACTGCCCTTGATCTGCCGTACGTTTATTCCACCAAAGGTGTTGTAAAGGAACCGAATATGCTCGCCGAGAGTGGTAAAGGCGTGCTGAATGCTTTCATGTCCTACGAGAGTGGAGATATGAGCGGTGCGTTCAATTCAGTCAAGGGCCTGTTCAACAGAGCCAAATTTTCTGGAAACCGGGACCGTGTGATCCAGGAAAAGTTCTCGCCCGCCGACGTGATCTCGTTTTCGGGCTGTCGAGATGATCAAACCAGCGCCGACGCAAGCGAAGGGGGCGTGTCCGCAGGCGCGATGTCCTACTCGTTTTTGGAAGTCATGGGTAGAGATCCAAACCAGTCTTATATTTCTCTGCTCAATAATGTGCGAGCAATTATGCAGGGCAAGTTCCAGCAAAAGCCCCAGCTGAGTTGCTCTCATCCCTTGGACATGAACCTCCAGTTCATTTTATAACGATCAAACAAAATTAACTACATGATAGTGCAACCTTTCGCCTCTTGAACTGCCTTAGGATTGTTCTTTTTCTCAATGGCCATTACAAGCAGCTCGAATGCCTTACTGACGTGCTCGTTGAGGCGGGCACTGGTTTCGGTAAAGCCGCATTTGAGCTCATCGGCCAGTGCCTTTCCTTCTTCCTCAGACACCTGGCGCTGAAGCTCAAGATCAGTCTTGTTGCCAACAATAACTGCCGGTACGGAGTCGGCACCAGAATAATTTAGGATCTTGTCGTAAATGATTGAAACCATCTCAAACGTAGACCGATTCGTGACGCTGTAGGCGAGAATAAATCCGTCCACGCCAATCAAATGCTTCTGGTTGATGATACTAAACTCATCCTGGCCCGCGGTGTCCAGAATTTCGACGTTATACTCTTGGCCACGAATCTTGATTGTCTTATTAAACTGGTTCTCGATTGTTGGATAGTACGATTCCACAAAGTGTTCCTCTACAAACTGGACAATCATTGACGACTTTCCAACCGCCCGCGAACCAACAACGGCAATTTTGCGGACTCTCGTAGGCTCTGGCATCGTTTAAAAGATGAAGGTAGATAACTTGGTCCTTCGGTTTCTCAGGCGGACAATTTGTAATGCCTACTCATGCAAGCTTGCTGTACCCCCTCCATCCCCCGAGGTGTGCATGTCCAACAGCGGACACCCGATTTTTTTTCAGATTTTATATGCGATTTCTACAAACTTTTAAGTAGGTACAATTTTCGGAAGGATACGCTCACTGGGTGGGTTCCTCAGCAGTCTCCTCAGCAGTCTCCTCAGTCTCCTCAGTGGAGGAGGCCTTGATCTTAGCAAGCTCAGCCTCAGCGCGCTCAACACGCTCCTTGGTTACGCGCTTATCGTTCTCCTTGTAGTACTCGATCTTCTCAAGCAGGCTCTTCTTGGTGTTCTCAACATCGTCAGAGCCGCCGGGAAGAGCAATGTTCAGAGCGGCAAGGTCGCCGATGATACCAACATCAAGACGGAGCTTGCCCTCGTCAGGCTTGGGGGAGATGGTTTTGCGCTTGCGCTCTTTACGGCTGGGCATAACGTCGGGGCCGCACTTGGACAGGACCTGCGCGTTGTCGGGAACAGCCTCAACCTGGCGAGGGGCAGCACGAGTGCTTACAAGGCCGCTGGTCTGGGCAGAGCCATTGCTAGAGGCAGCACTGGATCCCTTGAAAGAAGGGTCGAAGAAGGCAAGCAAAGCCTCCGCTTTGGCAATCTGCTCGGCAAAGGCAGGCAGCTTGGCAGACTCAAGCTTGGCCTCCGCAGTAGCCAGCTTCTTAGCCTTCTCAGCAGCCACCTTGCGGTCCTTCTCCTCCTGCTCGCGCGCCTTCTTGCGATCAATAGCCTGCTGGCGGAAAGCAGCCTGCTTGGTATTGAACTCCTCACGGGCCTTGTCCATAGCAGCATTGATCTTTTTGATCTCGGTCATGGCAGCCTTACGCTCGGTCCAGACGGAATCAAGCTGGCTACGCTGGGACTGGCGGCTGGCCTTGCGCTCATCAAGCTGCTTATTGATACCATTAAGCTTGGTTTGAGCGGCCTTAAGCTCGCTGTCGTCGACAGACTTGCGAAGCTCAGCAATCTTGGCCCGGTCAGCGTCAATGTCAGCCTGCAGCTTGGTGACGGCAGCAAAGGAGCGACGAGAGTTCTTGAGGGAAGTGATTTCCTTCAGCACCTTCTTCTCCTCGACAAGCGAAAAGTTGCCGCTATCAGCCTCACGCTCCAGACGCTGGATCTGAGCATCGAGCTCTTGCTCGTTCTTGGCACCATTCTTCGGACGCAAAGCCTGAATATCCTTGAGCTTCTTCTGGACACTAGACTCCACAGCCTTGATCTCCTTGAGCTTGCTCTGGAGCTTGGCATGGGCAGCTTCACGAACCTTACGGGCCTCCTTGACCTCCTCGATGAGCTTGTTCCACTCAGCATCGGGGCCCTTGTCGCCCTGGGTGGCATCAATAGTAGCCTTGGCCTTGTTTTGAATAGCACGCTGCTGCTCGAGCTGCTTCTTCAGTTCCTCGATAGTCTTGTCGAACTCAGCACGGTCGGGCCGAACGATCTTTTGCTCAGCGCTCATGGGTACGAATGATACGGGGATAGTTGGCCTTGTTTTTTGTACTAAAGGTATTATCGATTGTTCACCACGCGAAATGTAGTGGTGGGTTGTAATTTATCGATTTTGGGCCAGACGGGCGTTACGGCGGGTTTTCGTGGTGAAAAACGTCTAATCTAACTTGACACCAAATATGGGCTTTTCCTATGACTAATATGAAAATTCCCACTCGATGAAAAATCCCCGCGTTTTCAGTCATTAAGCAGCTAGTTTTTTGGCGGGGGTAATGCAGCAAAATAATAAGAAGCCTCTGAAGAGCTCGGATATCTGGTAACTCAGAGACCCAGTCTGTAGAAATACCCAAGTCTCAGCTACCCTTTGGGGCAAGTTGGGGCCGTTGACATAATCTGCAATCTTTTGAATCTATCGTCTTCTTATCACCCATCATGCCTGCAGAGTATTTCGAAATGGTGGAGGCCACGCGCCCCGAGGAAATGCTTAAAGCGTTTCCTGATCTCGAGCCCCTTGAGACACGCGTCTCGAGCGCGTCTTCTAATGCGACCTCCAGCGAGGAGGACTCGGAAGTTTTCGCCGGCCACGACGAGGAGCAGATCCGTCTTATGAACGAGGCCTGCATTTGTGTCGATTATAACGACGTGCCTTACGCCGCCGGATCCAAGAAGACGTTGCATCTCCAGTCCTCTATCGACAAGGGTCTGTTGCACCGGGCGTTTTCGGTGTTTCTGTTCAACGCCAAAGGTCAGCTGCTTCTGCAGCAGCGTGCATCCGAGAAAATCACTTTCCCAGATCTTTGGACCAATACCTGCTGCTCCCATCCCTTAGCAGTCACGTCGGAAATGGGCGCAGATCTTGAAAGTGCCGTTCAGGGCGTCAAGCAGGCCGCCATTCGTAAACTCGGCCACGAACTCGGAATCGAGCCGGACCAAGTGCCCATTGAGAGTTTCTCCTTCTCCACACGTATCCACTACATGGCACCCAGTTCCGACCTCTGGGGTGAGCACGAGATCGACTATATCTTGTTCTGCCACGCCGACCCAATTGTCAAGGCAGTGCCCAACGAAGTCAAGGACTGGATGTGGGTCTCTAAAGACGAGTTGTACGACATGTTCAAAAATAACAAGCTGCAATTCACACCTTGGTTTAAACTTATTTGCGAAACTTATTTGTTCGACTGGTGGGGAAAACAACCACCCGCCGACGACAAGATCAGCCGTTTGGGTTGATTGTAACATTTTATATAAACAGGAATACTTCAAAGCTCATCTTAATTCAATCCAAATGCTTTGATTTTATTTGTTTTTCTGCTTCCGACGTTTCTTCGCAGGCATGGGTCCAGCAGTCTCTTTCTTCAGTTTTTCCCATAATTCGTCCGTGTCGACTTCTTCGGCGCCAAACGCTTGCTTGTGCCATTCGCGAAGACGCCGCTTTTTGGCATACCGTTTCTTGTCTTTAGAAACCCTGTCTGCATCACGGTACGGTGCTAAATGTTTCAAGCCAACATACTGGTTGAGATCCTTATCGTCTGCCAGCAGAATGTCTCGCGTCGAAAGACCGAACGATTCAGCTTCAACTTCACGGTAACAGAACTGGGCTGATGGTTTGAACGTCTCGTCAAGTAAGAGATCCGTGTTGGCGTCAACAATTTCTTGGGCTTTTCTCTTGAGCTCCTTTTTGGACATCTCGGTCAAAGGCTTCACCTCTTTAATCTTCTCAGTCTCTTTTTTGACAGGTTTAGTTTCTTCCTCAGGCTCGGCTTGAGTCTCAACTTCTGCATCAGCGCCTACGGCGTCGATTTCTGCCCCAGGTTCTACAGAATCCTGAGGATTCCAATCATCATCCTGCTTGGAGTAAAACTCGTCGTCAAACAGCTTCTTCATGCGTTTATCCCACTCATCATCGTCCCATTCTCCTTCAAGATCTTCCTGGGTAAACTTGGCAGAAATATCATCATCACCGAGAACTGAGGCGAGTTTTTCAAGCTTATCAGTTACTTCGTTCACTTTATGCTTTCGCAAACGAGCCAGCTCGAATTTACGTTGATTTTCCTCAGCTTCACGCCGTTGTCGCTTCTTATCACGAGCTCGCCGACGAGAACTATCCTCCTTACGGCGCATTGTGCTTTGGTCACGAGCATAGCTGATAACTTCGGCTGCGTCGGGGTCTTCGAACCGGAAATTATATGCCGTTTCAAACTTATCAGCTAGATCGTCAAACTCATCGCTATCCTCTTCGACAATCTCACCATATGTAGGAACCTTTTTATCTCCAGTAACCTCATCAACGTCTTTAGGGATCCAACCTTTACTCGAAAGGAATCCTTTAAGGAACCCATCCTCATCTTCTTCAGGATTGGGCAATTGGATCTCTTCAACTTCTCGCTGTTCAGTCCGCTTCGTCAAAAAGTCCTCGTCTTCATCAACATCTCCATTGAGTGCTGAGATTAATTCTGCTTTTTGACGAGCTTGTAACTCGTTATAAGACTCTTCAGTAGGCATTTCTTCATCCTTCGCATTAGACAATAAAGTCTGCCGATGATAGTCCTTCAGGTACATTGGCTTGTCCTTTTTCACCTTAGTTGGAAGAGTACTATCAACATCAGGGAAGAATTTGACCTCGGGGTTTTTCAATGCTTCAGGATTATGGCGAATAGTCTCGATAACCTTCTCAATACCTTGGTCGATCTCCTCTGTAACAAGATCGCCGACATCATCTTCGTCCTCGGAGGGCGAATCCTCATCGATATCTGAGCCGTACTTTTCCTTCAAGGTGTCATACTCTTGACGGCTCTTGTTACGGTCAAGACGTTGAGCATATTCCTGATTCACAGTCAAGGTATCGTTGTCACTTTCACCACTTAGATCCAAAGAAACAACATCCGTGCCTTCAGAAAACTCATCCTTGGGCTTTTTGTCCTTCTTTGACTTTTTCTCTTTCTTTTCGACTTTGTGTTTGCCCATTTACCAGCAGATATAGAAAAACTAATGATCTGGAAAAAAATATAGTTTATTAATCCAGCAGCTTTTGACTTTGTCAGCTCGAGCTTCCGAACCTCACGATGAGTAGCTTCGCTATTGGGTTACTCGTAGGACAGATGAGCGTATTGGTAGTGCTGGCACTGCTAATTCGATTTTTTATTTTTGCAGACTCTCCGGGAATCAAAGGAATGCCCAGCTCAGAGCCACCTGTGGAAGAAACAATCACAGAGCCGTTGGCGGTAGATTCAATTCTGGAGCAGACCTACTATGACGTGGACAACCATGCTGCGGAGTCCATGGATTGGGTTACAGTACTTTTGGCGCTAGTTATCAGCTCAATGAGGCAGCAAGCTATGGCTCAAGACAACTTGCTGCGGATGCTTAATCGGATTCTTGCTTCGGACAAAATTCCCTCATTCGTGGACACTATTCGCGTCAATGAGTTGAGTTTGGGTGCGGATTTTCCATTACTCAACAATTGCCGGGTCTACCGGACGGCAAACAGTGAGTTTTCAAATGGGCTTGAAGCACAATTTGACGTGGACTTAAAAGACACCATCACTCTGGGTGTAGACACGAGGCTGCTACTCAATTACCCCAAAACTATGCTCGCATACTTACCTGTGTCGTGCTCTGTATCTCTAGTCAACTTTAGCGGTCGTGTCTCTGTGTCTTTGGTTACTGACGAAGAAGACCGCAACTTCATCACTGTTTCGTTCGCCCCGAACTTCTCGATGGAATTCAGAGTTAACAGTCTGATTGGTGCCCGTGCGAAACTCCAAGATGTTCCCAAACTGGGTCAAATTATTGAAAACACAATAAGGAAGCGATTCACCGATAAATGTGTCCGTCCAAATTATCAAAAAATCCGACTTCCTCAGGTATGGCATTCCCCAGAAAATGCACAGGCCTCTGCAGCAACAACTTCAGCTAATATTGCCGCCACAGTAAGTACAGCGGCTGCTACTGCAACTGGCCTAAATGGACCAACTCTCGATGCTCCTTCGAAAGCGAGCAATACAGCACCTGACCTCCAAACACCTCAGCAGCAACAGCGCCCCATTTCTCCTATGCCCGCTTCTGCCCCTGAAATTATTACGGACAAGTCAAGTTCTGAGATGCTAGGCGCAAGTACAAGTGTCAATGGTAATATTTATGGTCCTGCAAGCCAGCAACGCATCGGAGAAAAGTTCCGCAGAGTTGCTAGCGAGCGACTTTACAATTAGCTATTTATGTAGTTCACAAATGACTTCCTCTATTAAACCAGTAACGAATGCCAACGTCCGCGAGATGCAAATCGAGATCGACTACGGAATCTTGGATCTGTCCAATAATCCATCGGCGTTCACGGTGAACAATGTCATTGTAAGATCCAGGAATCATGGAGTCGACACGGTCCATCCATACTTGGAATTCATCGGCTTGGCATAGGGGCGGCATTGCAGTAATTAGCGCAGCAACCCAGGCGGCTCGAAGAGTAGGAGGTCCGTTATCATCTCCCTCGGGCATTAACGTTCCAGGCATGACGCTCTTAGCTTTGAGGAACAGTCTGTTTAAAACTGATTGGCGAAGCTCTGCTTCGCATGGATTCGGTGGAGCCATTGCAGTCAGGATTGCGTTCAGGGCTGTCTTGAATTGTGCCCAAGTGAATACACCAGGGTAGAGTAGCAGTAGCTTATCCAAATACTGATCAATTGCGATTGCGGCGGAATCAGCAGATAGAACTTTAGCCAAGGGTCCAATAGAATTGGCTAAATATGCAAGCATAAAGGAGTGAGCGGCTTCTAAAACAGGGCGGGTGTAGATTCCGTCACCGACCGGAGTTAAATAATACTCAGCAGCCCCCAGCATGATCCCATTTATGACATCTGGTTTCAGAACAGGAAGCAGCTTCTCTGCAATTTCAAGCATGTAAAGTAAACGACCTCTACCGCGGACATCCATGACATCAAGGTCCCACCAGTTTCGGCCAAGATCCTGGAGTAAATAGCTGGGTTCCGGTCCACCTGTTTCCAGCAAAACATCAAAACACAGATTTGTGAAAAACTCCAAGGCATCGAACTTGCCGCCTAATTCCTCCAGAACGAAAGCAACCGACTGAATAACCGTCAAAATACGCCTGGCAAGCTTTGGAGCGGGCAAGTGACGGTTGTGCAGTATTTGCACACAGATTCCTTGAATCTGAAGTGATACCCCGAAAATAAGCATTTTATAACGTTGTACTGCGTCGGGAAAATATACAGCGGCAGCCGTCCGACAGAATGAATCCACCACGTCAAGATAGTGGGAGATAGCAGCCAAGTCGGCTGTTTTCAAGCAATTGCCAATTAAATGACTGTAGGCGCCAAAATCATTGAATGAATCGCTCGCCAAAGTGCTATCAACAATAGCAGCTGGGTTGTAAATGACTCGCAGCGCCGGTCTCAGCAACAAGGAAGAAGGTAAACTAGCCTTGGCGTCTTCGGACAAGACAAATTGGGCTTTAGCCAAAGGCACGATAGCCAAATAATCGGATTCGTTTTTAAATGTGAATGTTTGAGAAAAATCGACAATAATCCCCTCTATGCGGTGTTTCAAATGGTCTGGTGCGCCCCCCAGCAGAATACCCGTTAAAACACATAATGAAAAGATTGGGTCCAAAAAGGTACATAAATTTGCAATGTGCTCAACAAACTCCTCATACGGTATGGTTGGGTTGGATATTTCCTGCTTCCGTCGCGCTGCAGCAGAAATTCCGTTAATCAAAAACGTAGCTTCAGACAAAGACCGTATCAGCCTAGCCTTGGATGCAGCAGCAAGGACCAGAGAAATGTTTTGCGGGTTCTTGACGAGTGGAAGAACATAAACTAGATGTTTCACCACTGTGTCCTGCTGAAAATCGGCCTTCTGTAGCAACTGAACGAGCCCCGATAAACTCGCAGTGAGATCCATTGTGGGGTAAGCAGAAAACCTATGTCGTAATTAAATAGCCCACAGCCGCCCAGGGATGGCATCTGTATATATCAATTTAGCTAGAACCCAGCCGGTGGTAGTTTTGAAAAAATACCCCCACGAAGTGCAATTAGCGAGCAGGAGGAAGTACATCACGGACTTGTCGGACCAGGTGCCCACGCCGGCGAGTTTGACAAAGTAAATATTGGGCACCAAGGAGTGATACAAAGAAACCAAAGCAGCTACAATTGCTTGGGGTCCGGCTTGAACAGGTACATTGACACCCACCAATGCCAATAAGGCAAGTAGCACAGGCATAGCCAGCATACTAAGGACACCAGTTTCGAGAACAAATGTAGCAAATCTTCTAGATCCTATTTGCCGCTCAACACCACGACACTCATAAATCAGTAAGCCTCCAATCATTGCACTTCCTTGGTTTGTCCAGACTAGTGGATTGAGCAGAATACGTCGCCACTGCTGCCATTCAGCTAACTGGGGACTCCACTGCAGCAAGAACTGTGGTTGGATGTTGAGCAGGGAAATGAGAATGGAAGCACTTACAAAAAGTAGGCACAGCCGTTTTGTCCATGGTGCGCCGGTAAATCCTGCTGGCGAACTGGAGATCATCCACTATTAAGCCGAGTTGCCAAGGATTAGGAATCATCCCACCTAAATGAGCGCTGTGGATATACGGCAGTTGTTGCTCGACGGAAAGACTCAACTAGTTTGCCAGGAAGCTACTGCGAATCCTAAAGCACTGCTAGAAACCGACGATGATGGGCGCATTGCGTTGCAATGGGCAGTTTCTCTGAATAACCTAGAGGCGGCCACGGTGATCTTTAAAACGACCCAGAGCCTGCGTGATTTCAACATTGATCATGCCGATGAAGCTGGATGGACGACTCTGCATATTGCTGCTTCAATTGGTAACAAAAAACTAGTGCAGTTGTTGTTAAGCCATGATCCACCCGCCTCGGTCAAAACGGTGGCCAACAGTGGACAAACACCGCTGTTTGTCGCTGTTTCAAAGGGCCATTTGGATATTGTTAATATCCTCCTAGACGCTAAGGCCTCTCCTTCCGCAAAAGACCGTAACGGCACCACCCCCCTACAACGAGCTTCTGCTGCTGGGCTGGTCGAACTGGTCGCTCGTCTTTTGGACGCCGGTGCCCCAATAAACGCCTCTGATAACCAGGGATGGACGGCCCTACATCATGCTCAAGCTGAACGGCGTACTGATGTTGTTGAATTACTTCTTAGTCGTGGAGCGGACCCCGAGAAAAAAACAAAAGACGACGAGACCTATAAGGATTTGTGAAAGGTAACTAGTTGTATTAAATATCTGTACATTACGGCCATTGAGACGACGCACGGTTGGCTGACATCTGTGCCATCAACCTCAATGGCACGTTTTCGTAGCTAGGATTTCGCGCAAGCCCAGCATGTTTAGGAGCATGCAAACTGATCCGCACGGTTTCAAACTGCTTTGAGCCTGCAACTTTAACAGCCTCTGAGAAAGGTATCCAGTTGAGTTTCAGGGCCTCGAATTTGTTTTTCTCCGCTGCAAGCTGGTCACTAGACGCCCGTCTGGGTGCCATCCACGTAAACACAAGACCCCATAAGGAAGGCTGGTCGTACCCCACAGGAACTTTAGTGAGGTCTGGGTTGTCTGCATGTAAACGTGCCGACCCTAAGAAAAGAGCCAGTTGGACGTCCAGAATATAGTCCTGGCCCTTCTTTTTATACACCAACAGAGGCTCGACGGGCTGAGGAGCTCCCATGACACTGAGAACCTGCAAGGCATAAGGCAGACTCGATACGCGAGAAAAGGGAACCTTGGTTTCTCTGCTGGGTGAGTTGTGAACCACTTCCTCCCCCTGTGATGTTGGTGTTTCAGGACCGGGGCCTGGACCACCCGGAGAAGATATGGTATTCGGGGAAGCTGCCGCAGAGGTGACAGGGGAAACTGTTCTGGGATCGAACTCTCCAGAAAGCCTTTCACGCCTTTCTGCTGCTCGTTTCTCTTGCTGTTCCAAAGCGCTCAGCATTTCAACCTCGCGGGCTTTGCGATCCCGTTCGCGCTTAGCTGCCAACTCCTCAAGCCGCTTGAGTTCTTCCTGAGACTGCTGAGGCGGGGGCGTGCTTCTGGGAGACACGCTGTGTGTCGGACGATCAATGGATTTGCGATCCTTCCTGTCTGTTTCTGTATTCTCGTCGAATCGCACTCTTACCTCTTTTATCTTTCGAGGTACTGGGGCTGCAACTTCGTCCCTCCGAGTGTCTTTAGAGCTTTGATCCTCTTTTTCTATACTTTTGACGTCTGGTTTCGACGAGGGGGGTTCAACCTCTGGTTTGGCTACAGCATTTTTGCTTATTACCTTGTCCTTGGAGTGCTTGTTCGAGTCTTGTGAATCTTCCTTCGTCTCTTTGATTTTGGACTCTTCCTTTGTAGCCTCTTCTTTCGGCTTTGAGTCCTTGATTTTGCGAGGTTCTTTCGCCTTGAGCTCTTTAGGTTCCTTGGGTTCCTTGGGTTCCTTGGGTTCCTTGGGCCCCTTGGCTCTGGCCTCTATTGACCTCAATTCTTTGTCCTTTACTTTTGCACTTGCTTCCTGCTTTAGAGGCGAGCCGCCGCAAAGTTGTTCAATGTACAGTCTTTCCTCGTCGTCGGGTGGTAAGTCTTTCACGAGATCAGCATAGCTCAGACCATCGCTGTCACGCCAAGAGGGGTCAGCCCCACCCTCCACCAGCAACTTAACTACCTCCAAATGGCCACGGCCGACTGTTTCGTGTAAAGCGGTCACGCCCTCGTGCAAATCGTCCGGCGACTTGCCAAAAGCTAGCAATAAACCCACAATATCAGTGTGTCCAAACTTTGCTGCCTGCACCAAAGCTTCAGCGGAGGGCTGCCAACCATGCTCAAGGGACATCCCGATATACTCAACATCACCTTGGGCAGCTCGTTTGCATACTTCCATACGTCCAGTTTTTGTCGTAACGTCGAACCATAAAAGGTCGTTTCGACGGCGGGCTCGTGAACCAGCCATTTCTGACGCCCTATCCACTCCGTTCTTCTTGGCACTTTTGACTTGAGGCGGAAACATGCGCTTTGGCGCGTCGGCAGGATCTTGAATAGGGGGTCCCTTTTGACGCGCCTTCAAAGATTCGCGCTTCAACAGGTCTTGTATCTCGCCCGCCTCTTCAGCATCTTCATCAATAAAATCCACTGTGGTTTTACCCTCGGCATTTTGGACTCGGGGGTCAGCTCCATATTCGATAAGTAGCTTGATCACTGTCAAATTGCTGGAGCTCACTGCGTCCATGAGAGGCGTGTCTAGCTCATCTGGACCAGATCTGACATCTGCAATAGCGCCATTTTTCAACAAAAGTTCAACAATCTTCGGATCACCTTGCAAAGCGGCGCTATGAAGAGCTGTAGTACCGGCGTAATCTCGATCAAGGATATCGGCTCCTTCATTGAGTAGTTTCACGATACGTTCATAGTCTCCACGAGCACACGCACGCTGTAGCGGCTGTCTACCGTGTGTATCGCGTGCCGAGACCTTCTGTAGAGAAGTTTTACTGCGCTTGCGCTCGTGACGCTCCTCACTGTTCTGCGGTACAGAGTCTGTGCTGTCGATACGGCGGTGTAGCCTCTTGAACCGTTTGACGGGCTCTTCTATTTCTGTTTCTGCCTCAGATCCTGAGCCTGAGCCTTCTTGTGGAGGGCTCGGGGTCCTGGATCTTGGCGCCCCATAGAACACCCTCGGCTCCATATAAAATTGTGTAAGCTTGGGAAATTACCACTAATTTCTTTGGTATAAGGCTGGGAACAGATCGACAGGTAAAAATAAGCTGATGGGGGTCTAAGCCTGTTTGATTGTCGATTTTTGACTTTGGCCCGTGTGTAGGATCAAGTTGACGACTAAACACTAGCCCTCGAATGTTTTCAGGTGACTCATGAAGCGACGCTGATCTGTGTTATGAGTAATGTAGTGTTGATTCAGCATGCGCATCGCGGGAAATGGAGCTACGACTGGAGTGGTTCGCCATCGAGACCTCTGTTTCTAGGTGTGGAGTGCGTACAAAGCACTTCTCTCGCTTCTTCTAGCACCTCTAGTTTTTTACATGATTATGTAGTTAATTTCTTAAATATGAGCCTTAATCAATCGTGAGGTTTTTCAATCGACCTTGATGGAAGAATACACGCGACGCATCAAGAAATATGATGATGTTGCACCGACCATACCAAGAGCGAGGAAACAAAGTCCGGAAGCCATCAAAGTGTAGCCAAAGTATAGTAACTTGTTCATAAACCCTCTAAGCTCCATGTAACGGTACATGTAAAAGATCGCATAGAGGAAAATGTAAACGGTAGGGGAGCCAGAAACAAAGAAGGCTCGCCACTGCCAGTGATAGTTCTCAGCCGAGATAGTAGAATAGGTTGCAAGGGATGTAGTCATAATGCAGAGAATGAGCATCGACACAATGGACGCAAACAAAAAGCCAAACATGTAGTATAGGCGCTGGAACCAGATCGCTGAGAGGATATAATAAAGCTGAAGCGACACGGCCAGGAACGGTAAAAGGCCGCCCATAGCCATCATGAATGGCAAACTACGAGTCCAATCGCTGGGGGGGATCTGGCGAGGGATTTGATTGACACGGACCGGGGCTTTGAACCAATCACGTTTGAAAGCCAAAAATCCGCAGAAAAGAGAGAGAGGCAAAGAAATGAGTGCCCAGACAGCGAACAAAGCAACCATGTTTCCAAAAGGTACAGCACCGGCGGCATGCTCAAAGATGAGCAAAAAGTTAATGCAAAGAAAGCCGATAAACACCAAAGCCGGCACAACAATCGGAGTCAGAATCAAGTTGGCCTTCCAGTTTTGGCCGCCCCAAATTTTGTAGGTGGCTGCCGAAGTATAGCCACCTATGCCACCAAAGACAGTATTGAGCATCAATAGAACCGTGCTAAATGCACCGCGATTCGCCGGAGAAAGCAATCCAAGTAGAGCCAAAAATAGAGTAGCAACAATGGTAGAAATAATCTGAGCGCCAGTTCCAATTGTAATAGAGTACGCCATGACATGGCTGGGGGGTCGGAACACGTCGCCATGGATCATTTTCCAGCCGAGCTCGTCGGCAACATCTTCAGAAAGATCCACCTCGTTGTACTTTGCAATATCCTTGCGAACCAGACGTAACAAAGTCAGAGCCGTGAGGAAAACTACGAAGAAGATCATGGCTGTGGTGTTGATCAGCGCAAACCAATTGATCTCAGGCTCGTAGACTCTCAGGTATTTGTCCCAACGCGTGGCCCAAGGGACTTCGGACTCCTTCCAGGAAACACTGTATGTAAACTGGATCGCACTCGGGACATTATTCTCAACGTCAATGGGGAGCAGATTCAAAGATTCACAAGAATGTTCACCACCGGAAGCATTCACCTTAGACTCCAAAGAGACGCCTTTAACCTGAGCACCGACAATACGAATCTTGTCATCCTTAGTGCGGTGATACTCGATCTCGAAAAAAAAGTGGTTGAACAGTAGGAACTTGGGGGGTCCTTCGTCGTTCAACATGTACATTGCACCGATAGGAAACTTATCGTCATAGACCTCTTCATCATCGTAGAAATATGTCTCCGAAGAAGCAACAGGCAAGCCATCAACACTCCAGTGATGGTAGAAGCCTTCCGCAATATAGTTGGTGATCAGCTCTAAATCATTTTGAGTGTAGTGCGACGTGCACTGGTACTTGCAGGCCTCGTCCTTCAAAATCACCAGTTCCATGCTGGATGTTTGGATACGATCGCCAAATAATACACCTCCAAGACTGCCAGCACGTGATTGGGCGCCGCCTTCAGGTACGCAGTACTTGAGATGAGGATCATAGTACTCCAGATTTGCGATCGCCATGCTGTAGTTGTCCGTGCCCCAGGAGGTCAGGCTGTTCACCAGCACGTTGATCGTATCACCGGGGTTATAATCAGTGGGTGCGATGCCTGGGAGGTAAAAGGCGTTTACCGTACTCACAAAAGCAAGAATTCCCCAGGCGATCGTCCCACTGAAGTAATTTCGCGATACAGCCATTTCGGTGTTGAAGATATGACGCGTGGTTGGAAGAGAGGCATTTAGTAAGCAGGCTTTCTATTTGAGTTGACGGCAAGGATTCTTGAGAAAAGCAAGAGCTGAGACGGTCTAGCTTTGTCGGTAGTCCAAAATGAATAATGCCTCGGAACGCGATGTGCGGCGGATTCTTGAGAGAGCGTTCGTCCCTCGAATCCAGATCGATGCGGATGAGGAAGTTACAACTTTAGTGCAAAGTCTTGACCACAAGTCGTTAGCTGAAATGCTCAATTCCTACAGCCAGATCGGAGATGTTACTGTTCGACATGCGAACTCAATGAGCCATGTCGCGAGCAATTTTGTAATCGAGTTCTTGGCCGAAGAGACACCAGAATATACAGCTGCACCAGACGATTTTGAAGGCATTCTCGCTGATATACTCAGTGATACTTCGCGCACAGAGGTGAATGGGGTATTCGAGGAGTGGCTCAGCTCAATTGTGAGCCCAACAGACAAGCCACCATTTGAAACGTTGAACCACCCGGTCGCTTCAGTTCTAGCCGTTTCTTCAAAAACTCAGGATCCCATTGAGGCTTTCAGGCGGATGATTGAAAAAAGCTGTGCACCAGAAAGCATCACACCTTATATTAGCAACGACTATCTAAGGATTCTCCTGTTTGTACACGACGAAGACACCCTCGCTGAACGGGCCACTTTAGAGTTTGAAAAAATCAAGCAAGAATTCGGGTCTTGTTGCTTCAAGTTAAGCCTTGGCACATCGAACCATGTTGTTAATGACGAAAATATCTCTCAAGCGGTCAAAGATATCACCCTCACTGCTGTTGTACCATTCATGGAAGAGTGCTTGAGGATATGGAATGAGCAGGTTAATTCATCTCGCCAAGGTTTAGCAAGCCGACTTTTTACTGTTTCCAAGCGCTATCTGAACACTCCAGTGAAACTTAATAAAAATGTCCTGCGCATTGCTGCACAAAACATCACTAAAAAGACTTCCAATGCCCAGGACCCTATTGCACCTCCTGGAACAACCCGGGGAAACTATTACGTGGACGACCGCTATTACTTTTATGCTTCGTCGGAGGCTCAATTGCGCAAGCTGGCCGATTTTGCCGTAATGCTTCGCGATTATAAGACTGCCTTCTCTATTCTTGACGCCCTGAAGAAGGATTTCCTGTCGGATAAAGCGTGGGGGTACCTTGCTGCTGCACAAGAAATGGCAGCAGTGGTGTATTTGGCGAGCAGAACTTCAATGTTATCCCTAAAGTCGTTCACAAATACGATTGAGCCGCTCCTAGACTCGGCGGTTTATTCTTACATTTCCCGCTGCCATTTACCGGGCAGAGCGCTTAGGGCTATTTTATCAACTGTTGAGCTTATTGCAAGTTCCGAATGTGAGCCTTTGGTTGCTTCACAAGCTGCCACTTGGTTGTTAAAGGTCGATACTGAGAGCTTGGTCGGCGGTGCTGGCGTCGTCATGATCAGACAGCGGATTGCTAATCTCTATGTTCAACAAAACAGACAGTATCCGGATTCAAGTCGTCGCAAAGTTGCTTTCTGGAACTTATTTGCTGCTCAAAGCTTACGCTCTTATTCTGACTCCCCATTATGTTTCGCCGAGCTCAAGCAGTGTGTTGAAACTGCAAACAACTACTCATATTCTAGCATAGAGTGGCCTCACGAAGAAGGCACTCTTCTTTCTGAATTAGAAAAACTCGCATTAGAAGCTAAGGTTTGAGACGATAAATAGCATCAGCCATTTTGGCGGTTTCTGCCATAGCTTTAGTATCGTGCACACGAACAATATCGGCACCGTTAGCAATCATTGAAGTCAAGACAGTGGCAGTTCCCATGACCCTATCTTTTGCCTCGTCTACACCAGTGATTGTGCCAATAAAACGCTTTCGAGAAGGGCCAACGAGCCAAGGGTATCCCTCGACTCCTGGGCAATGGCGGAGATCAGAGAAGTTCCTTATAATCTCCAGGTTTTGTTCTTGGTTTTTGGCAAATCCTAGTCCGGGATCAAGGATTATTTGCCATCTTTTGACTCCGGCCTTCATAGCCACCTCTATCCTCTCTGCCAGCTCGCAAGAGACTTCACCCAGAACATTATCATACTTAGCAAGTGAATTCATTGTCTCCTGAGTGCCACGGGCATGGCCCAGAACGAGCGGTGCTTCGTATCGGGCTGCTACTGCGAATATATTTTCGTCCATACGGCCAGAGAACACATCGTTGATGATATTAGCACCTGCATCAAGTGCTGCCGCTGCTACCTCTGACCGATAAGTGTCGATCGAAATTGGAATATTTGCAAGCTCTGGATGCGCACGTATTGCCTGAATAGCAGGAACAACTCGGTTGAGCTCCTCCTCGGATGAACAAGGTTGAGAGTTGGGACGAGTAGACAGCCCTCCAACATCCAGAATGTGGGCGCCATTTTTCACATGTTCCAGGCATTTTGAGACAATGTTCTCGACGGTTACAGTCCCTCCATCGCTGAATGAGTCTGGCGTAAGGTTTACAATTGCCATGACTATCGTCGGTTCGGAATGGTTGATGGGATCAACAACGAGCCCTTTAGAGGAAACCAGGTTACTAGTAGGCCCGAAGGGTATAATCTGTGACATTGCACTTGAAGATTGATTCAACGAGGATTTCGGGAGTTGCTCTAGATGATTGACAAAAGGTTCAGCAGTCAGAGGATGTAAGAGCTCTGGCGAGACAACATCAACCAATGGCTGCAAGACAAATGCACGATTTAGCATATCGATATGAGGAATGTTCAGTTCGGGTGTGTTCATCACTGCATCATCGTAAAGCAGAATATCTAGGTCCATTGGCCTGGGGCCGTTGTCAATAACCTTGACCCGTCCGAATTGCTGGTACTCAATCTCCTTGATAACTTTGAGGAGATTTTGTGGAGATAACGAGGTATTGCATGCAAAAACACCATTATGGAACCGTTCTTGGTCCTGGACGTACATTGGCTCTGAGATGTAGATATTAGACGTGGCAAATACCTCGACACCGCGGGAAGCCAACTCTCGAATAGCCTGTCTCACATTAGCTATGGGCTCACCAACATTTGTGCCGAATGCCAGGTAAACTCTGTGGCAGTCTTTAGTGAGATCAACAGCAGTAGGAGGGAAAAGAGACTCGGGCTCAGGAGTTTTGTTGAGAGTACGTACCGCTTCAAGCTCTTGGGCAGAAAAGTCTGAAACAGTGCGAGTCAGTTCAACACCAGCACCCTCTGCAAACGTTAAAGCGCTAGGTTTGGCAGCACTCACTTTGACCTTCTCAACGCCTAATGAGCAAACGACCTGTGCAACGGATTGAGCGAATGACTCAATCGTTTTGTAGGCAGAGGCTTCAACAAACTCACAAACACGCTCAGCGATCATTCTATAGTCGTATCTCTCGTCGTACGTTGAATCTGCAGTCAAAGGTTTGAACATTGTGATGTCGATCTCCACATTCTGACGATAGAGCCGCTCAATGTGGTTTACACCAATAATTGTAACCAAATTGAGTTTATTGATTCGAACCAAATCAGGAGTATCGTGCTTTAAAAATTGTTCTGAGCGACCACGGCGGCGGGCAATCACGATTTCACTAGAGTCAGCTCTCAGAAGTGACCGGGGCTTTTTCACATGAATTCGAGTCCAGTGCCCGTCTGAGCATTGCGACAAAACTTTTTTGGCGACTGATTCGGCAATGTGCTCGAGCGATTGATAACGTCGAGTCTCAATATACTGAGAAACATTGCGAGAAATGACATCATAGTTCAAGGACTTGCTCAGATGGTCGGTTCGACCAACGTCTTTGATGTTGGCATTAATGAAAATAGAAATCAACAGAGGCTGAGACTGGGGGCGTTTCCAGGCATCTACGCCTGTAATTGTCTTCACCGCCAGATCTCGAACGAAAACAAAATCCATTTTTTTCATCAAGGAGTTATCTAAGACCCAACACAGGGGAAACTATAGGGCGTGAATAAATACTTAAAATCTATCTGGCATAAAGACCGGAGCAAGAAGGGACCATGCATACAGTACGAAGCAGATCCAAGAGCTGTAAATTTTGGTCCACGTCGCAAAGTAGGTTCGGCCAACGGGTACAAAGTTATCCGATAAATCTTTCTCCACGTTCATGGTTAGTAGAGTGGCTGTGTACTGGGTGGCAAGCAAAAAGATAAGATGGAACAGGATGTAGTTGTACTGTGGCTGTTGGACTTGCTCAATTGAATCATCTAACCAGGCAGTGTCCTCTAAAGCTGAAGCCGGAAGACTGCCCTCATCGACAGCCTGACGCAGAGCTCGCCGTCTAGTTTCGGTTCTGGAAGAATCTGTGATATCAATTGCCTCAGGATCCTCGACTGAAGACTTTGACGCAGCTCGAGTTGTAGTATAAGCGATAGCCAAAAATGTGAATAGCGCACCGATAACGATTGAAAACGTGCGAGTACCCCTAGAACGAACAATTGGGTTACAATTCTTGTCGTCAGGCTCAGACGAAACAGCGGACATTGTCAAATACGTGCAGTAGATTGCCACCATAGCTGATTGAGCCAAGCCAGCCCGGGGGTTGTTCTCCTGGACGCTGGGATGTACAGAGATGGCAGAAACAATAATAATAAACACCACGTTGAGTGTAATTGCAGCTTGGTTCATGGAGCACCCAGTACTAGCAAAGAACCAGTACATGATGACCGTCAAAATGACGGCACCAGTGTACATACTAGCCGTAGAGCCGACAAGGATGTACTTCCAAGTATTTGAGTTCTCAGAATCTTCGATTTTACTCAAACACATTTCAGCCCATGAGTGGGCGCAGTCCACAAGCAACACCAGGCCAATCAGGATGAAAAAGAAGGAAAACAGTGGGGCAACATAATTACCCCAAAAGACCCAGAATCCAGCAGGAATAAAGAAGTTCGTGACAAGACATAGAAGCCAGAACAAGATTTTGCCTCTCCAGTACCCATTCTGTAGAGTAACGCGGTCTTTAAGAGGTACAGCAGCCGGCAATGCAGCAAGAAGACCAGCCATGATAAGGAACAATAAACCTAGCGATGACTGGATTCGGTGGACAGCAATAAACCCCGTACACTCATCACCACTACAAGCTTGTTTTAATAGGTCCAGCTTGCCAATAATCCAGTCATTGAGTGAAATCCAAGAGATAATACTGTTGACCACAAACAAGAATGCGTACATCAACCGGGTGGCGAGAGACGATTTGAAAGTGCTTCCAAAGGCTCCACACAATGCATTCGAAATTCCAACCCCAATGCAAGACGACACAGCCGAAATTGCCATATTTACGGGCACTAATGGTATACTTAACAAGGCGCCCATTATAGTCAAATGAAGGTGATTACGTAGGCAAGCGCTCTGCCATTTAAGAAAGTCACCCGATGCTGTCGCGAAAAGTAGGGATTATAGCTGGATTAAGCTTGCGTTTCAACAGCACCGTAGCCCAAAATGCGGTAAAGCGTGTACAGAAGGACGTTGTAATTGTCGGGGGTGGCCCCGCGGGCCTCAGTTTGGCGACTGCTCTGAAAAGCTCCCCGATCGCTTCAGGTCTTGATGTCACTCTCATTGAGGGCCAATCCATGGACCGCTTGAAAGGATGGAAAGATAGGGTTACAAGTGACAAGTATGAGAACCGTGTGAGTAGCTTGACGCCACGAAGCGTGCGGTTTCTGCAACGAATTGGTGCGTGGGATCATGTCGCCCAGGACCGGGTGATGCCTTATGATGAAATGAAAGTTTGGGATGGAGTCAGTGGCTCAAGGATTGAGTTTGACCCTTTCTATGATGGTGAGACGACCGAGATTGCGTACATGATTGAGAATTCGAATATCCAGCAGGGTCTGTCGGAGAGATTGAATTCTCTAGGATTCAACGATATCCATGATTCTGCAAAAGTCACCGAGATCCGTCAAGGAAATTGGCCGACCGTTGTCTTGGATAACGGCCTTGAAATTGAGGCTCGCTTGCTCGTTGGTTGCGACGGTCAGCAGTCCCCTGTGCGTATGTTCAGCGGTATCGAAAGCCGAGGTTGGGATTACGGGCGATTCGGTGTTGTGGCCTCGCTGGATCTTGAGTACGACAACTCTCGCGCGGTTGCCTACCAGCGATTTCTCCCAAGTGGTCCTATTGCTATGCTTCCAATGCCTGAGGGCCATGCTACGCTTGTCTGGTCAACTTTGCCCGAGCGAGCCAAGTGGCTGCAGCAGTTGGAACCCAAAGCGTTTTGCGCAATGGTAAATGCCGGGTTCCGCCTTGAACCTGTTGACCTCGATTACTTGCATAAGATGGACCCAGCGGATACTGCTGCTATTTTTGACGAGATTAACTGGCGTCTGGACAACACGCCTATTGAAGACGAGGTTAATAACCTGCCCGTGTACGTCGAGAATCTGCAGGAGAATACAAGGGCTGGATTCCCTATGCGAATGCGTCATGCCGATACCTATGTTGAGGAAAGAATTGCACTGGTCGGTGACGCAGCTCACGCGACTCATCCGCTTGCTGGACAGGGTCTTAACATGGGTCAACGCGATGTCGAGTTCCTTTTGGAGGCTCTTGAAACTGCAATTGGGCGTGGTCTTGATATTGGTAGCTTGATGGCCCTCGAGCCCTACTGGAAATCAGCTTATCTACCAAATCACCTGAAACTTGGGGTTGTCGACAAACTGCATGCTCTCTACTCTACCGATTTCTGGCCAGTGGTCCAACTGAGATCCGTTGGCCTGTCAATGGTCAACAGCAGTGATTTCCTGAAAAGTCTGCTTATTCGTCAGGCATCAAACTAGTTTCGATGTAAATAAATATCAATAAATAACGTCCTGGCCGTCCGTTCCCCCGTTCGCTTTGTCATTCAAAAATGGATCCAGCGTTCAAGACCGGATGGAAGCTACCCAAGAAGACCCGCAATGCTAAGAGTGTTTTGCAAGAAGAGCAAAAGCGTGTGGGTTCTCTGCCGCCAGACACACCCACGTATTTCAGCGTGGAAGGACCGCCTTCGCTTCTTCCTGCTAAGCACTACTGCGACATCACTGGTCTCCCGGCCCCTTACAAGACTGCTGGCGGTCTGCGATTTCACAATAAACAAGTCTACGAGATTGTAATGAGTCTCGGTCCAGGTGTCGACCAAGAGTATCTCAAGCTGCGGAATGCAAACCTAGTTCTGAAATGAATAGGGGAAGGGAAATAATGTTTATATAAATATACGGCTCAAGATGATTTAAATGCATAAAGCAATGTTTGAGTGGGGGAGGGGTAAATTGGACGCCAGGTCACTGCGGCCGGGCCCCGTTGGCCGGGCTGGACAATGGGCAGCGTTGTGGTAATAATACAGTGCAGCACATCAAGGATAATTAAAACAAAACGGCGGGCATAAGATGCATTCTGTGTCGTCTTCCTAGCCCTGTTCGCGTAATGGATGGACTCATCGAGTTCCCAAGCGCCAGTGAGCCGAGCAAAGTCGCAATCTGAGGGAGACAGGGACTGAGCCTCGAGGTACAGGGAGTTGATACCTAGGTTGGGGAAATAGCGGCGAGAAATTATTTGGGGGTGGCCCAGGAGAACAAGAGGACCATTTGCGGGACCAAGCGTATCGTTCAACGTCTTGCGGAATTGTTTGAGATCGTCCCATGCATCGTCCAAAGCCTGCTGAGCTTCCAAGTAGGTACGTTCCTTGTGCGCCAGCGCAACAAATATGTCTTGTAATGAAGCCAATTGTTCAGACGGAGGTGTTGGGGGAACGGTGTTTATCCCCAGTCCTATTGGCGGCGATGCTACGCTTAAAAGGCTGTTACCGAGTCCGGAGCCAGCAGAAGAAGGCTGAGAGCCAAAATAGTGAATATTGTCGGCACGAGGCGAGCCCAAAGGAGTCGGGGGCGACATACCGCTTTGGTACTGAAGGCTTTCGTGGGTATCCAGCTCACCGATTGGTGCAGCTATACGAGAACGAGCGCGGCGGTGGGTTCTACCGGCTGTCGAGGGCCGACGGGATACCGGCGATGAAATATCGCTCAAAGAGCCAATGGAGAGCGGTCTCTGGGTCGTGAACGAGGTCCTTTCCACCATATTGTCATGCATACTGTCTGGGAATTGTGATAAATACGGCGGCGACGTCATAACAGTGGTTGTCGGCTTGAAACCATAGAGCTTGTTTGTGGGGAGCGGTGAAAGAGCGCGGCGGTTCTCTGCGCTGGGTGTCGCTGGTTCCGACGGACTTAGTTGAGCGTCGGACACGCTTTGAAGAGCAGAAGCAGCGCCTTGAGCGGTTACTGAGGCAAAGGATTGAGTAGACGAGGATAGCAGCTGGCCATAGAAAGAGGACGGCCGCGAAGAGTATGATCTGGCGTAGACAAAGTCCTCGTCTAGGTGGTGTTGATGATCCATACTCGACTAGTATGGTAGACAGCTGGGGTGGTTCGTCCAGTTGAAAAATATAGTGTACAAACAACAAAGAACCAAAAAAAACTCTCCCCACGAACTTGTTTTGGTTAGTTATGTCAGCAGGTCCAGTGGATGATTTCGAATATGTGCATCATGCAACTAGGACCTAAGAATTTCATGCACGGTGCAACCCTTTACCCAGAAGGACCAACGGGGATTTAGTGGTCAGAGGTTAGCCCGAGCAGAGACTAGCAGGCTCGCATCTTTCCGCTTTTTGTTAGATGATTTTTTATGCTGGTTCTACAATGTTATTGAAACAGACCGTACTGCGTGTCCTGGTAGACGCGGGCGCGTCGCAGACCTGCAAATTGTCATACGAATGTCTCACGCGCCTAATGCACCGGCATTAGATGTTATAAATAATCAACCCTCCAAGTGGTATTGCCAAACTTGGAATGTATGATTCAACTGAGGGCGGCCGTGGAGACCATAGCTTAGTTGGCTGCGTGGATCTATAGCCCCCGACACCGTCGACTGTCGAATGTAGATTAGACGCCCAATTCGCGAATGGACAAGAGCCATGCTGCACATAGTGCAAGGCTCGTCTGTAGTGTACACGTCCATATCAAGACATAAATAGTTCTCTGACTCGGGATTCCCGCGTTTAGCTTGACGCTCTCGCTCGGCAACCGCTTGGATGGCCCGCATCACTGCATGGTTCAACGGATGGGTCGTTTTCTGTTCACACTCATCTGCAAGCAGCTCGTTAGTTATAGGGTTCACGACCAGCGCTCGAACTCTGTCACTCTTGGCGATTCTCTCCACCCACTCCTCCATCTGCTTTTGAGTCTCTGGGGACAACACTGGTAGCACTGCTGCAGGGTTTCCTCGCCACGAAATTGGCCAGCCCGATTCTTGGCTCCATTGGGCCGATTCTTCTTTTGTATCGGCCTGGTATTTTGATACTCGAGCCGAGTGCAGCTTGTGCGAACCAACTAACTCCTGCACGGTGCTTTCAGGAACCAGGCCCTGACTACAAACCAGCAATCTTAACAGTATACCTTTGTCCTCTGAAGTTTCCAACTTCACAATACGTCGAATGTGGGCCAGATCAAAGGGTTCTGCAGGTAACGACTCTTTAAGTTTAGCAAGCATACCGCTTAGTTCGGTCGCGGGTAGTTCGATATACCATACTGGCACGAGTCCTAGCTGCCTGCTCGCATCCAGTCCTAAAACTTGCTGGAATTTACCTTGCCGATTTATTCTAACCATAACCTGAAACAGATCCTGCAGTAACTTTTCAGTGTGATAAGGTTGTTTTTTTTGCTGAATAACAAGGTCGAACAAAACCGTTAGTTTACACCTACAAAGGCTTTTTTCGCAAGTATAGGTTAAATTTAGCCAGGGGACGGGTTTGCGCTGAAAGTTCTGACTCTTTGAAGAACTCAATTATGCCTCTTGTTCAATTTTATCTTTTAGTGTAGCTCCCATCTGGTAGAACGGGCCCCATATCGTTTAAGTTATCATTTAGCACACGATCAACAAAGGAACCGAGCACCTTCCACCCCGCCAAACCCTTGTCTTGCGTGGTCTAGGCTTAGCGATCAGCTTACTACTTGGAACGCGTGGGGATCACAGTCACTATCAATGGCTGGCAATCAGTAAGTAGCAACAACTGCCGTTGATAAAGCAGCACTAACCAAAAGATTCAAAGAGTATACACCAGTAGTAGGCCGGAAAGAGTCCAAGCGCTGGGTTTCAGTGGGGGCCTCCTACGATGGCGATGGCTGGGGCGATGAATACGACGACGGGCTGGGCAGTGTGACTGAAGAACCAGCAGACTCGGAGTCTCACTCACCAAAGCAGAGTGAGGTGAAAGAAGAAGCGCTAGAGCAGCCACCAGCTACTGCGTCTCCGGCGACCAGTAGACCTTCAACACCTATGTCTGCTCGGTTGGCCAACAAAGACACTCCGACAATCCCGGAGGAGTCGGAAGAGCCGCCTCGTAACGACTTTTCCTCTAGGTCGGGTACGCCACTTTCAGAAGAAGGCTCTCTACCCAAGCCGCCGAGTGCTCATGCGTCTAGGCAGTCGTCCTTGGCGTCTAGGCACTCCTCAAAGGCCAAACGCCAGTCGACTGTTACAAGAAGACCCGTGCCTACCGAATCGCCTGTCTTCAAACTATCAGAGCCGGAGCCAGTAGCCAAAAAGTCCACGGAACCCGAATTGGGCCCGACACACGAGTCTGCTGAATCTGGGTACGCTGACACTCCAGGGTCAGATGACGAGCAGAGAGAGTCAGACGCTGGAGCACCTCAATCTCGTATATACGAGGATATTTATGATTACTATGGTACACGCCAAACGCACCCATATTCCCAACTAACTCGCGAGAGCGTCTACTATTCCACCGACAGTGTGGGCAATGCGAAGCCCCCCCTCCCAACATCTGCAGACAAAGATGCCGAGTCTGAGCGCTCTAGCATTGATGAGGCGAACGAAACGATGACCGATTCGGAGCCTCCTACTCCGGACGAGCAGGTTCGTCTCGAACATGAAATCATGGACACATTCACGTCCTCAGACAAACGTAGATCGATTGATAAGGGTGCTCTTGGTGGCTACACACACTCGCGTAGCACCAGCGCAACGAGTCGGTCGTCAACTATTGACGAATCGCTGGATGCCGAGATTGCAGAGCTGTACGAAGGCACAACTGAGTTCCTCGATAGACCAATCTCTGTTTACCAGAATGTCCAGCCCTTGCATACTCGGAGTACTTCTGACACATCCGAAATTAAGGATACCACTGATGTATCGACACCAAAGATTGGTGATACTGCGGCTTTTGCTGACAATTTACCTACAGAACCTCTTGAGAGCGGTATCAATACTTTGGCCATCAACACAGAACCCTCCGGGTTACCAAAGCTGAATTTTATTGCTGCCAGCCCAGTTACAGAAGAAGGCGAAAAGCCTCGTTGGCAGCCCATCGAAGATGATGGAGATGCTGATGTTTCTTCATCAACGGTTGTTGGTAAACAAGATGACACAGAGGACAATGAAGCTAAAGATACATCTGGCGATAGAAGTCTTGTGAAAGATCTGAGTCTCACAGGGAACATGCTAGAGAATATGGATCAAAGCCATGACGGTGGCGAAGCAGAGAAAGTTACAACCAGAGGGACTTTCTCCTCCTCGTCAGAAGCTACACACCATGCCCATAATGATAGTAATACATCGGCACTATCTATGATTTCCGACAACCACGACATCGTGCCACCGGAAATCCCACCCACTCTTTCTGAAGTGGAGACAGACGACCAGCGGGACCCCTCTCCTCCCAATGTTCAACAATTCACACAAATTTCAGCCAAAGTCAAGCGACCTCCTCCTGTTGACTTCAGCGCTCTGCTGAGTGGCCCCACATCCGAGGCTCGTCTCGCCCAGTTGGTCAATTTCCGCCAGCGTGAAGCCGAGTACGAGTCGGGGCTTTCGGTCTGGCTGCAGGCCACGTACTCTGTGATTGAGGGCAACACTGAGATCTACACGACAGGATTACCCCCCCGAGAATGAAGGGCGCTCTGTCAGTATGACTAGACAAATGACGCACATTTCATCCGAACACCTTTCTTCAACCAAAGAGGCTCTTGAACACTTTGGCGAAAAGTCCACAAAGAAAGCACGCAGTTTGTTTGCAAAGGGTCGTCGTTTGGTAAAAAGTTAATAGCTAGTTTGGTATGTACAAGTTCAGATTGAAAACAGAGTTATTTTATATTGGCGTTGTCACGAGGAAATTACTCTTCGTTGTTTTTCCCTCTTTGGCTCATTCCGCTGAAGAATCCAAGACGATCGCCACGGGCCCGTCCCAAAGCTGAAGATCCAGCACCCTCGTACTTGGATTTCCGCTCTACGGGGTCCGCAAAATCTCCAACGAACGCCCCCGGTTGGGTGGGACGAAGCTGCCGGGGGTCGTCGGTGTAGCGGTTCTTCTCCTGATAGACTTTGTAGGCTATAGCAATAGAAACAAACGTAAACGCGATGCGACGCCACGCTGAATTGATCCTGGGCAAAGGTGAGCCCTGTGCGTGTCCAAATTGCTTAGCTACCATGGTTTTGTTGGAGATGATTAACCCGATCTTGGGCCCGGCGTTGGTCATCATGACTGGCAAGCGGAAGTTCGAGTCGTCTGATCCGCTACGCCGAAGCACGCAACGGAGGATTCCGCCCGGTGTGCTTAACCGAAGCACGCAGGTTGGTTCTGGAGCAAGTACTTTCATAGCTGGCCCAGCCGGTGGCCCTGGAGGCTCTGGCGGTATTTCTCAACAACCTTTCTCCAGCCAACCTAGCACAGCAGCCCCTGGGTTTGTTGCCGGAGCCCCTACTGAAATTAATGCTAATCAGAACTACGTGCCGATGGCACAGCCCCAAATTGGCCAGGGAGAGCCAATGGTTGGGATTCAGGGCCCAAGCAGCTCGTCGCTGCCCGATGCTCCGGGAGAAAAGTATGATGAATTTCCTCTACGTTGCTGCACCATTGATGACGTTCGCGATTCCCGCTACCATATGATAAAGTTCCACTCGCGGTCCAAGATCGATCCAGCCACCCAGTTTACCCCGCCGATTCGCTTCCACAGAAAAGACCCCAAGCTTTTACAAGTCACGGTTGGAGACGAGGTATCTGCTGGTGCCGAAGGCTCGAATCCTGGATCTGTAGACGGCGAAAATGGTGCGGCCTCTTCCCAAGGCGGTGAGAATGGCGAAAAGCCCAAAAAGTCGGGACCCTTTAGACGTAAAAAGACCTACCAGGCTCAAGGTGGCGATGAGGCCAGTGAAGCTGCTAGAAAACTGCGTTATGAAGAGCACTATCCCTGGGTTATGGAGGACTTTGACAACAAAAACACCTGGGTCTCGAGTTACGAGGCCGGCCAGTCTGATACCTATGTTGTTTTTGTGTTCGATCGGGATGGATTCAAAATGATACCAATTGAAAAGTTCTATCGACTCAATCAACGAAGCAAGTTCGCAACATTGTCCTTAGATGAAGCTGAAGAGAAAATGGGCAAACGCAATTCAAACATCCCTCGCTGGATTATGGACAAGCTTCAAACCGAACGAGGCGCTGCTGGACCTGGTGCAGAGGCAATTGCTGCCGGTCACCAACGCCGTCGTCTTCGTACTGTTGAGGGTTCCGAGGAACGCACAAACCGTAGGTCGGGTCTAGAGGAAGAAATGGATTTCGACGAGGAGTTTGCTGATGACGATGGTGCTCCTATTATGGACGGTCCCGAAGAAGACCTGAAAGAGGTAGAGGACAGAATCAAAAGGGAACAGAGACAGGCTAATGCTTTGGATGCAGATGATAACGATTTGGATGCTTTGTTCGAGGATGGAGAGGACCAAATCGACCGCAACGGAAAGAAACTTAGAAAGTACTTGAGAGCACTTGAAAAGAATGCATACTACGATTCAGGTGACGACGAAAACCCTTATTTGTCTGAGGAAGAGGCTGATTCCGAGCCAGAGATCAAACCCGATCCAGACGCTGCAAGTACGTCTGCTGGTAACGGCCAAACGCCTCTGGTGGTTTTACCTTTCCGAAGAAAAGTTATCAAAAATCGCCTTCCTGGAATGGCCGTTATTCAATTGCCTCCGAGGATCCTTAAAACTTTTCCTGTTGGTGAACTGAACCCAGGGGTCAAACCTTATGATGGTGTTGACAGAAAGGCCGTCTCTGTTGCTAACTCCGCTTCTGCGTCATCCACCAACCTCGCTGCACTGAATAAGACCTCCAAGTCGGATGAGGATGGGTTGTTACAAGCCGATGACGTTCGCAAGTGTTTGATGGACCAGCGTCCTACCATCAAAGAGCTTTTGAGCACCCTGCGACAGAAACTGTTTCAGCATCCAGATAATCAAGCTCGTCTCAAGAGAATTTTGCGTGAAATTGCAACTCTGCAAGATGGAAGACTGGTGCTCACCTCCTAGATCTTCTGCTATTCCTAAATATATATCGTTTTACAAACGCTCCTCTAGGCGGGTGCTAGTTTTGAAGAAGTAATGACCGGTCTGTTCTAAGAGTTTGAAAAGCCTCCTCCCCATCACTAGCTATTTCCCCATTCCAACAATAGCGATCAAAGCAGCGCTTACATTGCTCGCTCAGGGGCAGATTCTGACGTTCACGAGACCGCTGGCTCACGGCACAAGCTAAGCATGCTGCCCACTCCTCATCAAAAGTCCCATTACCTCTTGTCGCTACGTTGTAGCCGTTTTGTATCATTTTTTTGACTTTCTTGTCGGTGTATGCCAACTGAAACGTTGACGTGTTCGAGAAAGTGGAGTACCCAGCGTTAGGAATATAAATAATTAGCGGTGGAACATTGTCACCTGGTAAATTGGTCAGATTTTGAGCGTAGCATCCAAAGAACGTAGGGCGAGAAGCCAGACCCAAATTAACGAAAGTTTCTTTGTCGGGTACGTAAGGCATTGGCGGCGAACCAGGTAGTAAAAACTGGCGCTCGTAGGATTTCGTCATAGGGCTTCCATCTGGCCACGAAACATCGAGCTCAGCACCACTGTTATCGAATGCGATAATAGCATCGACTTCTCTGCTTGGCTCTAGTAACGGCTGCAAGGGGATGTTTAACCCATTGCTACCACCGTCCGCAACATAGAGTGTGCTTGACGAGCTAATAGCTGACCCCTTTCCATTTCCTACATGTGAGAGCCCCAAAAATGGATTTGGAGATATAGCCGCGACATCTCGTAGCCCCATAATCCCGGTATGCTGAAGCACCCACCTTAAAGAGTTTGCCAGAGATTTAGACGTGGTCAGATTCTCAATTATACCCGTGAAGATCTGATCAAACAGAGATGATGAGGCTCCAAGCAAAAACCCAGCTTCATCCAATCCAACAATTATTGGGTTTTTCTCATCTGGCCTACCGTTTATCAACTTAACCCCAAGGTACTCTATATCGACAAATGAGTCCACGTCCTTGTCGTAAGATCCAATCTCCAACGGTGATATCTCAATAATAGCGGACCCTTCATGCGGTGGTCGGTAAACTGGGACTCTGCTAAGGACTGTTATAATGGGAAACGGTGCCAGCCTTTCTGTATACCAGTGCTCATGTCTTAGATCTGACCATCGCCAAAACCGGGGATTATTATCAAGAATATCGTCGGCACCAAAGCCAGCGATTAATTGTCGATATAAAAACCTCCCCCATAGGTCGGTAATAGTGACCGAGTACCCATGCGACTTTTTCCAAGACACATTTTTGTAAAGTCTCCAGTAAAGCTTAATTTTTGACAAACAGTCCTTTGCCTGCTCTGCCACAAATAGGGGCTTCTCCAAATCCCATAAATCTTTTTCGTTAACAATATTCTCGACGGTGCTAAAGTTTCGAAAATAAACGGAGCCCAGAAGCCAACCACCACCGGACAAACCAGTAATATAGCTTGAGCCCTGCAAAAGCCCTCCAATATGACCGTGTCCATTGTTGCCTTTAGTTCTTGCGTCAAGGGCTGCGACTTCGCCTGCCCCGGTGAGCATTGCACGATAGCCTCCCCCACTGAACGCTAGACCAACCACCGAATCTGTGAAAAGACTGGGATCAAAATCAACGTTGGAATTCTTGAAGAACTCATGCAATGCAGTAGACGTGTGCTTTTTTCGATCCTCAACATATTGCACTTCATTTTGGCTGATGCCCGAGCTTGCTGAGCGAGTCAGTCTCCGGGGTAGGTGCTCATGGTTTTTGTGAAAAAAATGACCGTTGCAGACCATCAACCACCAAAAAAATCCCATCCAACCAAGCATACTCGGAAGCATAGCAGGTCTGTGAGATCCGAAAGAGACACCACTTTCGTTCACCATAGCGCCTGACGTAGATCTATCCTCTTTCGGTGTTAAACTACTTTTTGTACGTAATTGAGGAGTTATTATGGTATAAATCGGGACTGTCTTTGTAGATTTCTGTATAGTGGCCAGATAAGGCCTTTTTTGGGTACCCGATCTGGCAGAAATTTGTACATTGGCAAAATGCCTGCATTAGAGGTTTGGTATATCAAAGTGTACCCATGTGCCAACATTGATACCATCAAACATAAATATACAATATTTAATATAGGCTCGGTTGAGCGCCGTTGAGGCCATCTTTTCCGGATCAGATCCACTAAGCATAGTCAGTCGGCCGTTGATGCAGTGCCCACTCCGCGTTGATAAATTTTCTCAAAAGAAGCAGTTTAAATCGGTCTATTGAGTCTAAAAAGCCGTTACAGTAGAACTTTTATTAGTTTGCTCCGCTAAAGCATTTTCTCGTTTCGCCAATCAAGCGTTTTTCGCCTGATCAAATATAGCATGCGTTTAGCAAACCAACGGGATGCATGGGCTGTCACCAACCCCAAGTTTTGATGCTAGAATGTTGGATCAAACCAATTCAAAATTCCAATAAGCATCAACTAAAATTGCCGAGTTCATTCCCCAATGTTCTGGAAAGCTCGAGCAGCAGATGGTGACTTTCTCCAGAAAGCTCCACAAGGTTCCATTGACCAGCAAGTGGGCCTAGGGTTTGGATCACGTGGGCCGCAGAACGTTCTGAGCAATTCTTCACAATTCCACCGATTAGATATATAAATGCAAGGGCAACCTCCACCTACCCTGTCACAAACACAAAACAAATATGAGTAAAACCGCTGTTGGAATTGATTTGGGTACCACTTACTCTTGTGTTGCCCACTTTGCTAACGATCGTGTTGAAATTATTGCCAACGACCAGGGTAATCGTACTACTCCCTCGTTCGTTGCTTTCACTGACAGTGAGCGTCTGATTGGTGATGCCGCTAAGAACCAGGCTGCCATGAATCCCGCCAACACTGTCTTTGATGCTAAGCGTCTCATTGGTCGTAAATTCGACGATCCCGAGACTCAAAATGATATCAAGCACTTCCCCTTCAAGGTCATCGACAAGGGTGCTAAGCCTAACATCCAGGTCGAGTTCAAGGGTGAGACCAAGGTCTTCACTCCTGAGGAGATCTCTGCTATGGTTCTCACCAAGATGAAGGAGATTGCTGAGGCTTACCTTGGTTCTAAGGTCACCGAGGCTGTCATCACTGTCCCTGCCTACTTCAATGATTCGCAGCGCCAGGCCACCAAAGATGCTGGTTTGATTGCTGGTCTTAACGTCTTGCGTATCATCAACGAGCCCACTGCCGCTGCAATTGCTTACGGTTTGGACAAGAAGGGTAACAACGAGCACAACGTCCTTATCTTCGATTTGGGTGGTGGTACTTTCGATGTTTCCTTGCTTTCTATTGATGACGGTATCTTCGAGGTCAAGGCCACCGCTGGTGACACCCACTTGGGTGGTGAGGACTTCGATTCGCGCCTTGTTAACTTCTTCGTTGAGGAGTTCAAGCGCAAACACAAGAAGGACATCTCCAGCAACCAGCGCGCTCTCCGCCGTCTGCGCACTGCCTGCGAGCGTGCTAAGCGTGCTCTCTCTTCTTCTGCTCAGACCTCCGTCGAGATCGACTCTTTGTACGAGGGTATCGACTTTTACACTTCGATCACTCGTGCTCGTTTCGAGGAGTTGTGCCAGGACCTCTTCCGCAAGACTCTTGAGCCTGTTGAGAAGGTTCTTAAGGACTCCAAGCTTGACAAGTCTCAAGTTGACGAGATTGTCATGGTCGGTGGTTCCACCCGTATCCCCAAGATTCAGAAGCTGGTTTCTGACTTCTTCAACGGCAAGGAGCTCAACCGTTCCATCAACCCCGATGAGGCTGTTGCCTACGGCGCTGCTGTGCAGGCCGCTATTTTGACTGGTGACACCTCCTCCAAGACCCAGGATCTTCTGCTTTTGGATGTTGCTCCCCTTTCTCTCGGTATTGAGACCGCTGGTGGTGTCATGACCAAGTTGATTCCCCGTAATTCCACTATCCCCACCAAGAAGTCTGAGACTTTCTCTACCTACGCTGATAATCAGCCCGGTGTCTTGATTCAGGTCTTCGAGGGTGAGCGTGCTCGCACTAAGGACAACAACTTGCTTGGTAAGTTCGAGCTTACCGGCATTCCTCCTGCTCCCCGTGGTGTTCCTCAGATTGAGGTTACCTTCGATATCGATGCCAATGGTATCCTGAACGTCTCCGCTGTTGAGAAAGGCACTGGTAAGTCTCAGAAGATCACCATCACCAACGACAAGGGTCGTTTGTCTAAGGAAGACATTGAGCGCATGGTTTCTGAGGCCGAGAAGTACAAGGAGGAAGACGAGAAGGAGTCCAGCCGTATTGCTGCCAAGAACGGTCTTGAGTCCTACGCTTACTCTCTGAAGAACAACCTCAGCGAGGAGGGCTTCAAGGAGAAGGTCGAGGAGGGTGACCGCACCAAGCTCGAGAAGGCTATCAACGAGACCATTGAGTGGCTCGATAGCAACCAGACTGCTGCCACTGACGAGTTCGCTGACAAGCAGAAGGAGCTCGAGGGTGTTGCCAACCCCATCATGATGAAGTTCTACGGTGGTGCTGGCGGCGCTCCTGGCGGCGTTCCCGGTGGATTCCCTGGCGGTGCTCCTGGCGGTGCTGCTCCCGGCGGCGACGATGGCCCCACTGTCGAGGAGGTCGACTAATTGGTTTCGCAACCCATATAAGTATATGACTTGGTATATAATTAAATCTTGCAGTTTATTTTGAGTTTCACTGAACGTTCCTCACATGATGATTAATAAGCTGGAAATGTCTCCTCCATGTTAATACTTCCGGGTAACCTTTTGGGATATCTTCTCGCCGAGTTGGTCAGCGTGTCTTCCCAGTCATGAACTCCGAGTAGTAAGTAGACAGGTGGCAAATCACTCCGCAGACGTGAGATGAATGGCAATAGACGAGCACAGTCTCGTTTTTGAAGGCAAAGCTAACGAAGAGTACCAACTGAATGCTGAGAGCACCCCTAACGCATTACGAATGAGCAAAGAATGTCCTCACAATTGGCCGTGACCAAGGGCGTCCAACTAGATATTCGGACATGGATCTGAGGTGGCTTTGCTTTGCAATAGCAATGTTTTAGGCTCGCTAATGCGTCAACAGGACTAAATACTAACTACAGATACGATTATTTGTTCAAACTTTTGGTGATTGGTGATTCAGGTGTCGGCAAGTCGTGTTTGTTGCTGCGCTTCGCCGACAACTCGTTCTCTGAATCGTACATCTCTACCATTGGTGTCGATTTCAAAATCAGAACAGTTGATCTTGATTCCAAAACTGTGAAGCTCCAGATTTGGGATACCGCCGGACAAGAACGATTCCGAACCATCATCTCCTCTTACTACCGTGGTGCTCATGGTATCATCGTTGTTTACGATGTTACTGACCAGAACTCTTTCAATGACGTCAAGCACTGGTTCCAGGAAATTGACCGTTTCGCCAGCGAGGGCGTCGTCAAGCTGCTGGTTGGCAATAAGAGTGATATGACCGACAAAAAGGTCGTTGAGTACAACGTGGCCAAAGAATTCGCCGACTCCATGGGCATCCAGTTTTTGGAGACATCTGCCAAGGAGTCCACCAACGTTGAGCAGGCTTTCCTCACTATGGCCCGTGAGATTAAGGATAAAATGACCACAGCCAACGAAGGTGGTGAAGAAAAAGCCGCTCTTAACCTCAAGGGCAGCAGTGTTAACGCCAATTCGGGTGGCTGCTGTTAAGTAGTTCCTAGTTTCATTTTTTATCAGCTTTAAGCTCACCAACCAGAAAATGGTCTCGCTAGTCTAATCAAATAAGGTCAAAACTGGTAGTATTTCAGCTCCTGCCGCGACGTCTCCGAAATCTATGGAATTCTTTTCACGAACTGATAAGTCATATTTTGAATTTTCTCTATTATTTTAATAGACCCCTCAAATTCGGTCTTTCTGTATCTGAAACTCCAAGCTGAGCCTTAGGAATGTACTCAAACGGTGGAATGCCGCTTCAAGTGTCTCAGGTAGCAGATGCAGGACTCCGGCTGCTTGGCAACTGGAAGTTTAGGAGCATGCTCTGTAAACTTCGAGACAATCTGGCATAGCGCCTGTCTCTGCAAAAAGGTTGCTTTCGAAGAATCCTGTGCAAAGCAACTAGTTCGTTCAGCAGGACTGAAATGGTCAGACCAAGGCGAAGCAGCCTTTGCCAAGTGCAACGAAGAGCATCCCTTTGGTATGCAGGTGGACATAGTTGGCCTATAATTCGACAAATTGTTTAGGTTTGGGCCCTAGAGCTGGATCTCGCTACTGTCGCATCGGCTGTTAGCGGACTTCGCTCTCCTGCATGCGGCCTGGTGTTATGCATTCCGACACGCGTGTACTTTGATCGACCTAATTCGAGCTGCAAGGTTCCACTCCAACAGCTGAACACTCGAAACCAAGTACGTTCTCAGCCTTTGACCGATATAAAAAGCCGGGGGCTTGCTTATATTCCATGCTGGATTCGATTGGACTAACCTGTTCATGCCTGCGCTAATGCCCGTGCTCTGCTGCACCTGTCACGAACTCTAATTCCTACAGCCTAATATTCACGTCGTAATTATAGATGCGACTTGCCTTTGCTTCGTTTTTTATTGTAATTAGTGAATGCTGGAGCCCTTCTTGCTTCTTTATCGTTCTTCCCGTGACTTAGGGTTGCCGACATCGCTATTGAGTTCAAGATCTTCTCTTCATGAACTATCAACCGTTACACTTTGGTGTTTTGGAGGATTAAAGTCTTCTTTGTTCTTGTAGGAGCCAATTCTTATGTCCCCAGTGACCACCGGTCCTGTAGTGTAGAATTGACGGTGAGCATATGGCTATCGAAAAATAGTTCTCTCGAATAAGCCCTCAAGTAACTACTCGTGACATTTGAAAGTTCGATCTTTATGTTTTGATCCGAAGCCCAATCAACTCGGCCTTTAAGTTTCAATTCTCTAGATTATTGTTTGCCCACAGTAAATAGTGGTACAGGTCACAGGCTTGATTTTCGATAGGCGTAGCCAAGCCTATTGTCATCCTGGTTTATTTCGAAACGTGTGGTTTCTCCATAATATGGCAACATCACTTTGCAACCCAGTTAGCTGGGCCGATAAGGGTGGGGTCCGCATCGGTTCCAACAGTGAAATTTCATTATCGAAATAGATCAATTGCAATTTGGAGCAAATATGAGCCGCTGCGTCAATTAGAAAGTAGCCAGTATTGAAGTCATGCTGTTTAAGCTTCGTATTTATTTGATATCAGTTGTTCAGGAAGCCGTGCGGAAGCCTGGAAGGTGGGGCTATGCTGATGAGGGCCATTCACATTGCATACAATTAACGTGCATTACGCAGACGGTCTCGTAGAGGTTTCCCTCCGAGGTGCAGACCCCGCACAGTCAGCAGGAACAAGGCCTATTTGTTACCATGGCAACGAGTTGATGAAATCCGCCTCGTTGAAACTAGGCGGTCAGATATACGGAATCAAAGCGATATATTGTTGTTTACCCTACTTCATTTCATTTGGTGTAGCGGGAAAGTCAAGGTTTTGATCATTTTCACGATTTACCGAATTGGGAATTGAAAAAACAATTCACCGATAGATCGGTTACCAGCATTGATCGAGCTTGATCAGGCGGGTCTGAGTTTTCCTCTGTATTTTTCGTAGGATATTGGTTGTGTATGTGAAACTCATAGATCTGTCTTCTATATACATTTTAATGAAGTCTTGATTTAGTCCGCGAGTGCTAAAGAATTCAGCAAGCAGTGGGTGCATGAGCTAGCGTCATTTTAACAAGGAACAAAGGACACACGAAAACTGCGTAACAACATTTTCACTGCGATTGCATTGACTCCCATAGAAAGCTAATCGTCAAGCAAAATATTCTGAAACGTATGAAGCGTTCGGCGTCGCAGATGAGCAACATCAGTCGAAGAAAAATCTCGACCTATTGAAATCCCTCACGCACAGCGTGTTTACACAAACTCATTTTAGTTAAGTAAAGTGGCCCCTAACACATAATGGGCCTATGTTTACATCGGTACAGTGAGCAACGGCAAGCTATGCAAGTAAATAGCCATGCAAGGCATGTACACATCTCTGTTCGGAGAGGTTCCGCTTACACGGTTTGATCTTTTCAGCAGTGAGCGATGACAAACAGATCCTTTCTGCATGTAGGGGGCCAGCACCCCTCCCTACGAACAGTTCTAAACCTCAATCACAAGAATAAGGGGGCCATAATATTATAGGTGTGAGCCAGGTATCTACGAGAACTATGTAATTCCTTAAAGCAACAAAGCACAAGTACGATATCCTGCATGATTCTCGGAGAACCATGGAACACTCCTGAAGATGGAACAATATCAACAAACCCACCTCTGTGCACTGGCTATCGGGCAAGGTTTCAGACTTTCCTGCACAGCCTGACAAAGGCACTGCACAACCCCCTCTTATCCCACCTTCGGTGTGCAGAGGTCCCTATCGCCGTAACAAGCGGGAAAAAGTAGGAAATTTTAAGACTTTTTCGCGTTCTTGCACCATATTAGTCTCACGGTTACATATTTCATGTTAGAACCAGGTCACTCAGTGGTATGTGCACACGAACCCACACCCTTTGTACCTTGCTGCATGTAGTGAGGAGGTTCTGCAGGAGGTAAAACCCTGCAGCGGTCCGCTTAAAGTGGGAACACTGCTAGAGTGTTTTCTTTCTACCTCTCGAGACCTATAATAAAGAGCCGGCCTGATCGCGTCCTAGACATATTCGAACGAAGAAATCCACTCCTTAGCTTTCTTTCGTGACACCACACAACACCACCATCTTTACAATGAACACCAAAACCCTCCTTCTTTCCATTCTTTCGGCTCCCGCCCTCGTTAACGCGGTTGCCATCTACGAGACCGTTCATCAGACTTTCTACGTTACCGTCGACTCTGACGGAAACGTTGTTGGTGTCCCCCCTATCGCCTCTCCCACTACGGTCGAGGCTGCTCCTGTGACCAACGCGCCTGCCGCCGTTACCACAACCGAGGCCGCCGCCGCTCCCGTTGTGACTCCTGTCGCCTACCAGTACGTTCCAGCTGCTGAGTCTAGCGCTAAGACCACTTCGACTGCTGCACCCGCTCCTGCTACCTCAAGCGCTGCCGACTCCTCCGACTCCAACCTCGACTCCTTCGCTCAGACCATTGTCGACTACCATAACAAGGTTCGTGCCGAGCACGGTGTTGGTGCCGTCGAGTGGGACGATGAGCTTGCTAGCTTTGCCAGCAACTACCTTGCTGGTGACAACTGCCAGTTCAAGCACTCTGGTGGTCCTTACGGTGAGAACATCGCCATGGGTTACGGCACCACCACCGGTGCCCTTGAGGCCTGGTACGACGAGAACAGCCAGTACAACTATGCTGCTGGTCAGTTCAGTGCTAGCACCGGCCACTTCACCCAGATGGTTTGGAAGGGCACTACCAAGGTTGGCTGTGCCCAGACTGACTGCGGCATGGGTCCCTTCTTGGTCTGTGAGTACTCGCCTCGCGGTAATGTTATTGGTCAATTCACTGAGAACGTCTTTGCCTAAGAACCTGGATTTCTTCAACTCGAAACAGTGAGAAACTCCCCATTTCTGACGCAACGGTCGTTTGCCTTTTGTTTCCAAAAACCAACCACCTATTATTTTTTCCCTGCCCCATCGAAAAATCACATTCACATTTGAGGACCCGCGAGAATTACATACCCGGATTTTCTTTTACAACCCTCATTCTTTTAATTACTCTTCACTCACTTCATAACCAAAGTATATAGTAGTATGCCCTCTTGCAAATTTATTCCAACAGCAAATTCACTGCCCAATCCACGGAAAGAGTACGCAAATCGGTGTAATTTTGACCAACACCAACAAACAAAACAGGAATTTTGGTGGTGTAGGTCATATTTACCAATGTACCGAGCATGTCACCAACAGTGTCACACTTTGAAATAAGGAAAAAGTCGATGTGACGTTGTGCACCGAAGGCAGAGTCAAAGTTCTTTGCCTGTGCAACACTGTCTGTTCCGACTAGTGCTTCACCCACCATAATGATTTTGTCTGGGTTTGCCAGCTTGCCGAATTTTTCAAGTGAAGACATGAGACGTTCATCGTTGTGACGCCGGCCGGCAGTGTCAATAAGGACTACATCGAAGTCATGAGACTGGCCATATTCGACGGCTTTTTGGGCAATTACTGCAGCATCTTTGCCATAGCCCTGGGAGAACAGCTCAACCTCGCCCGCATTCTGACGCTCTGTGAGTTGACGCAGGCGGTCAACATGCACCTTAAGCTGCTCAACTGCACCACTTCTAAAAGTGTCACAAGCAGCTACGAGCACTTTCATCTTGTTTTGCAAAAGCCAGAACGCGATTTTGCCGAGATTCGTAGACTTGCCCACACCGTTGACACCAACAACACTGATAACGTAGGGTCGTCCACCTTGTTGCTTGGACCGTTTCACCTGTAATAACAAATCGACAGACGTTGTAGGAGTGAGGATTTTTTGGAGAGTTCGGGCCAAACTTTTTCGGACGGTTGCGTTTACAGAAGTCCAGCTGTCCGTAGTTCTACCAACCAGATCCTTGCGAATTTCTCCACAAATTAAAGTTGCAACCTCTTTGGCAACATTTTTATTGACAAGATGGTCTTCCATGGCAGACAGAGTCTTACCGAGGTCTTTCTCGCTAAGCTTCTTACCACCGACAATGTTGCGGAGGAACGAGAAGGAATCAGCCTTGCTGCTATTCTTGGATTTGTCCTCGCGGAGAATGTTGTTAAGTTCATCTGTCAATTCCTTCACCACAAACCCGTCTTTGGACTGCATTCCGTAGTCTAGATCAACATCTTCTTGATAAACGGAGGCGGTGCTTTCGTCCGCCGGTTCAGAATAATCGAGTGGGCCGTCATGGTCTTCTGATCCATCCCATTTGCGCTGCTGCTTTTTCTTCTTTTGCATTTTCTTGGCTGCTGCTGCCGCCTTGGCTGCCGCTGTCTGCTTAGTTTGAGCGGGCAATTCTGACCTCTTTGGCCCTTCTGTTACCGTGTTTTCTGCTTCAGTCTCGGGAACCGGTGTTGATTCGTTGACAATATCTTGCAATCTCACTCTTGCCAAAGCAGTGAACTTCTCGAGGTCGAGATCTGCTGGCGCAAGAATTCCAGGGTTGCCCCGGAGCGAGTCCTCATTAACGGACGTGAAAACTTTGGTTAAATCTTTGCAAATCGAATCCGCGTGTGCAACTTGAATGATAGAAGGGTGGATCAAGGCAGTTGAAATCCCCAGCTGGTGGTCTCTAGCGACTTTCACTGTATAGCCATCAATAGTGCTAACTTTGGAGCCTTCGATGAATTCTTTGGCAATCAAAGCGTTGATAACTGAGTTTGGAATACTTTCCCCGCCTTCAGTCTCTTTAGACCATAGTATCTTCCCGCCTTCCGAGAATACCACGATTCGATGCATGGGGCAAAGCGTGCGTAATCTGCGAGACCCAAGCTGAGTTTAGAGCTTCGAAACTACAAGATGAGGAACAGCCAATCAAGCTATAGTATGGGTTGGTTTTTATTCGTAACATGGAATTCAGTATGGCTAAAATCTTTGCCGTAGCTCCATATATTCGAATCTGTCGAAAGCATGCAAAAGTAAATAGGGGCACTGGTAAGGTCCGCGGCCGCCGGTCTTAAATGGTGTGTCACCACACTCTTCACATTTTACTTGCCACCAGGAAGCCATAGACACGAACTGTTGTTATGGATTTCCGATGACGTTTCGCGCCCTATTTATTTAATCTATGGTTCGACTCGCTTCGACGGATTATCTGCCTGCTCAAAGTCAGTGGTCTCCGTCTCACGCGGTGTTGTGGTTGCCCTCTATTTTGGCACGATCCTTGGCGCGCCGTATTGCTAGATAAGCGTACGCTCCATTTTCGGTGCGGTAACAGGAATCTGCCATATTGTCCCAACAAAGAGGCACGTCGATCTCCCTTTGTCAGCTGGCTAGTTTCCATCTCAAGTACCAGGTTCACGTGACGCGGCTAGTCATCGTAACGGGCCTTTGTTGTGCGTGCCCCCAATTGATTTTGCCACATACTCTATTTAAATGGCTCCAAAGCGTCGGCTGCACTTGGACAGTGATGAAAGTGATGTCTCGGAAGTAGAAGAAAAGATCGAATCACCTCAAACTACTCGCTCGACCCGGTCTCGTCGCAATGTCAGTTATGTAGATCACCTCGACGAGACAGGTGAGAACGGCGTTCAAAGTCCCAAGAAAGAAAGCGATGGTGAGGAATACAATGAAGACGACCAAAAGTTTCCTGTCAAACTTCAGGTGGGTAGAACGCGACTTCAAAGACTAAAGCAACAAGACGAAGATGATGAGTACCATGTGAGTTCTTCGGAAACTGAGCTCTCCGCGGTAGAATCTGAAGAGTTCACTCAATCAGACGATGGCTTCGTTGTTGATTCTGATGATAATGTGGTTCGGAGACGAAGAACGAGGTATAGTCAACGCAGAAGAGGCCGTCCTAGGAAACGCCAACGCCAACAATGGAGGCCTACACAGCGCTCACTAAGACGTGCCCGTGGATCAGATTCAGAAGATGATAATGATTTCGGAATGAGCATTCAAGACGAACTAGACGAGCTGAGATCTCCATCGCCCGTTCATCGTGAATTAAGAGAACGTCAGCCTATCAATTACGAAATTCGCCCACCACCGACGCTTGACGATATCGTCAAATCTCAGCAACGCACAGAGAAATCGGCTGGCGGTAAGAGTGCTTCGAAAGGTCCTATCAGACGCCTATTCAATGTCCAAGGGCCATTTGGTGGTGCCGACGTGCTTTCACTAATCAACCCGAAAAAGGACTATCTCCAAAATATTATAGACGAGCCCGCCGCAGTGGACCAATCTGTTACTGCCGATGTCATTGGTGTGAATGGGCCCATGGTCAATGCCGATGCTGATCCTCTGGGAATTGACACTAATATTGACTTTACAGCAGTAGGTGGTCTGGATGATTACATCGACAAACTCAAAGAAATGGTCTCGCTACCATTGATGTATCCCGACATTTATAAAAGGTTCGGTATCACACCCCCGCGTGGAGTCCTCTTCCATGGTCCTCCTGGTACTGGTAAGACCTTAATGGCCCGAGCTCTGGCCGCCAGTGCTAGCCATGAAGGTAAAAAAATCACATTTTTCATGCGCAAAGGTGCAGACTGCTTATCGAAGTGGATTGGTGAGGCTGAACGCCAGTTAAGGCTTCTATTTGAAGAAGCAAAAGCAAAGCAGCCGAGTATCATTTTCTTTGATGAAATTGATGGCCTGGCTCCAGTTCGCTCGTCAAAGCAGGAGCAAATTCATGCGTCGATTGTCTCGACGTTGCTTGCATTGATGGATGGTATGGACAACCGTGGCCAAGTCGTTGTTATTGGCGCTACAAATAGACCCGATAGCGTCGACCCTGCTCTCCGGCGACCTGGTCGTTTCGATCGTGAATTTTACTTCCCGCTCCCCAATTTAGAAGCCAGAAGACAGATTCTTAAAATTCACACTCGCAAATGGACCCCGCCTCTCAAGTCTGAATTCGTGAACCATGTGGCTGAATTAACTAAAGGCTATGGGGGTGCCGACCTGAGAGCTCTTTGCACTGAAGCTGCTCTTGCAGCAATCCAAAGACGATATCCTCAAATTTGGATGTCTAAGCGAAAGCTCGTTGTTGATCCGGAATCTGTGGTCGTGGAGCCACGAGACTTTCTGAAATCACTTGAGCGCATAGTTGCATCTTCTGCTAGGCAGACCGGTAATATAGCCGCACCTCTGCCGCCTCGTATCTCACATTTACTTGGCAGTACAATGGACGGCATCAAGCAGAAGCTGGACCTGCTATTGCCCAAACCCAAGAATATGACTGCTCTGGAGGCAGCGATGTTTGATGATAGCTATATCAGCGGTGGCTTCGATCGCCAGCAACAGCTGGAAGAGCTTCGGGCGGCTCGTGTACACCGACCCAGACTACTTATACATGGCTCGTCTGGCTCTGGTCAGGAGTATTTGATGTCTGCTATTTCGCATGCCATGGAAGGTGTTTTTAGCCAGGTGTTGGACTTTGCTGCATTATTTGGCGACTCGATGCGTACGCCCGAAGCATCTCTGGTCCATATGCTAAGCGAGGCTAGGCGTCGTAGCCCCGCTATGCTGTTGATCCCTTCTATTGAACTTCTTTTATCTTTAACGAGCCCTCAGCTCCAGGCCACTTTGTTCAGTATTTTGCGCGAAATTCTTCCCACTGATAAGGTGTTGGTTGTCGGCATTGCTAATGAACCGATTTCCGACCTGGACCCCCGTGTTGTTCAATTTTTCGGGGTCGCTAGTACCTCCCATGCTACAATTTCCCTCGACCGCTCTACGAAAGCCATCCATAACTTCTTTGGCCTTTTGCGTGGCTACATTGAAAGCTCTCCCATCGAGACATTGGAACTCGAAAACTGCCCTAAAAGAGCACTCGAACCGTTACCGATTGCTCCTACAGAGAAAGAACACGTTTCCGAGCAGGAGAGTAAAGAAACAGAACCCACCGACACTTTGAGCAAAAAGGACTTGAAGACGCTCAGCCAACTCAAAGTCAAGCTAGGTGCAATTTTGGATGGCTTTAAAAACCGCTATAGGCGGTTCCGCAAGCCCGTCATCGATGATATTTATTTGGCGCACTTATTTGAAGAACCAGACCCAACGAGTGAACGTGACTATATCTTGACTGATGATGACATGGTCCTCCACGTCAGTATGGGAAAAAAGTATCACAATATGGATCTGGATACAGTCGAAGACCGATTATGGAACGGTTATTATTGCGAGCCGCGACAGTTTTTGGATGATCTTGAACTAATTCATATAGACTCGGTCACAGCAGACGACCGTGATCGAGCCCACAAATCATCCGAGATGGTTGCGAATGCTCAAGTCGCTATTGACGATATCAATGACGTTGCGTTCTTGCAAGCCTGCCGCGATCTACGTCAAAAAATGGCTCGAAGACAGCTGAAGGCATTAGCTGAAACCTCCTCGTTGAACGGAAGCATTGAGACTACCCAACCCGTCGAAATAGGGGCCGAAAGGATTGCAAATTCGACGAATGAAAATGAGACCAACAGTATGCATGACGACCCTGATAGGATGGTCGAGGACGCGCCTCAGGCGTATGATCAACCGCTCAATCCTGCACGACCTCTTGAGGATGCGAGCGAAGCAGAGGCATCTGAGCTTGTCGAGGCTGAGGTTGTGAATACTGCGGTTGTCCAGCCTGGGGTTGTTGAGACTGAGGCCGTAGAGGCTGAGGTTGTTGAATCTAAGGCTGTTGAACCTAAGGCTGTCGAGGCGTCTGAGGCGGACGAAACATCAAATCATGTCGACACGGCACAGGGAGCTCCGAATGAATCAGTTTCTGTTGAGAAGCCAAACGCTGAACCAGAAATGTTCGTTGTGGATGGCCCAACCTTAACAACACCTTTTGAGCGCCGACCATTTGAGCTGAATACCGATCGGCTGTCGCATTTTTTCGAAGACCTGTGTTCTTGTGCACAGTCTTGGAATCTTGAGCAGCTTGAAAGCGTCTTTGCAGCTCTCGCAGACGTCGCCTGGCGTCACCATGCTGAGTGGAACAGGGATAATATGCTCAACGAACTAGAGTCTCAACTCAATTTAACAAAAGGTCTTTACTTGCCGTAATTATCAATAGTGTTGGATATATATACACTGCACTTTTTATTGTTTGCTGATTTGAGCTGCAACACTCAAAACAAGCTCGTCGTCTCCGTATTGACCCCATACTTGCATACCAGCTCCCTTGCCACGAGGAACTGAAATAGCGGGCAACCCTGCCAGATTAGCGGGCACTGTGAGTACATCGTTTGTGTAGTGCTCGATGGGGTCACCATGGTTGATCTTATCAAGGGATGGAGGAGGAGTCAAAGCAGTAGGATGAACAAGAACATCAATGTCTCCGGTCTCGTAGTCCTCCTCAACAAGAACGTTTTTGGAAGCAAACAGAGCATTGAATTCATCTCTGATAATCCTACGAACCATCAATGCCTTTTTGAAATGGCCTTCGAATGCACCAGCACTCAAATTAAAGGTACCAAGCAATAAGCGGCGTTGAACCTCAGGGCCAAATCCTTCCGTACGAGTAGGTGCATAAAGTGTGTCGTGGGAGTCGCGGTCGGTCTCTGCACGGGTACCGTACCGAATTCCGTCATATCGTGCAAGATTTGATGATGCCTCTGCTGGAGAGACCATGAAATATGTTGGCAAAGCATACTTCATGGTCGGCACGCTGACTGTGTGAATGGTGTGTCCCTGATCTTGCAAGTCTTCAAGAACACCAGCCCAGGCCTTTTTGATTTCAGGCGACATTTCAAGAATTGCCTGCGATAAGATTCCAATTCGAAGACCTTTTGCTTCTTTTTTCTGCCGGCTGCCCAATGTTTGCCTCAGCTCGGGACACAAACTCGTGGGATCACGTTGGTCGTATTGATTTAGCACATGGAACACTCGAGCAATATGTTTGACCTCACGAGCAAGTATTCCAACTGTGTCTAAACTCTGGGCGTAGCTCACTACTCCGTAACGGGAGATCAAGCCGTACGAAGGTTTAAAGCCATACACGGAGCAGTAGGCAGCAGGTAAACGTACAGATCCACCGGTGTCTGTACCCAAGGCAACATCACAGAATTCTGCAGCGACAGCCGCGGCAGACCCGCCAGAAGATCCACCTGGGCTAGTGGGTTCTTCGTATAAGGGGTTGAGTGTAGGGCCAAAGCATGAAAAGGTGTTATTAGTGCCCATTGCAAACTCATCCATGTTTGCCTTTCCGATCAGGTTGAATCCCTCATCCTTAAGGAGCGTAACAACACTGCTTTCGTATGGGCTCTTGTAGTTTCTCAACATTTCAGACGAGCATGTTGTTGGCAGGTCCGCGGTTGAAAAATTATCTTTGATTGCGATTACCAGCGGATCGCCGGTCTCTTCCGCATACTTCTGAACTTTTTCGGCCGGATAGAGTGACACCAGCGCATTGATTTGCTTGTTAGACCTCTCTATGTTGGCCAAATAACGAGCAGCCCGCGTGGCTAACACGGCTTCCCCTGCAATCTTTGTCATGTGCAAATGACTACCCTGCACGGTGATGAAGTTGTTGTTTATGAGACGCCGGATGTACCGGATGGAGTGGATGATGATTTGGGCGTTGAATCTATAGAAGTAGATTCTGATTCCTTGGATAGAACTGTGGTATCTCGTGAGGATGCGTTCGAGGCGTTCGTCACAGTACGTGATTTTTCAGGCGGAGCTGGACTCGACGCTAAAATCGCCGATATACAGTCTCAAATTGAATACTTACGGCTTGAACACTCAGACTCACGTTTGAATGATCTAGCAAAACAGCTCAGTGGCCTCGCATCCGCTTCTCAACCTTCTCCACTCTCTCCCCTCTCAAGTCCTGCAGGATCTGCGTCTGATAGTCAGACCCGGGTCGAGCAGCTGCCCGGGACGACGGTATTGCCTCTTTCCCCACAGGCCTATGATCGAATTGCTCGATTGGAGGCACGAATTTCTGATGTTGAAGCTAGTGTTGGTGTATCTTCTTTTCCTGTACCCCTTGCCACGGCTGTGAAAAGCGCTCAAGAGAAACTGGATTTGTTGAGTAGCAACGAATCGCAGCTGGAGTCTGCGTTATTGAATTTGCAGAAGCTGGCTGAGTTTGTCAAGAAGACACCTGTTAATGACAAAATCGCTCGTATTTATGACACTTTGGTTTCCCTTGATCCGGTAATTAAGTCTCTACCCAAGGTGATTTCTCGACTAGAGAGTCTGCAGGTCCTACATGCTGATGCTTCGTATTGCAGATCGACGATGAAGGATATTGATGCCACTCTGGAGAGTATGAAGATCGATATTGATCGCTGGATAAGCACTCTTGATGCGTTGGAACCTAAATTACATCAGGCAATTGAAACCACTGGCCAAAATGTCGAGAAAGTAGAGTCTCTACTGTCTTAGCTATTTAACAGATACGATCACTAATTACATTACGTACCTCCGTGAGGCAAGGCTGTAAATATTACAGGGAAACTTCCAAATCGCAAAGTAAAACTGCAAAAACAAATCCAAAAGGGCCACAATACTGAATAAAACGCAATCCGATGTTAACCAATTCAGTCCAATGGGTGATAATCGATCGCAGAACCACGATTTTCCAGCTTACCAATGGACAGATTCTTGAAAGAGCTGGAGAGCTTCAGGCCTAAAGAAAAACCAACCATTCTAGATATTCAAATCGATAATGACCCCTTCTATATCGAAAGCGAGGAGTCGTGGTCTGAATCTGAATCGGAAGATGACGAGCAGGACTTGAGGTGGTTGGAAGAACAGTGCGAACGAGCGGCAAATGCGGGTCTGCCGAAGGAAGAACTCAAGACAGTTATCATTGACCTAATTAAATCCGATAATGGTAACGAGGAGCTCCAGTCTCTTCTCGTGGACGTTATAGGCTTCGACCATCTGGACTTCATCAGCAGTATATTGTCTCGAAGAGAAGAGCTGAGACAGAGATTGCACACCCACTCTCAAATCAGTCTTTCAAAAACGCAAAGGGAGCTACAAATCCGCGAGAATCAAAGGTTCCGAGCAGAACGCAATGCAAATTTGCAAATGGCACATGTCGATCCACAATACCCTCATGTATTCCGAAAGCATCAAATTGGCAGCAGTGTCAGTATGTTTGGACATAAATATGCACTACCTGAAGGAACCGAACGAGTGAACTACGCTACATACGAGAAGGTTACCATTCCCTACCCGAAACCAGATACATCATTCCACCCAAAGCGATTGATTCAAATTTCGGAGCTGGATGATCTCTGCAAAATTACATTTTCAAAATACGAGACACTTAACAAAATGCAATCTCTCGTGTATCCAATTGGATACGATACAAATGAAAATATGCTAATTTGTGCCCCCACTGGCGCAGGCAAAACAGATGTCGCATTGATCACTATTCTCAGCATCATCAAGCAGCACAGTGTCCTGGAGGATGGATTCTGGAATGTCGATTACGACAACTTCAAAATTGTATATGTCGCACCACTTAAAGCTCTTGCCGCAGAAATTGTGGAGAAAATGGGTAGCAGGTTAGCTTGGCTGCGAATCAAGGTCAGAGAGCTCACTGGTGATATGCAGTTAACCCGTGCTGAGATTAACGATACTCAAATCATCGTGACAACACCAGAGAAATGGGATGTAGTGACCAGAAAGCCACACGATGACACAGGATTAACAACAAAGATCAAGCTGCTCATCATTGACGAGGTGCATTTGCTCCATGAGGATCGCGGCGCAGTAATCGAATCTCTTGTTGCAAGAACTCTTCGCCAAGTCGAATCAAGTCAATCAATGATTAGAATCGTAGGATTATCTGCAACCTTACCAAACTTCGTTGATGTTGCAGAGTTTTTGAAAGTTAACCCACAGCAGGGCTTATTCTTCTTCGACAACTCGTTTCGCCCTTGTCCTTTACAACAAGAGTTTATTGGAGTTCGTGGAAAGGTGGGTTCAAAACAAGCACTTGAAAACATTGACCAAGTTGCATATGATAGCTTGCTGGAGAATGTTGAGAAGGGTTTCCAAGTGATGGTATTCGTACACTCGCGAAAAGACACAGCAAAAACTGCGCGCACGTTTAGAGCAATTGCTCAAGATAGAGGTGAGTTATCGCTATTCTTGCCTGATCAGGATAAAAGATCTAAGTTCGAGCGCGATATGTCCTCTTTCAAAAATAGGGATATGACTGAGCTCTTCGATTTTGGTTTTGGAATTCATCACGCTGGTATGGGTCGAAGTGAACGTAATCTGACGGAAAAAATGTTCATGTCTGGTGCCATTAATGTTTTGTGCTGTACGGCTACTCTTGCTTGGGGTGTCAACCTTCCGGCAGCCGTTGTAATCATCAAAGGCACGCAAGTATACGATGCCAAACACGGTGGGTTTGTTGATCTTGGAATTTCGGATGTAATTCAGATCTTTGGTCGTGCTGGTAGACCACAGTTTGAGAAGTTCGGTACTGGAATTCTTGTATCAACGCTGGATCGCCTGGATCATTATCTATCGGCAATTACACATCAGTTTCCGATTGAATCTCGACTGCAAGCTAAACTAGCTGATAACCTGAATGCAGAAATTTCACTTGGAACAGTTACCAACGTTCAAGAGGCTATACAGTGGTTGGGATATACATATCTCTACGTGAGAATGCGTAAAGCGCCCCAAACATATGGACTCAAACTTGCCGAGATCAAAGATGATCCCCGTTTATCTGGACATTGCAGGAAGTTGGTTATCGAGGCTGCAAGAAGGCTTCAAGAAGTTCAAATGATTGTATTTGATGAGGATGATCCGTCAGAGATGCTTATTTCTAAGGACATTGGCCGCATTGCCAGTGATTTTTATCTATTGAACACAAGTGTCGAGGTGTTTAACACTGCAATCAAACCAAGTTCTTCTGAGGCTAGTGTTCTATCGACTTTAGCGATGAGCGGAGAATTTGACGGCATCAAGGCCCGCCAAGAAGAAGCCAAAGAATTAGAGCTTATGGAGAAAAAAGCACACTTCCCCATTAAACAGGGTGTAGAAACACCTGAGGGTAAAACTAATGCGCTGATACAGGCTTATATTTCGCAAATCGTTGCAAAAGAGACGTCTCTTGGCTCCGACATGAATTACGTCGCTCAGAACTCTACACGTATCGTGCGGGCATTTTTTCTGTTATGCCTTTCTCGTAGATGGGGTGCAATGACGATGGCGATGCTTGACTTGGACAAGTCTATAAACCGTCGCATGTGGGCAGACGAACACCCCATTCTTCAATTCGAGCTTCAAGAACCAATTGCAAGGCAAATAAGGGCCAAAAATCCTTATATTGAAGATATGAAAGACATGAGCAACAAGGAGCTTGGCGATCTTGTTCATAATGTGGGCATGGGGAAAAAGCTTGGACAGCTCGTTGATAAGTTTCCTCTTGTCACAATTATCGATAGCCAGGTACGGCCAATTACAACACGAGTAATGAGGGTTGAGGTGGAACTGGTGGGCAATTTTTCCTGGGACGGAAGAATGCATGGAAAAGCACAGTATTTCTGGATCTGGGTTCAAGAGGACACAGAAGAAGCTGAGCTTCTACACACTGATAAGTTAATACTAGACTCCAAGAACGTTCACATTCCTCAAAGATTTGATTTCGCTATCCCCATCAAAGAAAAAGCTCCTAATCAGTTGATCCTGCGTATTGTAAGTGACACATGGATTGGATCAGAGTCCACTGTTGCGCTGTCTTTCAAGCATCTGGTCAAACCCGAATCGCATCCAATTCAAACCCGCCTGCTCAACCTGAGACCACTACCAGTAACCGCTTTGAAAAATCAAACAATTGAGCAGTATTATCGGCGCAAGTTCGAATTTTTCAACCCCATGCAAACAATGTGTTTCCACACACTCTATCACGAGAAGACAAGTGTACTTCTAGGATCACCCACAGGCTCAGGAAAGACCATCGCTTGCGAAATTGCTATATGGGCAGCACTTAGAGATCGCCCGGGTAGCAAAATTGTTTATATCGCCCCTATGAAAGCTCTAGTCAAAGAACGAGTTTCAGACTGGAGACGGGGCATTTGCCAGGCTGCGAACCTGAAACTTGTGGAGCTTACTGGTGACACAAACCCTGAAGCAGATGCAATTCGTAAAGCCGATATCATCATCACTACACCCGAGAAGTTTGATGGTATCAGTCGTAACTGGCAAACAAGAACATTTGTTCAAAACGTTTCCCTTCTTGTTATGGACGAGGTTCATTTGCTTGCGAGCGATCGAGGTGCGATTCTTGAGATGATTGTCAGTCGTATGAACTTTATCAAAGCTAGGACTGGTAAGCATGTACGGCTTCTAGGTATGTCGACGGCTGTTGCAAATGCTGGCGACATGGCATCCTGGCTTGGCGTCAAAGACAACACGGGGTTGTTCAACTTCCCATCTTCCGTTCGTCCGGTACCTCTTGAAATGTATATCGAAAGTTTCCCAGATAATGTTGGGTTCTGCCCTTTGATGAAGTCCATGAACAAGCCAGCGTTTTTGGCGATAAAGCGTCATTCACCTTCTAAACCAGCTCTTATTTTTGTACCATCACGACGTCAAACAAGACTCACGGCACAGGACTTTATCCACATGTGTGGAAACGAAGAAAATCCTCGCCGCTTCCTACACATGTCTGATGAAGAGCTTTCAGAGGTCTTAGCAAGGGTCAGCGATGAAACACTTTCTCTATCGCTGCAGTTCGGTATTGCAATTCACCATGCAGGCTTGGTTGATGAAGATCGTAAAATCAGTCACGAACTTTTTGAACAACAAAAGGTCCAGATTCTGGTAGCAACATCTACATTGGCTTGGGGTGTAAACCTGCCTGCATATTTGGTTGTGATCAAGGGCACGCAATTCTACGATGCGAAGGTCGAAAAATATAAAAACATGGATCTCACTGATGTGCTGCAGATGATGGGACGCGCTGGACGCCCCGCGTTTGACACCACTGGAGTTGCAATGGTTTACACGAAACAATCGACTAAGGCGTTTTACAAGTACTTCTTGAACATTGGTTTCCCGGTAGAATCGTCACTTCATCGGTTTATGGAAGACCATATCGGCGCTGAGATTAGTGCAAGAACCATCAAGTCCCGCCAGGAGGCACTAGACTTCCTCACTTGGACATTTTTGTATCGTCGAATTCATGCTAATCCAACATATTATGACGTCCAAGATGTCAACAAGTGGATGATTGAGCGTGTAGACCAATGTCTCATCGAATTGGAAAGATCTTCCTGCCTGTTATTAGGGGAAGAGTTCCAACCAACACCGTTTTTGAAAATCGCGAGTTTCTACTATATGAGCCATAAAACCATTCGGATGTTCTTGGAGCGCATAAAGCCTGACTTGGCTATAGTTGATGCTCTACTTTGCCTGGCATTTTCAACAGAATACACAGAACTCTCAGTTCGTCACAATGAAGATATGATCAATGAGGAACTTTCTCTCAAGTTACCTTACCACGGAAACTTACTACAAATGCATATGGGATACTCGTTTGTAAAAGCATTTTTGTTAGTTCAGGCGCGAATGCGGCGGCTTGAAATGCCCATTATGGATTATGTCCAAGATACGATCTCTGTATTGGATCAAGCAATCCGTATTCTCCAAGCTTTGATTGACACATGTGCCGAAAAAGGGTACTTTGATGCTGTTATGACAGTTATAACCCTTCTGCGATGTATGAAGCAGGGATGCGAACCTGAAGATAACATGCTACGAATTCTACCGGGATTGTGGAACACGAAGAGCTCCAAGCGCTTATCAGAGGTTACCAAGAGCGACTCGAAAGCCTTGGGAGTACCCAAACGACTTGAAAAAGAATTCATTCGTGCTTTGGAGCGGATACCGAGGCCCAAGGTTGAAAACGACACTGTCCGGCTAAGCCCTAGAGGTCACGTATATTGCCCCATGTTCCACAAGCCTCAGGTCGAGTCTTGGTTTGTGATAACTGAAAAAGATGGAAAGCTTTTATCATTAGAACGCGTCCAGCGTGGTCGTGATGTGCCCAAATCTCCTCTTGGTACCGTCCATATTATCAGCGACACTCTTGACATCTCTTTCACCATCGATGATAACGGAGTAGTCTCTAGATAGCAGTTGTATTGTATTAAGAGCATGTGTTCTATTTTAATGATAAAACGTTAGTTCACTGCAAAAATTAGACTAAAAGAGTAGTGCTCTATGCTAGAAATTAGTCCATCTCCTCAGCACTAGAAGTCTTGGGGGCGATGGTGAAGCGAGACTTGCCCGTAGCCTCGTCATGCTCGTGCTCAATGGCCAGGCGGGACAGACGGCCAATAAGGTTCTCAAGCTTTGCGTCAGAGTTGGAGCGGTTCGAGCGACCCAAATCAGCGAGACCAGGCAAACGGTTGAGAATGTAAGCGGCGACAGCAATGACGACAGTGACCATAATGGAGTAACCCCAGATGACAACAACAGTGACGATAGAGGTCCAGCCATCGGTAGTCTCCTCGAACAAGTCGTGGGGATTAGTATCCAAGGTGGAGCCAGGGCCAGACAACCAACCGAACAAGCAGAAGATAGTAGCAATAACATCGACACCAAGAATGGCGGCGACAAGCTCCCAAGAGGGATAAGTCTGACCACCACGGGTAACGAAAATGAGCCAATTCTCGGTAAGAGAGATTTGCAAGAACAAAACCTCCTGGACGGAGCCGTAGTTCTCAACGATACCACCACTGGGAATGTACATGGTAGCACGGATGACCCAGGTAGCAAGGGCAAGCAGAAGACCAAGGAGGGAAGAAATAATCCAAATCTTGGGCAGCTGCCACTCGACAGGGCGGGGTTCGTAGTGGGCATTATCGTAGGCAATGGCAATGGTGGCCAAATCGGCGAACAAGGCCAAGAAGACGACGAGCTCGACACGAACCGTCTCGTTAATGATAATCATGGAGGTAACCAAGTAGATCTCAAGGTGCAAGCACAGAGCGATACGGTACTGGATATATGCCTTCATACGCTGGAAAATCTGACGGGCAACCTTAATAGAGTCGACGATGGTGGAGAGACCAGGGGCAATGAAAACAATATCAGCAGCAGCCTGTGCAGCCTCAGTGGCACCCTCGACAGCAATACCGCAGTCGGACTTCTTCAGAGAAGGAGCATCGTTAACACCATCACCAGTCATGGCAGTCAAGTGACCACGCTCTTGGAGCATCTCGACGACCTGGTACTTGTGCTCAGGGAAAACCTCAGCGAAACCGTCAGCCTTCTCAACGAGATCATGCTGAAGAGCACCAGTCAAACCACCGTTAACGAGCTTATCAGAGTTGTAGACCTTGGTACCAAGAGCCAGCATTTTGCAGGTCTCCTTAGCAATGGCGATAGCATCACCAGTAAGCATTTTAACGGAAAGACCGAGCTGCTGAGCCTCAACAATGGTCTGGGCGGTATCGTCACGGGGAGGGTCGAACAGAGAGATCATACCAAGCAACTGCCAGTCCTCATCACCCTTCTTGACAGCAACACCAAGAGAACGGAAACCACGAGAGGCGAACTCACGGGCCTTGTCCTTGTAAATCTGAGCCTGCTCAGGAGAGCAGTTGGTAAGAGCCAAAACAGCCTTGGGAGCACCCTTGGCACAAGTGTAGGTCTCACCATTCAGCTCGCAGACGGCGGTGATACGCTTAGAAACGGGGTCGAAGGGAGTGAAGCTGATAGTCTTCCAGCCCTGCTGCATGATGTCAAGAGCCTTGGGATAGCGCTTAAGGGTAAGGATAGTGATCTTATCAATAGGATCAAGAGCCTTGATGTTGTGCGAGGAGGCAAGCGCGGCAACAGCCATCATCCAGTTGACGTCAACACCCTCAGCGAGGAAGGGGTCACGAATGGAAAGTTTGTTGGCAGTCAAAGTACCAGTCTTATCAGAGCACAGGATGTCGACACCGGCAAGAGACTCAATGGCGGTAAGCTTCTGAACAATAGCCTTCTTGTCGGCAAGGTATGCGGCACCAACAGCAAGAGTGGTGGTGGTAACAACAGGCAAACCGACAGGGACACCAACAATCAAGAGAATAAGCATATAGTGCAGCAAGTTGTTGGAAGAGTGCTCGGGGGTAGCAATGTTCAAGCCACGGAAGAAGCCACCGATCCAGGCAGCCATGATCCAGAAAGCGACAAGAACAAGCAAAGCAGTACCGATAGAGTTCATAATAGCCTTGAAGTGACCCTGATCCTGGGCACCCTGCACCATGGCAGCGGTCTTACCGACGAAGGTGGAAGTACCAGTGGAGCAGACAACAGCGAAAGCCTTTCCGCGCTTGCAGCCGGTTGTGTAGTAAGCCATATCGGCCATGTACTTGTCGACAGCGAGAGACTCACCGGTGATAGAAGACTGATCAACAGCGATGATGGAGTGACCAACCTTACGGCCGCGATCACCCTCACCATCTTCCTCATCTTCATCGTCGCCTTCGCCACCGGCAGCAGAGAGGTCAGAGTTGATGTAGTCAAGGTACTCAGCGAAACCTTGAGGGTTGTCATAAGCGCAGATAAGACGGCAATCACCGGGGACGACGGTACCCTCCTCGATGACGACAATGTCACCGGGAACGATATCACGAGCAAGAACTTCCTGCTCATGACCATCACGAACAACAGTAGCACGCATGGCAATATCAGCCTTGAGAGAGGCAACGACATCGGCAGCCTGTTTCTCCTGGTACCAACCGACACCAGCGTTAAGCATCAAAATACCAATAATGACACCGAAATCAATCCAGTCACGGAGACCGGCGGCAAGAATGACTGCGACCTCCATGGTGTACAGAATAGGACCAGAGAAGTAGCCTAAGATTTGCAAGAAGATGTTGGCGTGTTCAGAGGTCAGCTCATTGTAGCCGGCCTTCTTGCGACGCTGCTCAACTTCGTGGGAATCAAGACCGGTCTTCAGGTCAGTAGAAACCCAAGAGTCGGGGACTTGGAAACCAGCAACCTCACCATCCTTCTTAACCTTCTTCCAAAACTTCCACTTAGGAGGAGGCTTGGCTGCCTCTTCTTCTTCGTTGGCAGCACGCTCGGCAGCAAGGTCCTTCTCATCGCGGTAAGTAGCGACGAACTTGACCAAGCCGGCGTACTCCTCTAGAGTGTCGTCGATGACGGGCTCGTTAATCTTATCCTCAGCCATGATTATGCCTTTCACGGGGTATTAATGGTGCGAAAAATGGCAGGGACTGAGAGACACAACAAAAGCGCAAATTGGGTGAGGCAGTGTTTATATAACATACAACTCTGACGTAAACGGGTGCATAATTGTTTTTTAATGCAGCCAACATTGGGCCATACCGGACTGGGATTGGTCAGAATGTTGTGTTTGTCGGGTCAACTGCCCGATTAGTAAAGCGAGCATCATAGTCTATGCACAGGGTTGCGATGTATGGCCGAATGGTGAATTTAGGGCTCAAGAAGATGAGAAGGCAGTGAAAGTTCATGACAAAAAAGGAAAGTTTAAGGATCCTACAACTATGGTTGATATGAAGCGTCTATGTTATGATTGATCGTAGCTGGTGTTGGGGGGATAGGAGCCCTCATCGGTCTTTCCCAGAATGCCGACTTGCTGCATATGTCTGCAGTGTGCAGGAACGGTCGCCGAGGAGGAAACATGGAAACAAGCGATATTGAGACCTCCTGAACGAATTATAATTTTTAAAAATCTTTGAAAAACCAGAGGTCATCCAGATCAACAGTGACTCTGCCCATGGAAGACGTTAGAGCTGCCCAATAGTGTATGACCGGCGTGTTCTACCCAATGTTTGTTTACACCTAGGGCATGCATGCCGATGGGTCCACCTAGAGATAGCAGCAGACAGAGGTGACCAGAACAAGTGATAATACGACCAAAAGAGGTCAATTTTTTCTGCTGGCATCTAAATGAGTTGTATATAGTCTAGTGAGAGTTATTCTATGGTCAATTACTATCACCCAATGGGGAGAAAAAATTTTTCACTGAAAATTTTGAAACAATGCCGACTCTGTAGCATGCCCAGTCGGTGGCTGGCTGACTACACACCGAACAGTTTACGAGAGGGTAAATGGTCTCAGACTACCGATAGAGTAAACTTAGTAGCCTTGAGAGCGCGGTTGGGGAGTGCTTTAGGGCGACCGCCGAAGATCAACCCGCACATCGGCCGCCTGAAATCAGATCAGTAAATGTGTGAAGGTGAACTTGTCTTTTATACAATTTTAGCTATTCAATTATCTCTTTCCATAAACCAAGAATAGGATTTGGACCTGCTTTCAGGCATGGTTGCTTCGAATGCTGCTCACTTTGCAAGGTCTGATTAGGGCAGGTGCACACCCACAATCGGTTTAGGGAAGTGCACAGGAATCCTACCACGTAAGCAGAAAGATTGGCGATAAGACCTAGGGGGATATTTACCGCAAGTGGGAACAGCAAATACTCAAAGTATTGGTAGTGTAGCTGGCGCACTTATATCACTTTATTGCCTAATTTTGTTGGAGATGTTGGATCAATTCAAAATACTGGATTCTGTCACTCCCCCGTATCAAAGCTTTTTGGATGTAAGGGTCGACCGGGGCATGCACCCTTATAGGCGATATGATGTCATAGAGTCGGTGTAGTCGAGGTGAAAAAAACTTCGAATGAGGAGTTAGCTGCCGGCGATATGCGGACGGCGGGGTTGGTTGATTCGAAAACAAGTCGACGGCTGACATGGTTCCACTAATTTATTTAATATTTATCATTTTTACCTGCTCAAAGTTCTAAGAATACCGGGAAAACCCCATTTCTCCTCACTCGGTCGGGGTCGATGTTGAGCCTTCTGCAGCCAATGGTCACTTGGGCTACATGTCAGCTGCTTGGTGCCGCATAGAACTCAACGTCTAAGAAAGGTAGGTTTCGATCTGACTTAGCTAGTTTGATTGATATTTTATAAAGAGGACCAAGATGGCGCTAAGTGTCTGTATTTAAAACTTAACGGTGGCTTTGATACCGTCCAGAATGCGTGCAACGTCTGGGATCTGGAAGCCCTCAAATGATAGAGAGTTGGGTGTATCCCAGTGAGCGATACGCAGGACAGGTGCTTCCAGATGAAGGAATGCTAATCTTTGAACTTCAGCCGCAATTTCACTGCCAATTCCACCTGTGCGAGGAGCCTCATGAACAGCAATACACCTGCCCGTCTTTTTGATGCTGTTGATAACAGTCTCCCGGTCCCAGGGTACAACAGTGCGCAAATCAATAACCTCACATGAAATGCCCATCTGTTCCTTGGCCAGCTGTGCGGCCTTCATGATCTGATATAGCGGCGTGCCGTAGCTAACAATGGTCACATCAGTACCGGGGCGGATGATTTCGGCCTTATCGAGAGGCAAATTGAAGTCACCTAACGGGACCTGCTCAATTGATGCACGATAAAGAATTTTAGGCTCCAAGAAGAGCGTGGGGTCCTGGCATCGGATGCTGGACAGTAAAAGACCCTTGGCCTGGATAGGAGAGCGCGGCACAACAACTCTCAAGCCGGGGGCATGCGAGAAAAAGGCCTCACCGGATTGCGAATGATACAGGCCACCATGACCGACGGCACCACAGGGCATACGTACTGTGAGACCACCTGAGGTGAACTGTGAGCCCGATCGGTAGCGCATCTTCGCCGCCTCATTCACCAGCTGATCAAAAGCCGGGAAAACATAATCGGCAAACTGGATCTCTGCAATCGCCGTTTTATTCATGGCAGCATAGCCAATGGCGAAGCCAACAATAGCTTGCTCGTTCAAAGGAGAGTTGAAAACACGATCCGATCCGAACTTTTCCTGAAGACCTTTTGAGCATCGGAATACACCACCAAACACCACATCTTCTCCAAATAATACAGCAGACTCATCTGTTTCCATTGCAATTCTCAAACCGTCATTGATCGCTTCATACAGGTTCATTTGACGCACCGACGATTCACGCACGCTCGGGGGTAGTTCCGGATTATCCAGCGCCTTGGCGACAGTGTTTGCGAGGAACGGCGCTTCATTGAACTTGACTGCATTCAGACCACTTTGTGTGGAGTAACGTGCAATCTGTCGCGACAGTCTCAACATGCTTGTGTGAATGAGGAGATTGAGATTGTGATGTGGGGTAACCGTGATCTCTTGTGCATTTTATGCAGCTGGGAAGTCAGCAGGAAGGCCATGGGAGCAAGGGGGAGGGCAGGATATGAAAAAAAACAAGGATACAATGTTTGAATAGGAAAATAAACTAAATAAACCTGAACATGATATACTTAGATGAAATGTAGTATTCTATTTTATGAACATTTACTCGACAGAGGTGACTTTCTGCACCAGCAGCGAGGTGGCAGCTCCGCCGCCGTTGCAGATAGCCGCGACACCGTACTCGCCATCTTTGAGCTCGTGCAAAAGGGTGGTCAAGATGCGGGCACCAGAGCCACCAATGGGGTGACCAAGGGCAACGGCACCACCGCGGGGGTTGACCTTTGCAGGGTCAAGGCCCATGATGCGGTTGTTGGCAATGGAAACACCAGCGAAAGCTTCGTTAACCTCCCACTTGGCGATGTCCTCCTTTTTGAGATTGGCCTTAGCGAGCAGTTTAGGAATGGCAAGGGTGGGAGCAATGGTGAAATCAATAGGATCAGTAGCAGCATCAGCATAGGCAATAACCTTGGCGAGCACATTTGCGCCAAGTTCCTTGGCCTTGTCGCCAGAGGCAACAACGAGTGCAGCAGCACCATCGTTCAAGGAAGAGGCATTGGCGGCGGTGACAGTGCCGTTCTTGTCGAAGGCGGGGCGGAGGGTGGGGATCTTGTCAAGCTTCACAGCAGAGACAGACTCGTCAGTCTTGACCTCAACAACGCCTTTACGGGTCTTGACCTCAATGGGAAGAATCTCAGCATCGAATTCACCCTTCTCTTGCGCAGCCTGAGCACGCTTGTAGGACTCAATGGCAAAGTTGTCCTGGTCCTCACGAGTAATACCCTCACGCTTGTTTGTGTTCTCGCAGCAAAGACCCATGTGGATCTTGTCGAAGGCGTCTGTCAAACCGTCATGGACGATTGCGTCGGTGACCTTGGCTCCTCCAAAGCCAACATTGCGGGGCAGGTACATGGGCGATTGAGACATGGATTCAGTACCACCGGCAACGATAATGTCGCGGTCACCCAGTTTAATGCTTGCAGCAGCGAGCGCCACGGTCTTAAGACCACTAGCGCACACCTTGTTGATGGTGGTTGCTTCAGTGCTAACAGGGAAGCCAGCCTTGATGGTCACTTGGCGAGCAGGAGCCTGACCAACGCCTGCCTGGAGAACCTGGCCAAACAGAACTTCCTCGACATCCTCGTTCTTGATGTTGGCCCGCTTAACCGCCTCGGCCGCGACTTTCGCGCCGAGATCGGCAGCACTTACAGAAGCCAAAGAGCCACCAAAAGCACCGATGGGAGTACGAACAGCCGACAGAATGTAGGCATCGCGCAGTAAAGCGCTGCTAGTGTGCAGTTTTCTAATGAGTTGCATTTCAGATGGAAAGATGCGGGGCAGGCGGAGGCACCTACTTATTCAGCTATCGAAACCCGAGGTTTGAGTTTCCGAATGCAGCTAGCGACATCTCGACTACTTGAAATGTTTGAAAACCGCTGTAAAATATGGCACTGTAGTTTGAAGTGTCCGGCGTTCAAGAGATCCACCAGTTGTATCCTAAAAAATCGTATGTAGTATTGAAATATGTCCCTGCTAGAAATACTTACTGGATGTACCACCAGCATGTAAACCACTTCTGTCTAGGGTCACTCTGGGCGCAGTTTTGAATCACAGAAGCCACTTTTCCGACTAAAGGATCTTCGATACGCCGTTAAATATAATGAAAAAAAAACTCTTTAGGCTGAGTCAAGTTATGCGGCCTCGGAAAACACCCTAAACCTAACACAGCAGATCAACACCCGCTCAAACGGAGGGTCGAGGCCGTTACAGCGTACATGGAGCAATAAGAATAATAAATTACAACGGTTCATACTTTATCTAGCTCAAAGAGTACCTTGATGTTTTCCAATTGAATATCTTTGCGCTCTTCTTCGGTTATAACACTAGATAGCGCTCGTTTTCGTTCTTGTATCTGTAACATTCGTTCATCTAACGTTCCCTCGACAATAAAACGAACTACACGAACGTTTTCAGTTTGACCCATTCTGTGAATCCGGTCAATAGCTTGGGCCTCGACTGCATAGCTCCACCATGGATCCATGAGGAACGCTTGACGCGCACACACTAGGTTCAGTCCGACACCACCAACTTTGAGCGACAACAACAGGATAATATCCTTGGAGAAATTGCGGAAATACTCGAGAACCTCGGTTCGCTTTTGTTGGTTCATCGTGCCATCCATTCTGACCGTCGGGAAACCCTGGCGGGCCAGCTCTTGCTCGATGATATCAAGGAATGATGTGAATTGAGAAAATACAACCGATTTACCCCGACCCTTTGTTTGTTTCAGCTCTCTCACGAGCGCTTTCACTTTGGCTGACTGCCGGCTCTCTTGATATCGCTGTAGGACAGCCGTACCATCCCTTCGTTTTGTAACCGTGTACAGTCTATCGGCATGAATAGGCGCACGACATGCGAAACAGTACGCAGAATATCCTTTGGCCTTTTGATAGTCAATGTGACGTAGAATACAATCTAGACAAGCCACATGGAAACATTCAGTATATCCCTGGTCGTCTAGGGGGATGGGGTCGGTACAGCAGATGGGACACTCAACGCTTTTCGAATCAACTAATGATTGCATCACCTCGGAAGGAAATTTATCATCCAGAGAAGCCGCTGACTCCAAGCTGAAACCATCAACAAGCGCTGTGATGCTTTCGTCCCCAACGAGATTATCAACGTCACTGTCAACTTCAATAGACTCATCCTCGGGATTCGCTTGTTCTGGTTTACGGCTGCGAAGAAGATACGGATGGCAGCAAACTTGACGCAACCGTAAAATTTTCGTCAATAGAGCCGTATAAGATTTGTTGACTGTGCCATTTTTGACTTGAGCTGCCACAGATGTGCGTACACGGGCATAAATATGGGAATAAAGTCGTCTCTCATCCTCGGAAAATGCAACACGACGGACTTCAACAACCTTGTCTGGTAATGAAACAAGAGGCTTACCATTTTGCTTCATATCTTTTGTTCGACGCAAACAGAGCGGGGCTATGATACTCTGAACGATTTTCAAAGCATCTTCTGCGCCATCGGCTGTCTCAAACGGCGCAGTTATGAATGCTTTCCAAAACGAGAAGTTATTCCAGGGCTCAACTTTCAAAAACTTTATTAAACTGTAGAGATCCTCCAGCCTGTTCACAATTGGCGTTCCGGTGAGCGCCCATCGTTTTGCAGCGTTAATATCGTAGCAAGCTTTGGCAGTTCTTGTGTTTCGGTTCTTAATTGTGTGAGCCTCGTCTAAAACAAGCCTGTCAAAGCGCACCCCATACAAGCCTAGAACAGACGGACCATCTTGGCGGGAATTCACAGCGGTTTTAAGCCCATTTTTTTCACGAAACTTCAAGAGCTGCTTGTGTTCTGAAACCAAAACACCATAGCTTGTGACAACAGTCTTTGGGTAGTTACTTATCATCGAAACATACGCCGACAACTCATTTACTCCTCCACCATAATAAACCAGACAATGCACGGTTTTGGCCTTGGCCGAGCGCCTCACTTCAGACTCCCATTGTGAGAGCAAAGACATTGGTGCGACAATCAGTGTCAATTTTGCATCCGTAGTATGAACCAGAGACAAAGTGGTGATAGTTTTACCCAGTCCCATTTCGTCTGCTAGAATACCACCCATGTTAGTATCTTCGAGTGTGGGAAGCTCTAAACTGAGCTCACCAGAGTGCATATTAGCGTAAAAGTAGCCGGACTTATCTGGCCATTCGAATCTTGTCCAAAGAGGATGCAACATTGAGGAAGGTATTTTCGAGCCCGATTCTCTTTGCAGCATCCACTGTAAGGCTTGCTTTTGGTAAGGATACAACGATAACGCAAATGAATCACCGGGATTGGCTTCAGCAAGCTCTTTGCGAGCAGAGTTTTTGTAGAGCATATTCATTTGACCCGTGGACACACTGTGCTCTGGTTCCTCGGATTGACTGATCGCGGTATTGATCTGTTCAAGTGCTTCATTTATGTCAGGGATGCGAGCATCCATCAAAGATAGTCTTGAGAACAGTTGTACAAGTCCCAATTGGCGCAATCTCATCACCATTTCAGAGTTTGTTTCTTTCGACTCGTCGACAATAGTACCTTTCGGTTGAGTACTCACTGTTGCAGATCGAGCATCCAAGACGTCAACCTCGAAAGCCGATCTCAAAAAATAAGCATCAATCTGAACAATCACTGCATCACCAAGGCGTAAAACTGGTTCTGCGTATATGCAAGTAGCGACAAACTCGCACACGCCAGTGTCGATTAGTACAGCCATGAACTTGGCATCGTTTTCACGAATGCGAGCAAAATCACGACCATCCAATGTGTGCAATCGCACAACATGATCCTCCTTGGAGCTCTGAGCAGCAATTCTCCGAACTGCTAGCTTGTCGCCGAATTGCACCAAATTTTTGCCGGATCTTGTACACCAAATCTCGGCTTGAAAGGACCCCAGTGATTTTTTCTCAAACTGAACAGGGTCGAAGTCCTCAGATGTCGAATCTGAGAGTTGCCCAATCAAATTACTGACAGTCTTTGGATCGACCGTTGCCACCACTGCAGTTTCAGGTACGACTAGTGGTTCATCGTCATCTACGAAAAGCTCATTTCCTTCTCGTAAAGGGACTGTGTTTGTATGATCGTCGGGCGTTGCAAGGGATCCGTCAAAAAACTTGTTTACCGCCAATTCGAGTTTTGTACGCGCCAGAGGTTCGAGAATTCTGAAGTGTTCATCGCCCAAAGGACCTACAATTTCTTCTAAACGTGCCCTTATATCACATTCTACGGGTGTAGATTCTTTGGAGCCCACAGGACTGTCCAAAGTCTCAAAAAACTTGCGTTTAGTGCCTCCGGATTTGAAGTAGTCGAACTCGCTCATTCATTAAGGGCTAGGGGAGAGAACGCGAGATGGTCAATTTAATAGCGTGGACGGAAAGTGAAAAATGGCAGTATATGGAAACAAAACTGCAAAATAGTTGGGGGTAATGGATTAGAGAGCTAATTATGTTGGTTAAAGTGTCTCAGAGATTGATTGAAGGGGTTGTTGAAATGGAGCCACGAAAAGCTCCAGAACGAAGCGTATACCAATCTCTTTCCTATATTTTCACATATGAACTCAACTAGAAAAACAAAACCACTATATAACGTTTAATGCGTCCTTATTTACCTTGCAAGTGCAAAGAACCGCACATGCCATAAGGGCTTAGGGCTGCTTTGTCATCAACAGTCACAGCCCCCTACCGACAACTCTCAAGTGACAGAATAGTAAGGGACTCTTCACACAAGACAACAATATGGTTGTGGGCAAGAACAAACGTTTAAGCAAGGGCAAGAAGGGCAACAAGAAGAAGGTTATCGACCCCTTCACCCGTAAGGCTTGGTACAACATCAAGGCCCCCACTCCTTTCGAGTTCCGTGACGTTGGCAAGACCCTTGTCAACAAGTCCACTGGTCTTCGTAACGCTAATGACGAGCTTAAGGGCCGTGTTCTCGACGTCTCCCTCGCTGACTTGAAGGGCTCTGAGGACTACGCTGCTCGCCGCATCCGTCTGCGTGTCGACGAGGTTCAGGGCGGCAACGTCCTCACCAACTTCCACGGTTTGGACTTTGCTTCCGACAAGCTCCGTTCTTTCGTCCGCAAGTGGCAAACTCTCATCGAGTGCAACGTCACTGTCAAGACCTCTGACGACTACCTCGTCCGTCTCTTTGCTATCGCTTTCACCAAGCGTCTGCCTTATCAGATCAAGAAGACCTCTTATGCCCAGACTTCTCAGATCCGTCAGATCCGCAAGCGGATGGCTGATATCATGACCCGTGAGGCCTCCAACGTTACCCTCAACCAGCTTGTCGCCAAGTTGATCCCCGAGGTTATCGGCCGCGAGATCGAGAAGGCTGGTCAGTGTATCTACCCCTTGCAGAACGTTCACATCCGCAAGGTCAAGCTGCTCAAGCAGCCCAAGTTCGATCTTGGTGCTCTCCTTGCTCTTCACGGTGAGACCTCTACTGATGACTCTGGCAAGAAGGTTTCCACTGAGTTCAAGGATGTCGTTCTCGAGAGCGTTTAAATAATGTAGCCTAGACGCATATTTAGGCATAGTATTACTTGCTACATTTTATACATTTCACTGATTTAACTGCTAACCTCTGCGAGCTCGGCGTCAATCGACTGGGGCCCGGGGCCAACCTTGGTCATGATAACTCGCTCGATACCGGCAGCCAGCTGTTGCGACCAGCGATCATCACCTGAGGCTGCGGCAGAAACCTGGGGGAACCCAGACACACCGTTGAGGCACGACAGGCCGGAGAGAACTGCCTGCTCGTTTTCCTCCAAGTAGTAGATCACACAGTTGGGACCCGCGTCAAAAGTGTATGCAGCGATAATTTTACCAGCAGCGGCGTTAATAGCCTCCACAGTGCGAATGGCAGCTCGTGAGACATCATTAAGATAGAAAATAGGCGGCTCGCTATCCAAGCACACAGCATGGAATTGGTTTGAATCGGCCATAGTGAGCCTAGCGAATTCAGGGAAATCACGGTCAATAATGGCCTTCTTCATTTTCTCGAATCGTTGAGGAACAACATTCGTGATGCGCTCTTTGAACAGTGTAGAGGTGTGCACAGTGACCTGCATACCCGCGGTCGAAGAAACGTCTTTTTTGGCAGCGGATACAACAAGCACGGCAGCCTTCATTGAAGGCCAGTGCCCAATAGGCGCAACTTCAACAGCTTGAGAATCAGAACCGTCGTCTTTGCTCCCCATTTCCCAGGCCACATAACCGCCGAACAACGAGCGGCAGGCGGAGCCTGAACCCTGGCGAGCCAGCACAGAGAGCTCAGTGGGGGAGTGAGGAAGCTTGTACAGAAGCGCAACAGCATTAACAAGAGCAGCAAATCCTGCGGCCGAGGAGGCAAGTCCAGCGGCGGTCGGGAAGTTGTTCTCGCTAACAATCTGAAGCTTCAGGCTTGCCAGGCCCGGGAGAGAGGGGTCGGCCTTTTCCATCTCAGCGCGCGCCTTGCGCAACTCGTTGATAACAGTGAGAGTACGCGGCTTTTTCTCAATCTCCTCGCGCGTCCCATTGAGCCACAACTTGTCTTGAGTGTACCTATCGCTTGCTCGAGCAGTTGTCGTCGCGCGCAAATCGTCTTGAGACAAGGTCACAGAAATAGACGAATTCGTCGGCAAATTAAGCTTGACATCGCGTTTGCCCCAGTATTTCAGGGTAGCAATATTCACAGGTGCGGTTGAGGTTGCCGAGAAAGTAGGCATTAAAGTGTCGGGTTGTAAAGTGTGGTTTCGTGGTGCCTGGATAAATAATGTAAGCACGCCCTGATGAGGCAGCCAAAGATCTACGGGGGTTTTGCTATTTGTTGTGTGTACCTATGTATATCTTAATGAACTGCATGAGAGATTCAGACAGCTGGAGACTTTGAAAGGGTTACTGGGACGAGACTACAGAAGATTGGGGCCTTTGTCAGTTGAAAACCATAGTTTCGCCTGAAAAAAACGCGAGCAGCGACTTAATTTTCCGGTGGAAAGCTGGCAAATTTATACAAACAAGCCACAGCCATAGCGGTGTACTGGCTTTTTACCGGTCTTGGCCTCAATCCATTAAGTGCCTCGTGACATAATCCACAGATTTTTCAGTTTCACCAATGATCAAGGCACCAATGGGGATGGTGAGCGCCCAGCTAAAGTACAGCTGGAGAGTCACAGGCCCTAAGCTCTTTACTAGGGGTGTTTCTACTGCGGAAAATGCCAAGGTCGTCTTGGAGCCGGCCCCTGAAAATAAGGGCAAACCGCCAACCATGCCAGAGCGCTTCGTCAACAGTTTGCCTGCTAACTGGCAGCCATATGCTCGCCTTTCCCGTCTCGACAAACCGATTGGAACCTGGCTACTATATACACCAGGTACCTGGTCTATCACAATGGCAGCCTATGCTACTGGGGCACCGGCCATGCAGACAGTATACATGTTGGCACTTTTTGGTGTAGGTGCCCTTGTGACTCGTGGTGCTGGTTGTACTATTAATGATATGTGGGATCGCAAGCTCGATGCTGGTGTGGCCCGAACAATGCTTCGGCCGCTTGCCTCTGGCCAGGTGACCATGCCCCAAGCCTGGGGCTGGCTGGCTGCCCAGTGTTTTGGCGGACTTGGAATTTTACTCCTGCTACCTCCAGCTTGTTGGCTTTTGGGTGCAGCCTCAATGATCCCAGTTTTCCTGTACCCTTCATTCAAAAGGTTCACATACTACCCCCAAGCTTGTTTGTCTTTCTGTTTCACGTGGGCCGCTTTGCTCGGGTTTCCCGCAATGGGAATGATGAATTGGCCTGCTATGCTTAGTCTCTGGGGCTCCTCTTTCGCATGGTGCATGATTTACGACACCATCTATGCACACCAGGACAAACTGTTTGACATCTCTGTTGGCATCAAAAGCACTGCCCTCAAATGGAAAGAGCGCAGCAAAGAAATCATGTACCGCTACGAAGTTGTCCAGATCGGACTGCTTGCTCTTTCTGGCGCAATTGTTGGCATGGGCCCTGGATTCTTCGCAGCTACTGGATATGCCGCATACAGAATTTGGGATATGATCAAACGGGTGAACCTGGACGATCCTTCGAATTGCTGGCAGTGGTTCCTTCGTAACATTTACACTGGCCATGCAATCTTTGGTGGTGCCCTCTTCGATTATGGTATGCGCATCCTTGGTGTCTATTAAATTAACTCTGTATATATACACGAATGATTAAAGATCTTCAAAAAGAGCCTTGGGTTTCTTGGTGGGCTGTGCAGACTTCCCCTTGCCTCTCACGCCTTTCTTCTTCTTCTTCTTCACGGCCGTTTCTTCCTTATTTTCGGGATCTACCTCGTCCTTATTCCAGAGTTTCAACAACCCCATGCTTCCAGACACAAGGTGGTAATCGTTGTCCCAGTCCAGAATCGACACCTCTTCCAAGGGGGAGTGGGTGCGCTTGGCAATGACCTTGCCTGAAATAATATTAATGTCAAATACAATACCGTCGGATGTTCCAGCAACAACAGTGTCTTCTCCTTCGCCAGCCAAAACAGCATCGACACTCTCTTTGCTTAAACGGACACGACTCTGCTGGTCTAGAAGATGATCGTTGTTCCAGATTGTGATGACGCCTTCAGACATTCCGAAGACAGATTTCTGTTCGCTTGGCACACAACCGCATAGCATTTCATCCTCTTGATCTTCGCTGGTTGAAACGACACCATTTCGGAGATCGACATGGATGAGGCTTGTCATACCAGTAACAACAAAGTGATACTTGTTTTTGAATTCCAAAGCACACACCGATGTGATGCAGTCCTCATGTAAGGATTTTAATTGGTGGGTTTGCTTCAGATTCTCGAGGTCAAACACTGTGAGGGTACCCTCGTCGTCACCAACTGCGAGGTACGCTTCGTTGATGGCAATTGCGCTGGGGGAAACATCCAATTTGGCTTTTGCTCGAACCTTACCAGACCCAGACAACGCCTTTTTAATAACATTGTCGGAGCCGGCACTAATGACGTATTCGCCGTCTTGTGTATATCCTATCGACCTGCAGCTTGATTTATGGCGCTTAGTTGCCCAAAGAACTTTCGGATCCTGGCCATCGAGAGTGTAACTGTACGCCGAAACTGTTCCAGTAGCGAGCCCTAGTACGAACTCATTCTTTTCTGGATGAAAGGCTGCGCAAAATAGCGGATCTTCGAACTCCAAGCTGAAAATTGGCATCCTGCGATACAAGCGCTGGTAGGAAAAAAAATTGGGCTCGGGCTACTTAGCTAATCAGAATGATACCCCCAGTTGTAGGCGCTCACTTTGCATAGCATGTGCGCTTGGAGACTATCAAGGCGGATTTGAAACAGGGACATGAAGATGTGCTCGGGGGACGCCTCAAAAACGTAGCTACACAGTCCAAATGAATGATGAAACAGAGCATAAAACTCACATTCATAGGGCGTTTGACCTTCTAGATCGTTGCTTCTGAGTCCTGCATTTGATCGATGTTGAATGCCTAGCCCTTGCTGTGCTTTGTATTTTTCACATCGACCCTAACCCAAAAACAATCCGTAAAAGAGTCTGCCCTCTGAAATTTCTTCAGTCCTTCAAGGTGGTCATAGGAGATCGCCTTACGAGAGTTGCCGCATAAAGTCCATCAGTAGGCCTTCCAATTGAGGGCCGTTATTTTTGACCCAGTTAATCTGCACTCCGAATATGAGTTGCCCTACCGTAGCCCCGTTGGCCAGAGCCTCTCTGCTTTCGCGAATTGGCAATGTGCAAGAACACGTCACTTCCCACGACCTCGTTCACAAAACCATGCGGATGATTGTTGCCAGCCGCGCCAAGGAGAGTCACCCCTCTGAAGATTCGTTTTTCGTGGGGGACCTTGGGGTGGTTGCCCACCAAGTGCGTAGCTGGAGGGACAATTTGCCCAGTGTGCAACCCCACTATGCTGTGAAATGCAACAGTGAACCGCAGGTTTTGAGACTGCTTGCCGGATTGGATGTTTCGTTCGACTGTGCCTCGAAGCATGAGATATCTGAGGTTCTTCCTTTGATCAGAGACCCTCGTCGCATTGTCTATGCCAACACCGTCAAGCATCCAAGCTATATTCGCTACGCTGCCGAAGTTGGGGTAAAGCGGATGACTTTTGACAGCGTAGACGAGTTGCACAAGATAAAGGAGAACCACCCTGATGCTGAGTTGTTGTTGAGAATTGTCACCGACGACAGCGCATCTCTCTGCCGGTTGAGCTGCAAGTTTGGTGCACCTCCCGACATGTGGCCTGATTTGTTGAAAACGGCTCGTGATATTGGCTTGAATGTCATTGGCGTGGCTTTTCACGTCGGGAGTGGCTGCACTAACTCAGAATCGTACCGCGATGCCATCCGTGACGCTCGTTTAGCCTTTGCCGAAGCTGAAGCTTATGGGCACACCATGCGTGTGCTTGACATTGGCGGTGGTTTCGAGACCGAAACGTTTGTGGATACTGCAAAGCATATCCGTAGTGCGATTTCGGAGTTTCACTTTGAGAACACAGAGCTGATTGCCGAGCCGGGCCGCTTCTTCGTTTCGAAAGCTTTCACCTTGGCAACTTGTGTATTGGGTCGCCGACTCACTAAATCTGACGCAAGCGAAGGTATGCTGTACCTAAGTGATGGTGTCTATGGTAACCTGAACCTGATCATTTTTGATCATCAAGTTGTCCAGCCCACCTTGTTGGAAGCTGGTGGTTCCAGCGACACTACCATGACGGCATCTGTCTGGGGTCCCACGTGCGACGGTCTTGACAGAATCAACCAAGTTGTCGAGTTCCCGCGTACTGTGAATGTTGGCGATTGGCTTTACTTTGAGAACGTTGGTGCATACAGCTTGTCTGCGTCCACCAGCTTCAACGGGTTTAACCGCGGCTGTGAAATTCACTATGTGTATTCAGGAGTGCACTAAAAAGCACGAGTATCAGTTAGATATGTAGTGCAAAAAGAAAATTATATAGACCAAGATTATAATTGCCGACCAGTCGTAACCTAATCTGGCCTAGGATGCTGAGCACTAGTCGAGGAAGCAGCTCTATTAAATGGCAAACTTGGGGGCTTTGGATGAGATATCGACAATGTCCAATCCGGGCGGAAGCGACTCACGGATCTTTTTGGCCCGCTCTGCGCTTTCGACGTTAAGAGTGTAGACAAAACGGTGGCCCCGGAGCTTGAATTTTGTGCTTGAGTCCGAGTTGGTTTTGATAATGACTGATTTTACGTCTTTACGGGACGCCAGCTCGACAAACTCTCGGATATCTTCAATGGTATTGGGCATACTGAGATGGTTGTTTGATCGTAGTAGTAAGTCTTTTTTGGGAAATGCTTTCTCAGCCGCTTCGCAGGGCGGTTAAAGCCGGGTAACGGCGGTTGAAACTCCTTGTATACTACAATTGTACCATATTAAACGGATTTGAGTTGGGACAGATGCTTTGAAACATTATTTAGACCCTCAATTACTTGAAGATCGGGCTCTGATGCTAGTGTGGAGTGAGCAAAATCAATAAGCTTTACTGTGACCATGGCCGGCTCGTCTTCCAGATCGCCGTCTGTGTCTGAGTCTTGTTCTGGCTCTGCTTGGTATTGGTGCTCGATCTTAGCTTGGAGATCGCTCAAGCTGCCTTCATAAATAATTAACAGACTGCACGAGTACATTTTTGTGGGCTCGAGCTTGAGACACTCGATAATGTGCTCGATTCGTTGTACGATCGAGTCAATTACCGCCCAAACATACTCGTTCTCAACCTGGGGGAACAACTGTACCAAATAGTCGTTAATATTCTCGGCGGTCGGCTCGCGACCGAATTGCTTGTCGAAGACCTTACGGGATCCGTCGGGTAAAACTACCGACATTCCGGCAATCCGAAAGCCCAATGACCCCGACGTGGTTGTTTTCGAGACATTGTCCAGCCTCTGCTTTTTGGCAGCAGGTGCCATTTCGTCCCATAATCGGAATCCCAGTTTGATGTCGGCAATAGTCGGCTTGACAAACCCCACTAACTCGTCCCGCAAAACAATCGAAAGCTCTCCGTCACTGGCCAGCTGGGAAAACTGGTCTGGATCGATCTGCTCGAGGTCTTCATTCAGCAAAAGCTGGTCATGTGCTTTCTTGGCCCCAGACACAAGCGTACCCATAAACACCGGTACCACATCCAACAGCGGGCTATCCTTTTCAAGTAGCCGGTGGTAAAAATCTACCTCCTGCTGGACGCACGGTTTTATAAAAATGCCATTGCCCTGTTGACAACCGGGGTGTCCGGCTGCTACCAGAGCCTCCTGCATGGGAACTAGTGTACTAAGCTTTGGAACCCACTGGGACTCTAAGGGCGAGATTAGTTAGGTTCTCTCCCAGCCTGACACATAAGATAAATGACCTTTCTGGATCGTGGGCTTCATAGTATTGGGCGACCCATGCTATTAGGGTTCACCACGCTGGTCGTGCTTGCCGCGACGTTTTCGATTCTTGAGGGCCCAGTTGAGCTTGAGGCGGATCGAAAGAATCGCCGTGCCGTGGACAAACGCTAGCAAAATCCTGCACAAGGATTTTTTTCACCCCACACCCAGGCACCATTGGCCGCGCTTGATGGCCGCTGAGGCCTGTTACTACATATATATTCGAATTGACATGGCATTGTGGAACCGAGTCCCTCTTTCCTCTCTTCTGTGCTTTTCGCCCCTCCCATTTTTTTCTCACCCGCCGTTCACCCGCCTCTGCTCCCAGTGGGACTATTACGCAGCCACCTTCTTTAATGTGCGAGCGGCGGAGGACAAGCCATCTTCTATCTTCATTTAATCTTAAAGTATTTTCATAATAATCATTACAGCGGGGTTATGCACAAACGAACGATTTAGCTTCTTCGAAAAGTAAAAGCGTTGCCTTGTAGTGGTAGTAGATACCGCCAAAGACGCACAAGTGCCATAGGTTGTGGGACATGCCAATATAGTCGACAATGGTGCCCTGCATCCAGCGCTCGGGGATGAGGAACGCGTAAAAGACGATGCCAACGGCATAACAAAGCAGGCTTTTGACCACCGGCAGGTAGAACACGACTACCTCAGAGGCCGCTCGATATATCATTGCGTGCAGTCCGGCTACGACACCAGACAGGGCAAAGCTCACAAAGAAAATAACCCGGGTGTGCCTGGCTTCTGGCGAATCAAAGGAGGGAGTCCATGTGAAGAGAACGCCACCTACGCCAAACAGCGATGTGAGAATAGTGTAGAAAGTGCGAGCGACGGGGTGACAATATAGTGAGGCATGGATAGTGGTAACAATAGAAGCAGCAATCAGAACAGTAATTCCAGTATAGTCGACACACGACATGCGCTGCTTTATGTGCAAATGGGCGATGTTGCAGAACGTGTGCCAAGTGACGGAACAGAAAAGACACTTGAGAGCTGCAATAATAAATACGACGACAGGGATCCGATCCACCCAGGTCAGGGCCTGCCAAGTATCGGTGGAAGGCATTTCGTAGAACGCCAACCCGAGGAGTACAATAAACCCAACAACGTGTGTCCAAATATTAGCCGTCTCATTGTGCAGACGACCAACTGAGCTGATACACTCGGTGTGGTTGCGGCAGAACCGGTAGCCGTTGATAATATACGGGTTGTCTTTCCAGCCGTCTGGAAGTTCGTCGATACTGAGGAGTCCGTTAGAGCGGGCACGCTCCAATGCAGTCTGAACAGAGTGTGCCGCATACGAATCCTCGATCTTCAGGACCATATCCTCAAAGAACTTGAGCCCAGCAGCCGCCTTCTGGGCAACTGACTCCTTAGTCTTGATCACATCTTGGCAGTGCTTTTCGACAACTTTGAGGAATGCCTCTGCCCGTTCGCGCTGCTGTTTTACTACGTTTTGCTCAAGCTGGCTCAGGATTTGAAGAGCGCTGTCAATTTGGTGATCCACAGCTGCCGCACCGTACGCCTCCCAGCTGGCCATCTTGCGCTCGATTTTGGCCAGGAGGTCTTCCATTTTGTGGAGAACTACATCTTCAAACTCAAGAACACTCGATTTTGCCGTCAGTTCGCTCCCATTATCATACTCCGCCCCCGTTGTCTTCGCGCCCGGACAGGTATCCGCGGCCTTTTCAGGCTTTCGTTCAGTGAGCATTGCGGGATTGTGTTCAACTTTCCAAATGAGTGTGGTTTCGGAGGGTGCAAATAACTAAAATTCTTGGGAAGTCACCAGCGAATCTTTTGTTTTGCCCAACCAATAGTAGTGGTCCGGCCAATCGTCAAGTAAGGCTTTGATAAGGCGGCTTTATCGCACGTGGGAAACTGCCCGACACCAAAAAAAAAAGGCACTTTTAAGGAAACCCTTGCCCCAAACGACCGACGTCTCTGTGACGCAAAGAGGGGAACTCGCCATGCAAGATGCCGTCATATGTTGGTGGGATAAGTGTCTGGGGTAGCAGCGGCGCGGCTGGGGGGCGGTTGTTAGATTTGGAAATAAATATTTAATACTATGGCAGATGTACACTCTTATTGCCAGCCTACATGCTGATACGATCCGGGGGAGTGGTCGAACCAATGCGGGTCTGCTTCTTCGAATCCTCCCAGTCCCTTGGAAATTTGGTCAGAGAAAAGTGTGTCTTCCATGGTGAGATCGATGCTCTCGGGGAAAATATCCGGCGGGTCGTCAAAAGTACCTGGTTCAACACCACCGAACGAATTGCCGGTGGGATAAATATGACCGTAGTGGATGGCAGCATGGTGGTGGGAGCTGATGGCAGGGTCCCTGGTGCCGCCGTTTGGTCTCGCACGAGACTCCTCGGTTTGACCCGATTCAGCGCCAATACCGAACCGGTAGCCGTTGTCGCCGGGTGGCGCAATGGTTTGGCGGGTTTCTTCATTGACCAGCTCTCTCTCATCCAAAACCCGGGACATCTCCAGAGCAGAGGCAAAGTCCATGCTCAGCATAGTCTCTGATTTGATGGGAATCCCGGAGCTCACGTCAACAGGTGACACAGAGTTCGGGGAGTCTGCCGAGGGAGTCTTTCGCGCATTAGGGATCCGAGAAGGCGTCACCCCACTGCTGTAAGTAGCCACGGGCGATAAGGTTGAGCTCGTGACACTGGGAGGGTTTTCATCCACAAAGGAAGGAGACCCCTCGCCAGGATCTAGATCGGTTCCTTCGTCGCCTGAATCGTCTTTATCAGCCCATTTTTCAAAAAAGTTCGGCAGCGTGAGATTAACCCGACGAGCAACAAGTACCTCCTCGACACGCTTGACTGTATCGTCCTTCTGAGGGGTCATGGCGTTGATCAAAAAGGCTGTGAGCATGACAGAAAGAGGCATGTCATCTTTGAGTTGACGCAATGTCTCAACCATGTATGCCAGAGGCGCCTGGAAGTTCTGAAGCGCAACGAGTTCGTAGTCCGCAAGAGCCATAATCAAAACACTGACCACAAACAAGCAAATCGGGTGAAGAGGGTGAGCCGAGATGACACTAAGATCATGAGGGTTTCTGGTCACGAGAAGAATTTCAAGCATCGCCATCATCGCTTTCTGCAAAAGTTTAGCGGGGTACATCAAAGGTAAAAGAACTGGCATGGCCTGAATGCCATATAGGCCCGTTCGGCAGATACCTAGCATACCCGCTTGACCAAGGACATTGATAAGAACATAGGAAATTCGGCGCCATTTTTCCTCCTGGTACCTTTCAAACGCCTGTGTATTAGATTCGTCTTCCACCGGGGTTGGGATGGACGGGATGACTGGTATGTGGGTGCGAAGAGCAACCAAGCAATTATCGACTTTCTGATACTCATTCAACCACTCCTTTGGAGCATTGATAAATTGCTTTCGCGGGAATCGTCCAAGCTCAAGGGCTTGGTAACTACATTCGCACAAGGTGACAAAGTAAGCGAGCCGTGCGTTGGGGTACCGGGAGAATAGGGCCGGCTCCCGCATGAGGTCTTCAATGCGGCAAGTGTCCGAAGCATAGTTTCCGGCCAAAAAGGCATCATCATCCATCGGTACCCGGGTAACAACCTCATGGAGATCGATACTGCCATTAATAGTGGTGGCCAACGAGCCCAAGCGGTCGCACAGAAACACAAACCAGAACGCCCTCCGCAGCTCTGCGGTTTCCACATTGTCCAAGACGATCTGGTCATTGTAGGTGGCACCGTCGATATAGCCCAAAAGTAACATAGAAAGTGCACGGTGAGCTTTCCCCACAGATATCCAGGCTTGGGGCAACAGTCCCTCACGGCACTCTAAATGAGCAATGAGACAGATTGCTTGAACAAAGCCTACAGACGCTGCACCATTAAGACGTCGGAAGTTTTCAGCCTTGTGAAGGTACTTGCGGGCGCGGGAATACAAGATTGTCTTGAGACGGCGAAATCGGGGAACTATTGCAGCGGCGGTGGCCATAATCGCGTATTGCAGAAAGGGCCGCGGCTGTTTATCAGGAGGTTGTGCCATGAGCGACAAGTAGCGTGTTTTATCAACAATAGGGATCATTATATTGAAGGTCGAGAAAAAGATTTGCGTGAGCTGGTTGACCAATTCGGGGGGCGGCATAGGCTCGTCAAGATTCATCGACACTGCATTGCTTGAGTCCTGGGGCTTTTCGCTGGGGTCAATGCAATAATCAGATAGCAACTTTTCAAGCTGAGTTATGCGGCACTCCAAGCTTCGCACATAGCCACGCTTTGGTCCAGCTTTCCTCACGACTTCGGGATACTCGCACACTTGATGCAGACGCTGGCACGTTGAGCAAGTGGGGCGTTTGCCGTCGCATTTCAATTTACGACGTCTACAACACCCACAAGCAATATGTCTCTTGGGGCCCTCGGAAGATGACATCGGAAAAGGTTCAAAAGAAAGCTGAGGTTTACCTTCGTGGTTGTAGAGGTGTGGGTTGGGGCGGATAATGCCTTCACAAGGATATGGGCTTGAGTTCTGTTCTGTCAGCGAACTTCAGGCTGCATGATACCTCCAGCACGCAACAGCCACTGGGGCGGCCTAGCAGTGGCATGCCCTAAAGTGCATTCGCCCTGCTGGTTCAACAGCACGGTTTCAGCACTGTCGTTCACTGTTAAAGCTATATTTCACTAGTCGTTGCAACACTTCTGCAGCTATCCCCCTACAACCCTCGCCCCAGTGCAGGTCCCAATTGAGGGGAACCTTAGCGCGGAATCGGGTCGACGAAGCGTAGGATCGAACCCTGGTAGGAGCAAGCGACAGCCCACAAAACCTTCGCGGAAACTGTATTTCTATTTTCAGTCTACTCTTGGCAATCCCGAGTTTTTCATTCACATGCAGCCAGACTGTTGACCTTGGATTTGCATGGCCCTGTAGGCCTACATGCTGCCTCTCACTGCCTGTGCAGCTCTTCGCCGGCTTAGGAGGGCTTGGTTTGTCATCGGTTAGGAAATCGGCGCCAACTGGATCGGTCACGAAAACCAGAGGAAAAATTGACATGTCGGGGCTTGCGCCGCTTTTGGACGTGACTGCAACCGAGTCACAAAAGGCTTATGAGCAGTTTTTCCAGTGTATCGATTCAAGATCTATGGCTCCGCCGGCTTTGCAGCCCACCACGAAAATCGTCTGGAACGGTTCTCCGCTGGGCGGGCGGGACGCCTTTATGGCCATGCTGGCCCAGATGCCGACAACAAAACACGAGGTTACGGGATTTAATGTACATCCTTTCCCTAATGGCGATACTAATGCTTTGAACATGATGATGGATACCTCTGGGAGAGTCCAGTTTGGCAGCGAGCGTGGTGCCAATATTTTTGCATTTCAAGCTACTTTTGTCTTACGAAGGGCCGGTGCTGGCGCTCCTTTGGTGACTGAACAGCTTGTCTATCGTTTAGTATATAAACCGGCTGATGCCACTATAAGTATTTAATGTACTAAGCGGGCGATCGCTTCGCATGTACATCTCATTTAAACATCGTACTGCCAACACTAAACACACCGCCCAATCGCTAATTCAGCCGCGAGGTCAAGCATCAGAACTCAGAAGGGAATAGATAGACCAGCCTACCACCAAGCATGAAGTAAATAAATCCAGTAGGCAGCTCCATTCTCGCTTTGTAATGATCCTCAAGGGGAAGCTGGTCCACCAAGGAATAGAAGTACCCGATTCCAGCAGAAGCTACTGCGGGAGTGCGGCCAAGCAACCTCAAGTCATTTCATTTGATGAAATCATCTGGGCAGAGACTGTCGGCAATGCGATTAACCTGTCCTACATCCAGCTTAATGCGGACAAAACGAAAGGCGAACTTAGAATGACGCGCCTCCGTATAGAGGACGAAGAGCCTCAAAGCGGAGCTTCTCCTCCTGTTTACATCCTCAATGAGGCGTACGCTGACAGTAAACGCCAAAAAAGACTCTATGTGATTGTAAATCCTCATAGTGGGCCGGGCCATGCCCGCAAGCTATATCATGACCACGCCGAGAAGCTCCTTAAAGCCGGTAGATGTGAAATCACTCTACAAACGTCAAATTATATCGGACATGCGGAAGAGCTAATGAAGGACCTGGATATCGAACAATACGATGCTATAGTGTGTGTGAGCGGCGACGGTTTGCCGCATGAAGTCATGAACGGGCTGGCCAAACGGCCTGATGGAGCCCATATTTTAGCCACAACTCCTATTTGCCAACTCCCAGGTGGCTCCGGCAACGCCATGTGCTACTCACTGAACGGAACAGTCGATGTGAGTGTTGCCTGTCTCAATATTATTAAAGGCGTCGCCATGCCTACAGATTTAATGGCGATTACGCAAAGGAACAGACCCACAAGATACTCATTTTTAAGCCAATCGTGGGGAATTGTTGCTGATTGTGACCTTGGCACCGACAGCTGGCGGTGGATGGGGTCGTTCCGGTTTGAACTGGGCTTGTTGATCAAACTGATCTCTGGCAACACCTACCCTTGTAAAATTTCCTACAAGCTTGCATGTCCTGAAGAACGGAAAAGCGTCATTGCATACTTTAGCGAGAATAAGGCGTCAGGAATCAGCCAAAAGCTGGATGAGCACTCCCTTGATCTGAAATATGGAACAGTCGACGACCAAATACCCCAGGACTGGACAGTGGAAACGCATCGCGACATGGTTAATTTTTACGTCGGAAATATGCCATGGATGTCTTCCGATGCAATTGTGTTTCCTTATACATTACCTCAAGACGGCGCTATGGATATGATCACCTGGGACTCGGACGTAAAGTTTTTTGAAGGCCTTCAGCGATTCATTGCCATGACCAAAGCCACCCATGTGAACAACCCAAGATTAATCTATCGAAAAGTAGTGGCCTATCGTCTCGAGCCACTGTCTGAGCATTATTTGTCCGTGGACGGCGAAAGCTACCCTTGTGAACAATTCCAGGTAGAGCTTCTGCCCCGGGCAGGCTGCATTTTGAGTCGAGGAGATTATGCAGCTGTTCCTTAAGTTCCTCAGCAAGTAGTAAAACCTAGGACTTTTTAAAGATGTACAGCTGCTAATGAATAGTTATCGCATTACTGACTGGTACTATAAATACCCCTTCAACCAGTCGGGGCATGCTTTTTGCTTTATTTCTCAGCCTCAGCCTTGGCCTTAGCACGGGCAGCCTTAGCACCGGCGTAACGAGCCTCAGAGCGGGCCAGACGGAGGGTGCGGTAAGCATCGGTGGTCTGAACAGAAGAGACGGGGGCAGTGGTGATCTCGATGGTCTCCTTGACGATGGGGAAGGCGGCAGAAATGGTAACCTGGGTAGCAGCCTCGATGTCAGCCTTGGAAGCATCGCCCTTCTTGGGCTTGCCAGCCTTGCGGGGGAAGACAATAAGACGAGCCTTGTAGTCCTTCAAGCGGGCAACGTTGAGCTCAAAGCCCTCAACGGAGCGGTTCTGACGGCGGTGGTCGACAGCGATACCGACGGTGCGGGCGTAGTTGCGGGGGATACCAGCAGCCTTGAGCTCATCAAGGGAAAAACCGCGGCCGGCACGGGTCTTGCGGTTGTAACGCAGAGTAGGGCAACGGACAACGGGACGCAAAAGGTCAAGAGGACGGGGAGCGACAGCGGCAGCCTTCTTGGCACGGGCATTGCGGCGAGAGACCTTCTTGCCGGCCTGGTCGAAGTGGGTCTTGACACGCTCCTGCCAGTTCTTCCGGAAGTGGTTCTTAAGGATGGGGTTATTCTTGGAGATGGCCATCTTTCAGAGTGTGAGAAGGGTTGGCGATGCGACCGAATAGTGATTTGTTTGGCGCGTGGAGTCGACAAATTGATCCAGCCCTAAGCCCTAGCTCACGTCAGTTGAAAACCTCTAGGTCGGGCCGTGGGCCTGCGCTTAGTCACCATCACCACCACACCCTCCCCGGAACGAATTCTTTGGCCCGTATACCTTCAGTTCTAAATTGTCCAATTCGACTGATTTCTTTCCTTGAAGCCTCTGTAACTATCTTCTGGAGCTCTAAATATGTCAAAGTCATTCTCCAATGGAGTTTGGTCGGTGAAAACCAACAAAGGCACCATCATGGATGCCAGTTCTATGGCCGCAGCTGAGGAACGACTGCAAATCCCAGTACCAGAGATGATTTTTGGGCAAAACGAAATAACTGTTACCCATCAATCGGGATGGAAACTCACGTTCAATGCGCTGGATGCTCTGGATCTCGTCGACAAGACTGGAAACAAATCGGGGCATCTCCAGGTGGCATACTCTGAGGAATGGCGAAAAAGCCGCGAAAACAACAGCCATGGCCACGACGTCTCAAAGATCCATCGTCCTTTCGACTGGACCTATTCTACAGACTACAAAGGTACCGAGACGCCCCCCAAACTCGTCGAGAACGCCAATACCAAGATCCCTTTTGAAAAACTCAAGCAACAGAAGCCAATTGTCTTGTTTGACGAGGTCCCCTTGTACGAGGATGAACTTGGCGACAATGGCATGGTGACTTTCAGCGAAAAGATTCGGGTGATGGAAGACGACATGCTCATTTTGGTCCGACTGTATCTCCGTGTGGACGATGTGGTGTTTAGAATTCGGGATACTCGTGTTTACATTGACTTTCAAACCGGCCATGTTATTCGGTCGTACATTGAAAAAGAAGACAGCTTCAAGAATGTCCGAAAGCGTGTTCCCATTGGCTCAACGGACCACACACAGCTTTTACGAGACCCGAACTGGATCGATTCTGTCTTGCCAACTACAAAATCCATGACTTATGACTGTAAGCTATAAACATAGACTGCCACACCAACTAACGACTTTAATGGCCTCCTCCGATTACTTCAAAATCTCCAATGCCGCTGCTACTTCTGGATTGCGTGCATTGCCTTTCTTGGCTAGTGCTTCTAGCTTTGCTTTGGCCTTTTCTTGAAGCTTTTTGTACAGTTCTTGCTCAGCAAGTTTCGGCCACTGCAGGAGCTTGGTGCATACAACATAAATACCCGCCCAGCCACGGATGTAGGACGGACAAAGCTCGACACTCCGGCAAAAATTGGCCACTGATTCGGACATCTGGTCCATTGAGACTTGAATACCATCTTTAACTGTGGTAGCTTGTGAATGTAGGAGCTCTCCAATCCGGGCAAAAATATTGTACGCGTAGGGGTATACCACCAGAACCTGGCTAAACGCCTTGATTGCTTCGGAGAAATTGCCGGCGATTGCGTAGATTTCACCAAGTTCGGCCCATGTCTCGCCACTAGTTGGATCCTTGTCCAGTAGCTCAACGAGCCTTGCGGTATATTCAGTCCATTTGCCGTCGGTCTTGAAACTCACAAACTCCAGAGTCGCCAAATCTCCGTCTCTACTTTCCTTTTTGACAAACTCGGTGAACTTATCGGGGGTGAACGTCGCTTGTGCATACACGCCCCGAAGAATCGACACCCGAGAGCCTTCCGATCCGAATTTGTCAACTATCCGTTGTAGAGCAAGCTTTGCATCGTTATCACGCTCAGTAAGAATGCTCAAGTAGAAATGTTGCTCAAGAATAGTATAGTATTCAGTGTCCGAAACCCCCTTGTAGCCACTGTCGACAAATGAAGAACTAAGCTTGTACAAGCGCTCTAATCTTTCAGGCTCCAGCGTATAGTAGCTTGCCTCCCTAGCACATCTGAATAGAAACTTCTCAATGCCCATTGCAAAAACCGGCCTGGGATTTCCTGTGGGGCTTTTTATCAAGTGCGGTGACAACGACGAGGTTTTGTCAGCATGCTGCGAACGTCGAGAATTTGGCAGGCGGCTCGTTTCTACAGCTCTGCGGCTGAAACGGCGGCTAAAACTGCGACCAAAATCAAAAGACACGAGAAGCATACTGTTGTGGACACGAAAGAGGAGGAAAACTTGGTGCCGCGAGCTGTGGCACCGCTCGATGCATCCAAGATCCCCCAGGGGAACATGCTGGCGCACATTTTACAGCAATATAAAATGGATCTAGGTGAGCACGATGTTCAGCTCTCTGGGTGGAAAAAGTATGTGGGCGAGCGCCTGATCAAGACCTTCAACCTTGACATGGACAGAATTCGGTCCGGCCCGGTCGCGGCCGTGTTGTACAGAGATCAGTGCAAGATGCAAGCTTATTTTGAAAAGGGCAAGCCTATCTCGCCTTTGGCTGACTGGTACTACAATCGCTTGGGCATGCCTCAAACATATTTCCAGTGGTTCCAGATCACCTCTTTGCACATCTGGATGCTTTACGTTAGAATGCGCCGCATGCCTCGCAAATACTGCCGTGAATACCAAACCAAGCTCGTCAATGGTATTTTCGAGGATATCGACTATACCCTCCGCGAGGTTATTCGCGTGAACAGTGATCGTACTGCCAACAACCACAAGAAGCAGTTCAGTGAACAGCTGCGTGGCTCTGTGTTCAGTTACGACGAGGCTATGCTTGGCGGCGATACGGTTCTTGCCGGGGCTATTTGGCGTAATTTGTTTGAGCAAAGTGACGTCGCTGATCCCACCATCATCGAGCACATTGTCCAGTACGTTCGGGCCCAGCTCTACGTGTTGGACATGATCTCTGATCGTGATTTTGCTGCTGGCCGTTTCCAGTTCTTGGATCCTCGATACAGATACGAACCTCTGTCTGCCGCTCAGTATGCCGCTCTCGATGAGATGATTGAGTCTGCTCGCAGAGAGTCCAAAAACTTGGCTGCCCGTTCGCAGCTGAGTCGTGAGGGTCTTTAATTGTATATAAATCGGACCAAAATCCAACACTCTAGTCAATAGACGCTTTCTATTTGACCTGTGCGTTATGCCGCTTTTGCATCTCACATGCTGACTCCCAAAATCGTAGCTGATGCGCCTCGATATTTGAATGGAATCAAGCAGCGGGAAATCCTTCTGCGGGGGCACCAGGCTGTGAAAATTGAACATCTGGGTATTGTGCAAAATCTTGTTCAGTCTATCGACTTGTCTGACAACCTGATTGAGCATTTGGGCAACTTCCCCCGCCTGACCAGAGCAGTTTCTTTGTTGGTCACAAACAACCGCATCAGAACTATTGATCCTCAATTAGGCACGAAACTACCTCTTCTCCAATCCTTATCTCTTTCGCACAACCGTATCGACTCGCTGGCCGAGCTACGCGCACTAGTCTTATTAGCCAAGCTTGAATATTTTGCTTTGGATAACAATCCGATAAGTCAACATCCTTACTATCGTTTGTACATTTTATGGCTTGCTCCGCAAATACGAGTGCTTGATTTTGAGAGGGTCCGAGATAGCGAACGCGACCAAGCTAAAAAACTGTTTGGAACTTTGGCAGATCCCACCGAGCTGGTGGCTTCGGTAGAGGGCAAAGAGTCTACCAAAATGGAAGCACCAAAAGTCGCCACAAAACTGTCTGAAGAGGAGAAGCAGGAGTTGCGCAATAAACTTGCTTCAGCTACGACTTTGGCGGAGATAGACGAAATAGAGGCTCTACTACGAGCCGCAACCTAAATAAATGCATTCGGACTATGTTACTGAATATATCCACTAACGATATGCTCCATTTGAGCAGTAGACAATTGTGCGATGGTAGACAGTGGTGCTGAAGCCTCCTCTCGTAACGTTGACTCGCCAGCGAAGCATCTAGGGCATTGCAGCTGGATGGTGTCTGCAGTCTCTCTTGGCGTAATATTATACCAAAAAACTGCGCCAGACATGCCACAAGTAGCACAAGATGTTTTATTAACCAGTAATGGCCGATTGAGGGGGGAAATGGCTGCATTTGCCGGCACAGCCAACAGGTTTTCTTCGTGGGCAGGTCTTCGTTTATTAACAAGCTGCGCTCTATCTGACGCACCGTAATCCCGCTCAGAGTGAAGATATCGTTCGATAAATAGCTGTAAGATTGACAGACCTGTGACTTCATCAACCTCCGACATGGGGATGAGGTCGTCCACCGCGTGATCCGAACATCGAATACGATTTTCCAAAACACCAATTACACCGTTGAACTGAACCGAGACCTGCCCTTCCGCTGGTTGGGTATTAATTTTGAAACCCATAGCATAGCCCTTGGATCCGGCACAACCAGCATGCAACTGTTTCAAGCATGTATCACAACAGCAGTTTGCAGGAATATCCGAAGAACAAATAGAACAGCTAGCCTCTTTTTTCACTTCCAAGGCCTCTAGAACTCCGTTTACAACCACTCGTTTGTCACGAATGCCAAAAGTAACATGTGGATCCCAGACAGCACACCGTTGATGAACCCAGCGACCAAACTCTGCAAACCGAAGAATATCTGGATTGCCCTGACTTTCACCCTGGATCCATTGAATATAACTGACAGATTCGCAGGGACATAGAGCACATTGGTAATTGATGCTAGACACAGTGTTCACATTATTGCTGCATGGGTCACACAGCCAATGCGAGGCCATAGTGTCTTCTTCCACACTGTAGCAATCACGGTGGACAATAATGTTGCATTGCATGCATTGAACACATGTCATATAAGGGTCACGCTGGCAACAGATGACACAATACGAATTTTGAATGCTCTCATCCACATCATCCTCTTCGTCATCCTCAATCTCTTCACTCTCCTCGTCAGGGGATTCGCTTTCAAGCTCATTTGCAGCTTCAGATGCCTCAACTTTAGTTTCGGCCTCAGAGCCTGAAGTTTCATTTGGGCTCAAAAGCACATCATCATCTGAATTTCCATCATTTTTAGATTTTCGAGCTTGGGCTTCTTCCCGTTTCAATAGTCGCTCACCTCTTTCCCTCTCTGCCACAATAGATTTACTGTCCTCTATAAGCTCAGGTTCAAGCATATCTTTTGCGGCCCCCTTACTAGACAAAATTTCCAGTACAGTCTGTGGGTCCTGCCAAACAATACCATACCTGTACCAGAGTCGTGCACATCTCAGACACAATGCCTCGATAGGATCATCATTTTCAGTGGGCAGGCGACCAGAAGCTCGTTTCCATTTTCTGGAAACCCTGGTGTGACAATGCTTGCATTCCACAGCTTTTTGCAGCTTTTTGATCTTTTCACTGCTAAAAGTGATGTCAGGGTCAGCGGTGTCGGCAATACTGGATATGAACTCTGTATTGAGCTTTGATGTTTTGCGACGGGACAAGCGAGCTTGACAATTATCCCAAACTCGATGCCCTCCCGGCGTCTTCTTCCACATGTAATAGAACCTGACGATGTCCGCTGAGGATTGAGTACCAACATGTTTGTAGACATCGTGCAGTTCGCTTCCATACTGCTCGACTGCTTCTTCGAAACGCTCAACTTCTTCGTCAGAGAAAGTAGGTTCTTTCAGGGATTTTCGAGTAAATGTCGCGACTATCCTCAATGCCCGTGCTTCATCACCTGCTGAATCATGGAAAGCTTTAAGACAAGCGTCCAGGAAATTGGGAGACGTCGGGTGCAACGAAAGCTTTTCCGCGTATACTTTGGTTTTTTCGAGGAAGGAGTCGGGGTTTCTGACGTCCGGAGCCCACATTAACGTTGATGTTGCATCTGAGCCACGTTCTAAATAACCTTTAGGCATCTCCTGAACCCAAGGTAAACTCGTGTCAAGGCCTGGCGGGCTTTGATCCTTTTTTGTTGGTTTTCGACCTCCTCTGCGCCCCCCTCGCATACGACCTTCGCGAATTTGCCTCTTGTAATAAATAACGGGACGCCCAGGCCACTGTTTAATCAAAGCCTGGTGCTTATATCCAATTCTGGAAGCTGCCCTTGGGTGGATTCGATCATCAGCATCAAAAGCGTCTTCGATGCTAGCGTGAATACCAAGGTAGCGGAAACTCCAAAACGCTTCTTGACGGGAATTTTTCGACTCATCGACATGCTTTGCAATCGCATTAGCGATTTTGATGTATGTTGGAACGGGCGCAGCATCGGAGGAGTCTGCTTCAGCGATGCTGGACTCAACAGTATGCTGCTCGCTCGATTCTGTTGGCGACTTTACTGCATTGCCAACTATTTGACGATCTCTGAACCTTTCTTCAACTGCTTGAGTACATTCAGCACATGACCAGCCAAACCCACGGGGAGGCTTGTATGTCAATGGTGGATCGAGACAGGCCATGTGGTAAGTTGAATCGCAGCGAGCACAAGTGACAGAATCTTCATCAGTTGCCCACTCACAACACGTTTTGCACTCTTGACTGATCCCAGAAGTGAGCTCTTTAGTTTTGCTCGGCTCCAAAACCACGTACTGATAACGAGAGCTCAGGATCTCTCGAAGATCAGAGGGTAAACTGACGAGATTTTTACTTGGAACCACATCGAAAAAACGCTCAATGTATCTATCCCACAAGCGGTCGAACCAAAAGCTGTTTGGAACCTTGATATAGTTGGCAAATTCTGCAGTGGAGCCGATCTCAGCCCGGTGTTTCACGACGCATTTCCCACGCACACTGGCCAAGGGGCAGAGGTCAGCATGCATAGTGAGGAAGAGCTCGCGGGTATTTTTTGCAGATTTGTGCAGATCCGCTGGCCGATAGAGCCAGTTGAGACGGACCTGGTACAAATCACTTGCGTTGTCGGAATCGGGTTTCGCGGGGTCTGAGATTTTCACGAATTCCATAATGCGACCAATATAATACGGTTCCCCTAGGGGTTCTGCCATAACGTAGACGAAATTGCCAGACCTTAACGTAGATTTGTCGGCGAAACCGATCGAAAGGGCGTCGTCAGCGACTATGGCGCCCTTGTAATTTAGGCGGCCCATTCGGTCCGAAGTGACAGCTCTTCTTTGCCAATTCCAGGGAGCCACAGCCAGCTTTTTGGGGTTTCGGGGTTTCGTGGCCGCTCGCCGCTTTTTTGGTTGATTGGGTTTCTCATTGGACGATGACGGGGTTGGCGAGGTTGAGTGCTCTCTTGACGCACTTCTTGTGCGTTTCGCTCCTCGAGCGTCGTTTGTGGCCACAGACGACGACTCAGAGACAGCACTCTCACCACTTATTGACCCTTCCTCTTCGGAAAAAATCGAATCTTCATGGCTCTCGTCACGGCGGGCCATGGCAAGAAGGTTGGTGAGGGCACGGGTTTAAAGTGAAACTAGTAGGCTAGACTAAGACTAGGACGGCCACAAGGGTTTATCGTTCGGTAGACTGTGATAGAGTTCAATATCTCACCCAATTTCGAAATATTCGGCTGGCTCCAAAATATCCGACCGTTACCCATCCAGCCATGCCTTGCCTCGATATCTGTTTCACAGACTCTCGACGGCACTAAGGCGTGACTAAGAAGGCTGAAAAACGCCAGACATTTTTCTTTCATCCCACCAGGAGTTTTTCACAATATGTCGATTAACATTAGACGCGATAATAAGGATCCGTTCTACCGGTATAAGATGCCGCCAATTCAGGCCAAGATTGAGGGCCGCGGTAACGGTATCAAGACAGCAGTTTTGAACACTTCGGACGTCGCGCGTGCGCTTTCTCGGCCGCCTTCGTACATCATCAAGTACTTTGGTTTTGAACTTGGTGCGCAGACCTCCATTTCAGAGTCCACGGAGCGTTATCTTGTCAATGGTGTCCACGATGCTGCTAAACTGCAGGACTCGTTGGACGGCTTCATTGCCAAATTTGTTCTCTGTGGATCATGTAAAAACCCCGAGACTGAGTTCGTTGTTCTCAAAGATGGAAACCTCGAGAAGGATTGCAAGGCCTGCGGTGCGAAAACGCTTGCTGATCCCCGTCACAGGCTGACTTCTTTTATTGTGAAGAACCCTCCCGAGACGGCAAAGTCCAAGAAGAAGGCCATGGCGAACGCTGGTGCCTCTACTTCCACCGCGGAGGCAAATGCTGCTGCTGATGCTGCCGATGGCGGCGACGATGGCGAAGACGATGGTGGCGATGATGAGCTTACCCGTCGCATCAATGCTGAGGCTGCCAATTTGCCCGAGATGGATGGTAGCGACGACGACGACGACCAGTGGACCGCTGACGTCTCGGAAGAGGCTGTCCGTGCTCGTCAAAAACAGCTCGAGCGTACTATGGCGAACCTTGGTGTTGACGACGATGGGACCGACCAGGCCGTATACCACGAATTTGGCGAGTGGATTGAGAGTAACGAGGATTGCAGCGACATTGATATTTACAAAAAGGCTTTGGATTTGGGTATTCAAAAGAACCCCAAGACGGTCCAGGTTTTGGCCCAGGCTCTCTTCAGCGAAGACATTGTAAAGGAGATCCCCGAGCATGTTGGTTTGCTCAGTAAAATGGTCACTTCACCCAAGCACGAGAAGGCTCTGCTCGGTGGTCTCGAGCGGTTCATCGGTTTGCAACATCCTGATCTTATTAAGGAGGTCCCTAATGTTCTGTTCAAGCTCTACGACGCTGACCTTATTTCTGAAGACGTCATTGTCGCTTGGGGAACCAAGGCTTCGAAGCGCTTTGTCGATAAAGATACCTCCAAGAAGGTCCGCCGGGCTGCTAAGCCATTTATGGACTGGCTTGACGAGGCCGAGTCCGAGTCAGAATCAGAGTCCGGCGATGAGTAGATACGATAAAACATACTGTCTTTATAAATATATAAAAAGTGCATAATTACTTGCCGCTAAAATCTCCTTTCCAGTTGACCCATGCACCCTCCTGCAGGGTCTTGCATGTTGTTTACATTACCGCCCACGCCAACAAGTAATCCATCTTGACCTGTATGCAGCCAACGACTACGGCATATCAAACGGCACAGGCCCGACAAGAGAGTTTTGAGCGGGCCCGCATAATTGGAACTAGTCTCAAGTCCAGAGCCAAAAAGAACTTCCTGAGCTGGCCCCATGAGACTCCAGGCGTAGACGAGATGGCGGCAGCCGGGTTCTTCTTTGCACCAACAAAAGAAATTCACGACAGAGTAGAGTGTTTTTTCTGCCACCAAAGCTTTTCGCAGTGGCAGGAGGACGACGATCCTGCGCTGGAGCACGTCAAGCTTTGTCCAAACTGTCCTTGGGCAAACCTTTGTTCGAAAGTTGCCGCTGAATGGGCGCAAAGTGTCGGTACCGATACCCTAGCAGGAACCGAACATGATCCGTATTCTACTTCGAATTATGAGGGTCGCCTAGGAACGTTTGTCAATTGGCCCTACGAAAAACGAAGAGGGTGGAAGCCCAAAAGCACATTGCTGGCCCAAGCTGGGTTTCATTTTGTACCTCAATGCCATAACGATGATACCACTGAGTGTGCACTCTGCGGCATAACCTTGAATGGCTGGGAGCCCCGCGACGATCCCATCAATGAGCACCGTCGACGGCGGCCAGATTGTTTATTTTTCCTTTCTGCACCAAAGGAGGTGAAATGGAGCGCAAACACGTCGCCGAAAAAGATCATGAGGAAAAGACCATCTCCTGTACTTGAGGACCTTACGCAAAGTATTGATATAACAGCTGATGCCCATGGAACACCATTGGTGGAAAAGCACTCGGCGTCTGTGTTGGTGACCGAACAAGAAGAGCCTATGCAGCTGGACGCACAGGACATTTCTGTCAGTCCTAAAGTCTGTAAGCAGTTGGAACTGCAAAAAGCCCTTGAGCCAGAGGTGGAGCCAGAGGTTAAGCAAGTGGTGGAGTCAGAGATGGAGCCGGAGGCAGAACCAGAAGTCGAGCCAGAGGTTGAACCAGAGGCAGAACCAGAGGTCGAGCAAGTGGTGGAGTCAGAGGCGGAACCAGAGGTCGCGCCAGAGATGGAGCCAGAAGTCGAGCAAGAGGTGGAAACAGAAGTCGAGCTAGAGGTCGCACCAAAAGTTGCAACTGAAGCGTTACCTGAAGTTGCAGCACAAGCGGTTGAACTTGCAATAGAATCTGTTTCTGGAGCTCCTGAGATACGCGAAGTGAGCGAAGCTGAACTAGAAATGGAACAAGAAACGCCAGTTGTGCCCAAAGCAGAGCTTGAGGCTGAGCATATAGCCGACCCAACCACAGCACAAAAAGATCAGGTCTGTCCAGACGGTGAGGTAGCTCCAGCTCATGAAATTAAACGCGAGACAGCTGTTGAAACCGCAATTGAGGTAGAAGAATGCGCCAACCCAGAAATCAGCCAACTCGAGTCAACAAATGTCCAAATTTTGCATGCGAGCGAACCAGCAGCCATAGATCTGGCCCCAGAATGCGATCCAGTTAGGGACCAAGATGAAATTGACATCACACATCACTCGCATGACGCTGATGTGTCTATCAACGCAACCCATACATCTAGGATCCCGCAACTAGAATCCTCTACATTCTACGAGAACATTGAGGACTTTAAAATTATCAAGAAAGATGTGTCGAGGTTCTCCTTAGGTATATCAGGAATCGACCCCGCACTTCAGGAGATCGGCTCTGGAGCAAACGACCATGCTAACAGCTCGCAGTTTAAACCTCGCGAAATTGTTGACCTAGCAAATGCATCTCATATTTCAGCTGCCGACTTCTCTATGGTAGCCGGTGAGCGCTCAATCGAGGTGGAGAATAGCCCCGAAACAACTTTGAGACTCAAGCGGTCAACTAGTGTTTCTGATGGAAATGAGACAAAACGGGCTCGAAAATCATTGACTTCGGAAAGTAGCGAGTTTGCTACTGCGCCGAGTTTGCTTGAACCTGCAGATGTCTCAAAAGGTCCTGACACAAATAAGGCAGACCAGTCCACGGCAAAACGTAGCTTCCTGGCTGCTTGGATGCACTCCACACCGTCTGCGTTGAAAAATGCTTTGTCGCCACGTCGCTTGTTTGGCCAGGCCAAAATGATCCTGCCATCCCCGCTAGGAGGTCAGGCCGAAGCCAAGCCTAGCCCCGCAGACTGCACTTTCGCCGTCAACAATCCTGAGTTCTCCATGATTGGTGCTCAACTTACAAATGACCCTGAGCCGGTAAAAGAAATCGAGAAAGCTCCAGAGCTGGATATAAGCAGCTCTTCAATAGACACTGTCGACGAGACACTGATCTTGCCTTCACTCGACTCACTTCTAGACAACCTGGGTGGTCTAACTTCAGACACGCTTTCCGAGCTTGCCAAAAGAAAGAATGGTCTAAGTTCACGTCAATGGCTGGAAATGGTTGCCGACCAAGTAACGGCGGTTATGAGCAAAAACACAGACTGTTTGGTCGCCGAACTGGAAAAGCAACGCCAACTGGCAATACAAGCAGTTTTGCGAAGATGACGAATTAATTTATATAACGAATTGGCTAGCCAAATTCTCATTTTCTTCTCTACAGTATCAAAGTCATAGAAAGAGCTCATTTAGTACCTCAGCCACTCTTGGTAGTTGTTGGCTTGCATAGCAGAGGCCGCTGGCCCGGACGCATAGTTTTGCAGTCCCATGGCGTATTTATGGTCACGGCCTCCGTCGGATGTAGCAATATGCGGTGGCGAGATTGAACGAGCCTCTTCACTGGGTGCTAGCATCGAGAGTCCGACTTCCTCTAGCAGTCGTTTGTGGGCCGGAATAACTGCATCGGGCTTGAGCAGTAGCATGCGAATTTTGTTCACTGCAACCTGGCGCTCCAGAGAGTACTCTGCAAGCCCAGTGTTGAGCAGTTTGAACAAAAACATGGGCCCGTTGACCGAGTCCTGGAGCAGGGACTCCAAGATGGGTGTGGAAGAATCTGAGCTCAAGTCAAGCAGTGAATCAAGTATGAGTCGGGCAGAAGCAGTGTCAACACGGTTGCTGATGATTTTCAAGAGCACCTGAGAGCCTAACTTAGACGATGCGACAGTAGACAATACTGGCAAGAGGCGGCGAGCGACAAGAGCGAACCGGGTGGGAGGATTATAAGTGTCGAGCAGCCAGGAGACCAGAAGGGATCCATTGGCATTCGTTGACAACATTGCGGCATTCTCCACAATGCATGCAGCAACTAAACGTTGCTGTTGTTTTGAAGTATGGGGTGACTCCAAGCAAGCCCGAATTGCTCGGGCACCGAACCGTCCTTGCGCGATTTCCGGCATTTTTACAATAATAGCCTCATGGATGAAGTCATTCCAAGGTGACCCGAACTTTAAGCAGCACTGTATCACATAGTTTCCGTATTGGTCCAAAAATAGAGGAACCACAAATGGTTTGATAGCCTCTGTGATCATGTGATACTCCCTGGCTGAAGATGCAACATCGATGATTTTCTGAGCTGCCCAGGTACCGTTTTTGTGCACGCCTGTTTGGGCCAAGTATGGCTTCAACCCACGCAACATCATATCCCGGAATTCCAAGGAGCAATTATCGAAAAGCTGTTGAACAACGGTGTTACCCATATAGTCACTGGCTAAAACTGGAAGCTCAGACATCATAGCCATGGCCAGGTCCTCGATTTCATCTTTTGGAACGTTTTCGCTATCGATGCGCTTACGAACCTCACGAAGCACGGCGGACACGTAAACACGATCGGCCTGTTCAGGAAGAGGATGGGTTTCTGGTTCATATTGATTGTACTGCCGAGCCCGATCGATGGTTTCGATGGACATTTGAAGCTCTGCACCGCTCGCACCTAGCGAGGTAAGAACTTCCGTTAGTTCTAAGGAACCCTTTGATATAGATGGGATACTAGGTTGAGCCGCAATTGGTACAGAAATGGGCGGAGCTTCAGCATCCTTCACAAACCCTACCAAACTGGGGCCCTGACCTGGATAAATTTCGACAGTATTCGTATGTTTCTGAGCCTCGATGGCGGTTTGCAAGTCAGCGAACTTGACGAATGCAGAATTACAGCTTGGCAAAACACGGGCAGCGTCGACATGGCCATACTGACTGAAGAAAGCATGCAATGAAAATGGGGTTGCTGAAGGGGCAACGTTGTTGATCCAAAGACAAAGGGTTGGAGTCGGACTTAGATCGTCAACAGTAACAACATAATCATCTGGAATATCATGTATGCTTTGCGAGACGTATCTGCCCAATGCCAAACCCGATGATGGCGAGAGGTGGCGATGGCTGGAAGTTGACATCGTTGAGGCTCGACTTCGTGGTACCGGGCCTCCAACGGCACCGGCAGGATTTGTTTGATATGAATGAGGACGGGGGACTGAATAGAGGCCAATATTGGGTGGCTGAGAAGCGTCGGTTGGCCCGCCAAATGTACGACTTCTCAACCGCGAGGGTGTGGTAGAAATATAAGGTGGTTGATGCAGGTTGTGGCCATCAGGGGAGGAAGATATCGCTGAAGTACCCGAATTCCAAATGTTTGGGGCAAACGGAGAGAAGGCGGTATTTGAACCAATAGAATTAAGGGAGCCGGACCTTTTTCGGGGCCGCGGCGACAGAGGAACTTCGACCGCGGCCGGGGTTGGAGCAGTGTTAACAGTGGCAGTTACCTGGGCAGCTACTGGGAAAGGCGACGTTCCGCGTGATCGCGATGAGAGCAAAGAGGGGAAGGGCCGAAGGGAAGCAGGATGATCTGCACGACCCAGCCGACCCAAACCTTGGAGTTCAGCAGGAACTTGGTCAGTATTTGGAGATAAGAGAGCTAAGCTTCCAAGTTGTTCGTGAACTTCCGGCATCTGACCGGTCTGAAGCCTCGAGGGCAAGGTGCCCGCGCGGGCCCGGACGCTGTTGCGCGCATTCTGCGCGTTAAAAGACAATGAGGAAGGTCTCCTATCGCGCCAGATAGAGGTTGACGCATCTGCAGAAGGTATCAAGTGCACAGGCGGAGCCTGGGTGGACGGTTTTGACACAGGAGACCGCTGGGCCCAACCGGCGGTTTGCGATATTGCGGGCGGCTTTCCGGTGGCAGTAACCGGTGGCGTCTGTCGTGGGGGCGTCAAGGACGGAAATTGTACAACAGGATTGCTGTTAGATGTAGGAAGGTTTGAATCAGGACTAGCGGGCATAGTGAAGGATGAAAACTAGCAGAGACTCTTCAGCATAACCGCAAGGCAGAGAACGGGTTTGTGGTCTTTAAAATTTGCGAAAGATAATCTTGGACTCTTCAAGGTTTGATCGATTTAGACAGAGGCTTGTCTTTTCGTTCAAAGCTGTTCAAAGTATCCAATTTGGCCTTCGTTGTGATGTTGCAAGGACAAAATAGCTTGCGGGCCGGTTTGGGGGAAATATACGGGGTTGACTAAGAAAAGGGGAGCTTGGTAGTGCGTCTGACGTTTCAAAAAAGTAGGCTGTGCACTCGCTTAGGAGAGAATGAGCCTTGATGTGATGGAGCATAGTATACAAATTATTAGTACTGTAGAGAGGGATGCTAGGCCACATAGCTAGGTTAAGTACAACCCAGTGAATCTGTGAGAGGAGTCGGCACTTTCTGCGAAGGTTCTGGGTAGGGTAGCATGCTGATCTCGGGGTGGCTTCTCCTTTGCTCAGCCGGGGAAACCTCCCAATTGCGAGAGGATGGGATTTACCCGAGAGAATATCGATGCTAGAGCTATAAATATTTTGACAGACCACAAGCATAGTGATAGCGAAATGGAGGAAGTGTGTTACGCAGAAGAAGGTTTACACGTGTCAAAATGCAAGACTCGAGGCTCAGCAGCCACATAATGCTGTTGACTACTAACCAGCCCAACCAACCGCCAGGCAGGTATCACCATGACAACACGCATGCTGGGGGCACACCCACTTGTGGCTAGGCATGGCCCAGAGTTCCGGTGGATTGTAGCCAAATAGGCACCTGACATATTTCCCCGGGCTCAAGCACTTTACGAGATTACTTTTCGTAGCTGCGAGAGACTGCCGTCATAGAACAATTTGCATTGGGCCTGAAAAATGGCGGCATATCTTGGTATGCGGTCACCCCCACCGGCTGAGTCCCGAAGTAATCAGAGTGCGCGTAGATAATACCGGCACCAGAGTATTTGGTCCGACCCAATACAAAATTCACGTAGAAATATTCGAGAAATATTTCTGGAAGACTTTTTCCTACACTGAGGCATAAAAAGCTTTTGCTTTTTGCTTGTCCAAATCTTATGCAGAGTTTGCAGTGGTGATGGTCAACATGTGCTGGATGTTGCTAGCGTGGACGCAGAGGTACATAAGCGAATGAAGAGTCATTGGAGGACTGTAGCGTAGCTTGAAACATACTAAGAGTAGTGTCTAATGATTAATGTAAACTAGCAGCTTTTTCTACAAAAAAAAATAACCGCCTAGAAAGTTGTGATTATTTATCTGGCTCCCCACTGAAAAATTCCCGTCGCGTTATGACAGTACAAATCTCCACACGCTGCGACTTGACAGTACTTCCCTTGCCCTGACGACAGTTGCCGCAGGTGGACCGGGCAATTTTTCGTGACGACGTTGCCGGGTTTGAGAAAAAAAAAAGCCCGAGTTGGTTGGGCAACTCATGGGCGGTGGGAAAACCGCAATTACAGTTTCATGTTTATGCAAATAACAGCCTATTCTACCATTTTTTATGATGTGTATTTTTTTCTAACGTACCATTGCTAGCATTGGCCCTCTTGTTGACAGTAGGGCGAGGGCAAGCTGTGCAACCCGGTTCAAGTTACTCATTGCCCCGATTGCGAAATTTGCTCGTCAAAACCCACTGCTGCAGATGAATCCACGTGATATGTGATCCATTGTTAGCCCACGAGCCGCCATTCCACAAAGCTGTGATGATATGGGCCGACAAAATAATGTCCGTGGATAATCTTGTATAGAACCTGAACATTATTTATTTTCCGAAATACTTTCGGCCCTTGAGGGTCCCCAATCGCAACCTTAACGGTTGTATCTACCTGGGTTAGGTCGTCAGGTGATTGAATGTAATAGTCATCGCTTGCATGGATTCGTGACGCATGTGTAGTATATATAAACTAGTGGTGGGCAAGATCCAACTACTCACTCATCTCCCCAAAAAATAACCCCAGCGCAGGAAACGTTCCCTGACACATACATTCTATAATGGAGGTCGATTTCTTTCCTGTATACTGCTCTGTATGCGACAAACAGCTTTCCGACTCTAGCTCAGGGCTCTATTGTTCGCGACAGTGCGAACAAGCCGACTCGTCTCCGCGACTAAGTCGCAAAAATTCCGCCGGCCTCACAACCATCTCTGCCACACTTCATTACCCCTCAGTGCTAAGCTGCAACAAACCAAACTGCCAATGTGGCGCGAACGATGCGCCCCTTGTGCCTGAACTGGGCCTCTCCCCTAGCGACGACGAGATGAGTGACTACTCCCTGCCGCCTAGTCCCGAGATTTACCCTGCCAATGACTCCACCACGCAAAAGCCACTGCCCACAGTCGAGTATTTTTCTCTTTCTTCAAGCCCTCTGAATCAAACCACCCATTTTAGCTTGTAAAAAGGCGCCTACTCCCAAAACAAGATGGGATTGAAAAAAGAGCAAATTACCGCATTATAGAACCGCTGGCACGGAATTATATGTTTATAGTTTTCTTTTTTATTTATTCGCTAGTCTATTTTTTTTTTCTTTTTCATGTCCTTTTTCCAGAATCGCCTTTGTGCTTTACCCACATTATGCAGCCATCACGTTTTTAAAAAAACCAGCCCAGCCAACCTGCACAAGGTGGCCGTACAAGGACGGAGGCACGCTCGGCCTCTAACAACCATATATGGCAGTCGCTGTGCAAGCCCTGCCACTAGCACAATCCCCCAAACGATGCTGGTGGTGTTCTTTCCGTGCCAACTTGCCCATTAAGGTTCTCTTTTAACGTTTCGCTGCGGCTTTCTTTGTCCTGCAGCTATTTTTGTCGAGGTTTTGTCTACCGTTACTAAGACTTAGTCACTATTTTTGGCAGGGTATCCAGGCTTAGCCCAAGGATGACTTGGCCACGTTGGAAGATACCCGGGTACGTGGCCGCCGGCCCAATAGTCTGCTGCTTGCCACTGCTTGCCGCTGCAGGACCTTCGAGTAAGGTTTTTGCAGAATTTTTGCAAATAGATAATCGTTTCGACAAATATTTTTTTGGGGCTAAATAGAATTAGTTTTGTAAGATCTAGTTGGATAACCGAAGACCAGAAGCTGCGGCACCAATAACTGAAATGCCACTGATGCTGCACAGCTTGCCCTTCTCAGACGCGTGGTAGACGGCACCAGTGAAAGGATCGGTTGCGGTGGGCTCACTCTCGTAGATCGGGGTCAGTGTGCCGGGGCAGATTGTAAAGTTGGCGAATTGGTCAAAGTCAATGTCCACCTTGTCAAGGGGATTGGCATCGCACCTTGCCTTGATTTTACGCACCTTCTCGGCCCCCGGTCCCGTCTTGACAAGCTCGAGGTACTTACCGGCGAAATACGACGCAAGAGCAAATTCTTGTTGCTGGAACGCCTGTGTCAATGCTACCTGCAATGGCAACGGTGCATGAGCAGGACGGAGGGTCGGCTTAGTGAAGTATGCAGCAAGCTCGAGGTTCCGCTTGGTTTCTGATGCAGGAAGCGACCGGCGCTTGAGCTCAATGCTGAATGCCAGGATATAGTTGCGGCAAATCTCAACAACTTTCAGGCACTCTGGTACATCTGACTCGTCAACAGACAAAATGAGCACTGTGTATAGAATCTCCCGGAATGTCTCGATCGCCAGCTCAAGCTTGGCTGCCTTGATAAATTTATACGCCTCCTGTAGCTTAGATCCAAGACTATCAAAGCCCGGAATATACGGCAATACGTCGTTGTTGCCACGCACGTAAACTTCAAGAGGCGGAAGACCATCGTGGCCGGTAATGTACGCCTTGTTGGCCTCATAAACCTCCAGGAAGCGTCGCTTCAATGGAGCAAAGTTGACAATGCCCGCTTGCCGGTTCAAAAGCTGAGCTGCTGTCTCGAACGATCCGGCTGCCACATGGTCTGCGGGAACAGTAGAGTTCCGTACCCAACGCTCTTTCTCGGTGACAACCGTGGTACTGCTCACAGCCTGCACATCCGCTTCCTCTTCACCAACATCAACATCAAGATCCCAACCCTCGTCGTTGACATCAATATCGTCAAATCCATCAACCAGATCATCAAGCGCATCGAGGTTGTCATTGAACCCATCTTCCTCGACTTCACTCGCGCTCTGGACCTCGTCAACATACTCAGTGGGCTCGTCGCTCACAGTGCTAGTCATGGTCAACAGAGCTTCGGCGCTCTTCTTTTCATGCAGCGGCCAATTCTCACGGAAGCCTTCAATGCTCACACCCACAACGTTGTCCTTAGCGACGTTGTGAACTGGAATGTCGATCTTCGATTCATCTATGCCCTGCTCGGCAGCGATTTGCGAAGCAAGCTCACCAAGTCCATTCGACTTGGCAGTCGCATAGGCCAAAGGTGCTTGGCCTGCTTCACGCAATAGCTGGGCCCGATTCTCAACAGAGTTGAGGAAGATTGAGGTTTGGAAGCGCGCCAATGTGTCACCACGAGCATCGGCGATTTCTTCCATCTTTTGTAGGCGGCTGCGGTTACCAGTGATAAGATACAAAAATGCCAGCTTGTCGAAAGCACGCTGCTTTTGATAAACATCCTCAAGAATATCGTGGTTGCCCTGGTTTAGAGCCTCCGCAGCGAGCAACTTATCGGCGATAGGTTTGTTCAGAACGCCCGCTTGTTCGGCAGCGGTATTGAGATCACCACATTCAATTGCGAGATCAAACTTGGTCTGAGGATCCTCAACAAACTGTAGAGCAATTTCGGGGTATCCTCGCTTTTGCAAGTAGGCAATGATGCTCTGGCCAACCAAGTGAGAGGTCTTGATGAGTCTCGCCACCTCAGCAAAATCACCATTGATAATGGCCTTCTTGAACCGATACTCAGTGCTATCGATACGGATAATAAACACAGTGTAGTTACGGCTCAAGCAGTAAACAGTGTTGCCCTTGACCATTGTCACATAGAGTGTGCTGTTGAGCGTCTTCAACACGCCGACATCACCATTCAACAATGCATACTTGAGGTGGTTGAATGTAGAGTAGATCACTGTGTGTGCTTCATCCCATGCCACACTCTTGACACGAATCGTATCGTTCACGGAAGAAACAAACTCGAGTTTACTGTTGGCAATAGTGATCTTATGCTTGGCCTGCAACGCAACGTATTTACCATCAGGCGACCAGACCGCAGCCTCGACATCAGAAGCTCGCAGAGTGGCAACAGCACGACCCTGCTGAACATCGAAAAGAACTACTGAGTTGGCACCAGCCAGCAAAACATGGCCCGGCTGAGAAGAAAGCATGTGTTTTGTAACAATAGGCAGTGAAAGCGTCTTGGTAATAGAGTTCTCCATGTCGCGAATTTCAATAGTTTGAGATTCAGCGCGGAATACGGCGAACCGGTTGCGGGTAATGAACTGAGCCTGGTCAGCGGGCCCTTCCATGGATTTTGAAGGTTCTACGGGACCCATAGCCTGAGCAGGAAGTTTGGCCAAGATGTAGGACCGAGTGCGGGCGGACGGATTACCATCAGAGTCGCAAGTGACTAACACGGCATTTTCTGCTGGGTTATAGCTGAGTTCCCGCAATGGTTGGAAGTTGCCGCCAAATTTGGCCAATGAAAGCACTCCATCTTTATCAACAGCGTCCTTGTAGTCGAATATTTTGATCTTCTTGTCTCTGGTTGCAAAGTACAGCTTTCCCTGCGACACAGTATGAGCTGGACGTTCACGAGCAAGTTTGAAGATCAAAAGACCACCATCGTTAGTGGCACCAATGAGGTTGATGTTGGGATGAAGCGCAATATTCCAGAATTTTTCATTTTCACGCTTGTACACGTTGACAGGGATGCGGCGATTCAAGTCCCAAGTGCGGAAAGTGCGGTCGTCTGAGCAGGACAAGATGAGGTCCTCGGTCAAATGGAAAGCCACGCATGTAACACTGTTGGTGTGGCCACGCAGTGTGTCCACCTCCCATGCTCTTGAGTCCGACATCCGCCACAACCTGACTGTCTTGTCGTCACTCGCTGAGGCAAGGAGGGGTTGGGTGGGGTGGAACGCGACCCAAAGAACGCCCTTTGAATGTCCCTCGAGTGTCCACTTGAGACGATAGTCATACTGTGGACCGAAAGCGTCTGGTCCAGCTTCCTCAATCTCCATGGGACCTTTGGAAGGTGCCGAGAGGCGGCGGCGAAGGGCGGAAATATCGTAAATACGCACGGTGCAGTCTAATGAGGAAGAAGCAATAAGGTCCTCGGTAGGATGGAACTGAGCACAAGTGACCCAGTGGCTGTGACTAGTAAGACAGAGCAGCTGCTGGCGATTCTGCCAGTTCCAGATTCGTACTGTCTGATCGTCAGACGCGGAAATAACCCAGGGCATTTCCGGGTGGAAATACGCGGTCCGCACGTAGTCAAAGTGGCCATTTAGTTGAAACATTAGTTTCTGTGTCTGGAGAGACCAAATGCGAATAGTACCATCGTCGCCGCACGAAACAAAAATCGGTTGGGTAGGGTGGAAGTCTACACATCGAACCGGACCTTCGTGGCCCTCAAAACGCGCAATGCACACACCCATCCGGTAATCCCAGAGTTGAATCGGTGACGAGTAAAGTGCACACAAAGCCCACGGCCGTCGCGGATGAAACGCGACCGCCTTGGCCGTGGTAGACCTCGACTGAAACTTGGTGAGCATAAGGGTGAGAACATGTGGCATGTCAGCGTGACGTTAAGGTCGGAGTTACCCTGCAGTCGCGATACCAGACTAAATAGCTCTGGTCCAGCGGGGTCAACTATTGTGAAATGCCTGTGTTTAGCTAAAACACTGTTAAATATTTAATTATTAGCCTGTCAAACTGCCGCGGGTGCTCACGTGTCGCGCCCGCCTCCGGTTGCGACTTCGTTAGCAACCTTAAAAACAAAATGATTCAAACCGTACCGTTAATTGATCTCTTAGTATTAATTTGCGCCCGTTTTCATTGATTCAGAACCATGTAGTGGCAACACCTCCAAAGCGTCAGCATGTCTCGTTTGGCTTACCTAGTTCACATGTCTTCTTCGTCGAGTTCCTCAAGCGGGAGCTCACCGTCAGTGTCTTCGGATATAAGATGGTACGGCGTGACGAAGCCAATAAAGCATATCAACGAGCTGCCAGTGGAGTTGGTTATGAGAGTGTTTAGTTACCTGGACAATGAGGACGATCGTTGGGCATTCATGACCACACAATGGCGGTGGTTTAATATCGCCGTGGATGCATTGTGGTACCGTCCGGGAATAAACAGTGCCGACCAAGTTGATTTACTTTGTCAAACTTTGCGTGCGCATTCTCCGCAGGCCGATTATGCAGCTATGATCCGCAGAGTAAACCTCAGCACCGTGGCAAAATCCGTTAACGATTATGTTCTAGATTCATTCACACGTTGCCATCAAATTGAGCGTTTCGTGATCTCCGAGGCTGAAAATGTCACTGACGAAGGCGTATGTGCCGTGCTGCAAGCTAACTCGAATATTCAGAGCATCGATGTATCAATGATCAGCTCTCTCACTGACCGAGTGCTACAAGAGCTGGCAAACAACTGTCCTGGAGTGCAGGGGATTTACGCCACTCATTGTGTTGGATTTACTGATGAAGGAATCGCTCATATTGCCTCCAAGTGTCCTGCCCTCAAACGGGCGAAATTTGGCGGCTGTAGACTGCTATCTGAAAACGGTCTAGGCATGCTTGTTGACGGCTGCCGATATATTATGGAGCTAGATATTTCTTGCTGTGGTGCAGGAACATCAATGGGATCTATCTCAGACTCTATGGTGAAGTCGGCACTGGAAAAGCTGCGTAGTCTCAGAGAAATAAGGCTGGGCTCAAACGAAGATCTCACAGCCAAAGCATTTGACCTTAAACCCGGAACTACTTTGGAGAGCTTAAGGCTGGTCGATCTCACCTCTTGTCCCGGAATCACCGACGAAGCGATCGCTAAACTTATCCAGCTCGCGCCTCGCTTGCACAATATTGTGCTAGCGAAATGCATATCGCTAACCGATAGAAGCCTGGCGCTTATTGCCCAACTTGGTCACAGTCTGCACTATCTCCACATCGGACATTGTTCACAGGTCACAGACCGTGGCATTGCTGCAATAGCGCAAAACTGTCCTCGTCTTCAGTACATCGATGTCGCGAACTGCAACCGGATTTCGAACCGCACTCTTCAAGAATTGAGTATGCTCCCTCGGTTGCGACGTATTGGTTTGGTAAAATGTAACCAAATCGACGATGTTGGAATCCTAGCGTTCACTCGACGCCCCCTTCTCGAAAACACTCTCGAAAGGGTGCACTTAAGTTATTGCTCAGCCATTTCCGTGGCTGTCATCAAAAAGCTGCTTGATAGCTGTCCCCGACTCACCCACCTATCGCTCACTGGTGTTCCCTCGTTCATGAGGCCCGAGCTCACACAATTCTGTCGCGATCCGCCCCTGGACCTGACCCAACACCAAATGTCGGTGTTCTGCGTCTACAGCGGCTCCGGCGTACATCGGCTCAGGGAATATTTGAATCGAAATCATGCGCATATCGAAATTGCAGCATTTGATCCGGAGGTGCTTGCAATGCGGCAAGAGCCCATGGAAAGCTAGCCTCTCGGTGTGCGCGTCTCTTTATTTATGTATAATACAGTTTATAATGATTCTTTGCATGGCTCGTCTGAAATTTTCGTCCGAAAAAAAAAGGGGCCACTGCCTCTCCTTTTTTGTTGCCATGCACGGTTTGCAGAACACGACCCTTACCCTGGCACATATTGACCTAGATTCTCCCTCCACATAATCAATCTGGTTGTAACCGCTTACGCGCCCGTTCCAAGAAAAAGAAGATGAGCAGACAAGTCCCGCCGCAACTAGCGGGGGACGAGAATGCCCTACGGACTCTGCGCACTAAGAATAACGATGAGCCGCTGGCTCCAGTTCAGCGTAGGGTTTTAGGCGATGTTAGCAACCGTAATCGCGGCCGGACGCGTGAGCCACTCGCCCCGGTGATGCGCGACGTGCCAGAGAGTCGGGTTACGGATACTGGTTCGAGCGGCGCAGCTGGCGAGAGCGCGTTGGCTGGACAAAAAAGAAGTGCGGATGCGTTGGAGCCCGCTCCCAAACGGGCGCGCCGCGTTGAGGAAGCGTCTGCCTCAAAAGCTTCGTTTGTAATTGAGCTGCCTAGAATCGAGGTGGAGCATGCTGACCTCGATGCCGAAGATAAGTTTGATGAGCTCATGGTTCCCGAGTACGTTGATGACATCTTCGACTTGCTGTTCCAGCGCCAATACCTTTACATGGTGAACCCAAGCTACATGAAGTCCCAACCGCAAATCAAGTGGTCTTTACGGGGAATTTTGGTCAATTGGCTGGTATCCATCCACCAAAAGTTCCGCCTCCTTGGTGAAACTCTCTTCGTTACTATTAATATTCTGGACCGGTATCTGGAAAAAGTTGAAGTGCCTCTAGACCGACTACAACTGGTCGGGGTTACTTGTTTATTTATTGCGGCAAAGTATGAGGAGATCTTCAGTCCTGCTATCCAGAACTATGCTTATGTTGCTACTGTTACCGAGACCGAAATCTGCCAAACCGAAATGAGCGTTTTGCGGGTCCTGGACTACGACTTGGGGGTGCCCAACCCTATGAACTTCCTGCGAAGAATTTCCAAGGCTGATAACTACAACATCAGCTCCCGCACGCTTGCTAAATACCTAATGGAAATCTCGTTCTTTGAGCCTCGATTGTTCTGCTATCTTCCAAGCGATGTCGCTGCGGCCTCCATGTGCTTGGCTCGGGAAATCGTTGGCTCTGCCGAGTGGGATAATAACTGCATACATTACTCCATGGGACTCACACGAGAAGCAATGAAGAATATTCTACTAATCCTCGTTCAATTCCTGAAAGCACCAACGGAGTATCAGGAATTTCACAAAAAGTACGCGTCCAAAAAATTCCTTAAAGCTTCCTTGCGATGTGCGGCCTGGGCCGAAGCTTACTCGGATAGCTGGCTGGCCAGTTTCGACGAATAAAGAAAAAAGCTATGGACCCTTTGTATTAATATAGTAACGCGTGCACTATTTCTCTCTTAATTCTACAGATCTAATCCAATTTTTCTCAAAGCTTACTTCTAATTAGTTTTGCCATTTCGTCGCCAACCAGGTCCTCGCGCTGTCCGCGACCAAACACCTGCATAGTGTAGCGTGCTCTATCCATAATGCCGAATTGTTTTTTTAATTGATCAACAGTGCGCTTGACGGCCGGGTGCTCGTCGCCATCTCTCATGACAATGTGGAAATGCACATGATGCACAACTTGGCCAGCAGCTTCACCATTGTTTTGCACAACGTTGAACGCTGTAGAGTTTGTTGCCTCTATGCATGCCTTTGCTAGAATCGGCAGGGCAATGCCTATCTCCGCGCTAGCCTCCTTATTCGCGGCAAGTTTATCCAGCGTTTCGTAGTGGCTCTTGGGACACAGCAGGATATGAGCTCTGGAACTGACCAGAGGCTGAATGTCTAGAAACGCAATGGTATGCTCGCTCTCATACACAACATGAGAGGCCTCTTTGCCTTTAACAATCTCGCAAAATGGGCATGTCATTATTAGCTAAACTGAAATCGCGGGGTGCCGCAGATAAATCACTTTTCGTCCCACTAAACTTCTGATATGTACCGCTTTTTCCTAGGTTTTAATCTTTTTGGTCAATTCCCGTATCGCTCACTTCTTGTCCTGCTACCGCTCCGCGAACCAACTCGTTGACAAAGCACCGGAATGGCGAGCGACTCTGTTCCAGAGACAGAGCCAGGTGCCACGACAAACGATGTTGATCTCAGAGACGTAGACAGACTGACTTTGATAAAAGCTCTCATGGGTCTGACGCAAACCATCCAGGGCGTGAAGCATACCGGTGCCTTGGACAAATCCTCGCAGGCCCAACCTTTACCTGATGCTGCCACCACGACTCAGAATAGAGATCACCCTTCGATTTTGCCTCCGCCGCAGTTCGATGGAGAGATTAGCAATGGTCTATCCATGTCGCGGGCAGAGTATATCCGCCGTCAGCAACAGGTATTCGAGGATCTCACCGGACAGAAAAATTCACAGCAGCCCACTCTTCCAACGGAAAAAGAAGACCTGGCCCTTGCAAAAATGATGGAATTGTACATGAGTGCTCTAGATTCCCAGGTATACCAAGAGTTGGAAGTACAGCAGCGGTTAAACGATGTCACGGAGGAGGCCTCTTTGGATATGTTCTCACAGGTTTTTGCCATCAAGGATCCAGAGGAGCGCATCAAATTGGTAATGTCTATAATGTCGAAACTGAGTGACGACTTTGCTTCTTTGCAATATCAAACAAACACCATGCTGTACCAGAGAGGAAAGCTGGAATCCCAAAGAACCATTCTGAAACAGCGATATGCTGCTGAACTATCCCGAAGCGTGCGGCTGGACCACACTGTTCGATTAATGTCCAAAAAGCTAATTCAAACGCACGAACGAGCGGAGGCCGCCGAGTCTGCACAGAGGGATGCCGAGCGAGCCCTCAAGGAACTTCAAATCAAGCTAGAAAGCCTTGAATTGACTGTAACGACATTGACTAACGACGAAAAGGGTGATATAGAGTCGGAGATCTCAAAAGATACTCCTGATATGGCCAGTTTGAGTGCAAAGCTAAGGCTTTTATATCGTGAAATCGGAAGACTCCAGAAGCTCGAGTCAATGAAAGAAATCCCAGACACCCCAGAGAAAATTTTGGCTCGCATACTAGTATACGTTGACAATGCTCGAGGAAGAAAAAACCAACATGTTAAAGATCTTATCAAAGCGTTTCTCGATCTTTTTGAAACCCGTGAAAGACAACTCACTGACGCTTTGGCTCAAAGTAGGCTCGAAAATCAAATTTATCTTGCCAGGTGTGACCGCCTCACAGAGACCACCGCAGAACAAACTGAAAATATAAGAGAGCTGCTGGATCGGACGGTCGATCTGGTCCTTACTGATAAGCAGTTGCGTGAAGACTTGGGACACAGGCGGGACCAAGCAGATGCTTTTAGATTCCTGCTCGAAAAATGCCTCACCTTTTTCAATTTGGTTAAAGAGAAAAAACCTGATTTGTTTGGCGATGACGAGGACTCGTTCATTCGGGAAATGCAACATTGCATGGATAAAGTCGGGACGCAGGTTGACGACAATAAGATTCACACACTGCCCGATGATGTGCTAGATGGGGTATCAATTTTCAGCAAATTGAAAGGTGTCAAAATTGAGGACATCGTGCTGCAAGTACCTGGACAGAAGCCTATACCATTGACTGATGTCATGAAATTCGAGACAACTACTACGGAGTCGTCGCCTGAGTGAAGTTTATACAAGCTGTAATTTTAATGTATAGTTATTCCTTTGCAATATTTAACATTTAATGCCCAATTGTCGCTCCAGCGCAGACGTGTTAATGTCTAAAGTGCATCCCTCATCCCAAAAAAATCTCGGCAACGGGGAATTGAACCCCGGTCTCCCGCGTGCAGTTTGACAGGCGGAAATTCTAGCCACTAAACTATTGCCGATTTCTTGTGCAGACTTCTGGCTGTACGTATATATTTCAAAGTGCCATTAGTCTTGGTTTTCACAACCTATGATACAAGTAAGTGTTATGTTTTTCTTCCGAAGCATGTATCCTAATCTACGTCCACATTACATATAGCATCTTATTTTACGCGTACAATGAATCTATGAGGTATCTTTTAAGTGCGTCTTGGATGCAGGCACGTGTGTGGCGGTCAAGTTGCGCTAATTTTGAAACTGCATGAGCACGCAGTGTTATCTATGGCTGATAACGACGAGTATGCCAGGATGCAATTAAATCCGCTCGCGCCATAGCTGGTTGGGGTCATGATTGTCAAATTTGAGCCTGGTAACCGGCACCTGATAAAAAAAGAGTTGTCCTCCTTGACAGCCGCCCTGCACAGAACCTTAACCCTGCTATGCCCCCTACGATCCCTAACATCATCTGCCTACGATCATCCCTAGGGAAACTGTTTTCCCGAAATTATAAAAACAAAATTATACGTCAATAAAAAAAGAAAGAGAGTTAAGTGTATCTGGTTCGTTTTAGGGGCAAAAATACGAGGCTTTCATAGAAAAATGCTCGATTGCTGAAGCACATCATCTCATTTACTTCAGGCCAGCGCTAAGTAATCACCTTCTCGTCTAAGACATGCTTTTTTTGAGTCTTGGAGTTTTGACCCAGCTACAGACTGTTTTTGCCCAAGCAGACAGCGTTGGGGGCACGCTAGCCATCCCTATCAAGGGTAAACGCAGTGCTTCTGCGCCATTGCCCCGGCTAGAACACCTGGAGAGGCGGGCGGATTTACCCGAGCTCGCGCTAATCAACCAGCTGACCTTTTATCAGGCAACCCTTGAAATTGGCTCTCAAAAGGAGCAGGTTCAGTTCACCATCGATACCGGGTCCTCCGACTTGTGGGTCATGTCCCCGGATAACCCTCTGTGCGCTCAAGACGATGAGCAGATCCAGCAAAACAACCTTCCCAACTGCTCTGCTCCAATCACGTTTGATTATTCTGCTTCTAGCTCTTTCAGCAAGAACCAGTCTTCTGTGTACTATGGCCAGTACGCTGATGGCACGGTCGCTCAAGGATTTTACGCTCAGGACACGGTCGTGATTGGTCAGTCCACAGTCAAGAATGCAAACTTCGCTGTTGCCACAAATACCAACGTCAGCCAGCCTGTTTTTGGCATCGCCTCAGTTAACGATGAAGCCTCAGTTTCGAACCAGGACCCTACTACCTACGCAAACATCCCTGTCCAACTCAAGGAACAAGGGTTTACCCAAGCTGTCGCCTACTCTCTCTGGCTCAATGACCTCAATGCTTTAGAAGGGTCGATCTTATTCGGCGGAGTTGATCATGAGAAATATGTTGGTGACCTACAGCTTGTTCCTATGGTGACCTTCACTTCCGATGGTCAACAG